TTATCCTACCCTTCCTTATCTTTGCTAGCAAGGTTCTTATCTCTAACTAGTTTACTAAGGACCTCCTACGCAACTAGGTTATTTAAGTAAGCCTAACAGGCTGGACAAACAACAATCTAGCGCTTGCTTAGCTTAAACACTTTAATATGCATGTAAGGCCTGTAGGAGCGTATAGGCTGCTTATTATTAACGGCCACGAGAGCTATTACTTAATAGATTTTCAGGATCGCTGCAAGGAGAAGAAGATTATCGCCCTCTGTATGCCTCTACATTCGTCGCACCTCCTGCAGCCGCTTAACGTTGCCTGCTTCTTGCTGTTAAAGCGCGCGTACGGCGATAAGATCTTAGCCTTAGTACGCGATCGCATCTACTACATTAACAAACAGACCTTCTTACTAGCCTTTAAAGTAGCTTTTAAGAAGGTATTTACAAGAGAGAATGCTTGCGCAGGGTTTCGAGGCGCTAGATTGTATCTACATAATCTACAAGCCGTGTTATTAAAGCTAGATGTACAGCTGCGTACGCAAACTCTACTACAGCAAGATAACGCCGCTTAAGAGGCAAAAACACCGCGCAACGCTAAAGAAATAGAGGCGCAATTAACGCTAATTCAAAATAAAATGCAAATCTATTAAGGGTCTCTAGCAAATTTACTTAACAAGCAGGTGCAACAGCTAACAAAAGGCGCGCAGTAGATAGCTTATAAGATAGTGTTAATACGCGCAGAGATAGGGCGCCTTTAAGACGCAACAGAGACGCTTACTAAGCGTAAGAGTCGCAAGAGACGCTACGTACAGGCAGAGGAGACACTAATAGTTAGCGAGGTATTAGACTTAATTGCTAAAAAGGAGGGTAGTAGTTGTAAGGAGGGTAAGGAGCCAGCGAAGAGGTTGCGCGCAGGGCGACGCTGCGGCCGTTGCGGCAAGATTGGGCATAACTCTCGTACGTGCAAGGTAGAAATTAATGATGCGAATGATAGCGACGCTTCTAAATAATACTATATTGTTGTAAGAGTATAAAAATTGTGTTGTGGTGCTAAGCTACGTCGCTGCGCGTACGCTTTGCTAGTGTTTATAGGCCGCTTAGTAGGGTGGGCCGCTCGCTAGTAAAACAGGTTATATGCTTACTATAAGGATCTTGTCCTAGTCGATAGGTACTTCGTTAAATTTGCAGTATAAGTTAATGTTAGTAAGGAATATTTGCAATTCCTTGCGTCCCTTATTATATTTCTTACGCGCTACTATCTTAAGTTTCTTTATAGAAACTAAGCGTTTATTTAGGGTAGCTATTAGCTAACTTATAAGCTAATTAATTATATTCTGTAGCCTAACTTTCTATTATGCCTAGATATAGGCCTGTTGCCTAAGGTTCCTAAGCTCTGTAGCACTAGGGTTCTCCTCTAAGTCTAAGTTAGATGCGTTAAGTATAACGTTATTCTCTAGCGCTTAGGAGGGTCCTAGACTCTAGGCTATGTTGCTCTAAGTAGCTCTTAGAGATAATATCTTGTTAACCTTATTTAGGCGATTAGTTAGTTAATCTATCTACTTAAATCGATAGGTAGTTAAAGTGTTACACGGGGTTAGGCTATACTTCTCTAAGCTTAGTCTATACTAAGGCGAGGTAGACTAAAGTAGTAAGCTGTGTAGTTTATCTAGTAATTTATATAGAAAAGAGTTAATAAAGCTAACTAAAGGTAAAGATAATCTAATTTTATGTGTAATAGAATAACTAGATAACAATCTATATAAGAGATAAACTATTTAAGTTAACTATAACGAGTGTAATAATAAAACCTTTCTATCCTTATATCCTTATTGCTATGTCCTGTGTCCTCTAGCCTAGCCCTAGGCATCTCTAATGTCGTTAGCATCTAGAGAGGACCTAGCATCTTAAGATGTTAGGTCTTGGCGAGATGCTAGTCACGTGATCCTAGCCCGGCCATAATCATTACCTTCTGACGTGGTCTCTGGTTGGCCTCCAACCGCGACTTTCCGCGTTAAGGAGAGAATCCTTCTTGTTACTTGTAACAGCAAGGTCACGTAATGTGGTTGTACTTTGCACGATCGATAATTACTACTCACGGAATGATGCCCAGTCTGTTAGTTACCGCACGGCCCTGCAGACAAGGTCTAGCAGGCATGTAGAATAATAAGTAAGACCTTGTAGCTTCTTGTTAGCCAAGACCCCTCAGCGTCAACACTAGTCCGGGCTAACACTCTTAACGGATTATATCTCAAAGGGCTTCTCATAAGAGAGATTTCTCTAAATTCAGTCGAAAGACCACTCTGATGAAGCATATATATTAACAGCCGCGCATGTCTAGTTCGGTGGGAGGACGAGAATACGGACGCATCAATTGGTACCAAGGTTTGCCTATTGGGCGGTCCGGTTTAGCAAGTCACCGCCTAGAATACCAGCAATTAGAAGCAGATTAAGGCGTTGTGATTGCTGGCAGAGGGTCATGGCCGCTTCGCGGATTGATTCCAAAGGGGAAAGATCCATTTGAAGGATCTTGATAGGCGGAGCGTTAGGGAGCTGTCGGTTGATCTCATCAATGGCTTCCTGGCCCTTGTAAATTTGGCGAGTGCCAAGCCAGATCTCGATTGTATTGTGTTTTGTAAGATCATGGATGGAGTGCTTGCCTAGACCTCTCTTACCACCCGCAACAAGAATGACTTTGCCCTTCAAGGAAGGAAAATCCGTAGTTGGATCGAATTGAGTGCTCTCCGTTGTGACCCTACTGTGGTCGAGAATGAACAGGAACGAATGTATGTTATTACGACAAGGAGCCTTGGTATGGCAATAGGGGAACTTGCTGCTGTAAATTAGGATGAAACGACTGCTGGTACCTCATAAGAAGCGCAGTAGTACATATATGAAGAGTCCAAGAAGGACGAGAAAGTTTTCGTGCGCGGAGTAATTGTGTACTTTGGATTTACAACCTCTTGCGGTGTTAACGGTTGACTGTTCTTCACTGGTTCCATTGCGCACCCAAAGCCGACTCTGACCCTACTTGAATGAACGCTAGCGACAAGAGTGACACAGTGTTCAAGTATGCGCGAATAAACTTTGTATGAGCGACAGTGCTGTCTGATGCGTCGTTGCTGATGCGTCGGATCGAGCGGCGATCGCAATATCCAAAGAGGGCTAGTCTCAGGATAAAGATGTTCCGTGTCAGCACTATCTGAGTAAAGCCTTGGTTTTGTTGTCGAGGTGTTGGAACCCGGTGCAGCAAAAGTCGCAGTCCCTCATGTCCGAGACGCAGGTAACTAAAAACATCTTCCTGACAACACTGAAGACTAGTTTAAACGACCACAGATGATATGCTCAAAACTGTGTGACGTACCGAATACCACCTTTGGGACATCGTTCCATCTATTTCAAGCCTACTCATTGCTCAAGACAAACACAGCGATGAAGATGCCACATTAGTCTTGAATAGCAAGGAGGTTACGCTTACGGTGGTGATGGGGATGTTGAAGTCCATGGAAAACTTCAACCCCGTTGATGCTGTGTCTTGTTTGGATATCCTTCTAGCGGGCCAAATGAACCCGAGCATGGTGCTTGGTATTCTTGGCCAGTGGGATGATCCGAAGTACCTGGAAGTTCTTGGAGTGATATTGACAGCCACGAGGCGCCTTGAAAAGCAAAGGCATATCCTTGGTCTAAAGAACTGACCAGACACTTGGAATTTTGCCCTGCATGATCTTGGGCTCGCTCTATAATTGGCGCGCACGGTACGGATCTGCTTACAGCAGCCGTAAAGAAGAGGGCGTAGAATTACGATATTGCTAGAAGATAAGAGAGGAGTTATAACATACAGACATTCTCACTCTGTGACATGACAGGTCTACTCAACCTTGTTTCGCACTCTGCAAAACAAGGGTGGAGCGGGTTTTATTTGAGCGGATATGGCGAGCAATAATCACGGGAATGCACGCACGGATAGACCACCCCGAGTATACGCGTTACTGGACGTATGATTCGCTCTGGCATAGGTCGTAGGCCGCAGAGTAGAGGAAGAGATTGTGAACAGTAACTGCCTCGGAGGATTCGAGCGATCTGTTGACACAAAGTGACCCTACAGTGCCGATTGCGGGGCGACATAAATACCTGAGCATGGAAGCCTACTAGTTATATGACCAAGGCGAGTGTCCATATCGAGTATGAATGAGGTTCATGGCGCAGTTGTTGCCAATCCGATACGAAAAGTGGGCTATGAAGGGTGGAAGTAACAACGAAGTCGCGTTCGCTGCTATCAGCGTAGTTATGACTTTGATAACTGTGTGACTCGGGCTAACGAACACTGCTCTGGATTGTGGTGTTAATCATGACCACTTTGAAAGTTCGTACAGGGAAGCACGTTCGTTGTCACAGTCGTTCAAAAACTGGGGATGATGCTGGTGTTCACTGAATTCGACACGGGCATCAATTCTTATTTCACAACGATACGGTATAGGTCATCTCCAGAGCCCTGCCCGCAGCGCCAATTCGATGCGATCACAGGTATTCAAATCTAGGCTGATTCGACGGTAGGGAATATCGCAATCACTACCAGTCGTCTCGCTGTTGACTTACGACAACTATGACGTGCAATTTGCGGCGTAGACCTGATTCGTCCCGTGCTGTGCTTGTTCTTCAGGATGGCTTTCCGCATGTCTGCGCACTTGGTTTTAGAGGTTAGTTGCATGGCGTAATACAAACTCGAGATTTTCCAAAATTATGCCCTGACAGTTGTAGTTGAGAGTGTGGATTCCTGGATGATGAGAAAGGATGTTGGTGTGGCACTTTAGGCTTATGGGCGGCTTGACTTGCATGAACCCCACTTTGTCGCTCGTTTGGGTTAAGCGCTGAGATTCCGCGATGGCTGGCTAGCCTCCTGACAATCTCATCATGTCACGAGCGCGAGCGCGAGCACGGTGTCTTGAGCCTGAATGTCGTGTCGCGACGATCTCTGACGGTTTCATCCTTTGCAGGTCCGATGGCATGGGACCTTGGAAATGTCTCCACTGAAGCGTCTGAGTGAGGATGCGGATCATGAAGATGGACGCCGACCTGCACCGCGCACGCCGAGGATCAGAGCCTGTAAGTCAACGCGCCCCACTCGATCACGACTCCTTACCCATGCTGTATAGGTGCGGAGTGTAAACGGCACAAGATCAAGTGCGAACCTGTCGACAATGAAGCAAAGTGCGCAAAGTGTCTGCGAAGCGGGACTGAATGTGTCCCATATAACTTGAACCAACGCCTACTGGACGAAGATGCTGCGTAGGTGCTCGGCTTCCGTGTCTTTTTTGCCATTGCTAAGTACTCCAGTTGGAAATCCAATGCGACAGCCGAGTTGGGACAGCTGCGCTCGGCGGTGCAGCGTCTTCTTCAACATAACAAACTCCCTAGCCTGGATAGTCCAGTCAGTCAAGGCTCGCCCCAGCCTCCTTTAGGACGCACTCATAGTGTGACCATCAGCCCGACAAACGTAATGTCTGAGAACGGACATGCAACTTTCGTTGTTCCACCACCCATGGATATGACAAGAGACACCTCGGTAGAGCGCGAGTCGGGCGAAGAATCCGGCTTGGTAACAGCGCCCATGAGGAGTCTATACGACCTTACTCGGATTCGGAACCTTCGGAGCAGCGTACGGTGGAAGCCAAACTCCAGCTCTGTCGAAGAGGACTTCATAGCTCAAGGTATAGTGTCTTTGCCGGAAGCTGAGGACCTATTCAGACGGTACATGCAAGACATCCGCCTTTATCTTTGGGCTGGTGTACTCTTTCCATACGACTCTCTGGAAGCAGTGCGTCGCCAGTCCACGCTTCTCACTGCAGCTGTACTTACCATCTCTGCGTTGCACACGCCAGGTCGAGACGAAGCGTTACAGAAATGCTATAACATTTTCGTATCCTTGGTTTACAGCGCCTTTCTCGCTCGACCTCAGAACCTCGACGATATTCGTGCGCTAGCTCTGGCCGCTTTCTATCTCTCTAATCTGAGCTGGAAGTTGGCAGGGCTTGCTGTAAGAAACGCTGTCGAGATGAACTTGCATATGTCTTACCAGCGGCTTATGCGAGGGCATGAAGAGCAGCGTGATAACGTTCGTTTATGGTACGCGCTTTACGTGTGCGACAAACAGTTCAGCATCGCATATGGACGTCCATCTATCGTTCATGAAGATATCGCGATCAAGAATATTGAACATTTCCTTGACAGTCCGAAGACTACGCCAGGCGATATCAGACTAGGAGCCCAAGTCACTTTGTTCAAGATCTTGACGGAAGCATACATTGCCTACGGCAGCGACCCGGAGCAACCACTCACGGAGCCCGACTTTCAACAACTTCGCCTCTTCAACTTCGCAATCGAACAATGGCGGCTCGCATGGCAAGCTAGATCCGCTGACAGCCCATCTATTGGGTCGTATCCTTCAAAAGGCGTGGTGCTATATTACCACTTCGCTCGGTTTCAACTCAACTCACTCGCGCTGCGTGCTCTACCTCCACCTAGCGCCGCAACGTCCGAATCACTCTCCTACGATCGTCGAGAAGCAGCCAACATCGCCATCACCGCCGCAACCAGCACCCTTACCCTCATCTTCGAGGAGCCAGATCTTCGCAAAGCAATGACTGCAGTGCCTATCTTTACCCATACCATGGTCGCATTCTGCGCTACATTTTTGCTGAAGATGGCAAAGACCTGGGGAGGTATGACGCAAGTACAGTCACCAGAGTGGGCGACAGAGCCGGTTGGCCTTGGCCTCAACTTCAACATCAATCAAGTGCTGTCTCTATCGCGGCGGTCATCGTCCTTCTTAGCCAAGGTGGCACAGAATTTGAACGAGAAACATATCACGACGCACATCGTTCAGGGCATCAACGACTTGTTGAAACGACTTGATGTTGCTGGAACGCCTTCTGGCTCAGTAACACAAGGCGGTTTGCCGACTACATCCCCAGCTCCTGCGCAGATTTTCGACCCTGTCAAGGCCGCGACAGCGAACAATGACGAGACTGTTGATGCGACGAATGAGTATAACATGTATGATCTAATTGGATCTTACGGCTTTGGTTTCGACGAGACATTTCTGGGTCAAGTTGTTCCGACCAATTTGGATTTCTGGCAAACGGAGCCGTTCTGATAGGATAGTAAATAACAATTCGATGATATGGTTGCACCAATGACAGGCCCAGAGCAGTCGTTCCAGGTCTAATGTGTTATCCTACCTCGTGGCGTGACGATTTAGTGTCAGCATCTTAGAATAACGCCATGTCTTACGGAGATAAGCTGGGTGACACAAAAAGCAGTCAGCAAATAGCGTCCAACGTGCATTACGTGCATATGCTGCTGCAAGAGGTTACAAGGAACTATAATATGACATAAGTCGAAACTGCCTACCTACTAAACTCGCGTTCTGCTCAGCTTCAGTTGCGGAAACCTGCTCACTTTCTATTCTCAAGATGCCTTTTTACGCGCAGGAACATGTATTCTTCCCCACGAAAGATATCCTGTCATGGATGTATGATTCCCCACTGTTTGAACAGGACAGACCGGTATGATTTCTCTCGGTGCCCTCCCATTGCATCTTTTATATCATTCTGATGGATCGTGTTAGATATACATTGATGCTGCGACCCCAACACACCATATAACCGTCGCATGCGCCTACCTTCTGATCCGTCAACTCATCGCCGGCTTTAAACATGCGGGGATTTGTGCCGGCGATGTCGTGCTAGTGCATGCTTCCAACTCGATCTACTATCCCATGATTGTCTTGGGTATCATAGGTGCTGGAGCAATCTACACAGGCACGAATCCGGGGTACACGAGGTGGGAGATTGAACATGCGTTGAGAAGTAGTGGAGCGAAGATGGTGATTTGCGATGAGGAGGTACTGAGTAATGGGATGACTGTGGCTGCGGAAGCCTGCGGTCTATCCACAGAGCAGATCTTAACATTGGATGACACGGCGATCCAAGATTCTCTACAGCAACTAATGGACGGTCACCGCTCCTGGCGCACACTACTCACACATGGCGAGGCGGACTGGCAGCGTTTCGACGACGAGAAGACAAGTCGAGAGACAGTTGCCGGTTTGTTCTTTTCCAGCGGAACGACAGGTCTGCCTAAGTTGACTAAACTGTCGCATTACAATCTCATAGCACAACATATGCTAATCTTTGAGGCGAATCCGCGGCCATATATCCTTAAGCGCTTGATCGCGCTGCCGATGTTTCATGCTGCTACGGCGCCGTCGACGCATATTTCGCCATTGCGGGCTGGACACCAACAGGTCGTTATGCGGCGGTATGAACCGAAACTGTTTCTTGAAATGGTAGAGAAGCATCAGATTACAGACTTGACACTTGTGCCGCCCCAAGTAACGAGTATGCTAGCACTCCCCTTGTCGGGAGATGAGAAAAGGAGGATGTTGGCAAGTGTGCGGTGGGGGCTTGGTAAGAAACTCCATGTACGAACTGTATGTGAGACAGATACTGATTTCGTAAACGCATCTTTCAGGCGGGGCAGCGTATTTGGATGCTACGACACAGAAGCGCTTTCAGAACTTACTTCCGCCGGGGAGTCCGTTTACACAGATCTGGGGCATGACGGAGGTGAGTTGCTTCGGATCGATCTTTCCTTGGCCTGAGGAGGATAGCACAGGGAGTGTGGGGAAATTTGTGCCGAACTTGGATGTCAAATTGTTGGATGATGAGGGCAGGGATATCACAGCTTATGATGTGAGAGGTGAGCTGGCGGTTAGAGGGCCGACTGTTACAAGTGGGTATGTGGGTGTGGCGCGAGAACGGGATTTTGACGAAGAGGGTTACTTCAGGACTGGGGATGTGCTTTATTGTAACGGCAAGACCAAGTTGTGGTATATGGTTGATCGGAAGAAAGAGCTTATCAAGGTCCGAGGCTTCCAGGTTGCGCCGGCGGAGCTCGAAGGCGTGCTGTTGGAATGTCCTGGAGTAGCAGATGTCGCGGTTATCGGAGTCAACACGGGTGATGGTAACGAGGAGGTACCGAGAGCATATGTTGTTAGAAAGGAAGGTGAGGAAGTGGTTGAAGCCCAAGTCAAGCGTTGGGTCGAGGCTAGACTGGCAAAGTACAAAAGGCTTGATGGCGGCGTCATTTTCGTGACAAGTATACCAAAGAGTCCAAGTGGCAAGATCTTGAAGAGAATCTTGAAAGAGAAGGCGAAAAGGGAAGAGATCCATGCGAAGTTATGAAGCTATTGCTCGGGGGTTGACTACCACGGCGGAGCTAGGACAAGCATTGACCACGTTTCTGGAGATATCAAAGACATAAATAGCATGCTGTTGCCTACACATCCTGTCCAAAGCAAATGATTTCGGAGTATACGATTTGGGCCAAGAATTTAGAGCTTTTATTCCTTATCATACTGCACATAACGTTTGAAGTGCCATACCAACCTCACTCACAAAAGGCGATGGCTTCCCTAATGCCCATAACGCCCATGATGATACATCCAAATGCCGCACTGTGCAGTCACTTTCCACAATCGAACACTTCTCACCCCTGATTGCCGCTTTGTTTCGGAAGAACCTTTCCAGAATCCACAATAATCTGCGTATCGAGTCTCTTCTCCGTGTCGCCGTATTCCAATCTTTTCCACGTTACAATGCGAGCTTGATTGGTGTCAATCTCGAACACGCGTAATCGACGGTGATAGTTGTTGTAACCACCGTAACCGCCAAAGCCACTGCCACCGGCGTAGCACATCCATAATTCCGGATCACCAGTTTCGGGTTCTTTGGAAAGCGAGCAGTAGTCGTTGACGTGGTCGTGGCCACAGGAGACCGCGCTGATGTCGTATTCGACTAAGGCGTCTTTAAAATGGGTGTTGAAGGCAGGAGCAGTGATGGGCTCAGTCCAATTTCCAACCCGCTCGTTGTCGGGGTTACCGTATTCTGGGAGCGGGATGTGAATGAATGCCATGTTGAGATGCTTGTGGGTGTAGTGACTATGCGCTTCCTTCAAGCCTTCAGCAGTGACTTTGAACCAGTCGATCTGGTTAGGCTTGAGCCAGTCGTATCCGCGGTAGTGGGTTTCGTCTGGTGAGTAGGAGTGGGTGTCAAGGAAGTACAAGGTCAGGGCCGAGTGCTTGCTGCTGTGCGCCTGGATCTCGACGAAGTAGTTTCCCACGCCTTCTATAGTGTTGGGACCGGGTTCGCTGACGGAGAAGGGTAGGGAGTCGTAGAGATCCATTTGTGCGTGGCGTGAGAGTGTGCCTTCGTCATCGTGGTTGCCGAAGATGGCTGCGTACGGTATCTTGCGCTCGGCGAGGGGATCGACTATCTTGAACAAGGCCTAAAAACGATTAGCTATTGTATGGTTCAAGGGGATAGCGGCGACTTACGCTCTGCACATCGGGTGCTGTATCACCATTGACCTGGTCGCCGGACAAAACGACAAAGTCTGGCTTTTCGTCATCGAGAACTCTCTCAACAAACTCTATGGTCCTGGGGTCGGCATCGCAGTGTCCGCCGTTATGGTCTTTTGGCTCTGGGTCTCTGCAGTGACCGAGGCCGGTGCTGAGATGCAGGTCGGATATCTGCATGATTTTGAATTTGCCATCCTTTCTAATCCTGGGTACGGGCTTCTCGAGTTTTGCCGCTGGGCCTCTTCGTATGCTGAGGCGGGGATCTGTGCTCGCTTTGCTCGTCTCGAGGTGTAGGGCTCCGTTCTTGACCAGCTCCCACCCAGGACGTGGCTCGACCGCATCGGCGCCAAACAGTATGTCTACGGCCGTTACCGCCTTCTTGGAGTCGCTCGCGTGACGCTTCAGTGACCTCTTTATCCAGATGCCAGCTGGCCGTGACTCCCACTTCTCCGATGCCTGAGCCTTTTCTCCCACAGAGGGATCGAGCTTTCCTGTGCGAACATCGACGATGACCTTGTCTTCAGTCTTGAGCTCCTCTTCCCGCTTGCGCTTGATGTGGACGTATGCTTTGGTGACCCAGCCCGAACCGAGGTATAGATCCTTCTCTATGCGGTGCCACTTCTTTTGGTCTAGCATACACTTGGAGAGAGGGTTTATCGTCGAACAGGTCTGTACGGTGATATCGGTGATGATGAGGCCATCGTGATGGAGTGGCATGTGACTGTGGACGGACTGAGGAAGGACTCGGTAGCGGTTATCGAGGAAGAATATAGTGACGGAAACGACAATGGTAAGGGCTATGAGCTGTATGCCCGTCCGTACCTGTGCGCATTAGTGCTGATTTGGGGACATGGGACCTCTGTACCTACTATGCGGCGCGTCATGGTGGAGGATGTGAGTAGTGGCGCATAGAGCCAGATTCGAGTTTAGGAAATGTGTCTTTCGCAGCGACACGAGCTCATCCCCATGACATGGAAGCTTTTGCTGGAGAGGTGAGGTGGCGCGTGTTGGGAGAGGCGCATGTGTCTTGGTAGTGTGCAGGTGGTGCTCCATGTTGTTCTTGGCTGGCCCGAACCCTGGATTCTCGGATCGTCAATGACGATGCAGGGATTAGAGAGTCACAAGGCGATTGTCTGCACTTTTGAAGTGAGACACAGAGTAGTGTCTGCTGGCATGGAGAAGATGGGGTGTTTCAAACAAGGCTTCAGAACACTATTCTTTGCGTAGGATTCACTGGGCGCCTGCCTGGGAATACTGTATCCAGCGCCTTCCCGCGGTTCGCGGCTCGCTTCGCGATGCGGAGAAGGCGTCACTTCCGCATCTGCACATCTTTGCTCTTACAAAGCAATGCCGCCTTCTTCCTTCCACCAGCTACGACGTGCTGCGCTACAATCGCGTGCGCGACACTTCACGAGTAGCTCCTGCCTGCGCCGCGCTTTCCAAGGCAAGACTTCTGCTTTCACCACCCCGACTCCGCTCACAATCGCATAGAAGGCGATGTTGTGCTCCTGCGCGAGAGCAAAGAGACCCAGGATGGTCGCCTCGTGAAACTGCAGGCGTCCAAGTCTACCGGTACACACAGAGGTGTTATCAAGCATCAAGATGTTATTGGGAAAGAGCCACGGCAAATAGTCAATTCTCACAAGGGCGCCACCTTCCGCGTCCACGAGCCTACATTGGCAGAATATGTCAGACTAACTCCACGCCTTGTTACCCCGGTTCGTATCACATGCTGTTCCTAGATGGTATAATTGTACTAACAAACTCTAGATCTATCCCTCTGATACAAACCTCATAGTTTCCTTGCTCGACATACACGTCGATACACCCTCTACTGGTCTCAACAGCGAAACACCATTTGAGATCCTCGAAGCTGGCACAGGTCATGGAGCCCTAACGTTGCACCTCTCGCGCGCAATACACGCCGCCAATCCACCGATCCCGAAAACGCCGTCTTATGTAACCAGCGAAGAAGAACCAGAAGACGCAGTGTACCTCGGCGAGTCTTTATCAGACCTACATGAGTCAGGGCTGGAGTCGTGGAAGCAGAATCGCCGTGCTATTATACACACGCTAGACATATCCGACAAGCATTCCAAGCATGCAAAGAAGATTGTAGAAGGCTTTCGCCATGGCATGTATGCTGGTAATGTCGACTTCCACGTAGGAGACGTGTCCGAGTGGATAGCCAAACAAAAAGCGAAACGGAAGACTGAGGAGCCGTTCTTGAGCCATGTGTTCCTAGACCTTCCCAACGCGACTAGTCACCTTGCCAACGTCGCTCCTGCGTTGCATGTTAATGGATTGCTCGCAGTCTTCAACCCAAGCATAACTCAGATCGCCGAGTGTGTTGAAAGCATTCGCGAGCAAAGACTGCCATATCTGCTCGACCAGGTCATTGAATTAGGCGCAGGCACAATTCGCGAGTGGGACGTTCGCGCCGTCAAACCGAGAGCACCCAAAAAGGAGGCTCAGACAAAACAACCCTCCGAACCTTCGAGTGACGAAAGTTTGGATGCAGAGCTAGGCCAAGAAGCACGCGACCATGAGCTGTCGGAAGACTTGAACAAACAAGAGGAGAAATGGGTTATGGTATGCCGGCCAAAAGCTGGTCAGCAGGTTGTCGGAGGTGGCTTTTTGGGTCTATGGAGACGCATGGAAAAACCCGACAACAAAGAGCCAGTGGAGAAGCTTGAAAATACAGAACTAGCGGAGTAGAGATAGTTATGATTCCGATAATCAACTGTCTCGCAAGGTGCCTGAATCCTGACTTTCTCCGCATCCACAGTGCGCGTACCTATGATCTCACGTGAATTGTCAAGGTTCCATTAGCTTCGAGCGTAAGTGAAAGTGAAAGGCTTCATGTAGTCCTCCCACCAATGTCAACAAACATCACAAACCACAGTAAACATCACTGACACCAGAAACGTGATAAACCTAAGAGTCCTTTATTTCTATGAAAAAATGAGGACATGCAATCGCTAGGTATCAATAGCCTTTCCACACGCACGCACCAATGCAAAAATGCGAAAACACGCGAGTTGAATGATGATACAAGGACAAGTATCGCATCAAGAACAGCTTTCAACTCATCCCAATTCCATTCAATCCCCAAACCCGTGGAATCATCGTCTACGAAACGTGTACGAACTGGCCCATAGCCGGAACACCATCAACAACAACGTAGATGACGTAAGGACCGGCAGGCGCAATAGCCTTGTTAGGAGGCATAGTCACAGTCAAGCTCTGGGCAGTGGCACCAGCCTTGAAGCCGGTGTTGTCAAGGAAGATCATGCGGTGACCCATGTGGACAGAGTGAGTAACGAATCCACCGTAGTAGAGCGAGATCTTGACGTTCTTGGCGTTGGCAGGAGCAGTGAACTTGATGTTGAAGGTCTGCGCAACCTTGAGGTCCTTGGAGGAGATCTGGACAGCGGAGGGACGGGTGGGGTTGCCCTGGAGGTAAGGAGGAGTGTAGATCTCGTTGCGGAACTCGGTGACGTAGGGGTTCTTAGCGTCGGGGGTGAGGATGGGCTGCTCGACGGGGTTGGAGCCAGTAATCAACAGAGTACCGTCAAGAAGGAGAAGAGCGACACTGTGGTAGAGACGGGCGATAGTGGAGGCTGGGCCGGTGGTGAAGCGCTTGCCCTTGGGCTGGTTGGGGTCGTAGAGGAGGACCTCGAGCGCAGGGTCCTGGGCAACACCGAAACCTTGGGCACCCTCTTTAGCACCGTTGACCCAGACGACGGTACCGTCGGGGAGGAGAGTTCCCTCAACCATACCACGGCCTTCGGGCATGGAGTCCATCTCCCACTCTGGGTCAGCAGAAAGAGGCTGGATGCGACCGCAAGATGGGTCACCAGGGGCAGTGATGTCTTGGTAAGGGCCACCACCGCAGATGACAATGTCGGGGTTGTAGTCGTTGGCAGAGGACAGGGGAAGCATAACGGATCCACCAGTGTTGGGGTAGGTACGGTAGGAACCGGGAAGGTCGGGCAACATGCGGACAACGGTTCCAGTCTCAACCTTGAAGATCTCAGCAGACTTGGAGACCTGGACGAAGAGGTTTCCGTCCTTCATCAGGTGCATGAAGGGGTACATGTAGTAAGGCTGGTTCTTGCTGAGAATCTCCATGTTGAAGCTGGTTCCCTGGGGAGTACCGTCGGCGTTGAGCATCTCGTAGGTGGGGTTGTTGTTCTCGGGCTTTGAGGGGTCAAGACCGTTCTTGGATCCAGATGCGACAAAGATTTGGTCGTTGGGCATGATCTGGACGGAAGCGTACCAACGGGGAGTGTCGAGCTGAGTACCGGGCTCGTCCCAGGCTTGTCCATCGAGCGACTTGTCGGTAGCAGAGCGCTTGAGGAGACGGATGCCGCGGAAACCATCGCCAACAGTGGGGTCAATGAAGTCGAGAGGAGCGTTACCACCGAGAGAAGCAAAGCGGCCGTCAGCAAGGAAGATACCACCAGAGCAGAAGGCGTTGGTCTTGTAGGCCAAGGGGGTGAGCTTGCCGGTGGCAGGGTCCCACTCAGCAGAGTAAGCATATTGGCCGTTGGGGAGCTTGAGTTCAGTGTAGTTCTCGACCTTGTCAAGGAAGACGACCTTGCCGTTGGGCATTAGACCAGCGTGCATAACAGGAACACCGGAGCGACCCTTGAGCGCGATGCTACCGGGCTTAGCGGCGCGAGGAGCAGGGCTGGCAGCAGGAGCAGGGACGCTGGGGGCGTTGAGGCAAGGACCGTTCTGGCAACCCTCACCGCAGTGGGAAGTGGTGTTACCACAGTAGCCGTACATGGAGCAGCAGCTACCTTGAGCCCAGTCACCGCAGACAGTGTTTCCGAACTTGGCTCCGCAGCTGCCATCGGTAGTGGCGACGCCGGTAGGCTTGGAGGCGGCGGCAGTGGTGGGCTTACCAAGAACTGGCTCGCCAGAAGTAGTCGAGGAAGGAGGACGGCTGACAACAGGAGCGGGGTCATCCTTTGGGGGGTCGCCCTTGACAGGAGTGGTACCCTTGCAACCGTTCTGGCATCCGTTGGCAGCGAGGCAGTGGCCATCAGTGTTACCACAGTAGCCGTAAGACGAGCAGCATCCGCCGTAAGGACCGTTAGCGTCACATGTGGCGCCGCCAAAGTCCTTTCCGCAGCGGCCATCGTCCCTAGCCTTGGGAGCATCGGGAGTAGCAGCCTTGGTGGGCTGGGGAGCAGGTGTGTTTCCACAGCCAGAGAGGCAGCCGGTTCCGCAGTGAGCGGGTGTGTTTCCACACCATCCGTACTCGGAGCAGCATGTGCCGGAGTAGACTGTGCTATTGGGGTCGCAAAGCATGTTGCCGTTGGTAGGGCCGCACTTTCCGTCGGGAGAGTACTTGGCAGCCTGCCTCTTGGCGGGGACGACACGGAGGGATGATCGAGAGACGAGCTTGGAGTACTCGCTCTTGAGGTCCGGTACGCAGACCTCGTTGTCGCCGCAGTGCTGGCCAGTCAGGCAGTGGTTGATGGTGGCATTGTGGGCGCACTTGGGGTTAACCCATTCGAAGTTGATGTTTGCGCTGGCCAATCCGGCGAGGACGCCGAGGCCGAGAAGTGATGCCTTCATTTTGAGGGTACACCTGGCAGAGTGTGTTAGAAACGAGTGTAGTGAAAAGAAAGTGTAAGCCAACAGATGGAGCTGGCGATCATTCGAGATAATGTTCTGGAATGAGGATAACAAGGGTATATGTAGGTGATGAATGGCATTGATAATCAGGGGCGACGCAAGGGCGTTTATGTAGTTGTTTTGGTGGACGGAGAGATGGTCGTCGTGTCGCGAGGTTGGTGATGCAAAAAAGAGGCTAACACCAGCATGCACGACGACGTATTTTAGGAAGCGGCTGCAGAGGACAGAGCCCCGTCTGGTACCGAACACTCAGAAGGAAAGGACGTACCTAGCGAAAACAAATTAAGTATTACTAGAAGAGGATGGGTGTATTTTGTCAAGGCAGCTGGAAACGAGTGACAGCGGCCGAGAGGGTGAGGTAAAGAATGTAGTGCTGAAGGCAAGGTGCTTGAGATGCGCCTACAGCGATAGAGGTGAGGAGAGCAGAAGCGGGCGCGCCCAGATACAAGTAGCTGAGTGGGAACAGCGTATACGAAGGCCGTTCAGCTGTGCTAGTCATCGCCTCGGCCATTTGCGACTGGAAAAGGAAAATTCAGGCACACACTGGACGCATCGACCAATAACGGTATTGCTCCAGGACAGCCCTAAGGGGCACGAGCCGCGATCTCCACTCTGTCAGCCAATGCCAGCCCTGTGCGGTAAGATCATCGCGGGGATTGGCCTCGTCGAACTTCTATTTCTGGGCGGAGGGATTGGCTCCCAATGCACCGTCAGAGGGGAACACGGCAATCGGCATGCGCTGGGCCTGATCCGATCATATGGTGGAGAGAACCAACACTGGATACCTACGTGCGTGCTCGTAACAGGTGGGCCGCAACAGTGAGGCTATTGATAAGGCACACGATACTCAGGGACCACGAGGCCGCCAGCGAAGGATCGTCCTGGCAACGTTGTCGCGCTGTCACCAAGCAGACGGAAGTACTCAAGCCTTTGCTAACGCCAGATAAGCTTCGCGAGTCGGCCACATGGCGTCGAAGAAATTGCAGCCACGGCACGCCTGGGACTGCTCTTGCCCAAAAGGGGAAGATGACAGGCGTGGCCTCCCCACAGAATCATCACATAGGGTTAGCGGGACAGGGCTTCATCTTGCGTCAGGGGCAAGGCAACACCAACACGGTCTACAACACCAAGACTTTTACTGCACTTTACGTGAAAGAAACCCTACGCCGAGCAAACCTTCAAACAAAGGTTGGGAACAAACAGCAATCTCACTTTGCTGACACCCCTCAAACACACCGGTATCCACGCCTTCCGGCGGGCCTTCTGGAATCCCTGGACACTCCCGTATTCCCACACACACCGGCCATCCTTCTAGCCCAACAAGTGGACTCTCACTATCACGACCCTGCCGCGCGATCCAGAGACGGCACGACGTGACAAGCTTTGGTGACATCCACGCGGTCGGTTGCACCCAACTATGATGCAAGTCGATCATGTCCACCTCTGCCCGTCCGCGTATTGGGATATGAGCAGTTCGTAAGGAAATTACCTCGAAGCTGATCACGAGAGACGCTCACGCCACCTGCCAATTTCATCATATCCACCGTGCTTCAGGTATCGTGCCTTTTGCCTACCGCCAATGCCGGAGCAACACCGATGGCTCGACATTTGGCCGATTGCATTAACACACACCAAGGCGTGCAGTGCAGCCACCCCGCACCAGCCTCCTTCCAACACCGCCATCACTAGTACCCCTCATTCCATCTCAGACATTCTCCAATATGTGCCGATAGCCCGAACACTGCTGTAGTGCTTACGATGAACGCCTTCTTTTTTGCTTGGTTTGTATCACATTTTCAAGAGACTGCAGATCGAAATCGCCAAACCAGGAAGCTTTACCCATTTCGAACAAAAGTCCAAACAGGTTCATTTCACTTTGTTTTCGTGCGTCGGGGTTTCGCGTCGCCGTGCCATTATTCCCGCACACCATGTGGTTTCCGGTACTTAAAGTGCCCTTCTGCCCATAGAAGCTTCCGTCGAGATAGCTCCAGTCCGTCGACGATGGTCCCCAAACTATTGAATGGCTTGCCACTAGCTTTGAGCTTGCATGAGCTTACAACCAGCATTTCAACCGTCTCGTGAAATCTCCACCAACTCGTGGTGTCAGGCTCGTATCGACTGTGGGTTGTGACGCATTTTTTCCCGCCGGTTTTGCCAGAAAGAGCGATGGGTTGATGCAGTGGTTGGCAAACAACTCGGATGTGCGGCGCGGTCAAACAATACGACTACTTGTCAGAGAAGCTGGACATCTTTCTGTTGCATATGCCAATAATTAGACTCTGGAAAAAGCGGCACTGAAGACATCCGTGAGACTTTCCAGATCATTTGTCACCGTCTACTCCCACTTGTATAGTCCACCTTCACTCTATCGGCCTATGCGAAGCTCATTTGACTCCGCCGGAGTTCTTCCCTAACTAGCAGGTCTCGTGCATCTCTGGCGCGAAGTGCATCGAGGCTGCATCACTTCGTCTCACACAATGTCCAGCTGTAAGGCTGCCGCAAAACTGCAGCAGCATCGAACCTCGAGCCCAACATGGCGCACTCGATTCAGTACAACATATCGACCTTGTCGGTCTACAGTGAACCCGTCTTCGTCTTCGCACCCCATCTTTGCACATTAATGTGGAATAGATGGGTCATCTCAGGCCAGGCAGCTAGCCTCCTCGTTCAAGCACGCAAATGGGCTTCAAAACTGAATCCTGCAAGGTACCAAGTCATGCTGCATTGTCTCCACCATTACATTGGGCGTATACTCGAGACAACTGCAACCTTGCCCCTGATGAATGGGAGCTGACATGTACACTGCCATGTTCAAAAAGATCGTAGATGCGTCTTGTACCACCCATCGCTAGACGTGGACAACGCCTACCGCGCCTCCATACCGCCATTTGAGATTTGAACGCGTAAACCGGCCATCTCGAAGCTGCGTTGTCGTGCTGTCTTTGGCCATCTACAGTCTCGATCTTGCCTATAGGATGTTATCAACTCCAACGACGACGTATGACTGACCAAGTTCCAATTACTAACTAAAACTACCCTCTTATCACTATCACCATCATTGTACTCCTCCAAATCCCATAATCTACTCGCAAACACCCCCAAAGTGAAGGGGCCAGAGGGAATCAGACCGCTCAACCGACCGAACCCTGCGTAACTTTCACTTACAACCGCTCAGCCTTGCGAGACGTTACACACTGAGCATTGCACCTAATCAAGGATTGATTCTAGACGTGATTGCGAAGAAGCTGCCGCACAAAGGAAGCCACAGCATACGCTTCTCGGATATCACAGACTTGATCAGATGCCCATGGCTTTGGTTCCTACGTGCATTGGTGCGACTCTAATGTGGGTTGAAAGGTGAGGATACACGGGTTCTGCATTTACACGAAGGGGCAGTTGATTGTTGTTAGAGACTCGATTTATTGGACACTGTTCTGATGTCGAGACCTGGTGGCGCGTACGAAGCTGTTTTGAACTTTGACCGACCATTCACGATCCACGGTTTCCCGCGCTGAACACTACTTCATTCGACTGTGCGCCATCTCCATCAGTGTTCCATTACCCAACCACACACCACAAAAAATTCCCCTGTCTCAATGCAATTACGTTCCGTACCTCCAACCACATTAGTGCCTTGCACAACGTTCTCGCCTAGCTAAGCGCCCTCTGCCGAATGACTCTGCGAGGGCCCTGTGATGACCAAACGCTGTGACACCGCTGGGCTACCCGCATATTTCACCTGTTACCGGGTGGAGCAGGCGGGAGCAAGCAGGAGCGCGCGGCTGGATTTCCCTAGCCTGGCTGTTTAGGAATGTAAGCACGGGAATGCGCAGTGGGGGGCGTTTGGCGGTGGGAGAAGGGTGTGTTGGCGTTCGAAAATGAGCGAAGTTGGCAGTGATGGATCATGAGGGATTGATGGGTGGAGAATAAGGGAGGCGCAACGTTAGATAGATGTTTGCGACGTTGTTGGTCCGATTTGTGGAAGAAAGGTGCTGTGTTGATGGTAGATTTTCGAAAGTCTTGGTTAGTATAGTAACTCAACCTCTAGTTCGGCTTCTTCTTGATGATTAATTATACTTTATTGTTTAAGTAGATATTTGTAGTCTGTGTTACTGTAGAGTCTATATGTAATGAAACCACTGTAGTAGTGTTGAAAATCAAAAACACAAATCCAACGTTTTTGCTAACACCTGGTATCGTCCCTCATATATCGCCCAATATAAACGCCTTGCTAAAACAAAAGAAAATTAGTGTCATGTAAACAAACTCAACCATCGTTGTCACCAAAACCACAACTAATCACCTTGATAAACCCACTCGGTTTCTTCCTCGCGGCCTGCCGTTCAAGGTCTCGGCGAACCGTTCTCGCGTTCTCCGCGGCCTCAATCCTAGCTCTCTCCAAGCGCTGATCTTCCTTACTGCTGCTCTTTCTACCCATCTTGGTCAACTCTTTGGGGCTGGTACTGGGTCTCGTCGCTTCGCAGTCGCTATCCGTGCTGTCCATGCTGCCTTTCCCACCTACTCGGCTCTTGGTTTTGCGCCGACCCATCCAAGCCCCAAGACCTAGTCTATCGTCGTTGTCGCTATCCCAATCGTCCCAGGCGCTAGTTTTGTTTTCTAGTGCAGTGTCAACCTGACTTAGACTTGGTCGGGATGTTGTTGCTGTAGATGTGTACGGGCAGAGGGTGCTGTATTCCGACAATGTCAAGCTATCGATGCGCACATGTGGATTTGCTGGCGTTGGTAGTAGTAGTGAGTTCGCGAGACTGGAACGCCGCGTAGAACTGCGAGAATGAGTTGCCCATGGTGGCGATGTGGGGGTAATGGGAGGCGAGTTCATTGCCGAATGGGGTACATGTGATTGATGCGCGATCTGTAGACGAAGGAAAGGTTCATTGGGATCTGTAAGAGAAGTCTTCCTCCTACGCCCGAGTTCTGAGAAGGAAGCGAAATCGGGTGGTGGCTGTAGTGTGGAGAGCCGGGATGATGGATCTGCGATATGCGCCGGTAGTGGGCAATATGATGTTCGTCGGGATGATGTTGATGTGGGAATGTTGGCATCATCTGTGTACGAGTTTTTGCGGAGTTTTTGGAGGTCAGTGGAGGCGAAGTTACGTGCAGCAGGACTGAGAGGTGGGGTGGTTTCGCCGCTAGCAGAGGGCAGGATGAAGGTTCTCGTACAACCTTCACAAATTCTGGATGCGTAGGTTATGGGAAGGGTGCACGTCTTGCAGATAGCCACTGTAGTTGATGGCGTTGCGGTATGGCCGCGTCTGAACTTAAAGTCGAAACTTGGCCTCGTTGGTGACGTGGCGTCTGGTTCATACCCTTTGCTATTGCTCGGGATCGTCAGGCGAGGGGGCTGTGATGGCTGTGTCGTCCTTTCTCTCTTCCTTGCTGTCTCTACGGCCTGCCTTTCGTATATATCCCAGAGCTGCGCAGTTTTGGCCGGCGTGCCTGGTGGTGGTCGAGGGTGTTTAAAAGGTGACGTGTTTCCTGCGGGTTGTCCAGCTTCGTTTGGCGTGAGTATCGTCACAGTTGAGGTAGCCATCTTGCGACTATGCTATCTACTGTAGATTATTACAAGAGATACCGTGAGGGAAGGGAGTTATGGGGTGTATCAATGCGAGGAAACCTTGAGAAGACCTGTGGTTCCGCACACGATATATAGTTGTACAAGTCCAGTGTGCAAAGCCAAGCGGTGAGACACGATCTTTATCGGGTTATAGACGCGTGCAAAACAAGCCACTATGATTCGGCAGTGGCGGAAGATAGAGAGACTATGGTGTAGGCTAGGATCAGACGTTGCGTTGCGCCGCATCCCCGGATTAGACAGCGCTTTACTCTATTGATCGTCACTCGATGAGCGTGCAGTAGCAGCAAGATCTCCGTGTCTGTATGGCTGCTTAGCGGGACTGCGATATGTGCTTGGTTCAATAGGCGCCACGCGGTGCAACGCAAGGCGTCACCGTGATTCCGAAGTGGTAGGGGTCTTGGGCGAAAAGAAAAGAGGCAAGGAAGCACTGTCTCCTCAGCATGCCACTTGCGCCATTGGCGTCTGTCGAGAGACGCTCCAAAACACTGACGGTATGCCTGCATATGCATGATGATTTGCAGTGCGCGCGTTGATGATACGAGTGATCTTCTTGTTGGACGCCATGGGGGATCGGAACATGGTCATTAGATTCGCCCTTACCAGCTAGCAGAGAAACCGTGTCACCCAAACACATTCGTGCGGTCTTAGAGAAAGTCGTGGGGCATTGTATTGGGTTTCGTTCTTGTCGTACAGCATCATTGGAACGTAACTCGATGTGCGTTCCGAGGTTCCTTCATTGCCCAGAGAGAAGGAAAAAAAAACGTTGCCCATGAGTTGTTTCGCAAGTTACTAGGGAGGGAGATATGACGAAGATGCGTCTACAGCCTCATGACGGGCAGTCGTATGCTTTGAGACGAGACGCAACCTTCGAAAGAAAAAACGAGCCGTCGTGACAAGCTGAACGAGGGCTAGAACATCGAGGCGATGAGAAAAGGACAACTTACACATCGATTGCCTATTCATCATGCGATCTGTCTATACTTCCCTGTCAGTGTTATCTTCAGCTCGGCGTCCAACGTTACATTTCGGAAGCACAGCTCGGAGTCCCGTCCACATTCGTATCATCAAGCGTCTCAGCACCGGCCACACGATGACCGTCTCAGCAGCCTGGGTTGAGAATGTGAGCTACAGAAGCTGGATCAGTCCACGGTATAACGCCTTGGGCTAGTTAAGATACGTGGGGAAAGGATGAGGTTGTGGTTCCAAGGTTTGAATTCCCCGCGGCTTTCACGCTGGCAGGCTTGGCGCAGATTAGCGAGACGGGACGGGATAGCGCCACAACAACAAGACGCACGGCTCGTCCTCGAGCGTCACTCCAGTGATCGATAACTCTCCAGACATGACGCAAACCTTTTTCGTCGCGCCGTGAGAATGCCTCAGCTCGGCTTTCGAGCAATTAGTCGGGCACGATGCCGCATCGCACGTTTTACCCCTAGTCTCCCATCGACAAGGCCAGCAAGCTGAGGACGTTCACACACTTGACAAAGCAAAAGTGTCGACGTATGGCGACGCAATCTTACAGCATCGTGATCACTACGGATCGTGTGTACGACAGGGACCCGCACAGCTCCCAAAATGATCGTTGACCTTGACATCGATATTCACATTGCCATCGACTGATCAGGCCGGCCGGACCGTGGGCAGTCGGGGGTCTCAGCACGAATCTAGGCTACTGCCACCCACTCCGGCATCTGCCATCGCACTTGGACGTTACTTTTGTTCACTAAGAGGGATTCAGCATCAACTCTAGCCGTCGATCACAGAGTGGGCACGGGATTGCAACCGGCCCCGCACGCCCCGACGCTGCATGAACGTTCGCCATGTCAGCATCGGACAATGACCTTAACCCCAACTTAACCGTCCTGATCCAGCCAACCAAAGAAGCAAATGTGAGGACATAGCAGCATTTGTATATCAACACAGTTAGGCTCCTGCAGTGCGTGCGAGGTTAGCATCGCATTAGGTCCGCAATCTTGTCTCGCATGCACGGAACTCCACTACATAGCTTTGAGTCCGACCACAATGTCAACAATGTTTACCTTCTGCTGCAGTGCGTTTTCCATGTCGCCAGTGAAAGACAAGACCAAAAGAGACAGCGACGCGACTGCTTGGTTCTGGTCCTGGGTTGCGGTTTCCTACCCGAACTAAAGAACTGCGTTCGCTGCTGGTTTTCTGTATCTTTAGTGTATCATGTTGGGGTTCGGCTTCACGAGCCTGAGGGATCTGGATCGTTCAGATGGTACGGTGGTGTTACAGCAAGGTATGTTCTTCGCGATCTTTGGGTATTTTGCTTGCGGAGCTGATGGTGCGTGTATAGCTGGGTACGATGAGAACGCGCCGGCAGACATTGTTCTCTATCCGCAACCGTCGCCGGTCGACCCCAATGACCCTCTTCGCTGGCCGCGATGGAAGAAGCACGTAGCATTCGCCTCAGTGTGCGCCTTTACATTCCTGACAAACTTCGCGATCGGAGGCTTGGCGCCAGCGTTCTACATCCTCTCCATCGAGTTCGATAAGTCATTGGAGGAGACCTCACATCTGCTCCTATATCCCATTCTGGTATTGGGCGCGTTCAACTTCTTTTGGGTACCTGTCGCCAATTACGTCGGGAAGAGGCCGGTCTTCGTATTCGCCAGTGCGCTTCTATGCGCGTGCTACGTATGGGGCGCCATGGCAAATTCGTTCAAGAGTCTTCTGTGGAGCAACATCATCGCGGCATTCGCGGGATCTTCCACAGAAGCTTTGGGCGCAGCAATTGTCAATGACCTGTACTTCCTCCACGAACGAGGTGCCAAGATGGGTATCTACATGAACGCAATCGCAGGCGGCAACACATTAGGACCATTGATCTGCGGCTTCATTGTAACAAACCTCAGCTGGCGATGGCATAAGTGGATCGCCGTGATCCTGACTGCGCTGAACTTGCTCGCGATATTACTGTTGGTCCCCGAGACGCGATACACGCGCGAAGTAATCAAAGGCGTCGGTGTAGCCATTTGTCCATCGAGCGATAAGATTGTGATGGCAGATGAGAAATACCTCCGGCCAAAGTCCAGTAACCCAATTCTGTACCAGCATGCAAAGAACTCATGGAGACAAGAGTTGAGCTTATGGAGTGGCGTTTCAGAGACGAGCCTGGTCAAGATGTTCTTGCGGTATGTGAAGTTGATTTGGGAGGGCGCAAAGTACTGACGTCGAGCAGACCGTTTCCGATGATGGTGTATCCTGCGGTTATATACGCGTTTCTCTGCTACTCCATATCTTTGGTCATTACGGTTGCAGTCAACATTCTCAATCCGTTTGTGCTTCAAGCACCACCGTACAATTGGAGCCCGCAGATCAACGGCCTCATCAACATTCCAGGAATTGTGGGCAACTTGATCGGAGCTTGGGCAGGGGGTGAGCATCCAGACTGGAGTACCGCGAAGCGCGTGCTGACTGAATACAGGAAATCTCGTGGACATTTGGTGCAAGTGGCAAACGAGGAAATTACTCGGCATCTACGAGCCAGAGAGTCGACTCTACCTGGTAATCATTCCGCTTGTGATCACGACAGCAGGCTGCCTCGTGTTCGGTTATGGTGTGCAGAACAGTCTTTCGTGGGTGTCGCTCTTTTTCGGCTATGGCATGATTTCGATCGCGCTGACTGCCATACCAACGATCACAATGGCATATGTAAGCGATTGCGCGTTACCGGTCAATTCGGACGTTCTATTACTCGTGAATGGGCTGAAGAACATCGTGGCTTTCGGCTTCCTCTATGGTGTGGTACCATGGGTTGAAGAGGCGGGTTATGTAAACAGCTTTGGTACCATGGCCGGCGTCTTTGCTGGTATAGTCGGTATTGGCGCTGTATCGCTGGTCATCTGTGGCGCCACTGTACGCCATACTTCAGCACAGTGGAGGGTCATCCTAGAATGAGCAACGTGTGGACGTAGGTGTAATGTGTAGTCAAAAGCCTGATGAATACGTGTAAGATGCCGTGTAATCCATTGAACTGTATCAGAACACATGCTGTGAATGACGAAGTACAATGCTTACTCAGTACGTTTGTGAGATTGCTATGTAGTTTGAGCTTTTGCTTTTGCTTGCTCTATGAGTTTGGTGTGCATCTTCTCAATCTCGGGAATGATGAGAGATTCGATTTCCAACGATGGCTCACCCTGCGGTATCCCTTTCTCTGTAGCGATGGACTCACTAGCCTGAGCGTCCTTGTTCGTCAAGGGATCGGCTAATCCGACAAGCGAAGGCATGCCCGACAAACTTTTTGTCCTGCGGCTGGTAGGTACGCGTATCCACTTCTCGCCATCGAGGACTGACACGAATACAACTTCCCACTTTCGAGTGAGCAACAGGTTTCCGATGACGAGGTGGTGTGAGTATTTGTTTAGTGCGTATTTGGCTTTGGTAACCAGCAAGGAAGGATCAGTCTCGAGCTTGAAGCTTACGATCATGGCGTCGGGCGCCCAGCCATCCACGAGCTGTTTAAGGAATTTGGGGACAGGTTCGAGATCGATGATCAAGCTCCTGCCTTCGGTGCGCGCGGCTGGTGGCTTTACATCGCCCCCACGAGTGCCGTCTGCGCCCTGGTGGAACTCTTCATTCGACTGTATCTTGTGCTCGACCATGCGATCTTGTGGTACGAAGAAGTCGGAGACAGCAGCGGCCAAGTAGAACATGGCGTTGGGCCCGAGTGGACGCATGAGCTGCGCAACCTCGCGCAGATTCCACAGGTACTCAGTGATAGTCACGTAGGACAAGATCAAAAGCCTGTTCTCTCGCTTGACCTCGGTATACTGCCGCAGCACGCGCAACATCTGATCCTGATGCTGTTGATCTACCACTACCTGTCCATTCTCCTCCTTCATGTAGTCCAGGAATGAGCGCGTGTTATGCGAGTAGTGCCGCGAGAAGGGTAGGAGCGAGAATTGGCGGTGCAGGAAGATGACGGCATAGCCATTCTGGAGAAAGTATTCGGCGCTGGTGGCTCCCCGAGTACCGGCAGAGAAGTTGTCGATGTAGCGGACTGTCTGCTGCTCTAGAGGTACCGTGGTGCCACCCGAGGTAACAAGCACGACGCGGCGACCTTCATCGGCATGGCGCGTAATGAACTCACGCGCAAGAGTCGTGTTGGTCTTGAGATCTTTCGGTGGTGGCTCGTTGGCAAAATAGTGGCTTTCGGCCTGTTGTGCGCTGGTATCTGTCATGGTGGCATGATGGAGTTGTTCGATTGCTTCGGGGGAGTTGAGCAGAGGTATGGCGGGGTAGCTCCGAGCTCACCCCCCATGTAGCGTCAGTTATCCCTTGTGTGGTAGGTACTTTCAATCAACATCGAAGTCAAAATTTTCTACAACTTATATTGGGTGCCGATATACGGTGAACGTGGGTATCCCACCATCATTCCTCATGTAGCGCTGTGCAGCCGCTTGGTTGTCGCGGGCTTGCCCGCCTCGATACGTACCAACTCCAGACAACGTCCTCTGTACGTTGACTTTTAGCATCAACTCACCACCGGTTAAGTCTAGGATGGACGTGCAAGATTGTGGTGGTAAGCAATGTCCCAAGTCCTGCCCAGGCAGTGTTCCAGAGCGCAATGCCACAAATTAAAGTTCTGGGTCATGGAACGTAAACAGCGAGTTCATTTCGAGACGAAAATGGAGTGACAACGGCTCGGATGCTACTCCGTTATAAAAGCGGGCTGTTTCCGCCTGGTTCCCTGAGATAGTTAGATATCTCGTGCCGAGATATGTAAGATTTTGGCTCCCCAGTGATACATACTATTTCCGGAGTATGTTCCTGCCGTACGCTACAATCGTAGCGTTGGCAAAGTTTACTTGGATAAGCGGAAAGTATACTTCACCTCGATCTCAACAGCCTTGCAAGCTAAGCAAAGATCGAGTTCTTCAAAAGGCATACTGATGCGGGTAGTTTTACCTGTCTTGATGATATGCACATTGATGTGTGCTTAGGACGCAGATTACGCGTCACTACCTAGGTACGATAAGGTCTCAGGTGTATTTCGAATAAACTTCGATCCATCTAGTCGCGACATATTGGCTGTAATGTCTTGACTAAACAAGAGAGTTCAGACATCAATCTGTTGAAAGCTGAGGAGCTACGTGTTGCGCAACAAAAAAGCCACTCAAACAAAGTATGTGCCACAGTCGGGATCGCAGCATACTGCCTTTGGCTTAGGCTCGAATCGCCTAGTCTCAGGGCAATTAACCGCGCTGTGCTCCAGATGATGGCTCGGTGTATTCACGTCGACGTTGGTCGATTATTGTTTCATGCATGGCTGAGTTGGCGAAATGCATGCTGTATTCCAAATGCTTCTTCTAATCATAAGTCTCCACTGTTCAAGGTCGCGGTGTTTGGGACTAGTATGTAAACCAGAGTTGGAGCCAGGGCTCTACTCGCGGACCGCGCCAGGTAGTAGAGTGTGGGCTGGAGAGGAAGGAACCCGATGCCGTCTGAACCGTGTGATGGTGTTAACTCTGACGAAAGAGGAGCACAGTAATCCGTGAACTACTGCAGGGTCGTAGTATCTCGGACAATTACCCCCGCTGGATAACCTACTCCAGAACATATCCTTGCTTGCTTAACTCGTGAGAAGGAAACATTTTTTCAAAGTAGGCTCACGCGTTGTCGAATATGGAAGAATCACCGGCTCCCTAGTTGAACGATAGTAAAGGCTAGTCGACGTGGTTTTGCAAAAGGGATCCACGAAGCAGACTACGAAATCTTGGATACGCGAGCTGAAGAAGTCTAGTGCTCGGGACAAGGCGGAGTCCTAGTTTCCACAACTATTGACGACTCGAGCTCGTAATTCCCTATAGTACGACCATTCGATTGGAGGTCAGGATAGTCACCAAAGAAACCGAACCGTGTGTAGAAGATGATGATGACGGTTTCAAGCGCGCCACGACTGAGGGCCCCCCTGCAACAGCTCAGTCGTCATTCCACATGATCGCGACATTCGTGCCGAACCTACCGGAGACCAAAGTCGCAAAGCCTCTTTGATGCATGCAGATGTATACTTGAGGGCTTTCACGGTTTAATCCCGACGCTTGTGGAATACCTCGCGTGGCTCGGAATCAGCAAAGACAGCGTCATGCTCAGGACTGAGTACGCTGTATCTAAATCTGGGTATTGGCGCGGCGAATAACTCCGTATAGTCTGATTACTATTCAAGAAATTTGCAAAGCGTGTAGAAACATCGTTTGTGGATCCACGGGTGACACAATCTAGCCCTGCCGAGCCTTGACGTGTCGAGAAAGTGGTTGTACCCGCAAAAAGGACCTCAATCGTGTTACTCAGTGGCAGAGCATCCCTAGGGAACAGTATTGGAAGATTACAACTTCGAGGCTTCAACACTACGCAGTGTTCAAGCGGTGTTAGCATGCAGAAGCAGTACTGACACGCTATTCAAGTAAGTGACATGAAGGAGGAAAGCCCAGTAGTCGGATTAACACGAACCAGTATATTTAGCTGAGTTCGCCGACAAAGCGCTTGCTTTCATGTGAAAACAGAGTATCGTGGGTGAAGTTAGCCATGGTCGGCGCGATACTCAACGCGCTGTCACGTGTGATCTGCGGCTAGCGTACTTATGTAAGCAAACGTCGCGTTTGCGAAGTGAGAGGGCAACAGCTTTCCGACAACGACTCTCGACCGTCCCAGCTTCACCTCTCCAGTGTCGCAACCCTCCGCCTTTGCCCACATTGTATATCTTGACGCGATCGCAAAAATGTAAGGAGGCGAGGTTCTCGACCGGCCTGAAAAGCAGAGCTAACGTGGCGCAGGGAGGCGTTCAACGACATCTATCTCAATCTTTCGCGGAAGCCTGGCGCGGCTCGATTCTCAGACTCTGGCTTTGGTTGGAAGCCCGCAAACGGCGGCGAAACGTACACTTGCGACCAGTCACAAATTCAACAAGCGCAGTGGAGTCGAGCAGCACGCGGATATGAAATCAAGATTCTCTCCCGCAACGACGGCGTGATACAACTCGATGGATTCAAGCAAGAGGATTTTGACCGCGTGTCCAAAGTCTTCAAGTCTTGGTATGGCATTGGTCTAGATAACCGGGAGCATGCCTTGCGCGGCTGGAACTGGGGAAAAGCCGACTTCGGTAAGGCCGAACTCACTTTCAACGTCGCCAACCGCCCCGCCTTCGAAGTACCATACACCGAAGTATCCAACACGAACCTGGCAGGAAAAAACGAAGTCGCTGTCGATTTCTCGCTACCTGCAGATGGCGAGGCTGGCGCAAATGGAAACTTGGGTGGAGCCAGGTTCAGAGGCAAGAAATCCGCAGGTGCACGAGACCAGCTTGTCGAGATGCGCTTCTACATACCCGGTACAGCCTCAAAGAAGGAGAAGACAGAGGATGGTGAAGACGCCTCTGGCGCCGAGGATGTCGAGGAGACAAATGCCGCCAACCTATTTTACGAGACGCTGATGGAGAAGGCTGAGATTGGTGAAGTCGCCGGTGACACATTTGCTACTTTCTTGGATATCCTACATCTCACACCCAGGTACGAATGCTCACGTCTGCAGTCTCAGGAGATGCGCTAACGCAATGGCAGAGGCCGATTCGATATTGACATGTACGAGAGCTCTTTCCGGTTACGCGGTAAAACATACGACTACAAGATACAATTCGATTCGGTCAAGAAGTTTATGGTTTTGCCAAAACCAGACGACATGCACACACTCATCACGGTTGGCCTGGATCCTCCCCTCAGACAGGGTCAGACGCGATACCCATTCCTCGTCATGCAGTTCAAGCGCGATGAAGAGGTCAACCTTGATCTCAACATGAAGGGCGACCTGTTGGAAGACAAGTACAAGGATAAGCTGCAGCCACACTACGAGGCTCCCATTGCTACAGTTGTAGCCGATATCTTCCGGGGTCTCAGTGGAAAGCGTATCACCAGACCATCTCGCGACTTCATCAGTCATCACGAGCAGTCGGGTGTCAAGTGTTCGATCAAGGCCAACGAAGGTCACTTGTTCTGCCTTGACAAAGCGTTCATGTTCATCCCCAAGCCAGCGACCTACATCAGCATGGATAACATCGCATCTGTGACAATGTCCCGCGTAGGTGGAGCCATGGCTGCCAGCCGTACGTTTGACATCACTTTCAGCATGAAGAACGGTCAGGCTGAACATCAGTTCTCCAACATCAACCGGTGAGTAAACACATCCAAGACGGAAAACACTGTCCAACTGACCATACGTAGTGAGGAACAACAACCACTCGAGAACTTCTTCCGCGCAAAAGGCATCAAAACCAAGAATGAGATGGCAGACGACGTTAGTGATGATCATCCACTCATGCGCAAACTTGGCTGACATAATGATACAGTCCGGAGCCATCTTGGCAGCTGCTCTTCAAGATGAGGATCTTGCATCTAGCGATGATGGACAACCAGCAAACCGCGGTAGTGCCGACGAGGATGACGAAAGTGTGGATGAAGACTTCCAAGCAGACTCGGAGTCGGAGGTCGGTGAGGAATTTGACTCCGACCATCAGAGCAGCGGTTCCGACAGCGATGCTGAAATGGAAGATGCGGAAAGTGACACCGCGGAGGCGGTACCAGAACGCCCCAAGAAGAAGCAGAAGGTGTCGCAATAGCGACGGCCCTTGCAATAACTGTACGCGGACGCGGGTGGGCGGGTGGGCGGCGGTGAAGGGGGCGGCCGCATCATCTTCCGATGCTTGCGTGCTCATCGAAGATTTGGGGAATGCGATGATGATACAGGTTCGTCGCGCTGCCGCTGTTAACGCTTCCAGCGCGTTATCGACAAGGCTTGCTCAGGTCGTGGGGGAAGGTCCGATAATTCTCATAGGTTATTGCGAAACTTGGCAGGATGGCAGGAAGTGAAGTTCCGGTCCTGATGACAAGGAAAAGCGCCCCTAATGCGTTGATAGCCCAGGTAGAAGGGCCGACCTGCATCCCTTAGCCGAACGCGCAGCGTCCAGGAGAAAAGTTTAAATTCAGTGGCAAGTTAGCGTCCATAATCTGGCTAGTCTTCCCCAAGCGAATATCTGCAGCGTTTACAAGTAGTGTCGTGCAATGCAACTCGGCCATTGCTCGGCTGACTGCGGCGCTTGACGCGACCTGGCGTGGCCGCGGCGGGCCCATGTTAGTTCCTTACACTGAAGTCTGGCTTCTCACACACCAGCTAAATTGAGCCACGCGAACGCGATTCAGATTTCTGCGCTAGCCCAGGAGCAATCCTCTCGTCGTTTTTCGTAACCTCGCTCATGGTGACGGTGGATCCGCAACTGGCGCGAACCCATGCTAGACCCCGCATCCAACCATCGAGCATCAAACGCTTTATCGCCCTCGACATACTGGTATAGATATAGGTCAGCTCTCTCCGATTCAGGTGGATGCTTTTTCTTACCCACTTCCCTCGGCACGAGGCTATGAGATCTTAAGCTTTTCGCAACAAGACCCACACGATAGAACCACTCTGAAATGAGATCACGAACCGGATGGTACGTGGACTGGTGTTTCTACGCTGTCGCCTACTGACTCTTGCCACAGTCTTACTTGCCGTCAGCGGAAGCTGAAGTGTGATGAAAAGAAACCTGTATGCGGGCAGTGTACCAAAGCGTCAAGAGAATGCATACCCAGCTCGGGTATCGTCTTTCGCCACCAGCACAATGCCTCCATGAACGGAGAAGACTCAGGGGATGAGAACTCCCTGAAAGGCTTCTACGCATACAAGAACACCTTCGACGATGATGCCATCTGGATGGATATTCCCAAGCATGGTGAGACCTCTCCAAGGTTCTCGTATAATCCATGTAGCTCGGCTAATGCGTTCCAGTAACCTTCATCAACACCACAAACCCGTACCTTGACCCCGGTACACCCGAATTCGACACCATGTCGACAGCTTCGATGGATTCGCCGGGACCATTTGAGACTCGCTCCTTGCCTTCATGGCGCACACACAGCAACTTCCATTCAGTTACCAGCACACCATCGAGCATGGGGCCCGAGATGCCTCCTACCAGCGTTCCTTTCTGTTACACTCCTGACCTAGAAGCGTTACCACCACTCATGCAATCACCTCCAGCCTCAGTTGTAGGAACTCCCCTTTCACCTCCTCTATCATTATGCAATCGACGCATACATCCCGTGATGGACTTTACTGCTTCTACAGCCTCGCCGCCAATAGATCCCCGTCTCAACTCGCCATATGACACTGCCGACCACATGCATCGCTCTGTGTCAATATGCAGCTCACGACGCTCACCGCCCCGGTCGGACGCCGGTATGCCTACTCAGGACGATCACGAGATTGCTTTCCTCCTACGATGGTTCTCAGAAGGTCCTGGCTACTGGATGGACCTGTACGATCTCGGTACTTACTTCGCATCTTATGTCCCCGTACAGGCGCGTGAGAACCCACTACTGAAATACGCCGCTGTTGCCTGTGCTGCGAAGTCCCTTGCACGTGTTCAAGGCCGTAAACCTGTCATGGGAGGCAGTGTGACACGTCAAGCTCGGATGGAACAGTACCCGGAGGCATCATTAGTCGACTGGAAGCACAAAGCAGCGGTATACTACGACACGGCTGTATCATTGTTGCTGCACGCTCTCAAAATGGATGTCGCCTCCTCTCCCGATGAATCAGAATGCGAACTAAGGCACTCTAACTCGGCCTACGATGGACCAGCACCCAAACGACGACGGACTTCAAGCAACACTTCGTTCGTATCAAACACCGATGAACTGCTGGCAGCCTCGGCTATTCTCTGTGTCTACGAGTTCCTAGACACTTCTGTTTCGGATTGGTCGAAGCATCTCAATGGCGCAAAGTCTCTCCTTGCACTTTCACAAGAGGATGTTATGCCATTGCAACTACCAACGCCCACATCATCTGTGCCATCCGCAAGCTTCAACTTCACCTCAAAAGCTCGACGAGCAACCTTCTGGAACATTGCCAGACAAGATATGCTCGCAGCCTTCATCAACAAGACAAACACAAGACTGGATACCGAGGACCTCTCATTATGGAGAGAATCTGGACTCAAGATTGATGACCAAGGTTATATTATGCCCAGTAACACGACAGCATGCGGTTTCTCTGAAGACAACGACACCGTGATGAGGGAAGATCTCATCTGTAATGCTCTTGTCTGGCTCATGGCCAAGCTAGTCAACTTCATGGCTGCAGGCGATGAAGTGTCCACCGAAGCCGGTATGACATGGGCCGGTGTTCCTCAGCGAACCCTTCTGGACTACTGGTTCAGTCTACGAAAGCAGTTCCAGGTCTGGCACGATGGCCTCCCGGTCACATTCAAACCTTCTGCCAGGGTTCCCTCGCAAGCATCCGGGCCGATGTCCGCCAACGATAACGCGTTCATGTTTACTGAGGTCTGGTACTCCATTCCCATGTGCGCCTCCACCATGCAGACGTACCACATGTCTCAAATTCTCTTGTTCATGAATAAGCCACACGAGTCCACTCAGGGGCGCAGCACTGTCGTCGCCCGAATGAACTCTTACCAGTCCGTTCTGGCCACCTGCCAAAAGCACAGCCGCGAAATTGTTGGCATTTCGCTCGCTCGGTCTGACGAGGCGGTCCGGATCCACTCTGTGCAACCCCTGTTCACTGCTGGTCAGTGCCTCAGTGACGCTCGGGAACGCCAAGTCGTGTTGCATCTTCTACGCGACATTGAGTCCGATATTGGTTGGGCCACGGACTACCGAGTGCGCCAACTCTTCGAGCAGTGGCAAGGTGAAGAATCAGAGGGTCTGGTACCATGAGGCACTCCACTTGGAGGCTTCATCAGCTTCATAAACTTTGCCCCTTAGCAAGGCCGTCAGCCTCTATTGTCAGCCGCGGACATCAGTCTAGGTATTACCGACAGCTTAGTCTGAGATTTAGAGGTCCCGTACGAGCCACTACTAGCGTGCGCCTGGCCCTTGTCCATGGTGCGGGAACTATCGGAAGACTAGAGGAACACGAACTGTCATTCCCAGAACCGACACGTGCGTCCAGGCCTCTTCGAGCGCAACGCCGACGATCGGACGGTGCGCTGCAATGCGACTGCACGGGCTACAGCTTCAGATTGTGGAAGAGACGTGTGTAAAAGACCGGTTAGATAGCAGGAAGATTAGGATTGTGGTATCAGCCCACGTCCAATATAGATAACACTCATACATAGAGATCGAATACAAGCTTATCGCGCTCTACAGAAATTCACTTGACTACCAACTTGTTGATCAAATTGCTGCATACGTGACCTGCTAATTTGCTCAACCCTACTGCATAGTCACAATACACCAACAAATATGACAACATCACTCAAAATATGAACCCCTTGACCGCTACCATTTCAATGCCGTGTTATCCGGATAGCTTCCTACTTACCCCATACCCACTTTCAACCCAAGAGGATCGAGATACTTCACTTGCAAGCGATCACCAGATTTTTCCTTCCAGAAGGCAGACATGGCGTCTGCTAGCAAGCGCGACATACACCGGTCGGCGTTTGACCAAGAGACAAGCACAAGCTAACCCCCCACTTTTCTTTCTTCGCCGCCAGTGCGGATCCGGTTCGCGACCGGATAGCTGTATCCATAGTACGCGCGAGACATATTCGTGTGCCCTGCATGTATTGTCTGGTAATCACGGCCCAATCCGTGAGCTGGGATTAGCAATGTATGACGCAGGCGTGATAATGTGAAGCATACCTTGGAGGAGTCTGAGACACCCTGGGACAATGCGGTTCGTTACTCGGGGACTTTGTCCGCGGCGCAACGTGGCGGTGCTTCGGCGGTACGAAGATCATTATATCACAATCACCATATCCACAAGTGTAATTGCGCACGCCGCGGAAGTTTGGTATCACAAGACCTGCGTAAATGTGAAGGCATGTGGAAGACTTGATGGTCATTTCGCACGCGTTTTTGGTTAGGAATATCGGCGAATAAAGAAACGTGGTTTAGAGTTTGGTTCTAGAGGAAACGACTGGGACGGGAAGAAACGAGGTGCGTGCCTCGTAACGAGTCGGGGTGTTACCATCGGGGTATCCTGGCTCGGTATCTTGGCGGAGCCTTTGTGGAGGATGCTTGGTAGTCTGATGATGCACAATTACTCCCCCAACCTTGAATATGCACGTGTTTGCTGGCGAAAGTAACGGGAACTGCCCTCCATGACATCATACTCATGCACCCTGAATCCTTCGATATGTAGAGTATGGCCGACGAGTACTGTGGATGTCCAACCGGGCGTTTACAGCGTATGAACATTATGCATCTTTCTACACCGCAACGCTGCGGATACACTAAGTGATATAGATGTTTGACTTGACCGGACGGTGGCTTGCCTCAAAGTCTTGCAATCTTAGAGCTGCAGCACGTTGCATATGCACATGCAAGCAAGACACCGCTCCCACCCATGCACGATGGCGTAGCCATTAAACGCCGGATAAGCGAAGGATAGGATACAAGGGCTTCTCGAAGACTTCCTGCCGCAGGTTAGTGAGGCTTAACGGCGCCTAGTGTACACTACTGCAGGTTTTCATGCATTTCGCTAGAACTCGGGCCTGATGGGTGTATGGGCCATCGGATTCCCTCTTTGGGTGGTGTTCGTTGCGGCTCCGTAGTTTTGCCGTGTGCTGGGAGATGAGACTCAAGACGCGTAAAGTAGGTGTGAGAAATTGTGGTCTGAGAATGACGTATGGATCTGCTGTAAGTAACCTGAGATGTTTGTTTACGGCCATGTGTATAGCCGAAATAGTCACTTCCACCCTTGACCCATGATATGTCTCAGCTGGAATGAGTCTTGCGTAAACTTCCTTGGAGAGTGTGACAGAAGTTTCAATCCGCTAGCGGAGCTCTAGCTCAGCCAACGGAACAGTAGGTCGCCCGCGCACTATGTTCCAGCGCTATGTTAAACTTCATGCGGCAGAGCGCACGAGATAGTTTGTTGCATGGTAGGCTGGTAACGTGCATGCCTCGTGGTTGGGCTCGAGCTAAGACATTATCGAAGACTTTTAGGCTCACACGCACTCCAGAGTACTGATTATGCTTGCAGCCGATCCACCGCCGATGCCAGCTTCTACGGCATCTCACTGCCTATACAGGCGTTGCCGATGGTGATGTGTTGTCTCGGTGTCCGCGAGCATAGTCTGGAGGAATAGAGATGCGTACGTGAGACGAGAGGCGACGAGGCATGTTCGCGGAATCTGAGTAGACGTGTTGAGCAGACCGTTTCAGACGCTCTCTGTGTCGCTTTCCCTGGCCGCCGCTATGCTGGGCGACAAAGTCCGATACGATGGACACTACAGCCGACCTCACCCTTACCAGCCATCCCTCCACATCCCGCTTGGTGTTGAGAAACACGTTGTCGCGCTAAATGCAGGAGGTGCCGATTTAGCCGAATGCCAATATCTCTTACCTCTTCGTTTGCAGGCTGAAATCCTAGCAATCACGACGTGCTGTCGCCGACCTCTCTAGGAGTAAAGGCGGCGATGATCGGACTCAGCCATGGGTAGGCGATGTCATCGACAATCGGTGATTTGAGGGGTGTTGATCTTGGGGTCGCGGGATAATACTTGGCGGGTCCCTGAATCCCACTCAACTGGATAGATCTATCCGGCGGAACGATGGAACCGGGGGCCTGTGCGTGGGTCGTCCAAATGTCTGTCTTTTAGACATGTGCTTGGGGCCGGGGTAAGGGAGCGGTATGTCGCGGCCTCAAGGTGTTTCGCCGTTGTTGCGGAATCAACCGCGGTGTGAGTATGCATGACATAAGACCGAATGCTGGACGTGACAATCACCACCTTCATGGGGAAACCGAACCCTTCCCTGGCGCTTTACACCGGCGTACGATGTAGTGGCAACAAGCGGCGCTTCACGCCGACGACGTCGCAGGATAATTCTATGTGACGCAAGACCATCTGCTCTTAGAGTAAATAAGATAGCGGGGGGTTATGACGTCACCGCTGGGATTTCTGTACTCTCTCTTGCACTTCACGTTGTACCAGCGTGATGTTGTAGTATAGTTATTGCTCTCTAATTGGGGGCCATGGCTGTTAGGTCATATATTTAGGTTTCATACGGGCACATGGCATGCTGTGAGATTGTAGCGTTGGGACAGTACTGGACGCTGCCAGACTTTGAATCAGCTATCTCAGCCGGATGGGTGTGTCTGACACTTTCGGCATTTTGTGTCCTATGGAAGAGATAACTAACCTTCATGGTCGAGGTAAGAGAGCCTGAGCGTCGACTGATAGGTATCTGGTAGGTGTTGCTTGGATGCCCGCAGAACGGTAATAGCGAGATGGTGGAGGGCAACGAGTACTTTGTCCTAGACTCATGGAATTCGATATCGATTCGGTAGTCGACATCTAGTTCTTGAGTGTGACGTATAGAAGAATTTGGGCGTTGCACGGACGCTTCTAGCTCCAAACTACCTTCGTCCCTATGTTCTCTCGCCAAGACAAACCCTGAACGTCACTTCGACCTACGAGCCGTTGAAGTGGAATATGAATAGACGTAGGGTACGAGACTGTATCCAGGGCTGAATGCGAGTGGTGTACGAGGGTGCAGAAGACTAGAAAGTGCTTTTTCCAAGGATACCCGCACAGCTTCCATGAATCCTTCCGTCATTCTTTCCGTCAGATTTCTTTCGAATCGCGCAATGAATACTAGAAAGCCTCAACATACTGTCGTCACTGCTCGTGTACTACCCAAAGGGGCTAGAGGCCGCCCCAAACACCAAGCATTGATCAACACCGTACCTTAGATCTAAGCCATCACGAATATCGGCGATCTAGCAGCAAAAAGAAATCAAAAAATTGAACATCACACACCCAGACACACATGTCGGCTAAGCTGGAACAGCCCTTCCGCCGCAATCAATCCTGCTTCTTTGGGAATGTATTGCTCCGCTCGCGCATTAATCGGTGAAGAAAATTGTGGTCGCCACGATGCGATTCAGGAATAGCGTAGATCATCCACCCGGGACAACGTATACTACCTCAACAAAGCTTGGTTGCGAGACTTACACCTGCGATCATGCATGGTATGTCGACCCCGGATACATCATAGGCCTGAATGTAGAATTCGAGACGAATGTGCTGCAGCCGTCCCAGGGGAACGACACAAGATCTAGTGCTCATCCTCTCCACTGTTACTGAACCCCACAATTCAGCTTTGTTCGAAACGAAACGAAACGAAACGAAGCCATATTGGAGAAGCTACTTGTTGAAGCGGTGTGACGATGCTCCTTCTCCACATCTATTCCATGGGAAAGAAAGTGGAAATACCAACATCACTTTGTGACTGAAACGCACAGACATTCATGGCAATCACAACACGTAACTAGCAAAAGCCGCACACAGAGTTAGAATTCACATATCGAAAATTGTTACTGCTATCGCACACGAGGGTTACGGTCGTTGCGGCACCGTGTGGACGCCGAAACGTGGAGCAACAGCAAGTGTCCGGCGCAGGCTTGCCGCTAGACACGCTGTAGGGTATCCACACAGAAGCTCAGCTCCATCAAGGCCACCTCAAACATCCCTACTCAACATTCCACGTTCTCGAAGGATATTGGCTACCATTGGTATTGAATGTAGCTGCATTCTCAAGCGAGATTCTGACTCAAAGTGTTTTCAGCTTCCTCGATCCCGCCCCCTGCTAGGATCTGGGCCTCTTCTGCAGTAGAAGTTTTGGCTGCAGGGTGGCGATCAGGGTCTTGCAGTTTGGTAACGCTAGCGATAGCCGCATTCAAATGGCCCTGCTGCACCTGGGGCTCATCATCAGGTGATGATAATCTGTTTGAATCCGTGACTGAACACTCCTGCCCCGCGGATGGCTCTTGCAGAGGAGTCCCCATCGCGACCGCCTTCTCTAAGTAATTAGGTGTCGTTTGAGCTGCCAGTCTCATGTCGTTGCCTACGATGTCCCCCTTCTGCACTGGAGTTTCGCAAGCAACGCGACGAGCGCCTGGAGACTGACCAAAGCTTTTCGTGCTTGCCGTCTTGGAATCATCGTGATTGGTCAGTGTTGGTTGCAAACCTAGCGAATTAGGCGACGTTTCTTGTATGCCAGTTTCAGCTGCATCATGACCTTTGCGGGAAGACTCCTCCGTTGGCCCGGTTTGCAACAGACCATGTCCAGACAGGACTGTCGGTTGGGGCTCCGCAGTGCTTGTGTGTGGTTGAACTGCATTGACCTGGCATTCTGCCTCACTGGTCACTTGCGTATCCATGTGGGGCTCATCGTGGGGTTTTACCGCGTGTTGTACACGATCGGCGCACATCGCCGCTGTGGTTGCTGTTTCTGGAACAGCGTCACTTCTTCGCTCCAGACCGTTGTCTCCGATAATCTCCACTCGACCCAGACTTCCGACCGATTGATGATGATCGTCATGTGTTATTGTTGCTACTAAGGCGAGGGTTGGGCTCACGGACCTCTCTTCACCACCATCCAGTGCACTGTCAAGCTGTAGCTGTTTCCCTTCTCGTGAGGTCTCCTGGCCCTGTCTGCTTGTCGTGCCTCTAGTTTGCGCTGATTCTGCGCTTGAAGCTCCCTTGGTTCTTCGTGCAAGTCTCGCAGCACGAGCATTCGGAGGAGCACCTTCATTCTGGCTCACTTCATCAACCGGGTCGCCATCCGCTGGTTCTGCATTTGACTTCTCTGCAGTCACAAGTTTCCGCAACTCGGCCAACGTTTTTGCTTTTTCGCTCTGCTTTGCAAGCTCTTCCCCGCTCAGCTCAACCCATTTGGTGCCCACCTTCTTCATACCGGTAAACTTGAGAAAGGTTAGGCCAGAACCGCTGGTATCCATGTACTCATATCCTTCAGGTGGCGCATTTCTTCCCCGCACGTACGTTTCGCTTGGTCGGTGGTACTGTTCACTGCTTCTGTAATCGTCGTGGAATTCAACTGAATCGGAGAATTTGAGCCGCTTGCGTCCTGTTGATGATGCTGCGCTGAGTGATCGTTTGGGCGATGGCCGGAGAGAGAGCGATGCACCATGTTGTTCATGCGGTGCTAGGTCGGATGTGCCTCCAGCTCGCTGGGTAGTAGGAGAGTGAGATCGTCGACGCTTGAATTCAGGCACCTGCTCGTCGTTTTTACTGGTAAGGTCTCCTCCGCTCAGGTCCTTGTTCTCAGGTCGTCCGTCTCGCGCGTCTCTTGGTAATCCGGGCGCCTCGACAGTCATCAACCAGTTGTCGAACTCCATATGAGTCCTCTTGTGCTCCTCTCGCGCGAAAGATTTAGTAATCGAATCGCGCTTGTTTTCCAGTGCAGCCCATTCGGTATCGGCTGCTCGTATCGCGTCGTAGAGGGAGCCGAACTGCTGACATGTACTACATCCTGCGTGTGACGTGTCGGGCGATGTCGTCGGTGTGAGTCCTGTGGCGGACACCACCGCAAGGACTCTATCACATGATTTGCATTTTACAGACTCGTATCTGGTAGCCATCCTGTTGCTGTTCAATCGCGAATACAATTGCGTTGACAGGATGAGTGTGTCTTGTCCAAAGAGCGTGAACGTGATTTTTGCGAAAGCGATGAGTAATGGATCCTTGCACAATTATATGCGAATCATATATGTGGAAGCGCACTGATGGGCAGTCGCATAGTGGGGTTGGCAAATACAGGGTGATTCCGAGTGATCGAGAGACAAAGACGCGACTGTGGAGTTGACGCGACTACAACAACAACAGCGCGCCACCCTTTGACGCTTTTGCAAACAAGTATCGTACCTTATGAGAGCAAAAGTCAAGCCAGAAGAGATGTAAAGAAGACTATCAGGATTGAGGGTGTATGGCTGAATTGTTCCCAGACAACAACCATATCGTTGTTGCCTCACCCTGGCTATCGACGATCCTTGCTCGGCAGTCCCCTTTCTCGCTTCCGCAAACAACAAGTGCAATGTCCCACTTTCTATCACTCCACACTGCCAGCCGTCCTCTTTGAGATGCTGTCGCGTCACTGCAGCAACCTAGAGCTTTACATTGTGTCTCACCCAGGGCGGTGCGCATTCCACAAATCGAGGAGTCTGTGTGGCAGATGGCCACGGCAGACAAGCTCAGCCATGCGTCGGCAATTACGTCATCAGGAACATCTGGAATCACAACACGACGCGAGAATCCAGCAACGAAGCGCTCCTAGTAGCTAGAGACTTGAAAGGACCACAGGACATACGTAAAGAGACAACTGTGTGATTAGCGTGGATGCGTGAAGAGAACGGTGCGCCGTCGAAACGATCAAATGCTGCCTAACGCTAGAGGATACAACAGCAACTTGATATCCGGACAGACAGAATACGTTGCTTAGGCGCCACGACAGCTGAACGGCATTCTTAGCGCGACTTGTGGTCAGAAAGAATTCCAAGACTCCAGACTAAACCACCTGTTCAACCAAGGTGCCAAATGTAAAGACTTCGGCTCCATCATAATCATCCTTCAAGAATCACACCAGGGGACCAAAAAACACAACTCTTGTGCTCTAGAAGCTTCTTCGCTTCCTGTTGCCAATTGGAAACATTCCTGGCCTTTAGGGGCCTGTTGTAGCGTATTTCGACTCGATGTTATGCTTGTTTGGATCATGCATTTGGACCTTCGTGGGACGAGTAAAACGTCTTTAGCTTTCCTTTCATCTCTTTCCACTTGGCCGACATGCTCTTGCTTTCGCGCCTCCTACTCTGACTTTGGACACTCGTGGGACCTGCAGCCTGTAGGCTTGTTTCCGTTGGATTCGTGGAGCCTGACGATTGAGCTGTAGTAGACTGGCTACCTGACGCTGTCAAGCTATCATTACCACTATTCGATGCAGTGTCTGCTGGTGGTTCAGAACGTTGCTCAGTTTCTTTAACACTCTTGGCTTCAACACGACGACCTAAATTCGAGAGGTTGACATACAAAACGGCGCCAGTTGCTTCCAAAGACAGTACATCAACAGGAGCTGCCTCTTTGAATCTGCGTGCCCGCAACCAGGCTTTGGACACGATATACTGCACCGGATCGTGATGCTCCAGTTTCCCGGTTTGTTTACCCTTGATGCACGGGCAAGAGTGGAAAGGCTGACATGGCGACATCCAGAAAAGCTTATGCGTTAGTTCTTCCGGCTCCAGGTCAGTTTCCAGCTGCTGTAGCTTTTCCTTGCGTAGTAACGCAAGCGTCGAAACAGAAGAGGCAAGATAATCTTCACCTTTAGGAACGTATTGCCACGCTGCGCAGATTGTCCCAGGATTGCTAGGGCAGATAAGGTCTCCGAACCCCTTCCCAAAGATCGTAAGAACACCTATGGCAAGCAACAGCCTGACCCAACTGTTGTCTCCCGAGCTGAATCGTTGGCTCCTGACCAGGTGGTGACTGTTCGGCGGTATTCACCCAGTTACTGATATCATCTCTGATTTTAGTGGACGGAGGACGTGCAGAAAACTCTCCTGTTTCTTCCTCTTCGTCTTTTGAGGGTGTTTTGGGCACACTGTGGTTGTCGAGAAGCTCGTCTCCGCTTATCAAGTTGACGATCTTGTTGCGAAATGTGTATTAGCTTACGAACCACTACTGAATAGGTGGAATAACTATGATATACAAGTTATGTATGTGGCACGCAAACATACCCGCTTTCTCGATGGAGCTGTATTGATGCTTCCCATCCGAATGGAGTTGTGGATTCTTCATGTAGTCTCCCAGCGAACACTTTCAGCAAGAGTTCGAATTCAGATGGCGGGATTTCACTAATGCATTCAAGACCGGCCATTTTTTTCGAGTCATGGGTCAGTCGCTGGGCAAATAGGATGATGTCCACCGTACGAGTATTTGAAGCCGTTGAATACATGTCTTCTCTTTCGACACAGACGCTATCGTCAGTGTCTTGATTGATCTTGGCCCCCATGACTGGAGGGATGCTAAACATGCCACCCTTAGTATCTCGCTTAGCGTGGGGGGTGAAGGCGAGCAAGGGAAGAGCATTAGACTTGTTGTGAGAAGAAGCATTAGTGCTAAATGTGCTGTTAACAGTGTTAGAAGTAAAGGTGCTAGCATCTGGCACCTTCTCGTCAGGCGCAAGGTGGATTGGATCACTAGCGCCTGCGGTGGCTGGGAGCGGCGAAATACCGAATACTGATGCCTCCTGCTCGGGTGTCTTGTCGTGATTGACAGTCGAAACCTGATTTTTGGGCTCCGGAGGGATGTGGGAGATATCCATGGTAGTTGTTTGAGTATCCTGAGCTTGATTGATGCTATCAAAAACGGATGGTTGCTCTTGACTGTCCGTGTCGCTTAGAGAGTTCATAGTCTCGTCTCGCGAAAATCGTGCAAGTGGCTTTCTTGTGTATGGAGGAAACGGTGGCAGTGAGGGAGGGCTACCATCTGAACGGTTGATCACCACAAGTGCATCCCCCTTGTCCATCTACCCTGCTCTTGACGACCCTTAAATCGAAGAGACTTTAGTGGTAATCTCATTCGACCAGTTCTAGGAATAGAGATCGTATATAGTTTCCATTTCGTCAAATTCTGCTTTTGCTTTCTTAGCGCCTTTAGTTTCTCAAGCACGATAGTCCGCTGAGAAGCGCCTGCACGACTAGAGACGTAGAAGGGAGTGGTATACAAGTCAGGTCCTGGCTGGACTAGTAACGCATGAAGTTTGGCAATGTCGATGCTGCCGTACTTCGTAATCATCTCTTCCATCCTCGAAATCATAACACTCGTAAAGGAGTTGTCTCCTGGTTGTGGGGTCTTGGCCCCATTGTCTGCGGCTGCGAGTAGTTCTATGCGGCCATAGGGACTATCTCTGTGTTCTCCCGCACCTTTTGCAGCTGAAGCGGGAAAGCAACAATCCCAGAGGACAAGGGCATCAAACCAGACATAGAGCAATGCCTCTTGTATTTCGCGCCATATAGCGGATGGCATGCCTATTCTGTGGCTACGTACGATTAGATAGAACATACTTTGAAGCGTCACAGCGCACTTACGCTCGCCAGACTACCGGTAGATCCTGCGGTCCTCTAGATCCGATTGGGTGCTTGTCATCGTCTTTGTCCTCACCTCCACCATAATGTATGATTAGTAAGTTAGGTGCACCAAGAGTATACGTCTTTTATCTGAGTAATTTACACTGTTGAATGATGAACTTGCGCACTGCGGATGCGCAGTTGCTGGTAGGGATAGGAAAGATCTCTGTCTCAAAGTTCAGGCTCTTGAAGAACCTTTCCAGCTCCTCAGTCTCCTTGATACGACCTTCCAATCTGTCCGAGTTACCTTCATACAGCAGCACTGCCTTGACATAGGCATATCGAGGTTGAGAAACCGGGTCCTCGGCCTGTTGCTTGGCATGCTTTGTAGCATTGTCGTTCTTGAGTGAGGAGCCTCTCCGATCGGTTGGTACAACTGACGCCGTATCCATCGATGGTGTGATCGGATAAGGTGGATAGGAACAATAGGTTTGAGTGATGATAATCACCGAGAACTAATGGACTGAAAGTCTTCGCTGATGACTGCAACTAACAGGCTAAGTTGCTGCGTTAGCTATGGAAGCGTCATTACATATTTAAAAACCTACCTGTAAGCAAACGTACCGTGTAATCGTTAGTAAACCCCTCAACGCAGGGCGCTTCAGGCGAGGCTGAGAACGGACGCTCTTACCCTATTCTTTGCTTTCATGGGGGACATGACTTTTACATGCGTCAACCAGCCTGCCGTGTGTGCCATCTATTGGGTCACCAGAGAGCCCGGCGTGCATGAGGCAGATCTGTGGCTGCATGGGACGAGAACGCCTTGCGAATAATGGGGGACTGATGGCACGAGGCTGAAAACATGCGACAACCCCTCTTTCACTACTATGCAGCCAGGGAAAAGGTAGCCTCGCACCTTCCCAGGCAGGAGCGTGACGAAAACATACAACCCTGAAACGTACCTAGGTACCATCAGTTGTCGCATTCATTCATGAGACTGTGACACCACCAAAACCAACGCAGTTCTGCTTTACTGTAACGACATCATAAGCTCACGCGTTGATGCGACGCCTGATAGTAGTGAGGAAAAATGCACCCCAAAGAAGACTTGACGAGCTGTGGAAACAAATAGATGCCATAATATTCGATATTGTAATAGCTGTTCCGATACCCATTGATACCTTAGCTTTCCTATAGTACACCTCTTTCGCTCGATCTCGCGATTACGCTTCCAGAAAACATACAGATGTCGATCTTCCCATTCACTTCTTCTTCTCAACGGAAAAAGAAAACATCGCAACGCCCATCCTTAATTCCACATCTCTTTAGCCCATCTCTTTCTCTCCATACTATCTAGCTCCCAGCCCCAGAACTCATACTACGAATCCCTCCTCCTCCTCCGTGGCGGGCTACTATCATCCCTCTTAATTCTGGGTGGCGGACTCGCGCTATCGTCTCTCGCTTTCCCTTTCCCAGTGGCCTTCGACGCTGGCGGCGGACTGCTGGAATCCCTCCTGCGACGCGGTGGCGGACTTGCACTATCATCTCTCGCTTTTCCTTTGCCCTTTGATGGCGGTGGACTGCTCGAAGCACGTCTACGCCTGGGAGGCGGACTACTAGAATCACGTCGACGTCTTGGTGTCGGAGAAGGCGAACGGGATGGGGATGTAGAATACTTTCGGCGGCGCGGAGGTGGAGAGCGGGATATGGATCCGGATGGGCTACGTCCGCGACGTGTTGATTTGCCCTTCGGCGGCGGAGATCTGGATCTTGAAGATGAGGGACTGCGACCGCGTCTCTTAGGTGGCGGAGAGCGAGAGCGAGAGCGAGAAAGGGAGGACGAATAAGAGCGCTTGCTCTTGATTTTGCGGGGTGTTGGGGAACGTGATCGAGAACGGGACGCGGAGCTGTATGACCCGCTTCTGCCACGACCTCCACGTTTACGAGCTGGCGAAGGGCTGCGCGTGTATGAACGTCCCCTTGAACTAGATCTGGACCTGGATCTTGAGTCGTCGCGCCTTCTACGGACCGGACTTCGAGATCGCGAGTAGCTGCTGGAAGTGTAGCTTGATCTTGATGAGACACTGCGATCGTCGTCCGAGTCACTCTCTGGCTCAGGTAGCGGTTTCGGCTTTGGCGCACTGTTCTTCAACCAGTCGCGCATGCCCTCTGTAAGCACACCCATACCAATCGCGGTGAAGAAGTTGATCGAGAAGCGCGTCTTGCTTTGGTCGTCCGCATCCGTGGGGAAGATACCAGTAAGGCTGTCCTGTAGCATGGGGTCCTTGAAGCGCTCCACAACCACCTTCTGACCGAGAGAGGCCAGGAGCTCCTCAAATAGAATCTTGACGAAAATACGAGAACTAGACGTGGTATCTTCTTCCGTCATCTTGACCACCTGGAAGACGTGCCAGCCAATACCGTCGGAACCTAGGAGATGGGCGAAGAACTGTGCGATGATGCGAAGGCGGTTCGTTTCGAAACGATGGATAGTCTCGTAGTAGTGCGCGAATGCTTCTTCGAAAAGATCGGTCCACATTCTGTTCAGCTTGCAGAAGCGCTCGCCAATCATGCCGTAGAACTTTTCGTATGTACGCTCCTGACTGGCGCACTCTACGATCATCGTTGTGAGCTCGTTTTCCAAGCCATGCGGCAGGTTAATGCGCATGAGTTTGTGCACGCACTCCTCAAAGCCACCACTGCTCTTAATAGTCAGGTAGATAGTTCGGCGCAGGTTGACGAGATCCGCATTGGTCTGATCCTTGACGTCCATGGCCTTTACTTCCTCGTCCTCCTCATCCTCAGAGGATGCATCAGTGTATCCGTCATCATCGCTGCCCTCCTCTTCGCCTAGAATCTCCGCCTTGATCTTTGCGTACTCTTCCTCATGCGCTTCATAATCGGGATCAACCTTGAAGATGTTAAGACCATCCTCGACCTTCAAGTCGCCCTCAAGTGTGTGGTTGTGAGTGATCTGGTCCTCCTCCTCTACCAGATCCAGATCTTCCCTTATGACCGGGTTGTCCTTGTACTTTGTGCGACGAACTTCGAAAAGGACCTCAATCATGTACTGTGTTCGCTTGTCGATGTCGGCTTCGTGGAGGATGTTGCGCATCTGGTCGAAAATGGCGTTGGCGATGGCTGGTTTCATCTCGTCGAGGAAAGCGCCGACTTCTTTCATGATGCCGACTGCGATCTCAACAGAGTCGTCCGAGGGCTTGTTGAGCAGGAGAAGCAGAATCTCGGCGATCAGGATCTCGTGGACCACCTGCGTGTTGACGAGATGCGAGAGGAACATGGTACTCGATAGCGCCACGTTCTTGTCATTCCTCCTGAAGCCCTTCCTGAACTGCACAATCAGACGTCGGACCAGTAGATCGCCAACCTGAGGCAGTTTTGTGTTGACAATGGCGACCATAGCTGCGTAGATGGGCGTGAAGGGAAGACTAGCTGCTTGCGCCTTCATGATAGCTCTGCAGAACAGACCGCGCCCGCGCACCAGGTTCTCCGAGAACAGCTCTGGCACTATCATCTTGATGTTGGCTGTATTCGTCTTGTTGATCAAACCCTGGATCGACTTCTTGAGCGCCTCCCAAGCCATGCGCTGAAACTCGGGACTCTTCTTATCCGTAATCGACTTCTGCATCTCGCGCAGTCGCGCAGGAGGGATATACGCGCCTCCAGCACGTGTCTTGGAATCGTCAACCGGCAGCTTGCGATTCGCGCTGAAGGCATTCTGGAAAAGCTTCAGTCGCGAGTCGTCATCCGGAAGGTCGTCGGCAGTAGGTTTGGGCGCTGGGCGACGGCCGATACCTCCATTGCGACGGTCATCCTCGTCGTCATCCCTCCTACTTCTTTTCGATGGCCCAGCACTCGGTCCATCGTATGGCGAGCGGTCGCGTTTGCGCGGAACTTCCTTAACGTCGTCGAGCTCGGGTTCCGGTGAAGGCAGTCGAACGGCAGATGCGACTTCCATCATCGGTCAGTGAGTCGTGTTGAGGGTGAAGGATGTCGGTGTTGAGGCGTAGAGTGACGCGCTTCGCAAAAGTTTAGCTCGCAGGCGGTTGGGCGATCCAAGGTTGCGGCGAACGGGCCGCGGTTTCGCCGACAGGGGTCCTTAGCTTGGCGCGACTTTGGGGGGAAGGGACAGCGAGGTGATTGCAACCACCAAATACTCAAAGTCAATTCACTCATTCACTCCTTTCGCCAAACTTCACAATGGTACGCTCTCACATGCTCCGAATGTAGACATATGTACTAACCGACTATTCAAGGCGGATCGTCTCGTAGGCCTCAGCATGCTCGTCGCAGCAACCGCCATCTTCGTCTACTACACCGTCTGGACACTGTTCATGGTATGCTCTCATACATTGATTTGGCTATGCAACATGTTCTAACCCTCACTCAGCCTTTCGTAGACGACGACCACATCCTCCATTCCCTCTTCCTCCCACGCGTCTGGGCTATCCGCATCCCGGTTATCCTCCTCATCCTCGGCACCACAGTCGTTGGTAGCTTCCTCTCCGTAGTCATGATACGGAGCAATCGGAAGAAGGCACTCAAGGCCAAGCAGAAGAAGGCCTCATAAAAGGGGACACTTGCATCGCGGATGCGAACAATAGTCTTCGAAGAAAGTTGAGGGTAAAACTTGTAGTGAGCGCAAGAACCATTTAATTGCGCCGATATAATTTGTTTGGTGTGGTAGCTGGAGAGATCAAAAGCATAATAAGGTCGTTCAAATGTTCATCTTCGCCTACATGATATTACAATTCTTTTCCGTGATAGCCTCGTCAATTGACGCGACATAAGGATGCGAACGATGATCTTCGAAAGTGAGAGTAGAACCTGAAGCGGACGCAAGAACCATTTCATCCGTACCGACATAATAGTCGGGATAGCCGAAGCGAGAAAGCAAAAGCATAACCATATCGTTTAGATATCCATTCCTGCCTACTACTACTACATGACATTACAGTTCTCTTCTGAGATGACAATCGGCCCATCCTCTTCTCCTTCCTCACCTCCACCTCCAGCACCTTGCCCCCTCGCAATATGCCTAGCCAACTGCGCAAAGACAGCCTGGCTAATGAAATAGTCGTCTCTTCCGCCTCTCCTTTCCATATCATTCTGACTCGTGATCTGATAACTCTGGTGCATCCTCTTCCGACTGCTTAGTCCACCAGGTGCAACTTCGTCATCGCTGTCGCTAGGGGCGTTGTCGACTGCAGATTCACTTTCATCCTGGGTGTTGGTGGAAGAGGAGGGTTCGGCTGCGCGATTACGCTGTCTACGGCCGAAATTGAGACTAGAGAAGGAACCTGGATCTGAGGAGTGCACACCGACACCTCTGCGTGCATTACGTTGGAGATGGGCGTCTGGAGAGAAGATCTTGATGGTATGATCGATACCGGAAACCGCCATTGTAGGTTCGTAGGGGTGACCTGTTGGTAGCATGTTAGACTCGCCTCTCTCCAACTATATTCATATATGCTAGACTTACCCTGGATGACGTTTACTACCTCTCCATCCCCTTCCAAGATGTTCACAAGCTCTGCTGTTTTGCGATCCCAGATAAACACGTGTCCAGAGTCACTCCCACTGACGACGTATTCATCCTGCAGACCGAAGTAATTTACGTCCTTGACTGTCTTGACGTTGCAATGGCCGGTGTAGACACGTGTGTGAGGTGCACAAGGTACATCGCGCTCGACCTTCCATCGCCGGTAACGACTGCGGCTGAAGTCCGATCGCCAAAGCATGTGGCCAGATCGTGTGCGTTGGAGTCCTTCTTCGTCCACGTCGTCAGAATCGTCATCGTCGTCGTCTTCTGCTTCGTCATCTGAATCTACATCACCATCAGTGTCGTCCTCATCCTCGTGCTCGTCTTCATCTTCTTCGTCTTCGTTATCTTCATCAGCACTTTCAACAGCCACTGACCCCGACTCGTTCGCATTAGCAGAGCTTGAAACAACCTCGTCCTGATCACCACTCTCTCGTGCTGATGTGCTGACTAGTTCCGCATCCCTGACCGGCCCTTCATCTACGGAAGGATCGATATCCTCCTGCCGTTCTCTCAATGCTTTCTCTTCAGCCCTGATAGTCTTGTCCGAGATACCCTGGCCGCCAAATGCGCGGTCCACAAAAGCAAACTTGATATCCTTGGCGGCGTTGCGCAGCACACCTCTGCCAACATAGCACACCCATCTCCGTTTTGCTGCAGCGCGAGTCTGTGTGGGTTCGCTGGAAGACTTCGACTCTGATGTGGACTCATTGTCGCCAGTGAGATCGGCAAAGGGTACGGTTAGTGCATGGCCAAAGGTATCGACAGCCTCGAATTCAGAGTCGAACAGAACCCGAGTCGCATCTGTTTCAAATTTAGAGGTGTCCACGTTGATAATGCTGTCGTCGCTTGCCAATTCAAGCAGATATGGAATCAATCGCTCCTGAATAGCATCCATGCCCGAATCATGTGGAATGGGGAAGCGAACACTCCCACTTCGCCGCGAAAAGCCCTCCACAACTGCTCCGGGACCGCTATCGATCCACAATAGTATAGCTTTCAAGAAGTCATATCCGAACTGTTCGTGTCGTGGGAGGTCGCGCTCTCGTGGTGCTGGTTGTATTGATGCGAAATATTGGGCGATCAGTGCATCGGAGCTGGATCCAGTCAAGAGCTGTCCTCCCAGTACACGTGCTAATGTGCCAGCTGCTTGAACGAAGCGACGGGAAGCCGCTCTACTGTCTCGGAGTTTGTTTTGAACTGCAACGTCTAGGGGATCTGGGTCGATCGGATAGCCCCATGTCCTATCTATATCATCCATGTCGGACAAGATTGAGTTCGCCAGACCTACAATGGATGTGCATGCGAGTTGGAGTCCGGATTCCCCAAGCTCACCGAGATCGAAGATGCGCTTTGCTATCCTGACTGTTGTGCTTGCAATGCGGTAATGGTCTGATGCTCGCAGGTCGTTCAACTCCTCCTGAGACATGCGGTTCTCGGCAGGAGGATGAATGCGGATATCCTCGCTCTGGCCGTTTCCGTAGGTTACTCGCAGTGCTAGATCCTCATCAGCACTTGTAGTCCGTAGTCTTGACTCGGCTCTCTCAACGCCTTCTTGTGACAAGGTGCTGGACTTTGGTCGCTTGCGCTTCCTATTCGTGTCCTTTACGCGATGGTCAGTTCCACCATTCGACGTCTTGATAGGTTTTATGTTCTCTCTAGCATCCGGAGCCCTTAGAATGTCGAAACTGTAAATATGATCTTGGGACCAGCTCACAATGAGCTCATTCGGCTCGGCATCACTGATTTTGCATGCTGTAATATGACCACCATCATTTCTGTTCATGCGCTGCTTCCCATTGGGCGCAAATTTCTTGACGCATTGTGTTGCCTTCCCTAACAGCTCTTCATCATGTTCACTCCAGTTCCCTGGACTGGGAAGCCTGGTTCCCCGCTCGTTGTTGATATCACGGCCAAGCATACGTCGGTCATGCAAGAAGCAATGGAGATGTGCTCCGCCCAATGCAATGTAGTGCGGCTGACTAGGCGAGCAGGACACCGTGTTGAGGTCCAGTCCATATCGACTATAGGAGATGAGCGGCGGCGGAATGCTGTCTGAAGCGTCTTCGTCCCTTGCCCAGGCTGGTAGCATAGTGTCTCGTGCAGGCGGGTATGCCTTGGAGGGTTGCCGTACATCCCACTGTCGTACCTCCCCATCATTTGAACATGTGAGGAAGTAGAAGGGGTTATCCTCGGTGACAATCCGCTTTACGGTGTCGGTGTGGCAACGAAATGCCTTTGCATTGGTATCTCCCTCTGTGAGCGTCACCCTGCTGCGTGCTCTACCTGCACTTCCTCCATTGTTAGATCTGCCAGTAGATCCGAGGGCCGAGTGTCCTGAGTGTTCGATATCGAATATCCTTACATCATCTGTTGCGCTGACAATGGTACGATCATTGGAGTAGGGCATGAACTTTACGGAGAAGATGTTGGACCGGTGTCCCGTCTGGATCGAAGTCGTGAGATTGAATTGCGAAGTTGACGATTCGGGGTGGTACGAGTGGATGTTGATACGATGGTCGTCGGAGCCAGAGGCGAGCAGGCGGCCCGAGGTTGACCAACTGGCATAGTCAGATTGTGTTATTGATGCTCGTATGGGGTAATGGCATACCTTAGAGCATTAACACATCCATTATGGCCTTCTAACTCGTTCACAATATCAAGGTCGTCGATCCATTTGCGGTCACCGTAAATGGATCGAATGTCGGAATATTTCCTGGGCTGCTGTCCGACTTCCCGCTTGAGTAAGCGATCGTAGACAGTATACTTCATTGTGGCACGTTATATAGCTTCTCGGAAGCTTGTATGATTTTGGGGAGGGTAGCTCGAGGAAGTAGCGGAGAGGCAAACAGCACCAAAGGCGATGCTTCCAGAAACAGCTAGGCGAACGCAAGCTGAGGCTATAAATCTCAGTCGGGTGGAACGATGCGTAGATGGAATGACTTCTGTATGGGCATCGCGAAGCTCTAGAGGTGAGTTTGGTTGTGTCTGTGAAGGCTGCGCGTTTGCGTGCATTTGGTGGTCGCGAGGAATGACGAAAGGTGACTGTGCCCGTCTCCACCACGTTTCGAAGCTCCAAGCTTCTCTCCCCCGCGGCCTCCCGCTGCCGATCCGCAGCGCTCATCTTTCACCCTGCATCATTAATAAGCCACGACCAGCTTGCGATGTTGCGAACAATCTTCACAGCAGCATATCACAAAGGCATCTGCTGCCACCACTGCATCGATAGTTCATGATCAAAAATAAACACCGGATACCTAGCGGATGAGGCATCTCACTGCATAACGCGCAAAGACTTCTAGCGTCTTCCCCATATACATAAAGCACGAAGAGCGTTGTCAAGGAACAAATCAAGCAACAAAAAGCGTTAATGGCGCGTACTCGCATGACATACAACTATATATAGTGGTATCTAAAAACAAACGTACGAAGTGACATGAGAAACGTGAACATCCAAACTACTCTACAAACCTTACACCTCAAATCTACAAAACCAAAACGGCACCAACAACACCAACGACCATCATGAATCCAGCACCAGCACGGCTAGCAGCACCAGTGAACTCCGCAGGCATGGTGGGCTTACCAGCACCAGCACCGGTACCGGTAGGGTACACGCCAGCAGAGCCGGCGGGCACGTAAGGGGCACCTCCGGCACCTCCAGCAGTTGTTGGGTATGGAGCAGGAGTGTAAGCGGGAACGGGGACCTTGGTGAGGGTGACGTGAACGGTGCTGGTGACTTCTTGCGACACTTCGACGGGCTTCTTGGGGTACTCGGAAGCGATGGGCGCAGACGGGTAGTTGGAGGGGTAGGCTGCGGCGGCGGAGGAAGAAGAGGGAGAAGCGGGCTTGGGTGCCTCGGGCATGGCAGGGTATTCGGCAGCCTTTGAAGCTTCAGGGACGGCAGGGTAGGCGGGCATGGATTCCTGGGGGGCAGATGGGTACTCGGCGGCCTTGGAAGCCTCAGGGACGGATGGGTACTCAGCAGCCTTGGAGGCTACTGGAACAGTTGGGTACTCAACAGCCTTGGAAGACTCAGGAGCAGCTGGGTATGCGGGCATAGACGCCTCAGGGACGGCAGGGTACGCAGGCTTGCCAGAGGACACGGGCTTAGCCGGGTAGTCCGCAGGGTATGCGACGGAAGGAGCGGACGATGGGTATGCGGGCACGTTGGCTGTAGCCGTGACGATGGGCTTGGTGAGAGTCACAGTAACTGTGCTGGCAGTGTAGACGCTGGTGGTCCATCCCTCAGGTACGTCGGTCGAGCCAGTGGGCTTCGCAGCGCACTTGGTGCAGACGGTTGCAACGTATGTGGTGGTGACGGTGGTCAGACCAGTGGGGCAAACGTCGACGTAAGTAGCTATAAGATATTAGCAAATGCTCAATAGACGTTCAGTTAACTCTAAACTTACTGGTGACGACCGTGGTGGTAGAGCCAGTAGGGACACTTGAGTACTCGGAGTGCTCAGGCTTCTTGGTCACCGATGGGACGCTCTCATAGCCAGTGCTGGAAGCAGCATCGCTCTTGGAGCTCTCGGCAGGGTAGGCAGGGTAGTCCATTCCCTTGCTGGCGGAGTAGGTCGAGGTGGGGTATACTGGGGACGCAGTGGAGTAGATGCCAGATGAATAGACGACGGACGACATGCTGTACTCGGCGTAAGGGGTGGAAGACGCGACCTCAGGGGTTGACTCGGAGTACACGCTGCTGCTGGAAGATCCAGTCGAGTAGACATCGCTGGAGCTAGTGCCAGTGGAGTATGCAACACTGGAGGTGCTGCAGGATGTGGAAGAGGCACCCTCGGGGGTAGTCGCGGAGTATACGCTGGAAGAGTAGTTGTCGCTGGAGCTTGAGGCTGTTGAGTAAACTCCGCTGGAGGCAGGGGTCTCACTCGGGGAAGGAACGTAGACGGAGCTGCTGGCAGACTCCGAGGCGGAGGCCGTGGCAACGGATGACGTCTCGATAGAGCTGGACACCTTAGTTGGAAGGGGAACGTATACCGAGCTACCCTCCTTTGTGGCAGAGATGGTGTCAATGGAAGATGACTCGATTATGGTGCTGCTAATGGTCTCAAAAGAGCTGGCGCTCTCAGTCGGATAAGGCACGTAGGCTGACTCGCTGCTGGAGGCGGACGCTGAGATCGTAGCGATAGAAGATGGCTCGATCAAAGTGCTGCTGGAAGTCTTAACGGAGCTGGCGCTCTCGGAAGAGAGAGTAACGTAGGCTGAGCTGCTGCTGGCGACAGAAGACGATACCGCGACGGAAGAGCTTGAAGGAACGTATACGGAGCTGCTGCTGGAAGCGGAGCTGGAGGTGACATATGCAGACGAAGAAGCAGCGCTTGAGGTAGCATAAGCAGAAGACGAGACCTTGCTGCTGGTGACCATGGTGCTAGGAGTGGGAGTGCTGGAAGGAATCTTGCTGCTCGAGATAGGAGTCGAGGACGAGATCCTGGTGCTGGAAGACACGACAGGGTGGTAGTTCTTGGCGAAGGTACCCTCAACAGCATACTTCATCCATGTACCGTACGACTGACCGTATGTTGGGTTCCTCACAGAAACGGACGCCTCCCAGAGCATTACACCGCCAAAGTTGGCGTTGGTCTTGTACTTCGTAATCAAAATGTTCGCATCTTCAGGGGTGAGGTAGTCTTCCTTATGGGTGGGGAGGCCATCCGGACCTGCGGCCAATCCAATGTAAAACTTGAGGTTGGGGTTCGCTGAGGCCTTGACCTCGGAGATCCATTGGTCGAAGGTAAAAGTGCTCGGTTGCTTGTTCTTAATGTCATCGACCGCCTTGGCAGCAGAGCACACATGTGTGTTGTAGAACTGAGTGAAGATAAAGTCAAAGGGAACAGCCTTGAGGACCGGCGAGATTCTGACGTCTGGGACGACACATTGAGGAGCAGCGGAGAGAAGCATCTTCGAGTTCTTCTTGACGTACTTGCCGAAGGCGTCGTAGTTCTTGTAAATGTATTCTGGCGAAGGCATGTCGTAGGTTTGTGCTTCGAGATCGAGGTCAAAGCCGTCAACGACCGCATCACCGAAGGGACGAGGCCTCCCAGCCGCCTTCCAGGCAGCGGTGGGAGCGCCATAGGCTTTGATCAAGAACTCAGCGAACCATTCAGCGACTTGGGGTGATGGCAGATAGTAGTTTGTAGGCCAGCCACCACCGAGCGAGAGCATGACCTTCTTGCCGCTCTTCTGGCAAGCAGTGATGGCTTCACCTACGCCAGGGCATGAACTGTAAAGCTTGCTGTCCTGCTTCAAGACCGGATCGTAATAAACATCACTACCACATGCGTTGGCGTGGTTGCTTCCTGGGTATGAACCTACTACCGAAGGGAATGAGTTGATGACTGTCATTTAATACTGTCAGCACTGCTTGCAAGTCGAAAGACGAGGTTTGATCCATCGGTGAAGACTTAGAATTACTTACAGCCGATGTTGACAATGTCGACTTTAGGATCAGCGCAGACCTCGGAAAGTGGGATCTGATCGTTTCCTTGTCCCCAGTACACAGCGATGTTTGTTTTAGCGGCGTTATTGAAAACTGCAGAGACGCCAGAGGCCAGAAGCCCAGCTGCGAAAGCAGCACGAGTGAAGGTTGAGGGAGACATGATTACAGTATTAACAGTATAAACGAGGATATGCGATATTCAATGATAGGACGGCCGGGGGCCAGTAAAGATCGTGATGAGCGAACTCAACGAAAGGACGCAAGCAAAAATGCTGCAATTAGGATGTAGACTCGAAAGAGTGACTTGACGACGGACTGGAAAGCAGTGCGACTGACGATGAGAAAAGAAGACATGGGAGATTGCGCTATATCTAGTCTTGGCCCACAGGGCTGTACCTGCATGAGCGAGATGGGACGGACGCTGACTGCGCCGTTTGATGGCATGAAGCCATCGTGCAGAATGAGACGGCACCGTATAGCGACAGGAACAGGACGATGGCTGCCGTGGTTCCATACTATTGGTAGAGATGCCTGGATTTTAACCGCTTCGGGTCTGAAGTATCGTAGGGCGTCCAACTGTACCTGCGCCTGGGCGAGCGCTAAGCATCAACATGGCTTTTAGAAACACTTCCATGTGACGCCTTACCCTAGCTTCATGACCGGTGAATGGGCCGTGTCGAAGTATCGATAGCATCAATCTCGGTTAAATCGCAGAGAGGATGCCTTGGAGCGTCAGCAAAAGGAAGGAGGGTAGCTGACGCTTGAAGGAACGGCTCTAGACGGTCAGTCGGTCCAGCGTTCCGGTGGCGTGGTTGCTTGTCTTTCCATTATACGAACTGGCACATAAAGCCAACGACCTCTGCTCGTGACGATGTCACATCTTGCGCTGGATCGGCAATTCCGGTTGAGTTGGACAGAGAATGGTATGGAGCCACAACGACCTCCTGAATGTGCAGTCGGCATAATGTAAACTCCGGTCTTTGGGTGGCTGCCTGCAGGAATCTTCTCATGGCGGCATGGTTGCAGTGGTTTCATCCCAATGGGGGATTGGGTCCGAGCAAAATGGTGTGGGTTGTGATGAAAAGGCGTCGGCTACGGCTCGAGCGATGGTTAAGTCAGGGGCACCGAGCGTTAACCATGCCGCTTTGAGATAGACCCTTTCAGCCCTGTCAGAATCGCATCCTTCAACGAGGGTTTCTTCCTTGGCCCGCCCTTCCTCTTGTGAGGGCAACGAATAATACAAATACGCGATATGCTCAAGCGCTCTAGTCTTGTTGTTTTAGGCGACCCCTTCATATATTGACCGCTTGGTGTTCCTTCTGCCATCTCATGGCCAAGATTGACGACAATTTATCCTTGGTGGAGACATGCGGTGGGTCTAGCCTCAGACTAGGTTTTCCCGCGGGAGGTTCGCGACAAACGCTGCCCATCAAATTCGCGAGAACGACACGTCCAAGGTGCTAGCGAACGCGCTGGCATGGGGCCTATTGTTTGACGACAACGGGAGCTATTGAAAGCGCAGAGCAACATCGGCCGTAATGTGAGAACTTGTCGTGCTCATGACTCATCCACAGTGCCGATGTTCCGTTATTATGAGATATGCAGGTATTAAGAGGATGTAACCTTGGGGTGAGCGCGTTTCCGGGAGGCTGTCAGTCGAGGAGCCTGGAGATAGAGCGCGAACATACTGCGCTGGAGCCTGCCTTCGGATCAGAACTTGTGTAAATAATACGTGCTGTAAGTTGTCCAGGGACTACGGTGGGTCGCGCAATCGATGCGAGCCCTGGAGGTGATGTGCAGACCCGCGGCGGGTGCTGGTGCAAATCATTAGCTTACGTTCGCCGATCCTTATCAAATACGATGGCGCCGCGAGCCTCTTTACGAGCTTAAGCAGACCTCACTTCGCGTTTGGAAAAAACGTAGCGACGAGTGGGGTGGTATTAAATGCGAATATATATATCCAGTCTAGGTAGGGACCAGAAAATAGTAAGTCCCTGAACGCTCTTCTAATCTGTGCCGCAACAAACTGTGTTTTCCAGCTGGCGGCCGTGGGAAATAACCCTCCAATTGTTACTTCTTCACCATCAAACAACAGCAAAGCGACTCCGCTCGCGCAACGTCTTGCCAAACCTGTACAGCGCAAATATTCCTAACGAGCAAAGCACCATGCACCCTGCCAGCAAACTCACACCACCATCAATCCCGATACCCTGAAACATGGGCCTTGCGAACAGGATTGCCGCGAAAGCAAACGCACTTCTGCTAAGACTATTGGCGCTGAAGATGCTGGCTGCGTATGTCGGGTAGATGTTGGGAATGTAAAGCAGGACACTTTGAGCGATGAAGTAAATCCCAAAACACGTAAGACCGAGGCCGATTGTAGGTACAATCCAGTGAACCGAAGGTCTTGATGCCCATGCGAACATGAACAAACCTATTGCGATGACCGGACTGGCAATCATACCAGGCCACAGATGGTTCTCGAGCTCGCCGAACGTCCCATTCATGAGGCGTGGGAATACGCGGTATTTGAGGTAGAGCACATGTGCGGCGAAGGCGGTCAGGCACGCTGGGAGAATGCAGAGGAAGATGAGGCCTGTGGACTCGGCATTGAAGTTGTAATACACAGGGTATACGAGGGGTAGGGACTAGGGTAAACGTGTCAGTAAAGGTTAGTTACGATCTGATCAAGGTGAGTACTTGCCTCGAAGAAGGAGTAGTAGATACCATAACACAAACCCATGTACACCGTCGTGAACAAGATAGCAGGATCCAGGGCGTTGATCTCCCAGGGCTTGACAAGCGCATCGAACAGCAGGCTACCGACTTTCATGTTCCTCTGCTTTCGCTCGGAGGCTGACATCAACTCTTGATTCCCGGTATCCTCTCGCATGCGCTTGGCTTTGTAGTACAGGATGGTGGGCCCAGAGCTTTCTGGCAGGATCAACAGTATGGCAAGGTATACAGGACCGGCGATGATGAGCAGTTCCCAGCTCGAGAAGCGCCATCCTAAATCCTTGACAGCATATGAAGATAAAGTCGGACCCAGCGCAGGGCCTAGTGTTGCGACGGCTGCCCAGAGCGCCACAGCGAACGGGAACTCGGCCATGGTCCATATATCTCCGAGAGATGCACCGGCGGTTGCGAGACAGGGCGAGGCCATGACTAAACATTGGAGTACGAAGTTAGCATGTGTCTCACATGCGAGCGATAAGGGGTTTTACTTACATCCTAGAAGGAAACGCAGCACCATTAGACCAGCGAAGTTGTCTACCAGCGCGGTGGGTATGCACAGGATGATGAAGAAAAAGCCGGAAATCGCGTACGGAGGGTTCCTGCCTATGGCTGGTACTTCAGATAACGGTGAGAAGAGCAGACATCCGATACCGTAGCCCAGCACGTAGAGCGCAATGCCCAGCGAAGCAGCAACATGGCTGACACCGAACTTGTCCATGACCGTTTGCTGTGAGGATGTGTATATCGAAGAGCCGACGTACACGGCGAAGGTGTAGACACATAGCAACACAGTCACAAGTATCTTGTGAGATTGAGGCCAGTTCTGAGGGTTGCTTGGGTCGCTTGGTCCATTCCAATCGACAAGCGTAGTTTGATGCTGCTTAAGCTCTGTACCGATAGCCGCGTCTGTGATGCCTTCCTTCGGGAAAGGGAGATCGTCGGTTGACGATGAAGCAGATATTGGTTTTGCGGTTGTTCGAGCATAGTCGAATTTACGGTGCTTGATGTAATGTGCTAGAGTTCCGACGCTAGAATGCTTAAAGAGGTAAGACATTTTGGTGATGTTATCGGGGAGGTTATGCGATGAGAAAGGAACGAATATATCTAGAGATAGCAGTCGTTACTCTGAAGTGTTAGATAGGGATGTGACGAGGAGGTTATTAAGGGAGGTGTGCTTGTAGGACGAAGGGCCAAACTGTGGTGTTGTTATACCAATACTGAGAACCTATTCCATGGGCTTATATCCTCCATTGCGGCTGCTACCTTAACTCCACGTCATACGTGCCCAGTATGTCGGTTTGTCAGACTCTTTTGCGCAACGCGAGGGTATGGCTCTTGGCACAAGAAAACAACAGAATTCGCACATTTTGTCAGCGGAGATAGACATGGATATGGCGTGCTGTTTGTGCATGTCTCCGGTAGCTCCTGAAGCAGTCACAATCTACAAGGGTAAGTCTTACCCTCCACCACGTACCGGCAGGTTATAGAGCAGGACGCAGGGAGTCCTTGTCCGACCCAATGTTTCCAGCGTTGCGACTCGTCGGATGCTTTTCTGACGGTGGTTCAACGAAAGTACGTGTGGTATTAGCGGAGTAAGCGGACATAAAACGTGATCGGAGGTAAGATCTAATGATTCATCGACCAATACCTGCGACATGTGTAAGGGAAATACATAGCAGATTCTTGTTTAAGCGGACGAATGCACGCAGCGGTCCGAGATGTGTATGCTTGGTACACTGGATCGGTGTGATGCAAGCCAGGTAAGCCAATGTACCACCCGAAGGATATGCCTCACTGACGAATTCTCAGGCTATCCGGCCGCGACGCTTGTGCAAAGGCAATATGAGGGTCCGATTGGCCCTCGAGACTACCCAAAGCAAGCTTGGTAAGGCGTCAATGTGGAGATCTCGACGACCTTTCGATGGAAACATTCGATGATTTTCGTCCGAAGTTATAGAAAGTCTCCGATATTTGTAAGTCGATCCCGTGTGTACCAAAAACCAGGTTCAGTGCAGCTGACAAAAAAAAAGGGCTGAACAGTCGAATGTCGCCATTGGAGGAGGTGGCTGCCTGCAGTTTCTTCTATTCGTCGGGAAGCCAGATCCTGCCGGGATCGTGTAAGCACCGGGGTGCCTTATCGCGGACTCACACATGCATGAACGACGTAGAGAAGATAATGTTATTCAGCGCGCCCTTCCCATCGCAACGATCGGTTTTCAGTCGCTTCGAATAGAGCTGTATGCGAGGTGATTACATGATGACGGTGGTTGTCCGAAGTGAGATCGCTTATAGACTAGCGCCCTGGCACAGAAGCTTTGACAGCTGGAGAACTTTGGCACTCTGAGCAAAGAAAGATAGTCAACTTGTGAGTGTTCATTATTGGCTGCAGAAGGGTTGCTTCTTGCAGAGGGCGGAAGCTTCGGGTGTAGGAGCGATGGTAGGAGTGATATCCGCATTATGCTCGTCTACCTTCATTCAGTCTACTGTGCAGTCGAAGCGGTTGTAATTGGGCGCGAGCTCGAGCCTCCAGCACAGCCGCCAGTTGCAGCGCCGTTCACTATCGTGCTTCCTCTACCCATCTTCTCTCTACCAGCACCTTTGATATTGCCAGACCAGAGTAGAGCTCAGTACAAAAGCCAAGTGTTCACTGGCCAATGCAGCTGACGATGCAGCCTTGATGAAGATGCTGCACAGCGCCTTTCCTGATGCCCATGCTCATCTACATCATGCGCTTTCCTTACAATCGGCGTTCAGTTAACCAAATTCTCCACCAAGTCTACAAGCGCAAAGACATCCGCAGCTGCGATGCAAAGATCACGGCCTATGCGGTTGGCGTGCATTGACCTGACCTCCGTGGCTGCAGCAATTGCACAGCCTCGTCGCAGGTCGCTTTTATTCCGATCAATCAATTCAATCCCGAACATTGATGTCCTATCAGAAATTGAGTATGTGTGCGGCGCACACAAGGCTGATCCGTCAGATGGCGCTGCGGGGTTACGAGGCAGGCGCATAGATGGACACATCGGATGTACAGCCTGATTTGGGGGCGGCTGAGCGACAACCTTGAGGTTGGTCCCACGTCTCTTAAGCCATCCTACAGTCCTGCTCTTCCTCAAAACTCTCAAATCTGCCAGACCTTGAATTGCAAAACATACCCAGAAGTTATGTCGATCATATCTCCCCTGGCAGAAACAGCCGACAGCTACGATGGACGTAGAAAGAGGATTATGACTGGGTCAACACAAGGTGATTGGACGCCCATTCCGGAGATGGATCCAAACCGACCATATATCACTCAAACAGCAAGTGAGCTAGCTCTAAACTCTGGCGACTCGAACGACTCGGACATTGACAATGACGACAAATCGTACCTAAATGAGATGCCACATACAATGGAAAGTATGGCCAAGGGGAAACGCATGCTTCCAGTGTGCGATCGCTGTAAGCGCTTGCGCATATTCTGTAGAAATAGAGAGACGAAGAACCTTACGGCATGTATAGCCTGTACAAAGGAACACGCAGAATGCTCGTGGAAAGATATCAAAGCGAGCGAGTTGCGTCATGAAAAAGACGGCATTACACCCCCTAAGTCGCGATCGGCTACTGAGAATACTTCTTTGAAACCTTTTCCCGTCTTCATCTCGACGGGTGATGGCACATACTATACCAACTCAACTATACATCGACCCTACCTTCAGCCTCACCAGAATTCATCGCACGAACCATATCAAAAGCAGTTCGAGTCTGAGCACCCATCCACAGAGTGGGAAAATCCAGTCCAATGGCCACGTGTTGTAAACTCTCGACCGAAGCCGCAGTGTTGGGAGCACGGGTGCAACGGACGACAGTTCTCTACGTTCGCTAACCTTCTACGCCATCAACGAGAAAAATCAGGAACTTCGTCAAAAAGTTGCTGTCCTAAGTGTGGAGCTGAGTTCACACGCACTACTGCAAGAAACAGACACATGGCGCATGATAAATGCAAGCGACCAGTCGCGCCAGTCGACACCTATCCGCCTGCATCTGCGTATCTGGAGGATGATTATACACGTGACAGGGAGCTTCGCGGACCTCGTATCGTTCTAGTGTCGCCACATTCGAAGCCACTGCCATCGAAAGAAGATTTCGTGGAGAATAAGACTGATGAAGACATCAGACACTTGTCAGGAACTGGAATGAAACAGGACAATTTGATAGCGGACAAAGGAAACACGCAGGCTCGCGCTGAAGAAGTCCATGTTAAGGCTAAAGGTATACCCGGCATCCTTCGCAAACCTACCGAAAAGTTTCCTGAGGACCCCGAACCCATCCGCGAGGGCGTTGCACCCCACAAGGACGCCTTGAAGGGAAAGGACATTCCTGTCGGTACGCGCTGGACAAGAATCGATCGTCGTCTAGTTAATCCTGCCGCTTTAGAGGAATCTAAGGAACGTTTCGAAGAGCGCATGGATTGTGTAATAGTTCTGCGTGTCTTGAGAAAAGAAGAGATACAAAAACTCGCCAATCGTACGAAAGAACTCCGGATGGAACGCGAGGCCCGTGAGGCCTATGGAACTTCATCCATCGCTAAAGATGCAGATGCCAACCATGGATCAGAAAAAGATGAAATTGAGCTGATCCCGTCTATTACTGTCGAATCTCGATCCAAGGATTTTCACCGGCCTGACGAGGACACTCATAGGTGGCCGGAAGTTCCTGGCGAGCTCCTGAGCAAAAGTGATTCTGAACGAACAAATCGCCAGTACACCAAATCTAACGAAGAAACGGAAAGCAGCATATACGAGGCGAGCGTTGCATCTGTACCAGAGCCCCAGGAAGCCAATCTTCAGCAGTCACCAAACGGCTCTCAGACTAGTCCTACGTTTGAAGACTTGGAGCAGGCAATGAATCTAGTTCATGAGGATCAGGACTTTATGGAGATACAGCGTCAGCCTTTTGATGCTCGGGACTTCTATGAAGAAGATACCACAGATGATGAGGAAAGTGACGACAATGGCATGCTTCCCCGCGCCAAGCAGCGACGAACTGCCTTCTACGACTATACTGTAGAGAAGCAGATGAGCCACGCTGAAGCCAAGCAATTCTATCAACGGCATCAACTAGAGACGCAATATGGAAGCTCACAAGCGGGAGACGCAGACAACAATGTCGACGAAGAACAAGGAAATCTTGATGGAAGGCCTGTGTCTCGGGAAATACTAGCGGAGGTAAAAACTGCTACAGCCGTACATGATCCACAAACAAGGTTGCCAGATACGGGTATTGGACTTGATGGAGAAGAGAAGGGAGCAGCCGATGGAACCGTAAGAATTGTGCACATAGAAATCGAACCAGTTCTGCCGGTAAAAAACCGTGGCTTCGTCGACAGCTGGTTGGATACGACACGCACGGGTGAAAGTACTGATAAGAGTGTTGAGTGGGACTACAATGACAGCGCGTCCGGACCATCTTCTTACGCAGCATCGGTGGCCTCACTCTTTTCGGTTGCTTCTCTAGCATCCTCGGCATCAGATATATCAAAGGGCAGTGGCTACTCTGCAGTTCAGATTGCAACAGCTACGAAGGTACTACTCTCAATTTTCTACGAAGACGAAGTGCTGTTGTCGTTATATGAGAGTGCTATAGGAAACCCGAACATCGGACCCGAAAGACTGGAAAGGAATTTACGCCGACTCTTTCGAGCATACGCCAGCCTTTTAGAAGGTGAAGCGACTGAAAGACTAGAGCATCTAGCATCGCGGCTTGTGCACGCAAAATCGGCTTCCCTAGCACAATCTGTTGTCGAGAAGTTGAAAAATGATCGTGCAAGCACGCAATTACCTCCAAGCGAATGCGACAATGGGAGCTCTGGCGAAGAAGATGATGATGGTATTGATTCGCGCCCAGTCAACGAAGACGCTTTCGAGGATTTGGTGACCTTTCGGGAATTCTTGGTCGAGAGCGAAGCGTTCGAAACTTTCCGTAACCAACTGCATGCATTTGTAACACCCAATCCACTACAAACAGATCGAACAGAGATGGTCGCAAAAGAGGCGTTAGGTTGCGACCAAAGCATTGCTAAGAACGATGTCTCGAAGCCGCCTGCTCCGTCCGAGACGATGTCGTCGTCCTGGAACGAATGGATCAAAGATATCAGCCAGGCTTTGAGTACGTCTTCCAGCGGAGCATGTCAATATCTTCTTACTGCTATCGGCCTTTACCTTACACTGGATGATTTGTTCCTTACCAAAGACCATCTATTAGCAACTATGGGACTTCTCGAGCTAGCGCTGGACCAAAACAAGACTCGTCTGCGCTGGCGATGTGTAAGTTTCCTGTTCACACTGAAGTCTCCACGGATTATAATGGATTGCTGACCGCTTCATAGAGATGTGGTGACTCCATGTACAGCGACATAATGGAGCTTCGCGAAGGCGGTATAGCCGAGCTAATCGACCATATGCAACGTTCTTCTGGCGCCAAAGTGCACGCAACACCATACAGCCACCAATCTGGAAATCAGCAGTACATTGTCCCGCGCCCTGACCGATGGCTTCGGAGCGCAGTCACCAAGATAGGTTCGACATTCGGAGGGTCTTCGAAGTCATCGTCATCATGTCTTCCACAACACAACGCACCATATGCAACAACCCCTTGCTCGACTTCCAGTACCTCAACTCCTCAGAAGAAGATACTTCACCTCTCAATGTGCATGCACCGCACCCGACGCCGTAAGATAGTCAAACAAGACCGCGTCGAAGACATCACCACTGATCGTACACTATTACGCTTCCTCCAGCAGCAGTATACCGCCCATCGCGGCCGCTTTCTCAATATCGCGCGTCTGAAAACCGTACAACGCATCGTTTTCGTCAAGTTCCGGCTCCCAATGGGCGGCAGCGTCGATGTGCAACACCACTTGTACTGTATTGCCGACCCGGCAAATTGGAAGTACTGCGAGTGCACTCCGCCCCCAAACAAGGTTGGTGTGGAGTATGAGTACTCTCCTAGCCCACCCAAAACGCACCCTCCGATTCCCCCAGAGTACCTGGCGAGTCTGTTCACATGCGCTACGGATGTTCATGAGGAGGATGACTGGATTCTCAATCAATTACCAAAACGCATGTGTGGTATTCTCCAAGGCCAGAAGGGGCAACCGGCGGAAGGATGGGGGATCTACTTTCTCGAGGGATGGGATCGCGAAATCATCTCCCTACTCATACTCTTGATATTCGTTGTCGCAAGCTTACTATTCGGCGTTCTCTGGTGGAAATTCCAGTTTGACCTACAAGGCGGATTTGGTGTCTCTGCATACATGATTGCAGTTTGTACGATTGTCATTTCCATTGTCGTTACGCGGTTGGAGAATAAGGGGTGAATCTGTGTATGCTAACTTTCAATCATTGAGAGGGTTAGATTAAGGGACTGAAGAGTGTAAAATATCATGGTTCAGGCGCAGCGTTACTAAGAAGTTGTCGTTGGGTAGCTTTGGTACGTGGGTTTGAGCTTGGGACTAACGCAGACAATGACAACAATCTCACGATGACATCGTACGGGAAGTTTGAAACTTGATGATTGATGTTGATTCATATCAATGTATGCGAAGCTACCCAAAACCTCTCAAGCCGCAGAGGGCCAAAACTGTAACAATGCTATAGAACAAACGCCGTTGGGGGTATATATAGTACCCAGAAAACTTCCCACAAGATGGTCGTATATGTCATTATAGAACCTTTCGTGTTCTCACTCCCACGAAACACTCCATCGCTCCGTCCACAACCTAGACGCGCGACCTAAACGGCTCATAGGCAGTCGGTGCTCCCATCTTGGGCGTCTCCTTCTGACTGCTAGGCCACTGGTGCATCTGATGGCCGCTCTGACCAAAAGCCGGGCTGGCAACCCTCTCATACGTGTACGGTGTCTTCTCCACCACCATCTTCTTGTGACTGCTCTTTCCGCTGCAGCAGCATACGCTGATGAGCCAGAAGAAACCAGAGCCGATGGAAAAGGCGACGGCGAGCCAGAGGACGGAGAGCATTTGGGAACCCATGGATGAGCCGATGTTGTAGGGCTCGAGGACAGTCTTGAAGACGCCGGTTATGGTGCCGTAAATTGCTGTTGCGGTTGCAGCGGCGAGGATGGCGAAGATGGTTTGTGCCTGTGGGTCGTTAGTGAGGATTTGGAGGGGAGGGGAAAGAGAAGACTTACGGTAGAGATGACAGTAGTAACAAGGCTACCCCATCTCGAGAAAATGGCAAAGAAGCCAACCACGAACTCCACAGCGGTCAAAACCAGGGTAATAACAAAGGCCCAGTTCATCCATCCAGCAGCCTTCTTGTATGCGTTCATGCCACTGTCATATTTATCCCCAAGGACCTCCTGGATGTTGGTGTTGTTCATCTGCCAGATAGCCAGGGGATCGAAGTGGAACTGGAATTTGCGCGCAGAGCAGTATGTGATGGTCTCCTTGCCGGACTCCGCATCGCGGTCGCCCTCGCAGTAGGAGAAGAGGCCGACTTGGTAGAAGTCCTTGAGTTCCTTGGAGGAAAGCTTGCCTTTCAGGGCATCGAGGAATTCTTTTGCGCTGTCCGGCGTGATGCCGTCAGGGATCTTGTCGGCGAGGGTATCGGGGTCGGCCGTTATGTTTCCGGTATTCGCCTGTCATAGTATTAGATGTGCTCGGGTATGAGACTGCGAGGAGACATACCTTGAAGAAATATAGGTCGCGCCCCAAGGCTGTTGTTGGTGCATTATTGCCTGACCAAGGTGTTTGGCCTAGCATGACAATGACGAAGCATATTAAAGATGCGAGGGTAAGGCACATAGGCGTGAGGATACACGCGAAGCGCCCGACTTTGCCCATGTTTGCGGTGGTTGTTGTTGTTGTGGTGGTGGTGGTGGTGTTGCGGTGATGGTAACCAAGCAAGGCTGACTGATGTCACTCAGGAAGCAGCGTCAAACGACTGGTGGGTGGTAGCGATTGTGAATCCGCGGTCGTGGCTGGGTCACCCGTGGATATGAGTAGGTAAACAAGAGCTAAATGTCAAACGACGGAACGATGAGTGTGTAGACAAGCCAATGCGGGTCGCCACGAGCTTTTGTACAAACTGCTTCAGCTGAAATGCGCAAGGCAATGTGCCCAGGCGAAGGGGGCTGAGCGGCGACATAGCTGGGGACTGGGGGTCTGTGCGCGGCGGGATCTAAGTGGCTGATCCTGGGTTAGCGTTCACCAGCCTCAATGGGCTTGCGACAGTTATGGCATGTGCTGGTCTGAGAGTGCTGACACAACTATGCTCATGTAGGATAGTAGTGTGCATGTGGTGTTGGCGTAGAAGCACTGCCGGTGAGGGTGCGTGTTGCTACGCCTTGAGCACGGTGTTATATCGGTCTTGAGGCCACGCAGGTACCATTTGTGAAGCTTCCATGAATGTTATAGCCACATACAGCAGTCACTACTTGATGCATAATCCTGATATTCCAACATTGCATTTTCGACGTATCCAAGACTGTGCCAAACAAACACACGATTATTAAGGTACAAAACCCTCATATAGCCGTTTCAGCCCTCCAGGATACCGTCAGCTCGGCCCAACCCCACCCGACGAAAGAACGCAAAGCGCGGAAGAACGACGGCAGTACTTCGCACAATTACCAAACACCACTGCCTTGGGTCCAGACCTAAAATCCACCTTGGAAGGCACTTGGGCAAAACTCTTCAGAGGCACAGTCGCAGAGCCTCATAGTTCCTCGTCACCAAATCTGAAGTTTTGCTTGGCGAAGAGGGCCTGACTGTCGTCTCACACAAGTCACTCCAATTCCTTCGAATGCTGGTTATTTTTAGGTCATTTTCCCTGCGCTGGATACACTAGCCTCTTTGGGGAAAGAGCTGGAGAAACGAACGGCCCGCCTGATGATGCTGATCTTACATGATTCGTACCATTGTTCATTCTCGTGTGCAAGCAAAATCTTGGAGATGAAACTGGACGTAGTAATACATGACGTTTGCTTTCTTGCATCATGAATTTCTTCGTCTGTTTGACGTTTGAAATGTAGGTTTCGACAATAAAGGGTGGACCCTGGAGATCTCCTTCCGTGTTCTTGACCAGCCTGCGTACTCTTAACGCGCGTCCCCGCAAATCCTTCACCTACCGACTTTGATCAGCTTTCACCCTAGTCACACAACCACGCAAGTTGTTGGGGTGGGAAATGGTGGAAACGGGGCATGTGGTTTGCAGAAACATCGCCAATCTTGGCTCTGATTTTCTATCTCGCATCCTATCGCACTAATCGTGCAGCAAGCCCTGTATCTTGGGCGTTGTGGACGCGCGTCAACCCCTCTTACACACCACCACCACAACAGCTCTCTGCCACGGATCCCCACACCGCCCGTGTGCAACACATCCTTCTCTACAAAGGTGCCAGCATTGCGACGAATGCCTGAAACGTGAAGCTCATACGTCGTGCGTACAAGTACCAAAAAATGCTCGTAAACATACAGAAAAGACATAGGAGATATTGCAAATCGTAATCCAAAATGGCAAAATGGTATAAACAGTGCCGCAAAAACCCCGCGTGCACACAAACAAGTCGAAGTGAAGAATGCAGTGAAGCAACGGAAAATCCGTCGCCAACGTGATGCCAAATAAATGATAGGAAAAGCCTCTGCTGAGGTAGGTTGCAGACATTAAAGGTTATCGCTTATGTCTCTTGGATATTGCGCCAGGAACGCCAGCGCAAATGAATCGAAATGACGATGAATCCCAGGCTCTATGTTTGTACAGGCGGGAGTGTCGTCCGCGTAACGAATGTCGCGGGGCCATGTTGGAAGGGTATCTCGACTTCTATCGAGCTCTACATGCTCGAGAACTAGGTGCGGTGCACTGTCGCGTGACTCGGCTTACGTTGTAGGCATGGTGCGATGGAAAGATACCACGTGTGGTGAATCGAAGGTGGGGGTCGCCAATGCTTTCAACGCGGGTGCTGGTTTCGAGGGTCTTGCTGGTTCTGTTGCTGTCCCCCTTCGCCGCGCGCTCGTATCCATTGGGCGTTGCCGCTCATACGACCTTCTAATGCCTTTTGGGCATCTGGGTCTAGGCGGCGAGTGACCTGAGCGTTGATAATGTCCTCGGGCCTGAGTTTGCTGACGGCGTGTGCAATGGATGAGATGACGCTGGCACGAAGCTCCTTGGCTTCGCGGATGTCTTCGCCTTGCAGGCGGAACTTGTCCTGCTTGGACATGTTGGCGCGTCGTGTTGCTCGAATCTCGTCCATGATGTGGAGAAGGACTGCCTCTGGTGCGCGATTGCGCTCGGCAGCGTGCTTGGCGTCGCGGACGTATCGGCGAGTGACGTCCATGGCACCATCAGCAGAGAAGGCGATGCAGTATGAGAGCTTCTTGCCCCAGCCTGAGAATTCTGTTAGTAGATGAAGGATGGGTGTTGAAGAAGCAACGTACCATCAGTGTATAACCGGGGCTTGTCCCATGCCTCTTCGCAGGCGTCTACATGCACCCATCGCTTACGGTGCACAGAGTAGACTTCGGTCCAGACGTGGTCCTCTGCGTTCCAAACCCAGCGTACTCTTGAGCCGACAGCGCGGCAGAGCATGCTGAAGCAGTTGGCCCACTCACCACATCGACCTTTGCGGGTTTGCAAAAGGACAAATGCGTCGTTGTATCGTGGGAAACGCTCGTAGTTTTTGCAGCCGTCGTGCGAGCATTGGTAAGCCTCGACCTGGTTGGCGCCACGGGCTTGTTCGTCGGGTAGTGGTGGAGTGATGCCAACGGCAACGGTTGGTGAGTAGCATCTCGAGCAGGGTGGGTTGTTGACCCAGGAGAAGAAGGATCGCTTGAACCATCGGAGTAGTGCACGGACGACGCAGTCTTGGTAGCCCCAGGCAGCCTTCTTTCCCATGCTCTCGCCCTCGGCCTGCAGTATTTGACTCTCCTCCTCGGCCTCGTTGTAGATTTGCTCGAGCGGGATGACGCGAAGGGCCTCGTCGAGGAGTCCGGGGTTTTCCCATCGTACGGGCATGTTGGAGAGCGAGTGCAGCATGTTCTTGAAGCGGAGCGATCGCGCGTCACGGGGCGCCTCAGGGACGAGCGGAATGTTCCTGATGGAAGCGTACGTGGGCGGGGCAGACTGCGATGGCGGCGGCTGCGGTGTTCCAAAATCCCTCGGTGCTGGTGACGAAGAGCGTGAGTGAGATGACCGTGATGTGAGTTCGTTCATGCGCTTTGTGCTGAGGACCTGGCGAAACTGCTCCGTCATCTCGGCGGCCAGCCTGTCAGTATCGACATGTTGTTGTTGTTGTTGTTGTTGTTGAGCGCGGTGGGCGCTGTTGTTGTATTCCATCGTGGGCGGGTGCGAGCTGCAGTCGCAGTGTCGTTGTGCGCGGTGATGGGGTGTGCAGGTGTTGGTGGGCGGGTGACGGGGTGTCGTTGGTGTATAGCGTGGTCGACAGGCTGCGGATTGGCAGTGCACAGCCCGATGATGGCAGCGGCGCAGCAACGAGATAGCCACAGGCAGATATTCTGGGAACTCTGCTGGTCGTGGGCGCGAAGAGATGGGATTGTCTCTACTCTCTCGTTGCAGGCGGCAATGCAGCGCTGGATGACACGGTTTTGGTCGTCGATAGGTGGTGGAGTCGTAGGTTGGACAGGTGCGGATGAGGGTAATTGATTGAGGGATGGGGCAAGACGACGACGACTCGCGCTTACCGCAAATGGACGGGTTGACGCGGCCCTGTCGCGGCTTCCACATGTCTAGAACCCACAACACCCACCACCCGCCCAAAAGCCTTGCAACCACGCAACAACAGTCAGATCAGCGTAGCATCATCTCTGATTACCATCCGCCTGCGCATCAACGCGTTACCTCCGTTGTCGCTCTCCGCGTGTACAGCTTATTTCTAATCTGATGCCTTCCACGTTGCTTCTGCCCTCTTCTGCCATTTCTACTGTGCACTCCCCAACGCAGGGGCAGGCGACGCTTCGCTAAGCGTGGCAGATTCGCACTACAGCTTGCGCAATCTTCAGTGAACCACTGTACCCTCTAGAATCGATTGGCTTGGCATCAGCGTCGCAATCACCACTCGTTCTCGCCCTCAATGGTTTCGTGCGTCGTGCCAAGCACACTTTGCTCAGTCTCGAAGCTACTCAAGCTTTGCTGGCGTTAAATTTCAACTATACGTACACCAGCTTACGGTGGACTATCATGGACTACTCCTTTGGAGTTGCTCAATCATTTTGTCCTCACGTTGCCATGACGCGCCCTTGCCGTATTACGTTATCGCTTTCTCCACGGCCCGCTGCGAGAAGAGCTGCGTTGGCGCTACTCCCTACTGCTGTACACGTCTTCAATAGTACAATGGGTACATTCATCTCGCGAGTTTCGCGACTGCACGCGAACGCGAGCGCTCCGTCTTCAATCTCCCCTGTCCTTTGTTGCTTCCTCTTGCGGCTACCTTTGCGGCGCGCCTTAGTGGACTAGTGGAGACGTTGATCTTCGCTAGCCACGCGTCCGTCTACACCCAGACTCCACCATCACACTGACCACGACCGTTTGACTATCAAATTTGCAGCAATTGGTGGAGAGTTGGCAACAACGCCACCATCCTCTCCAACACTATCGTGAAAGTCTTGATGCTTTTTGCAAGTATTTGCATTCAAGTTAGGTCTTCAGTCGCCTCCTCAGCTCCCTACAAGGCGCAGACGCGGCACGGAGCTTCTATGTGGCGTAACTCTCGGAGATCGACTGCAAGTCATAACCCGATTACGACGTATGCGACAGAGCATTGCCTGCCTCATCATTAGATCCCGTACGTGCATACGATCTTCCAGAACTAACTGTTCCATTGTCCCGCAATCCTACTCATGTGCAAGGCTGAGCAGTTGCCGTCTCAAGTCATACAATCTTGCCTGCACGCTGGTGGGTAAAGAAGAAACAGATATATCATCAACACCTGCAGGCAAAGCAGATTACAGCCAGCACGCCAGTGTAGTGCAAAGACCTGAGTCTACGCGTCCACGCTCGAACGCACTCGAAACATCACCCTTCATTGGTGACTCTGACAAACACGATATTCGTACTGTGGAAAACCGATAACGATTCCGACCCACACCTGCTTTTTCCTTCGATGGCCTTCTAGCTACCCGTCACCGCTTCTTCATGATTCAGTCCGGGATGGTCCGTTGGTGAAGTTCAAGGAAGTATCTTCATCCTCGCCTCCACATTCCGTCTTCATCATGAAAAACGTTACAGGGGACGTATACTCAACGATTTTCTACAAGGATCCTCCGGCGACGTTGTCGGTCTTTCATCGAACTTTCCGTGTCAGTCAATGATGAATCACTGGGTTGCGACTCGGGTCTCAGAAAAGCCGCAGCACGACCGGGGAAGCTGACGTGGACCGTGGTTCAAATACACACCCAACGTACGTAGCACACGGTAGAGTACGTGTACCACGGCAAATACTCGCAGGATACGTGTACCTCGAGCGCACGCCTTACGCCCGGAGGCCGCACGCACACACAAGTCTGTACGCGTACGCCGTCAGGCCTCGTGACAAGTTTTGATGCTTAGTCGATTTTGGGACGGTGAGTATAAAGTCTACTGATTGACGACCTGATGTTGTGTGCGGAGCCGCAGTATAGTGATGATCTTAGATTGTCAACACGATCCCAGTGAGCCCCTGTTAAAGAGGGAAAGGACCCGATGAAAGTGCTCAAGCCACCGTGAAAGAGTGATGGGAACGTCATGAGCGACGGCTCCTTGTCGCTAATCATAGACAATGTGTCACTTGTGGAGATTAGGTTTCAGTCTTGGATTACGCAAGCATGAAGCAACCTTTCATTCAAAGCCAAGAGGTATCCCAATATCATGTCATTATCATATCGTACTCCCCGCCAAAAGAGCAATGGCAACCCTTGCCATAACCAAGCACCGTGAACACCTAGTCCAGTCACGATATCATCACATCACAAGCCCGCCTTGACGACCAAAACACTAGCCCCCAGTTTCCCCTCCCAAACCTTCTCAGCAAGCACACCTAGTGTACCCGCCGCACTCGAACTACTCCTTATCTCATCTGCAGTATTCTCCCTCTCCAACACACTATTCCTCGCAACGTTCCTCCCCAGCACGATCAGATCACCTGCGTTTCTCGGCGACTGACCAACCTCTATACTCGCGCGGGCAACAACGTCTTGAACCGGCGCAGTGGATGCCACAGTCTCGAAGACAACGCGGTTCGCCAGGTCGACGGGAAGTGAGGCGCGTAGCGAAGCGAAGAAGGCTGCGTCTTGTTCGCGGGATGTAGTCGTCGTTGTTGTCGTTACAGCCTCTCCGTTTTTCCCTAGCACCGTTGAAGAGACTGGTGTAGTACTTGAGAGAGGACCGATGACAGACTCTGGAACATCGAAATAGACAACTGTAGCAGTAACCTGCGGGTTCTCTGCTAGTTGGAGAACTAAGCGCAGCGCAGTTCTATCATCGTTCCCGCCAAAGAAGGGGAAGAAGACGTGGTGGCTTCGATCCGCAATGGGTGCTGTAACCGCCTTATCCCTAGCACTAGACAGACTAACGCTGCTGTATGTTCTGGTAAGCTTCAATCGCTGTTTTTGTTCTTTGTTCTTGCTGCCGCCAAAGTTCTTGTTGATCAGTACGGCGACGGGTATGCTAGCTTGTTCGAGCGTCTCATGCACAAACGAGTTGTAACTTGAGGCGGCGAGCTTGTTCTTCGTTCCCTTGTCTTCGATGATGGCTTGTTCAGACATGCCGCCTGTTTCGCTCCAAGGTAGAACCAGGAAGTTGGAGTCTGAAGCACGCGTTGCGAGAGTTTCAGCGAAGGAGGATTCTGGTACAACGAGTACTTCGCCGCTGACGGCTAGGTTGTGAAGGCGACCAAATGTGCGGAAAGTGTTTACGACGGGGTCGTACGCTGTGTAGGATTCTAGTTCAGAGACCTGCATGACGGAGGAGCCACGGTCGGTGAGGTTGAGTAGGCGGAGACCGTAGGCTTCTACTGGTCGTGATGGTGCGGTTTCGATCAATGACGTTTCACCCGTCTCTTTGCTTGTGCTGATATCTTTGGAAGGGTGGGTCTTGGGCGCTGGCTTATCTGTGTTTCCTCCAAAGAGCGAGGTGAAGGCTAGCAGATTGGGCATACTGTCCAGACGGAGGTAGATGGTCATCCGTTGGATCTTTTCGGCTGCCATCTTTTCGTAATTCACACCATCTACACCATCTTCGTGGTCGAGAGGCTTGCCAGTGTCCCAGTCAATCTCACCGCGACGCCACGCCTCGACCTTCTTTTGGTACCACGGGGGGTAGAAGTACATGGTCAATGGAGAAGACGCAAAGGTAGTGACAAGGGCCATGACGACGAAGATGGTGAAGGTACGGGTGCTGAGGATTTTGGCATTGAGTCCGATGTTCTGTGACTGTTAGTGCTGGCCCAATGGTGTGAGTAGTATTTGCCTACCAAGACGATGAGTTCCACCAATCCCTTACAACTCATCAATGACCCCACGGCGAAACATTCTCTCCATAGCATCTTGCTCCCGCGAGCTGCGAGTGTAGCACTGAGGAACTTGGAGAAGAACGCTACAGCGCAGACGCCGATGACGTACCCCCAAACGATACCAGAATCCAACAGGCCGATGTTCGTGTTCAACCCCGAGAGAGTGAAGTAAAGCGGTAGGAAGAGTGCGCCGATCAGATCCTCAATCTTCTCAGCAACTTTGATGGCAAAACCACCTTCGTGCGGACAGATCAGCCCAGCCATGAACGCTCCAAAGATGGGATGGACACCGATGATGCCGGTGAAGAAGGCGGAACCCAGAGCAATGAGCAGGGTAAGACTGATAATGCCTTGACTGGGACCATCCTGGAGTGCGCGCTGGCGACGCAAGATGTATATGAAAGCTGGTCGGACGGCGTATACAAGGAAGAGCATGTATCCAAAGCACGTGAGAAGGACCCACAGTGCTGATAGACCCGAGCCAGCGTTGACGAGGGCCACGCAAAGGGCAAGTAGAATCCATCCTGTAGGGGATTAGTCAGGCGGCTACAAGAGATATCATGATGTATGGCCTACCAACAACGTCATTGCCGACGCCAGCCGAGAGAACGATGATACCAACTGGAGTCATGAGCAGTTTCAACTCTGTCAAGATACGACAAAGTACAGGGAAGGCCTGTTCCCGTTAGTGAAGAACAGGTTCTCGTGTCTTTCAACACTTACAGTAATAGCCATGGCCACTCCGATGAACAGCATAAAGATGGCAAAGTCAATCTGAACCGTACCCGGCTCATCCTTGAACTCATTGTACAAGCCCACAGCGATAGCGCAACCCAGTCCAAACGGAATAGCCATACTCGCCAAACCAACATTGAGCGCTGGTCTCCAATTGCTCAACAAGAATCGTAGATCTACTTCCAATCCGATGATGAACAGAAATAGGGTGAGACCGAGATTTGCAACCAGGTTCAAGTTGGTCATGGATTCGGCTGGGAAGATGGCGGCTTGGAAGCCGGGGATCCGGCCCATGACAGATGGACCTAGAATGATGCCGCCGATGATTTCGGATATCACACGAGGTTGGCGAATCTTGGAGAGGGGCCAGTTGAGTGCGCGGCAGAAGATGATGATGATGCCTGCCTATGTTGTGCATCATGGTTAGTATCCTTGATTTTTCGTGACTTTAGAGCAACCGTAACATACCTGAACAATGAACAGAATAATCGGATGGTTCTTGTCGAAATGCACTGGATTGACACCCTCGAGGATACCTGCTTGCGGCGGAGCCTTGATGGGCGCCGTAGGCGCCGCACTCGCCGACGCTGCTATGGAAGACATGTCGAACCAGCGAGTCTGTGGTGGTAGTGGTAAGAGTATAAGAACGTCTAATCCCCCCACAAAAAGTTTCCCCAGAGTGCGAAGAACGCTGAACGTGAAGAGAAAGCGAATTCCAGGTTCTTTAACAATCAACGGTAAAAGCAGACGATGTTCAAAAGGGCCCCAGCGCTATCTTAATGCCCGGAAATCCTAGGTCGCAAAGGGTAGCGAGCGTCAGCCCAGGGTCTAGGCGTGTCTTCGCATCGTCTCTTGGGTTCAACGTTGTTCGCGCGGTGGGCGGGCATGCAGGCTGCGGGCTGCGGAAGCTAACAGGATGCACTTGGGAAATGCGCGGCTGTGATTGCGTGCTGAGCTGTAGAAGCTGCCATGTGATTGCGGAGTAGTCCCTCGTGCTGTAGTCGTACGGACCTTGCTGCATGGCACGCATGGCTTCACCGCTCACCTGCCAGTCTACATTGGTGAAAGGAAGTGTGGCGCGGTGCTCATGGGCTTGGTTCCGCTTGTTCGCCAAGTGTGGGAGTCGTAAGCCAACCCAATGGGGGTCAGGCGATAGCTGATCGACAGGGTATCGCGCTGCACGCCAGCTGCGATGTTCAGAGCAAGAAGACTCCCACATCAAGATCCTGCGCCAAGGTTAACAGCCGGTCCTTCTGGATGTTTTGGTGGAGTTGGGGTGCTCAGATGACATGAGGTGAGGGAATTTGAGTTCAGGGTCCGCTTGTCCACACCGGATTGCGGAGGCGGGAGTCACCAGGCCGTTGTGTCACCATGACCTTGTTGGTGGCACCATCAGCGCATGGACAGGAAGGTTCCACGAAGCTGCAAAGCACACGCAAAGTAAACAAGCAATCTCGCGTTGAATTTGTTTCATCATATTGACACCATATAGAGGCCGGTATCAACTTCTAGAGCTTTCACCTTCGACACATGTGGCAAGTCTGCACAGTATGCATGAGGCTGGTTGTAGTATCTATTTTATCAGTCTAAGCTTCTCTGTTTCACTTGGCACTCGTCATTGAGAAGCTCGTATCCTCAAATGTTGTACTTACAATGTACCATTGAGACATTCGCCAAGGTTTGTCTTTTGTTCGCCAATATTTACAAAGGTGCGAATACTCTCAGGCTCAGCATTGCTACCAAGTGCTACATATGTACAATTGAGAAAATACACGCTTCCTCATAGCCGTCTAGCACCCAATTCTGCTCCCACTAACAACAATGTCATCATACCACATGGTATTAGTATCGCCACCATAGCTCTCCCACCCAAAGTACGCTCCTGTAATCTTTGGCTTAACACTACTCCTTGTCCACTGCCCCGCATTAGGATTCGTCGCTCCCTTGCCCACCGTCAATCCTGGCACCGTTGCGTTGTTCAACCACGTCTCTACGCTACCTGAAACGTTGGTCAGTATTTATCCCACATGACAATCCGTACATCAGGGTGCTTACCATCCGTGCCCAGGTGATATTCAAAGCACGTCCACGCATTCGTTGGCAGCGGCTTCGAGGCCGCAATGCCCTGTGGAGATAGATCGGGCAAGGTAGCATCATCGGTTTCGCGGTTGTACATGAGTATTTTGGATTGGCCGCCTATGCGGAGATGTTTCTTTGCGCCTTGGGCGGAGTCGGGCATGGTGATGAAGGTTACGTGGGAGTCGGTTAGGGCTTTTGAGGCTTTGCTATTAAGGGGAGTTAGTTGGAGGTTTTCTTGACAATCCTTGTCTGAGTGGAAACCTCGAGACGGATGGGATAGGGACGGAGAAGGAGGAGCGAGAGAACGTACACATATGTGCGCACGTATACGTCGCCAGCGGGGATCTTCGTCGTGCCAACGAAGATATGTCCGCAAAACCCTCCTGCTCCATCGACGCGGATGCTGTTCTTGCCTGTATGTGCTGTCGAGCTGTCTAGGGTGACTTTACCACCCTGAGAACAGTCTGGAGCGTAGGTAGGCCATGCAGTTTGATCCCAGCCGTTTTCGAAGCCCTCGGTAACTTGGGCGATGGTAGGAGCCGCGAGGGCTAGGGCGAAGAGAGCTGTTTGTCGAAGCATGGTTTCTATTGAGTCCGTTCTAAAATGTAATTCCACAGTAGTGGTCAACAAAACAACGGCAAAATGCTATCTCTTTATACCTTGAAACCCACAACCCAAGCTTTCTCTTCCGTAGCACAATAGGCATGGTGCCATGCTTGTTCCGTGCTTGTTTCTAGAATATATGAGTATGGCGTTCTAGTGGTTAAAACGTCGGTAGATCGTGCATCTTACCCCAGGTTATTATTCGGCTCCTGTGCCATTTAGATTGCCTCGATATTTAGCGTGGTACCATGTTTATATTACAACGTCACCTGAGAGACGTTTTCCGCCGCCGCTTTCCACCAAGTTTGATTGTGGTAGGCAGGTGCAGATTGCGCCGGACCGGGGCTTGAGGTACGCGTTCCTGGATAGTGAGAATCATGGACGTTTTTGTATTAAATACCCTATTAGGGTACGGGCCTGTCGCGCATCGTCACACCGTGAAGAAATGATTTCAACACTTTTCCATTTCGATAGCTCGTGAGCTAGCCTCTGAAGTTGTATATGAGTAAATCGCAATGCAATTCGGCCAGCGCTACAGAAAACAGCAACAGCCGACTCAAGTCGCTGAGAAGGGAAGACGCCGTGAAGCGCCTACAAAGAGACCAATTTTTCCTAACCAAGGGAAGAAATGACAAACAAGAGAGTTGGGGGTATGCATATCCACCGGGAGGCAGGCGTATTACATATAGTACGGGACCAGCCTTTGTTTAAAAAAGACTAATAAAGGTAGAAGGAGACGGTGGATGTGGGTATAATTGTTTGAGAACGCAGCTGTACTGCCGCCGACCTCTTAACGCTTGAGATGGAGTAGTTATGCCCTGGAGATTATTATGCGGCGGTGTTGGCGGCGGCCTTGTTGACTTGTGTGACGACCACAGCAATGATAACAACGATGATGATGATGAGCAGGATGACAAGGAGGCACCACCACTTCTTGCGGTTACGGCTGCGCGCCTTGACTATGGCACCATCAATCTCGACATTGGCAGCCTGTACGTTGTCGTGGATTTCTTCGCCCTTGGCCTCGATGTTGGCGACGAGCGGCTCTTGCTCCTGGACAATCTGGTCGAGATCCTGGAACAGCTGGGCCAGCTCCACCATTTGACGTTCTATGTTCTGGATGGCTTCGTGTCGCTCTTTGACGTTGCGCAGGGTAGATGAGGCTTGGCCGCGGCGATCTGAGTTAAGGAGCTGGAAGAAATTAGCATTGTCATGTGCCCAATGAATCAAGGATTCTTACAGCCTGCTGGAAAATGGGCGCATCGGGGTCCGCTACTGCGTCTCGGACCTCTTGTTCGGTGGCGTCTGGGCGCACAATGCGGTATTGGCGCTCGGCAGCAGCCTGCGACTCCCTTCGGAAATCCGACTCAAGGGATTGATATCTGTTGATGGTCGCCTTGAGTCTGCGGTCGACCTTGCCGACTTGTGGAGCGTTTCTTGGGTGACCAGAGTCGGGCTTCGACTTGATTGCTTTTACGCGGGTCACGAGGCCACGGTACCCCGTCATGATCTGCGAGCTGAGGTTGTTGATCTCGCCCGAGGGCATGTCTGGCCGCGCCAACGACTGCTTGAAGACACGGTCGAGGTTGCTGAGCTGTGCATCGAGGTCGTCAAGAGCGCGGTCGACTTCGCGGCATTCGTTGAGGATGGCATTGGGGTCCGCGCTTGCGCCACCACCATAGGGTTGCATCTCTACATCGCCTGTACTGTGTTAGACACTTGTTGGGGATGGAGGACATCTAAGGACATACCATAGCCGCCCTGGTCGTAGTTGTTGTAGCCAGCCGGGCTCTGGTCGCGCGAGTCGTAGGGGTTACCGCCATAAGATCCTATCTGGCCGTAGCCTTTGTTTCCGTACTGTTCGTCCGCAGCAGCCATGGTCAGCAAGTGTAAATGTCGGATTCAAATAGAAGGTGTGTTGTAGGAGTGTACAGTGAATTGAGTAGTCTGACAGAGAAGGGACTTACGCTCATTCTGAAACAGATCCTGTATGGTATGAGTGGACGTGAAGACTCCTGAGACAAGCGACTGCAAACGCGTAAAGCACACTAGAGTAGCAGTAGGCTCGTGACTAGGATGGAGGTAAATTGATGTCAAACGCGCTTGAGCTCGAATCAATGCTGTACAAAGGCCGCAGACAGAAGATAAATGTGTTTCAGCTCTTCAAGGGTTTCCTGGGGCTGAGTGTGAGAGTGGAGCGCGCAGATGCAGGAGGCGCCTGGACTAGGCCCAATGGGGATGGTAAGCAGCGGCGCGTCGTTGACCCGCAGCGGCGAAGGTGCCCCAACATCACTCTAAATTTGGCACATTGCAGATAACCTTTGGCGTCTGGAAGGATTCCTCTTGGGCAACGCGAACTTTGCCGTGGCATTTCTTGCGCTAAATCATCTACTTTCGTCTTTCATCTCGTAAAGAGGCTCCGAGGTGGCGAATGAATGCTGACGCAGCCTCGCGGTCTTTGCAAGAAACGTCTGCGCTAGACTCAGCCTTGCAGACCGCATCACAGCTTATGAACGCCTCCACTTGCTGGTTGGATCTCCACGTCTCTACCGTACAACGCGCATCTACCTAGTGGCTGGCTGTCCTGCACTACCCCACCGCGTCTTCTCATCACCGCCAGCCCACGACTTCTCCTGGTAGCCTAGTCGCTGCTTGACTTCATCTACTGTCGCCTTGTCTCCGGTATTCTTGCCGATGTTGTCGCTGATCTTGACGGCGTGACGCCCCGCCGCGGAAGCGATCTTGATTACGATATTGAGGGGTATAGATTTCTTGCCTGTTGACTGTTCTATAAAATCATCTGTCATCGTCAGCTTTGTCTCGTAACACTTGCATCCTCGTACTTACTTGTCAAGAATGTTCCAACACCGAACGTAGGCTGGAAACCTGCCGCTTCTGCTGCAGCCTTGTATTTGAAGCAGAGTTCAAGGTTCAAAGAGTCGGAGAATACGATCGTTTTCCTATCCTTGATGCCTTCCTGGTCGTAGAATTCACGCATCATCTTGATGAAATCTAATGGGTCCCCAGAATCCTGTCGCACGCCTGCGAATACTTCGGCATAGGTACGCCGCGATCCTAGGTTTCCGTCGTACGGTGCCTGGATAGGTGGCTTGGTTGAGGACATTGTTTCTACGGCATCGTTGTTGGTGGTATCTCCAGCTGACGCCAGAGTTGTGCCACCTCCTGGGATGGCTGTGGTAATGCGTGGAATCTGCTTCTTGAAGGCTCTGAGGAAGGCTGGTGTGCCAAACGTGTCTGTAAGTGCGATGCTCAAGACGCCTGCGCCGAATGTCGCTGTCCAGTACTCTAGGGCAATCTCGTTTGCGCTCTCGTAGTTGTTCGTAATCGCAGCCACGCCCATGAACCACTCGTGCGCGACCGTGCCTACAGGGACAAGACCATGCTTCATGGCGAAGTGAACGTTGCTTGTACCTGAAAGTTTACCTTTCCATCCTGCTTTGTCACCCTCATCAACCGCCCGACGCAAACCCTGCAGGACTAGATCTTGGGTGTGGTAGTCACGACGCCTCCGTGAGCCAAACTCGGAGAAGATGCATCCTCCTTCCAACAGAGCCCGCCCCTTTTGGTAAGCCTTCTCAACCTGGCCCGCATGGCTCCAGTCTGTCTCGACAAACTTGAAGTATGCCTCACTGACAAGCGCCAGTAAGGGAATCTCGTACAGAATGGTGTCTAGCCAAAGACCCTCAGTGTGGATGTGGAAATCGCCGAAGTCGCTGTCGGAACCAGTGTCATTCGCGGGTTGGAAGGATAGCTTGAGCTGTTGAGAAGGCTTGAGGCGGAAGGTAGAGAGGAAATGGAGGTATTGCGCGTTCAGGTAGGGGCAGGTGTTCTTGAGGAAGTTGAGTTCTTCGTCGGATACGGCTACATTTTCGAGTTCTACCAAGGTCAGCGATTGTAATGTATGGGTGGGGAAGATGCATACTATCTACTTGGGCTTGTAACCACTTGAAGGCTGCGCGACTGAGCTTCTTATCAGGTGTGCGATTTGTGAAGCCATAGGTGACTGAGACATTGGGGAAGAACTTCAGTATGCAACATTGCATAGTCAGCTTGTACAGATCCGTGTCTAAGAGGGAGAAGATGCCCTCGGGCAGGTTTGCTGGTTCGTTTGCCATGATTCAGTGTCAATTGCGGTATGTCGGTGATTCAGCTTTAGGAGTGCACTTGCGATGGCGGTTGATAGAGGGGTGGTGGGGCAGGCGCGAGGGTTATAAGTGCGCGCGCAGAGTGGGTCGCGCGTACCCGTGGTCGAGAGAGAGAAACTCTGTGTGCTCTCAAAGTAGTAGTAAGATAATCAATGCACAAAGCGAGAGGTACCACTATCCTGACACAATGTGTTTGGCGCAGTGACGGCATGCGGCGCGTGAAGTCATCAGTGGCTAGCGCCAAATCCCTTCAGCCCTACCAGATTAACCCTGGAGGACGCGCATGAAGCCTGGACTCATTCCGCTCGTCACAAGCCTTCAGGGTCCGAACAACGCGCGCTCCTCTACCCTTCACACGCACACAAGCAATGCTCGTTGCCGTCTCGATACTTGCACTGTCACTGTCATTCCTGGTCTACCAGCGCCCGCCCTCGACATGGCTTGCCTTCATTACTCGCTTCACACAGTCTGACGCGTCGTCGATACCTGAGAAGTCGCAGCATGGCGAGACAGACGACAAGACCTCGGCTGCGGAGCAACGCATAGAGCTGCAGACTGCGACAAGGCCTGAAGATGGAAGAGTGTCTGCAAAGAGTCCATCTCCCGAGTCGACTCCAAAAGCCGCTCCCAAATCCGAACAAGATGCGCCTGCAGTACCCTCCTTCACGCTCAACGAGCACGAGAGCTCCGACGAAGATGAAGAAGACAACCTCCCACCGCCTTCCTTCCCAGCCATCAACTCGGCGCAGCGAGCCTCCAAGCCACCTTCTGTATCCGCCATGCCTCCACCCAGCGCACCAACCCTCATGGCCCCGCCACCAAAACCCACAACCTCCCTCATGCCACCCCCACGAGTCGCTGCCTCAAACCTCCGCGCCCTTCCCAATACTTCCTCGCAGTCAATGCGCGTACCCACCACTGGCCCTCTTCCAAACCGCGGACCGCTGCCGAATCGCGGTCCACCCACTTCAAACGGCAACCTGGGACTTCCTCCCAGCGCAGGTCCTACGCTCAAGACACCAAACGCCCGAGGCAAGGTACTGCTGTCGCCAGGCCACTCCCCGCTCGACTGGGCCTACCTGCAAAAGTCGGGCAAGAACTTGTCGGGCGTTGACTCAATGATACGCGTTACGCCCGCTATGCTGAAAGAGAAGAATGGGCGCAAGGGCAAACCCGCATGGTCGAGCTACCAGGGCAAGGTTTACAACATCTCGCCCTACCTGCCTTTTCACCCTGGTGGAGAGGGCGAGCTGAGGAGAGCGGCCGGCAAAGACGGGACGAAGCTGTTTATGGAAGTACATCCGTGGGTCAATTGGGAGAACATGATGGGTGAGTGTATGGTGGGCATCATGGTTAGTGAGGAGCTGGCGCCGAGTGATGCTGGCGGACTCGAGGATATGGATTGAGATATGATACCCTATAGATCAATGACTACCTTTACTAGTTCACATCGGTGTACACTTGTCGCGGTCGCCAGATGATGACACTCACAGAGCAGCACAGACAAAGGAGTCGTATAGATCAGCATTGACCCTAAGCTTCCTCGAGACGAAGTAATCCTCGTTCTGGACAGCGTCTTCAATAGCCATGGCAACTTCCAATAGCGGATTGCTTGCAGTCTCCGTTGCGGAATGCGATATGAGCTCCTCCAAGTGGACACTTCGCGGGTCCACTGGACGATAAATCCAGCACACCATCTCGGCAATCCTTTGCCTCGTTGAACCATGTAACGCCCATATTCACGCTATAGGAAGTAAGGGCCGAGCATAAACAAAGCCTGATATAGTGGATAAGACGTTTTCAAGATGAGACATGGTATCCAGTTGAGCGAAAGGTAGACTAGGTGTGGCTCGCATGTAGCTACACTACCATACTACTCAACGCAATTATCGCCATGCTAATGATGAATAGGAGCTCGATGCTACTTGCGTTTCTGTGCATAGCCATGATACCTTACCCGTTCTTACTTATAAGATTTGGTCCCCATCTTCGCGGAAAACAGACAACTTTTTAATGTCTCGGACTGGTCACAACACAGCCATACATTTGCAGGTTGCTGATACTAATATCTACATACATATATCTCATTCGTCTCGGATATCTAGGTCCGTAAGCGTGTGAATACGATGAATGCAAACATGTATAAGCCCTGCAAAGTAAATTAGTAGGTATCTTATGTATATAGTATAACGTACCGAAGATATAAAATACGGCAATCCTAGACCAACACCTCCCCATTCAATCGCCTTGACCCACAAAACCGTCATCAAAGGCGCGCCAACCAAAGACCCTAGTGTCTTAATCAACATGACAATACTAAAGTCCTGCGCATCAGAACCCTCGACTGCAATCAATAGCGACTTAACCAACGACATAGTAAAAACTGGTAGCGCTGATCCGAGTGCGTAGATGATGAGCGCTGTGCATATTAGTTCATGTCATCTGTGCAGTGGATTGCTGAGTAGGTGTGGGAAACTTACCAGTAAACAACATCCAAAACCTACCCGCTAACGCTATACATAATACACCCACTACCGACACTGCGATACTGACCTTTGCTCCTAAGACGTTCAATCGGACATCGAAACCTTGAACGCCTTTCGATGACATGGATGTACGTATAATACGTGGAACGACTACTGCGAGTAACGTGAGGTTGACTAGTGCTTTGGCTGAGAGGAGATATCCCGCCTGTGCAAAGGTCCAGTTGTAGCGTTTGGAAATATATTGAACCAAAAGCTTCGTGTCTGAACTTGCTAGAGCTGTGAAGAACAGGGTTGTTAATAGAATTTGGAAGTTGGGTCGTCCGAAAACTAAGTGTGCTAGTTGGTCGATGGTTCGTGTGATGGTCTGGTAGTAGGCATTGGAGGGTGTAGTTTTGAATGCGGAGACATATCTATCCGGGCTGTCATCTTCACTACTTTCGAGCAAAGGTCCGGATTCCTCGGCGTTCTCATCAGGTATGGCTCCATGGGGCGTGGTAGTGGATCGTGTGTATTTCGAAGTGTCGGGAAGGAGACTTATTGTTGGTACGGCACAGAGTAAGAGGAAGATATTGAGCCAGAAGGGCAGCCAGAGGTTGGCATTCATGGTGAAAGCGGCGAAGGTTGGACCCATGAAGGAGACGATGTAGGATGTTGAGCTGATGTAGGAAAAGTATGACGCCCTGCCCACCATCAGTATTAGTCGTCTGCAATATTTCCGTACAATTGACGGCTAGATAGAAAGGATTTTACTCACCGTCGAACATACTCATTCGTCAAGACCGATGTAAGTGTGAATATCGTTGACTGGAAGACACACTCACCTCCCAGAACATTGAGAACCGGTGATGCAAGAATGGCTTCAGTAGGGAGGATGCGTGAAAAGTGGCCTGGCACGTGTTAGACACATGTAGACTCAATACTGAAAGCCGATAAATCTATGTTGCAAGTGATACATACCAATAACAATGGCCCAAACACTTGCACAAACTCTTGGAACAAGATTACACCATAAAACAGCCCTGACACCCCATTTCTCAACCATGAAGCTAAACGGGATTGTCACGACAAAGTCTGAGTAATAGTATTAGCCTCCACAACTATTCTCACAACACTAATCTTGTTCAGTCACATACCACACACAACGCTCACCGTTTCCATGCTCCCTTGAAACCATGCAAGCCCCCTTTGAACATCCTTGACTTTACACAACATCTCTGGGATCGATCCATCGGGCTGTATCACCGATGGATCGTTTGCTCCATAGTGCTCTTGACACAATCGGAGCTCTATCACTCGATTGAGAGGCAATGTGTATAGAACGGACGAAAGCTGGACTAGGATGAGGAGGAGCACTAAAGGCCATATCGCACGTTTACTGGAGGTGGACGGCATTGATGATGTGCGCTGAGTCGAGAGCATGGATGGTGCTGTGAGGTGTGTGAGTAGTGGTGCGCTGCTGTCGATGTCAGACATCGTATTCAGAGTTCAATCAAAGTCATGATGTAAAAAAATTATCAAGAGTTGGGTATTGGCTCAAGAGGCAGCATGTATGTATTTCGTGGTGTACTATCGGTGTGCTGGTCTACCATGCGCAGTATCGCTATGTTGCGATAAGATAGTGTTTACGTGAGCAGCGATAGTGACCTCGGGAACCTCGAAAGGAGGCCTACATCAAAGTATCAACGTAAAGCTCCCCATCTCATCTGGCACCTTGATTTCGGTTTCTTGATCACCTGAAGCCGTCCCGAGTCTGCTACGAGATGCGCTACCCCTCTAAATGTATTTCCGGACTTTATCCCGTGAAAGTAGGGCTATCCCAGCCTCCCCTGCCGCCAACGCATCGCAATCTTGCGACGGGATCAAATCGCGTCGCGTTGTATTGATCTGCCTCAACACCTAGTACCCACTCTACCCGCGTTGATCCCTTGTCGACGTAAAACCACCGTTTTATCGCGCACTTTCCTTTGCCGCCCAAGCTGTTTTTGCCTTTTCCCGCAGACGTGGCTGGCTGTCTCAAGGGACCTTCCTTGTAAGGGATTCGATCTCGGGTACTCCGGAGAACGCCACGTCCACTGACTCCGTAACAATAGACATGCCGAACTCATAAACACGAGGCTGGGAGGTATCCGCCACAGCATCATGGTCTTGAATCTCGATGACTACTTGCCCATGTCCCGTGTCCTTCCAATGGCAGAATCATGCCGCGCCTGTGCTTCTATTGCTTTTCCCATGCTTGATCGTCAGATATCCGCCTAGCGTGCAGCCAGCTACAAGCAAAGTGAAGAGGAAAAGCAGCACCATAGTGCGAACTTTGTTTCTCATCCATCTACTTCGTAGTGTATTGCCGCTTTGCCTTCCATGGTAGTCTAGGGATATATAGCCTTTCCGCCAAGGTATGCTGTCCAAAACTTCAAAGGACTCGACGGACGCAGGGGACGGCGGAGCGGATGTAGGATCGGACTCGGCATATCGCGGACAGAGCGTGTTATGTGCAAACGTGGTATCGTCGTCGGTATAGGGCGAGAGCAGTCTGTAACCTGCTGCCCCGGAGTTTGCGGTAGTAATAGAGATCTTGAGCGGTTAGTAGATGGAAGCGCTGATAGGGCCGCACAGGCGCCCACTGTGTAAGACTCACTAGAGGCATACTCGCCAGTGTTTGCAGTTGAGTGACACGAAATAAGTGTCTACGTGCCTGGATGAGCAGAGCAAGGCAATCTTAAGTAACTGAGATCGCATTGATGGCTTTGAAACATGCGGCAAGCGGGTGTACCCTGCGGCGTGGACTGTATAGCATCCACTCGCCCAACATATATCATCAAGAATATCGCATGATGAAACACAGAAACAACGATATGCCAGGGTGAAGGTGAGCATGGAAGACCAATTCCTCAATTTTGGGCGGCCGTTTCTATAACTAACGATGCTCTTTGTGACACTTTCAGCCCTGCTGTCAAAGCAACAATCTGGAGAGCCCTGTAGATCCAGGCAACAACATGCCGGCATCACTTCACACATTTTTTTTCACCGTTCCACCACTTATGCAAAAGGAAACTAGAAGCTCATGAATCAAATGGAGGTGCCCGATAAAAGTTTTGGATTGAGAAAGGAAGGGTATCTCTGCTCGCTTAAGCAAACAACAGTTGCGAGTGAGCCTGATTGTGCTGGCTTGTATATTCCAATTTCAGCCTGTAGCCACTTTTATCCTCCCCGCATGCTGCAGGCCAGATCAAACAACCCCGTATTAGATGGATGCTATATCCAAGAAGAAAGGGTGCTGGACCTGACCTGGGCTCCACTCACTATAACTGCAGGATTAACTGTCGTGCAGAAATGGCAGTGGACGACCGTAGAATTTTTGGTCGGACCTAACAAAAGAAATGCTCGAAACAGAAAAGTGACGTCTTTGATATCGCGATATAACAGTAACAGACGCTTGTAAATGCTGGAAAAAATGACCATGCTATGACGCTCATGCGCGAGTATTTTTGGTACAACGGAGCACACACGGACGTGATCATGACAGTCCATGGCAGTTGAATTTTTTCGACAGTGATGGTGTACGGCCACTGCCCAGCGCGGTGGTTTACTGGACATGCTGAGGATGGAGGTATTGTTGGTGGAAGTATTGACCTTGATGTTGCGCGTTCGCCGGGTGGTCCGGGGTGGGAGTCGTAGGATACATGGAAGTAGGCTGTGACTTGACGACGTGACCATAGGTGAAGTGCTCGCCCTCCGGTGTGATTGGCGGGGTAGGACATCCATTCTGCATGACAGACCCGTATGGGTTCTTGTTGGGCGTCTGGGGTCCATAAGCATTGACAGTGACGACCGGCTTTGGCTCCTCGATGGTGACAGTCGGGGGCGGTGTTGGCGGGGCGGCTTGTCGTCGTGCAATCTGCGCTTGCCTTTGTAGGAACTCCTCTACAGTGGCGGATACGGTGGACAGATGCATGGAGGCATACTTGCGGGAAAGTACCGGAGATGGCTGGTAGAGATGGTTGGACAGTCCGATGACCGTTTGGGGATCGTAAGCACCAGACCAATCGGTGTTGCGTGCTTGGGGTCGGGACAGGACACATCTCGCGAGTGCAAGGGCGGATCGGGCGAGAACAGATGGGCGTGTAGAGACGAACTCCTTGTGGAAGAGAGCGATCTCGGCGATGTAGAGAGTCATGTGCTCAACCTCAGCGTCGTACGGAGCTTCCGATAGGGCAATCTGGAGGAACGCATCGACTGTTGTGTGACCGATGATCCAGTTCAGGGTTTGCAGAACGTGCCATTCCATCTGAGTGAACATCTCGTCGTCGTACAGTGAGCAGCACATGGACTTCAACTCCCGCACGGTGGGTACGCGGTCCTTCTTGTCACCGTACTTGGCGGCAATAAGGAGGGCCGCGCAGCCAACAAGCTGGTAATGACGCTTGTACACAACGCGGCGGGAGCAGTAGCGGTCGAGAAGGTTGACAGCCAAGAACAGAGTCTCAGGCAAGAGCTGGAAGGCAGCGTGAGCTTCAACCAAGAAGTCAAGGAGGTAGGGGCGCATGAACCACTGGATCTCGGTCTGGATGTCGATTGAGTTGACGTCAGGCAGGGTTTGTGACTCCATATGGATCATGTGTTGCATAATGTCTTCTTGGTATTCATCAGCGGTCTGTCTTGATAGTTCCTCGGCGATTGCTCGTTGTTGCATCTTGGATACAGCTCGATGACGTTCCCTGGCCTCAGCTCGCATGGCGTAGATGCCATCGTCGTGCGACTCTACGAAGTAAGAGTCACACTGGCCGTAGCGGGATTGTTGTTGCTGTTGTTGGTGGTACGCCATGTTGATGAGGTGGTCGTTATGTATCGGATAGTCGTCAGGTCTCCGGGATAGACGTGGTGGGTTGGGGTGTTGGATGTTTAGTGAGTGGACAGCTTCAAATGATAAGCCGGATTAGAGAGTGGCAGCCTGAAAGGCAACAGGTACAAAGAGTGTGATTAGCTGGTATGTAAAAGAAGGTCTGTAGTCGGCGATCCTCTCGTACTGAGGGTCGGGTGTGTTATAGTAGACAGAGCCTAGACCGGTTTCGTTAGCGGACGTCCCAGATCCATGCTCTAGTAGAAGTTCATACCGTTGCAGAATTAATACAATTACTTTAGAGAGCGAATGGAGTGTACAAAAACACGTGAAAAGACAGCCGAAGAAGTCGAAGAAGGCACTGATAGCATCCAGAAGACTGATTGACGCGGTCTCGTATGTCCCTTAGTGAAAGGGGAGGTCGTAGGGCAGAGCACGAGCTAACGAGTCCGCCGGGCTAGTTGTATGGAGCCGAGAAATGGAATCAAGAGATTCCAGTACTGGCAACTGAGATCTAGGCTAGTGTGAGCCCGGAGTCGAGGGATGGCGTTGATGATGATGGTGAGTACGAACAGTGCAAGTCCTTTTCGGCGCTGGTGGAAGCAGATACAGCTAGTGGTAGACAATCTGTGTGAAAAGCATGTCAGCAATTGATCGGAATAAGAAATCGTGTCTTGATAGTGGATCAGGCCCGTATAGGTAAGGGTCCAGCTCGCTAGTCGAAAGAGGCCATGGTCAGGGTGGAATAAGGCGGTGAACGTCGGTGAAGTGCTGTCGCGACCTGGCAAGAGAACGTATAAAGATGTCTAGAGCCCCCCATTGTAACGAAGCCAGACTGACAAGCAGCACATGACTGTCATCTCAAAGGTCGGTGTATCTCCACATTTAGGCCAGTTGCTCGTCCATATTTTGATGAAAGCGAAGACCTCACCAACGACGTCGTGCCAGCGCAAGTCTGGCACGCAATCTTGAGAGAGCGCAATGTGGTTGGCAAGGAAGTTTCTCATCGACGTCGTGGATGGCAAGTGCAGTCCGAGGATCTGCTATGGAGCCGAACATCCTTCGATTGAAGCTTTTCTCCGTCTCACTCCCACGACTGCTGACCTCAACATCATGCCGCTCTTGCACATCATCATCCTCAGCCCCCTCTCAATCGATTGTTGCCAATGTTCTTCACTGTCGGACCGAGGTTGTTCGTATCTCGTCCCTTCCTAGCCGGATCCTTGGCGGTGAGGCATCCTTGAGTGAGTACAGCCGGCATTGGTGGAAGTGCCCGGAGTTGAGAATCAAAGAATAAGTGACCTACCGAGATGGAGGCTCAATCGTCACACACGAGACTGATGGTACAGATGTCTAGGTCGACAACTGTGTGGAGAGCGAAGGACTAGAGGAGAGCGAGTACGTGTTCTCAGCTATCTCTACGTCCAGCGAGAGACGAGGTAGGAGGTGGGCGGATGAAGTAGGGTGAAGGTACAGGGAGTCTGAACTCTTCAGGATCCTATTCGAGGAGAGACGGCGGTCGGTTTTAGGGGACCGAGAGCAGGAGATTGGGGAGTTTTATGGAAAGATAGGAGCCGAAACACTCAGCACCACATCAGATCCAAAGTTTCTCCGTGCTCGACCGTATTGAAAGAGGGATATGGGAAGAGGGGAGAGGAGGTGAGAAGAGAGCACGATACAGACGGACGTAGCTTGGAGAAAACGACTGGGCGAGCAAAGCCCTAGGAGGTTAACGCTAACCGCATCGGACGCACGGCAACTCGTACAGCATGGGAACAGGGAACTTGATACGCCCACAGCGCCCAGCCAACCGATGCGTATTCCGCCGCCGTCGTGCCCCATTGTGGATCAACCATGGCGTTTTTGCGTCTGGGAAGCTTCGGCCAGGAACACGCTCATTGAACGCGTCCTAGTCCGTGTCTTCCGCAACCATCACCACCATAACCCAGTGCTGAGCTGCTCCCGTCGCCGTCGCGCGCATCCGCTGCTGTGACACCGCCCCGACCTCACACACACACAGCAGCGACATTGACGCTCCGCCTTACTGCAGCGTAGGACCGAGCCCATCGGCCTCGCACCAATACTGCCTGCTGCAGTTGCTTTTCTCAACGCGGCATGACAGTCTGAGCAGCGCGCCGTGGCTGTAATCTTCGCCTGGCCCCGCTCGAATTAGAGCCCTGCCAGGGCGCCGGTGAGGCCACTCATGCAGCTATACAAGGTTACAGGATAGCCTACGATCGCTGTCCAATGTGTCCCTCGCCTGCGCACAGGAAACAACTTGCTTTGCACACGGCCAAGACCTGCATATGGCATTGTGCCCGTCGCTCTCGCTGCTTGCATCTCAAACCCATGCCTGCACCAGAGTCGTGGTTCCCCTGACGTGCTATAGGAAGCTGAGGTCATGTCATAATTAGACTATTAGGAGAGGCTGAACTGTTCGTCCTTTGTTGGAGCGGAACAAAGCAGCAGAAGACGCCTGTCGGCACGTTGCATCCTTGGAACGCGTCGCACCGTCATCTCTGCCCAAGTATGCTTTGGTCGTGTCCTCGAGAACGGTCTCATTCTCCACATGGCAAATCTCAGAAACTCAGGAGTAAATTTTGGAGACTCATGAATACGCTTTGCTCACGTTGGCCTGCATGGTAGATTACTCAAAAAGGGGACCCTGGCGCAATATTTCCTGTGCAACACAGACCTCATACTGAAGTCTCAAGCCTTACCGTTGGACTCATCGTTTCGCATGGCCCTTGGTGTTTCGACGATAGTAGTTTCTAGTGCCTCTGACCCGATGATCCACGTGTTTAGTAGCTTTGGCTTAGCACCGCGTGTCGGAGCCTAAGATGGTTGGTAAGATTGCCAATTCTCCTAATTACTGTGGACGAGTCCGTGGGTTTGGCAAAAGCCTCCACTGCATAGTTTCCAGAAATCAGCTATACTCCGGAGTTGACACTCCCTTGCTGACAGGCGGAATTCAGGGCGGGGTTTTGCTAATATGAGCCATCCTGCTATTACGAGGTCCGGTCGTGCCGCATGCAAATGAACCTTGGAATCACCTCTGACAGCGGCTCCATGTTGCAAGTTGACGCAAACATTGTGCGTAGACGCGTTCATGCATGTGTTATCTTGAGCAAGGAAGGTGCGCCTCTGACCTAGCGAGCCTCAGCTCTGCGCGGACGCATCAGATAGTAGCAACTGTCTCCACGTCGTGCAAGCATATACGGCCGAACTCCACAACTAAGCTGAAGATCATGAGAGTGGCCAAGTCTATCGAGATCATCTGTCATGGTGTTGCCGATAGTTCACCTGCCAAATCTACCCAGCTTCCCCGTCCAACCCCCATCACCATACTGCAACGCGTTTCGCAACTCCCTCAATAGGCTCAATGTGATTCGGCTTCGGATATTGACAGGCGGCTGGGCCCATCACCTCGCGAATAACAGATGTTAGCGTCATCTTTCGTGTTCATCATCTGAGTAAAAAAGGAAGATCCTAACCCGGCAACTCCGCATTGAAGCCTGCTCTAACAATCTTGCATCACGTCGTTGCTGCAGCTAGTGGCCACCCGACATCCGCAACTGTACCATTGCCAGCCACCAATGCACCTCAGCACGTCCGGGTTCCAGGCATTATGTCACAGTCGCGAAGAAACGCGTCTTAAAGTACTTGAGCTGTGCGCACGCGACAAAACTTAAAGGATCCAGGCTATTTTCTGATCTTACTCCGTGCACAGCTGCCTCGGTCGGACGGTCTCACGGCGCTGGACTTCTTTCAAGTGGGCCGATCTTCACAACCAGCTCATTGTCAGCAAATTTGCTCCGACTTTTCCTTGACGATGCGGATCTGGCGAAGACAAAGACTGTCGGTATGACCAAAGGTCTATTACTTTCCACAGCAACGATGCGCCGAGGCCCGCAGAACTGCGACCCGGTACTACGTGCGACTCGTCATGGAAGCATGCTAACCTTCAGCTTCATCGCTTACAGGCGTTACCTGGTCACCCACCGCACGCACTTGTCAGAAGACCTGTGCATGCTTGCACGACGGCAGTGAGCAAACTTTTCAACGTCTCTGGTCGTGGCTGCGGGGACCACGCTGCTTGTTTCAATGGTCAACAGCTGCTCTTCTGCATCAAGCACCGTGAGCAGCAACGGGTCCAGTCTGTTGCAACCAGTCTTTTCGCGCGGCATCGCTGACTTGCGTTCCACGGACGATGAGGCCCGCCGCAATAATGACATACCCCGCTTGACGGTCAAAGCTCTCGCTTTGAATTTTCCAAGGTTCGACCTTTGCTTCAACAGCGAGATCATCCCGATATTTGCTTCTGGGCGCGTCTTGGGTCTTGAAAAGCCCTTTGGGCGTTCGCGTCAAACTCGCGCCCCCTACGCGCAGACTTATGGTTCGCAGTCCACCATCAGGTGTCATGAAACCCTTTGGAAAGACTAGACCTGAGGCTCGTCTCGATTCAGTCCAATACCTGGGCCTTGGTAGGATTCATAATCCTTAGCCAGCCCCTGGAGATCCTTATGTTGCTATTATTGCGCAATAGATATTTCGAACATCAATCAAAACCATCTTATCGAAGCTTTGCTAATCACTCAACCGAAAAAAGAACCCATCGCCGTTGCGGCGCAACAATGGCCTTCGGTAGCTCCCCACCAGAGTACGAAGGGATGCATTTTCCCGATCAGTGTTAACTCACCAACGCTTCTGGAAACGGTTTCTTCATGACGTGAATATTGGAACATTTGGTTCGGTCCGCACGTGGACCGGCAAAGCTAATCTTGAGTCGTGCAATATTGCCGGAGCATTCTCCAACAGGTGGCTTGTAATGAGACTGAGGCGGACTTAGACCACCGGAACAATAGGTCAACGGCCTGTCAGCAAACTATATGCAATTCCCTCGCCTCGAGGATAAAACTATAACCACTTTACCTTTTCGCAAAGTCAAATCATCGTCATGTGTTCTGGAATTTTGGTTGCATCATGTTCAGCTTGATAATGGGTTTGGATGCTGACGTCCGCGCAAAAACGATGGTTTCTTCCACGAGTGACCGCAACCGCAGTAGTCTTATCTCTCAGCGGATCATCCATCACTACATAGATCTATCCGCTTCAGAGTGGTAGCGATGAAGGCCGGTAGCAATATGCATGTGTACCCCATCACCGGGGAGCAGGGACCTTCATACCTCGAAGTCCCCTTAGACGCACAAGCGCCCTCGATTGCCCTTCGCGACTCTCCACTAGGTACAGAGACCCACTCGTCTTCCCTTGTATGTTTATCTACTGTCTACGTGCACTCGACGTGAGGTATAGAAGGGAAGGACTGGTTCTGGCGTTGCGCAAGGGTGAATTGAAGCGTGGGGTACTAGGGCGCAGGACGTCGGAAACGTGTAGCATCGAGGAAGCTAGACTATGTCGTTTGTGCTAAGAAGCTTGTATAGACAGCCAGACGTCTTGAACAAGACATGTTCGAAGTGGTGATGCTATCTCTGTCGAGGGTATCGCGAGGCTGATGCGGAGGTGATGCGGAGGTCGTCCAAAGACCGGAGAAACATTCCCCGAACTCCGTGGACCCACCGAAAAGTCAAAGTCGGCTCGCCAAGAGTTCGAGAGAAGTTCGCGACTGAGCTCTTCCGTTACAATGAGTGTTGTATTGTAATGCTAGCGCTCGCCTCATAGACGTTCGCGTAGCTTCACACATACTGCCCCTCTAAAAACCTCCCGATACCGACCATGGATATCCACCGATCCCGCTTCGTGCCTTACCCGCCATCAGCGATCAACGCGCTCGCCTTCTCGCACCCAGAACCCGAACATGGACAGCAGGACCCTGACTCTCTAAGGCTGGCGATTGGACGCGCAAATGGAAACATCGAGATATGGAACCCCGCAAGAGGCTCGTGGCTTCAGGAGAAGGTCTTCTATGGCGGCAAGGATAGGAGCGTCGAAGGACTGGCTTGGACCCAAGAGCCAGATTCACGCGATGCGCATGGCAAGGTAGTGCCTGGCCGCCTGCGACTTTTCAGCATCGGATACTCAAGCAGTGTCACAGAATGGGATCTTACTACCGGTCTTCCGGCGCGTCATTCGGACGGTAATCACAGCGAAGTCTGGTGCTTTGCTGCACAGCCCAGGAAGAGCGCAACAAAAGGTGCTTCGAACGAGCAGAGCAGTGTGTGCCAGAAGCTCGTGGCAGGATGTGCTGACGGCACCATCGTCCTTCTATCTACCGACGACAACGATCTCACCTTCGAACGCTTCGTATCCCGCGCTACGAACAAGAAGGCGCGTGCCCTGAGTATCGCCTACAAGGATCAGCACACAGTTCTGGCAGGTTTTGCCGACAGCATGATTCGAGTCTTCGATACGAGGAATGGAAATGTCATTCGGAATATCTCTTTGGGAAGCGGACCTCATGGTGGACCCAAGGAAATTCTAGTATGGAAGGTCAAGTGCCTTTCAAACGGCGACTTCGTGTCGGGAGATTCGACTGGCGACATTCGGATCTACAGCGGCAAGAATTACAGTCAGACGCAAAGGATATCTGGGCACGAAGCGGACGTGCTCGATCTCGCTGTGACCCGCGACGGAACCAGCATATTTAGTGCAGGAATGGATCGCCGTACCTGCTTCTACACGAGCAAGAAGGGGCAGTCTCAGGGACAGAGCGGGAAATGGCGAAAAGTATCGCACCAGAGGTATCACGAGCACGACGTCAAGGCCATGACAACATATGAGGGTCACAAACTTAGTGTGGTGGTCACCGGAGGTACGTAAATTCCCGCAACTTGACAGCTCACATCTAACATACGCACGTTTAGGTATCGACACCCAGCCTATCGTTGTTCCCATCCGCACATTTGGCAAGGAGCTTAGTCGTGGTCTTCCAGCTTTGCCTCCCACTCCTCCTCTAACAAGCGCCCCAGAGGCAAGGTTACTCGTTAGCTGGTGGGGCACAGAAGTACGGATATGGCGTGTTAAGCCTCAAGATGACGGTACGGAGAAGCCCAAGGTTGTTGCGCGCCTCGCTCTACAGGGAGAGGAGAACATCATATCAGTGTCAATCTCTAGAGATGGTGGACTCCTTGCCGTTGCGACAGCCAGCACGGTGAAGCTGTTCCATCTACTGCATCTGGCAGGCGCTGGGCAGGCCTTGCGTGTGCGCAGGCTGGAGATGCCTTCTATTTCTGGCGCGAAAACTCTCAAGTTGGCCTCAAACGGCAAATGGCTAGCAGCTATCACGGCGACAGACGACATTCAGCTGGTCAGAATTGTCCGGACAGACGATCCGACAGACCCGCCTCGCGCATTGGACAAGGTACAGCCCCTCTATCGAGTCGATCGGGACATCACTACACAGAGTCCTCTTAGTGGACCCTCGGGAGCTTACGAGCGATTCATTGCACACGCCGACTTCTCAAAGGATGGTAACGTCTTCGCTGTGGTTGATCTGGCTGGCTACGTTGATACGTGGGTCGTTGAGGGAAATGAGGACACAACTGCCCCTGAGATTGACATCGACGATGCTACTCCTGTTGCCGATGATGACGATGAATCTGACGACGACGAAGAGAAGACGAGCGAGCAGATAACGTATCTAGGTCAGCACTGGATACGGAATCCCTCTGGTCATCTGCTTCCCCGACTGGATTCGACGCCTGTTCTGCTCTCCTTCCAGCCCAGCTCAGACACCTCAAACCAACCGGAGCCGAACGGCAACCCTGCTGTACACCCCACAAGGAATAACCCTCACCCCCATTCACACGAGCTACCTACTACAGACTACCGATTACTATTGGTCTCTGCTGAGCATCAGCTCTATCTCTTCGATGTCATGACCGGTCGCCTATCCGAATGGTCAAGACGGAACCCAGCATCCAGCTATCCCCATGAATACAAACAGCTCGACCTTCCTGCAAAGGGTTGCATTTGGGATGTAACGGATTCCCAACAACGGGTATGGCTCTACGGTGAGAAGTGGCTGTTCATGTTCGACCTCACCAAGGACTTCGCAATCTCAGACGCCGAACATGCAGGAAAGAAGCGCAAGCGCGATGCTCTCAAGAACAACAGCGGTGCTGGTGATGCGGTACCTCAAAAGGAGGCACCAGTCACCAAGTTGCGCAAGTTCCAGAACGATGACGCGGATAAGGCTGCAAAACAGAAGTGGATCGACGTCAACGCTGTAGGTCGCAAGGCTGACGCCGAAGACGACGACGATGATGACATGGAAGACACCACTCAACCCCTTGCTACCCTGCGGAGAGCCCATACGCAAGACGGCGAGCCAACAAATGCCGAGACAGAGGAGGACCAGGTCAACGGAGGCGGAGAAGTCGGACAGGTCGAGCAAAGTAAAAAGAACGAGCCGTGGTGGCACACATTCAAGTACCGCCCCATACTCGGTATTGTGCCCATCAGCGGCGACGACAGTTTCTCTGCGCCCGAGGTGGTGCTTGTGGAGAGGCCCAGTTGGGATTTGGATCTGCCGCCGAGGTTTGTAGGCACGCATGAGCAGTGAGGGAAGCGCATGTTGGAGTAGTGATGTACGAAAACTTGCTAGATGTAGAACGATACCTAATCTTATGCGTTGTATTGTCATCATGTTTCGCCAGTCTACGAATACGACCGGGATGTACTAGACGTGGACTCTGTACACCACAATCATTCAACACCGTATTTCCTTAGGTCGACGAAACAACCGAACTTAACAAGGTTCTTTTCCGTTTGTGTACGGCCAAGTAGAAGTCTGATCATCGTCCTCCACGCATGATGTCAGCTACCAAAACCATGCATCGTAAGAAATGGAATACATTCATGAAGACTGTAGTCTATGGACTCCCATACCTCGCCCCACTATCTCCCCAACCAGTCATCTCATATCTCCCACCTCCGCCACTCCCTCTCCCTCTTCCCTCAGTACTGTCTCCACTCACTCTTCCCTCAGTACTGTCTCCACTCACCCTCCCCATCCCCCATCCATAACCCTATCCCTCAAACTCTCCCTTACAGATTCCTGACTCACAAGCCTGCCCTCACTCCCCGCCGAATCCCTCATTCTCCTCTCTCCATTTCTTCCCCTAACAAGATCTGTATCGACACCAAAATCTCTCTCCATGACCATCTCCTCTTTATCCAACATCTCCGTTACACCCCTTCCGTTTCCATGCACGATGATACGTGTTTTGTTCAAAGAATGTTTAACAGGTTGTTTCGCATTGAAGATTTCGCTGATTTCCTCGAGGGTACGACGCCGTGTTTCGACAAAGAAGAAGTAGATGACGATGAATTCAAAGATGTCCCAGAAGATAAATAAGAAGTAGTACTAACAGAGCAATTCGAGTTAGCAGTGTTAATTCGCAAAGTCCAAAAACAAAAAACAGAGGGGATGGGGATTGACCAAAAAGGTAAAGAGAAAAAAAAAAGACGTACCTTCCAACCCGCTCCGGAAAACGCAATCCCCGTAACAAAGGTATTATAAAAATTCGCAATGTTGACCCAAAAGTTGTAAAACGCCATTCCCTTTGCCCTACTTTCATATCTCAGACACTCCACGGGATAAAGCTGCTGCAACGGCGTATACCCCGTTGAATAGATGAACCCACAGATGAAGACAAACGCAATAACTGCTCTCGCCTGTCCCGGTCTCTTGATCTCAGGCGTACCGTTGTCGCCAATGTATATTGGTTTCCCATCCGGACCCGTTTTCAAGTTCGTAGCAACGAGTGCGCATACAATGGCAAACACGCCAACCAGTAGCGCGGTCGAGACGAGCAGCTGGGGACGTCGCCCCCAGGAATCCGTATAAATAGCGCCGAAGATGGCCCCAGCGAAGGAAACGACGTTTTGCATGCCGTTGTATAGAAGGCGGGTATGGTTGTTGGTTATACCTGCTCCCTGAAGCATGGTAGGGTAGTAGTAAGATACAGGACCGTTTCCAGACCATTGGCCGAAAAACGCCATGCAAAAGACTAAACCGGTTCTGTAGCGGGCTTCGCGTGAGTTGAAGAGTTCGCGGTAGTCCCACCATCGTTTATCGGAGCCTGTGACGCTGATGTCTTCGACCATTTCTTTGTATTCTAGCTTCACAATGGGTGAGTCACGATTGCCCTCGCCGTGGAAACGCGCCATGGTGTCTAATGCCTCCTCATGTCGATCGTTTGCGATGAGCCATCTAGGAGTCTCTGGTAGGAATGGCGAGCATACCAATACTATGCCGGAGAAAATCAATTGAAGCCATATCGGGATACGCCAGGACGATGTGCCGGGGATATTGCTGGTTCCGTAGGGAACGAAAGAGCCTGGAATACCGCCGACGTACCAGAAGGTGTTGAAGATGCCTGTGCAGACGCCGCGGTAGGATGGATGGGCCATCTCGGATACGTAGGCGGGACCGGCGGTTGATGTGATGGCGACGCCGAAACCGAGGACGAAGCGACCGCCCATGAAACCACCAAGGTTGACGCATGTTGCTTGGATACAGGCACCGACGATGATGATGGAAGTACCGATACACATTCCCCATTTTCTTCCCTTAAAGTCTGTAGCTGGACCAGCGACGAATGAACCGACTAGGTTGCCGATGGTATATATGGCATAGACGATTCCAGTACTGGGGGTTCCTTCGTGGGGGTCGAAGCCAAAGTATCCTCGGTACTGAGGGTAACTGTTGATAGCCCCCATGAGTGATCCGTCGTACCCGTTGATACAAGAGTTTAATGTGGCGATGAACAGACAGAGATAAAGCTATCACACCGTCAACAGCATCCTTTTCGCAATACATCTGTCGTTCATACCTTAAACATAGCCTTTGTCCACGGCCTAACATTGGCCTTGGCCGTTGCATCGGCAAAAGCAACATTCTGCACCTGGCGAATGTGCGTTGAGCTACTGCGCTCCGTATGCGATGTATACACATCCCTCTTGTGGCGGTGATCCATATTGCCGACTAACTTCCACCACCCTCAAAAAGCAATATTACTGTCGAAGTTGGAGACGTCAATCAGATGAGTTGAACAATGAAGTCGTTTTCGTCGTCCTCAAGCCCGAGGCAACGGACAGCATGACCCGCGCATTAAACAGAAGACCCCACGGAGGTCGCGAGTGGAGAGAAGCAAGGCACGGTAATATATTCAATCGCCCATTCACGCGACTAAGGGATCCAGATGGTCTCGCCAGTAGGAAAACATGGGCTATACATACCCCGTTCTTAGAGTGCAGACCCGCATGAATGTGGCACAGTGCAAGGGGGTCCCGCAGGCGCATGATGACCGGGTATTTGCAGACTTCCGGCTTCGCTTAGGTCTGGGGTCTACCGGTGGGAAGCTGCGATTGGAGTTTAGGTTAATAGGTAAGATGAGAGATTGTGGTCGCCATCCCGCTTGCTGTTAGAGTATCTGTAGCTTATGCTCTGTTGCTTTCTCATCTGACTGTGTAAATAGCTGGTGTGGTGTTGGTGGAGGCGCGCCCGGCCTGTTGGTGGCAAGCAGCTTGTGCCGAATGGAAGTATTCCCTTGTTAGTGACTGAGACCTTCGCAAACGTGGAAGCCACCAAGGCCACCTGCCTGTCGCTTGTACCATGCCGCAAGCCTTCGCGACTGCCCGCCTGAACTTCTGACAGGGCGGCCATCACCGCGTCATCACGACCCCTTGCGTGCTGCAGTATAAGAACGAGAGACGAGAAGGACGTTTGGAATTCAGCAGTACAAGTCTGTTGCTTTCGTGTAAACTCACTGCTGATCTTGATGTTTGCGAAAAATGAGGTCTAGAAGATAGCCCTGCCGCTCTCTCCACCCGCAAACCGAGCTAGCGGACCGAACAATCCGGGGAAAACGCAGGGGAGGGAGGTGCGACCCGCTCTCCAAGACACAGAGAGCCAGCATCAACTTTCTCACAAACAACGCTGTCAAGCAGTACATCACGTTCGCGATAGATAAGTCACTCGCGCCAGTAGATAGCTCTAGCAAGTCCCCACACGTCTGATCTGCAGTCTCTAATCCCGCGTGTCAGTTACTTGAACATCCAATCGCCACTGCCATGGCGGGCCTGTTCATCTATTCATATTGACCTCCCACCTCCCACCTCCCACTGCCGACATAATATGCCCGCGGTTCCTGAAAGGATCAAGGATCTTCACAGTCGTGTGATCGATTCATATGTTATTCATAATTCTAGAAGATCAATTACATCACCACACTCGTGCATGCTGCAACTCATTAATGGTCAAAGATAAAACCCTCTTCTGGCTATTATACATGCATCCTAGTCTAAAAGGCGTACGGGGAAAGGTGACCTGCGCTCTACAAGCCATCCCTATAACCTATGATGAATGCAAAAAGCTACCGTCCTCCTTCAACCCCCAATAGGCTGTTGATACACCACTACTCACTGCGACCTCCGGCGTCGTTTATTCGTCGTCGTCCGGGTTCGTGTCCGATTCGTAGACAAACTCACCCGGCGTCGACGCTTCGGCCTCACCCTCATCCACCATGTTGTCGCTGACCGGGGCTGTAGTAGTTGTTACTGATACGCCTTCTGGTCCTTGATCTCCCGAAGAACCCGACGCGCCAGGGGCAGGCGCAGGCGCAGCCTTCTTTACCTTGAGCTCCAAGAGCGTCTTCGGTTCTGAAGGCTTGGTGTCGGTGAGAAGAATCACACCGAGAGTTGGCTGGTCATGTGTTAGCTTAGGCATCTCCAATGTAGTAGATGGATCACAAACCTTCTTTACTGGTACATATCGTTCGCTCGGGAAGCTGATGTACTTCACTTGTGGCGGCAGTACACGCGACATGTTCTCCAGCTCGTAGCCAACCTTTTCCTTCTCCTTCTTCTTTGATGGCTCCCCGGTTTGGGTACCATCGGCCTTCTCACCATCTTCCTTCTTGGAGTCCTCGTCAACGTCCATCTTGTCGTCATCCGCAGGCTTGGGTGTGGTGGGGGTGTGGTCCACATCCATGCTTTCCCTCCGCTTTTGGCGTTCCTTTACCATTCGTCGGCGCTTATCTTGCGCAGTGGTTGACAAGACGGCAGTCTTGATCTTCTCGGGCGCCTCCTCAGCCTTGACTTCTGCATCTGGCGGGTAATCAAACGTGCTTGGCCTAGTGTTGCTGTGGAACGTGAATGATGGGATCTCCAGCTCCTGATCTAAACCGATGACTGCAGTAGACGTGAAGCTCAATGACAAGAAGTGAGTCAGAGGGAACCAGTACCAATACTGGGTGAAGACAGCCATGCCGACAATGGCGGCCATGTTGAGATTACCGGTTGGCGTCTGCAGGCCGATTGTGCAATTCCGGCCTCCAGCATCAATGATACCGATAGCCAGAGCAGCACCCAACTTGGCCAAGGCATCCTCGTGGCGATCGCCGACAACCTTGGCAAGCTGCTTTCGGATAGAAGCTACCTTGGGGTTCATTGCCTCGTTTTGCTGGACCATGATCATGGCCAGCGCGATCAAAGCACCTTGGCGGACAAAGTCGGTCGAGTCCTTCATCATTGGCTCCAACAGATCTATAGCCTCTGGAAGGCCGGTTCCGGCACAAGCAATACCAAGAGCCATGGTGGCTCCGTAGCGCACATGTGGGTTGTATGACTCTGCGAGAAGCTCGACCATACGGGGAACACTGCCGGGCTTCCTGAAGAGGATGAATCCCAAGCTCATGACGGCAACTCTTCGTACATCGTCACTCACATCACTGACCGCAACGTGCAATAACCTTCGGACGGCCTTGTTGCTGCCTGTGCCACAGTATGCCAAGGCAATAGTCATAATACCTCCATAGCGCAGAGTTGGGTCTGGGTCGTCAAGAAGACCGTTGATGAGCTCATCAGCGGCCTCTTGTCGTCCGTACATGATTAGTGCCATGCCCATGGCAAGACCACGAACAATCTTCTCGTGCTGTGTGTCGTGCGCGTACTGGATCATGTCCTCAAGTGCCTTGATGTTACCAGTACCGAGCATGACGAGACCCATTGAGAGACCGACAGCCTCACCGTTGATGGCAGAGTCGGTGTACAGCACGTTCTTGAAGGCCTCGAAGATCTCTTCGGAGCCAGTGGCCATACCAGCAACACCGAGACCAAGCGCACCACCGTGTTGAATGACTTCCTCAGATGCGTTCTGGAACTGCTTCAGGAGCAGATCAAGAACATTGCTTCCGTGGTTGGCGTAGATCAAACCAAGGGCATACAGTGATCCACCCTGCTCGTAGTGAGAGCCTGATGAGACGCTGTCCTTGGGAAGGTAAGGCTCGAGGAGCTTTTGCCCTTGTGTGATGTTGCCACGGTGGATGACACCAAGAGCAGCGGTTGCGGAGAACTTGGACCAGTTGACCGCCTTTCCTAACCATTCCAGGTTCTCGCGGAAGAATGTGTCATTAGTAGTGCCAGCATTCATGAAGGCGTTCGCAAATGTGACACTCGAGTGGAAGATGGAGTTCCTGGCCTCTAAGCTGTCGCGGACCTTGTTGAGGACGGCCTTGTCTGTGCGGTTGTTCCTGTACAGGAATTCGAGATTCAGCTCGATGCTCTTGGTTCCGCGAAGAATGTAGCGGACGTTGTTGAAGATCTTGACCTCATCTTCACTTGGTTGGTCGCCCTTTGAGTTGCTAGTATCCACATCTGCAAGCAGGGAGTCCGACTCGCCTGCATCCGAGGGTTTCTGCGCCTCCTCCTTCTCAGCTTCAGGCAGCTCTTCCATAACTTTTGTGAGGAACTCCTGTGTACCGTTCTCGTAAAGATCGAATGAGATCTGGTATGCGACTGCGCGGGACTTGTCGTCGCCTCGCTCAATCAGCTGTCGGATGAGCTTCGAAGCCAGCGAGTGCTGGTTGAGGTATACCACACACTTGGCGATGGAGAAGTAATCGGGGTTCGGGATTTGGTCATCATTAAGGAGGTCGAGGATCAGGCGGAGGATCTCGTTCCTCAAGCCTCGCTCTTGCACCACGTTCATGCAAATGTCCAGAACGTACTCCATCAAGTCCTCGCTCTGCGCGGAAGGCTGCGCAGGCTTCTTGCCTTGCTTCTTTCCATCCTGGCTCGCGCGGACGATTGACTCGCGCAAGACTTCAAGATTCCGTGCCTCGATGGCGATTCCCACAACCTGCTTGTAGTTGCCACTCTCATAGCAGCTCTCGAATATCCGCCGTACAGTGCTGTGGAGGTTCTTTTGCACGTTTCGCTGCAACACCATTGGGGTGGGGTGTGCTCCAGGTACGCCGGCATTGCCTCCTCCGGGTAGAGTGGGGTCGAACGTCGACGAATCTTCCCTGGAGAGAAGGGACTTGGAGGGTAACGCGGACTGTGAGAAGGGCGTTATCGGCGAGGCCAGACTGGCTGCAGTGCTCGCACCTCCTGCTGCGTTCCCGGAGAAGGATGTGCTTAGTTGAGGAGGGGCCTGGCTCGCCTTGCTCACAGGTGTGGGCGGGTTGTGCATGACAGACAGCGCGATGTAGGTATCTAAGCATTTTGCTAGAAAAAGCAAGTCAGCCGATTGTGCTCCAAGTAAGATGAACCCGCTGCTTCAGCTCAAGACGAAAGCAGACGCGAGTTGAGTAGAAAGCTCGGATGCCCGTGGTATCTTACCCAGTATTGTCTCCTCAAACTCGGCGGCCTTGTGGATGTCGAAGAGCTTGCCAGCGCCCAGGGCGAAGACCATGCTCTCATTGTACTCTTGCAGCTGGTAGTACACCTTTGCGGCTACCAGAGCGGCAAGCTCTCGCTCGGGAAACGAGTCGTCTTCGTAGAGAGCCTCACTATGACGCACCCATGTTAGCAGCTGTATTGATGACGATAGGCTGACGAGAGCGTGTCGTAGCTTAGCTGGGTTCCTTACATCTGACTGACAGATCCCGCGACCTCTGGCCACAGCAGGTCAATCTCCTCGTTCAGCCGCTGGAGGGCGAATGAGCGCAGGGCCGGGTCTGGCTCCGAGAGGAAGCCGACGACACCGGCGGCGGACGTGAGGCCAACCATTGTGTTGTATCTAGCGGGAAAGACGTATTGCCTGGTGTTGTTGAATGGCCGTCGGCGATTGTGGTGAGAGAGGGAGCTGTTGTTGCGGAAGTGGGTAGAAGCGTATGGAGCTGCGCTGTGGCGCCTGCGGGCTTGCCTGTGATCAAGGGATAATCTGGGGCGCTGCTGCGTCGGACTCTATAGTGACGGTCGCAGTGAAAGAGGGACGAGAGGATGAGGGTGGGTGGTCGATGGGAGGATGGCGTGGCGCCGTTGTGGTGTTCGGGGGAATCGTGTACGTGATGGTCTAAACAGTAGCTCGTGAGTTTCGGAAGCGGCGACCCTGGTCCACTTAGCATGACATAATACGCTACCTGCGCATCACCCACGATAAGCTCTACCTAGGCAGCCTTTCCACGTCATTCGGAATGCATCCTTCGGATGACAGTCTGCATGTACATGTAGACATAGATTGTGTATAGCTAACACGATCAGAATATCTCATTAGGCATGTTCATGATTAGATACATAGCGGACTTTATGTCAAGCATCAAATGTAATACAATGTAGTGAGAACTGGGTATCTTGATTTGAAAGGATAAACTCCGGACCATGCTGCTGATCCTGCATCTGTTGTTTCTCCCTGGATCTTCAACGCCGTAAAACACAATGATAATAATACAAGCTCCTTCATGTTTACGCTCCGGGAACAGAAGGCGTGATTTCACGCGACAACACCCGCAGATTATTCATCATACCGTTGATCAAGCTCTCAAACTTGGTCACCTCCTTGCGCCTCACTTTATCCGCCTCTGCGATGAGGACACCGGAATCCAGCTCCAGCTCTAGCTCGTGGTTCTTGCTAGTTCCTTGCGTGACTTGAGTCAGATCAACTTGATATGCGCCCAGCCACGAGTACGACATGCGGTCTTTTTGCCGCTGCATACTTTCCAGCGTTTTTCCTCCTTCCAGAGCGGGCTTGAGGCTCTCGATTGGACCTGGGAAATCGATTTCTAGGTTGATGCCAATGCGATAATCCCATTCTGTCTTGGGAGAGCTGACTTCGAGGTTGCCTATCCGGTGCTTTATAATGGCTCGCAGAAACTCGCCCGTGTTCTTGTCGCGCGTCACACGAACTCTCTGCCGGTTACCAGACGCGCTAATAAGGCGCTGAACTATAGGATTCAGCATGGAGAAGCCCTGCTGGTCGAGCTCGTAGAAGATGTCCGTCTCGTAGGTATGTCGGTAATCGATTGGGGGACGCGAAGCTCCAGGTACCTTGGATTGCTGAACCTGGGCGTTGAGGTACAAGTTCATACGCTTGTGTTGCTGAGCAGTCATAGTGCTCTCAAACTTGACTTCCAACATGTCGCTGTTTATCACGCACTCTGTGCGCCAGAACCCGCGCAGTCGCTGGTCCGTCTGCTTCTCCAGAATCTGGCCCCAGCGCGCCTCGACTTCCAGTTGCACCTTTGGATCCGCGATGGCGTTTCGCACTGTTTCGTTGTTGACAGCTGTGTTCCATATGAAATCGCATACGTTGCGCGAGACGTCATCGTAGATTTGCGCATCGTCGGAGATGGGTCGCTCGAAGCCCGCGAGTCCGGATCCCGCGACTGCTGGCGGAGGCGCGCCCGTTTCGCTGGGCGCGTGTCCGTTGCGTTCGGCCTTTGGCGAAGGTTGAGGTCGGGGCGGAGGGTGAGATGGTATAGGCTGCGGGTGCGGGTGCGGTTGGGTTATTACAGGTGGAGGTGGACGCGATTGTTGGCGCTGTTGCTCTTGCAGCTGCTTGAGCTCAGGCGGGAGTTCTTCGCCTTCGCGATAGGCCCATATCGGCTTCGGGTCGTGGCGCTTCCGCTTGAGCGACATGTGCTTCTGGCTGGGTTTAGGCGTCGGTATCATTGCGGCGGGAGTGACGGGGGAGGATGAGAAGAGGGATTGGGGGTTGGAGAGTGAACGGCGCGGTAACACCGATGCTTCCCCATCATGATTTACTAGCGCAGATATGTCCATCGTGAGTTGTGGTAGGGTTGTGCATTGGACTCACCATCGTGTACAGAAGGCTAGTGTTGCTGGCGCACGGACGATTCCACACTGGGCTCCTTGTTGTGCCGCCTCGCAGTGGGATGTCACTTCTGTCTTTGTCTCGGCTTAGCACGCGACTATCACGTCAGGCTTGTGAGAAGAGGTGGTCATTAAAGGGTTTGCCTTGATCCGCTAGTGTTTACACCAAATCTTGTGTCCCTATGCGCCAGACCGTCATTTGCGCAAACGAGTCATGTATATGCGCCTCATGCAGCGCACTCCACACCTTCTATCTAAGAATCGAACGTCTCCGCTCCAACCCTACCCTCACGCGTCTTGGTCAAGACCAAGGTCCTCCTGTGCGGGGACAATGCGGAGTGTGTTGGTATGGCCCATTCCTCCTCTCCAGCCTTGCACGCAGATGACTGGATCGCCCTTGCTGAGAACACCGAGCTTGATGGCGTTCATGATTCCCCACTTCAAACGGCGGTCAACATCCTCCTGCCATGGCTCGGTCTTGAAGTCTGGCTTCTTCTCGGGGAAGTAGAATGGGTATACGCCGCGGTACAGGTGGGAATACTGCACAAGTTAGCCAAGGAATCCTTGTGTACAGGAGAAAAAGAAACTCACCCTAGCGGCCATCTCGTTACGGGTAACCATGATGATGGGGCAGACGGGGCGGTACTTGGAGACGAGGCGGGCGGTGGTACCACTAATGCACGTTAGAATCTAGAATCACAGGTGTACAAGATGTCCATGGACTCACCTTGTTGTCAGGACCAAGATGGCGCCAGCGTTCTGCTCAAGACTGGCACTGACGGCTGCCATGGCGCACGTCTCGGTGGTAGGGCATGGGACGGGAGCCAGCTTCCTCAGCTCGTCAAAAGCGTTGACATATGGGATAGCGACCTCGGCGAGCAGGCAGGTCTCGTGCATCATGGTGACAGCCTCTACGGGGTAGTCACCCTTTGCGGTCTCTCCAGACAACATGACACAGTCGGCACCGTCGAGAACGGCGTTACCGACGTCACTGACTTCAGCGCGGGTTGGGCGCGGGTTGTAGGTCATGGACTCGAGCATCTGGGTTGCGCAAATGACGGGCTTGCCGGCAATGTTGCACTTGGTAATCATCATCTTCTGGGCAATGAAGACCTGGCTGGGGGGGATCTCGATACCAAGGTCACCACGAGCAACCATGACACCGTCGGTCTCCCTCAGGATCTCGTCGAAGTTGTTCACACCTTGCTGGTTCTCGACCTTGGCAATAATCTGGATGTCCTTGCCCTCCTCGCCAAGCACCTCACGGATGGCAGTGATGTCGCTTCCGCGGCGGATAAACGAGGCGAAGACCATGTCGACCTTGTTCTTGACACCGAACTTGAGATCGGCCTTGTCCTTCTCAGATAGAGGGGGAAGGTCAATGTCGGTCTTGGGCAGGTTTACACCCTTTCTGGAGGAGATCTTGCCGTTATTGACGCACTTGCACTTCAGTGTCTTCTCGTCGGTGACCTCGAGGACCTCGAATGAGAGGACACCGTCGTCGACGTAGATTGTGCGGCCAGGTGCGATGACCTTGGTGATGTTCTTGTAGTCGACGTACATGTTCTTGTCGTCGCACGCGGTGGCATATTGGTCATCAGTGGTGATGTTTATGATGGAGCCTGCCTTGATGGGAATGTCGGCATCGCCCACGGTGTTACCAGTTCGGATCTCTGGGCCCTTGGTGTCGAGGGCAATGGCCAGAGGCCTGCCAGCTTGTGTCTTCTCGGCTTCGCGCGCATGGTCGATGACGGACTGGTGGTACTCGTAGGAGCCGTGGGAGAAGTTCATGCGAACTACATTGAGACCAACTTTACGGAGGGCGTTGATCTTCTCAGCGGAGTTTGTCTTGGGGCCGATGGTACCGATGATGGAGGTTCTCCGGTACTCCTTTGCAGGTGTGTACTCAGTGTTGAGCTGGCTGAGCCACTCGATCCTGGTCCTGCCGGAGTTGAGGTGGTCTAGACTGTTGGTTGTCAGTGGGTGTTTCGTGGAGTTTTATGCCTCTATCGTGAAGCGACCTTTTACAACGCGCTCGAATTTGAATAAATGTAACAAAATCCAGTATATGAAGTTTTTGGATTCTGCTGTAAGAAAATGTGTTTTACGTACGCGTTCGCCATTTTTGCGGATGGTGTTTAGAGAGACGAGGTGGTAGAGGAGAAAGACTGAGAGTCGTTGTCGCGGAGTGCGGGGCCGGTCGAAGGAGTCTTGATAAGATACTCCAATTGGTTTCGCGACGGCTGAGGGAGAGGAAGAAGAGAGGTGAGCAAACTATTTCCCAGAAAATGGCGGTCGACGAGGTTTATCTTGTGCTGCGACGGGCTAGAAGTTTTGTTGGCTGTTGAGCGCGTTTTGGAGGGGCAGTTTAGTCTAGGCGCTAGTTATGCTGATTAGTACGTGGGGCTGCTGCACCCTGAGCGGCGGCCGTTTGGATATGAGAATTGGAAACAGATTGCAGTCAGGAAATGGTCTGGAGAGGGTTTGGTTGAATAAGAGTCTTTCGTTATGCGCCGAGCGATCTGCTGACGGTACTGCTGAATATGTCCCGTGGTTGGGTTTTGTGACAACCATTTGCTTCTTCGACTCCACCCACGTTGCTGCACTATTGCCCTCAGACATCCCGCCCAGATAAGCCGTCAAACGCGTACTGTTTTTGCACAGCAATTGAAAATCTCGGCGCCGGGTTCCCGCTGGGCGTATCTGGCTAGTGGGTGGTTGTGGTAATGCGCGGCCGGCTGTTGGCGTATCATGATTTTTTACAGTGGGTTACCCGCGCGGAGATGGGTGATGTCTTGCAAGTTTCATGGGGTCAAGGAGATACACCCGTGGACTATGTCGCGGCAGGCCCTGTTATATACCAAGTGCACGTCGTAGGGTCCGCTCCTAAATCACCCGCAACTGCTCCGCATAGCTTGCCCGAGGTCGAAAGGCAGGGTCCCATTGATGCGACAATATGCTCCAGTTCCATATTAGTGGAGACGATTCTGCGTAGCAGCCGTATCTGAGCGGCGGACTGAGCCTCTTAGGGCACCAGATGGGCAAGCCGTATGGACAACTCGGCAGTAGACATGCCCAAATAACTATGGATACCTGAACACGATGAACCAGTGCACATGTCACATAGTATTCTATTCTAGAACGCAAGAAACAAGGGGACCCTGGAGTCGCGTGCCAGCTCAATCACATGCAGATGAGTGACTAAGGAAGGGCACCAGCCACACTAGGTCTCTCCTCCACTCTACACCGCATCCCGCATCCTTCGCTCAACAACACGACAACACCACCCACACCTGCCATAGCCTCCTAAACATCAGTCGCCACGCTCTCCCTAAGCAGCCTCACATAACCCCATATCGATCCGCCACCTCCAAACGTCGCCCATCATGGTTGTATGTAGTCTACTACTCTACGGTGCCTACTACTGCGTTTGTCGGACCACCGAGTCGCATGCTCCCTAGCTCACACAAGTAACAGCTCGGCAAAGTCGCACATTACGCCTTTGATGCGGTACTAAGTGAGTACCCTCTCCCTGATTGTACCCTCTCCCTAGCTAACAACCACCCCAGTATCCGCCTTCCTCGCCGGCGTCCGACGTTCAACTGGCCTCACGTATGTTGCCCCCCCATCCCTCCTTCTTTCTAAGCGCCACGCCCCTCGATCAACCCACCTATCCCTCCCTTGACAACCTTCCATTTCAAGCCATCTCCACACATGATGCATAGACCGTACGACTACAAGATCGGAGCTAAAGCTAAACCCAGTCCCAGTGTAAAGCCAGATACATTTGGTGAGAACCCGAGCGCCCAGAAGTGGTTTGAAAGCTACCTTTGGGTCGGCGAGACGGTCATGGACTCGAGTGTCGCGTTCTTCGGCTCCAGTTCCTACTTTGAGCGCAAGCGATAGACGCCTCCACATTGATGGAGAACGAGCTACAGCGATACGGTGTGCGGACACTGAAACGCCACGGGAAGTGGGCGGGGCGATTGGAGCTTTGAAAGCTTGGACTGTGACAGCATGGACTGGGCACAGTCTGGGGATATGTATATGGCATGAAGTTGAATGAAAAGCACGGCCTCGAGTTGCCGTTTCGATGAGCGGGCAGATGGCGTTGGGGCGCTATACCATTGGCTATGATATTACGAATCAAAACTATTTCACACACAGACACACACATCCTTCGCTGCCGGTATTTGAGGTCTATTGCGGCGGAAAGAGTGTTGATGCTAAAACAAGGCAGCGTGATGCTGTCAAATAAATCGACTGACGATATAGTTGAAGTCTGATTCGCTACCGCTGCACTACTCTAAGGGTATCATGCGCTCACATAGACATAGAATCGAGAAGAAAAGCAGTGGTCCACTAAGTTATCTCAGGCCCTCCGCTTGAATCTAAACCCCGTCTCCTCATCATCACTATCATCATCTCTCCTCCCAAACCTCCCTTTCTTACTAGCAGGTTGCCCACTACTAACAGCTCCAGACCCCCTCTTCTTCCCTCTCTGTGTCTGCGTCCCTTCAAGCTGCGTTTCCACAACTCTCTGCGTCCGCCCACTACTCCTCTGCGTCCGCTGTTCGGGAACTTCCTCTTCATCGTCTGGTCCGCTGTCCTCGACGTTGATGACTTCTTGCTGTTGCGTCTGGGACTGCGTGGTTCGTTTCCGACGAGTGAAGCCACCGACTTCTGGCTCAGAAGAGGAGTCGGGTGCAGTGTTACGACCGCGTCGGCTATTGTGTGAGCGTGCAGAGGGTTCGGGGTCTTCGAGGAAGAAAGCGTCAGTGATGCCATGGGCTTTCTTGGATGGTGCTTCTTCAAGCGTGACGAGGACTTTTTGGCTGTGGACGCCTTGTTCTGCACCGCGGCGACGGAACTTCTTGAAATTCTTGCGGCCATTCCATTCAGTGTTCCAGCGCTCATTGTTAGTCTGGTTTTGGTTGCGCGTGGTACCTCTGTTTTGTCGGGGTAGAACGTCCATCTCCTCTACTTTGGCCAGGTTCTTGAGCTCTGTAATATCGATACCTTCGAGCGCTTCCCGCAGACTCTCTTCGTCTGCTTTGCGACGTTCCTCCTCCTCTTTGATGCGCTGGCGCGTATGCTCACGGATGTTGATGTCCTTTTCAGCTTTCTTCTCTGCCCTATTGAGTCGTGCCAGAGTCTCCGCACCTCTTTTAGTTGGTTTCTTTACAGGGCCCCCTTCTTCAGGCTCGACCGATGCTGATGGTGCGCGGGTAGCCGCTCTTTGTTTTCTCATCTTGGCGGCAGTAGGAAACAGGGTATCCATCTGCTCTTCTTTCTCGATCGTGTTTTGTACATGTGACTGCGGAGATGCCTGACGTTGTGTGTCTACTGCAGTGCGTGCTTGCGAAGCTGCCTTTGATGCCCCTGGCAGTGATTCAGACTGCTGGACATCTTCCATATGTGTGTTCTCAATCTTCAGTTTCTTCTTGGGAATGGGCGCATCATCATCGAAGCCGGTGAAGCGGCTCGTTTTTGGCCTATGTATGCGCTTCCGTGGGATGGTCTTCGCAGGCTCTTCTGGCGGAGGTGTACTCTCCTCAGGAGCCTGTGATGGTGCTCTGGATTCAGACATTGGTGTTGGTTGTCGCATAGAACTTCGAATGGTCACAACTTCTGGTGCAGGTGCAGGGGTATTCACTTCTGCGGGCGGCCTTTGTATTGTAGCGCGGTCTTTAGTGATGATTACGTCGAGAAACTCGTTTTGTAAGACTGAGCGCTGGCCAAGTGCCTGATCGACCCCAGTAACAAAATTTGTGGCCCATTCTTCCATTTCGTCAGGGTACGCTGGTAAGCGGACCGTTATGACGGGAAGCTTATCGCCAGGTTTGCCGCGCCGCTTCTTACCTGCTACGCTGTGAACGTAATCGACGTACTCCTCAACCGTTGTCTCGCCTGGTCGTACATCGTATAGCAGTGCCTTCCCGCCTCCACCTGTGACGGGATCAAGCAAACTGCTGTATTGGCCTTCGTTCAGAAATATAAAGGTGAGTCCAGAGAAGACCTCTGACCGCGAGGAATCAGGTAGCAGCATCTCCTGTGGCCGGGCAATTGGTTCTGCGCCCGCTGCTGGTATATAGTCCTTCTCTGCCGGCCACCATGCGTCAAAATCCTCTTCAAGCTTCGAAGGCAGATAGTTGTCCTCTTCGTCGACCGATGGCGCTGCCACTCTGAGAACTGCATCGAGATATTCTGTAGTGACGATGTGTTTGGCGGAAGTCAGACCCGAGAGGACTTTGGGGAGGTTCCGTTTCGCGGATACGACATGAGTGGTTTTATCGAATACGAAATCAGCCGTAGTCTTGATGTCCAGGGTCTGTAACTGCACACTTCTAGATTTGCTCTCTTTGGACTCTTTCGAAGCATATGTGAAGACAATTGGGCGCCAGACAATCTTGAACGGCGCATAGCTAGCAGCCAATCTGATGGTATGTTCGGTTCCCTTCAAAGTCTCGCGACTGTACTCTATCGACCCATCAGCTGCTTTCTGGCTCTTCAGCGTCGTCCTATCATCGATTGTAATCCCTTGCCTGCAACTCAGGTCGGTCACCTCAATTTGCGATCTTTTGTGAAGCTTTGTACCGTCCTCTGGTGCTGCGTCGTAAACCTTTAGCATAACATGCTTGCGTGAGACGGCCTTATTATCGATCTTCCAATTCGTTCCTCGCGGGCCATCCTTGTCGTCGGACTTGGTGCGACCGAATAGTTGCTGAGATCCGGGGCGGAGCCAGACGCGCTTGCCTCCGAAGAGGCTCTCGTGTTCCAAGAACCACATGTGTGTGGTTTTAGTGTAAGAGGAGTTACGAGGCGGGCGACGTAGTAGCGGGTAGGTATGCGCATTGTTGTCCTCACGGTAGGACTGCGTTCGTGATTGTCTCGGATGGTGTTGGCTGTGTTCACTGTTCTAGGCTGAAGCGAGTCGAGTCCATGCGCGGGGTGACGCGCTGTCATGTGAGACGCTACCGCTCCTGCTTTCCTCTTGACGGACAACGTCAGGATCTCTCAGCAACTGCGACTAGAGATTCCTCATCGTCACTGTCACGCCATATCAGGCCGCCATCTTCGCCACGCATCCGATTCACTGTCGAATTCTGAAAGAAGGACAGCAAGAGTACTGCAATCGCCACTTGTACAAGTTTGTCTTCATAACGGGAGCTGGTCTAGTATGGAGGTGAAATAATCATTGAATTACCTACAATACTCTGCCAGTAATTGCAACGTATTGTTTCGATACAGGTCGCCCTATACTACTGGCAACAGGGACATGCACAGCTATATTACAAAAGAAAGACTCCACAACGCCAAATGCGTTCGAACCTCTTGTATCGCAAAACAAACAGGCGATAGCCAATGAATCTGGAGAATACCAGCATTGTACTTTCTTCCTCCACCTTTCTTTCACGTCTGCGCTTCGGGAGCCTTCTGCAAAGCCCTTTGCCCGTCCTACGTTGCTTGTTTGGCGGCGTCATTCTTTTCTCTCTCTTGCTGGATCCGCTCGGCGTACATGCTTCGGGCTCTAATCTTAGGACCCCACCTGTAGATGCAGAAGACCGGGATGCAAACAAGGACAGAGATCGCGAACAACACCCATGTCGAGTTCGTGACGCCAAGGTTCTTGTACATTGGGCCGGTGTAGAAGGAGCAAATACCAGCGAGGACGTCTCGAGCAAATCCATTACCACCAGTGGCTGAGGCAGAGTACTGACCCCCGTAAGCGGCAACCATGTAGTCGATCGTGGCGAAGTAGATGGCGAGATTTGCGCAACCAATCAAGACGGCGAATATGAGTGGTGCGATCCATGGAAGAGGTGGTCCAGTTACTACGAATGCGGATCCGAACAAACCGACGGGAAGGAGCAGTACGATCCACCGGAGGGCTGATAGCCGGCTCTCGGGGCTGAGAGTCTTTCCGTTGCTACGCTGCTGGTTGTGGCGTCGGATAACAGGGTAGTATAGTACTGCTGCCAGCCAGTAACCGATGAAGAGGGCGAAAAGGGCGAGTCCCAGTTGACTAGGAGTGAAGCCCCAGCCGTCCTTTCCGAACACGTATCCGTACGATTCTAGGAAACTGAAGATGAGCGCGTCGCTGAATCCACTGAGCAATGACAGGAAGCCAACAATCGGTTCGCAGACCAGCATCTTGTAAGGACGACCCATGATCCTGAGACAGCTCATGAAGTTGAGCTTCTCGTGTTCGGTCGGTCCAACGACATTGTCCTCCGGGTTTTGTTTGCGTCGCCTCTTTGCTTCCTTGTTGAGCATGATCGTTGCCCTAGTCTCGGGAACGTAGAAGAAGTGAATGATCTGGACAGTGGCGCCAAGTATGAGCTGGATCCAGAAATTCCATCGCCAGTAAAGGAACTGCTCGATAGGGCCACCACAGATGCCGCCGATCACTAGAAAGAGTTAGCATTCTGCAACGACTTGCAATTCGGACTTCACACACCTGAACCTAGACAACTCCACAAGCTAACCCAGAGGATAGGGAGCTGTTGGTCTTCGGGGTCGAACATGTCCGCAACCATTCCGAGTGTTACAGATCCACCTGCGGAGCAGAGACCACCGAGCAGACGCGCTGCCAGCACGTGAGACCAAGAGGTACTGGCACCGGCCATAATTTGCCAGACGTTGACAGTGAAAAGAGACAGCTGCATGATCGGCTTTCGTCCGAACTCCTCGGACCAGGGTGCCCACAGTTCGCATCCAATACCGTACAGGATCAAAAACCAAGCCATACCGGCTCTAGCGTTGGTAAAATGGTTACTACCGAGATGGTAGTGCTCATTAAGCGGTCCTATTGCGTTGGAGTAGACCGCTGCGTTGTAATCTGTCGACAGTCAGTATTGCAAAGGCTCAAGAGTGAGGACAACCACTTACTCATACTGGTTTGGCAGAGTCCGACAACTGTCAAGATAGTCCACTTATGCTTCTTTGTGAACTTATATCCTGTCTTCTCAACCGAGTTCGCCTCGGTGAGCATCAGCGGGCCTCTGGACTGGGCTTGATGGCTTTTAGTTGGAACCATTTCTATTTCATCCGCAGCTTCCTTCTTACGGCCAGCAGAGCCGCCAGAGGTCGCATCGCTGTCGTTCCCGACGTATGCCGTCATGGTCTGGATGGTATCGGCAAGGTCAGATAACAGGGCCGAAAGCGGTGTAGTATAATAGCGTTCGGTTGAACTCCGTTACGCACAGTATGCTCGGTAGTCAGGGGAAGGTGAAGGTTGAAAGACGGAGAGAGCGGGAAGACGATAGATCTTATGGCCGCCATGCACGATGAGAAACTCTGGGACGAGAATTCCCACCCCAGGCTTATCATGGTTGCCATCCAGTCTAAATCGCATCGACAAAAGTCAGCATATATGCAATATACATCGCTCCAGTGGACCCCGTTGACGAAGCGCCAGACGGCCCGCCCCCGCTACCATGGTTCTGCGAAAACGCCCACACATATTTGCGTACAACAATCCTGTCTTATTGCGTTCGATGTAGCGTGAAAAAGCTGTACTCAATGTTCCAAGTTCATATCGTACACGGGTACAAGTAAAGGCGCTTCAAAGTCGAAAAATCTCGCTGCACATATAGCTCGAGAGACCTCAATTCATGACGACCTCCCTCTTTCAAACCCCACTGGATCTGTGCGGAACAACGCGGGGAACCATTACCCATCGATATTGCAAGTACATGGTGCGTCCAAAATTCCTCGGTCAATACTAGTGTACCACCTTCCCGGTCCCAGCTCCATTAGGGGAAGACAAGTGAGCAGAAACTATAGCCTATGGCACCTGCAATTATTCAAGTCCATCTACAATATCCGCCATTGGCCTGGGGAAAATACTCTGCAATACTCTGCAAGTCACATGAACTTAACCCCATGACATGTAGACTACGTCTAACCTCAACTCTTCTACTCTTCCATTGCGCTCAGCCTGCTCCACCCATACGTCCACTTCTCAACACTAATCAAATACCCCAGCACTGTCTTCATCATCCCACTCCCACTCCCACTCATTCGCCCATGGTCGCAACGGCGTCCAGGAATTTCCTCTTTTGACCTCAAACTCTCTCTTTAGACATTGGAAGTGCGCATTCAAATCTGCTCTCAGCTGTATAAGCGATACGTTTTCTTCTTCTGCAGCGAGAGTTAGATCGGAGATGTTGCAGTTCGCAGAGTTGCGTGTTTTGTCTTCGCCGACAGGTTTGGAGAGATGCAGTAGTGGTCGCGATTTTGCTGACTCAGGAGAAGCGCAATCATGGTCGTGGGATGTAAGCACGATGGACGGTTTACCGTATTGCTCTACTTACAGCATCTTCGTACCTGGCCTGGATAGATGTGTCGTGCTGATATCCAGATGCTTTGAGATATTGTACGTCATTTCTGTGTTGCAAGAGCTCACTGGACTGAAGAGCGAGTTGCTGTTTCGGTCTAGAATTTGCTGCGAATCATGAAGTGGTGTCGACATATCTAGGGTTTTTTTTGACGACGTATAGGTAAGACTCAGATACTCACAGCATAGAAAGTGATGCTGTTTCACTTACATAGGCACTACAAACGCGAGACGAAACGTCAGCAAGCAGCTTCTTTGACACCACTCATTGTTGGGGTTTGCTAACGACAAGATGATGACCGTTTGTTTCCGAACCAATGGAAAGCAGTATTCTATGCAGCGCATGAACAGCATAGAGACATGATGGCTTGTATGTCATTAATGGAAGTATATTCACTAATGGCTATGTTTTGTATGTGCACCAGTCAATGAAGTTGCTTCCGCGGTGCCAGCATGTCCTCCCAATGTGCCTTACCCGTCAGAGTTGCAAAACTCGCTGGAAGGGCATACTGATGATCACGACTCTTCTTCTACCATGTTCCGCCTCGTGTGTTCGACGCGCCTAACAACAGATGTGCTGCCCACTGTCGAACCTTGCAATGCAGCAAGCTGAAGTCATATCCTAAACTGCGAAAGCCTGCTCATGCTTCCCACCATTGCTGGTGAGCAGAGCAGACTTTGTCATAGTATCTGTCAAGCTCGGCGCGCTGCATAGCCATGAGCTCTCGCTCAGGTGCCACCTTGTCCAGATCCAGCTCATGCTCCATCGCACGGATAAGTATGACTTTAACTTTGATATCATGGTCGATAGGAGCGCGAGCCGTAGGAATGAAGGCAGAAGTAGTAGTTGCGGTAGTTTGTTTGGCGATGCATCGGTCCAGAATCTCTTGTTGTATGCGCAAGCCCTAAGATATGTTAGTAAGGATAGGCAGCATAGTGTTGTTAATACCCACGTGTTTAGCATGCTCGGTGCCAGGGTCTGCCAAGGCCATTTCCCAAGCTAAAGCCTCATCATTGATAACATCTTCACGCTTGACCAGCGTCTCGTACATCTTTGCGTTCGGGTTCAGTTTCAGCTCTGAACGTTGTGTGAAGCCGATGGATGGACAAGCTTTGCCGTCATCGTTAATCTTGTTTCTTAGATGTGGAGGAATCGATTTCTTTCGCACTTTCTCGGGACGGGGTGGGGTTCCTAAGGTAGTGGTAGTGGTAGCGGCAGCCAACGCATCAAGCTTTCTTCCATCTTCTGCAAGAGCTTTCTCCAAGGAGGCCGCCCAAGCTGGCGGGAGGCTCTTAGAGGGTGATACTGACTTTGCGGAGGCCTTTGATATTATCGGGGTCTCCGGACGGCGGTACGGCGCAGACATCAGCTCCATTGTACCCTTGGGAGGTCCAGAGACATGTGTGGCCGGCTTTGTAGTAGTCAAAGACTGCCTGTGTAAAGATACAGATGCTTTCCCATCCTTCTCGACGAAGCGTGGATCCTCGGTAGGTGAAGGAGACTCGATCACAGGTACGAACTCTCGTGGACACCCGGTACTTCGTGGAGCTGGAGCTGGCCACTCACCGAGTCCGCGACCTAGAGCGCTTCCACTTATGGATGGCGTTGGTGTAGATCTGCCCTGACCATGCATCTTCGCTTCTTTTCTAGAAAACTTACTGCGACAGTCATGCTCCGGGTCGCGGTTAAAGCGGGGATCTAAGAGACCCCTAGGCCTCGCGATGCTGTCGGGATCTGGATGCCCTGAATACATCTGTATCAGCGAATGCCACTCAAGCTTCGCGTTTCGCGTTTCGCGTTTCGCGATCCACGTACAAGTCTCAGCCTCTGGGGGCGGAGGAGGGAAGGCATCCCACACAAAAGCCGAAGCTGCAGTTGCTACACGATAGTCAGCTTTCTTCACATGCCTTACAGCAGGGAGAAGTGCAGTGTTGTGAGAGAGACGTACCAGTCTTCTTGGGCGTGATGAACGGCATTGACACCGGCTTGGTCAACTGGTAGGATATTCTGAGCCTGTAGGCGTGGAGATTGTGTGGTTGCTAGTATGTTTTGGAGAGTCAGAAAGTTGGGGTTGTTGACAAGACAGCTAGCCTACTCTTGCTGCCGATTGGAGTCGAAGTGAGCGCGACTTCCCAAAATGGAACCCAGCTGGAGTGGTTGCTGCCCGGGTGGGTGGCCACAACGTGACGTCAATACTGCTGCTCAGGTGGTGTTGGAGGATATTCAGGCAGCAGCGAAACTTCAATTAAAGAGCTCGGGTAAATGATGTAGCTTATAAGCGACGGAAAAAACTAGGTATTGTTCAACGATGAGGAACAATGCTCAAGAAAAGCGAGACGAGAGTATATAACAACGTTTGCAAGGGAGGAGAAGAACTTGAACCAAGTAGAGTAAACCGACGTCAGTTAAAGCAAGGCTACCTGAATATCTCCCACCTTGAGCCTTGGATAATAGCCTCGAGCCATGCACCGCAGTGAGTATGAAAACAGGGACTGGGAGCTCAGTGAGGAACGTAACGAAATCGCGTGTATATTGCCTAAGCATGAGTAATCGTTGAACTTGAAGGAGAACAGAAGATAGTACGCGTCTGTGGTTAAGGCAATCGGGACTGCGGTGATGATATACTGGCATTGGAGCTGTGCTGTAATCTCAATCTGCGGATGCGGAACAACAAAACTAACAAGGTGTTATTACTTATCATGTAATCGATAATGCTGTGCCAAGTACATATCTTACGTCCGATAAGGAATTTGTCCCGATGTCTACAGACTGACCTGAAGCTACCTTTGGAATGTGTACTGAGAAGCCCATACTTCCCGAATCAGTAGCTATGATTTGCCCTAACTGTCTCGCAGTCATGTATATATTCAGCAAATACCTTTGGGCTAGGGTTTGCTGTCAGGCGGTGCAACTCAGATAACGCAAGCTACTGTATATAAGTCGCGTGTACCTATGCGATCAACGGATAGTCAGTTTCTGTATACCCATTACCTACCTCTACTATGTTTGAAGGGTTGCTACAGGAGTAAACGTCAGCTTTAGCTAGTCATGGAAAGCCAGACTGAAGTTCTAGATACGATTAAGAACCGACATTGCGAAGCCGATCCACTTGAAACAGGTAGCAAACAACGGCCTCATCCGGTCATTACCACATGGGTATTTAGTGTCGCGCTTGAGGCACGACGTACATGTTACAAGATTCGACATGATCGTGAACGTGTTTCGCACAACTCAGTAACTTCGCGGATGGTGTGTTCTCGGGGTCACCGGCCGCCACTGCGGACCTCGGGATCATGCGACGACAACAGACGGCCGCTAACTAGATTCATCCATGATGACTACTATCATCACACGTGAGACCGCGACAACTGCGGAGATCAATTTCTACATCTGATCAGCGCGCACACAGCTTCATTGCGGCTTGGAATTTCGCGTACGTATCGTTCGATGAACCAGGAGATACAATCAATAGCACGCACCGCACTGACGCTCTGACCTTGCTTGCTCAACTACCTGCGGCGACTGTCGGATGTGCTCAGTGACGTGAACAGAACCCTGGGTCTTCACGACTGCCCTTGTCTCCCTTGCGCATTCTGTCTTTCATTCACTCGACCAATCGCTGCCCTCGATTGGTAAACCCTCTCGCTCGCACCTGCCACAATACTGCAGCTTCGCGATTCCTTCGATTGTTATGAGCGAACCTCGCTCTCTCAATCTCTACACCCGCCATTCCCTCGTTTCTCTCAAAAGTTATCAACTTTTGCCGCAGAATGGCGGGAAAAGTCACCTATTCAAAGCGCCCGAGCAAGCGCCACGTACCTCACGACCATGATGCAGTGCATGAGAACGACGATGGCCGCAAGCGGACCAAGGCAGATACCGAGTCAAATGAATCGCGACTGCCAACACCACCCTCAAGCCGACAGGGGAAAAAGACATGGTTCAAAGGCCCAATTTCCGTCCCCAACGACGATATGTATCCCCCACGCTCTGTGTTCGACAAAGTACTTGGAAACAAGCAGCACCAAGCCCCGAGACCAGATGAGAGCAGTGTTCGGAGCAACCGTGAGAATTATGCAGAGATCATGAAGACGGAACAAGTATCAAGAAAGCAAAATGGCTGGGAAAGGAACGGCTCTCTACCAACGCCACCAGCGGAGACGCAGAGAAAAGCTCACCAACAGGCGCAGAGAGATGAAGATCTCGCGCGGTGCAAGGGTGAATCGAAGCTGAAGACATCATCTACGCCACCAACCGAGACATCGCAGCTCTTCGAACGGATCATCAAGAATGAGCAACCAAGAGAACCATATCAGCCAAAGGCATACAAGGCTGAGGTGGTTGCAGCACCGCGGCGGACTACCACGGGAGAGCGCCTATCAAGAGTCTCAGAGCAAGCCCAGAAGTGAGTTTCCTGTCAACATACCCTCTATGATCAGAGATTGATCAAACCAGATTTAAGGCGAATCAGGCCAATTCGCCTCTCTTGCAGTTCCCCGAGACCGTGAGGAGTCTCATCTATACCTATGTACTTGGTGGTAGAACCATCAATATCAGCTACGAGACTTACCACACGACTGTTGACCCTGCAAAGCCTAAGGGAGCACAGAAGGTTGTTCCCGTCTTCAAGTATCAATGCACAGTACTCGACGGTAGACGCAATCCCTTCACTACGGTATCTCAGCCCTGGATCAGACCTTTGACCACATTCACCTTGCTCAATGGCGTCTGCCGCCAGATGTACCAGGAGACAGCGACTCTGCCTTATCAGCTCAACCTGATCGCCTTCGAATCGCATAACATCATGTTCAACTTTCTGTTCATGGAGAAACGCCTACGTCTTCAGCAGCTTGATGCTTTTACGGAACTTATCCTACCGGAGACACTGCCAGGATCGAATGCACTGGCCGGCCTGAGGAACGTCGAGAGAGTGTGTCTTGCAGTTGCACAAGAGGGGAAACCCAGGGGGTGGTACCGCGTTGTCCGTACCGAAGGCGAGGAACCACGACTAACAAAAATCCTCAAATAGTCCAGAGAGTCTATGGAGTCGTGACTGTGTAAAAGATGGTGTTGACGGAGTTTCGGTACGCTTATTTGGTAGCATTTCTACTGGCGATCTATCGGTTGCATGATACCCGGTATGGTAACGACGTTACGATTCAACTCCAAGCACATCAACTCGCTGCCGAAGCCGGAATTCATCCAGTAGCTTGAATGGAACGTTGGTAATTATTTGCATGAACAATCGTGTTACTTCCTTCCTTTTTGGTCCCAACCGTCGAGTCAGTTGGCTCAGTGAGACCGACATGTGAAAGAGGCGCCACGTCTCAGCCTGCACCCTGTGCGAATGACTACGACCTGACTGTGTTGTCACACGCATATTCTTTTTGAGTGTGCACTGCTGTCTCATGCATGTATATCTCGTGGACTGAGAAGATCGAAGATGGCGGTCAAAAGAGGTAGGGATGGCTGCCCCACCTCTGCAGCATTCTCCAGATCTACGCTGCCTGCAGCGTGGGATCGCGATGTCGGACTGAGTAATTTGTTCGCGGCGCTATACGGCAAAACTACGTATAGGCCATACTTCATAGGCCGGGGCCGTTGGGAGTTGAACACAGTGACAGGCGGGCAAAAAGACACCATTGCCAGCTACAGCACGAGACACATGATCCATGACCGCATGTGCAGTAGCCTGCCAACTCTGCAGGTACAGGTGAAAGTTGCGTGTCAGCGTCGGTGGATGGGTTGGTGCTACCGACGCGAAGCCATCCCGGTCGTGTCTGTTTAGTTGCATCCTTGCCGATGACGATGTACCACGCTCATGTCCCCACGCTTCCTAGCATGCACTGCACGTATCGAGTACTTCAAAAGCATCCATGCCTTCCAGTCCCGCGCAAGTCTCGTCACCCGGCGACTACATAGCAGAATTGTTGAGGCAGCAAACCCGTGGCGTGCCTTCCGCGACTTGCGCGACCAAGGGCGCATGACCATCCGCAGTTGACCTATTTCCGGCCATCCTACACCGCGTCTTCGAGAAAGACACTATTACTAGGCTATAGACTCTCTCGAGCGCGAGAAACTCATAGCAACCGGCTGCCCTTCTACATCTACACCACCACAGCCTGCCTTTACGCGCTCTAGTCAATCTTCCGATCCACCTTCCACCGGCTAAGCCAGGCCTCGTAACACCCGCGCATGGCGTGCACCAGCGCTCCATGTCATTGTTGTCTGACACGATATTCACAGGCGGCAGTACGAGACTGCACCTAAGAGGAGGACAAAATGGGCAGAAGTCGATAAGGAAGAGTAAGAGTCATGGCGGCTTCCTCGGGCCCCTTGTGCAGCTGGCCAGAAATCCGCTAAGGACTGTTGGTGAGTCTGTGGGCGAGTCTGCGGACGACTATTATGTTCCTGAACCGGCCGTGGGTGCTGCGGAAGCAAACCGTAGGCAGGTCCTGTACCTGCACATGAAAGACGTGGGTCCCCTAGATTGGTCACGACCCTTTCACATGCTGACGAGATCGCCACGCAGGCCGAGACATACGACCAATGGAAAGCCGCCGCGACTGAGCTCGATATCTTAGAAGGAAACGAGGCCTGGAAAGAAGAGAATGACACGCCGGAATACAACGTAGATCTGGTCGCCGCCCGGCTGAAAGAGTTGGACGACGCGCGCTTGAGCTGCGATGTCAAGAGGATGCTTTTCCTGATCAGGACCACGCTCACGCGCGGGTTGGGCGACATGGGCGATCTGCGCTTATACAAACACTCGCATATTGGGACCAAGCGCCTAATCGAGAGGTACATTGAGTCGGCCCAGCAGACCATGGCGACTCTGCTGGACGTCTCAGAGAAGCAAGGAGATCAATGCCCTGTCGAACCGCGACGTCTGGTCGACCAGCTCCTTCAAACACGACAGTCCTTCGGACGAAGCGCCTTATTACTCTCAGGCGGTGGCACCTTTGGCATGAACCATATTGGCGTTGTAAAAGGTCTCTGGGACGCTCGTCTTCTCCCACGCATTATATCGGGAGCCTCTGCTGGAAGCATTGTTAGTGCTGTTCTGTGCACAAAGACCGATGCAGAGGTCCCAGAGGTTATGCACCAATTTTGCTATGGAGATTTGAACGTATTCGAAAGCCCTGATCACCCGGAAGGCGTGGTCGGCAAAGCGATGCGCTTGATGAAGTCCGGCGCTCTCTTTGACATTTCACATCTTATGAGAGTTATGCGCGATCTGCTCGGCGACATGACCTTTCAAGAAGCATACAATCGAACTCGTCGTATCTTGAACATTCCTGTCTCGACTTCGTCACTTTACGAATTGCCTAGACTGTTGAATTACATCACAGCGCCCAACGTTATGATTTGGTCAGCAGTGTAAGTCGGCAACCTATGTTGGGCTTTATATTTATGCTAACTTTGCTTAGGTGTACGTCTTGTTCAGTTCCGCTGGTCTACAAGAAGGCTTCACTTTTGGCCAAAGACCCGAAGACCGGCCAGGAAGTACCCTGGGATCCAAACCCTGAAGCAACCTGGATAGATGGATCAGTAGACAACGATCTGCCCATGACCCGGCTAGCAGAAATGTTCAACGTGAATCACTTTATTGTCTCGCAAGTCAACCCGCACGTTGTCCCCTTTCTGGCAAAAGAAGAGGAGATTGTCGCTGCAGAAGCTCAACAGGATGCCGTCACCGGTTCCAGCTGGATGAGTCTTTCGGCTAGTCTTTGCAAGGGAGAGGTCATGCACCGCCTCCAACAGCTAGCGGATACTGGGTTTCTCCCAAACCTCGTAACAAAAGGACGGTCGGTTCTCAGCCAGCGATACTCAGGCGACATCAACATCTTCCCCAAAATTAACTATGCGGACTTTCCCAGAGTCTTGAGTAACCCTACACCGGAGTACATGGCTGGGTGCATGCTCACTGGACAGCGAGCCACATGGCCGAAGCTCTCGCGCATACAGAACCATGTCGCCATCGAGCTTGCGCTGGACGATACAATCCAGAAGCTTAAGGGACGACTTGTGTTCACACCACAGCAAGATTTGAATATCAGGCGGACTAGCTCTCAAGACAACGATCTTGCTCAAAGAAAGCGGGCGAAATCGACACATAAGATGACGCGCTTCGAACTCAGAACGGAACCTCCCAGTCCGGTGCTGCGGAAGTCTGCCCCTACCAGTCCTCTATTGTCTCGCGCAGCATTCAAAGCATCTTCTCAACCACTTTCGGTCTCGAAGCAAAGCCCCGGCCCAATCCAGCTCGACCCAATGTCCTCCACCAATGACACCTCAGACCACGACTACTTCGCCGACCCTGAGTCAGACACGACAGACGGACTCTCCTCCCCTTCACCCCCCACATCGCCCACATTCAACACTCCCACTCTCTGGCCCTCAACCCCGCAAGCCACCATGCAAGCGCAAACCACCTCACAGCCCACACCACCACCACCTACTCAAAGTCCACTTAGTCGTCGCACCGGCACAATGCTCAACCTGACCATGACGTCTGCTGCGAGACATTCTTCCAACCCCAATGTACCTAGCTCCCCGGAGCTGCGGTATAAACGCCTTTTTCATCCTCCTGGGCCTGCTACACCGGATGTTAGTGTTGGTCCTCCGGTTTTGGATGTTGAACCGGTACCCATGAACACGACACGTTCGCCGTCGGTTAGTAGGCCTGGGAGTCGGCGGGGCAGTGGAGCGGGATTGGGTTTGCCGGTTGACCCTTCGGGGACAAGGGCAATGCTGTTGAGGAAGAAGAGCTACATGTAACTTTTTCAAAGAACCTTGGCTGAGGTTTGGTCATGATACCTTTCTTGTACATGATATTTCTACTTTGTTCTCGCGTCATGGCATCTTCGCGTAGAATTCTTTTCCCTTTGTTTTTGTTTTCAAATTGGGAGGACGAAGGAGATGGTAGACAGGGTAGTTGTTGCCATGTTTTGAGCAGAGTTACATTGAAAGCGGGAAGAGCAAGGGTACACTAAGAGTAGCGATACCCCTGTCCATAGAATACTGTGGCATTTGTTACACGCCATCTCTATACATACAACAAATAGAGGAGTCATAGAACATATCTCAGTTTCCTTCATATCTCTCCATCAATTCCCCCATCAGCAGTGAATAATAGACATATAATAACTCGACATTACTTCATCATTCCCCTTCTCCATCCATCCTCACATCACTCTTACTCCTCAAGCCTCCCTCCGCCTATCTATATCCTTCAAAACCTCCCTATCCTCGACAAACTTTCTCCTAACATCCTTACCCCTCCACCGCTCAAACAATTCATATCCCACCACAAATACAATGGGTAAGCCCACTATTATCGCTGTTACGCGTCGGGCGGCAGGTTTGTATTTGGGTGGGAGGCGTATGTCAGGTGTGGGTTCTATTATGCGGGTGGGGTGTTGGTGATGTTGGTGGTATGGCGGTGGTGGGGGACGAGGTTGTGGTTGTGAGGGGGAGGGTCGGATGGTCGAGGGATACGGGTTGTGCGGACGGGAGAAAGAGGAGGAGGTGGTGGTGGGCATGGGTTTTGGAGGAGACGAAGATGATGGGTGGATTGGTGACGGGGCGACTGTGGGTTTTTGGGGGAGGGGGATAGTCGTTGCTCTTGAGGAATAAGTCGCAGGTGTTTTATCATTCGGTAAGGGAGGGTTCGTCGGCATTGCTGGGTTTGACTGGGACGATGCTGGGTTTGGTGGTGGTGGCGTTGCTTGGGTTTGCGACGGCGTGGCTTTGCTCTTGTCTACACCCGCCTCTACTTCCTTCTCCACAGCCTTCCTAGACTGCTGTGCTCTCTTCAACGTCCCTTTTGCTTGTACCTCCTCTAATATCTTGCTTGTGGACAGTGAAACAGGCGTGGCTTGGTCCGGCGCAATGGTCGACTGGACCGCAATCTTCTTCCTAACAGTCCTAACAGTAGCCGCATCAGCAGCAACAGTCTTCCCGCTTTTTGCAGCCACCTTCTTCTCTTTCTTGACTTCCACAACTTTATCCTTTGCAATCGCTTTCGCAGCCACCTTCTTTACAGCTGCCTTGCTCGCTGCGACTTCTGGCGTTGGCCCCGCATCCTCGGCTACTACTTTCTTCGGGCGTCCGCGTTTCTTGACTGCTGGGGGTTCGATTGGTGGTTTTGAAGACATTGTCGTTATTCAATTGGTGTCTATCCAGTAGGGATAAGGTGAGTGAGGGTATGGGAAAGCGTAAATGGCGTTGCGACACGGTGACTAGTCTGGGCGCATTCGAGGGGTCGCGGCGGGAAATTTTGGGCGAGTATGTCTTTAGGCGGAGATTGAAGATGTGATGCAGGGATGCGCGTGCGTGCAACGGTTCGTAGCGTGTCTGGGATTATCGATAGCAGTAAACATCACTTGACTGCATGACGACTAGTCTGTTGATGAGGACCATGTGTGCATATTTCATTTAATCAGATGTCTTACGTCACAGCGTATACAAACAGCATGTACAAACTCCATGAAAGAACTATAACCAGCAGTTCGATCCAACATCAACGCCCATGTCATGTTTACGATTATTTCTGTGCTTCCTCTCTCTTCACCCTAAAGAAGGCCAATTTGGCAAAGCGCCCTAATTGACCCCAGTAGTGTCGGCCGGCAGAGTGATCCATGATCCTCTCTAGTAGTCTAACGACTGCCATTCTGACATCCTGTCTAGGGTGAAACAGGCCCAGACTAAGATAGAAGAGACCAGCATCTGGGATAACACAAAGTAGTTGCAGGATGGTGTCGTACTGGAGCTGGGAGCTCGCTTTACGCTCGGAGTCATTCACGAGCGTGAGTGACTGAGCCATGGACGATAAGTCGGTCGACGAGGCGTTCGCACTTTCATTGAGCGAATCCGCTTCTTCAACACACTTCGCGAGTGCGAGGTAGATGGCTGCTGATTGATCGTGCGTAAGCTTCAAGCAGCGCAGCTTGTCGTGTTGGTGGGCCATGTCAAGACCGCGCACTGGTCTCTTATTCCAGTGCCTCGCTAGATCTTGGACGCAACTGTAGTAGCTTCTCGTGTTACGCCAGCCCTCTATACGATGCACGTTTGCAGCGAGTTCCCGAAGCTTGTGGCCCTCGTCTGGCCAGACGTAGCCGTGTCCGGATACACCATATGCGCCGATATCCGTCTCATGAGAGCCAATGTACAGTGCTGAAGCACCGTAGACAGTCTCTTCAAAAGCCGCCGCAATACGGGTGAACTTCAACACCCACGAGCGCCACTTTGCTCGAATAGCATTCTCACCGTGGCGGTTGGCAATGCTCTCAAGGAGTTTGTCCATGAATTGGGTGTCGCCGGTTGCGTCGATGCCGTTGGCTGGTGACGCACTTGGCCCATTTAGAGGAAGGCCCTGCTGCTGGAAGAACATGGAGCCCTCTGTTGGTGACGCCGACTCGATGCGATTGCTGATCTTCATGCGACCGGTGGGCAGATCGCATATCAGGTCCCACCATTCGGGCTTGTAAGAGAATGCAGGATTGGTAACACCAGCGATGAAACCAGGAACCTTCAGCAGGTCATCTACTTTGGTGAGATCGGTGTATGGGAAAGCGTGTCGGACGAAGCCGCGGAGAATGCCACCAGATGCTAAAGCACATGCTGCCAACACGGCCTCTGCGACTTCTCCTGAAGGGCGATTGTGCCCGATGAAGATGATGCGCTTCTGGGTCAGGAGGGCGTTGACGAGAACAATGATGGGATGAGTGAAGGCGCCGCTCGTGGTTAGATGTGGATGCAAGGCAAAGGGCTGCGGCTGCGTTGCGTGAGGTGTGGAGAATGTTTGAATGAGCTTGATCAAGGAAAAGTCACCCACAGTCTCCGGACTCAGAGCGGTGGGTATCTTGACAGGGACGGGTATACCGTTGTAGTTGATCTTGGATTCAAACTCGTGCGTGTCTCGCGGAACAGTGTATGTTTTCTTCCGCGACTGAGGGTCTGACGAGGTCTCAACAGAGTCTCTTGCAGCGTCGAGCTTTCTTCGCTGCCGGACCATGAGCTCAAACTTCTCCACGAACATGTCTTTGGCATCGCTGGCGCCAAGTACGAAGTTCTCTAGGGGAGATAATCGCGGCAAGAGCGACAGGTCCATGGAGTTGAGAGCGTTGTATAGGGATTCGAGAGTATCCAGGACGGGTGCCCTGAAGTACTCTTCAAGGGCCAGCAGCAACAGGGGCTTGTATATGTGCAGGAAGGGGTGCCGCGTGCATATTGCCATGGCCTTGACGATGGCACCTCTAAGCACTGTCAGTCTTGCCAAGTAGATGTTGATGTTGTTCCTACCTCTTCACTGTATTGTCTTGCTTGGTATTGACCAAGTTCAAGACATAGACCAACGGCGGTCCATCAGGGTCTGGCTCTCCTTCACTTTCTGTATCCTCGTCTCCGTCGTCATCGTCGTCGTAGTCGTCGTCTTGCCCTTCAGTATCTGCAGTCGCGTCGTCATCGTCGTCGTCCTCCAGGCCCTCTTTCCGTCGCCGCCTTCTCCTCCTGCGCTCTCTCCTTGCCTCGCGCTCCTCCTCTTCGGCTGAGGTGTCCTTGTGCAGGAAGAAGATGGTCCAGTCTTGGCTTCGGACATGGGCCTGATCGGGCAACATGAGCTCAGCCAGCATAGTCTCGTCTCCACTGATAGCGGCCGGGTATTGGTGCTCCATAATGGAGCCGCGGTCAATGTCGAAGGCGGCGACCAGTATGTACTCGACATGGTTCTCAATTGCATCGGCGGGATATTGCGAGCGCAGCTTCATACCCCCTCTGGGTAGGGCAGCCATGGAGGACTGATGCGACGAGTCGTGCGAGGACTGTATCGACTCCTCGTCGCCCTCACGGAGCATGGGGGGCTGCGGGGAGCGAGCTTTGTGGTTATGGCCATTGCGGGTAGAGGGCGAGCGCGAGGGAGGGAATGAGGAGAAGGAGGGTTGGCGCTGCAGAGATACAGGCTGAGCGGCATTAGGACCGTTTGGCCGCTGTGCGATTACTTCGGCCATGAGTGTCTCCATCTTCAGTACGAGTACCTGCGGACTACCGATACCACATTATGGATCGCCGGCGCTAGGGGAGCCTAATGTAACCGTTCCGAAACAACATGGCGCTGTGTAGGCGGAGACGGAGTAGCAGAACTCCAAAAAGTGTATAGCGAAGGCGTGAATGGCTACAAGATATTATTGGAAGCGGTGACTATGCATGTGACTCGCATATGCTGCTGCCAGAGGCGAGTGAAGGCGGACCCTGCATCCCCAGGTCTTATCGATTAGCTCATGGCTGGGGGGCAGGGGTCGTTGCTAGGCCATTTCCACCATCAACACCAAACAACGCGACGACCAGACATCGCCAATTCCGATTCTGAAAAAACGAATATACTCACGATGGTATGCTGGACCCTTACTCAAGATATGAACACGGCTAAAAAATGCAGTCTGAAACCCCAACGCCCTACAAGCCCTCCCCTCTGTCCTTCAACAGCCCACGCCAGTCGCCTTTCAGAAGACCAGGCTCCATCAGAGGGAACTCACCGTCTACCCTACGACCATCGACGCCCAACAGCTCCCCCCTCAAGCCAAAAGAGACGCCGACATCTCCTGCACATACGCCCAACCGCCTATCCATTGGAGGCAATCCATCGCAAAACCCGCCATCATGGCTAAACACACGGGGCACGACGGGCACCCCAGAGCCTACTTCACCGTCCCGCGGTCTTTCTCCTGCGCGCCAGGTCTCACCAACGCGAAATGTATCCTCGTCGTCACAGATGACTGTGCGCCCTTTAAGCACGGCGTCCATCGCAGCCAAGTTTGAGGGTGCTGGGAGGGACGACACACCACCTCCTCTCTTCAGCAGGAAAAAGTCACCGCCCGTTGAGAACATCGAACCCATCGAGAACGCCAAGCCAGCAGAGGACTACACACCAGTCGACGACTACACACCAGCCGAGACTTATAAGCCAGTTGAGAGCTACAAGCCAGTAGAAAGTTACAAGCCCGTCGAAACCTACAAGCCTGTCGAAACCTACAAACCAGCCGAGACCTACAAAACAACCGAGACCTACAAGCCGGCAACCCGGCCAGCCCCCATGCAACGCATGGCTTCCAGCGACGCTCTCTCAAAGCTCCCCCCACCTCTCCTCCACAGCATGCGCGAATCCTTCAGCGTAATGGACCGCGACGACGATGGCCACGTCAACGCCGCAGATGTCGCAGACATGCTATCCCAACTCGGTCTCTCCGCCACCCCATCCCAACTCTCCACCTACTTCGCCGGCGCCCAATCCATCAACCTAGCCACCTACCTGACAACACTATCCGACCTGCTCGGCAACCTCTCCCACCAAAACGAACTCACCGCTGCGTTCGAAGCCTTTGATGATAACGATGATGGGCAGATTGATCTTGCGGAGTTGAAGGACGCGCTGTTGCATACTGCGCCTGAACATGGGGAGAAGAAGTTGACGGAGCGGGAGATTGACATGGTCGTTGAGGGCTTCAGTGGACGAAGAGCTTTTGCCAAAGGAGGGAAGAGTCTGGGCAATAGGACAGAGGTGTTTAGGTATCAGGAGTTCTTGTCTAGTTTGACAGGTGGGAGTGGTAATGGTGGGGAGAATGGAGAGGCAGCACCGGCGTAGGAACATATAAGTGGTGGAGTTGAGGGACTTTCTTTTGTGCGCAGTGCGACTGCGAACTGATGTATACCAATGACTATTCCATATATACTACAAGCAGCGCTTGGTTGTTCGAAATGATAATCTGAGTTGAGACTGCAATCTGAGCTACTATGTCATCTCTCTCTTGCTGAACTCGCGTTGTTCAGCCGATAATGTGAAGAAGCTCTTATTTTCGACAAGTTGTACTCAGCATCAAGTGGTACACTGAAGGTATCCGCTGCGAATTTTCCAACACTCTTATCGGACACAGATATATGTATACTTTGAGCGTAAACTTTACACGCCAGGTACAACTCGACTCCTCCCGTGTTGCAGCTCAACCACCTATGTCTCTCTTGCCACCATCTTCGCCCTTCCTCCCCTGTCCCAGTACTGCCTCTGCCTCATGGTTTCTTTGGAGAGTTCAAGGCTCTTCATCCCAGATCGTTTTAAAATGTCCATTTCTTTCTTCAGCTGAATCCGGAGGATTGCAAGCTCTTCGGTAGGATCGAACATGGCTTCCATAGTATCTCGCCAAGCTACCATGTCATCTCGAATAGCTTGAAAAGTAGCCTCTACCTCTGCCCTCTCTGCTTGAGCTGTTTTGCAGGTGACACCTGCCCGGCTTGGCTTTACTATGTATTGGTAGGTGTAGTAGGCTATGCCGGACACTGCGATGACAGTGAAGATGCCGCCTAGATACGATGTTAGTACATGCAAGTTGGCACAAATATATTACTATCTGCATGCTCAAGAATATACCGGGTGGTGGTTCACACATGTTGGCTTTTTATGGGAATGTTGCTGGTAGTAGCTGAATGGTCAAGGACCTGTAGTTGGTGGTTGAATATGATGCAGTTGGGGGTCTATTTATGTGAAGTAGACAGGTGCTGTGCTACGATTGCGAGATCGTACCATAGTTCTCTAATGCGAGTACATTATCTTTGCGCTGTTGCTTACTTGCAGATATCCCTTAGTATGAGTGTTGTTCGGATTGCAGAGGTTGTGAATGACTCGTCTTGTATGGGTCATGGAGAACCACAAGATGGCAACCAAAGTATGGTTCAATACATTTTTAGACCCGTCGATGACCAAGAGGCATCATCTTCTTCGTCTTCTTCGTCTGACTCACCTCCCTCCTGTCAGTCACGCGAAGTAAATGTAATTGAAATGCATTTTTTTCTAGCTCCTATGAAACTAGGGTACTTCCACTGTTAACGCAGACCCAATGCTTCAATCCCAAAGGTCTACAAAATGTAAACCACGAAACCGGGCAGCAATTCCTCGGATCTCGCAATCGCAGCAGTAGATAAACCCAACGCTTTTGAATGTCCTGCTTCTCGCCGTGTCCCAACGACGAGGGTTGGATTTCTTCACCGAGAATTTACTCACTGTCCTCCGTGGTCCCGTTCGCTGCCCAATACTCAAGCTTGGTTCTCTCGTCCGTCTTTTCCTCTCCATTCACCGTCCTGAGTTTCCTCCTACGCGCCTCTCGCTCCTCCACCTCTTTGATTTTGAAATCCCACCTGTCCAACTCCATTCTAGTCAAACGCCTCAGTTCTCGAAACCTTGGATACCACTCCAGATGCTTCAGTATCTTGTGATCTGTGTCTGGGTCGTGGATAGCTTGACGCTGTGATGCACGGTCGATGCAGTGAACAAGTGCATTGACGATGATGGTCGGTGTTATACATGCTGTTGCTCCATTAGGAAGGGGATGGGGGATCTTGTGTATGACGCCAGCGTTCCTGTCTTCGATTTGCTCCTTGGCTGTGAGAGTGGGGTTGGGACCTGGACTTGTGTCTGTATCTGAACCCCACATCTCCCATCCAGGGGCGGAGCAATCGGCCCTGAACAAATGGAACATTTCATTCTTCATGTTCCTTTTGGTAATGTCGAGATGATGGGTGGATTTGTCTGTTCCTAACCCGATATCGTAAGAAAGGTAATGGACACTTGCTAAATGCGTGTTAGTCTTTGCTGTATCTATGCCTGTGTAGTGTACGGAGAGACTCGTGGATGCTCGGGAATATGGGCGCTTGCAGGGCCTTTTCTGGAAAAACGCACTTGAATAACAATGAAGATCCACCTGCTTCCTCTCAAAAGTTCGTGCATTCTCCTTTCCATACCAGTCCTCGAACCACACCGTACCTTCTACAAGGTCAATGTGCAACGTTCCAATGTCGCTTTTGGAGATAGGTCGGGTGCGGTTACACGTCATATATAAGTGGTTGGGCCACGATGGGGAGTCATGTGAACTTTTAGAGCGTTTGTGTGGTGGAAGTCGCTCCACGTCTTGGGCTACTTTGCGCTTGAGCTCGTTTCCCTTTTCGACAGCTGATGGGCCGACATCGAGCTCCATTGAGGGAAGATTATGCTTAGCTGGAGACTCGACGGGGAGTGTTTCGATTGTGGACATGGTGCTGAGCCCTGAAAATGGAGGCTGGACGACGCGCTCTGGAGTAGGATAGGTATCAGATGCCTGGATAGTGCTGATTGATAGTTTCGGCGGCACGAGTCTAAGACCTCCACAGCATAACGGGGCTTCAGGGATCGTCTGCGTGAAGGCACACGCCATCATGCTACCCTCGTTGAGGCTTCTCAAGCCTTGGAATGTCCAATCCACGACTCCGCCGTGCCCGCCCTCAAGAGTTATTTCGAGTACTCCGTCGTTCTTGAACAAGCACAAGCTCAGTCCCACGGCACTTAATTCGAGAGCAGGTTCTGAAACTGTAGCAGCGTCATCGTCGAGTTCGTCTGCACAGTCTTCAAAATCTTCCACTTTTAGTTCATATAACGTTGCTTTTCTGTTGGGCCGTTCGTGAAGTAATGCTAGTGTGCCTGACCGTAGTTCATGGACGTAGAGAGCGAGTCCAGCAAACCTGACCAAGACTGCCCGCATTGTGAATAGAATTTCTGTACTTGTGTGAAGGATAACCCAAACCCAGCTTCGGACAGTTGAGGGTAGCTAGGTCAAGAAGGTAAATTGCAGACGTCGGGACAGCCAAAGTGGAGAGTGAGTCGTGCAGGAAGATGGAAGAGGATAGCGGTCATATGTACAGGAAGTAGAAGAGGTAAAGGCTCCCCTATCACCTACATGTCTCTCACCTGTACTTGGTATCACCATACAGCATGCGTTCTGTCTTCGAAAGACGACATCCGTCTCTCACCATCCGCATGTACCTACTTGATCATGAGAGATGGAAGATGGCAATCGTGAGACCTCCGAGCTAACGAGAAATGAAGTGAGGTAGTAGCAGTTTCCAGATGCTGTCCGACATCCGGACAAAGTTTGAAGGTGAATCACCCATCTTCTCATGCAGTCAAAAGTTGCAAAAACAACAAACCAGCTTTCAGGCGTCTGGTCGGATGGACTTTTCTTCCTCCTCAGACGTGTTTAGGACTACGGAACGATGATTTGGCCACGATCTCGCCGGTTGGTGTTCGGACTGATGACACAATCTCCCAACCTCTTCCCTACTCAAGCCGCCTGACTCGATCCCGGGGCGGGTCATAGACAATGACGGTGAGAAAAGATTTAAAACAAAGAAACATGTTGGTCCATTAGGAGCCGTTGCCGTGGGGTTGCCCAAGGATGGTGGTGTTGAGAACCCTGCTGCTAGCGTAGGCTCAAGGTATCCGGTCACAGTTTCGATTGGCGGAAGGCACACGTGATGTACAACACATCGGCGCGGGTTAGACGGGTCCAAAAATCCCCATCCACTCGTTGGATAATGGCTGTGAATAGTGTTGAAGTAGCTCTGAAAGCGGCTAGCATTAGTGAGCTGGCCGAAAGAAGTCACAGCTATAATATGACATAGGACGCCCCATTGGTTTAGGCGCTGCAGCACAGACACAGTTCGCGCGCTGCAAGAGCGATTGGAGAGCTTCCACCATTTTATATCTTCGACTCGACCCCTCCTCGCCTCGCACCGCTGCTCCATACTGAAAATGAGTGGCCCGGGTGAAAATCGGTACGTCTGAGACAATGCGCACGCGAAGCTCTGAGAGCTTACCAATACTGACAATGTACGCAGCTGGCGGCGGCAGGGTCAAGCCAACCGTAACTCCAACTCGGGCGCAAACACCCCCACCAAGGACAATGCAGGACGGCAGCAGGCTATGCCAGCACCCACGGCGAACGTATGGGGGGCCAAACAGGGCAAGGGAACAGGCCCCGCGGCTGCACCAGTTCAAGCTCCGCAAGACCAGCATGTACCCGTGAAGGAGTTCAACGCCAATGAGGTTAGGGAATTCCTCAAGAAGAGTATGTTGTCTATGATGTCTCTGGACTATTGTCTATGGCATGGCTAACCAACTGTAGAATACATCGAGAGCACAGCCAGTATGAATTCGCAAGATTCGCGCATATGTCCAGAGGACTAATACCCTTCCAGATCAACCCTCGGTATACCACAAGGTCCCCGGCGACTCCGTCTCAAACCGTAGCAGCGGCGCATGGGGCAAAGGAGGTGAGGCTTCAACGATTAACTACTAGAGGTCAGAATACTGACATGACGCAGGCACTATGTCACACCTCATGCCAACCGGCCAAGACTTCTTCACGCAGCTCAAGAAGCAGATAGCGACTCTCGAGCAGACGAAACCCGCGCAATGATTGCATACACACCCGACATCGATTTCAGCGGCATTTTGAGGGCATTACAGGAGTTCTGTGGGCATTGAATTGCATGGGTGGCTATGTGTCAGTACTTTGCAGCAGCATGAGTAAGGTCATGTCAAGGCGTAATGGAGTTTGTGAGCGTGTATCCGACCCGGCTTAGGATGATCGTATGCGATACCCATCTAACGACAGCGTTTGCGGGTTGAAGTTGCACATGGCATCGGAGAGCGTTGGGAGGTAAAAGGTCATGTTAGACCTGTACCTAAAACTAAAACGTACCTCAAGATACTCCCAATCTATGTTTATCGATAAACAGTGCTATGGTATCGGGATACAAGTGAGATACGAGTGTTGCCGTATTACTCATTGTTGCTACAAGGATACCCATACCCCTTTCACTCGTGCCAAAGAAGGGTCCACAGGTCATTTGCGCAAGCCACTAATTCCAAACACACAGCAAGCGTCAACAAACACCAAGCTTTACGGCTGGACAAGCAACCGAGGCTTCGTTATTGTTTTTCTATGCAGCCCTCGCTCTACATTGATACGCGCCACAAGCCACTGATCATCATCACGCATCACAGTACGTTAAGGTGCATCTCCGCAGCTAAGCCCGCACATCGCTGGGAGACTGAGGCCGTCAACACGCCGTTACCCCGCCACAGAGACCTCCTTTTCCAGTGTAATTAGACTTTCTGTGGCTTGTCAAGACAGAGCCGCGTCTTGCAGGTGCTGAGAAGCAGATGCGCATTGCGCGCCCTGGTTCACTCCCGTGTAGATCCCCGACTGGGGCCCTCCCAATGCGGTCCGCCTTTGTTCATTTCCGCGACTTCACGAGCCTTTGACGTGTTCGGAACACCCGCGACACTCCCACTACACCAACACCACCATGTCGTCTCCTCCAAGCACCCCCACCCACCGGCCTGCGTCTTCGCACCGTCGACACCCCTCCAGTCTGGACATGTCACACAATACACAGTCGAGACGACAATCCTTCAACCGCCGCTCTTCTGGCTACTCGCCCATAACGCCGCGATCATCGCACGAATTCGAACACAGCCCCGCACACCAATTCGACGGCGGAGGAGACGGCAATGGCCTGGGCAACTTGGCCGACGAACTTGGCGAGGTCTGGGACGACGATGAAGAGGGCATGGACGGCGAATATGACGAGGAGCTGGACGAAGCCCAGGACGAAAACATCGGCACTGCTGTAGAACACGATGGCTCTTATGGAGTCGACAGCGCAGCTAGCCTCAATGGCGTACGGGATAGTGGGGTTGCCATGCAGGACTCGTCTCCCGCGCGCCTCAGTCCAGGGTCGGCCGTTAAGGCGAAAAAGCACACAAGGCAACGGTCGCTGTATGACGGCTCCGACTATGGCGACGACTCCGATCTGGAAAATGAGGGCATCTCGCCAGCGCTTGACGCGCGCATGTCTGCTATTGAGAGCCTGGCACGGAGAGGCATGGAGGAGAATGGAAGCGCGTCAGACGAGGTAGTCAAGAGAGTCACGCAACAACTTCGCGATCTTGGCAGTCAAATTGCTATGGAGAATGGAGCGACGAGGTAGGTTCACATTTGTACCCATTCTCAGTTATATCGCTAACAACACTCAGACTAAAGACTGCCCACGAAGCCCTGACAACGCATCTGACACACCAATCGCGTACCCTTACATCAATCGCCGTATCCTTCTCAGGGCCGTTTGCCATTCTTCCCGACCCAGACGATATCGAAGAACTCCTCCCTATGATACAGTCTACGCTGGAGCTGCTGCCCCACCCTTCCGCCGATCCGCTCGTCGCACTCTCCCATCTCACGCACTCCAGCCGTGAACTCATCCAACACCTCTCCAACGTCAGCGACACACTACACATGTCACGGCAAACTACTGCGAATGCTGCCAGACGGCTCAAAGTCAGCAAAGAACAACTGCAGGACTGGAAACGCGACAACGAAAAGACACAAGAGGGACAAGAATACATTGAGCGTGGGGACTGGGATCGACGGCTCAAAGAGAGGGAAGCGAAACGGGCCTGCGCGAACGTCTTGGATGGATTTGAAGACGTTTGTGGACAGTGGAGGAAGAGGCTCTGTGAGGGTCTGGGCGTGGCGAGTGCGTAGACTTTCCCTGCGTATCTCACTGGCCTGTCCCTACTCCAACGGGTTCTTTGCAGTGTTTTCAGCTGATCTGATACCCAGGCGCGGATATTCCTGATGAAGAAGTAAAAATCTGCCCTTCTTGGCGAACTCCAGATGCCAACAAACCGCCGGAACCGCCGGCGAAGCCAGTCGGCATCTCAGCAAAGCTGCCTAAGAAGATAACCCAGCAGCCTAGTACAGACTCGATGTTTCCAGATTCCGGCGATGATATGCTAATGGATGGCCACTGAAGCCATTCGTGCTCACTTCACATTGGGCATTTTTTTCCTATGTATTTGCATTGATATGGTAGTATGGTGTTTTGGCGGCATTGATAGATGGACTTGGTAATACCCCATTTATACATAGCTTCAGGACAAAGCGTGTTCCATTTGTAGGAGTTGGGGCCTTTGATAGATGAGAATGAAAGGCATTACAGCATTGCAGGTGGGGCGATTCTTGAATGTTGTTGAGATTATGCTAACAGTGATATGCTAACAGCTATTTACAGTACCCCTGCAATCACCCTGAATGTACGAGATGGCGTGCTATCAGTCGTACAAAGCGAAACCACTCATGCTAGCTTCCCTACTGAGCTCACATCGCTCACTCCGGTGCCTTCAACTACCTTTGCCTCGACAACCTCATACACTGGAACTTCCTTCAGTCTCTCGACGATATGGTGCAGCGTTGGCAGGACCTTCCAATCTAGAGCATCAAAAGAGATCTCAGCTGCGCTTGCCTTCAACGTCCGCTCAACCTTCTTCTCCACCGTCTTCGCATCCTCCTCACCTGACAGGAAAGCGGTGTACTCCACGTCCGCCTGTCCTCGCTCCTTGCTACCCGTACTACCAGTAGCGGGTACGTATTTGTGGAACAACAAACCTTCGTCTTTTGGAAGAGGTGGAGATAGCGCCGGTGCCGCATCGTCCGTGGCCGAAGTCTCTTGTAGACCTGACAGGGACATGCTGCAGAACTTTGATGACATCCAGCCTGCATCGAGTGTCCAGTTGCTGTGATCTTTCTTCAAGTTGAGCTCGGCGAATAGCTTGGGGAAGCCTAGCTCCTCTCTACCACTCAGTATGGGATCGGCCAGGTTCTCGAACAAGACGGGCAGATAGGTGCCTGTCACTGTTCCCCCGCTCGCGGTCGTGTGCTGGATGCCGTGGATGTACAGTCCGAAGTGACTGTACCCCTTGCCACCAAGCCACTCAAGATTGTCCAGCTGCGTCACAGCAAACGTCGCATACGCAGTAGTATCAGCCACGGCAAACTTCAACTTCTCCGTCGGCAAGAGGTTCTCCAATACCGTCCTGCTTGTCTTGAACTTAATACTGGCAGTCTTGAAGGTAGCTTTCGATCCATCTCTCGGCCTTCCCTGGAAGTCTTGTCTCGGCCCTGGCATAGGACCAAAAGCCGTGGGCATCCGCCAGAGTAAACCTTTCTTGTTCTCCCACTCCCATTTGCGGAGCATTTGGCTCGAGTAGTCCCATTCGTCGTGTCCGAAGTTGTAGTTGGTGAACTTTTGCGGGTCAACTGGTGGACCGCTGCCGAGATCTTTCCCTGCTAGCCGGGAGTATTCTTGGATGGCAGATGCACGCTCGTATCTGCATTTCTCGTAGAGCTTTAGACGTGCGGGGATGGAGTCGAGGGGTGTGCCTAGGGGGAGCATGACAGCGAGGGATGCGGCGTCCTCGATGGCTTGGCCTGCTCCTTGTCCTTGATCTGCGACATTATCAGCAAGCGTTCTCGCAACAGTCAAAGAAAGGTTTCAAGAACTTACGAGGCGTAAAAGGATGAGCAGCATCGCCAATCAACACCAACTTCTCCTCCGTCCAGGTTGGCAACTGCTCCATGTCCAACAATTCCCACACCTTCAACGTCTCCTCGTCTGCCATACCCAGCAGCTTGAGCACCGCCGGCTCAAAATCCTTATAAACCTCCAACAGTTTGCTCAAGTTACCCTGATTCTGCCAATCGCTACTCCCAGCCTCTTGAGGGTTAATCTGGCTTTCGCTTGTCGGATGAATACAAACAAAATTCAACAAGGTATTATCACTCGTCGGATACACAACAACCCTTCTATCCCTCCCAAAAATCATCACGAGATGGCCCTCCTTCTCCGCGAACTTGCGCGTCATCTCCTCATCCAGAGCCCTCTGCCTCGGAATCAAGAACCTAAAAGCGCTCTTCCCACTTCCAAACGTCTTGACATTCTCCGCACCAGGAATCCGTGGACGCGTCTTCGAATGCACACCATCCGCGCCTACAACAACGTCACTTTGAATCTTTTCCCCATCTGCCAGCGTAACAACACCAGCCTTGACATCAACATCCACAACCTTACTTCTCAGCCTCAGCACCGCTGGTGTTCCCTCACCCTCTTCACGTGTCGCTAGTCTCTTCAACTCACTGTGCAAGCTCACGCGATGCGCAAGCTGCCACGGGTGCTGCCACCGGTCTGCATCGCGCTCCAAGGACACGGTAAACAGCTCTTTCCCATTTGGAAGCAGTTGTGTCATGACCTTGCATGTTATGGCGCCGTGAGCTTCAGGGATTAGGCCCATGCGTCGGAGGAGGCCGTTGGCGTTGGGGGCGAGATGGACGGCTGCGCCGAGTTCGTTGGCGAAGCCCGAAGCTTCGAGGAGGGTTACTGTGTGCCCGCGTTGGCGCAGGAAGATTGCTGCAGACAGGCCGCCGATGCCGGCGCCGCATATTGTTATTTTGAGGGGTTGAGTTGGAGACGCATGGCCGTTGATGCCGTTTGTGAAGTCCATGGTAGTGGGGACGAGAAGCGCTGGAGAAGTGCTTGCGAGTTCCAATAACGAAGCACGAGAAAGGTGGAAGTCAAGATTAGATCTTTGAAAGTCAGTAGGGAAATATCAAGGCAATCCTCTTCAACTAGCTGTCATCCGCTTCTGCCGGTAAGCAAGCCAGTGTTGCCTTCGATTCTCGGTACACATGAAGGATGACCCCCCACTTCCCGGATCATAAATATAGGTGGGGTGGTAGAGGAGCTCCAGAGTGCCACAAAAGCATTTCTCGGGTTCCGTAAATATTGCTGTATGCGGGAACAGCCGTCTTAGGCTGATTAGAATATGCGCGTTGATAGTAGTGGATGGTGAGCCGAGAGAGGCAGTGATGCCGCTGCATAGCACGACAGGGTGAAGGAACATCATTTATGTGCGCGCGATGCATGTGCTCTCATACGAACGTGGGGCGAGTAACTTGGAGACACATAAAACATGAGTGTAGTACTAATAGAAAATACTCCATTGTATCGCAAGAATATCTTGATGGGTTTTACAGTATGCGCAATGATGAGTTGCAACGTCTAAATAGGAAAAGAACATGAAATATCTCTACGTGCGCATCCAGCTACCACTCCCCTCCAACCTTATATCCAACATTCCAAACTCTTCCCAGAGTATTCCGCCACACTTTGGATACTGTCTATACACAGTTGTCAGCATGCAACTTCTCCTGATGAATCAAGATTACGAACCGATTGAAGAAAGACGCCTGTGAACATCACGCCAACGAACGCTTGTTCAATGCCATTTAGATAAACTCTTCGCTCGCTTTGATCGAGTTCGTAGTTAACAGGTCGGTACGCAGGCACGCGGCGATGCTCAGTTGGCCAGTCGCTGGGATTCTGCTGCGATTGTGGTATAGTGGATGAAGTCGGTGGGGCTGGATGTGCGTTGAGGCTTGTATCGAGTTCTTCGGTGTGGTGGAGGTCGTAGTCTGCAAGGACGGCCTCGAGGTTGTAGTGGATTGGGTTGGCGGTTGTTGTTACTGACATTGTGACGGTGGTGGTGGTGGTGACGACGGGAAGACGGCGGCGACGACGACGACGACGACTGTGGTCTCAATGAGATTACTATGTTGAGGAACTTAGGATGGAAGTACGCTTCCCGTGCGGTCCGTAGATTGGAGACGCGGAGAAGCTGGGGCACGGGCAGGGGACGGTATTTGTCGGAATGTGGAGGGAATATCACGCCCGCGTACGTCCGACACAGAATTGCCGACGCGTTGGGTTTAACATTGTCTCAGAAATATCTGCTGACTTTCTAAAGATTACTTATCGAACTTTGGGTTCCATCTTTTTCAAATCCAGTTGTTGTCGTTGTTCAGTTTGTTCTTGCAATCAGTGTCGTAATGTCGTCACCCATCACCCCAGAAGCTGCGCTTGCGGAACTCCAGGCGACCGCGTTGTCGCAGCGGGCACACAATGCTCTCTTCCGTCTCAAACAACTCAAATCTCTTCACGATGCGCTGCGCAATAACAGCAATGCGATCAGAGATGCACTGAAGCAGGATACACATGTATCAGATGACGAGGCAACTACCGAGGTTGCGCTTGCGCTGGATGTAGTCAAAGAGCACTACGGCTCGATCGATGCAGCCAAAGAGCTGGAAGCTGAGTACAGAATCACACATGGAAAAGATGCCAGTGATAGGAGAGAGCCCTGGGGTGTTGCGTACATTGAGCCTCAAAGAAGTCACACGCCATTCTTCTCGGTCATCGCACCCTTGAGCGCGGCTCTTGCAGCAGGCAGTTGTGTTGCCCTGAAGGTACCATCCCTACAAACCCCGATGTGTTTCCTCATCATCTAATTGACGACAGCTTGAGAACAACCTTCGCGCACTCCCCTCTCTACTCCGAAAATTACTTACCGAAGCCCTCGAATCAGACACCTTCGCCGTCATCTCATCTGATCCGCCTTCAGACCCATTATCAGGGTGTTTACAAATCTTTCAAGAGAAGCAAATCGGTTCTCCAACATACTCGCAACTTGTATCATCACGAAATAAAGTCATCGCAATCGTGGACCGTACAGCAGATCTTGCCTCAGCCACGGAACAACTAGTAGCAGCACGCTTCGCATTTGGTGGAACATCACCATATGCACCCGACCTAGTCCTCGTCAACGAATTCATCAAGAAAGACTTCTTAGAGCATGTTCTAAGGCACTCTCTTCGCTTCTTGGCTGGATCCAGTGGTATATCAAATGGTTCGACAAATGCAAGAGAGCAGAAGAAGTCTTCGCGTGTAGCAGAGACTTTCCAAGGGCTTACGGACAGCAAGTCATGGAAGCTAAACGTCATAACGCAAGGCGACAACGGCGCCATCGTTGAGCTCTCTAGTCTCTCCTCTCTACCAGCCAAATCCCAACAACCCGTCTTCAGTGTATCCGCCATCACATCTCTCGAGCACGCCATCAGCCTCGTCGAAGAGGATCTGGATCCCCAAGAGAGTTTGCTGGCTGCATACCACTTCGGTACCCCGTCAACTGGCAAATACCTTTCACAGTTCGTCAATGCTGACGCCTCCTTCACAAACAACATCCCCTTCCGTTTGCTCCTCGGGCCAGCAGCTCCATCTTCCCAGCCCATTAATATGGAGAAACGCTACATAACCCAAAACTTCACTCGCTTATCACCCGCATACATCGTTGCACCTGCCTCACAGGCGGCCATGTCGAAAGTTTTATCAGGCAAGGATTCGAAGAAAGCAGCGACAGAGCTCCTGGGTAAAGCAACACAGGAGATCAAGGAGAAGAAGCGCGCTGAGTCGATTGCAATCGGGTATTTTGAACAAGGTATCTTTATTGGGTTAGGAGTGTATGGTATTCCTATTCTTACATGTATTGGTGCGACGCTCTTCTTTGGGGTTAGGGCGGGGTTGAGGAGGTGGGCGTTTATTTGAGATTGGTATGGGGTGTTGGTAGCACGCAATATACATCAATTCACACTACGCAGTTCTCACGAGAGGATTGACTTCTCACGTCGTGGGTGTTTGATGCACTAACCATGAAATCAGCAATGTAGCGCTTGCTGAGCATCGAGGACGACGCAGACAGTTGCACAGTAAGAGAAGAAGACAAAACTATGATCACTAAGAACAGCAAGCAAAACTCAAGGTAGATGGTTAGGGAATAGGCATCTGTATCATATCGCACAACTTGAGCTACGTAGAAGAACGACGAAACCATCCATCGGTAATTTCATGAGGTCAACACCCCTCGAACTACAAAGCCGAACCCTCAGGAACCCACTTGGCAGTCCAGATCCTCAACCGCTTACCCCAGATCAACATCGGAATTGTCATCAAGCCAAAAAGACCCATCAGCATTCCGAAGATGCCAAACGGCTCAGCAGCTCCTCGGTGTGTGACCCACTCGCCAACAAAGAACGTCCATGCGAAGCTCACAACAGCCCTCACAAACGTGACAGCAACGAAGCAGTCTCCGGCAAGCACACCATAGGCCTCGATAAGGTAGTTGAAGCCCACAGATGGCGCTTGCATAAGCCCGAGAGCTACAAGACCGAAACCGAACTGGAGACCTACCCAGCCGGTGGGTGAAGGGTTCTGCGCTACGAAGCCGAAGATGAAAGATCCGATCGTGGCGAGGGCAAGTGCGGGGAGAGCGGTGACAAGACGAGACTCGGGTTCGGAGAAACCGTGGGAATCTTTCTTTGCGAGGCGCTTGGTCGCGAAGTCTGCGATAAGGTATGTGTAGACCTGGAAATATATGTTAGCTGATTCCCAACAGCAGAGGCTCTGAAGACTTACGCATCCAATCAAAGCGCCAAAGATACCACCAACGTTGATCAAACCAACGTTTTTCCCCCACAGGTACGGCGGTGCAGCGACGAGTTGTGGACCAACACTCGACATGGTAACGATAAGTCCTACAAGTCCTGCATACCAAGCTGAGACGAGCCATACGCCCGGTAGCCTGAGAGTCTTGTAGGGAGCGATGAAGTTGCGCATCAGACCGGGGTGGTACGTGAAGAGTCTTAACGACTTGAGGTATGAGTATGATGGGTAGGAAGATGGCGCCGCAGCATCTGCAACGATGACTCTTTCCTTGGTCTCAACAGTATCTTTGTCCGGGTCGTCCAAGGTTACGGTGCTTTCTTTGCGGCGGTACAAGGTCTCGGCCTGGAACACTAGACAGAGAACGAAGCTGATAGCTGAGAGCAGGACGTTCATCCAATGAAGCCAAGATAAACCCATCTCCGCGACGATGTAGCCACCAGCAACGGCGCCTACAAGGGAACCGAAGGTCAACATGACCGTATATATGGCCTGTCAATCGTTCTGTTAACGACGGTCCACTTGGAGGTTGCGGGAGATGAACATACCAAAGCGCGTCCGCGCTGATGCACGAAAAATATCTCACCAACAACATCCGGGCTCACAGCATCAGCCGGCGCACCCCCGACACCCATAAAGATGCGAGCAGCCACCAGACTGTTAAAGCTTGTAGCAAGTCCAGCCCACATACTAGAGAAGATGAGAAGCAATAAGCTCCCGAGAATGACAGGCCGACGACCAAACGTGTTTGCCAACGGCACCCACCACAAGTTCGACGCGCCCAGCATGAGAATATTGCAGGCAATGAAGTACGTCAATTGCGAGAACTTCTTTGGTGGGAAGCCAAAAACGCCTGTGGACGCATAGATTGGCAGGGCACTCGAGATGGATGAACTGGTAAAGTTCACTACGAATGGATGTATCGACATGACGGCTAGGATTGCTATCTTGCGCCACATGGGTAGGTTGAGAGGATCCGCTGGGTCGGCTGAAGGTTGGGGCACGAGGCGGATCTCATCATGGCTTGTTTGCGATGCTGTCCACTCGAGATGCTCTGATGGGAGTTTACGTTAGCCAGGAAGCTTTCACGAGATTTTCGCTCATCTTACCAACAAGGGTTGCAGTCCCTGGTGGTCTGGCGTTCCTGACTTCCTCCTTCGAAAGGCTCAATGCCCCCCTTAAAGAAGTCATAATGGTTGCTGGGGTCTACCTGATTAAGAAGCAGATGAGGAAAATAGTCACGATGATGATTTGCGACGTCGACGATACTCAACACGACGTGTTTATGGACATGGTACTCCAATCTAAATAGACCGCACGGTTGAACAAGACGATTTGCAAGCATGTCGGTGTGTACACCAAGCATATGGTTATCGGCGAATCAGAACGACCTTGACGCGCCTCGCACACGTCTGATTGGACGCATGGACGCATCTCAACCCCAGTCTGACTTCTTGCCCATGGGGTAATTCGGAATGTGGAGGTGACCGAGACCATTCTTGATACGGCCAAGACTTGCGGGGTTACCACCGACCTTTTCTATAACAGCCAATTGCACACAACCCAAGCCAATATGACGGGCATACGACTAATCAAGGATCTATCAATTCTCGGAGCAAAGGTATGGATCTGAGTGTGGAGAACGGGTGGAGAACGTGCGCAGCCCTTCTGTTGTGACAGCGCTGCGCGTGCGGCAGATAGACACGGGTTAGACGGGTATGCACGTAGAGGAGAAGCTACTGAAGGTACTTGATCTAGGTCCTCAATTGCATTTAATATCATGAACGGTATCACGATAAAACGTGAAACCCCTCCTTATAGGTAAACTTGCTCTCGGGTGTTGATCTAACCCCGAATGTCTCGTGAATGAGATTCGATCTCTGCGTACTACTGATAAGACGCAGCAATCCGCATATATAGCATTAAAGAAGAAGGTATAGTCTCATATTATGGCGCATGCTCAAGTCCAAACTGCCGTTGTACATGCCGAGTTGCTCATCTTATGGCAGACCGGAGGCCTTCCAGTAACTGTACCAAATTGCCGACAAGCGGCGGGGATGGTTCTGACGCGTCATGGTGCGCTCGAAGGAGCTGTGTCAAGCTGCCCATGACTCCACAGACGTCGCTCAGCTGGGTGGGGTTTTGTGACCCGGAACTCTTGATCGCTGGTATGCCACGGTCCAGGGTGATGAACTTACGGGCGCTCAACAAGTCGTCTCCGTTAAGAATGACAGCCGTATCCACTGCGCCCTGTTCCGCTGTTATGGATCGTTTGAGAAAGCCGTACACCCATAGTATGAGCCCCGCATGGTAGACAGCTATGGCGTTGAAGTTGCTGAGCAGAGCTTTCGGCAGCACCTCAGCTGCACGCAGGATTTGACCGGCGTGCCACAACGCTTGGCGCGCTGAGGGAGTCTTTGCCCAATCTCGTAGGCCAACATACGCATTGCGTGCCTCCTCCTGCCCTTCGATGCCCGCGAAGAGCTGGATGTCGTCCAAAGGCGCGTTGAGGTGAACCAGCATGATCTCTAGTGTTATTTCAACACTCTTGCTCATGGGCGGAGTACTCAGTCTGAAATCCTCAAGCTGCTTTGTGAGCTCTTGGTAACGCGACGATAGTATGAGACTATTGGTTGGCTGCGACTGCGATCTAGATGTCAAGGTGCACATTTGGCGGTATTCCCAGATTGGACCCCACATCATGTGAAGGTAAGTTGAACTGGCATAATCATGACCCTGATATTCCAGATCGAGTAGGCACTCCGTAGCTGATGGTCGCTTCGTAGTCACCGATGCCGTTTCCAGGTATGTCGTTTTCCAAGTCGTAGCGTTTTTGGCCTGCCACAATTTGTTTGTACTCGGTAGAGGTAGTTGCATCTCGGCGTAAGATATTAGTGGTGGTTTGAGGAGTGCCATCGAGGACTGCCGATCAAACTCAAAGGCTCGGTGAACCAAGCGAAGAAAAGACTCCTGGCTGACCCAACTCAGCCATTTGCTTTCTAGAACTGAGCCCTGATCGTCGGGAGACGGACTAATCTCTTTCCAGGTCGACCGACGAAAGCGACCGCCACGGCGGAGCATCGTCATAAGAGGCTGGAGAAAGCTTTCTGCAATTTCCATCTTCCGACTAATGCCGCTCCACATACCAACCTTGAGTTGAAGTAGGAACGTTTGTAGATGCTGAAGATCTCTGATGGAGGTGTTGTCCTCTTCGAAAGATTTTGACTGGCCCATCCTGGAAGCTTCATGCAGAGCATAACCTAGCTTTCGCAAAGATATGTCAGGGAGAGTAGCAGCTCCAGCAGAAACTACAGACGCAAGTAATTCGGGATTCATTTTTGAAGGGGAAAAGGTTGGCAGATGGAACCACATGGGCGCATCTATCGATGGCGAAGAGAGGAAATACTGGATCAAGCCATCTAGTAGCTCCATACTGGGAAAGGCAGATGCTATCCGCTTGACGTTCTCTGGGCTGCATGTACCGAGAACCAAAGCCATTAGTCGGTCGCGGCTGGAACGTGGTAGTCTATGAGTATAATAAGTACAGACTCGGTGTATTCTTAATATTCACCACGTATATACACTTACTTTTCTGCTACCACGCGGCGGTGTGTAAAGTTCGAGCGCCGATAGCTGTCTTTCTCTGTATCCGGGACAGCCAAGTTGACTTGTTCCGCAGTATGGTTTCTGGACCGTTGAGGAAGATATCGCCATATGCTCTGCTTGAAGGCTTCCGCCCTCAATGGCGCGGTATCATTCTCCGACAATTGTTGCTCAGCCCCTTGGGCATCCGTGGATGGGGTATCAGCAGCGAATGGGACCTGAAAGTTGTATTGGTCGAGAAGACCAAGATCAAGGTCAGTCAACCCAACGTCAAGATCGAAGCTGAAGTCCATGATACCGCGCGGAGTCGCCTGGCCAGACATGAACGCCTCAAATGGGGGCATGCTACGAAAATAGTCTGGCAGGAACGGGTTGTTTCCCGGCGTGGTATCAAAATGTGAAATAGAATTATCAAGGAAAGACATGGACGCGTTAGGATCCCCGTAATTCTGGTTCATGATGACAAGCCCACTGGCGTTATTGGACGGCGGCTGCAGGTCGGTCAGGTTTCTTGTTCTCGTCTCGAGGTCCCCAGAGTCCACAGAGTGCCGGTGTATGTTGGTGGTGTCAGTCATGAGCATCGGCGGCGGGTTGTGGAATGGCTCTGGAGTCTCTGAGGTCGTAGATGCCGATGGATTGCCGCTCCCGCTGTGAGCCGGCATCGATGAGGGGTAATCATAGCCATTCGACAAATCAAGCAGATCTTGCGCCGCATGAACTGCATCAATCTCATGGATGTCGTTCTCATCTGGAACAGGAGTTTCAGGTACCCGACAAGGTATTTTCTTTTTCTTGCAGCGACTGCATGGCTTTTCGTCCTCGCATCGAAGATGACTTTGGGAACAAGCTTCACAGGCTTGGACAACTCTGGTATCGCGTGCAATCTCACGTTTTTGTCGCTTACTAGCAGGCTCAGTGTCGTGGTTTGTTACATGTCTCTTAAGTAAGTCTCTGTATCATGTCAATGAAATGACGTCTACCGGCAAAGCATAACACTTACATTCGGGCAAAGCCTTTAGAGCAGACTGGGCAAATGTAAGGCTTAGATTTCGTATCTATTCATGCCGTCAGCATATTAAATGAAATAGATCTGTAATCTAAACGTTGACACATGCTAGTTGCGTGAAAGCAACCCACCCGGCGCAGGTGTCTACTAGCTTCCGGTCAATAAGGCCGCGGAGCAAGGGCACTTGGCTGAAACTCAATGGAGACACGAAGGTTTTCTGAAATCTAGATCTACTGACTTACGCGCTCTCACGTGCCTTGTGAGGTGATCTGCACGTGTGAAAGACCTTTTGCATGTGCTACACTGGAATAGGCGTGGTTGTTCGGCAGGTTCTGAATTGGCTAGCTGGTTGTTCGTTGATGTCGGGGCAGTCTGCATGCTGGGGTTTGCTATCGGGTGGCTTCGAGGGACGATGGCATCGGGTCAGAGGAAAGTGGAGGGAAGCAGGAGATAAGGATGTGAGTGGGGAGAGAATGCGGAGATCGACCAGACACGACGCGCTCTTCCCTCGGCTAGACGCTCGGACACGTTCTTTAACCGTCTCCACATCACGACTTTTGCCGCCCAACATCCAGGATTACCTATACGGCATTGATCACGATGGGTAAAGCCTACAGTGAAGCCGCGTGTCGGACGAGACGTTTGCTAGTTCTGTTGGGTGACATCAACATCGCGATAGTTCCAATACGTACATCAGGACGAGCATCCGACCACACCCTCTTTTCGTCGGAATAACACGTTATCGATATCAAGATGGTTCCACCAGTACACTTCTTCTCGCATGGCTCAACAATGATGTTGGGCGAAGAGTCCAAATCCGCCGATTACTGGAAAGCCTGCGGCGACGAAGCCCTCTCCCACGGCATCAAAGGCGTAATTATGATGGGCGCCCATTGGGATGCACGCGGCGTAAACCGCATCGACGTATCCATGAATCCAGCGCCCATCAAATCGCCCGTCGCATACGTCCACCCGCGCAAATACAAGGACTACGAACTCGTTCCCGATCTCGTGAGCGGAAAGAAGTGCATAGCAGCGTTGCGAGAGAAGGGCATCGATGCACGACCGAACGAGACCTTTGATTGGATTCACGACACATACCTGATCCTGATTAGGATGTTTCCCGAGAAATGCCCACCGACAACTATCATCAGTATGAACTCGAGATTCGACCCGCATCTACACGCCCGTGTGGGTAACATTTTGGCCAAATTCCGAGACGAGGGCTATCTCATCATTGGTACGGGTGGCGCGGTACACAACCTATACCGGAATCATTGGGCGCAGATGCTCAGATACTCGGACAACTTGGCTCAGCCATACCCACCCGAGGCACCGATGCTGGAGTTTCGCCAAAGCGTCGAGGATGTGTTCGTTCGATGCTGCCGGAAGGGTGCGAAGAAAGGTAGCTTGACGCATGGTATCACAAGATTGATGAAACACCCTATGTTCAGAGATGCGCATGCGACGGATGATCACTACATGGCGGCTTGCTTTGTGGCTGGAGTCGTTGATGGAAGCAAGAGGGATAGTGATGAGTGTGTACTTGGTGCTGAGGACTGGGAGTTGGTCAACATGTGCAACAGCCAGTTTACTGTTGGAAGATGGGATTAGAGCCTCTAGTTAGTATACATGGAGTTGGTCTTTCGATGGCGTTTATGTACAAAATCAACGTACAAAGTTTTCACGTTCTATATCTTGCGGCTTCGCAACTACTTACACATTCATAAACTCAAATACATTCATTCCTAGTTTATTCTTATTCGGCCCCTCTTTTAAGGGGAATGTGATAGATGAACAAGCCAAAGCCGTTTACTGAAGAAATACCTATCGATCAAGTAGTGTATATGGTAGATGGAAAATACAGATTTGCCTGATTGAAACATATGTTACGCAGTCTAAACTTCTATTCCCATCCCTGTACCTACTGCTCTATTTAGGTGGTACAATTGGCAGCGTAACATAATTCACAGCCTTCTCGCTAAAATGCAAATGATTCCATCCCGCAAACTTCTCCTCACTCCTATCTTCAGGATGGTTGTGCTGAAAGATGCCACTACCTTGCGTATCACCGCTGCTAACCTCAAACACGATCTTGCCACCTTTCTCCACAACGACGTTTGTTGGCCAGACCTCTACATCTACAGCATAGACGTCGCCAGGTATGACGGGCTGGACATCGGTACTGAAGTAGTCTCTCCATGGCAGGTACTCTCGGTGTTTTGGGTGATCGGGATTGGTCTTGCGGAAGCTGACGCGCAACCAGCCTTTTGCGAGGGGTATAGGGTCACCCGCTGTACCGGTGTAGTAGACTTCTTTGCCTTCGGGTGAGATGTAGCGTAGGGTGAGGAATAGATCGATATCGGAGGGGGTAGCGCCTTTGGAGTGAGCCGAGAGTGAGACATTCAAGTGTGCGACGATGTGGCCAGTGATTTCTGTCTCCTCCTCGAATGGTGCAGTGGTAAACTGAAGAAGCTTGGGGTTGTCAAGAGTGCCAAGTGCCTCGTACGACAATTTCTGTGGCCGATTGTGAATGGGCTGGATCTGCGTAAGTGTTTGAGAAGGTGTGAGGTAGAACTTCGAATAACGGGTTCGTGCGATGGGCCACTCGTTCTCTGTTCGCCTCTCGTAAACCTTCTCTTTCTCGGCATCGTCGAAGCCTACATCGCCCTTGCGCAGGACCATGTCCACAGGAGGGAGCTTGCCCTTGACGGACCACCCAACTCTGTCGTCGCCCTTAAGGAAAGCATCGAGGAAGCTTCGTTGTATCTCAACTTCTTCCTTGTAGTAGAATGGCAGGTCGTGTCTTCCAGTGATCATCCGTAGGTACTTGAACTCAGATCCAGCATGTGCGTAACCTTCGATGTTACCACGAAGATGGAGCAAAATACCACCCCAATTGCCGACGGAGAGCAACGGTACTTCGATATCGCTCATATCGTACTCTTTGCTTGCATAGTATAGTTCGTCGCGAAACTTGAAACTGGCGGTATCGATCGTCTGATCTTGTCGGTTCTTCGCGCGTACTTCTTCTGAGAGGTTGCCGTCGACGGTGTCTGGTCCCCAGTTGCGCTCTGCACGGCCTGGGCGACCATATTGGTTGGTGATGACCTGACGGTTCCTTAAGTAACATTGGATTAGCTTTCGAAACATAACGAGGTATGCAGAAGACTTACCACCAGAAGTCGATGAACTTGTTGCTCAGAATGCCTCCATGGCGGCATCGGTCGCGATAGTAATCACTCATGCCCTCCCAAGGAATGACCGCAGCCAATCCCTTAGGTTTACGTGCTGCCACACGCCACTGGGATCCGGCATAGTAGCTGATACCAAGCAAGCCGACCTTTCCAGACGACCACGGTTGCTCAGCCGCCCACTCGACGACATCAAAGAAGGCCTCGCTTGTTCCTCGCGACATAGTGTCCAAGAAGCCTGGAGACTGGCCCAGGCCACGTTCGTCGGCGCGCACGATGATGTAGTCATGCTTCGTCCAAAAGCCAGGATCCGGTGTTTCCCATGCAGAATGGTCGGAATGGTGCTCTGGATTCACTTCTGAGTATGATTTGCCATGAAAGCTGGAGGCGTTAGTTGCTGCAGCGTGCGCTTCCGTTGTTGAACGTACTCCTTGTAATGAATATCTTTTCCGTAGGGTCCGTAAGTCACCAGTACTGGAAGCTTCGTTCCCTCCTTCGTAGACTTTGGCCGGTACACATTGCATCGGATGATACCCGCAGAGGATGTCTTTAGTGGCACTGCGACATTCTGCTCGAAAAGGTAGGGAAATGACGACTCGTCGATGGAGTAAGCGTCTTTTACTTCTAGCTGGTCAGACATCTTGTGTGTAGTACTGAGATTGCAAGAAACATACTCTCCCCATCATTTGGATATATACTACATGTTGCGACGCGTAGTGGGCTCCTTTGCCGACGACGCGCTGTTGACAAGGTGCGGCAGTGTTCGAGGGGCGCGTTCGGGATGTGGAGGTACCAGACTCTATTGGCGCGTTACCCAAGTAAGCCTTGGTAGCACGTAAGAACACGAAAGGACAACGAATACCGTTGTTTAGCTGGTAGTTAGACTTACAGTTTCGGGTTTTGGTATTGGTTATGGGCTCGTAACAGACTTGCACGATTTGTGGATTGAAACTGGGTATATCGGATTTTTGGTAGTGGAAGCAATATGTAGGAATATGATACGATTGAGAGCGATGCAACATCTATTCACAAGGATCTATACCGCTTATAAAATTTCTGGAAAATGTGATACGACTACGATGACGCTGGAACACCCTTCATGCTTCCGTAGTCCTCCTTCAAGACCTCACCGTCCACCTCGACTGGTTTACATTCTTGAAGAACATACATCATGCGTCCCCAAGATGTAGTGCTGGTGTTCCTCCAAGCGTGCATTGTACCCCTTTGAATCGCGACATCTCCTCTCTTCATCAACCTTGTCTCTCCCGAATCTAGTACCAGCTCCATCTCGCCCTCCAACACAACGCCATAATCCAGAGAGACTGTGCGATGCATTGGCGAGAAGTGACCAGGAGCCACATCGACGAACCGCAGAACCGTGCCTCCTGAAGCGACCAGACCTGGAGGCGACTCAAGGTAAGGCTTGTAAACCGCAAGATCGGCATCTTTGTTCAGATCGACGGGAAATCCTTTAGTAACGTATCCGAGCCGGAAGTCAGCGCCTGGAATATGGTCGACATTGAGTTCATCTTGGACGGCATCAGAGAAGATGGCTTTCTTGGTGGCAGGATCGTGGGTTGTGATGAAGCGATTGACTTTCGGGAGATCGTTTGTAATTTCGGGCTTGGACGCCATGATTAGAGGTAAATTGAAGATGTAACGAGGTAGTTGAAGGCGAAGATGTTAGGATTGTGGTAATCGATCAAGTTACTGGATGAAGCCTCAAAGTAGGTCCAAGAAGTTGATAGTCAAATCGTTCAGAGAAATGATACTCGTATCGAAGAACTCATCCGCAGTCTCCCGATGTGGAGGACATGTTCACAGACCCTGGATTCAGCATTTGCCGACATATGCTCGGTATGTCCCATGCGGGGCCTCGTACGAGAGACTAGTCAGATCACCTTTTCTGATATACCTAGGTAGCAGTAGATTCATGAATGGATGAGGGTCTGTGGTCTGCGATAAAGCTTGGAGAAGGGGACAGAGAAAGTGCTTGAGAGCGAAGATGACGGATATTGACCTTATCGATTAGGAGACACACCTGCCTACTTTCGTACTAGACTGAACGCGTGCCAGCGGCCGTCCTTTCGTGAGGTCTAAACAGGAGGGAATCAGCTGCATCAACTTCGACCGGATAACCATGGAACGCTCAGTCCCCACAATTGGTGTCCCAATCGATACTATGGCCGTGTCAACCTCCGGTTATAGTAGCTCACATGCGGCGATGGGATGTGGAGGAGCTGTATCCGAGACGAACATCCCCACCTACACACGCCGCCAGCTCTGCCAGTCGCAACTCTAGGTTCAGGTTAAGGCTGGTGACTATGGTCTGAAGTTTGGGTATTGCGAATTTATTACCGTTTACCGTCTCATGCTAACACGGCCATCAATACTCTGATACCAGCAAACCTCCCACTCACTACACAATGGCGGACACCTACGCTTCGCATTTCAGTGTAAACAACATCCCATATGGGATCGCCAGCTCTTCGACACGCCATGCACCACAGTGCGCGACACGAATTGGTGATGAGGTTATTTTCCTGGCAGAGCTCGCGGAGCATGAATCTCTCAAGAATATCCCGGCACCGTTATCTTCCATCTTCCGCGAACCCACATTGAACACATTCGCCGCGCTCGGAAAAGACGTGCAAACCCAAGTACGTTCCGCAATACAAGAAGAGTACAAGAACAAGACATATGCCAAATGCTCAGAAAACGTCAGTGGTGTTACCCTCCATATGCCAGTCCATGTTGGAGATTTCACAGACTACAGCGCTTCCGCGAACCACGTTCTCAATGCCGGGGAAGCAGTACTAGGAGTTCGTGCCTATCCTCCAGCTTTCAAAAAGTACCCAGTAGGCTATGCAGGTCGATCGAGTTCAATCACTGTGTCAGGAGCGTTCGTCACGAGACCCTTGGGTCAGTTCATCGAGGACTATACCGTTCCAGAGAAGAAGATCATCTTTGGGCCATCGCGGGGCTTGGATTATGAGATGGAAGTTGCTGCAGTAATCGGCACTCCTGTAGAACCTGGCACGTATCTGAACGCGAAGGACGCAGATGACCACATTTTTGGTCTAGTCTTACTGAACGACTGGAGCGCAAGAGACATTCAAGGCCTGGAAATGAACCCTCTAGGTCCCTTCAACGGCAAGAACTTTATGACTTCAATCACGCCTTGGGTCGTTACGCTAGAAGCATTAAAGCCTCACGAGATCTCAGCTCCACCTCGCATGGAGCCTGTAGCTTCTTTCATGGACGACTCCAAGAGCATCAACTACAACATCCAGCTGGAGGGTCAGATCATCCGAAACGGTAAACAAACCACGACTTGCAAGGTTGGCTTCGAAACGATGTATTGGACCTTTAGACATATGTTAGCGCACCATACTATTGGCGGCTGTGGACTCCGCACAGGAGATTTGATCGCCAGCGGTACAGTGTCCGGCGAACAGGAGCATGAACACGGATGTCTGCTTGAATTGACGAAGAACGGCAAGGCTCCAAGTACGTTGAGCGACGGATCCGAGTTACGCTACCTCAACGATGGGGACGAAGTGCGCTACATAGGTGTAGTTGGTGATGGAAGCGATGGAGTCGGATTTGGAGCATGTGTTGGCACCGTAAAGTCTGCCCGGAAAGTATAAGAGAATTTGAACCTGTTCCCAATGGCGATCGTCAAAAGTTTGGGCTGAGAAAGGGGTGAGACATAAGTGTTGTACAATTTGGGTGGGTTGACCAATGGTTCAGCTGCGCCCTAGTCATCAATTGGTCGGCAAGCGTGGTACGAATGCGACGGGCTGCATGTTACCACCAGAGAGATCATTGCATCGAGCTCTTCCAATAAATTTTCGGTCCTTTAGGCTTTGTACATTGGAGCCTAAATCTCTCTAGCGACGTGAATCCCAGCCTCGTGATATAGCCTCTTGCGCGTAGCCCTTGAGTTTCAACTTCCATTGCACTCCTTTACACTCTCGCATATCCCAATTTGAACTTGACGTGAGCGTTCCCTGACCTTGCACAATATCTCAATCGACCGGAAAACAAAAGGGGCTGTTCCATGTGTGCACAGCGGTCACAGCCTGATCGTTTGCAAGGTTGAGTCAGTTTTGGAGTCTGCATAGACTCAGGTACCTACCATCATGGCAGAGTAAGTACCCTGTCAGTAATTGATCTATGTCTTCGTGAATTGGTATGTCGCATTTCCGAATATCAGTGTTGATGTGTTGTTCAGGTTCTATCCAGCCGAGCTACCGGAGCGACCATCGAAACTCGCCTTTGGAAAACGTCTATCGAACAAGTTCAAGCTCCAAAACAGATCACGCAAGCAGTCGAGAAGCGCTTCTTCTTCTGTTACGCCTGATGTCGACTACCCCCAAAATGCAGCGCCAGATTCTTGCGCGCAAGAATCGCATGTCACTGATCATGTGCGCACGCGTCGGATTACGTCACAGCCTTCCCCTCAAGTACTTATAAAGGCTCGTCCAGAAACACCACAAAGCGATCTTGTGCAACCTAGACAGAGTTTCAGCCTTGTCTCGCTTGCGTTTCCCGAACCACACATCAAGTACCCAACCTCTTCGCACGCATCCTCAAACGACTCAGAGCTGGTGGAAGAACAATGCGACGTGCCCAGGTTGCACAGGAAAGGACCAACACAGCTCACAGTGAGGGATGCGCTTGTGGAGCGGTTCGAGAAGTTGCGGCTGCCGACTACCACGCATACACCGCTAGCACTTACCGGATTACCAGGGTCTCGAAGTACAACAAACTTCTCATTTCCTCCCCAATCTTCCAACTCAACCAAAGCCGCCAAATTAGCATGGAACAGCATGGTTGTCTCAACCCCCATTCTGCCCAGTTTTCGAGAGCAAATGTATCCACATACAAACCAGCCAGATGCAGACCATCGTCCCCAGGGCGAGAGTAGCACGGATCCCATAGTCATTGATGACGATAGTGACCATGGTGCGGCTGTTGGTCCCCATCGTCTAACAGGTAATTTTGAGAACACAAACTTCTTCCAGTCGGGCGGATTGTCACGTCAATCATTGAATCGACGACGAACCCGAAGAGACAGGTTCCTGCAAAAGAAGCCTGGTCGCCGAGATCAAAGTTCCAGCGTATCAAGTATCAACTCTGAAGGAAACCTAACACCCGATAGCTCGGAGAGTTCGGAGTCTGACCTTTCAGCTCATGTCTTGGATTCAATAGAAGCCACTATACGTGCGCGTGGACAAATGGCCCTTGATGTTGATCCAGACCGCAATGCTCAGGAAGAGCAAGACCGCCTGCTTGCCCAGCACCTACAGCAGCAAGAAGATGAGTTGTATTCGACAACTTCATCGCAGCTTGCGGAGATATCTAGATCCTTAGTACGCCAAGCGGCGTCTCTTGAGACTTTGTCTCGAAAGACTGGACTATTGGGTAGTCTACGGCAGGCTATTACTCACATTGGCACACGAGAGGATCCCATCAACCTGAATTCAGACTCAGACATCCCTGTAACGGCAGGTCCTGAGAGGGCGCGGATTCAAGACTATGTGGCGCTATATGGGGAGCCTATGGAGATTGATGGTGTGTCACCGTTCGGCGCGCCACGAAGTGCGAACATCTACACAGATGAGAGGATGCATTTACGAAGTCGTGATTGCGTTGTGTGCGGCGATAGCATTCATGTCATTGACCTGCCCTCACTCACCAACTGTGATCATCGACCGGAGACATGTGCAGACTGTTACTCGGGATGGATAACTGCACAGCTCCAAGGCAGTAGCTGGCGTGAAGCTAGATGTCCAGGGAACAATTGCAATGTCGGACTATCGTACCATGAAATCCAGCTATATGCGGACTCGGAGATCTTTCAGCAGTACGACACATTCATCGCCCGGGCAGCTTTCAGTGAAGATCGTAAGTCACGACACCATACACCCCGATAGGCTAGAGAGGTAAAAGCTAACGAGGACAGCTAACTTTCGATGGTGTCGGACCTGTGACTCTGGTCAGATACATATGAGCGGCGTCGAAGGCAACATTTTCACTTGTGTAGCATGCGGGCACAGAGTTTGCGTTGTCCACGAGAAGACATGGCATGAAGGCGAGACGTGCGATGAGTTCGAATACAGGTCCTCTGGCCGCAAAGAACGAGATCAGAAGGCGCAAGAGGAAGCGAGTCTAAAAGCTATCCGGAAGCTGACCAAGAAGTGCCCTGGCCGCAGATGCACATGGAATATCGAGAAGAACGATGGGTGTGACCATATGACATGTAAGTTCCACGTCCCTTGAAGCGAATCTTTTGCTGAAGATCGTAGGTACGAAATGTGGACATGAGTTTTGCTGGAGCTGCCTTTGTAATTACAACAGCATCAGGCGAGTGGGCAATTCAGCTCATGCGACAACATGCAAATATCATACAGCGCGGCTCGTGTAGTCCTGGATGGTAGGGGACATTGCCATGGTGAACTTCGTGCTTGCACTCTGAGCGCATGGTGTGCCTGAAGAAAGATAGCATACGTGCAGTAATGTTGATATATTTGTACATGCTTGGTCACCACCTTGGCCTAGGATTCATGTTGAGACTTTGACGGTATACGGTGTATACGCTGTATAATTACACCGCGATTACAGCGGCGCCCCTTGTTGATGTCACGGATACGGAGACAGCGCACTCCGATTGGTGCGCATTCCCCTTAGCCTGTAGCGACTCCGAAATTTGTACCACTTGTCAACAAACACGAGGACTTCACGTCCGCATTTTGTGCCATTGGTCATTTTCGCTTTGTGCTTAGCCTTCATGATCGTGCTGTGACGGCATCTGTACCTTTTCTCAGCTTTTCTACTCCATATTCCTCACCGCCCAGGCTTCACTTTTTTTCTAGTCTGAACCCCTTTACACCACGCATCGCCACAGCCGCATCTACAGCAACCATGTCCAAGCGAGTGACGCGGTCGCAGGCCGGAAAGACGCCTCAGTGAGTGGACTCCAAGTTGCATATGTGTACTGTACAAACGTATGCATTAGTTGCTGACATGCATAATGCAGGAAGCCCGACCGTCCCGGCTTCGTTGAGACCCCCGGACGCAGAAAGTCGCAACGTAAATCTCTCACATCTGATGTTGACGGCGGATACGAATCGACGCCTGAGCCAGAGAACTTTTTGAAGCCTTTTAAGTCTAATGAGGGCGACGTGAGACAAGAGGCCGAGCAGAAGAGCAATGGATATGCCAATGGGAACGGACACGCGAATGGGCACACGAACGGCTACGCAAATGGACATACGAAGAGTGAAAAGGAGATTGTCGAGCTGGACTACAAGATGGAGACCGAAAAGTTCTTTTCCCCAAAGGATAAATCTGGCCTACATGAGTTCGGAGGCGCGATTGGCATGGGCAGTATGATGATCTGCTTCCCAGCGCTCATGTACTACATGTGGATTGGAGCCACCTTCTACGACGGCAAATTCCCTACACCGACCGAGGGCCAGAGCTACGGAGAGTTCTTTGGACACATGTGGTATCTTGTAAAGACGGAAGCGTACCCAAACAACCACGCTTGGCAGATTTACTGGTTCTTCGGACTTATGCAGATGGCCTTTTACATGTTCATGCCGGGTGTCTACCGCAAGGGCAAGGCGCTTCCTCACCTTGGTGGAAAGCAGTTGGACTACTACTGCTCGGCTATGTGGTCTTTCTACTCCAGTATTGTCATCATGTTGACTCTCCATTTCACTGGCGTCTTCAAGCTGTACACTTTAATCGACGAGTTCGGCCACATCATGAGTGTAGCCATTCTCTCAGGCTTCCTCTGCTCGACTATTGCATTTGTCTCAGCTCGTGTCCGCGGCGCTACCGTCCGGATGACCGACAACCCTGTTGTCGACTTCTTCCTTGGTTCGGAGCTCAACCCTAGACTTTTCGGTATTCTGGACTTCAAGATGTTCCTCGAGGTCCGCATCCCATGGTTCATCCTCTTCTTCCTCTCTCTCGGCACCTGCTTGAAGCAGTATGAGCAATACGGCTATGTGTCCCTAGAAGCCATCTTCCTGCTCTTCGCACACTACCTGTACGCCGGCGCTTGTGCAAAGGGCGAGCACCTTATCATCACAACATGGGATATGTACTACGAAAAACTTGGGTTCATGCTCATCTTCTGGAACATGGCTGGTGTACCCCTGTCGTACTGCCACTGCACTCTGTTCATTGCTAACCACCACCCCTCCGAGTACCAACTCCCGACCTGGTTTACCGCCCTCCTCACCCTCGCCTACCTTTACGCTTACTACATCTGGGACACGACCAACTCGCAAAAGAACCAGTTCCGTCAAGAAGAACGCGGTGTCGTCGATGAACGTACTACCTTCCCCTACTTCAAATATGGACGCATCGCCAACCCAAAGACCATCCAGACGTCCCACGGAAACAAGATCCTGGCTGACGGTTGGTACGGCAAAGCGCGTAAGATTCATTACACATGCGATTTTTTCTTCGCAGTCAGCTGGGGTCTCATCACCGGGTTCAAGAGCCCGTTCCCATGGTTTTACTCCGTGTTCTTTGCGGGTATGATTATCCATAGGGCGCTAAGGGATATTGAGAAATGCAGGGAGAAGTATGGCGAGGCGTGGAAAGAGTATGAGAGGCAGGTGCCTTATCTGTTCATCCCGGTAAGTCCAGCAGTTTTCATCTTCAGTGAACTTTTGCTAACATACTCGCAGTACGTCTTTTAAGTCTACATTGGGCTGGCGCCCTTTTGAACTTTAACCCTCATCCGTCGCTTTGATCTTTTATGATCTACCAAGTCTTTGGACACCTTTAGCTCGACGGACTATTTTGTAGTATACTATACCATTCTTCTCGCAATCCGGGAGTCGTGGCTAGGATGGATTGGCATATAATGGTTGTAATGGCAGTAATAGCAGTAGTAATGTATGATGTACCAAGACTTCGCACAACAGTAACTGTGAAGCGCCATGTACGCCCACGGCGGAGATTGCGAACCCCTGCACGAGCGCCAAGCCTTGCGTCAGCGGCCCAAAAGTTTGGACCCTCATCTTTCGTATTCGCAAAGTGTCCTCCTACACCACACCACAGATCAAACACCACGACCACCACGACCGCCCATCATGGACGCCCTCAAATCCGCCATCCAACCCATAACCCACAACCTCCCACAACCCATCGCCGACGTCGGCATCTCCCTCCTCGGCCCCGCCTGCTACAAAACCCTCATCTACAACGTTGACCTAACCGCAACCGAATGCGTCAAGCTCGCCATTTCCAAAGGCCTCGGCATCGGCATCATTGGCGCCTCCTCCATTGTCAAGATTCCGCAACTGCTCAAGCTGCTCAACAGCCAGTCTGCAGAGGGTCTCTCGTTCCTCTCGTACCTACTCGAATCGTCTTCGTACCTTATCAGCTTGGCGTATAATGTGCGCCATGGATTCCCGTTTAGCACGTATGGTGAGACGGCTTTGATTCTTGTGCAGAACATTGCTATTGCGAGTTTGGTGCTCAAGTACAGTGGACGCGGTGTTGGTGTTGCGGGGTGGGTTGGTGGATTGGCTGTCGCGGGTGCGGCCTTGTTCAACGACCAGTGGATTGACACGGAGAAGTTGAGTTTGTTGCAGGCTACGGCTGGTGTACTGGGTGTGGCGAGTAAGGTGCCGCAGATTCTGACCGTGTGGAGTGAGGGTGGAACCGGCCAGTTGAGCGCTTTTGCTGTAAGTTCTTGATGGTCGTATTGTGATGGTGAGATTGTTTGTGTGCTAATGTTGTTGTTTTCCGCAGGTTGTCAACTACCTCCTTGGTTCCCTCTCCCGTATCTTCACTACCCTCCAGGAAGTCGACGATCCGCTTATTCTCTACGGCTTCATTGCTGGTTTCGTCCTCAACGCTATCCTCTTCCTCCAGGTCGTATACTATTGGAATGCGCCGGCGTCCAAAAAGACAGAGTCAAAGAAGTTGGCGGAGCCGATCGCTGCGGACAGGAAGGAAATGGCGCGTGCCGTTTCGAGCGGAGCGACGCCTTCCTATGCGAACGCTGCGGGCAAGAGTCCGAGCACAAGACGCAGGGGATAGACTTATCTGTCTTTTTTCCCCGGCTGTTGGTCGTTTTGGATGTTAGTAATTGTAATACGCATTTGACTTGTAACTCCATGAAGATGCTTGGGTGAAGATTACACGTATATTTAGTACACTAACATGCTAACTTATGCTCAGTCGCATGTTTTTAGGAAAGAGAATCTGTTCAACATTGATATCACAAACAGCATTTTCCTTGTCATTTCATATCTGCTGAGGTGTAGTGCCTGCAGCGTGTGGCGGAGGCATTGGTGGGGCCTCTCTCCTGTCAGCCAAATCCCCCGTTGGTGACATCATAGCCTGTTGATTCGGTATGATGGTATTGACTGGAGGCGGAGGTGTAGGTACAGGCGAGATGCCCGCTGGTGGATGGTATCCCGTATCCGTCAACCTTCCGTTTACTGGATTGTAGACACCAGCCCTTGACTGCAACTCGTAGTTGTCATCGTCTTCCGATGACGAATAGTCGTAAGTGTCCATTTGACGTTGGCGCGCAACATCAACCGCAAAAGGATTTGTAGCCGGCAACTGGTTCTGGTACGTGTGCACTTTCGAGGTCATGGTAGATCCCATTGTGCCGGTTCGGTAGTTGCTCGATGCAGCTGTGTCGCTCCGATCGACGCCATACTGCGACCCTGATTCCTGGCGTCTACGTTGCGAGTTGTGAATTTGTTGGCGGAAGACGTTGCCTGTTTGTTCGCCGCTACCTTCAGGCACTGCAGTTGTAGATGAATAGCCAGACGCTTCTCCACGTTCCACATCGACCGGTTTGTCTATGCGCTGTAGCGGTTGGACATCCTCGTCGACCATAATTGTGGGCTGTGGGGGTGCGCGTGATGCTTTGCCCCAGGCTCGAATCGGGTATGCGCGGCCTTTGCGCCAGGTCTCGGAGACGGGAGGGAAGTATTGGCGGTAGGAGCCCCAGGCTACGAGTATACCGAGTAGGGCGCCAGAGAGGACGTCAAATGGGTGGTGGCGGGCATCCATGATACGTGTGCCTGTGATCAGAGCGGCTCCAAGAGCAGGAACCATGACAAAGAAGCTCCTCCAGACCTCACCCTTTGCATCCAGAACGTGTAGCTTGCCGGCAAGGTAGATGGAGAGATAGAAGAGACCGGCGAAGGAAACTAGAGGGCGTTAGTGGATTCCTTAGGTAGGAGAAGGTATCGCATACCGCTGCTGTGTCCAGAGGGAAAGCTCTTGAAGCCATCCTGTAGAATATAGTTGTCGGTCTGCGTGCAAATGTCGATGGTCTGGAGTGCGTAGAGGGCTTTGTTGACCTTGGTTTCGTCTACCAAGCAGCGGCTGATGAGATCCGGTCGCGGCTTGCCAATGGCATTCTTCAACGCTCCTGTGATGGTGAAAGCGGCGCCGATGCTCAAGCCAAGGCCCAGTATACCGCAGTTCAACTCCCAGAGCCGATCCTTAAACCTGTATCTTCCCGCAAGGCGCTTGATGCCAGGCCCGCGCGCGGGCATCGTCGTCTGGTGTGAGAAGAGACCGTCGATGACCATTGTGTATAGTGCGATAATCGCAGCGGGTGCGAGAATAACGTAGACGCATAGCCAGGGGACAGGCACGCGCTCATGTTCGGCGAAAGGATAGTGGAGGGTGTAGTTTTCGAGGGCAAAATGCTGGTGGAAGGGCGGGATTTTGTCGACGATAGCGAAGGTTATCATGAGAATACTATGGCCTTGTTAGTCGAGCTGGGAAAGAGGTCGTGTGACCGGAAGGGACGGCCTTGCAGTATGATGAGATAGTCGCCAATATATCTGCCCTAGTTAGTCTTTACTACTCTTCTGCGTGAGTACATGTACGCACGAAAAGATGACCTTCTTGGGGAGGCGCTTCTTCGAGAAGGGAAGGCGCTCAGGGAGCTGCTTCGACGTCCAGTCGTCCATGATGCGCTACAGGACCCAGCCAGTCGCGGATTATCCTAACTCTTTGAAGCCAATTGTACACGAGTGATATTTTTTTTTGGCCTTGCTGTTGTACTACAGAATACGGGGGGTGGGTGTTTTCGGGGGTCCGTAAGTCCGTATCGACGGCACCAAACATGCGACCCTCCTGGGGAGATGCCAAGGGCGGAAAGGAGAAGTGAAAGTGAATGCAGAGTCAGCGAGAATATAAAGGACAGTCGGTTTGTCAGAATGGAGTCGTGTTTGCCCGGGGTCAGCAACGCCGTGGGTGAAGATGTCTAGAAGTGTATTGGGCCGACCATGCAGGGCGTCGCCGTGCTCAGCTTGTGGCTGTGAAGATTGAGCTGACGCGCTCCCTGACTTGGCTCTCTCCACAGCAGGTCCGCTAGCCGCCTCGAGATCAGCGCCAATTACATGTCGGCCTTGGTACACGGAGCATTATTTCACGTCGCGATAAGGTTGGTGTGGTCTGCACGCAGCAAGGTCTAGTACTGCGGCCGTATGCACGGCAGGACAAGGCATCCGAACCGAGCTGTTACAAGTAAATACGACATGGCAACAATGGGCCTGTTCCATGTGGCGCATCCAGCGGAAGCGACGATCGGGCCCAGCTTAGCGCCATGGCGATCAGCTTATTTTGTCACCGCCTCAGGGTCATACCCTCTACATCTATTCCTGTATCGCCATGTTTTCCTTATTCGCCGGCGAGAAGCCTCAGCCCAAGGCTGCCGAGGTTGCCATCCAGAGGATCTCAAACATTTCTGCCACCCAATTGTCCCGCTTCGAACGTCTCCCCAAGGTCCAACGCTATGCCATCATAGGTGCAGCATCTGTTGGTGGAGTATCTCTTCTCTGGGCTTTGACTCGATCTTCAAAGTCTGCCAGACGGCCTCCGATTCCTTCTCCCAGAGACTCGCTGCTTCCGGACCTGTCTCCTGAGGATGCTGCAGACCTTCCCTACCATCCAGCTGCGTTGCCTGGAGCCCGGGATGTCGACTCTCCATGGGGTACTATCCGCGTGTATGAATTCGGCCCACGAGATGGAGAAAAAGTTTTACTCATCCACGGAATCTCGACACCGTCAATTGCCTTGACTGACTTGGCACACAAGTTGGTTGGCAGGGGACGACGTGTCATGCTTTTTGGTGGGTCCTCCTTGCTGTCACTTCTAGTCTTTGCCACAACACCTTTCCTTTGGTGGTTTCAAAGCCATGAAACGCAACACAACCTCGGATTGGACGTTTGGAAAATGCTTTTTCTATACGGTTTCCATGATCGTCACAACTGCATACCCGACGTTGAACCGGGCGTAAAACCGTGTCATGGTCTTCTCTACCTTACCCGTTTCGGCAAGGGGCCCGCCAGCCCTACCCAACGGTGAACCACGTGCACTGCAGATGCTATTCTAGATATCCATCTCTACGCGGTGATGCTATTCTACAAAAACAACAATACTAACAACACCCACAGACCTCTTCGGTCGCGGCTACTCCGATGGCCCGTCCCCAGACACAACCAACTATGACTCGAGCCTCTATACCACTCAAATCCTGCTCGCTCTCCAATCGTCGCCCATTCATTGGTCAACCTTTACCATAGTCGGCTACTCTCTCGGCGGTGCTATCGCCGCAGACTTTACGTCCTACTTCCCCTCGCTAGTCCGAGGCCTTGTACTTGTAGCTCCCGGTGGTCTTGTCCGCAAATCACACATGTCCATCTCTAGCAAAATGCTATACCACAGCTCGTGGATGCCAGAGTGGATGGTTGGCAAGCTCGTTGCAAGCAGACTATGGACCGGAGCCAAGGTTGTAGAGAGCGATCCCGAGGCGGTAGAGAACGCAGAAACGACTACGACGGCGAGCGAGGGAGACAAGACGTATGTAAGCAGCAACCACATGCTTTTGCCCGGTAACCCACATTCAACCGTTTCGTCGGTCGTGGATTGGCAAATTCAAAATCACAAGGGTTTCGTGCCAGCCTTCATATCGACCATCCGCCACGCGCCGATTTACAACCAGCACGACCGCTGGAGCGTTATCCGCGAAAACATTGAGAACCGTGCCGGCCCGTTGAAGGAAGTCTGGCTCATACTCGGCGAGACAGACCCCATTATCAATGCCGATGAAATCACCGAGGATGCAAGGGCTGTGCTCGGTGAGGAAAATGTTAGGGTCAAGGTGCTGGACGGCGTAGGTCATGAAGTCGCCATCGAACGCGCAGACGATGTTGTCCGGGCTGTAAGACGGGTTGGTACCAAGAGCGAGGAGGTCAGAGAGGTCAGGGAGGAGGAGAGTAAGCCCGAGCCAGTCGAGAGGCCCGAGAGGCCCGAGAAGCCCGAGAAGCCCGCGAAGGCAGAAAAGAGTGAAAAGAGCGACAAGAAAGAGAAGAAGAGTTCAAGTCGGAGGAAGCACGGAGGCTCGCACGCCAGCTCCAGCACGAAGTAGGGTTGATGAAGATATGACGGAAATGCGTCACGAAGAACCAGAGAATGTACAAGAACATATAACAAGAATAACAACAACATAACGCTTTGATGCATTATGAGCAAATCATAAATGCTTATTCAACATCTACGACTTGAAATCCTATTCTCAAGCTCCTATTCTCAAGTATTTACACGAAAAGTAACCACATCAATCTATCCACTCCAAACGGCCGGTCCAGGCGGGGTGTAACTCGTAGGAACAGGGTAGTAAATGTTCAGTTGAATGCCCTTATCATCCGCCTTATAAGCCCCTGGGAAAGCAACCTTGGGTCCCGGTGTTCCACTGCCTCCATTCTCAACCTTCAACTGCGCACACGAGATGTAGAATTGCGCGCCGCCGATCGCCGAAGCAGAGTGTAGCGCGATGTGCTCGACGCGCATGAGGTATTCGCCTGAAGGAAGAGATTTGGGGAGAGGGACTGAGACTTCTTGTTTACCTAGATACAGAACGCATTAGCAAGGATGTTCTGGGGTGGCGATGACGACGAGATGAAAGAGGGAGAGAGAGAGAGAGGAGAAGAACATACCACTTGAAGGCCAGCTCATCTGTCCACCAGAGAAAGTAGCACCTTGACTGTAGATCTTGAACCACACATCACCGCTTCCATCCCAGTCCGCGGCCGTCTTGCCCTCTGGCACTTTCGCGAGGTAGAATTGCAGTGGTCCTGGGTGCGAAATACTGGATACGGCTGTGAAGCCGACGGAATCTCCGGCGTTGACGGTGTAGGTTTTTGATCCTGTGCCAGGGGAGAGCTCGTAGCAGCGGATGGCGTTGGCTGTTACGTCGGTTGTAGGGCCTAGTAGGAGTGTTAGATCGATGAAGCAATGCGAGCAAGTGAAGAGAGATGTTACATACCGTTGGATTGGTAGTTGGCCGTCTTGCGGACATAACTCCATTGACCGGTCTTCTGCCCTTTGACAGTGAGCTCGGGGAAGGTGTAGTGGGCACTGGCTGTGCTGGCGACAGCGAGGAGGGCGATGATTATGGACTTCATGTTGACAACTATCGAGTTCTGCTACTATGAAGAGGATGTGATGGATGTCCTGATGAGTACCTTACAAAGTACTCAAACCTCCCCTATATATACAACCATCGCGACGGCTTGATGTACCCGTCACGCACCCAGGTTTTCCTATATTACAGTACTATGCGCCCCCCATCCTCTACTGTGTGGTACTTCATTTTCGCTGACGCCTCGCGCACGCGATGGTCGAGTGTATTCCTCCCGCCGGGTAAAAGAATGGTTGGCGCTGGGCGCACTGCCGAACCTGCATGTTGAAACGCTGGACCTAGTACAATTAATTCATGAGAAACATATTGGTGTTTAGATGAGATGAGTGTCGTGAAGAAGTGGTGATTGGCTAGCAACCATCATGCCCTGTCCGGTAGTCGAAACACATGACCCGGGTATATTGCGATACCATGACTATAACCGATCTCTATGCCGCGTGCCGTAAGATGTTGTGCTCATGCTTCGGAAATAATACCTTCCAGAAAGTATCAGAGATGTTTTAGTCGAACTATCAGTAGGCGTGCATCGCTGGCGGTCATCTTGCTGCGCTCGTCACTCGAGCTTTTGCCGCTAACCTCAATCGGCTCGGCTAGCAAGACTGCCCAGGCGGTTCACAGCCGTGCATCACCCTCTCTGCACTCTACACTAGCACTGAAATTGCTTCGATGTCAGAAGTCGCGTTGCCTTCTTGCGCTCCGGAGCTGGTCTTGACCGCTTAGCGAAGAGCAATGTCATTTTTGTTATAAAAGACAGCTTGACATTTACGCGTAACGCAAACTGCACCCTCAGCCTCGCCTTCAGCATTCTCGGAGAATAGTAACAGATTTTCTTTACCCTTTATCCACTCACTCAGCAAAGGGGGTTGACAGCACGATACCTTTGATGTATCAGTTCTTCCTACGGGTTCATCCACCTGTGCTTTTTTGATCTCCCACCAGTATCGCTGTGTCCAAACAGGAAATTTTATAGCTCCGAGCGGACCGATCAATTGGGACTTTCTTACCATGGCAAATCTGCCGTCGGCCGATCTGTCGAAGTCTTTAAGGGCAAGAAATTCTAGAAGGAGTGTATGTTCTGGGTAATTGTTAAAGTTCGCGGATTCCTCAATGATCATATTGATCGTCTTGTCTATCGCCTGCCTTATTTCGATATGATTGTTGTCATTCTAATAAGTTATGTGTGTATTTGGTATCTTCACAGCGTGTGGCGCGAGGTCGAACACAAGGCCGTCCTCAGTCTTGTAGGAGCCGTTGTCTTCGATCTTGCTGGAGACGGAGTCGACCCACCTCCATCTCGGCCTGCCTCCAAGGGGCTCTTTTCGTGGCAGTTTGTAGAAGTATTCTATGGCGTGTACATCACAGATTCCAACAGTAGGCTTGTTTGTGGCTTGGTTCTCGATAGCAATAGCGTCAAGTGTTGGACCAACCATATCAGGAACGTGAGGTTGATCGACTATGTGGATAAGAACTTGAGGAGTAGGCATCTTTACTATAGAGAGAACAATCTGGCACCAGAGTGCAATGTGATGATGGCTGAGATAAGTAGGGAGGCGTGTCAATAATTATAGAGGTGCATATGCATGAATACTTTATGGCAATCGTTTGTCGCGAGCATGCAGCAGCTCATGTGTCATTAGCAAAGCTTACTTTCAAGTGGTTCTATCTGCATTCCTTCGCGCTCAAGTTCAATCAGATGAAGCGGCCACACCAGGATAGAGGTGAAAGGCTCGCTCATCGGGTGAAGGGAATAGATCTTCGAGATTACCTGCGTAGCGTCCCGCAGGTCTAACCGACCACTGATACGACAATCTTCACAGAGCCTTCCGGCCCTACTCTACGACGGCAGTAGTATCTTGACGTCGGATTGTGGAGGGCCCAAGCACGGACATTGTGTTGCGATGAAGCGCGGCCGTCGGGAGAACTCGGACAGTTGGGCAATCCCGAGCGAGGAGATGCACCGAAGAGCGAACACCACTAGCACCGGCTGGAAAATGAAAGTAGAATTTTGTTTGACATAGTAGATCGATACTGATTCTGATGATATTGGTATAGTACAAAGTCGTAGCCCACTGTGGGGTCTGTTGTTGAACGCTATGGAACGCCGAATGCTATGATAAATGCGGAATACATGTTTCTTCCATGTCACTTCTCGAGGTACACGAAGCAGTGACACTTTGCTTTGGTGTCAGTGCCTGCTCGCGGCCTGGCGGTATGACCCTGCGGCGTTGAGCGCGCGGGATGATCCTTATCTTCTTCCTAGTGTATATGCGCTCTAAGGCGCGAAGCTGGTGATCTGCTCTTTTGGTGGAACACCCTCTCTTGCTTCATTCACTGCACTTCGTAGAGCTCCATGGCCCTCTGAAGGTCTTCAATGCTGGCCTTGTCGCCATATGCCTCTTCGAGAATCCTTCTCCTATCCTTCTGGGCGGTCATCTTAGCCTCCATTCCAGCAATGGCCCTCTCCATGTCTTCCAGGCTTGAGCGCTCGCCGTAAGAGTCCATGAGCATCTGGTTCTTCTGTTCCTGAGTGAGCTCAAGCGCAGAGTGAACTTTGCGGTTGGCTTCGTTAAGTGCATTGGTCACGCCAAAGCCTATGTTGGCATTAGCATCGCCGAGCGTAAGAGGTCGTCGAGGCTGTGATGATGCGGTCTTGGGTAGGCAGATCATACCAATGGCTACAGCCGCCATGGTAGGCAGATACCTAGTTCTTGTCAGTGTTGGCAACTATGGGACCAAGGGAGAAACTCACCATTTTGCTACCCTTCCGAGCCTTGGGACGACACTAGCACCAGGAGTGGATGTCATCTGTGCTACTGCGGCATCTTCCATGGAGATGGCACCACGAGCACGTGTTGAGGTGGTGAAGAGCCTCTGGCGGACCAGAGTGGATGTGCGGAGGAGGAAAGACATGTTGATGGTTGTGTAGTAGTGGCGAAGGTGAATGTGAATGCCAGGTATGATGATGATGGTTTCCTCTAGGCGATTGACTTATTCGACTTATATCTTATCGTTGGAAGTGTGGTGGTGTAGTGGTGTTTGAAGTTTGTGGAACTTGGTGGCCAAGGTGTGTGAAAGTATCGGCCGCGGTTTGACTTCGGTAGTGCAGTGTTTGATTGATGGCTTGTAACGTGTATCGTGTTCCGGTGAGACATCCAAGCGCGGCGTATGCGGACTGTATATACGACAGCCTTGTGCGGGGAAATGCAAGTCACGGGTAGGCTGTGCCCTCCTGTCTCCCCACCCACACCCATACATCATGCCACGAATCACAGCAGCTGACAGGACCAGGTTCCGTGACACAAGTGGACTGGACCGTTTAGTCCGACGCATTCTCGCGTCGCAACCCCAGGCCAAGAGGCCGCTGACGTACCAGATCATTGGGTGCTCATTTCATAGGGGTTTCCCGGCCGCGCATGTATCGTGGCTCCGCCTGCCCTGCCGGTCAGAAAAGGGTTCGGCTGGTGAAACGGCAGCCGCCGACATCCAATCGCACGGAGGGACGACGGAAGTAGGCCATGTGGGGTTAGTTGTGTGCTGATCGTGGTTAGATGAAAGTCTTTCGATTGTGGGGTGAGCATGTGCATCGCGTGGCCGGCCGAGATCCCGCGACCCTGATGTCAGCGTGCATGTTAGCAACCTGCTCGTCTTGTGGAGTGATCACAACGTCAACAACACCAGCTTCATCAACAGTTTGCATCGTCATTCATACCCGCTTCGATTTATTGGAAAGAAATTTTCGGAATTCTAGACTATGACAGCATCGCAGGCGTCCATGACTCTCCGCCGTCTCGATACTCAACGAAGAGCGCACACCCTACGCCTAGGGCCTTGCGAATAGCGGTCTGTAATACGACTTATGCGATGCGAGAATTTTGCGTGACTTTACGCTGTACTAGATTATCTGCACGAAGTTGGCTGTTTTTGATGGGACATTCTTTGCAAAACCCTCACCAACCTCAACAACCCTAACCCCCATACAAAATGAATTGTATCTTCCTACACATGGCGTTGTATCTTTACTAGCTAAAATGTGATTCCACCTTGGTTCACGCTTTCAAGTCGGTTATTCTTGTGTGAGACGAATGTCATAACCGCTAGACCATTACAGCTCTTACTTTTAATAGGTCGATCTCGAAATCACTAGTCTCATAATACTCAGCAATTTCCGGTCTGATCATAATGGTTGAGGACTGGAACTAGAGAAATTAGTTTGCGGTTGCGAAGCTCATGGATTGAGGAAGTGACGAGTGAGCATTGGCAGAAGCAAGAGGAAGTAGCCCATTGTAGTCAGATACTCCTCCCTCGTAATGGCAGTTTCAGCTTTCTTATGCAGTCTGGTAACAATGGCAAGCAGAGTGCAGATATTGCGTCTGGAAACAAAGCAGGATGTTTTCAATGCTGGAGACCTCCACAGCACATGCCTAATTCATGCATCATTATTCATTTTATCACTCGCACGTACAAGAAGCGCTAAGTCTGAGAGGCCTGTTGCTTCCAGTGGAGCTACGATTCATCACCAACTACCGATAGGCTCAGAGGCGTATACGACGGGACCGAGGAACACAGAAGGCTGCAGACATCATTCTCTTATCTATAGGTCAAGGAAACCAGCGTCTTGACACCGACCACAAATGCACCATAGTCTCACACGCGCGTTCAGTCAGTACAACCGGGCCGACACACCTTCACTGTTGCACACCGTGAACGACTCAAACAGTCTTGGATCGACTGCTCCAGAAAGCGCACAACTATACCCAAAATCCGTAAGACAGACATCCACCCCTTCAGAAAAAAACCGATATTGAGCAAACGGGAAATGCTAATAACACCTTTCAGCATACGACAGCACGTCTTACCCCTCCTACCACTCTCAACATGACAGACAGAAACGATACCACGATCATCATCCCAAGAATGAACACGAACACAAAGGGAAGCCTTGCCAGTATTATTGGATCCTCTGCCGCAGTTAGTTCTCCAATGCTGTCTTTCATGGTCTAGCAGTTCACGGAAGAGTGCTTGCGAGAAATTCCCTCCAGCAAATCGCCTTGTCCCACCCCTGAAGCTGAAGCTATGATCGATGAGATGATCAGTGTCGGCATCAGTCCACTAGCATGGGCCCAAGCCAATCTACCGAAAGAAATGCTGGAGGCTGGTCTCATGGCCAGAGCCCCCCCTGTCGAAGATGATGAACCCAGTGTCAATTACTACGACATGCCTTTTACGCATACCGCATTCTTGGAGGTAATACTTTCAGCGACTATTGAACTTGCCGAAGCTGTACCTAGTCGAAGGCCTACGGCCGATGACCCAATTCCTGATCGGTTCGCACTTCCCGACGCCTCGTGTGCAGGAATGTACGAACTAGCGAACATGCTTGAGACGATGCACGCTCACGATATGTCACCAAGCGAGTACGTAACAAAACTAGACGTCTCACGTAAATTCCGGGGCCTGTCTCTGTTCATGTTATGTATGCGGTATTCTGGCAAGTCCCTTTCCATGCGACACGCGATTCGAGATCGAAAAATCGTCCTGTATATGATGTCGTATTTTCATCACATGTGGACGAGTGTGTGTTACCGTTCTGCGAGTCATCCAAGGATCCAGGTATTTCGGCGTTATCGTATATTACGCGAGCCAATTTGGTTTACCTATATACGGCCCTCACTCATCCAGGGTAGACGCGAATTCGTTGAGTCGCTGCCCATAATTGACGTGGGTTCGATTGCGAAGGAGGACATGAGATGCCCTTACTGTTGGTGCAAGTTTGATGAGGAGGATGAGGATGGGCGAAAGGACACTCCGGTGCATGCTCCCTGCTCATTTGGGCATGTCTTCGGTAGATCCTGTCTACTAGAGCTTATGCTCCATATGGAAGAGCACATGTTGTGCCCGATATGTCGAGAAGAATGGCACATGTGACTGAGTAGCTTGGAATGGAGTTGACAAAGTTTACCTATGGGGCAATAGCAACGGTACGCTGTCACGAGCGCTATGTAGATCCACATGCTTTTTCAATGGAGGATGAGGAGAGCGGCTAGTAATTCCTCGAAACTGGTGGTTATGTCCAAGTACTGATTAGCCAGAGAATTAGTAGGTTTATTAGCAAATCATAGGATAGTGAGGGGAAATCTTGCATATGAACACATTATGCTTGAAGAAGGCCGAGACTTTCCTAGTCAGGCTTAGCGTCAACCATACATCTGGGTAGTTCTACTCCAGTGACTTACTAAGAAGGTTCTTGCTTTGGTCAGCTATCTTATGTATTCACGTATGAATGGAGGATTCTATCGAGTTCCAGAGAAAGGATTGAGGGAATATGCGGGATTCGTACGCCCCGGCGGCAATGCAGTCAGATACCAACAGATGTACTGCGAGTGCAAACCAGAACCAATGACCAACCCTCGCCTTGGTGATGGAAGGTGGAAGGAGCTGACTATGCTTGATGTGTGCCGTATGTGGGCTGTTAGTGGGGCTGTCGTACTAGCATGATGTTTTTGTGTTCAGAGCCGAGATAGATGAATGCCTGAAGAGGGATGGATGTAGCGAGCGACCCTGAGCCAAGGTTTACCAATCTCACGCTTTGCTTAGCGGTATGAGAGGGTATAAAACCGTGTTGCCAACAGTTGCTCATAGTCATTATTCTTTTACCATCCGACACACAGAACACAACTTTGTGAAGTCATGACTAAGTTAATCGCCGTCATTGGGATCACTGGAAACCAGGTATATACCAATCATATAAAGCAATCACTTCACAGATGAAAGTAACACTGACATAGCGTAGGGTGGGTCGGTCGCTCGTGTGTTCCAGAACGAGCCCGGATGGAAAGTTCGCGGCATCACTCGCGACCCCTCCAAACCCTCCGCTACGAAGTGGTCGTCTCAAGACGTTGAGGTCGTAGCGGGCGACCTCGATGATTTAGAGTCGCTGAAGAAAGGGTTCCAAGGTGCAAATGTCATCTTTGGTACAACTGACTTTTGGGGGCATCTCAATGCTCCGGCAACGCACAAACTTGCGGCTGAGCAGAAGCGCACAGCCAACGAGGTAGCGTATGACCGAGAAGTTGCGCAGGCGAAAGCTATCATCGACGCAGCAGCGGCTCACATTGACACTTTGGATCGCTTCGTATTTTCCACGCTTTCTGGGGCCAGAAAATGGAGCAAAGGCACCATCAAGTGGAACTACCACTTCGATGCGAAGGCTGAAGCAGAGGATTACCTAAAAGAAACGTATCCGGAGCTTTCGGCAAAGACAAGCCTGCTGCACCTGGGATACTATGCAAACAACTGGAAAGCTTTCAGTGGAAAGCCAGAAAAGCAGGAAGACGGCTCCTTCGTTGTCAGCTTGCCAATTAGTGGAGACAAGAAGATTCCTATGGTTGATCCTGTTGCAGACACAGGTCAGTCTCATTCGCCTTCGACGTATTCATCTGCTGACAGCTCCAGGGCATTTTACGAAGGCGCTCGTTGAGTTGTCGCCAGGAAAGCTTCTCAGCGGTGCCGGATCCTACATATCATTTGACGAGTGGTGCGACACGTTTGGGAAGGTGAACAACGTGAAATGCGTGTTCAAGAAAATGCCTCGAGAGGCAATGGAAGCTGTGATGGGACCCTTGTACGGGCCTGAGATTGCTGATATGTACGAGTACTTCGACAAGTTCGGCTTCGAAGGAGGCAATCCTGACATCGTATTTCCATGGGATTTGGGCATCGACGTGAAGTACACTTCCATGGAGGAGTACTTGAAGGGTGAGGATTGTAGTTCGGTTTTGTGAGCGATCGAAAAAGGAGCATCGTCAGATCCTCGGTTAGCATTCAATGTCAACCTGTTCTTGCAGTAACGGCAAGCCAATATCGCGATGTATTGAAGGCTTGAAAGGCGGGCGATTGCGCTTGGGGAGTGCTATCTTGTGGCGGGGCTCACCCCGCGGGGCTCGTGCACTTAGCGCGAAATGCCACATCCCAAGTTCTTGCTCGCAACCTTTCCACGCATAACTAGACTTCGACCCGAGTTGAAGTCCAACTGCCAGAATTCTGGACTATTGGAGCAGTTTTCGATATGTCACGTGCTAAATCCCTTTTCGAATCAGGTGTGCCGTTTCCTCAACACGGAGCTCTAGGTGTTTGCTCAGACGCTCACTACAGTAGAGGTCGACGAATTTATGGCGGTGTAACACATCCCAGACACCAAGAATCAATGCAATAGATGATCGTCATGGCAGCAGTTGTACACGCGTCGATGGCGTTCGCCGAAGCCAGTCCGTGGATAGAACAAATGTCGCACGCATTGCAGAACCACCTATCGACTGATCCAACGTCACAAATACCAAGACAGCCCATCGAATCGAACTGCTTACCAGAATCACGCCACAACGGCACTTTAGCAAGCCATACCCGTGTTAAAGGCAGGCCATGGGACTTATTCGCCGTAAGCGGTATCAACACGTCCGGGGTATTGATAGCGACTGCATTACCGACAGCGGGGGAGTTCTAGAGCCGCCCCAAGACGCGCCGTACACGATACTTGATCTGGCAGCAAGTCAATCGAAAAACCACTGGACAAGAGCCATGTCTACCTTCACGCCCTACGCCAAGGTATTTGGGGTTCCAATACTGTACAAGGCTAGGGTTGATGCGCTCGCGCGGGCGATCTACGGTGACAGACTCCGCCAAACCCGTGGTAGTGATATGCATACAGCGACACCAGCCTAAGGACTGCAGCCCATTGCTCTCTTGAGAAGATATCGTCATGCTGTTCGCTTGCGTGCAATCGTGGCGCAGAAATTACTTTTCCTGGGTATTCTTGCAGGTCGCTTCGTACATGTATGTAGAAGTCGCCCCGCCCCGCACCTCAATGATAAGGTAGTCGAACTTCGTCTTCGACTGTAACACGCACTAGGCGATGCTACTCTTCTCTTATTCTTTATAAATACCCTGCGGCTAGACCGTTGCTATCTCCGTCCATCCAGCATTGGTGTTTCTTATCCTTACCAACGTCAATCGCATAGAAGTGAAGGAGTTGTGTTAATTCAACCATCTGTCTGGGAAAGGTCAAAGGCCATCAAACATGGCTATCGATCTCCTACTGCTGCTAGGACTAGCCTTCATCTTCAGCTCAGCTTTTCTTTTGATACAGCGTGGCAGGCGCAACATCACTTTACAGCGGCTCCGTAACGGCGGTCGAAGGGTGTCAGGTGCAAAGACTCCTCCAAGGTCTCTATCGCCACGAAAGAAACCCGTCTCCACCACAGAGATCGATTACTCTGACACCTTCCCACCATCGCGACGCTTCGTCCTTGACGAGACTGAGGAGAAAGATGCGTCTGAGAAGTCAGCACCAGGGTGGCAGAAGAAAATATTACCCATGGAAACGTCGTATCTGGACGCTGATGACTCTACGTTTCTCCCATGTGGCTTCTCGGTCAAAGAGGTCAAGGCCCTTGGTGACTTTCCGGACTACGCTACACTCAGTGGCGTACCTCTTCCCAACCCTTACCCAGAATTCGACATCAAGAAGGCTTTACCTCGACCATATAGGCCGTTTAGATGGTCTTACCACCAGACGATGTGTATGTCGTCTCAATATCAGTACTGGGCAGCGTGCTGACCATCAATAGCAATCACCAAGATGCAAACAGACTGGTGGATCGAGCTCGAAAATACATACGAAGAGCGCATCAAGCAACGCCAAGCTCTATTCGCGGAGCATGGTGAAGCGGTCCTACAAGCCTTACCAGGATCAGAGCTCGCTTGCAAAGAACTAATGGAGATGGTGCTACAGTTTGTATGCGCAAGATATCCGCACTACTTTCGCCTATCGGCCGATAAAAAGACATTTCACAACGGCATCTTAAAGACAGACACTGATCTCACTACCACACTACCTCTACACGTTCTTCTGAACAACATTCCCGAAGATTTCGCCATCATGCTGCGAAGCGAAAAGACAGGGTTGTACGTGTTTCGAGCAGGCGTCATCTGCAGTGCGTTAGGCTGGAATCTAGGCTCGAAAATCGGACTTGAACTCGCCGCTATACACAAACCTATCCCAGACTACAAGGAAAAGATGCAGTTCTCCATGGACAGGTAAAGGACAACTTAGTCCTGTTGATTGTAAAAAAAAAAGATATAAGCTCCATACTAACTTATGCCAACAAAGATACTTTGCCAAAAAGCCCACGGACAAACCCATCCAGCGCGGCTCCTGGGGACTCGAAATCGATAAACCCCTCTACATGCCGCCCGGCGACACCCATGAAGCCCTTCGCTGCCACCAACTGCCTCCCGATCAACTACCCCTTTCCCGCATCCACCTTCGCGTAGATTGGCAAACGCTCCGCCGACTTCCGCTTTCTGGCGCTGTTGTATTCAATTTCAAGGGGCTGTTTACCCCGATTGAGGAGTTTAGGGAGGAGAAATGTGTGCCGGGTTTGCTGCTCAAGGTGCTGAAGGAGGGAAAGAGGGGGCTGATGGAGTACAAGGGAACGTGGCATGTTGAGCATGTTGCTATGCCCAAGTTAGAGGAGTGGCATAGGGAGCAGATTGACAAGGGGTTGGTGGAGGAGGATTGGGAGCCGAGGACGTTGGATGAGAGTCCTTGGTTTGAGGGATGGAAGGAGAGGTGGAGGGGAAGGCAGGGGTTTTGAGATGGGTTTGGGACTGGATTAGAGGGTCGGGGAGAGGTTGTTTGTATGTTGGACACGTTACTCTAGTATTACTCAAATACATCCATACTATAGCGTTGTGCTTAAGCCCGTAGCCCTAGTCTCTGGGGCAGCTTACCCCGATACATCCACGCCGCGCCCGCAGCAACCGCGCTCAAGGTACCAAGCACCAACGTAGTATTACTCACCAGCGTTTCCTCATGCACTCTTCCTATCTTCGTCTCCTGCTTCCCTGTTCCGAAAACAACTTTACTCGCACTAACACCTGCAGCAGGAGTAGCCTTCTCCACCATCACCCCATCATCAGAATGCGCGGCACTCCCACCGTTAGCCGTGGTTTCAAAATCCTCCCAATCCACCTTCGCCAGGACCTCCTGATACTCAATCACAGTCCCCGACCAGTTATTAGTGATTCTCCCCTCCTTGTTTTTATACCAACTTTGGCACTTTGGGTCTGCAAAAGAACTATTCTTCAACACCTGCTGAATCCCCTCATTCCACTCATGCGTCCTATCTCCTTTAGGCATGATACCCATCCTCTGCCCCCTGTTCCGCGCATCCAGTACTGCAGAGACGAGCGTGTTGAGATATCGCGACTGTGCTTCAATCATCAGGATGATGGAGTTGTGGCCTAGGTTTGTGTTTGGGCCGTAGAAGAGACCGAAGTTGGGCAAGGAAGGAATGGTCGTTCCGTAAAGGGCTGTGGCGCCAGAGGACCAGATTTCTGCTAGAGGGCGGGATTGCGTTCCCGTTATTTTGATGGGATGCAGGAACTCGACCGTGCGGAAGCCGGTCGCGAGGACGATAGTGTCGTGGGTGTGGTGTGTGCCGTCTTCGAGTTCGATACCGGTTTCTGTGATACGACGGATTTTGTTTGTTTCGAGGGTTGTTTTGGGGTTGGCGATGGCCGGGTAGTAATCGTCGGTTATGATGACGCGCTTACAGCCTGGGCTGTAGTCTGGGGTGAGCTTAGTCCAGAGGTCGGGCTGGTTGGGAATTTGCGTCTTCATCATTTCCATGCAGCTGCTTCGAATCACTTCTGCGAACTCGCTGTTGCTGTCCGTTACAGCATCGTAGAAAGACTCGCGGAAGTCCATCATGCTAGCACGGATGCGCCAGCGGACAGGAGGGAGATAGCGCAATATCGCACGTTTGAAGGCACTGACAGGGCCATCGAGGCGCGGGATGACCCAGTTTGGGGATCGTTGGTAGATTGTCAAAGAGGAAGTTTGTGGTAAGATTTCGGGTATGATCTGAGCAGCTGTTGCACCTACGTTTTAGTTAGCGTGTATGTTTTTGAGCATGTGGTGCTACGCATACCATTGCCGATGATGCCTACACTCTTGCCCTCAAGCCTGTGGCTCCAATCCCAACGCGCTGAGTGCATAATCTTGCCCTTGAAGTTCTCCAAACCCTCGATATCCGGGTATCGTGGCTGGTTCAACTGACCAACAGCTGAGACTAGGAAGTCGCACTCGATGCTATAAGCGGGGTTGAACTCGGCGTCTTTACCACCAGTCACATTAACGTCGACCTTCCAGCGATTCTTCGAATCGTCCCACGTCGCGGCTTCGACAGAAGTATTGAAGCGGATGTACTTGTAAAGGTTGTACTTGCGAGCTACGTTTCGAAGATAGTCCTGCAGTAGACATTAGCGGAAGCCATATAAAGAAAGGATTGAAGGGGGGTGACGTACAAGTATCTCCTCCTGTCCAGGGTATTCTCTCGTCCAATCCGGATTCTGTTCGAACGAATAACTATACAACATGCTCCAAACATCGCAACAGCAACCTGGGTACTTGTTGTCATGCCATGTTCCGCCGACACTGGAACTTTTCTCTACGATGATGAAGTTGTGGCATTGATTGCGCTTAATGAGGTCGATTGCCATACACATGCCTTGGCGATATTAGCACAATATCTCAAGTTGAGTGTAATGATACTTACCAGAGATACCTGCTCCGATGATGACAACTGCAGCATCAGTGTGGTCTTTATTCCCGACCGGAACTTGTGGCCATGGCTGCGAGCCTCCCATCTTTACCGACGTGATTCTCGTGAAGGGTTGCGTTAGAGAGAAGTGTGCAGTAATTGAGATGGGATTGAAGTTGTGGAATCTAGGGAAAGCAAAAAGACAAAGACGCGAGAAGTCTACCCCAAGGGTCGGACGCAAGAGGTGTTCTGCCGAAGCGCAAACAGCATGGTATAGCACTATCCATTATCTGGCGAATGATCGCGTCAAGAGGCGCTGGGTCCAAAGTAGCTTGTGGTCACTTCCCCTCACCACATACCCGAGAGTAGGATCCCGAGGTTGTCGCAGCATTGGCTTCATTGATATGCAGCCGTCAAATCACCTAGGACCCCCCTCAGTTAGCATGAAAACTCAAAAAGGCTGTAGGCGGTTATACCTTGGAGAGCTTTCCAGCTAACAGACGAAGCAGTACGGGCTTGTACATGCGCGGGCGTGAGTGTGGTGGTCGACAAGGATGGCGCTTCCTTAGGGTGTGGGGAAGGCGCTATCCGGCAGCTCTAACGGGATTGGGTGTGCCACAACACCATCATCGAGTCGACAGGATCGACTCAATTTATTAATTTTTGGAATGTCTCGGCGAGGTAGATGCCTTTTTGACTATGCTTAGTGCTCAATGTTGACCATTGACCTTGCCTGGCTTTCTCGCGACACTGAACATGTCGCGGACTATTTCGTGAGATGTAGTTGATTACAAGGTACAGTAGCACAGCGTGTTCCCAGACGGTAGTTGCCGTGCTCGTTGGATTACTTGGAAGCTCTGGGTCTGATGCTTGCGATGCTTGTGGTCTTGGTGTTTTCATCTCCGAAGGCATGTATAACCATCGGAGAGCATTTTAGCATATACGGTCATGATGCTGTATGAGCCGCATCGTGCTTGATGGGAACGGTAAGATGCCCTCGAACCTTGTCTAGTCGAAGATTCTGCATAACAACTTTGAGAAGGTTCATGAGTCGAGTCGTATGACTGTATTCGTGATGGAGAGGGCTCACACAAGGCACTTTATGAACCCTGCGGCTGAATTTCGTGTTCGGGCAGTGCTTATTATGTATTACACATGCTGCACTGGTAGTGAAGCCGTTGAATGGTGCCGGTCTAGCGTATTGGTATTTTCAGGTGCTCGGTGCAGTGGCTTGCTATTGACTTGTTTCGCTCTGGCACCGTGGTTACACAATACGGTCGCCGAAGGAAAATAACCAGGTGGTGGATCAGCGATCTGCGCGCCTAACGAGTGACAGGGCCGAGAAATGCTGTGAGAGTTTGTCGTTCACATGTGGGTAGCTTGGGCAGTAAATATTGGCAGTTTTAGCCGGCGCACTTGAGAGGAGGGGACCCGCGCCTCAACCACATAAGCGACCACAACACAGTCACAAGTTTGGTTGACTGTTGTAATAACGAAACACTGGAACGCAAAACGAATGTTTGGATGACGCATACAGTGACAATGGGGGAAGCTCGGTCAGCAGAGATGGAGCGTTGGAGCGACCGTTTGGAGGCCTGTCCACGAGAGCCAGTGCGCTACGGCAGCACAACAATAACCCGTCGGGTTATTCCCAGGATATCGTCACCGAAGATTCCCTGCCAGGGTCGACGAAGTTTCTTCTCGCCGATGCAAAGCTTCTCCCTATTTCCAAGGGTTGGATATTACTGCTAGTATCGCAGCGGTGAAGATGGTAGTGGAGGAATGGCGCATGTTTGGCTTGTGAAACTCGGACCCCGCAAGCCCAACTGTCGTTCGCTGGGTAAGGAAAATAAATGTCTCGCTTGCAGATGCAGGCGGCATGCAGCGCGATTGGCGTGTTGAGTGCAGGCCAGGGTCGCAAAAAGGAGCGACTTCGTGTTTGATGGGGAGCGTTGGTGTGTATGGACATCTGGAATGCCGGTCTCTGCATCGAGGGCATGTCCGCGGCCCTTGTGGGCTGCTATTCGTGGGGCCGCAGCGCCGCAGCGCCGCTTATTTTCGATAGTCTGGTTCTGCTGGGAAGGGGCACACGATCGCTACTTCCGCCGATGACCAGGGCTGGCTGGAAGGCATAACACGACATCGCAGGCTGTGGCTGTTGGGCGTCTCCACGAGGCGCGTGCGGGTGGGCGACGATGATTTGATTGACGACTGGCGGATTGGACCGCCGTAGAGGCTTCAGGCGTCCGTTCAGCTGATTGGCTGCCGGGCCATTCTACACGGCATCGAGACTCTCCAGGGCTGGTAGTCGGCTGCACCCTGTCTGATGCTAGCTGCTACTCTGAAACTCCAACACCTCCTGGTCGGGCCGGTGCACACCACGACGCGCATTATACCTATTGTCCTGTCCCAGACTTCTTGGAAGTTCCTGCTTCTTGGTCCCCCCACTGCATCTCGATGCATGCCCGCCCAAGGCACGTCACCACCATTCTTCCGCCAAACCGTCAAAAGTTTCCGCATACATGCAGTAGTCGCTGGTAGCTCCGTCTAGCCATTCCTAGCCGACCATACTCTATCCACCGACCAACTTCTCGCGCGCGCATCCGTTACGTCGCCGTTGCAACTGCACCACTTATACCACGCGTTTGCAGCCATATTCCTTTGGAATTAATCCTTTTGGCCTACATAGTTACCCTAATCAATCATGAAGCAGCGCAAGTTTTCCTTCAACCTGGCGCCAGTCGTATGTACCCTGCCTAGTTCTTTGTCTACCATTGCATTGCGAACAGTCGCTCACCGCCCGTATAGAAGATTGCCTCCAAGTCAGACCTCGTCGATAAACCCACGCCAGAACCAACCCCCTCACAGCCTCCATCGTCACACAAGAGGCATACCTCCAAAGACAGCATATGCGATTCATCGCCCTGGATCAACCGCCGTGTCCTGGATGAACATACCGAACTAGAATTGCGCTTAGCATGTCGGCACATCCTGCAGAACTTCAAGCCGTCGGATCATGGCATGGAGAACACAGACCCCAAGCTCGACTTTGGTGGGCTTGGTCGACCACGCAAAGAGACAAAACCACAGGCCGCTGAGGTTAGTGTCCGCATGCCCACTGGCGCGCCCCCAGAGTTGTCGTCGACATCGACTTCTTTCATGATGCGGAAGCCCAGCACCAGGACCCGGACACGAGCAAAGGCGGATCAGGAGATAAGAGCAAGGACATACGGAGACATGCCTGCGCGCACGAATAGCAGTCGTAAGCGAGCTGACTTCGGATGGCTTGACGAGCGCGACGCAGAGAGAGAAGAGAAATTGAGGACATATGGCAAGACTTCCATCGACGTACCGCGGCCGGCCGTCTTCCGCAATGACTCGGACGAAGACGTAACTCTTCCCGTAGCCGTCACATCAACCCTCGCCAACGCCAAGATGTCGTCGTCAGTACCCAACTCAGCATCTCTACCCAATCACAGGAGTATGAACAGGTTATCTCACCAATCCGACAGCCCTGCTGCAGTGGCGGACGCACAAGCTGCAGAGTGGATGCGTTCAGAACTCGAGAAGAAGCGGCAGCAAGAAGCGTCAGAAGGCCGGGGCCGATCCAACACTTCGGTCCGACCACCCAGTCGTGCTGCGAGCATCAAGGAGAGTGTCAAAGAATACGTCTTCCCCGGCTCTCGTAGTCGGGCCCTGAGCCGCGCGCAATCCAAGGACTCACTTCGTCCGACAGCCGACAACGACGACCAAGGTCTGTCACGCAGTGACTCAAAATCAGGATGGCGTAGCTGGGGCGTTGCCCGCAAGTTGAGTTCAAGAAGCAACAGCAGACCAGGAACTTCCAAGGGACAACCGGACGAGGCACAACCAAGGAAGTCAGAGTCCAATGGCATCAACTTGAACAGAGAGCTACCGCCATTACCGAGCCTAGACACCTGGAAGGATTTCCAAGAGCCCTCAGAAGAGAGAGTAGCACCACCGAAATCGCCCATGTCTCCCACTGCTGGAACACACATTGCAAGTCTAATGCGTCCACAAGAACAGCACCAAGAGCGTTCGCCTTCTGCGAAGAACCACAGGAGGAGTGGATCCGATACTTTAGCCATGCAATTCAATGACGCTTTCCCTGTCCGAAAGTCCTCCCGTAAGCAGGAGACCAAGGCCATCCCTCAGCCTATACGAACAGGCCCAGGCAGTCCGACAAACGCCGAGGCCACGATGACTGGCTGGTCTTCCACTAGCAACCTCGACCAACGTCTCGAAGTAGCCTCTAGCAACCACACTCGCCAACGAAGTGGAGACAGCGGCTCGGCCTCGAATGGCAACAAGAGCGCCGACGCGTCTACTTTCTCTCGTAAGATGAGTGTGGACACTACCGCGCGCAAAACCCTCTCGAACGAGCCCAAGACTCCAGGTCGAGAAGAGCAAAAGTCGAAACTGAAGAAGATCTTCAGTGGTTGGATGCACAAAAAAGACAAGAAAGAGGATTGGATGCACAAGATGGAGAAGGATGGTGTCAAGGAAGGTGTTTTGGTGCAAGAAGGCAGTACAAGTGCGTCGCCTGTGGTGCGATACTAAATTCGTCTACTTGTCGCCGTCCTGGATGGCGCCTTCTATCTTTGTTGGTTTTTTTTGTTTTTTTTTACTGGACTGGGGCATTTGTATACATGTAATGACTCTCATACGTAATGTGCAACGACGCAACGTTACTTTTCCTTTTCTTTCTAGGGCTTCAGGCAGTTGTATATCCGGCTTCACGGTCATCAATAGGATGCATGTTCTTTTCTTGTATAGGGTAGGGTAGGATTGGGGTAATAGAACGGAATTTCTGGTGTTCCTCTTGCACATACAGTATGCCAATGGTGAATTGTGTATTAATGCTTCATGACTTCTACTTTCAATCTCTAAGAATACATGCAAGTCCCCACTTGGTCGTAGTTTCCTATAGTACACTGCACACGTGATTATGCATCGTAATTCGTCGCGTCAGGCCAGATGCTCTGTCCAGGAACTATGATAAAATTCTTCGATATCTGCCAAACACTAAATTTGTACTCTTCGTCAAATAAAGCATACCCACCGTCACCATGGGTTCGTAGCTACTGGCAAACGGTTTGCGATAGCTGCTGACCGCGTACTAGCTACCTTCTCACCTTTACTTGGAAGTCTCCGCTTTTTCACGTCACCTTGAGCAACAACGTGAGAGATGTTTAAGCGGTAGCTATGGCAACACTCTACATCTGATAGCCAAGGTTACCATTGTCTCCATTGCAGCTATATGCGATTGCGGGTACGACAACGATTGCGCGCGCTCAAGATATCCATGGATGTTCTGACAGTATTCCTAATCATCAACCTTCAGCGACACAACAAGCTACGCGCTTCAAGTTAGTCATATCCAAAATCATTGACTACACATCAAGTTTACCGTCACTTCAAAACCGCAATCGTATTGATCAACATATCACAACCGAATCAGTGTGTGAAAGCTATGCGCAGTATTGACGCACAAGCAAGCTGACACTGCTGAACCAGTCCAAGACTGATCTCCCACCACGAAACATATTCAATCTTCGAGAACATATGCACAGTCCAAAGATCCCATAACATACGCCTACGAAGATCTCGTCCAACGACAATATTAAGTGGCCATGTGTAATGTCATTCATCTTCACTACAGATGCCATCACATACTGCGCTTACGGAGATCGCGATGCAAAGGCACCAAACATAAGAGAACTCGAACGAGTGTCAGAGCTGCGTGTACGGCAGAATCGTTTCTCACCATGTATGTCCGGACTGACTGCAGTTCCTGTGAGCACAAGAGATGGGAGGATAACTGGTCTTCCAAATTGGAGCGGGCAAGGACATTCTTAGCTGAACTAATTGAGAAGCACATGCCAGGAGTGAACGAAATCTCTGCTCTGGTTAAAGAACTTGATGATCTGTATTACATGGCCTCTTGGGATGCACGCAACATGGCCTCGCATGCTTTTAAGAAAAGTGTGGCACGAGTGGATATTAGCGATCATAGTATAGCACGCTCGCCGTTAACACAAGAGGTTCGACCTGAAGATGTCGTTGATCCTAAAGAGAAGGAGAAAAAATGGACGGACATGGTCGAGAATGACTATGACGGTGACTACATTGCAAGCACTGATCCAATACATCCAGTCAGCACAGACTACTCACATCCACTCGACGATGACGATGGAAGCTGGATCCTCCAGCATATCTCGCCTGGAGCAACGGAAATCTCAGGCGACGGTGAGGTTGCACTTGACTTTGATCAAGATGGATGGAGCTGGAACAACGACGACAGCGAGAACTCGGTTTCAATGATCGCTGCATGTCAAGAAGAGGACACTATGCCAACGGTCGATAGTAACCATCTCATCACATGGGAGCCGGAAGCAGAGATGTCTTCCATGGCCACAGATATTACCATGGACGGTCTCAGCATCAGAGAAAAGCTCGAAAAAGAGCAGATTGAACTCATCATCGAGGCTTTCTGGACAGTTGTCGATAAGTCCACAGACACTGACCAGCAACTTCAACCTTGCCCTCTCCGCCTTCCATACAAATCGACCCACCAGTACAGTGGGTAGATGGTCCGTCAGATACTCTTCGTACTCCACCATCAACATCGTCTACCTTGTCTCAACCAAAACTACCAATTCAATCAGTTACACCTCCAGGTCTTAACTTCGCACAAACGGAACATATCAGACAGCGCAAGTTACCTAAGAAGCGGCTACAAGATGATGCTAACAAAGCTAACTAGTATAGTAATTTACTCCTTGTTCCACAGTGGGAAGCGAAGGCAGTTGGAGGACCAAGAGGGAAATTGATTCCTGACCCGCCGATGGTGAGGGCAAATAGAGCGGGAAGTTGCAATGGGTGGTTCCGGTGAAGGAGTACAAGTCACAAGGGGGAAATGCATACTAGGTATTGGAAGTTTGAGTGCATTTACCAAATTAACTCGACGTGACCATGTATCATGATAACAAGACTGAAAAGTAAAGGAAATAAATGATATCGATGCGCCTTTACTCGTTTCCCGAAACACTACTCCCGAACCCTTCTTTCTCCCTCATCACCCTGCCCTTGTCTTCAATCTTCCCATTCTTCATCATCCCTCCAACCTTCTCTACCACCTTCCCCAACACGGAATCATGACCTGGTCCAGACATCTCGCCTGTTTTATTTCCGTATCCTGCGCCTCCCGTTGAGCCGCTGCCCATGGGCGTGGCGTTTGAGTAGGGTGCTGTGTCTGAGTGGGAGCCGAAGCGGAATTCGGAGTTGTCGGTGCTAGGGGTGGACGAGGAGCGTTTGTTTCCTATAATCCATTGTTAGCCCGCCTGGCATTTGTTACTCAAGATGAACCGACGTGGCTCACCAAAACCTGCACCGCCTGTAGTGCCTGAGCCGTGTTTTTCATGAGGATTGTGGTACGCAGTGTTTGAATCTACCAGGCCGAGACGTGTGGTTGCGTGTTGGTCTTGCAGCTCTTCTGCGACATAGTCTGATGCCGTGCGGTTTCCGTAGCCTGCCATTGTCGTTGTGTTTGTGAGAAAAATATGGGTTTCAAAGATTTGTGTTTATTCGTTTGTGGTAGGTGAAAGCTTGGGCCGAAAAAGCAGACGAGTAAGGGTAAATGTGGAAGGGGTTGTAGTGATGATAGTATACTTGTATTTACAGACACGCGGAGATATCTTCTTGACTATATAGTATCCGCGCCCCAATCTCAACCATCTGCCGTGTGCTGGCCTCCAGGGTGATCAAGCATATGCTAAAGGCAGAAAAGCCTTATGAGGTCATCTTGCTGGGGAAGGCGTAGATCATGTGTTGTAGAAGCTCCATAAGAGGGCGGAAGACCCGGCCAAGACGTGCTTGGTATTCCTTGTAGGTACGCTAAAATCCGCTTATGTGGATCAGAGATAGTGGCTAAGGCTAGGCCCTGGGGTCAGCTATCGATGAGGTACAGAGTTTCCATACTGCGGTTCGCTCTCCATGCACCCCGAAACTTTTCTTTGCGTCAGCTGCACGGTAAGGCCTCTCTCGAACATATGTTGAGACGGATTTTGGACTTCGAAAGATGCCATTCATTGGATCGATTCCTAGTGACGATGGACTGAGGCGAGAGATAAAGCTGACATCCAGAAATGGTGGTCGTCGCCGCCGATCCAAGATAGCGATAAGAGTCCCGCTAGGTTCCGTCTCATCACTGGTTGCTCCATATCCGCCAAGACCTGGGGTATCCCACATTCTCTCGAAGCCTGCCTGAAAGATTCCAGAACCTGTACGCCAACATGCCTAACGCCAGCAATGCAATGCGTAATATTCGAAAGTTGAAAGAGATGTCTTTGCGAAGGGTGATGACCTCATCGGATGTATTTGGACTGTCGCGTGGTGTTAGACAGAGTTGAATTCGTCGTGATCAGGGGATACATACCATGAACTTCTTGTGGAAGTCAGACCGCAGCATGTCGTTGATGAACTCCTTCTTCTTGTTTCTGTCTTCGGTACCTCGTGCTTGGTTCTTGAAGACAACGTCGTCGTCCCATCGACGCTTCATGGTGAAATCTTTCGCGTTGAGTAGGGGATTGCCTCGGGCAACGTCGATTTCGCGTTGCTCCTCTTCTTCTGCGGCGCGTTCTGCCTCCTCCTTAGCTTTGGCTGCAGCTCGCTCTTTCTTGATCTTCTCCAGTTCGCGCATAAGGGCCGCGGTTTCGTCCTCTTCGTCTTCGTCGCTGAAATACCGTTAGCAAAGGGTTGAAAATCACGACATACTTCACACTTACTCATCGTCGCTACTTCCGCTCTCACTACTGCTGTCGTCTGCATCCACATCTCTGAACTTTTCCAACACCTCTATGCGCCGCCGTTTTTGGGCTGCTTCATCTTCCTCGCCTTCCTCAACTGCCGGTACAGCATCAATCTGACGTTTGTGCGCGTTTGGCTCAGCTGCTGCCTCCGGTTCAACGTAGGTACCGTTCTTCTTCGCAATGTGACGCGCCTCAGCCTCCAAAAGTTCGGCGCGAAGGTCGCGCTGGGTACTATCGGCATCTCCGCCCTGTCCTGGTTGTCTATGCTTGAGCGTGGTGTGCGCTGGTAGTAATCGCTGGTGGTAGGCGGGTCCTCGCTGGGCTTCTTTACCGCGTGCGGGATCGAACGTAGGTCTATGGGCGGTCGTCATTGTGTCGGATTGTTATTGTTCGATGATAGCTTGAATTGGTACGGGTTTCGGAAGTCTTGCGCGTGGTTGAGGTGGTGAGGAGTTGATGTGTGAAAGAAATGGCGCATGGAAGCTTGAACTCGTAAGTCGCGCTAAGCATCGGCCGCCGGTTCACTTTTCCCCGCCGCATTTTCTATGGCTATTGTACAGCTACCGTTCCACCAACGACAACCTTACGCATTTGTTGCGAAAACCCATAATGCCTCGAGAAGCTGAGATATCGCTCAATGAGCGCGAATTTATCAAGCAAGCGCTACAGGAGCAGATACGAATCGATCGACGCGCGTTTGACGCCTTCCGTCCACTTGAGCTCACCTTTGGCGACGAATATGGTGTCGCAGATGTTCAATTGGGCAAGACGAGGTATGTATTTTCATACGGATTCAAGTGCAAAGTTAACACATTTCAGAGTCATTGCGCGCATTTCAGTAGACGTGACAACACCATTGCCAGAGCGCAAGTTCGATGGTATCTTCCAAATAGTCACCGAGTTCTCTCCCATGGCTTCTCCAGCCTTCGAGGTTGGTCGGTACGTACATGTAAAAGCCCACCAAGCTTCGCTGTATCTGACTGAGATGTTAGTCCCACAGATGCTGAGGTCATCCTCTCGCGCATACTCGAGAAAGCCATCCGTCGCTCCAACGCTCTCGATACCGAGTCGCTATGTATCATCGCTGGCTTGAAGTGCTTCGCTCTTCGCGCAGACGTACACATTATCGATCACGACGGCGGACTGATCGACGCATCATGCATAGCCGTCATGGCTGCGTTACAGCACTTCCGACGACCCGACGTACAAGTAGAAGGCGAGAAGGCGACCATCCTCAGTGTACGCGAGCGCGAACCAATACCGTTATCCATCTTACACCAGCCGCTCTGCGTTACCTTCTCATACTTTGAAGGAGAGATATTCTTGGTAGACGCAAACTTGGCTGAAGAGCAAGTCAGGCAGGGAGAGGTTATCCTCACAATGAACAAACATGGCGAGATATGTCAGATCGCGAAATACGGAGGAGCCACAATCAATCCGCTGGCCTTGCTGAATTGCACTAATGTTGCACTGCAAAAGGTCAAGGAGATGAGTGCATTCATTCAGAAAAGATTGGAAGAGGATGCCAAAGAAAGGGATGCCGGAGGACTGATGGCAGAGCTCAGCGCTGAGAATGCCAGGTGAGACTTCGCACGAAGCAGGACTATCTTACAAAAGACTACAGGTCTGGCCAACTGGCCAGTCTGCGACGCTTCCAAATACTAGCATCCTATGCGCCGCCAGAGTTCGTCCGCCGAGCCTTTGCATACACTAGGAAAGTTTCCAGGACGGGATGCACCGTGGGCCCGCTGACGATGTGGGTCGGCGATTTGGTGGCCCCTGGCGAAGCTACCGGGAAGCCCGAAGACCAGATCGCAAAACGCAGATTTAGAAGTAGCATGTGAACGTCAACGTGGAGTTCTTGGAGGCCCTAATTATGACAATCACATACATGCAAATGCGAATCCAGTTTCAAGATTGAATCTCATTATTTCAATGGATCTTGACCTGTCAAGTTTCCAGCTTACTATGATCTGGTATCCAAGTTCTAGATCCTTTGCATTTGCGACGCGGTGACGTAGCTGACAAAGCGCGACCGCGTCTAATTGCTATCGAATCGGGGCACCTCGGCCCACGCTTCCCTGCATCTTCACACGACAAACAGCTTACTCGACTGACATCTCTCCACATACGATACCTGCTGATCACGAGCGGACAAGATGTTTTCCGCTATGCCGACTGAGACATGCGCAATGATATATATGCTACCATCCAACACGATGACTGCTGAATCGCACTTCAAAAGTCGCTTCGCTCCAACCTCGAACATTGCGTCATTCAGGGTCTGACTGCATTACGTCTTCTATCTTAGATACCAAGCATCCGACGTATCCTCACAACAATTCTTCTTTTTACACCTACTTTTAAACATATATTTCTTTTAGCTTTCACGTTCCACCATTCACATTGCCCAATATGTCGTCGAAACTAGTACCATCCGATCCAGCCAGTGTTATGGTGATTCGCGATGTCGTTCCACGCGTTATCACCACTCTATCAGTACCCTTCTGGAGATTCGGTCGCGTGAAGATCGGCGGAAGAGGAACAATTGGTACACCATACCCAACTCATGCTTCGCAAGCTACGACTAACGCATGGGAACAGTTCGTCTCGAATCCGGTGCTGTCGCCGTTTTCTCCCCTGTCGCATTGACCGAAGATGTCAAGCAGAAGGTATCTGAGCTAGGCGAAGTAAAGTACATTGCCGCTCTCGATGCAGAGGTAAGTCCTAAGAGTCCACTACAACATCCGAGACCATGTCTAATAGACCATCAAACAGCACCACATCTTCCTCGGTCCCTGGCACAAAGAATACCCTAATGCCCAGGTTATGGGTCCCGACGTCCTCCCCGAAAAGCGCGCAAAGCAAAACGATGAAAAGGTCCCCTTCTCCATCCTCTTCAGCGCCAACAAGCCCGTCGAGTCCATCTCGCCCGAGTTCGACGCCGAATTCGATTGGGAATACGTACACTCGCACATCAACAAGGAAATCGTCTTCCACCACCGTCCTACCCACACTCTCATCCAGGCTGATCTCTTGTTCAATCTACCTGCTACAGAGCAATTTAGCAAAACTGGCATCAATGCGAATAGTGGTATCCTGACGAAGATCTTCACCGCACTGCAGGGTACAAAGGGAGATGCGAAGTGGCAGCAGCGCACTATTTGGTACGGAACTAGTGCGAGTGACAGGAAGGGCTTTTCGGCTAGTGTGGAGAGGATCAACAAGTGGGGATTCAACAGGATTATCCCTTGTCACGGAGACGTGATGGAGGAAGACGGTAAGGGTATCTTTGAGAAGATTATGAGGTGGCATCTGGATGCTGCGGCACAGGGGAAGAAGAGTACCTAAGTGGGTCTACAGAGAAGTTGTATAGGTGTAAGGGGAGGGGCGGAGTTGAGGTGATCGGGCGATGATACCAATTGACGTAAGGACGGTCTTTTCTTTCTATATGTACTGTTAATATAGCTATTTCCTTAATCCTTGCCAGCAAGGCTATTTGACTACTACAACAAGAACTCCTATTTCCAGTGATACCACAAACAATTATGTTCTTTACTGCTTCCTTGCCCTATCCGCCATCTCAATGTCATCCGCAAAATTCTGCCTCTTATCTCTTCCATCGTACCCAGTCTTGGTCTTCTCCTTCGTACCAGTCCAGATTGACGCGATACCAGCCAGCGTATAAGGATTCTTATCATACCAAGCCGTACGCTCCGGAGACTGGATCGTAATCGGCGGCGGTGACTGAATAACATCATGGTACCCATACGGCCCGCCTCCTGGTTGCTCAAACAGAATGTCTCCACCGTGTCCCGAATGGCCATACGATGAACGTTCCAACTGTCCATGTCCCGACTCATGTTCAGCATGCGGTCGTGAATGTTGATGCACATGTGGTAGATGTGGATGCATAACATGTCCCACAACCCCCCTAATCGCCTCTTTAACCCCATGTTCCCCTCACTCTCATTCCTTTTCTTCTCCTCCGGATTGTCATACCCTCGTCCCCCTGTCCTCTTAGCCGCTCCCTTCTTAAATCTCCCATACTTCCACACCTTCCTCGAATAATACAGTATGCCCACTCCCACCCCTATCAACCCCACAAACGGCGCACATGTAATAACTAGTCCGGACATGTGCAGTAACAAGTCATTCCACCAGACTTTCTCCTTCGACGTTTTGTAGTGAGTGTTGGAAAGGTGTGTGACGAACCAGGGGATATGGTAGACGAGGGATTTTTCGAGGAGCGCGAGGGAGAGCATGGTTTGGGTTAGGAGGACGATGGTGGCGGCTATGCGGGACCAGTGGGTTACGAGGGGTTTGTTGATGGCGAGGTCTCTGAAGGATTCCCAGACTGGGTTGTAGTGGGTGAGGGCGCGCTCATGGGCGTCTTTGGGTGGCGGAGGTGGAGGAGGAGGAGGAGGTTTTGACTCTTCCTCCTCCTCTTCCTCGTCGTCTTTCCCTTTTTCGCCCTCTTTTGCTTCTTGCTTTTCTCTCTCTTGGTCTGCGTTCTTTGGCTCCTCCTTCTCTTTCTTGGCCAAGTAAAGAAAGCTTATCGAAACGCGCCATAAGACGAAGAACGGAAGTACGATGATGAACAAGACGAGACTGATAATGATCTGTAGGGTCATAGTGAGTGCTTTGGTAAGCCGGTCGAGCTTCATGTTGTTAGCGGATCGTGCTCGAATGCTGGTGTTAGAGTCCTAAACAAGTCGGCGGCGTTGTACTAGGTACAGATATCTTACAACGTAGAACGAACGCGTGAATACTTGTTGTGACGAGGCAACTAGATCATCTGTGGAGGCAGACCGGTGAAGCACATAGATGGTCTTCACGGTGCTGTACCGTGTGATGTCAATATGTTACTCTATACTCAGGCGGTATGTATTCCAGATCTAGCCCTTCGAAGACTTTCTTCTCTGCATCCTCTGGTGTCCCAACAACTCCTTCGGGTCCTTCCAGCATTATAGTTTCACCAGTGCTTCGACTCCGGATGCCACTGCTATCAAACTTCCAGCCTTTGATAGCTTTCGCATATCGCCTCAAATCTCGCTGGAACGTCGTACCGCCACTCCAACCCATGACTGCGCAACCCACAGTCCGCCAAGGCGCCACGATGATGTCGACTCGGCGGTGAATAGCAGGATTCTTCGCTTTTGGATTCTCTAGAACATCTTGCTCACGAGCAGGCCACGATGGGTCTTGCCACACTACAAGTGCTTTGTCAAGCGTGTCAAAACCCACGCCTGCTCCCTTTGCAGACCGGAAAGGCAGTGCATGTTGGCCTCGATTGGTGTTTGTCAAGCTCATCGTGAGCGTATGAGTAATCCACTCAGCTTCTTCCAATGACTCAACAATCTCTCGAACCAATCCCGCTGTACTCTCCAAATCGGGGTGTGAGACGATCATGTCCACGTCGCCAGACTCTGTCTTGCCACGTCTGTAACCGCCTACAATCGTCACAGTTACACGTTCGTCGCGAAGCTTTACTGCGTGTTCTCGGACAACGGCGGCGATTTGCTCAACCTCAGGACGTGGAATTGGCACTAGGAACTCGTCATAATACTTGATGCCGATCTGCTGCACTCTATCCAGGTCGTTCCAGCCATACTCGATGACGTCGTCTAACTCAGTCCAGTGATTATTGTAGTAGAAATGCCGCGCAGTCTTCGCTCCAACACCCCAGATATTGTAAAATGCGCGCAGAACCTTCATTGATTCGTCGTTCTCGTAATCTTCAACTGCCTGGATCTTGCCAGTGTTGTTCCATTCTACGAAAAGAACTGCGGTTTTCTCGTCACAACCAGGTAGTTGTGCTATCTCTCGCGGGTGACTAAGTCTATATGGATACGCAGCGATAGACGCGATAATGGTCGAGTATGCACGAACACCTATATCATCGTCTATCAGGGTTCGAGCAGTTCTAATCTTCTTGAGCTGGTCGAGAAAGTCTTCATTGGGTCCACTACCGGGTGTGAAGCGCTGACAAGCGTACTTGATGCCCTTCTTCACCCATTCGGGAGGTAGAGGGATATCGCTGTCTTCGCCTTCATACTCGCTTGTCGTTTGCTGCAGCAGATGCGCAGCTTGTGAAGCATATGAGTGACTGACGGGTTGCGACGAGCGGGCAAAAGCCTTACCGTCGAAGCGATTAGAGGTGTGGTTTCCGAATCGCCTAGGCTGATAAGTAGTTTTCTTCGAGGCCTTGGATGCATCCAATTTTGCGCGGTCTAAAATGTCCTGCACAGGATGTGGCCTTGTTGCCAAGAGTGTCTGAGACTTTGGCGCTGCTTTCTCGTGCGCACCAAATATGTCTTTGATAGACTTTGGATTCAATGATTTTGGTCTTTCAAGGACTTTGCCCTTGTACACTAAGTTGTCTCCCAGTGGAAGGAAATGGCCTGCAGTTACACAAGCTTCAACCCAGTCGAATTTGACGACCCAGATTAAATCGTCACTCGATGAAGTCTCAAACATGAGCGCAGCATATGAGCCATTGTCGGACTTCGCAGGCGATGATAGCTGAACGCGCTGCTTCTTAATATCTGTCGCTTCATCTTCAGTCTGTGAGTCGTCGCCAGCCTCGTCTTCGGTAGTAAAATTCACTTCATCCGCTGGTAGCCGACCTAATGTTCCACCAACTCTTCGTCTCTTGCTAGAGTGATTCTGTACTTTCACAGGACTTGCTGGCCGTTTCGGGGTAACAACTTCTTGGACAACCAATTTTCGAGACCTCAATTCAAACTCGGCTCTTCTCTTGGTACCCACCTTCCCGATGAAGACCTTCGCCCTCGCGACATCGGTAGTAAGCGGTGCGTCGTACTGGCGCAACGTTTCCTTGAGTGTCTTCACTTCATCGTCCTTCAGATGCGCAGTGAAAATCGCGATTGGTGGAAGTCTACTGAGGTCAAGGGCCTGTGCGGATATTGTGGATGTTGGTGACAGTGATCCTGGGCGCATTGTCTGGGATGATTGATCCTGATTGTCCATATCGGGTAATGTGATGCTGAACCGATAGCTAGGGTGGTCAAGACGTGTCTAAGAAGCGAGTTCTGTGTCTTCGACTGTCTTGTTTGGATGCCCAGCTGATCATCGTTTAAAAGTGCGAATATGTATGCGGTAGTATATGATGTCCAAGTGTATACTGTCCAAGTGAGTATGAAGCTTTTCCCAATGTCGCGCAACGCTGATGACGTTCGCGTGATGCAGAAGCTGGGAGTGTTTGCTTTGTTTGACCCGGATTGTTTCCTAGAGTCCGTGCGCACAGTAGTGTCATGCTAATGTTAGCGCCCGCGCTGACGCGCAATCCATCTGTGACATCTGTTTCAACCAAGTCCAGTCCAACGTCTTCCAGGCTAGATCTCCGGAATCCTTCAGCTCAACCGCCCGGCGTATTCTCTAACAGACTTCACATCCGCAAAGACTTTGGCATGACGATGACGTGGTAGGAATCATGCAAGTCGAAACATCGTGCCCAACCGGAGAGCCGGCGATCGAAACAAACTTATCCAGACCTGGAGTTTGGGGAAACATCAGCCGAATGGTTCTGGCTCTGGCTGGCTCTGGTCCGAAGGCATTGATGCATGCCTGGCTCCCCTCAACAGATCCATGGATGTCATGACTTCTCTTCCAACCACATTGGGCAGGTCGTCCACGCGTGTCACTCCCCCTGCCCTTGACATTGTCGAGGTCAAGCAAAATCTGGTTGAGTCTGCACAGGTGTCTTCAGAACGCGGTCTCAGCCCTGACTTTCTGCCCCAACATTACGGGCTAAAGATTGCGCGAACGCCTCCTCCTTGCCGCTGATCGTTGCCCTTTGGTGCGCGGACCGCCGTTTCGGAATGATTGACAGGAAGACGTAACCTCGACAGAAAATTGACCTGCCGGTTGGCGGATATATAGTAAGCTTGTATGGCTAAGATGCGGGTGATGATGCACTTCAGACGAACCAGTCTTCGTTCGCTACTACCCCGGCCGTTCTTGCAGCGGATATAGATGTGCATATTCCCTTGCGCCGCCACTCATTACGTGCCTTATCTTCTTGTCACATACTTGCGCTGATACTCGTCTTTCTGTTCTTCATTCGTTTTCGCTACTTTTGAGAAGAGCGCTGGTACCTAGTAGCTAGACTACGCCTATTCAGCTTTGACAGCTACACATTTCGATACGACTCAACATCTACAACAACCACAACATCTATCAGAACTTTCTTCTTTTACCACCTCAAAATGCGCTCCTTCATCGTCATGGCCATTGTGGCCCTCTTCGCTTTTGCTTCAGCAATGCCAATCTCACCATCAGCACCACGACTCCAGAAACGAGCTGAGCAGTTCAGACTACAAGGTCTAAGAGAGGTACATCATCCATTCACATGTCAGATGTTTTAAAGGAGTCCCATAGCTGACTTTCGTAGTTCGAAATCGCCGAGAAACTATCAGCCTCCGCATCATCATCAGACGTCGACCCATGGCGCATTCGATTGAACAACAAATTCCACGCTCTCTTCGATCCCACATCAACAGATGACGAGGAAAACCCCTTTGACGACGAGCAGGAGGACTTTTCTGGCGACGTCGCACCAGGATCCCTAGAATCGCCGCAGGTCCTTCCCAAGGCTTCAGAGGAAGACGGCTTCTTCGATAAGCTATGTGCGATGTTCCACCGCGCCGAGAGCAGTTTCGGGTACGAAGGAAAGGAGCTTGAGTTGCGCCGGCCTGAGGGTATCAGAGATTGGAAGCGATCATATGGAGGGTTCCGACGACGATAGAGTGCAATATAAGTGTTGTTTCGTGTTCTACCTTTATGCCGTAACAAAAGTCCAACAAGTCCAACAAGAGGCCTGGTATATTTCTGAATGAATCATAGTGATCGTGAAGACTACTGGCCACCCACCCTAATCATATCTGCGCCCGCTGAGTAAAGTAATAGTCTTATGACGATGCCACCAACGCCTAAAGCACCTCCTTATATACCGAAAAGGATGTGTCAACAACTAGACACCCATGGTGAAGTCATGTTCTATACCCGGTGTCACACTATGAGGTTGTTAGCTAATATCCGCTATTTTAAGATGAGTCGTGCTTACCTGGCCATGAACTTCAGGAAGACGACGAGATACTGGTCCACGCGGATAGCTACCTCGTCGTCACCACCCTCACTGAGTACTTCCCAATCATCCTTCGCCTCGTCGCCATCCTTGTTCTTGGCTTGTTCGGTGAGCTTGAGTAACCGTGTGTCATCGACGAGTGCTTCCATGCCGCTGTCGAGCTTGCTAACGTCCTTGCCTGCTTTGAGTTTGGCGAGCCGCAGCTTCAGGGCAGCATCAGCACGATCAAGCAGCACCTTCATGACGGATGCGTGTTTGCAAGGATGTACTGAGGCAGTCTTGAGAGGATTCTCAAAGAAGGGGAAGTCCTCGATTGTGACAGTCTTGTCCTTGTAGTCTCCTACAATGTCCTCCATCATCTCTTGTGGTTTGAGTGGAACGGATGTGGAGCCGTAGCCTGAGAGATATAATCGCGGCGTTCGGTAGTGGGCGGAGTATGTGATGTAGAGGGTGTATGTTCGGAGGGGCCTAGCAGGTGTCTGTCAGTCACCTGCGCGTCAGTAGAGAGAAGAAGTCTAAGCTTACGCCTGTGTGTTCGACTCGGCCTTTGGATCTCTTATGATGGCTTCTTCGTCGTCTTCAATATCCTCCATGTCGGGTATCTCGTCATCCTCTTCCGCCGCGCCTAGGTTGCCACTCTCGTCGACCGTCCGCACGTCGCGCACCTTGGCTTCCTGGCTTGCCGCCATACCCCCAGTCCTCAGCCAACCGTCATCGTCGGTCGCGCCTTCTCCAGCAGTAAAGCCGTCTCTTACTATGGTCTCATCTTGGCCAGCTTCACCCGCGAAGTTGTCATCGAGCCGTCGGTGGCAGGGCACGCCGCGCGTAACTAAGAACTGCTTTCCCTCAGGCAGATAGGATACGCGCTTCGCAGGTGATGTCGCATCCGCCCACTGCCATGAAGGAAACTTGAAGACGAGAAAGTCTCCTGCAAGGACAAACTCCTCTGGTGTTATCTGGCCGGTCTCGCGGAACGTTGATGTGTGGCTGATAGCGGCGGTCCGCTCCCGGAACGTGTCGATGTAGGACCTGACAAAGTTGTAGGCCATCTTGAGCTTGTGAGTTGGGTTCGTTTACAGAGTTCGAGGCCGTTTGTAGACGTGTAGTGATGTTCTGTAATGTGTCTGCTTACGGTGTTGGAGGGGCGCGCTGCCGTGGGGTTGAAGGCTGCGGGACCGATGTCACTGCCTAGCGTGATGGCACAAGCCACACCTGGGCAGCGATCATTCACCTGCCTCACTTGTCACCCGACAACTCTCGACATCGTCATCCCTTGTCTTCCTTTGTGGTGACGCTTCATCACTCCTCTTCCTCACATGATGATGGCGCATTCATGATCTGAGGCTGTCACGCACTCGCATTCCACATGGCACAACGACGCAGCGCTGCCCAGCGCTGCAGCCACATGCTGTATGAGTAACAGCGAAAAGCCCTCGAGGCCTCGCCAAGCATGACATCAGTTATAGCAGAAGTGGATATCACTATGCTGCTTCCCAGGTCTCGCGATAGGCTCTCGGAGCTACCTCCGTGTCTCGGTGCGGCAATACTTCAATAGCACAGGGAAGATTCGCTGTCGACAAAGTCATCGGAAGATGCCTGCGTTTGGGATTTCAAGAGCCGTAGTACCGTCTGCAGGTATCCCTAAGACTGGTACGACATTCCGCGCGCGAGATAGGTACAAGATGTGCCCAGCGCTCCTTCGGGACTCCGCTACACAACTTACGCAGACAGCTGTCGCCCACGCTCCCGTGCGAGGGCATGGAACTTGTAGAACTATCGGCAGATATCTAAAACCATCGGCAGATGTCGATGCGAAGCCTTTTAGCGACAGAAACGGAGACCAAGGCAACAAGGCAAACATTATCGCGACACAGCATGGGACGCCTTGGAAGTCTTTTTTTCATGTTACCTCTCGAGCGACGGCTCGCATGGGCAAGTGCGCTCGTATCACTTGCAGTTGACCAATGCGTGCGTTCTCGTGAGTTTCCTATCAGGTCACGTTTGTATCGACACTTTGGGCATGCTCCGCCTCTGCACACCGTTGTCTCAACTGAACGTAACGGCGAACTCTCGCGGAACCATTTCCAGCCTCGGCCTTTTGGTTACCCTGAACGTCATGTCCTCTTCTGACGACACGTGCTCGCAGATACGTAAAGGCGAGTTCAATTCCAATGGTCGTACATGTCCAGATTTCTTCTTTTCTCGGCTCATCTTTGAGCGAGCGTAGCTGGAAATGATCGCGAAGGAAATGTGAGGCAAGGAATTGAACACATGTTCATCAAGTTCTTACTAACCTCGCTCGGCATCCACCACATTCAATTGCTCTGACCACACCTTCGACCATCTAAACCCAAAACTGATCGTTGTTCCTTACCATATGTTGCAGTTAGCCTCGCCGTTCGGTGTTCCCTTTGGTGCAACTTCAAGGTGGACTCATAACATCCCAGGCTGGAGGACTCACTCTGGTCAAAGCGGCTTCCATTAGACTAGCGTATGTGGTAGCCTACGCACATGAAGGTGAGATTCGTGAGACTACGAATCGTGCATGCATGAAAAATTTGCCAGGGCGAGATTTGTCAAAGGTTCGATCAAAAGAACGGCAACCTACGACCCACCTTTGGATAGCCCCACATGTTCATGCATAAGCTCGAGCTGGTGCACATGCTCCATCGCCAACACAATCATCAGATCCGCGTGTTCAACAATCGTTATGGCCATCAACAATCTTCAGCATGTGTAACAGTTTTACCCGTATCATCCGGTTGAACACTTGCGATCGGTAGATCGTGCATAGTACCACTGACCCGAAGCCTTTGCACAGTTGGGGATGAACTCAATCTCCTACGCTCTTTGAGATCAATATCGCTGTTAATCGCTCGAAACCTACCAAGGGCGTTGTATCACATCGCAGGCTACATACATGCATGTCGCATCATTTTCAGGCACTGGCAGTGCTCATATGTTTGTGCCATTGAGTCACCAAAGTCGCTGTGTTCCGTACATGCATCACTTCTCGAAAGGAATGTACTTTTGGATACAAGCTGACTCGCCATAGCTGCATAGAGCTCATAGATCTTCGCTCCAAACAGCAATATCATTCGCGAAGAGATTACTCTGTGCTGCCAACAAGCACATCTACGATATCTTTGAGGGCACTATGGTGTACAGCGTCTATACCAGTCACAATATCGCTCACACCTGTAACATGGAGAAAATGGCGCACAGTGAAGGCGAGCGATTTCGTGCGTCCATTAAGACTGTACTAATGGTTTCCATATCATGTCGTCCCAAGCGTCTTATTCTAATTGACTATAAAGCCTCACTAGTCAATAGTAATCTGAGTGGATATCATCGGACACCAACGCTATTTCCACTGTCTCTAGTTCTAGTTGTAAATCGTAAAAGCCACTATGTTTTGACTCTAGATACACCAATCCAACATACCGTCGTTACATACCTCCAATTAAGACCAATTATCCTGGATAATGGCGGATCCTAGTTCGACAAACGATCCTTCTCAGCCACGATGTGGAGGTCAACGTCTTCAAAATATACCGTTTGGTAGTCACGTATGTGAGATGCTTCTCTTTAGACCCGATACCGCTGATGCATTGTTATGAAACACAGTCCTTGGCAAAACACTCCGACCACCCGATAGCCATACCGGGTAAACGCCTGAACTGCGATTACTTCGAAAGTTGATAATTCGTTCAATCGTCCGGCACCGGCCCGTTGGCTAGAGGAGAGAACCACAGACCATGATAGCCTCACTGCCAGACCTTGGCCAAACTAAACGATATCCATCTCTCTGTTCTCACGTTCGCGTCGCATGGTGGCATAAATTGGGTTTCCGCCTACGTTATCTCCTTCCGCACAAAAGTAAGCTCCACATACAGTCGTTCCAAAGAACTGCACCTTTCGTACTTCGTGATTGTCGAATATATATGAATCAAGTAACGGTTGATATAACAGTCTTGGTATTTTGCCTTCTTCCACTTCATGAACCACGCAAAGCGGTGTTTTCTCTTATTCTAGTCCGAGGCATGTCGTGTCGCCACGCTCGCACCATTCCCGTTACGCGCAACAGTGACACGAACATGGACAGATGGATAAGTGACTACATTACCATTGAACACATGACTTTAGTCTCCCCGTCCGTTAAAACAACCGAGACGAACGATTGGCTCATGCTCTTTCTGTTTGAGAAATGAAAGACGAAAAACCGCTCATTGTTCCAATCGTCTTCTCACTCCTGCGAGCACAGCAGCCGTATGTTCGCTGGTAATATCACTATACGGCAGCAATTCTTATCGGTGCCGGTACCGGCCAGGAGCGAGGACGCTGTGAACTACGCCCTGAGACACTCTTTAGTCTGCACCGAAATAACCGAGGCTAATGAAATCTTAATCGCAATGATAGTTGCAGTAAATTCGCAACTCGCCACGCAATTGTACCAGTACAGTTTAACTAATACCCAATACTCCACGTTGTAGGCACGATGCTCATCATTATAGTACACACTAGCATCTCTTCCCCCAACCCCCACGCCACCGCTACTGCAAGTCCTTCCTTGCACTGCTTCCTCGTGACACGAAAGCATAGGCAATGGGAAACCGATAAGAAACACGATCACGATCGTCTCGAAATACACTTCGTTCCCTCGTGCCGCTCGAGCCGTGCCGGTGGGACTGCGCGCGTACGGTGCTCATACGTAAAATGTTCATAGCACAACCCAGCCCAAACAGTTCCTTTCGCACAACTGACAGTACTGTTGGGGGCCCGCTGTGGGGATTTTGCGAAGTCTAAATGAATGAAGAGATCAATACACAAGTTTTTGTGGTTGAGAGATTGTGTGGCGCAGGATGTCTGGCAGTCAATGGTGTGTGTTGAAGGGCTCATGTGTAATGTTTGATTTCGTTCAATGAGCAAAATTGATGCATATTGTGACTGTCACGCTTGGCACGCTAACTTTGATGCAGATATAATCGCTTTCTTTTACGCCCGACAATATATTCTCCTTGTCGCCCGCTTGCACCTCGGTTCAGCTTCTCTCCTCTCTAATTCAGCCCCCCTAGTATGCTTCTGTTCAAGATGGCTACCGGCAAGGCTTTTAGCGAAATAAATACTACCATGAGCGAGGAATTTGACCGTCTGCGCTGGTTTATTTTCGAGGACACATCCAAGGTACAAGTCGCAGACGATTCAGAAAGCATCGAGCCCGAACTATCGCCCTTCTTAGGTCATCCAATTGCCTCGAAATCGGCCACGGAGATTCCCCTTCATGAAATTGCCTTCTGCTCCGATGATCTGCAGAACTTCGAAACAGCCGATTTTGAGGCGCCGGAGCCTCTGCTTGTCAGAAGAGCCGATGGCAGTGTCGTCACTATAGGAGACGTTGTTGAACAACTTTCTCGTTATTTTGTTACGCACAAAGACGAGATACTCAAGGCCAAAAGTGCATTTCTCCAGAGGACTCACGAAATCGCGGAAGGCGGGGAGCATGTCCTTGGAATTCCAGCATACAAAGACGTACTCGCGCCACCCGACACCAAAGTCGCCTTTGAAGGATTCTTCGGTGGTATCTCCACCGGCCATTACGCTTTGCATGTGCTGTTGTAGGCTGATGGTGAAGAGGGAAAGACCCTTGATTATTTTTGGAAGAGTCGAGCTGATCCAGTAGTTTCCTCTGTGATCCATCCGAGATTGGAAGGTGGCTCGCTCAGGCGGTCAGTGGCAATCTCAAATAGTCTTAATTCATGTTAGTATTGGTTGGTTGCTGTTTTTTCTGCATCAGCTTCTACCAGACTCATGTTTTGCCCAAACTAAGGCGTGGAGACAAGCGTCAAGAAGAGACTGTGCACTGCATTCGAAGACGAGCTTCGTAAAGGCTGCAGCACAGGCTTGACATTGTAAGAGAGAAAATGCTGTAGACCTCCTGAAGAGAAAAACCTCTTGACTAGACTGTCAGTCCGTACCGTAATCGAGATGGATTAATGGACTCTGGTGTAGACTTGAGTTCTAGAACGCCCCTTGCCTCCTCTCTGTCAAGCAATAGAGTCTTCATAGATACGAGATGCACAGCGATAGTGTAGGTAGAGGTATATTGCCTTGTAAGACTAGAGACGAACCGCTGTCGAGCTACAACAGCGGTAAGGTAGGCTAATATACTGCGATTGCTTGGCATAACGGCCCGAACGGGCCCGGAGTAGCCTAGTGCCTGACACTCTCTACGTCGAAACCTTAACACAATAGTAATCCTCTCCGAAAAACTTTGTCCCACAATTCTCACCGTTCGGCCCAAGCACCGTATTCCATTGATACAACTGCGCCGGCGTAATTCCATTCTGTGTCGCAAAATCATAGCACCCAGTGCCAGCCGGTGGCTTAGCATACCCAGTACATGATGCGACGATGCCGCTTTGCGTGGGTCCAGGCGCAGAGACAACCTGTTTAGTAGTGCTGGTAGAAGACTGTTGACTCCCGACACCGACACAGTAGTATTCGCCCGCCTGGAATTGGTTCCCGCAGTTCTCGCCATTGGACCCGAGGACGGCGTTCCATGAGTACAGCTGTGCGGGGGTAATGCTATTTGCGGTCGCGAAGTCATAGCAGCCCTGCCCGCTGACGGGTAAGGCATATTTGTTGCATGAAGAGACTATGCCACTTTGAGTCGGCCCAGGAGCGGTGGTAGGGCGGGAAATGGTCGGGCTAGACTGCAGTGTTGTTGTCGGACCGCTCCCTGATGAGCCCCCGATTACGACACCAACACAGTAGTAGACTTTGAATTGGAACATGGTAGTGCAATTCTGGCCATTAGGTCCGAGGATTGGATTCCATTCATACAGCTTTTCTGATGAGAGGCTGTTCAAGACGGCAAAGTCGACGCAGCCGAGCCCTTCGGCTGGTGTCTGCCAGGCATTGCATATCTTCGAGACACCTGACAGTGTTGGACCCGGTGCTGCTACCGGCGTTGTCGGCCCTGGTGAGATGGTTGTTGTTGGAGTCACAACTCCACCTACATATCGTTAGGGGTTATCCCGTGAATAGTCACAAATGCACTTACCAGAGCCTCCACGTTGCTGGTTCCCTGCATCGGCGTCTGTTCCCAATGGTGGTGGAGCTAGTGTATACGTCCCTGTCACACCCGGAGGAGATGTGCACACGTACTGCCCGGCTTGTAGCGCATCGCAGAGCCCTATGATGTTAGGATTCCAGCCTTGGAATTGCACCGTGGTGACATTGAGGCTACTTGCCATTGTGTCACTATCGCGCGTTAGCAACTTCGCTCATGCTTCTTGTCATTGTTATTGCGATGGGCTCACCAAGTAGCGCCAGATGCGATTCGCTGTAGCGAGCACCCTAAAGGAAAACAGGATGTTGTTGAGATACTGCAGGTATCGCTGCCTGAGATTGCCTCTAAATCTCCGGTTGTGATGCCGTACTTCTGGGACAAGGTGTCACACCCTGTACCAGAGCTCAATGTCTGGCCTTGTCCTGCAGCACAGCTCGTGGCAGCTGGAGGGGTTGTCGTTGTCGTGCTAGTTGGCGTTGGAGCAGGTGCTAAGTCCCATGAGGTAGATGCACGAGTCGTGATAGCAGGGATTGAAGTATTACAAACATCCGCGATGTCCTGCAACTGACCTACGAGATAGTCGGCGTGATCAGTGTCAGCAAAGAACTCCGAGGTGACTTTAGTATAAAGCATTTGCACAAAGCAATCGTCGCATAACTGATGGTTGGTCGTCAGCATGAAGCAAATGTTGAACGATTGGTGCTTTGCCAACTTACCACATCATCGGAATATAAATTGGCCATTCGTTCGTTGACAGGATCGATGCCGGTTCCGTCACCAGTGCACGACGGATCAGATGGGTTTGTGTCGCAGTCCACTTGATACACATCTGCTCCAATCCAGTCCTGCGACTCTACCAAGCACCATGTAGTATTCTCACCCAGTCTAGACATCACTTTGTCAGAACAGATATGACTTGGTAGCTCGATATTCTTACGATGAAGATAGACAAGCTGTGTTGATGCCGTCCACATATCGGCCAGCAACCGAATCAGCGGGAATCCATTTCCCATAAGAATTCAACCATTGCCCATCGCATGCGCTCATAACATTGTTATACCAGAGTGCTGCAGCTACAGAGCAGTTGCCGAGGCAGAGGTCAGTGACATTGTCTTGCTCCCACCAGAACATGTCATAGTCTACGACCATACCGAAAAGGTCTGGATCGCATTCTGGGAGCGTTTGGTTTCTGGACATAAGGTCAGTAGATGAAAGAAATACGAGAGAGGAACTGCGCTTACAAGCCTTGAATGCATTCAGTCGTGACACCGTATGCCTTGCTTAACTTGATTGGATCAATGAATGCAGGATACAGACTGAACTGCGATGCTCCGAGCCTTCCAAACGCCAAAAGGCCGAACAAAACATCTGAAAGCATCGCGAATGATTAGATAGAAGAGCGAGTGTATCGGTTGACTTTTCAATGTTCTAAGAGCAGGAAAGCGTGAAGTCGTGTGTCAATGCAAGCTTGCCATTCTCGAGATTCAGGCAACCCAGATATATTCACCTTCCTAACTTGTAAGATCAATTCATAACAGGGTGGCAGAGTATCTCCTTGCTGCTGCATGAAGAAATTTGTTCTGGGGATTATTGTCAGACTACTCACGGTTATATCAAAATGGGGCCGCAAACTTAGCTCAAATAGGCTGCGGCACGGCACGGAGTGATCTAGCGTGGTCTAACGGGCTGACGCAAGCAGTTCATTGCCCGTATAATTAATCTATCTCTCAATCACATGCTTGGCCCCTGGAAATCATCTGTGATAAGCTTTCCAAGGGTCGCCTTGAGTTCTGCCAAGGAAGCTTGTGGCTACCACATTATTTGAGGTAGGGCCACAGCAGCACTATTTTGCTATCTTCAACGCAAGAGCTCCTCTTTCTCTTTATTCTTTTACTTGACAGTAAGCTCATTGCAATGAGAGACAGCATCCTGTCACTTGTTGTCATCTTGGCATATGGCATTATTCTTTTAGCAACTGTAACTTCCGCTATCCCTCCACATCTTGGCACACATAATCATATCCATCCTGTGCATTTGCTTTCGGAGCCAAGATTACTCCAAACTCGCGATGGAAACGGTCTTCCTACAGGCACCTGCAATGCGCAGACAGAATGCCCCATTGCCGCATGCTGCGGTACGAACGGATTGTGTGGCTATTCGCCTTCGGAATGTGGCCAAGGAAACTGTACTTCAAAGTGCGATTCCAAAGCTGAGTGCGGTCAGTACGGAGTAGCTGGAAAGCAGAACTGCCCTTTGAACGTGTGTTGCTCTAAGTTTGGGTATGTTTGATCTGTTGGCTCGCGAACCTTCACTAATTGCGCCATTAGGTTCTGCGGTTCAACCGATGACTTTTGCGCTGTAAGTGCTGGGTGCCAACAGGGCTTCGGCGGCTGTGGACCACCAAAACGGCCTTCATGTGGAGGTGGCACAAGTGCAAATAAGCGTACAGTTGGCTACTATGAGGCATGGTCCAATACGCGCAAATGCTCCAGTGTCGCTCCTGAAGATTTAAACCTCAATGGTTTCACGCATATAAATTTTGCGTTCGCCTTCTTTGATCCATCATCATTCCAGATTGCTCCAATGGACGGCAAGACTGGGGCGCTATACAACCGATTCACTGGCCTGAAGAATACCAATCAAGGTCTCAAAACATACATCTCCGTTGGTGGCTGGTCGTTTACTGACCCTGGCCCTACGAGGACCGCCTTCAGCACTATGGCTAGTTCTAGTGGAAACCGAGCCAAGTTCGTCAGCGATCTGATGAGCTTCATGAACGAATACGGTTTCGATGGTGTAGATCTTGACTGGGAGTATCCCCAAGCCGATGACCGCGGAGGTGCTGAGGGTGACAAGGCCAATTATGTAGCGCTTGTGGCACAGATGCGCGCCGCTTTCGGGTCAAAGTATGGCATAACGGTGACGCTGCCTACTTCGTATTGGTATCTGCAGCACTTCGACCTCAAGGGTTTGCAGCCCAATGTCGATTGGTTCAATCTGATGAGCTACGACTGTAAGTCTTACAACACCAAGTCGAGCTTATCCCAGCTAATTGGTGTCTTCCGTTGCAGTGCATGGCATCTGGGATGCACAGTCTAAAGCGATAGGTCCCTATATTGCACCACACACCAATATCACCGAAATAGACCTTGGCTTGGATCTGCTATGGCGAGCTGGCGTGGATTCAAAAAACGTCGTGCTCGGCCAAGGTTGGGTAAGTGGACTCCTCCGTTCGTGTTTGTGGCCTCATGAGCTCACGCAAACTAGTACGGGCGAAGCTTTACGCTCAAGGACTCGTCCTGTAACACCCCGAACGGAATCTGCCAGTTCAGTGGTGGCGCCAATCCTGGGACTTGTTCAAATGCAGCTGGTATCCTAAAGTGAGTCTTTCGAGACGTGCTCTTTCTAGATATACTCTAATGACATCTTCAGCCTCCAAGAGATCAAGGACATCGTGTCCAAAAACAACCTCAAGCCAACCTGGGATAAGGTAGCCGGCGTTAAGTGGATCGGCTGGGACAGTAATCAATGGGTCAGCTACGACGACGATGACACTTTCCAGCAAAAGCGTGATTTCGCAAACGAGCGCTGCCTTGGAGGGACCATGGTGTGGGCTATGGATCAGGTCGACCAAAAGGCAGACAACGGTCTTGCGCCGGCTCCAGGCGTGACGACTTCGGACCAGGAAGATGCGAAACAAAAGACTGGAGATTTGGCAGCTGGAATCTCGTGCTACACCACTGACTGCAATGTACCTTGCATGAAGAGCACAAATCAAGTAGCGCAGATGAATGGGCAACCGGGCCAGCTGTCTACAAACGACCGCTGCGCAAAGGGACAGTACCGCAATTTATGCTGCGCGAGCGGGACCACCATGGGGAAATGTCAATGGTAAAGTTGGCCGACCATGTTCGCGCATTTGCAATGCTAACGTCTCCGTAGGAGAGGCTATCGCGGTGTCGGTCTCTCGTGCATGGGTGGTTGCGCCGACGGTGAAACGGAAATAGTAAAAGACACCAACAACCATGTCAAAAAGAAGGATCAAGACTGCAACGGTGGTCTTCAAAGCTTTTGTTGCAAAGGATTCAAACCAGCTCCGAATGTCGGGGACCTTGGCAAGATGGCGGCCGACGCTGCGAAGGCGGCAGCGGCGGCAGCTGCTGAGCAAGCCGCGTTGGACGTTGCCGCGAAGGCGTTCTGCCGGGTCGCTGTACCCGCGCTCCTAGCACCACTTGAATTGCTTGAAGATCTGATTCCCATAGTGGGAGAGATTCTCGACATTGCCGAGATCGCTGCGACGCCAGCATTGATCCAGGCGTGTGTGAAAGGCGTGGAGAAAGAAGGTAAGGCTGAGTTCAAGGTGTTTGGCAAAAAGCACACTATTTCCGTAAGTATCTCCCTTCGAGAGTATAGACACGTGACATGGAGCGACATGAGCTAAGTTCAGTGCAGATGAACAGCGCAAAGCCCAGCGAGACGCGAGCTCCCGAGTCCAAGCACACATCTGCAAGCACAAGCCGCGACAGCTGGACGAGTTGTTCGTCCAAAGCCGCACCTCGAGCTGATGAGCCGCGGCCGAAGCGTCAATGCCGTAGAAAGGAGAAACATGTCATTCGAACAACAGCCATACAAGATGTTGATACAAACACCAAGCCCGTAGTGCTGGACTGCGTAAATAATCCACAGCCATGTCTGCATTACAGATCGGTCATTCGACACAACCAGGCCACAGCTTATGACGTCAATACTTGCCCATATCTGGGTACAGTTGCAGGACGGGGTCCCGATCTAGCAGCCAAAACAGACTGGGAAGCCCAACACCCGAAAAACAAATGGCGCTTGGCGGTGTCTGACGGGGGGTTGATACCCAATCGAAGACAGGGCCATGAGCTGAAAGGCTGCGAAGCCGACGAGTGGCCACCGTACATATTGTACCACGAGGTTGATGGTTACAACAGAGTTATTGATCCAGCCTTCGCCGCCCGTCGTGCCCCAATCAACAAACCGCAATTCATACGATATCTCGATGGAGTCGAGAATGGCAAAGTCGGTAATAACTGGCGTTGCAAGGAGATTCCACAGCGCCATAGCACAAACTCCGTCACGCACTCGATCGTAGGAAACGATGAGACGACGACCTTCTTCACTGACTGGACTGGCGTATACACACGAACCGCATACCGTATCGACCCTGTTGTAGTAGATGCAAATAATGATGACGGCATTGGCGCAAACGATTGCTATCCGAGAGGTGTCAACAACGACAACCGATACCAGGGCTACGCGTTACTTAACGATGACCCATGGTACGGAGACAAGCAATATCAAGCTAGGTATTTAAGGGACCCCGTCAATGCAAAGCGCAGCTGGCTTGATCCGGAGGACATCGTTTTTGTGGCAGACAATTCGAGCCGCAGGATCACCGATAAGGAGTACGAAGAGCTACAGCAGAGGTTGGGCTTGGAAAATTGTTCCAGTGGCGACTGCGATGACGATGATGCGATGGAAGGCCCTGTCCTAATTCCTACAACGCTGACAGCAGAGGTGATGCAGCCTACGGGGACTGTTCCAATGCCGCAGGATAGCGCCGGTGACGCTAAGCTACCACGAGAAACCTACAGCTTTTGATAGTATTCATCTCGTGCTGTGTATCTGTTAGGACAAATAGCACTGTAGCTGTAGATTTGGTTCGCTTGCTAGTGTTCGTAGTACTTGTCCCTGTAACATGCAATATAATGGTTTTCGCCAACGTGTGGTTGGTACAGTACTAGCGCGCAGTTACCTAAGTAGTCAGAAAGATTTGGCGCATGAGGTGGAGGACCGTGGGGTAACTTTTGCGACATTGCAATGTAGAGCATGATTAGACACCACCCCAGACAAGATGCAGTTAAATTAATGACCCTAGACTAGAGTAAGGCACCCGGGCGCCAATTAAAGCTTGGTAAAGCTTAGCCACAAGCGTCTGACGAACGGGTGCTTAAATAGACACGGCCCAACCTCCCATGCAAGTGAGGTACACACCTGTAACACTCAACAACACAATGTCGACATCCTTCTCAAGTCAAGCCTTAGCAACATCGGACCTGCAGACCGAAGTGGCTACTGCACTGCGGGATTTTTATAACTTCCTTGCTCGACTCCCATGGCTTGAGCCATCTGATGTCCTGGAGCCGCCAGCGCAAGGCTGGCCTAACATCACTAGCGATAACTTCGCCCCGCTGCACAAGAACAACGCAGTGATTGAATTGCTCAGGCATCTACCGTATCTTCGCATGGACGGCCCATTCGAGAGATATACCTTAGTCTGGTCGACTTATCCGTGTGATTACCGGCGCGACTACTTCCATGAAGTAAAGCCTGGAATCGATTGCTGGGAGATACCGGACACGACCGGGCGCGACTATCATTTTCCGGAATGGGTTGTTCCGCTTACGTATGGGAAAGTACACGGGCAGTATATTATGCTCGATACTACAGATGGTATATATAAATTTCTCTTGGCCAAAACTTGCTTTCTTGTGCGTCCCTTGATAACTGACCGTTTCTGGTCTACGATTAGGCACAGCGATGAGCTACCAAGTGCAGGCGCTCCACGATCCAGTGTTTGAAGCCGATGACCCTCGAGCCTGGCGCAATGAGTGTGCAAACCCTGGAAGCACTGCACGTCTCAGCGATATACTTAACGAGTGGAGGGATGGTTATGCGCAGCTGCGTTTGATTGGTCAGACCAACGGTAACGGACCACTGCATGCCGAAACTTCTGGCGAGGAGTATAAGGTTCGAATAGACTTCCGCCTTTTTCGATGAATAGCAGATTGACTAACAATCTGTTCAGGAACTGCGGGCGCTGATGCTGAGTCATGGGTGGCCCGATAACTTTGATCGCGAGAGCTGTAGGAATGCTATGCTAGAAAGGGATCAGGAGAGATTGAAGTAACAATCTAATGTCGCCGCCTCTATCCTCTCTAGCCACGCCCTTCTCCTCGCCCTAACGAACAGCTCCGTTGGCCGACTTGAATAGAACTGCGGATTAGACGCTACCACTGCCGCGAAACGCGGCCGTGGGATATTCAAAGTTTAAATGATCAAGTCCTTCACATACGACCATAGGACACTGAAAATTAGGCTTCCCGTCCGCTCAGCCATATACAAGCAGTGTACCGGCGGATTAGTAGTTAGGTGGGTGACCACTAGCGAATCCCCGCTGTTGTATGTTTTTGCCTTTTTGCTAACATGAATGCAGTAAGCAGTTTCTTTTGAGCCGATAATGAACAAATAGAGGAGCAGGTGTGGACAGTGGGCTGTGGAGAAAGACGGAAGTGTGTGGGCGAGTAGTTGACAAGAAGATACTAACCATTCGCCGTTCAAATGTGTATCTGTTTTGCGAGTTTAGTCCGTCAAACTATACTTAAATTCCTGTTTTGGTAACGGGAATCAGAATACAGAAACAGGTACAATACTCAGCGCTGTCTTAAAAATGTAGCAGAAAGATAGCTGCATATTAGAGGACTCCTTCTCTCGTCCTTTTTTTTATATAATCTCTTTCTCTGTATCTATCACACTACTAATTACCTATCGTGCGTCCACACTTAATCTTACTATATCTTTGTTGAATCTCCTGTTCCGCACAGCCTCTGCGACAGTGCTTCGTAGGCAAGCGTTCATTCCTCACTCAAGAGCTCCTTGAAAGGGAAACGTTCTGTTATTAGATCACTACTTAAATGTGGGCAAAATGACTAAGTCTTTCGATAATATATTGCTGCAGCTTTATATAGTAACTACATCAAACTATACCGAGAGCGCAACCAAACCAACATACAAGCATAGCATCCCTCCAGCTACCCCAAGTCACCGATCCCCCGTCTCGATGGTACTGCAGAAACTTTCACTCATCACAAATCCCCGATGGCCCCGTACGACGACTGCCATAGATGCCCTTAACCAGGCTCTTTAGTTGCTTGGTGATAATTCTGCGCACCTTCGAACCAGGAAAGTGAAGGTGGAGGCGGCTTCGCAGCTCATGCAACTATGCAGCAGCACTTTTTCTGGAGTTTCAATGTGCTGCATCCGTCGCGGCTCATGTGAGAGAACCCTCGCTTGCCGCAATGATTCTCGCACTTGCCGCTCCAGAAGGTCGCGCACTGCGAGGCGTGGAAGCAGTTGTCAGCGCGGGCTTCGATGTTCGCCTCGGCGGCGTCCATGTCACTCGCGTGTGGCACGGCGAAGGCGGTGGCCGCAAGGGTCGCGATGATGAGGGTGAGCTTCATGGCGGAGTCGAGTGGGTGTTGGGGTAATTGACTAAATGAGATTTCTGCCAAGTGTAGATGCGATAGTAAGGGCTGTTACTGCCAATGAGTTTGTATGAGAGGTGAGGATGGATGATCAAGTACGGGAGAGCCCTGGCATACTTATACTTCAATCCGAGACAGTGATGTGTTCAGATTAGGCAGCTCATATCCTCAACCGAAGCTTGCGATTGTTCTATTCAGAGAATAGCTCCGAGGAAGCACAGAACGTACAGGCGTATGTGGGAGAAGGCCGTTGCGCTCGTCGAAGCAGTTCACCTGCATGTTCTCACCTGAAGCTCGCGAACCCTTCTATTCGGGGAATGGCTCTTGGCTTCATCGCATTTACGTAAGGGAGTATAGGGTGTGCAGGCGTTAGCGAGAGAATACGAGTGCGCTCGTCGAAGCAGTTAATGCCAGGCCAGGCAGTTCATATCCTCAGCTGAAGTCAATCCTAGACGGTGGTGTGTTCCAGACCATGCAGTTCATATACTCAGCTAACGGTCGTGAAGCTTCCTAATGAGCTGAGGCTCTAGACCTTTCTGATCAGGGGATGACTCCGAACTTCATCACATCCGCACATAGGGTGTATATGGAAGCACAGCGTGCGCAGGCGTAGGCGGGAGAGGGCCGCTGCGCTCGTCGAGGCATGCTATCCGTTCTCTAGCGCCGTGGCAATATCCCGAAGTAAGAGCTGTCCTTAATCAACCACAACTTTCGATTTTCCAATAAAGAACATGACATTAGGCATAGAAAACTCGCAGTGCCGGCGTCGTGCTTCTGGTGGTATTTGGAAAAAAAGTATAGTTATGTCTACACTGCTTGTAGCGTGGTTGATGAACTACCCACTATCAGCTTGCTTCTAACTATTTCGACGCCACCGTCATTCAAAGGTTTACTCGACCCACCCAACTAAGCCAAAGGTGGAGCGGGTACCTCTTTGCCTGGCCCGCCAAGCACGCACCCCGCCAAGTTCGAAGTAACTAGTAGTCCTCCTGAGGCTGGGATAACATGGGGGCCAAATACAAAGTTTCGACTAGCTGCAAGCCCTGGTATTGGCGAGTTATTCTTGGGCCGACAATGAACAAGTAGAGGAGCAGGTGTGAACAGTGGGTTGTTGAGAGCGGAAATGAGTGGTCGAGTGGTCGAAACAAGATACGCATGCAGGTGGGTGCATCAATGGCAAGTTATATTATGCAGCCAAAATCGCCCAAGTAAACGGTTACGCAAAGCTAATAGGCGTCAGAAAGGAGAAACATTTCGATCTTGCAGACTTGTCAGCAATGCCTCTGAGTAAAGAGAGTGGCAGAACTACCATTGATAGATCGTTGAGGTATCTTAGAACGCCGTAAATCGACCATTTTGCTTCCACCGCGGCTCTTGAGATTGATGCCACGACGCCCAAACTCCATGCTTCCTTCTCATGCTATCCCCATGCAACCTCTTCTTCCCACATTCCCTTAGCTTCATCTGTTCCAGTAAAAGCTTCTGTAACCCATGTCATATTCGATGGCACCTAAGACGGCGACACAACCCGCTCCATCAATGATTCCTAAAATTCTTTTTCTGGTAGAACAGATCTGTCCTACTACTACCCAGATTTATAATCTTGGGACATCCGTCCCGGTCCTTCTCTAGGCGTGTACACTCGAAGCAGTAGAAGGCGTCGGAGATGCCCTCACCGCCACAGACGACGCACTTGTTCTGGTAGTTGCCGAAGGAGCATTCGTCGCAGATGCGGGCGAGGGTGGTTGGGCGCACGTAGGAGTCGCATACGGGGCATTTGCCGTCGCACTTATCGCAGAGACGGCCGATGGAGATGCCGGATTGCTTGCGGCACATTACGAGATCGCTGCATTGGCAGTCAGTATATGCGACTGTTTGGGTTGGATGAAGGTACTTACGGATGATGGCGAGACATGGCGGAGGGTTACGAGTGTAGTAAAAGTTGAGATTCGTAGATGGCAGGTTCGACGGAACTGTGTATATCGCTTTGTATCTCCGAGAGAAGTGGTGTGCGTGGTGGCGCGTAAATTTGGGGCTGGAAGTTTGGATGCAAAAGAAAGACAGTCGTAACTCGACCTAGGGAGCTTCGGGGGTCCGCTGAACTCGTGATCCGTGCGCGAAGCTTCCATCGCGTTACTAAGTTCCCTTGCCTTGCGTCAAACACCAGCAACAGCCACCCGTGATTTCTTGTTTCTGCTAAATAAACTACAGAAGGATCTAGAAAGACTAACAGACCACGCGCGATACCGCCATGGACGGCCCCATTGCATCGGCTGTAGTCCTTCCGGATGATCTATTACAGCCAGCCTCGCCCCCGGTGAACGGCCACAAGAGACGCCAGGAATCACTATCAGAAGACGCTGCAAAGCGACCGCGACTCGACGAGGACACTGCAACCAGCGATAGACGTGACTCTATTACCAAAGACTCCAAGGACACCAAGCCTGCCCCAGTGCGACGCGAGAGGGGACGAGAGCGCAGACTGTTTGGCGCCGCTTTGGGTGCACTCTCACAGAATACTGCTACTACAGCACAGAAACGTCGCGCCGAGATCGAGAAGAGACAATCAGCTCAGCGCAAACAAGACGACCAAGAAAGCGAACAGAGGAAGGCGGAGCGTGCAGCCAGGCGCAAAGAGCAACGATGGCAGGAGCAGAAGCTTTTTGAAAGGCAATCGGTATGATTTGCCAATTCACATACAACATCTTGGCTGAGTGCTAACAATCCATAGCTGCGGACACGTCATGAAAATCTACTCGCCGAGGCACACTTCCTCCAGACTAAGGCTGAGCCGCATCTTGTATGTTGTCTGCTATCAACTCGCCTTTTGCCACAGCTGACTTTGTCCAAAGTACTACAAACCCTGGGAGACTAGTCCCGACGAAGAAGACCGTATACGCGATCAAATAGCCGAAGCCGAAGAGACTATCAAACGCGAGGTAGAAGAGTACGAGGCTCGCCAGCAGGCGAACAATCTGCGGAGACGGCATGCTTCCGAGGAAATAACTGGTGATGCAGAGGGTTCAGAAACTGGTAAGAACCATCATGCAGATGCACCTCAAGAAACAACCACAACCAATGGCGGGACTAATGGTAGCGCCACTTCCCCCGAGGACCGGGACAAGGACCTGGACATGAAGGACCATCCCTTCGATACCCTTGATGCCGACAGGAAAGCCGAGCGCGCCACTGAGGACATACAGAATAACAATGGTGCAACTCATGGAACTGTCGCTGACCTAGCCATGAAGGAAGATGACGATGAAAACGGAGAGGATGTCGTCGAAGAAGCCGCCGAGGATACTGTTATCTATTGAGATCGTCAGAAAGCCTGTACCTTTGCCTATATCCGTGGCCGGCCCGATAGACCGCTGTTGGCAGGTCTTCATAGACTCTCTTCGCAACACTGCCCATGGTCTAGTCACCTCTTTTGCCAACCGATCGCCTCAACTTGCAGAGTCTGGTCTTTCAATCCTGGATATGCGACCGTAGCATCACGGAAGCCTTAGTAGCGATGGCAAACGTACTTCGCAGATTAATCAAACCCCGGCCATTCGTGCTTTACGAGCTTTATCGTACTACAAATGCTATATCATTCGTCGATTGTATCTGCAGGATGTAGGTCGTTGCATGAGAGCAGCACAGTATTCTTTCCGAATTCCTGGGTTCAACGCGATCGTCTGCATTTACCGTTCCGGCACGGAAGCCGACAAACAACGAGACACAACATTCGGTTAGGGTTGTGCTCGCCTCACTCTCTGCATGCACCTACTTACCTAGAATTCGGGTTGATAGATTTGAACCCCACGGTGAGTGGGGCAACATACGAGTATCGCTCACTTCCGATCATAATAGCAGTATTATAGCAATCATTATCTTCAACGCTCGCCAGGATTCGTAACGTTGTGTTTCATGTGTAAACGTTACGCGCTGGGTAAACAAGCACGAGAAACATGAAAGTGATGTCGGGGCTGGGGTGGATTTCATACCCCACAATTTCAGAGTACCTCGGCATCACCGCATCTAGCAAACTATCATCATCATCATCATGAATCTACAGCTTCGTCGCTAAACACGACTCGCTTGCTCACCGCCATCATCACCCAAGTTATTCCTTACTACTGTTGATATACCCAAGCTCTTACACACCCTCGCCGCAATATATTCCTCTTTTACCCTTACTCGCACAGGCATCACGTCATGCCTGTCCAACCAATTGACCCCGTGTCAGACCCTCGCATTGAACACAGATATGCGACACTCAACGGGCAGAAGTACCACTATCTTTATGCGGAGCCCCAGTCTGGCGAGTATCAACATACGGTGTTTCTAGTAAGTGGTGTTTGATAACCTATCATGCGTCCGCGGCATATTCTGCATTTCGCTTCACTCACGAGCATTCGATTCTGGCAGAGTCGATCATAGTAGAGAGGACGCAATCTATGCTCAGTGATAGATTGGGGTTGCAGATATGTTGCAGGGTGGTTGTACTGACTGTTTTGGTAGATCCATGGTTGGCCTGATTTGTCAATCGGATGGAGGTATCAAATTCCACTCTTGGTAGATATGGGAATGCGGGTTGTTGCACCTGACATGATGGGATACGGTGGGACGGTAAGACAAGTCCTAAAGTCATGTTGCTTAGGAGACATACTAAGATCGAGACTTTAAGGATGCACCGCAGGTTCCACCCAACTCCATCAAGCTCTACGGACTTAAGAGAGCATCAGATGACATTGCTGCGTTGGCTAAAGAGGTCAACGCACCGCAGATCATTTTAGGTGGTCATGATTGGTAGGTTGTCGCTGCGTCGATCGATTGAGATGTCTGTCAATTAATATTTTCCTTAGGGGAGGTTTCGTCGTTTGGCGAGCTGCTCAGTGGTAAGTTCATATAGCTCAAACATCATGAGTGCCAACAGATAGCAGCGACTCACCGTCTTCATAGGTATCCCAATCTTGTCTCACACGTCTTCTCGGTCTGCACACCCTACACCGCCCCTTCCGAGAAGTACTTCTCCACCGAGGATCTCGTCAAAGGGCCTTTACCTCAGTTCGCTTACCAACTACACCTCGCTTCAGGTGAAGTGGAAAAGATTGTCAAAGATGAGCAGTCGATCAGGCAATTTCTGAAGGGTATGTATGGAGCGAAGGGGCTAAAAGGCGAGATTGCCTTCGACCCCGAGAAGGGCGTGCTGTCGGAAAATCTACCCTTGATCGGGGAAAGCAAGATTTTGAATGGAAAGGTACGTGATGATCTCCTATGTTGGAACGCGTGTCGAGTGCGGCATCGAAGGAAGGAAAGAGTGGGCATATATGGTGAGCGTCCAAGATGCTGCCTCTTGAGGGAGCACTACGGAGCGGTTATGCTGCTCGACACATGTATTACCACTTCCGATATGTCGTGCAGGAAAGACGGAAATGCACTCCAGAAGATCGACTCGGCTCGACATGAACACACCATCTCGGGTGTAGACCACGTTGAGATCGATTGATTGTATTGCGTTGTTTCAGAAAAACAGCCGGTGATCAACTCTCAGTAAGCGATGGTGTGCTAATAGCGAATCAGTACCTAGACTACTACGTCAAGCAGTATCTCAACCACGGCATCCACCCCACACGTAAGCCCTCCCTCTTCACTACTAACTCACTCAACTACCCACCCACTCACGTACATCTATACATCACTGTCACTCTCAAACACTGACTTAACCCAACCCAGTGAACTGGTACCGCCAACGCCGCACAAACTGGGAAGAAGACCAAGCCCTCCTGTCTCGCAAACAAATCACTCAACCTGTCCTCTTCATCCAAGCCACGCGCGACGGCGTCCTCAAACCGGAAATGTCAAAGAATATGGAAAACTTTATTCCTAAGCTGACGAGAGGAGAGGTGAAGGCGGCTCATTGGGCGTTGACACAGATGCCAGAGGAGGTCAATGCGATTATCAACCAATGGCTTGAGGAGCAGGGGTTGGTGGGGAAGAAGAGGCGGGAGAGTAGTTTGTAGGATTGACTTTAGGATGGAGCGGAGATGTGCGATAGGATGGGCGGTCTCCTGACGCCGGAATTGAGCGTAGTGTACGTGGTGTGGATGACTTCCTCCGTGCCGCGTGCAGTTGAAATCTCGATACGTTTTCTAGAGAGCGGTGTGTACATGTCTGATCGCATTCGTATACGTATACCTGATTACCCTCATATGCCCGTTAATCGAGGACGGCAGATTGTTGTGTACCATGTTCAAAGCAAGGGGCCAAGGAAATTGCGGCTCTATCCGTTGTGGCCTGACATATGCTTCACAATCCCTTATTCATATAGCGATATCGGTATTGCTTTGCGCTAAGCACGCACGCACGCGAGATCCTTTCTACCGATGTACGCTAAGTGCTTACTGTTATGACCAAGATAGTGGTTCGCTTCGGCGGTTGCTAGATACGGCACTTAGACGACGGCAAACGCATGCGTGCGTCAGCGTATAGACAACGTTGTCTTGTTGAAACATGGCCTTGACGCCGACACTCATCATAGACTATAAGGATTCCGAGGAGGCATAGTGTGTGGATACTAGATCTGCATCTCTGGCCTCATATCAGTGGACCCATCAGCACACCACCTACGCATGTCTTCATTTACTAACACCACGGGCTTGTCCTTTTGACAAAGTTTTCTGCTTCGCTTACAGTTGAGGGCAGATAGGAGGTACCTCTGGCTTGGAAGTGAAGCGTGTGATGGAGGTGGTATCTCGGTATCTCCGGAGGTTCTAACCAGAAAAGTACCGGCAAAAGTAGTAGATACGCCGTCTTGGAATTTGGCACCGGGTTGTGTGTTCTGGATTCTTGTCCCGCCTTGACTTGAGCTGGAGGATTAGCGCTTCTTAATATTTTTCCATGCGAAGACCAAGGCTAAGGAAATAGTTGCAATACTTCCAGCTTTTCTGGTAAAAGACATTTGGAGATATGTCGGATGCAGGTCCCTCCGTCCGTGCGCTACCAAGGCACTGGTACCCCGCTGTCAGATGTAGCCAGTAAGATAGCGGCATTGTGCCCTGTGGCGGCCTCGTGCTCGTGAGTAGGTTGCGAGATGCCACGCTTTTTGCGAAAGAAAGCTGATGCGGAACGGTGCCTCCGCAAACTCTGCAGCTTCTTTTGGTCGGAATGCTGCGATAGGGGATGCGGTGCCTTTACATCCGGCAGACCGCCTCTCGTAAGGAGTACGTACTTGCAACGTCCAGGATGGTGGTGGTTGGATGCCGTAGCGCTGACCAGCTTTCGGGACGCGATTAAGGTGAAATCCCTCACCGCTGCATCACCAAGGTGCAAGCGCTTGAGATATATTCGATGTAAATCGCGAAAATGTGCGCAAGTTGGTAAACGGTACGGAATACATTCAAACTGGGTATGATGGACCTCGCTCACCGCCTACTGCTTTTAGAGGACCATGCATGAGAGTCGTGGAGTCGGTCGCTTGGTGATGCATGATCCCAGCGTTCTTTTACGTTCATGGACAGGGGCTATAGTAGCGCTGAATATAGCTAGGTAGTCCGTCGAGGTAGGCGGCATGTGTAAAGTAAACGAGGAGTGCTTATCGGGAGGTGTATTATTCGATTGCATCTCGTAGCTCGTTGCGCCGGAGCAGGAAGCGGACTGGCTGGATAGGCACATCAGGTATGGTCGTTAGTCGAGTCGTGGATGAATCCTGGTCTGCAAAGAAGTTAATCTCAACATTGCTGGGTTATGGTCGGATCCACCATGGTGCTCTGCCGTGCAACATTTGATGAACAAAGAATAACTGGTCCACGACGTTTCTTTTGCCGTCCCGCTGCTGCATTTTGCCCGGCTGCGTGCCAGATGAGGTCGGGCGGTCGGAGAGATACGTACACTCATTTTGCGGGACGGCTTACTAACGACATCTCATCTTGCTCGTGGCCGCACCCCTGTCAACTGCTGGGCCTGCCATGTACCCGCGATCACCGTTGCTCCTTCTAATCCTTCATGACCGATGCTCGACCTCATCTTTCGGTCGAGGTGGTAGATCTGAGGCGGCATTGCAGCGCGCTACCGGTGCTTCTTCGCAATGGTCATGCAGACAATGGCACATGTCAGTCTCAATGGTCTCTTGGTGGCCACACCTCGGTTGACACTGCAGCTGTTGACTACTTGCTATCCCTTGGGCCAGTCGTTCGTGCAGTTGGCGTTGAGGTCGCTCAGATAAGAGGCCCATGTACTTTCTTGTCCCGACAACTCGGTTCTGCGTAGGACGGATTTCGTCAATGGGCTGCTCCTCGGTAGCCAAACCGCGACCCATGTCCGGCCTCCAACCGACATTCAGCCAACGGGTTTCTTACCACACCCACCACCGTTGCGCCAGAAGGATCCCGCTAAGGGGCCGCACTACGGGACTGATACCATGGTCCCCAGAGTAGTCCAGTCTGGAGGCGCGCCCTTGAGCGTGAGCCGTTCGCACATGGGCAATATATCCGGGAGTTTATATTGCAAAAGAGACTTCCGGACGTCTTCTGGAAAATCAACCAAATACGCTAGCCAGTCAGCGGTCGAATTTTCCCGTCGGCATGCAGGCCCTGAGGATCCAAGATTGAGGGTGCACGGGGGGTTGTGGACGACTTATGGTTTGAGCTTTGGCTTAGCGGCAAAGACGTGCTAACGCCGAGACAGGACAGCCTGCATATCAGGCTGATGTTTTGCGTCCAGGGATCCATGAGTCTGCAGGGCCACTACAACCGACAGGTTCACTGCAGTCAATCCCAACACAATCTTTGGAAGCGGACTCCACAGCCGCGCAGAGTGCCTTATCGCTGTTTCACAACGCCGGCAGGTTTCTGATAGACGGCCACTACACACGACAAGACGCGGCCACCACAGCCAGTATCATGGCCACTGCTCCTATATCGCATCTTGCGTATGCACGTCCCGGAGCTACATGGTAGTGATCCGGCAAAACGAGACTAGCAATGCTTAAGTCTCTACATGCTAGTTCCCTGGGCGAATTGCAAGTGCTCCCGGTTGTGTACCCACAAGAAGCTCTAGCCTCATATATACACTCAGAGTAACGGGATAAAGAAAAGACTATGCGGAGCCTACCATACCAAGTAGCTCTGGTCGCGCATCCCTATCCATGCTCGTCCCGCCAGTCTGATACGCCTAGCAAATGACGTGGAACCTTTGAGTCTTCCCTCATGCGATGCCATTATCTCGCCGATTGCACCAACCTGAAGCAAGCCCAGCTTGTGCCAGGCCACCGTTGATCAAAACAGGCCCTCTCAACAAGTATATCAGCCTCCACGTTCCCGTGGGGTGCTCTTCTGCTAGCTCTCTCTCCCTCACTTCTTCCCGCTCCATTGCCACCATCCCCCATACTTTGAAATCTTTCTCGTAATGGCTCCCTCAGCTCTCGCAGATATCTATCCAATCCCAACGAGGCACTACTCCAAGTCATCGACTGTAGTAGCTTCGGTCTTACACGGGCCAAGGGATTTGCGGCTGGTATGCCTTCCTGTTCCGTGACACATCCCACATCTACCCACTGTTCGTGGGGGTGCTGATGTATATTGAACATCTAAGACCTAAAGCTAACGAATCCAAATAGGAAACTCGTACCATTACGGACCCTGCCGCCAATGAACTCCAGATCGCTATCAAGGCCACTGGACTGTGCGGGAGCGATTGTTCCTACTACAGCAAGTTCTGCAATGGTGACCTGCAGGCTTGTGAGCCATTGTCGCTAGGCCACGAGTCTGCCGGGATCGTGGTGGCCATCGGCCAGAGTGTTACCGGTTACCAGGTTGGCGACCGCGTTGCTCTGGAGGTAGGTGTGCCGTGCGATAACTGCAGGTCATGTCAACGCGGACGTTATAACCTGTGCCCGAAGATGAGGTTTCGCAGTAGCGCCAAATCCGTGCCTCACTTCCAGGGAACGCTTCAGGAACGCATTAACCATCCCGCAAAATGGTGCCACAAGTATGTCGTGCATGATCGACCCGAAAACCGCATCTTAGCTGACAACTCTATTCAGACTACCTTCACATGTTTCCATGGAATCGGCTGCGCTTCTAGAGCCTCTTTCTGTTGCTATCCATGCAACAAGAAGAGCTCAAATCGAGCAGGGTGACACGGCCATTGTTTTCGGCGCCGGTACGGTCGGTCTACTGACAGCTGCGATGGCCAAGGTGTCTGGCGCCACAACAGTCGTCATCGCAGACATCGACTACGGACGAATAAACTACGCCTTGGCGAACGGCTTCGCACACAAAGGTTACATTGTGACCCCACAAAATGCGACTGAGACTGCCGAGAAATTCGCGGTAGCGAAGGAGTTGGCTGCAGATGTCATGCAGATTGCTTCGCAGAATGAGATCGACTTCGAGGGTGCCGACGTTACCTTTGACTGCACTGGAAAGGAAATCTGCATGCAAGCCGGGCTATATGTGAGTCTCTTTCGAAAGTGTCTACGAGCATGGATCTAACCTCTTGTAGGCGACAAGGCCTGGCGGTAAGCTCATCATGGTCGGAATGGGCACGCCAATTCAGACACTACCCATGTCAGCCTCTCACCTAAAGGAAGTCGACATCCTCGGAATCTTCCGTTACGCCAATACCTACCCAACCGGCATCAAGATCTTGTCTGCTGGTGTGCTCCCAAGTCTCGACAATATGATCACTCACAGATACCATGGATTGGCGTCCACAGAGGAAGCCTTTGAGCTCGCAGGCAAGACAGTTGACAAAGATGGCAATCTTGTTCTCAAAGTTCTTGTCGAGATGTAGAAAGCTTTGGGTCAACGAACGACGAATAATATGTACATTCGCTTCTGGGGTATATATAACGACATGATAGAAACGACTTAGAGAAGATGAACCGGAAGACAGCGATCCCGGTCAGGCGTTTTGAGAGCAGCTCTCAGGTTCTGGATTAAGACAGAGATACCATTCGCTTTTGGGTTGGGTTTGCTTCGGAGTTGATTGTATTGGAGTCATCAGCTAGGTTTGGCAATTAATGTAAAGATCTTGATGCTAGTCCGAACTATAGATGTCAATTCCATAATCATTCTCAGCTTGTCTGTCAGTCGAGTCAAGGAAAAGAAAGAAGTAATGAAAGTAGAAAAGTCGCCAATCTTCCAGAAATCGCGTCGCGCTGCAGTCGCGTCGACGCTAGCGTTCATGGATTAGCGCCTTGGCACAACCCCACGGATTGTGGCAGCTGCAGCCTAAGCAAGCTCCCCACCAAGACCATATCAACACAATTGCCTTGAAGTTCTACCTCCCCCAATACTCTCACCCATTACCTTGACTATAGCGGATCTTCTAGAGGAGGACAACAAGGCGCGTCTCAGCAAACATGGCAGAATCATCAGGAAATCCACTCGTTTCGACCACCCGCGCCTCTGACGCAAGTCCGACCGTCCAACTCCATCCGCTAGTACTCCTCACAATAACAGACTGTGTAACACGACACACACTACGACAGCAAAAAGGGCCCGTGGTTGGAGCTATACTAGGTGCACAAGATGGCCAGAACATCACAATGGAGGTTGCTTTCCAAGCAAAACTCCAGTCCAACCAAGATGGCGAGACGGTGCTTGATGATGAGTGGTTCAGCAAGCGTATCGAGGACTGTGAGTTTTGGTCCACAAATCTCCTGTATCTGTGGCCGAATGAAGCTTACGAATATTTAGTCAAGGACGTACACAAGGAGCCCCAATTAGATATCGTCGGCTGGTTTACTCTCGGTCCCGCCACTGGTCCAGAACCCCACATCCTCCCCATCCACTCGCGCATATCAGAGATCTACACCGAATCTCCTCTGCTCGTACTTTTCCACCCCGAGAATGCCTACTCCAAAGAAACTGCTGCCGGAAAGCTGCCTCTCACCGTTTACGAGTCCATCTCCGTCAATGCGTCAAGCGAGCCAAATGATAAAGCTATGGATATCGATGGCGCCGTGCAAGCGAAGTCAACCAAGTTCAGGGAGCTGGTGTACTCGATAGAGACTGGCGAGGCGGAGATGATCTCTGTCGACTTTGTCGCACGCGGTGGTGGCAACGCTACTGCAGTAGAAGGTACAGCAGATGTAGCAGGCCCGAAATCCGAGTCTTCCAAAACTGACGAGGGTACCGGCAAGCGGAACACACGGGGAAAGCAAAAAGAGAAGGAGAAGGAGAAAGAGAAGGACGCTCCTATTGATGAATCGGCTATCTTGACCCCAGACGACGACGAGGGTAGGCCCAGGCACTTCGATTTGAATTTGGTGCAGACACGCTAACTTCCGCATAGTTCTCTCTTCCCTAACAGCCAAGATGAACGCTATTCGCATGCTCAGTCGGCGAATAATGCTTCTCCGCGCATACCTCAACTCGCTCCCAACGTCGTACCTCTCCGACCCATCACTACCAGTCAACCCAACGCCAGACGAGCAACATCCCCTACCTCTGGATCACTTGATCCTCCGCAGTGTATCTGCCATGCTCGCCCGCCTCAATATCCTGGGCCCGCCAGACTCAGCCGCTTTTACACTTGAGTCTCAACAAGAAGCCTCTGATGTGCAACTGGTCAACCTGCTATCCTCCATCACAAACTCTGTCTCCCTTGCCAAGGACCTTGGACGCAAGAGCTCTATCGTTCAGCATGGCAAGACCCAAGGCAAGAACCGCATGGGCGGTATGGGTGGCATGGGCGGATATGGAGGTGGCGGCAACTATGGCGGAGGAGGCGGCTACGGTGGCGAGGGCAACTTCTTCAACACCGTCATGAGTGAGGGTTCTGGTGGCGATAGGTGGTGATCCCTATCGATCCCTCACCTCATACATATATGACGAGACTGCGTTGCTGATGGTACTTTAGACCGGCAAGACGGTGGAGCATGGGTGCGATGGCAGATGGCCATCATCATCATGCGCTTTTCGACCCAGACGACCTAGACGACTTTGACTTTGATTTCGTGAACCAGTGGTGGCATGCTGTGCTAGCAATCCTCGGCATGGGGCCAGCTTACCTACTCTTGTTTGTTATGTCTCCAATCATACTGGGACTCATCACACTGGGGCTCGGTTACTGGACAGGACGAGGGACGTATCTTATCGTACGCAGATTAGGGCTGACACTACTGCAAAGTTGGGAACTGTTCTTCACGCTTTGCAGGGTCTGGTGCGTCTGATTCAGCGATGAGATTTTCGCATAGCATTCGGCGCATGGGTGGTGTACAATAGATGCATGAATGAGCACGGCGTAATAGCATAGCCGGCATATGAGTAACGAACAAAGAGGGGTTGTGGTCGTAAACTTTCTGATTGAAATTGATCGAATTTAATAACACATTGTACAATGACAGCGAGAAAGACCTAGATACCCAACGCTTCCATGCTTAAAATAACTCTCGCAACGTACTAGGTCAGTGTTGTTTTTTAAGTATTTATTGGCGAGTACGCATATTTACAGGGAATGCCGTGGAGATAGATGGGCATGCGACGTTAGCGGGTCGGAGAGGGAAGGTAGGCGATGGTAGTAATCGAGAGAGTAAATTGGAAAAGAGGAAGTCGAGAAGGTTACGGTTAGAGGGTCTGGCAATCGGTATTCAAGATGACGCATCGACTCTCTTTGAACTTGACTGAGCGATTGCAGACCGTCATGACAGAAAACGCTGAATTGAGTAGTAATAGCAGTAGCTTTACTCCTAATACATCTAGCCATAGTCCATTTACCCAAAAGCGCGCATGGAATAGGCCGTCACGTCTCCCCTTCCCCTCCCCTATACACACGAGTTGTACTCCAAGGAACGCAAAGCCCAAAACAAAAAAAGTCTCGTATGCATATTCCCCAGTTGCCTCGCAGCGAAGTCCACCAATGCAAAGCAACACAAACTCAATATATGCCTTGTGTGCGGTACTGGAAAGTATCGTAACTAGAAATACTGTTAGTAAAATCTCGAGGTTAGACGGGCATGTATAGCGAAAACTTACAGTCGGGTATAATAACTTCCCACACTCTTCGCAATAAGCTCCTCAACAAACCCCTCGGCCTCCTCCTTACTCAAATGCAACATCAACCTCGCCCTCAAACTGTTGGTTACAGTCTGCGCGCCTGCCTTGAAACAATCCATACTACTGTTCTTACTCATCAAATCCACCAGCATGATCAATCTCTCTGCGTCTTTCCTCAGCGCCTGGAACGCTTTCTTACATAACGTTTTGTACTCTTCGAACGCAGGGCCTGTCACACCGCCTAGTACATCGACGTAGTCTTGCGTTAGTTTAAAGGGCGCGGCTTCGAAGCCCATGGAACCGGGACTGTTGGAGAGCATGAAACCAAAGTCGATGTGAATTATGTGGCCCATGTTATCGATGAGGAGATTGCCGTTATGACGGTCCTTTAGTTGCAGGACGTAGCAAATCATACTGTAGGCGGCGAGGGAGCGGGCAAAGCAACCCACACCGGCGATGTAGGCTTCCGAGTCTGGTTCGCCAAATGTCTTGAGCCAGTGGTCTTTCAGCGTAGCGATGCGTTTTCGGGGGTTAGTGCCTGCTGCTATACTGGCCAGTGTCAAGCTTCGTTTGAGCGAGTGAAGAGATACGCCGTTTGTGATGGTTTCGATGAGTCCGCAAGATTCGCCTGTGACGAGGATCCGCATGCGTTTTGTCCAAACTGGCACGTTTGCTTCTTCCCAGATCTTAGTGCAGACCTCGATGAGCTGGCAGGCAAAGGCTTCTTGACGTAAGTCGGCGCCTGTCTTGACAATGACACTGATCAAATCCCAGTTCTTCATGTGGCCGTATGGTGAAGACCGCCGTATTCGTTCTCGCTTCGCGCTCCATTCTTCACCAAAAGTGGCGGCACTAGGATCATCACGATCGCCCTTCCGCCGCATGCCACCTGTCTTGAGATCGTTCTCCATGCGAGCTGCACCTGCGCCCGTATTAGTAGCAACTGTCAAGCCGTCCTCAAGCTCTTCCGGCTCGGCTGCGATTGCTGCTGGATCCGATTCCGCCATAATCGTATCAAATGTAGGTCCCTGATCTTCGTTTAAGAAGTTTTGCTCTTCCAGAGTTTGCATACTTGCGATGATCTTGGCTTTGATCGCTGCTACTTCGCCCTTTGGCCGTTTCGCGCCGCTTGCTTCAAGTTGTGCGAGCATCTGAGCAGCAGTGCGCATGTGAGTCGCTAGGGCAGAAAAGTCTGGTTGATCGACGGCCTGGTTCCTTTGATTTAGGTTTGCTGGAATCGTCATTCGTCTAATGGGACCAGGGCTGTTGGATCGGCTGATTTGTGAGTCGGACGTTCGTGGTGTAGATAATGTAGCCACCGACGATAGAGTGTTCGCTCCGCTTGAAGACCTTGGGGCCGTGGCTTTCCCGTTGGCGGTTGCACCAGGTAACGTTACGCGCGCCAACCCAGAAGCGATGTCGTTCTCATCCATATCCTTGATGAGTGATGTACTCCCCAGGTCTCCGGTAGCAGGCTCGAACACGCTGTCCGATCCATTGGGCGGTGTTCGATCGAATGCGAGATACTCGGCATTGGTGATGTCAAAAAGACGTCTTCTCGAGGTGCCCTTTTCTAGCATCAGCTTTTCGAGCAGTTGTTGATTCTGCTCAGTGTCCGGGTCGAAGTCAAAGTCTTCCTCCAACACCTCTACCATGAGTAGGTAAGGTACTCGCTCTGCACTGTTGAGACTAGTCGCTTCGGCGGGATTTATGCGCACTATACGGTGATGCTGGCTCTGCGATGGAATGCCGTCCTTGAGAGTTGGAGGCGATAATAGAGGTATATCAACTTCAGCCGGCAAGTCCTGGGCTATCAACGCTAGCTCAGCTCGCAGCGCACTCAATCGCGCGGGTTTCGGTACAACGACGAGGCGGTTTGAGATGTCCTCGAGAGCGCTTAGAAACTGGGTTTCGTTCCGGAAGTAGTTGGATCGTAGTAGCCGTATTTTCTGTGCACGAGACAATGCGGTGGGTGTAAGAGGCCTTGGTGGTAGTCCTGACTTGCGTGAGCCATGATGAAGTGGGCCCGGTCCTAAACCAGCAGTCGCTGGGGGCGTAGGGAGAGGGGATGATCTGGAGTCTCGGAAGTCTGGTAACGAGGACGAGCTGAGTCGGGCTTCTGATGCAATTGACAACAGCGAAGGGCGGTGCTGCATTGAGGGCGCCCGTTGAGCGGCTGGCGGTCGTACAGCCGCCTTCCTCAGCTCTTTCGGATCACGCGGCCGCGAAGACGAAGCCTTGACTGAGCGCCCATCCTCGGGATCTGAGTGCTGCGCCGTTATCCTCTTTTCCTTGGACCTTGACGATCCTCCAGTGACAGTCTTGCTCCTTCCGACCTTGGCCGTCTGCACGTTATCCGAGATGATGTCCTCGACGGGCCTAGGTTTTCGCGCCTGCGCAATAGCCAGTGGACCGGCGTGGACTGGTAGAAAGGGCGCGGCTATGCTCGCCAGGACCAGACTGGAGAGCACGGTGACGGGTAGGACGTTCTCTTTGATCTTCTCCCGGCGCTGTGGCTCGGCGGATCCGAAGACGATGCGCTGCACGCGATTGTATATGCGCCGACATGTCTTGAATGCGATTGAGTTGGGGGCGCTTGCAAGATCGTGGAGATAGGTCTGGAACAGCCAGAAGGTCTAGACGGCATATATTAGCACCCGCACCGGCTAACAAGACACAGTATCCGGAAGCCCACCAGAAGCGCGCCGTTGACCGACTCCTCGCACAAGTCTATTATGAATTCCTCCAGAGCCATAGACTCATTGTCGATGCTGATGAGCAGGTGACATAGCCTGTGCCCCGCGTATGTAAGCTAGCTGTTCATGTCTGTCGTCCAAGTGGGTGCGCGGCGACGTACTGCGGGAGGAAGAACTCGAGCTCCTCGTAGGCGAACTGGCGCAGCTTCGAACAGAGCACATAGTGGATTCCGACGTGATCTGCATACCGACTGTTCTCATGGAATCTGTCAGTCTTGGGTTCCAATGCGGAGGTATCGGTGAAGGGAGGGCGCTGCGGCGGTGCTGCGGGCAACGGTGGCTTCGGGGAACGGCAGCGACTCACGCAAGGTATGCTACTGCGAGGCTCGGATCTTGGTTGAAGTGCTCGGATTCTATAAAGCGCTCTAGCAGATTCCAACTCATCTGGGACGGCTCATTGGGGCTCAGTACGGGTGGAGGGCGACAGCATGCGGTGAAATGCTCAAAAGGGTCGCATAGGGAAAGATGGGGCGCGACAGGGTTCAGCGGGCGGAGATGACCAGCTCCGCCTTGCTTGGTAGATAGCTTAACAATGCGACCATGCGCGTTTAGTCTTATTACTCGCCACTAACTGATTATCTCGATGCATTCACTCGCAATTTCTCGTCCGTAACAGCCCTGCGGTGCATTCCGCCCTTCGTCATTAGGGACAATACGAGAAAATAGCAAAACAGATATCCGCAAGCCAACGCCGTGCAAATGACCTTTTGAAATGGCCCAAACCCCTTTGCGTGCAGTGAACAAAATATCGTACACTAGAAAATATATACAGTGAGCGGTTGAGATTAGTCCGCTGCGTGCAAATCGACGAAGATGTTGATGGCAGCCACAAGAACTTCAGCAAAAATCAGAATGATGACGATCCACTCGAGCAATTCGCCCTATATGCAGTTAGCAAGCATGCTACGAATGGAACATCACATTACTTACGTGAGTGACAGTCAACTGGTCCTTAAGGACAGCAAGCAAGTCTCCGATAACGTTGAGTCTTTCGGTCAAAAGACTGACTCTCTGATCCATCTCCAGATAGCTCCTCACAGCTTGATACACTGGGTCTAGCTGCGGCTCAGCCCACATGAGCTCTGGCGCATCGAGCACCGATCCCTGCAGATGTATACTAATACGGAGAATGAACAGCTCTCCGATCTGCATGTTGATTTGCTTCTTGTTCAGGTTGATCTTGCCAGAGCTGGCGATTTCGGCTGGGATGTCTTTCGTTTCGTCAATAGTGTTGTCCACCAAGTCTTCGAAGAGCGATGTCTTGACACTCTGCGAAAGGCCATGACTGATTGCTAGCTTGATCATGTAGTTCTTCTTGTCGCGTAAACTGATAAAGTCGTTGTATATCCGGGCCTGATACTCGCGCGTGTAGTAGAAGTTAAATTCCTCCGTCTCGATCTCGTCTTTGCCGAGCTTGTCGACCTCAAACTTGGCAATCTCCTTCAAAAACTTCTTTTCCTCCTGTAACGTCATACCCCAGATGACAACAGTGCCGTACTCGAACAAGAAAACTTCTGGAGTATGGACGCGTGTGTCGAAATCTGGCGCGTCCATCTGAGGATCCGAGTCCGCGTGGGTAACCGACGGCCGTCTGGGGCCAATAGCTTGTTCGTTCTCAATGTCTGGTGCATCGCCATCTTCGTGCAAGTCGATAAGGTCCTGTCTCCTTCTTTCGTTCTCATGTTCCACCTCAATGGCGCTGTCCGAGAACCTTCTCGGTCTCTCTTCCGTGAAGCCGGCGACTACGGCAGTGCTACTGACGTCTTCTGGGCCTTTCATCGAACCATAATTGTAAGGCGAGTAGATACATTCATCGAAGCGCTTCGGCGCTGCCCCTCTGATCTTTTGCTTGCCTTTCAAGAACCGCATCATTTCATCGAGCTTGTATGACGCGGCCGTACAATATGCCGTCACTCTTGGTAATCGTTCTCTGTCTGCCTTGCCAAGTCGAGCAGCGTCCCTGCGCGCTGTAGGATCCTTTATCCTGGTATATTGTACATAGACGTCGCGTCCACTCTCCTCGTCTTCGGCTTCATCCGCGGCCGGATCGGGGAGGAGTTTGAGTTTCTGGGCAGTTCTCGTCGTTCTTTGAGGACCGATCTTGGGTGCCGGCGCGGGAGGTATTCTAGCAGGCGCACCAGAGCTGTTCCTTCTCCGCAGCTTACTGTTCAATGTCGACAGCATGGGCTGTCCGCCCTGGGTAGTGGCAGCATGGCCGGAAGAGGAGGCATGGTGCGATAACGATCGCGTCGGTGGTTTCGGACTAGTAGATGTGACAGTTGGATTGAACGTGACGGTACGCTGAGGCTTTGGGGGGATCGCTCGACTTGAGCTCGACATTGACGAGACCAAGGGAGTCGTTTCGGTAGAGCTTGACGCCATTGTGACTTGCGGGCCGATTTCAGCGAAGGTGCGAATCAACAGTGAAGGTGAAAGTGTCACTAAAGAGAGAATATGTCACAGTCGCAGATGCTCCGGAGTTCAGGCGGCGCCATAAGACGGCGTTAGTGGATGCGGTGGGTGACAAGCGCGTAAAGCTGTTTGTGTCGACGAGACTTCGAGCAATGACGTTGTAAGGATCTATGCTTGAACTAACGGTCCCAGCACGGACCTCCCACGTGCGAGAGAACGCTACATGCATGGCGGCCGTTAAAAACCAACTTCCAAGAACCTGGACGCTGTGCGACTTCCAAGGTTGCTTTTAACGCCTTCGCGCTTGTGTAGTTTGCGCGAAGTTCGCGCGAAGTTCGAACGCGCTCGCCTCTCCAAGATCTACATCGGAGGCACTAATGTACAAAAGCGGTTACGATGCGTCGGATGACTATTGATACAGTATACAATGCGGGTAGTTAGTCCTTGAGAATGTATTAATTAGACTATCAACTATAACTCCATGACCTCAGTCTCATTTGCTGCTCCATTGTCCTCCGTCTCGGGTTTTACAATTTGAGCTGGCTGCTCCTGGGTAATGATGCCAACCTCTCCCAGCATAAAGCGACCAAAGTACAACAACGCGTCTAGCATCTCCTCTCCAGTGGGTATTATGTTTTCTTTAGGAAGCAAAAATCCGTAGCTACCGGTGTCTCTTAATTTGATCTGGTAAGAGTACCTGACCTTGAGCTCGTGGTAGAAAAAGTCCAATGCACTGCCGCCACTCGACTCGATGCGTGGAAGAATGGTCTTCTTCTGGTTGGCAAAAGCAACATTGCCTTCGCAAGCGGAGTTGACCTTGTATGTTTGCCCTTTGCGGGAAACGCGGATAGCCTTCGCGAGGCCCAGAGCGAGCTCTTCGAGGTCCTCAATAGCCGGGGGCTCCTCGTTGCACGAGTAACTGTATGGGTATAGGATCTGTTGCGAGTATGAGTGCAGGTCGAGGAAACCAACAATTTCAACGTTGTTGTTTTCAGTTTCATTCTTCGCCCATTCAGCGAAGCGTGCGGATTCTGCGCCTTCGAATGGAGCACTGCCAGGGAAAGATTCGCTGCAGGGATTTGACTGAAGAGCAGCGCCGTCCCATTTAAAGGGGTAGCTGCGGTCGAGATCGATGCCGCGGCAGAAACGCAGACTGGTGGGTTGACGGTTCTTGCGCCATAAACGGTCGGTTTCCCAGCTGTAGACATATCCGTCCGGGTTCAGGGTTGGGATGAAAACGAAATCAAAGTCTTCCATGAGACGCGCCATTTCACGATCCTTACCGTAAGCGTTGATGAAGCTCCAGGCTAGGTAGTTTACGGTACTTGTAGATATCCACTCACGCGCATGGATGCCGCCGGTAATGAGGATCGTCTTCCGGGGCTTGGAGGGCTCTTCGTTGTTTGTGGGGTGCACACCAACACGAAGGGCGGGAATGTCACGGCCTTCGTAGCTTATGCCAATGTTGATACGGCGGACGTGTGTGGTGAACATGGAAGCCATGAGACTCATCCAAGGGTTTATGACGGAGAGGGGCTGGTAGTCTTGGAAGAAGATGTTGCCCTTGCCTGAGCGCGAGGAAGGTCGGAGGTTCGAAGAGAAGCGATCGTTGTGGGATACGGGCGCAGACTCGGGCGATGGGTAAGAGTTGAAGATTGCCTGTGCGAGGCCGAGGTCTTGGAGTAATGGTTGGTGGGAGTCTTTCAGCGATGCAGGCAGCAGTCCTAGCAACGAAGGCACGACGTCCTTGGATAACCGCAAGTCTGCCCAGTCCTCATTGAACTCCCATACATCGAGGAAGAGAATGTCTGCAGCGTCCGCTAGTGCCGAGGCTTCCTCGGCGGTGCGTATCTTGAACCTCAACACTACATCCTCACGGTACTGCGCGACCAGCTTGTCACCAAGCGCATCGCCAGCGGTCTGCGCATTCTCCCCTACCAAGCTCTTTTGGTCCTCTGGTAGTCTCCAGATCTTGCGTATTAACGCGTCCGAAAGCCGCCGCCAGGGTCGCGGTGACGCATTGTGGGTCGAAGCATAGGTTCCTGCATCATACGGAGACGGCGCTGCATCGTGCGGGGCGGCCGTTGCGAGCGCTGGGCCGAGAAGCAACAGGCTCAGCAGAGCGCAAACGGGCTGGCGCATTGCGGGGGTCTGTCACCGAACAAGCGGTGGGCCAACTATGTATGCGATGCTATCGTGGTGGCCAGCAAGCGCCGGGAAGGAGGTGGAGAAGGTGTCGTGTGCCTGAGCATGCCAGCAAGAAACGTGGGACTTGTGGCTGGTGGACCTCGAGAGGCGCGGCCATTTGCGCCAACGCTGCGCTAAGCACTCTCCACCGCGCTGCAAAGAGGACCAGTGCGTTCGTCAGTGCCTCGAGGACAGCTGATCTGCTACCCTTGGGCCTGGCATCCTCTCCCCCTATACAGCCCGAGACACTGTGACGTCGACTGCCGTGTTCTTCCAACTACGTGTCCAACGCTGTGCCCAGTTCCCGACCGGATATCACATCTCACCTCCCCGACTAATCCTAGCAGCACTCCCTCAGCCTTACAGGCGTGCCGCATCCGAGCCATCCCAAGGACTAAAGAGAGCATAAAGACACGCCTTTCACTGCCCCCCTCCCCCCTCTCAAGTGCCTCCCCGCTGTGCCATGTACCGCACCGTGACCTCGTACTTGCATTCATGAGCTGCTAGTCGGCGCGAGCAGCCATGCCTCTGCGCTCCCTCCGCCCCGGCAAAAGCGAACGAGACCTCAAGCGACGGAGTACCCTCGACCCTGCCGGCTTCTTCAAGCGCGCCGACAAGGACGCGCGCTTCGACAAGTCGGCCGAGCATCTGGACCCAGGTCGGATCGCTGCCTCTGAAGATGGCTACCGGCCCACGTCCACAGACATTGCGCGGCCCTCGACGGGCCACGATGATGACGACTCCCCGCCTTCTCCGCCCGTACAGCAACACACGCCCAACACCAAGCGCTTCAGTCTGATGCGCTTCCGCCATGCCTCTGATCCGCAACTCTCCGCCAAGGCAAAGGAACATGCCGCCCGGGACGACCATGTACCACCGGTCCCTCCTGTGCCCGGCAACCCTGCGCGTACGTATATGCATCCCACATGTTGTATGCCCGTCGTACTGACGTAGAGCCACATAGCGCCCGCAATCATCACCACTGCCCCTACCGTAGCCGACCACGAAGACGAGGACACGACTCCACCCAAGAGGAGCAGGATGCAGCAATTCACCCTCCGCAGGCGTTCTTTCGATCCTACGACGTTTGACAAACCGACCACACTGCGCAAGTCGATGGAGAAGAAGCGGAAGCCACTAGGCTTCAAGAAGAGCCATGGAGACCTCCTGGATGAGAAGGAGCGAGCGTCGACGAGCAGCCAACGCCGGCCTGACGTGCTTGCCGAGTCGCGAGAGTCTGCAGAAAGCACGAGTTCCCTAGCTCCTCCTACCAGGGCATCCGAGTCTTCAAGATCGGATGGAAGCTCTGGCGGACACGTTTCCTTTGAATCAACCCCACGACCTTCTCACCCGGCCCGCGTTGGCTCTGGACGATTTGGCTTCGGGCGTCGGAAACAACGTGCATCATTATTCCCACTCCCTATGAAGATCGAGCCTCCGCAATTCCCCGACACAGCGCCTGCCACGCCACGCCAGTCCACCGGCGCGAGGAGCTCCGCCTCAATCCATCATTCGCCCACGGAAAGTCCTCCGTTAACCGCGCGTCGATTCACTCATGGAGAATCTGAGGCACAGACGCCACCAGTCCCTTCTGCATCGCAAGTTGCTCTAGCTGCTGGTGCTCTGAATTTGGCCTCATCTGCTCCAGGCACTCTTTTTCGCAACGACTCGTACAGGTCAACCCGATCCGCGCATACCTCACCAAACAACAATGGTCCAGCTCGCATGGGGCTTAGGGGGCGTTCATCGACTATGGGATCAATGGGCGGGCGGTCTGACGGTGCAAGTTCGCCAACACCACCTGGTGGACCTAGCGGAAGGAATTCCACCTCCACAGCAGGAAGAAGCAGCTTCAGCAATCTGTTCGGCTTGAGTTCAAGATTTCGTCAGAACTCTGAGCCCCATTCACCTAGGCATGGTTCTCCTGCTCACGGGTTTCTAGGAAGCTCAGCCTTGTCATCGCACCAAAACTCGATGAACATCAGCCGGGAAACACTTATATTACCAGAACGGGAGGAGGGTGAGACACCTGGACGATATTTGGAAAGGATCGAGGCAAACAACTTCGACAAGAGCGTTGTTGCCAGCTATCTCAGCAAGACTGACGATCCGTTCCTCCTTGCGGTGTTGCGAAGCTACATGCGAAAGTTTGCCTTCTTTGGCGATCCAATCGACATGGCCATTCGCAAATTGCTCATGCAGGTCGAACTACCCAAGGAGACCCAGCAGATTGACCGTGTGCTGCAGGGTTTCGCTGACCGGTATCATGAGTGCAACCCCGGCATCTATATCAGCACAGGTACGGCGACAGTGGTTCACACATTCATCATGGTCACTGACACTCTATAGACAAGGCTTACTTTATATCGTTCTCGATCATCATCCTGCATACGGACGTCTTCAACAAAAACAACAAGCGGAAGATGCAAAGGCCGGACTACATCAAGAACTCATCTTGCGATGGTGTCTCGGCTGACGTGCTAGGCTGCTTTTACGATAACATTGTTTATACTCCATTCATCCACATCGAGGACGAGGTCGACCTGAAGAACATCACCTCGAAGAAAAGCAAGCGAACTGCAGTGCTTAAAGGGCCAATGAACGATCCGGCCCGAAAAGCGGCAAAAGAACCCATCGATCCGTATACTTTAATCTTCGAAGGCAAACTGGATGCGCTCCGTCCCACGATCCGAGACGTTATGCAACTGGACGATCCCTACAACTACACCGGTACTACAGCGACGCTGGATACTAAAAACGTTTACAAATTGTTCTCCAAATACGGCGTAATACAAATCGTCTCCTCTCGATCGCGACCAGAAGCTTTCATGTCCGAAGCTGCCCAAGAGAACCCCTTCGGCACCTCAGTCGGTATTGTGGAGATGCCGGTCACAAAGGTTGGAGTTTTATGGAGAAAGGACACGAAGAAAAAGAAGGCACGATCGCCTTGGCAAGAATGGGGCGCTGTTCTTACGCGATCAGGGTTGTCTCTATTTCGAAATTCTACTTGGACAAAGAGCTTGATGACCCAGCACGATCAGCATCTCAAGCGCGGCGAGACCGGCCCGGTCATATTCCAACCTGCACTACCCGACTTCAAGCAAGATCACATCATACCAATGGATGGTGCAGTCGCGCTTGTAGACAACACTTACAAGAAACATAAAAATGCGTTTGTGATGTTTTCCAAGGCAGGCGAGGAGACGTTCCTAGCCGACAGCGAGAGGGACTTGAACGAGTGGCTAGGTGTGCTGAACTATACTGCTGCGTTCGAGACACTCGGTGTTCGGTCAAGAGGCATGATCGGTGGACTGTACGAAGGTCAAAAGAACCGTGGCATGCGGCGCCTTGAGTCATCGCATTCTACCAAGACCATACCAGCAGCCACTGGCGATGTAACGATTCAAAGTGGCAAGATCGACAGCCAATTCGCAACGCAAATGATGAACGCCCGAAAGGACCTCATGCAAGTGCGCATTACCGAATCCGAGGACAGACTTACCCAAGCTATAAAAGAACTGGAAGCACGCCTACGGGATGCGAGACATCTCCAAATCCTTGCTCCTATTCAACCGAAAACCCGCGAGCTCGTCATTCACGCTGCCGGTCGGTTATCAGCCAAGCTGAAGTGGATACGTATTGACATTTGGCGGATGAAATGTCACCGTGATATTCTGGCCCAGGAGCTGGAAGACGAGAGGCAAGGCATTGTCGACCAACAAGCGCAGATTGACCGAGCCTCAGAGCCTACACAAGCACAGCAGCCGCAACTTTCTCCTCAGCAGTCGCATAGAGCGTCCAAAGTCAGTGGATTAGCGCGGTTGACTTCCAAGACCAGCTCAATGACCAGTGGACACAAGCAAGCTCCGTTGTCCCCTACTTCATCAGCGCGTCCAGGGACCAAGTCCTCTAGGGATACTGACTTCGGTGGAGATGAAGCTTTCAAGACACCACCCGAGACGACTCAGTCGAGCCCTAAAGACCCATCGGCGCAGTTCCAAGCCTCACCCATGTTGTTTGGTCCTAGTGCATCTGATCGTCGAAGTTCGTTTGCCAGCTCCTCGGCACAGTCTCCCATGATGTATCCTTCCGACCATAGGCCTTCGATCTCGACAACCGGTGACGGCACAATAGACTCAGATTCTGACTCCGACTCAGAGGATGGATCTCGTTACGCTACTCCACCTCCAGGTGAGGCGGGTGACCTAGAGCCGAGAACACCAGAGCCGGCACCTTTCGAGGGCACTCAACCGGAAGCCGCCATGGATACTGACTATGAGCAGTCTCTCGCTGCTTTGACAGGATCGCCAAGATCTCATACAAAGCAAAGAAGAAGCTTACATCGCACTCTTCGAGAGTCCCGCGGCAGCTCTTCCCACCGCCGCAGCCACAAGAGTAGAGACTCTACCTCCACGATTACCAGTGACAATACAGAGGGCGAGGGAGGACTGGCGCGCGGCAAGGGTAGCTTTACAGTACATGGCAAGAAGGCGTCCGTCATTCAGTTTGGTGGCGATTGGCACAATACCACGGCAGAAGAACGCTTGAAGACAGTGAAACAACTTCAAGAGGCAGCAGAAGCAATCTCCCCTGACGAGAGGGATGGCAGCGTTATCAGCAACGGCACGGCGACTGCGCTATCTCCCGGAAGCGACAGTAACGAGCCGCTTTACGTTCGTAAAATGTCTGCAGACACTACAAAGTCGCGACATGTGTCGTCCCAGACAATTACACCAGCAAATTTCCGCGAATCATTCAGAATAGACCAACCTGACTCTGATAGCGAGTCTGACATGAGCGATATTGCTGAGGAGACACAACGAACCTCCGACGACCAGCCAACGATGAAAGGCAAAAGTCCAATTACTGAACATGTGGAACGACCCATGCATAGTTCAAGAACGACTACAGCCTAATTAGCTTCTCTCCCCTCTTTTTTTTTCTTACATTTTGGATTTCAAAAGTGAATTTATGGGCATACCAGCATCGCTAGAGCGCATTTATGTTTCTCCTTTGTCAACTTTACATACTCTTCTACGGAACTTGTACGCACCTTCATACATAGCATGGCGTATGTGGGCTTTGAATTGAAACGCGACGGGGGCGCTTTATATGCATAGAAGGACTCTCGGGATGGCGTTTCCTCGAGGATAGGATTGATCGAAGGCAAAGCGAGGATTTGGGTTAGTGGATATGGTTGATACCAAAGCTGATGCTGTTTGTTTGTGGATGACGATGTTCCAATAGTGGATAGGAATTGAACAACCGACTGAGATGCGTGTTCTTTACAATTTAGGTGAAGATGTGCCTGCTCCATCAGCATAGCGCTAATGTCGATTAGTCGCTAGCCTTGTACAATGGTTTCGTACCAAACCACAACTCTCCTACTACAACACAAGCGCACCACGGTGTATTGAAAGAACACATGCCCGTGGGACTTTTCCTTATCCGTAATCACCAGTTTTCGCGCCTCGGCTCAGCGGCATTGAACAACTCCTGCAAAACTCCCTCAACCTCCTCCTCAGGCCATCCTGCATCCTCTCGAACAGCCAAGCTATAGTGGCGCACTTTTTCGCATGAATAGAAAACTTGCCTGGCTCCGCAAGGCTCTATACAGACCCACCCTCTATTGGACGAAAGGTTGAAGTTTTCGGGGCTCGGCAGCCGCCTTTGGCTTAAGCGAAGCGGTGCGAGCGATCTCAAACCCGAGACGTCGCGAGACACCAAACCTGGTGAACGTGACAGCCCTGTCAGAAATGTCGCAACCGTCACAACGTTTCTTAGTGATACAGGGACGCAACGCGAGAATGTGCCTGATAGCCGTTTACGCGCCTGATACGATGCAATACCTCAAGATATAGCATGATGAGGGTGTTTATAAGAGAGGCGTGATGGGCACTGTTTGTTGTCTCTTCTTGGTTATCGATCATCGGTTTCGTTCCAGTCAGTCTTTACGTTCTCTTCTCTTCCTTGCCCTCCGGTTAGGGTGATTTACCATTATCAAACATTCGTTTCTTGCCATACAACCAATCACATATTTTATATTCTCTCATACATATATAAGACGAGAAACTTTCATAAAGAACCGGAGATGTACACTCACGCCATCACCATTCTCACTCTCCTCAGCGGCCTTGCCATCGCTGCCCCCACGGCCAACATCACACCCCGGCAAGGCAAGGCATGCTTCATCATCGGCAACGAAGCGCTCCCTGCCGAAACCTCCGAGGTAGTCAACCAGATCCAGGCCTCCGTCACCTGTGACGCCAACGCAAAGACACTAGAAAATGTCCCAGACGTAACCTCGGGCAGCCAAACCTTCTCCAAAATCGACTTCAGCACCTCTGGCAAAACACCCCTAGAATTCGCCACGAGCACCTTTACCACCGCTGTGCCACTCGCCGACTCCAACCTCGAAGCTTTCCAGGACGCGCTCAACGTTTATCTAGCTACTGAAGCCGGTCTGCGCAGCTCGGGTGGTAACTTTGGGATAATAAAGGCGCCCAAGTTCTTTTTGGAAATGCAGATAAGCAGGATTCAAACGGCGAGGGGACAGCCGCCTACAGCCGCGGGACTGCAGATCGATCATCTGAGGGATAAGGTTACGGAGAATGCTATTAGAGAGGATCAGGCGATTCTGGATCAGGTTACGCAGTTGGCTACTCAGGTATCATAGTGGCGAGGGAGTTATGATCGGAGTGATGGAGGGAGGAAGAGTCAATGGATCGTGCGCACCGTATAATAGTGAAGCGTGAGTATAGGTCTTTGTCAATCATGTTCAAAACTTGTAAAATATCATCAATCATGAAAGACAATATCCATCTTAATTCTACTTTACAGCTTACTCTCCCCACCATCACTTCCACCACCTACCTTTCCTCTCCACCCCGTCAACGTAGCACCTCCATCCATCTCGACTGCATTCCCCGTGATATGTGCACTCGCCTTACTACTCAAAAACAGTACCAGCCCGCCAAAGTCACTCGGCTTGCCAATCCTCCCAGTCGGCTGTCCCGACGTCAACGCATCGGCGTATTTCTCGAGCCCAAAATTCGTCATGCGGCTGGGGAAGACACCGGGGCAGATGACGTTGACCATAATGTTTTTGGGGGCGAGCTTCGAGGCTTGCATTTTGGTCAAGTGGATACACGCCGCTTTTGCTGGGCCGTCTAGAGATTGTGCACGTTAGCATTGAGTGTCTTGTAGAGTGGAGAAACAAGGAAAAAAGAGAAGGGGACAACATACAGCTGAACGTGCCATGTCCCGGTTTGCTCAACCCGCCACTCTCTCCCGTTGTAACATCGACTGTCGTTATACCCGCCATACTAGCAATGTTAATAACCCTACTCGGATTATGCATATCCGCCCCCTTCTTCAAGAGCTCCTCACACCCCACCGTCATATAGAATATACTCTTCACATTCAACGCATACAGTTTATCCCACGCATGTTCCGGATAATCGTAATAATCGTCCCCCCAGCTGGCACCCGTGTTGTTCACAAGGACAGTGAGTCGATCTGTCTGTTTGGCGAGTTCAGAGCAGAGAGCTAGGCAGCCGGCTTTATTCTTCAGGTCTGCGATTATGTAGGAGCAGTGGCCGGGACCGAGGGCATTGAGACGTGCGGTGGTGGAGCGGAGTTCGGATTCTTTGCGCGAGGCGATGAAGACGCGGGCGCCGTTTTGGATGAAGGATTGGGCGGCCATTTCACCGAGGCCGGTGGCGCCGCCGGTTACGAGGACGACATGTTGTGTGAAGTCGAAGAGTGTGGTGACGCGTAGGTCGTCTTTAGAGGCGGCGTGCGTCATTTTGCGGGTGTTATGGGAAGGATGTACAGTGGTAGGTGTGTAGGTGTGATTGCGTCTCGTAGTCGATAGGGCGTAGTTGTGAGGTCAGTAAAGCGCAGATGGCCTTTACGGAGAATTGAATGTATGTATACACACGCGCGGACGCGTAGTAATCGATTCAGCCATGTCGGCAGAGCTGTGGTGGAGAGGTGGTGTGGACCTCGGCATCTCGAAGCTGTTATGCGGGGTGCTAGCGCGTTGTACCAACTCCACAATGCATCTGACATGTCTTTTTGCACAATTACATTGGTGCTAATCTACACAAGGCATATTTACTTTACCATCGTACAACTTTGGAAATAGATCCGTTGTTACCCGTTCCACGTTTAGCTTTCAGCTCATTCAACTTCTCTCCTGTGTTGTCTGGGTTGCTTTCCGAATCGTACTTGATCGCATCCTCTAGATATTCAATAGCGGCGTCTACATCCCCAAGTGCTTTGCAAACGACATGCGCCCTGAAGCTCATCAGAAACTTTTCCCTGCGGACCGGTAGCTGCACTGTCTTAAACATCAGAAAGCTTTCTCGCGCACACACGGGCTTGTCCGATAGAAAACTGATCATCTCCTCAGCAACCTTGCGGGCTTTTTGGAGCAATGCCACACTGTCAGATTGATCTGTTAACTCTAGCCCCTTCGGACCAAATGTGCCTGCGAGATGGCAGAGGACGAGGATGAGATTCGCAGCGGTTTTGCTAGTCATGATCCATAGAGTAAAAACCGTGTCGTTTGTCGATGGGAGGTAGATTTCTCCTGCAGCGTTTCGTATCCAGTCGAAGTGGCAATCATACAACATGCGGGCATATTTACACGCCATTGTGTATTGCCTGTCTGCTGCCTCTGGGTTGTCATTACTCAACCTCCCTTTAAACTCATGGAGTTTGGAGAGATAGTATCCAGCAGCGTATTGTTCCTGTAAGTGCCTCCTCAGCTCCATAGTTAAGGGTAAAGGTATTGCATCGTTGGTACTAATACTAAGGAATTTGTGGCGAAAAGGAGGTTGGTCCAGCCAAGGACGGATAAGGATCTCCAAGGCTCTTTCCTGGGAATAGGAAAATGTCTCTAAAAGTGTGAACGTCAAAGACGCTCCGATTTGCCTGAGAGAGTCAACTCAGGTCATGAGTGTATATTATTTATTACGTTCACTCACCAAAAACCTCGGCGTCTGGCATTCTGGATCAACGGCATCAGGCTCGTGGCTGGCATCAAGTAACACGGTGCGCTCTCCGCTTCCAGCCTGTGTCGATATGCGCAGAGATCCCATTCCATAGCCACGGGAAATCTTGAGAAGTCTTTTTGGATGGCTCCGGAGCGAGACTTCAACTGCGAGATGAGTGGCAAGCGCTGCATTCGTTGATCAAATAAAGTGGTGATGAAACGTGGATTATTTGTTTTGACAACCACGCACAACTGACTGCTGATAAATTGGAACACCTCCTCGTTTATTTGTCGATTCAGGGTGAGCAGCTTGCATAGCGGCGATGAGGGTACGACTTCATGAATCGACCTATTCGATTGAGTGTCAGGAGAGAGCACTTGGACATTTCTAGCCGGTGGGATGTAGGTAAGGAGCTCGTGGTAAATTTGCTCACGAATGGTGATCGGTACAGTAAGGAAGGTGTTCATAGTCGGCGCAGAGAACAGGCAACAATTGGATAGACAGAGTCGTGCCTTTCATGGGCGGAGAAAATAGGGTAGTGTAGTTCGCGAGTTAGGCCACCACACTCCAGGGCTGTGTCCAGGTCTAGCATGGTCCCCACCGTAAGCTTAGGCAGCCACAATCATTGAAGCTGCACTCCTCAGCGACACCTCGCACATTATACCTAGATCAGTGGATGCAGTGTCGTGTCTACCTGAACACAAATGCAACGTTATAATGCGGCACAAGAAAACACACTGCACCGCAACTGTAAAAGGGTTCCTTTTACCCACAATCATTGTCGCCAGAGCACCTGCTGATTAGCCAAGCGCAATGCTAGAACTACCTGTCGAGCTACAGCGAAATTGCATCGAATTTCTATCTAGCGACGTGACGACTCTCAAGGCCGTTCGCTTGATAAACAAATTGCTCAACGAATTAGCATCGGAGACTCTGTTCCACACAGTATCCTTCACAAACAACAAGAACAGCCCTCCCAGGTTCACACAAACTGCCAATTCCTCCTTACGCAAACATATTCGCCATGTCATCATCACTACTTCCGACGATCCCGACCCCAGGTTACCAATCTACAGGATACCCACCAAGATTCTCGGTGCTTTCAAAGACGCTATCGCATGACTGGCAAGTCGACTGGATTGTCGCACACGGAGCCACGCTGGAAGCTCTCACCCTTCACTGTTGTTTCGTGGTTCGTGGCTTACATATGAACTACGAACAAGCCGAGGCAAATTTCCCTCAGTTGGTTCAACCGGGGCCTACCTTCGATCCCAGCATCCTAGGCATAGCATCTCCGTACGAATGGCAAGTGGGGGGCCCTGAATACTTCGTAAAAGTGCATCTTCGTTGGCATCAAATGCTCGAGCGATTTCGAGTTGGCCTCCAACGTCTTCGGCACTTCGCGTTGAACTACACATGGCCTTCTCATACTTTCGAAAGCCGCTACGATCTCACGCGCCATTTTTCGGGGGCTGGTTACATATTTTTCGACTACACCATATTGGGGTATATTTATATAGATAACCCATGGGATTTTTACAACACCAGGGATTATATAGATGAAAACGGCGATCTTCTGGATGAGTTTAGGGAAGAAGTAGATTGGGGCGATGAGAAGGATGAGCGTGCTTTCGTGGCACTGGCTGAGACGGTACAGCAGCGGACAAGCACGATAACAGAATGGTCTTCGACTTCGAACGCTCTTTCTTGCCCGAGTGATTCTGGTGGTCCGGTTTGAGAAGCCGTTTTTTAACTTATGGTGCCTCGATACCGTTTTGGTCCGTTCATGACTGGAGGCTACCACACTCAGCTATAGCATAGTCCTTCCCCGAATGAGATACTGAAATCCTGTTGCTAGTTTGGCTAGACTCGTGAAGATTGACGTCGAAGATACCGGGCACAACCATCGGCTTTTTGAACTGCACTTCCATCCATAAGGGGGTGTTGAGCAGCTGTCGTAAGCCTCCTAAGTTCATCAAGCGCTGCAGAGCTTTAGCGACGGAATGATTTCCGTGCGCAATCTTTCCCGGTAACCCGAAGATCTTCGCAGCCAGTCCTGATAGGTGTATGAAGTTGTAATCTTTGCATATCGCAGCCCATTTCAGCGGATCGTCCGCGGACAGCGATATTCGCGTAATACTTCCAGCTGAGTGTGGTGTCACTGCACTGGATACTGCCTCCACAAGGTTCTTCGGAGTCCTCTTAGTTTGTACTTTGGCGAACTCTAGCATGCTGAAGGTCTGTCGAAATATGGTATCCACAGTTTTGTTGTTCCCTTTGGTCGGAAGATCAATCATGACCTCCAAATCCCACTCAATGCCTCGTTTTGCTTGCCTTGGGTCTTTGTGTACTACCGCCTTCAAACGTGCTGTTCTCATGTCCGTGAGTGTCGATGGGTCGCATAGATCAGGGCGCAATAGTTCAAATCTGTTGCGAACGTTTACGGCACCTAAGGGACTGATCGGACACCATGGGCTGGCGAGTAGGAGAAGCATCGCCGGTTCAGTCATGGCCGATAAGAAAAGCATGAGTTGAGTTGGGGAAATCCCCGTCTCTAAGCTGCTTTCCTGTCCAATCGCGAGTTGATACCGAGCAAAATCCTCCGCATCTATGATGAAAGGTGAATCGAGCCCTAGTCCAGAGAGCCTTATGCGCGGAACGCCAGGAATCGCATAGATGATAGATTTTACAACCATTCCCATGACGGCTAGTACGATCTCCCCTATTCGGAGCGAGGCTGGGGAAAAGGCTAGAGTGACTCTCTTCGGGCTGAACAGCAAGGGCGTTAGGCGATACCCGAACGAGACGAGCACGCCGAAAAGCATACCAGCAATAAGGAATAGCATCATGGTGGGATATCTGTGCTATGGAACTGATACTGAAAGGTAATGTGAAGCTTGCCCAGGTGTGGTAGGAGCCATCTCTGTGGCTAGCGGCACCCATGACGTCATCAATATTGTGAAAGTCACAGGCGACAGCACCAAGCCTTCTATATGCCAGCTCTCTCAGTACTCATAGCGAAGCCGTTTCTGCCAGCGTAGAGTTCACACGTGTCTCCCAAATTACAAGAGACATGCGGTACTTCGATGCCCATTTCAAGGGTGCGACTACACACTAGGCCCAAGTCTGTTCAGCGCCGTTAATGATGGCCATTACGTCCTTCGGCCGGAGGCGATCGCAATCTTTTATATATTTCGACTCAATGGTGAGACCAAGTACCAGAACATCGCGTAGGAGATGTTCCAGGTCATTGGCGCAAATATCAAGACCGGGTTCGGCATAGCTACACTTCAGGACGTTATGAAGACTCCACCAGAAAAGAACGGTAGCATGGAGGTAAGTCTCGGATATGTGGTGAATGTGAGACAAACACTGACATCTTGTCTTCATCTCCGCAGAGCTTCTGACTGGCCGAAACCCTTAACACTTCTATCTCATCTTCAGCGCTCACAACGAAGTTAGCTTGGATGACTTCGTGCTCGACACTGAAACACATTCATTTTGGATGCCTGATCGATAGCGTATCAATGATTCGAGGCCCGAAGAGTTGTTCGTTGTGGTCGAAGCGATCGGTTGTGCGCGACGGTATGTGGTTGCGCAATATAGACTAGATCTTACATTCAAAATGTCAGTCTACAGCGAACTTCTCTATGATTGGCCTGCTCAAGAAGCTTAGGGTGTCGTGAAAACTGTGGTGGCTGGGAAGTCGTGTTGGCCGAGTTCGACCGAATTTGGAAGCGGGAAGACGCGCCCAACGACCAAGCTTTTCCCAAAAGCTTGTGCACTGACGGCGTTGCTTCAAGCCCTGACCTTCAATGTACGCAAGGGACGCGTACGTTCACTCTGTAGTGTCGTACTTGCTCAAAACCGTGAAGCTGGAATTGCGAACAATCGTTCCTTACCTGATTAGATGCCGACATAGCTTTCCGTCGTTTTCCACTCCTCAACAATATCCGAAGGTCCACTGAAGCGCGAAGATGCCCGCTCATCGGTACTTGACGAACGTGATAAGCCTCGGTGTATCGCTGCCGAATTCTGTTTCCGCTTTCCGAGTAGGAGGGTGCCGAAAGATAGCGACGAAAGCGTGACGACGACGGCTAACAACCCTTGTCTGAAACTCAATGGGCTAGTGTCTAACCAATAATCCTACATCTGGGGTCTCCACTGGGGGTCTCCGCGAAAGTCTTCTTCCGCAGTTGTCGGTATGGGGAAGAGCGGGTACATAATATGGGTTTGCCACTCAAGCGCGTGTTCGAGACTGCTGGCCTTTTTGTCCTTGTACTACATCTTCCCGCGGCCTACACATAGGGTTTGGACAATCAGGACCACCAAGTAGTCATGGAGAACGACAAGGAGGCCATCTCTAACGAGCCAGTTCGTAGTGAGGACATAGAGCGTCTACCCACCCACGGCACCTATCTCGACAAAGACGAGGCATCCCATCTCTCCGAGGAGCATCGACAGTACCTGTTGGAACGACATGGCACACTTGAGCTTGATCCTATACCCACCATGGGTACGGCGGATCCATACAACTGGCCCCAGTGGAAGGTAAGTCGTTACGAACACATCAGCACAGCGTGTGCTAATGAAGGAATCAGAAAGTGATGAACCTTCTCTTTGTCGCCTTCCACGCCATGATGTGTGCCTTCCCTGCTGCTGCGATCATTCCAGCCTACGAGAACATATCCGAAGACCTAGGTGTCAGTCTCCAACAAACGTCATATCTTACGTCCTTGCAAATCGCAATCCTTGGAGGTGCTCCACTGTTCTGGCGACCGCTCTCTACACGATATGGACGCCGACCCATTTTCATCATATCCTTGATCGGCAGCTTAGTCTTCAACGTCGGTTGCGCGAAGAGCCAAACATATGCTGCCATGGCGACTTGCCGGGCTTTCCAAAGCTTCTTCATTTCGCCTCCGAACGCAATCGGCAGTGCCGTGGTGGTTGAGACGTTCTTCAAGAGGGAGAGAGCGAAGTTCATGGGTATTTGGACGGTCATGATTACTCTCGGTATACCTCTGGCACCACTTATCTTCGGCTTTGTTACATATAATGTCGGCTACCGCTGGATCTACTGGATCCTTGCGATCGTGAATGGTGTCCAACTCATTCTTTACACTCTCTTCGGACCAGAGACGCGCTTCATTCGACACAACAACGCGCAGCATGCGCAGTTCGGTTTTGCAGCCTACAAAGAGATGTACCTCAAGTTCCGTCGTATCGACCCTACGCCCATCACCGCCTCAGAGTTCATCTCGCCCCTTCGACTATTCAAGTACCCGTGTGTAGTCATTCCAGCTTGCGCATACGCAATGGTCTTCCTTTTCGCATCAGTCCTTGCAACGGTTGAGATTCCGCAACTCTTCGGCGAAAAATTCCACTTTAATGCACAGCAGATCGGTCTGCAGTTCGTCGGTGTTATCGTCGGTACTGTCATCGGCGAGCAAATCGGTGGACACTCCAGTGACCTCTGGATGCGATGGCGTGCAAAGAAGATGGCTCCTCTCCGGCCTGCTCCGGAGTTTCGTCTTTGGTTGAGCTACTTCGGTATTCTCCTCACCATCTGCGGTGTAGTCGTGTTCCTTGTGCGCATTGAACAAGCTCCAGACCTGCACTGGAATGTAACCCCCATCGTCGGTGCAGGCATAGGTGCAGCAGGTAACCAGATTGTTACCACAGTTCTGATTACATATGCCGTGGATTGTTATCCTGATGAAGCTGGTAGCATTGGCGTGTTCGTTACCTTTGTAAGGCAGATTTGGGGCTTTCTTGGTCCTTTTTGGTTTCCTCCCATGTTTGAGAACGTAGGAATCGCGAACAGTGCTGGCATTGTTGCGGCATTACTTGTGGGTGTTAGTCTGATCCCAGTCATGTTCACACACTGGAAAGGTCATACGATGAGGGGCCACATGTCGGAGAGAATGTAGAGTCAACAAACGGCTTTCCCATCGTGCTGGGTTCACGGAACTGTTGTACATCTCTGAATAACAGGTCATCACATTAATGAAACCATAGGCATTTTGCCAAACAACAGCTTTTTGAAATAGCCATCTGTGTATTGCTTGTGGTTTTCGCATGCGAGAACCACTTCGCTACAATGTGAACTCATGACAACCAGCTCATAACTTCGATCCTAACCCCTCCTTCTGGCACAACTCTTCCGCCTCAGTTACAACATCGACCCCATAGACCCGCGCTTGTATGTCCGCATCTGCCCACCTATCCGGCACCTTTCCTGATCCTGCCTTCATCTCCGCGAAGATCTTGTCGCGTTTCTCCTTCGCCTTACCAGCACCGAGATGCATTTCTCTCCCGTTCTCCGCTGCAAGCTCGACGAGTGCTTCCGCTCTTGGTTTCCTCAGCTTCTCATATAATCGCAGTGCATGCTCAATGGTCTCTGGCTTTCCGTCGGCGATCCGTTTAGGAGACAGCACGACACCCAGTACAGCACCGTCTTCGATCGCTTGGGCAGCACCTTGTGCCATGTGCGGAAGCGTAGGATGGCAGGCATCACCGACCAATGCAGCTGTACCATGCACCCAAGTGACCAACGGATCGTGAACCCTTAGCTTCCACTCGACAACCTCGCCCTCTGGTACTAGATTCAACATGCGGTGTATCATCGGACAAAAATCGCCGTAAACTTCCAACATGGCCTTCTTGCTGCCCTTGGTTGTATATTGAGCATCCGGAGCGCCGGCAAAGTTGATATCGGGCTGTGCGGTGGAGATATTATAGATCTGTTTGTTGTGGATCGGATAGGCGATGATGTGCTTCTTTTCGCCGATCCAGCGGGTCACTGTATCGGACTCAATCAGCTTGAGTAACTCGGGGTCGTTCTCCATTTGGTCGCGGTTCAACATGATACGGTAGGCAGCCTGACCTGAATCGCGAGCGGCGCCGGTGTGGCCGAGTTCTTTGAGCATAGCGACGCGTGTAGAGCTTTTTACGCCATCAGCGCCAAGGAGGACATCGCATTCGACTTCTTGTGACTCTCCCTGTCCTTGCGATGGCGAAACAGTGAACTTTGGTTTTGTTCCAAAGCGGACGTTGGATATGTTGCAGCCCAGCCTGAATGTGATACCACTCTCCTTCTTGCAACCCTCGTATAGGCCGTTTGCGAGACTAGCTCGATGACCGACCATGTGTGGGTATCCGTACTTTTCTCGCACGTAGCTTAGATCTACGTACCCTAGTTCTTTGTCTGTCGTGCCTTCCCGGATGGATGTGTTTGCGCATTGGACTGCCTCATCGCGGATTGGTCCCCAGCAACCTAATTGGTCGAGGATACGGGCCATGTTGGGTGCAAGTTGAATACCAGCGCCTACGAATCCCATGTTTGCTGCGTTTTCGTATATTGTGATGTTCTTATGGCCGGCTTTTGCAAGTGCGAGTGCTGCTGCTAGGCCACCCATGCCTGGAGTATTGTTAAATGTTATTGATTCCAATGGGGTTGAGGTGTCGAGAATATCATACCTGCTCCAACAATAGCTATCCTAGTATTTTCCGCCATTGTGGGCGTTCTGCTTTTGCGTTACTCCTTGGACAGGGCCTGATGATGCGGCAAAGAATGAAGAGTTGTTGACAGAATGTGGCTGGTGTTCGTTGCTGGATTGACCTCTTCCAAGACGAGCAAAGAATCTGGCAAGAGCTCTTGAGATGATACTCAAACCCTTCTATAGTCCCGTCCCTCGTGCTTATTCCAGCTTCTTTGCTAATTCCGAGCTCTTCTCCGTGCACAATGTTCAGCCACCGGAAGAAATCTTAACCGGAACTATCAGAATCCCCAACGTATTCCAGGAAAGCAATTACGTCGATAATTGTCGCAACGGCTAAAGCTCAATCGAACCCACTAAGTATGGAGATGGTTGTGATCATATATCGGGGAAACCTTTAGGCCCGATTACACTTAAGATGGAGTTGCTGTGGCCAGCTACCAGTCACCCCACAGTGGCGGGGCAACGCTTTGAGGGTTAGCGCACCTTCACCCAACGCCCCACCGCCGCCATGGACGTGCGATACGGCACATGCGGAGTCATGGAGTGTGGGTGTGATGTCCCTGCATCTTACCAACGCATCAATCGTGATTGCACGATCTCCAAGTGAGGCTGAAGGGGATGTGTCCAGAAACCTGGTCGCTCCTACTCCGCAATATTTCTTCGTCGCTTCTTCGGACATCCACATTGGTGCTGAGACGTGCGCATTTTAAATTTGGATACTCCGGATACGCAGCTAGAGGTGCACAACTTACCGTAATATCAGGTTGATACTGTCGTACAACTGGTATTACGTCTGCAATCGCTACAAAGCATCAATCAAGCGTTGGACTTAACCGCAGACACGCAAAACCTACTTGAGCAGTTGGCGGTTAGATCAACCTGGTATTAACCTTTCAACTCGTCGATCATACGTCCGATAGATATAGTCGCCTGCTCCGGAACGGTGTTAACAATCACCAAACTGAACGGCTTCTCGCGACCATGATTCAGAGCATACACCACAACAGGTTTAAATCAATGGAATACAGCAAATACTCGAGAAAGCGTGTCTGAGGGGGTTGCATGTTTCGCAATCTGTTCACCATCCAGTACAGCTTAAACACTTGAATTTGCGTGCATATATACAGAGCGACACAGCTGTAGAAGGCTCTATGTAGAGCTGCGAGCCGACTTCAGTCCCGTGTATACGCGATGAGGGGCTGCATCACCCCGCGCTAACGCCTCAGACCGAATGTGGGGTGACTTCCCGAATCATCTCATGGGTAGACAGAGAATTTCTCATCCTCCCGCCCATTCAACAAGAGTGGTTGTTAATTCAGCAGCCGTTGCACAAATCATAACGGTATCCTCTTTAAGATTGAATACAAGCATCTAAGTGACCCCTCATCATTACGTGTTACGCGGTTTTTGTGGAGGAAGAGCGTTCACCCGGAGCTGGCTTCCAACCTCAGAACGCGAGAGAAAGGCCTATGCGGGAATAGCGTGACCTTCGGAGCCAGATCAAGCACCAGAGATCAGCAAGTATCGTGGCTGTCATCCAAGATAATAGCTACACGGAAAAGGCTTCTGCCCTCTGCCTCAGCATACCTTCGCAATCGGGAACGTCAGAGGAACAGAGTGGTGCAAGCGTATAAACAAAACAACTCTCAACCATGGCACGACGAAACTCATTCGACCAAGCATCAGCTGGCTTCCGCGCTCATCTGCCAGACCTCAGCAGTCCGCGCTTTACAACAGCCGCAAAGCAGAACATCTACGAGTATGTCCAGGACATGCAAGACAACCGTGCTCCACCCTGGCTGTACGATCTGACAAAGGTCTGGGAGAAGTTACTGGAAGAACCATACAAAGGTATCACGAATGACGGCAAAGTAAGAGAAGGCCTATTCGAAGCACGAGACGAAGGCGCAGATGTAGGTGGCGCGGTCAAGAAGGCTGAAGAGCTGCTCGCAAGTCTTGAGAGCGAGCAAAAAGAGAAGGTTTCATATTCGATTAATGCAAGAGAGTGGAGAGCATGGAGTAACCCTGAGTTCCTACTGAGACCGTTTGGGCTAAGACTTGAAGAAGGTAAGGACCAAATGTCTTCGTGTTGTGATTATATATTAACTTTTCTAGTTTCCGAAAGTACTGCACAATCAATACTCGCGGTGGTAGAAGCATCTCTCTCACCGGAAGGCTACCAAAAGGCTCTCTCGGCCATGCGCGTGAATCATTTCCTAGGCGAAGTCTGCAAACTACCCAACATCTTGAACAAGTACTCTTACAACTTCCTACTTTTCGGCACACCCTCTACCTCCGCTTCATCGCCTTGGGGGTGGCTTCTCTACGGCCATCATCTTGATATTTCATGTTTCTTCAAAGGGAATCAGGTCATCATGAGCCCATCATTCACCGGGGCAGAACCAAACATCATTGACGAGGGAGAATGGAAGGGTACTAAGATCCTGCACAAAGAAGGAAGCCTGGGCTGGAAGCTGATGCAAAGTCTGAGCCACGAACAGCAGCAAAAGGCACAGATCTTTAAAAAGATGAGAGATGAAGGCATGAAGCAAGTTTACGGCAACTCCAATAACGACGAAACCAAGCGCGATGAGCTCATTACCGATACCTGGGGTCCAGACGACCAGCGTCACCGATGCGGCGCCTTCCGCGACAACCGCATCGTACCTTACGAAGGAGTCCTTGTATCGTCTCTTGACTTTTCCCAACAAGACCTCGTCCTTTCTATATGCGAAGAGTTCCTGTTGTATCATCCATCAAAGGCGCGCCAACTCAAGCTTGAACAGATCAAACAACACTTTGAAGAAACATACTTTTGCTGGATCGGAGGCTTTGGCGAAGATGACGCGTTCTACTTCCGTATCCAGAGTCCCGTTATCTTGGTCGAGTTTGACCATCACTCTGGCGTGTTCCTGACGAACAAGGAGCCAGCAAAGTACCATACGCACACTATCGTAAGGACACCGAATGCAGGAGACTACGGACAGGCTATCAGAGAAGGAAACGAAAGATTAGAGTAGGTTTTAGGTACTAGCTGCAGTACAAAAGCGGCGTGTTGAGAAATGACAGAGAGCACCAGCTTCGCAGACCTCGGTTGTGAGAACACTATCATGTATAAGAAGAGATCACACTCTCCATGTTGCATCTCTTCCACTTCCAGGCGCTGGCCTCTTAACGCCAATGGTATTCGAATAATTTACATCCATGTCCAAAACCCCAATCCACAGCTACTTCGGCTTTCCGCTACTATGCAATATCACATTTTCACACAACCTGATCATTCACGGATCTGATGGTGCACCAGATCCACTCACCTAAAAGCCCCACTCCATGGTGGAAGACCGCATTATCACCAATCATGGCTGCTTCCACGTCCGTAGCAGCTCTAAGGTACATACTCATGTTGCCATTCGACGCAAGCTTTTCCATTTCTTTTACCATTAGGCTTCAAAGGTCCCGCTGGGTGTCTATCAAATGCAGTCTCGGTGCGTTGACGATCTTAACAGTTGTTCGGCAGTCACGGTCTACTTCTGCTATAATCATAGCCATGTCATCTATCCCTCTGTAGAATAGGTTGGCCACCAAATGCCACTTCTTCGTTTCATCTGCAAAGAACGGCTGATCTTCCAGATTCTGGGACCGTCGCAACATAATGTGGGTGACTACGGGCGGAGTAATTTTGTTGGTGGTGCTGAGAACGAGGCTGATCCTCTCAGCAGAACTGACGTGATGCCTTGGGTCGTTTGACACTGCCGTCTGAAGTCAGGGTGAGAGCCTTGTTCGTGCAGAAGCCGTAGGTGATATGCAATCGCACCATCAGTTCAGAATTCCAGAAAAAGCCTCGAAACCTTGTTTCTCTCAGGCTTTGTACTAGCTACAACACACCTACCCTAGGCGCGTATCAAACTTTTCAATTTGGTGGCTGTCGATATTAAGCACAGCGTAGAATCTTGAGATGTACTATCAGGACTATCTTTAAGAGAGGACGCTTCTCCGATCACTTGCATTTCAGCAATCTCCAAACGAACGCACGTCACTAGTGATAACGATGTGAAAGGCAGGCACTCAACGTTTCGGCAATGCTTCCTTCACGACTGCCTTTCTTTGCTGACTATACAGACAGTTTCATAATTGCCCTCAGACTCAGCCCGGTCAATCACCCACCACAACCCAGTTCTGATCGATATATCAACATGCCTTCAACTACGAATGACAAGATAGACTCATCTAGTGTCTCCGATCTACACCCTTCATCCATCAGCAGTCCCGCTTCGATGATGTCTGAAGAAGTAGACTCGTCTCCAGGCTCGGAAGAGAGTGAGCCCGCTCAAACCATGGCGCTCATCCCTTACGCCGCAGCACAATCTACTTCGAACGTAGCTTACCTAGAGCCCGAAAGCCCTACTCTTCTCACATCTGGTAACGTGTACAATGTTGATGTTCCACCTTGGATTGCAAGTGCGAATCCGATCCACCAGCATCAGGCAACGAACAAGTTTCCCTCCTCTATGCCGCCAACATTGGGCCTTTCACCTGCACAGCAAGCCGCTACGACCGGTCCGCAGCCGACATACGCTCCTTTGCCGGTGATCACTCCTATTCATAACCATAATCAACAAACATTCGGCTTAGCAAGCTTTCTACATACGAATCTAGTTACCGCATTTGATTCGCAGTGACCACAAGCTCCCGGGACGGTACCATCAGGCTCTCAATCGACGACGGAGACACACGCTCTTTTCGCATCAACAGCTGTTCATCATCTTCATCAACTTCATCACCATCATACGTCCTTCGATGCCGCTGCTTTTGTTGATACACTGGAGGAAGTCAATATTGCCAGCATCGCTCCCGAGGATATGAGGTGCCCACATTGCTGGCTCCCTTTCGGCACCACCACCGAAGACGATTCATCGATCCTCGTCTATATAGACGAGGGGGAGCGGGAGATCATGTGGCGTTTGAATGCCAGCTACGAGCTGCCTTTCTGCGTAAACAGGCCAAACAACGACCCTGTCAGGACGCCGTGTTGGCATGTTTTCGGAAAGCAGTGCCTCGTACAAAGCCTGGAGGAGACTAACAAGACGTGTCCAATATGTAGACAAGAGCTTGGTGGGACCAGAGGCGTACCTACAGGTACGATCGTGGCTTCGGAGTCTGATAATCTCCCTCATTTACCCCCAATTGGGTTGTTTTAGTATTGTTTTATCTCTGGTAGTGGGTAGTTGTGCGTGGATCGTTGTTTATAGGTCATCACAGTGCTACGGGACGAGTGGATGGGACCCAGAGTATGGCACGTCTGTTCTGAGATGATCGTAGTAGCCAACACTAAACTGGCACATGGTAATGTTTGGCGCGACAGCTGGGTAATCGATATATAGCGATCTAAAATGCGCACAATGTAGCCACTTCGTCGAGAGAAACGACGATGCAGGATATACGACCTCGGATACGTTGGCAGTCATATCACGTAGCACAGATAGTGTAAACCTTAACTTGTCATATATCGATACATATGTTAGGGTTGTGTGATCTTGTTTTACTAATGCGGCCGACGCAGTGGATGTGCTTCAGTATTGCTATGCATTCGTTAGTGTCGCCTCCAAAAGGTAATCCTCAAGTTGGAAAGGGTCATACTCACAAAACATATTTATCCAAGCTCACAAGATCTGGCTCACTGAAAATCAAGTAGAAGTACTTCAGTGTCTCCGCCATCCAAAAGCTTTCACATTCATCCAGCTTGAGTGTCTCTTGGTCTTTTGGTATTGTTACATCCGCGATAGCAGAGTGGGCGAACTCGGCCATGGTAGCATTGTTGATGGACTCGAACATGCGCCAGGCAGTGTCTTGGAGAGTGGTGTCACCGGTAATACGATAGAGGATGAAAACGGATTCGATGGCTTCCGGACTATAAATGTCATTAGCAGTGCATTTTCAAGACGAGCTGTGTACTTACCGTAGCAGGAATCGTGGATCTGCAATCTTAGAGAAACCAGGCTGGAGTCCTATTTCCTTAATGACATCTTGGACGTCATAATGCTCAGCATGGATGTTACTAGAATATGAGTACTTGACAGAAGCGTGCCATTTTTCCACGTCCCATGCGCAGTCTTCTTCGCCATAGCACGGCATCATCCGGAAGGTCTCTGGCATGATGCCAGTGGGCATCGCTTCATAAGCCCAAGTGCAACCGTCTACCAGCTTACGAGCTACGTCTAGCTCATCAGTTCGGTTGAAGATTTTAGCACCTAGAGCAACCATGCCACCTGCGAAGCAAGCAAGATGTTGACCGTTCGGTTCGAGCTTGACAGAACCAAAAGAACTCATGCGGGCATCGCCGGAGATGAGGATATCTTGACCCTGCGGGATTCTGGGCCGGAAGAACAAATGTTTCTTTGCTGGCTCGATGGCGCTTTCATATAGCTTCCGATATTGCTCCGTCATTCCTCCAAGAAGCAGATGCTGCTTCGGCAAATATTCATATAGCGAATCCGTCATCCCACCCATCGTGAATGTCCCGTCGACGTTGAATACTTCCGGGCCTGGACTGACGAGTACCGGGAACAAGCCAGGTATCTTGGTTCGGTTTTGATGCTTTTCAAGTACATCGGTGATTCTCGCTATCGCGTCGTAGTATTTCAGGTCACCGGTGAGTTGGGAAAGGCGGGTGAATTCGAGCGTCAAAGATCCTATCTCTGCGCTAAGTGCTTGTGCATCAGCTTCTTGGTGGCCGTTCAAAGCAGCACTGATTTATGTCAGTATGTACGGGTCGACGGCATGGCACATTCTTACTTCTCCCAGTCCCACCGTGTGATTGGCATCCTGTTCGGTGTATCAAATGCAGCATACAGCATGTCTCCCAATTCGGTCGCCTTGTGTAGTAGTGTGTGGTGTTTCGCTTTGCTTAAGTCGTATGCGCCCAGAAGACCACCAAGATAGCGAATAGTAGTTTCGAAGACGTTTAGGCGCGCAACACCTGCAGTGGTGAAATCGATTTTCTTGACAGCATGTACAGCCTTAACAAACTCGTCTTCTAATCCCATGATGGCCAACGTGTCGAGCGCGTCTACTAACGTTGCTCCACGCTGTCCAAAGCCATTCTTGAAGCCTCCTGTTACCGGAGTCACTTCGTCTTGTAGCCATGCGTAGGTTTTGTATCCTTCCCAACTGTGTAGGAATGCCTTCTTTACAGCTGCTTGCCTGTGCAACCTCTCCGCCTTGTTGTGCTCGGTCTCGATTCCAAACTCATGTTGAATTCTTGGGATGGCAGCCGGCGTGCCTGTAGGAAAAGCAGCCAGTGAAGAAACCGGATGTCGCACCGGAATGCTCTTCCATGCTACAGCATGTTCGATTCGATTCGATGAAGTGAAGGTCGGCGAGGGGAGCTCGTTTCGGGCGCCGAGTTGTCGAAAAGCGAGGATAACGAAGGTTGCGAATATGAATAGCACAGCAATACGTCGAGTAATGGGGCTCATGATGCCAAAATGTCTATTGAGGGTATCTTATGCGTCTAGCAACTAAAAGGGAAGAAACGCGACTGCTGCGCCGCAGTACACCGGCCTAGCATTCGAGGATGTAAAAGAGCGATTGGATCAGAAAATGATGTATCGGAAATACAAGAAGAACCGGAAAGACAGACAATAGATACAACAGACGGGACGTAATTGCTAATGGTGGGATGAAAGAAGAAGCCCCATGGTGATGCATGTGCTAAAGACAGGGCTGAACTGCCGACTTCCGACCCTGAGCTAGCAGGGCTACATCGCAGTTGCCGATCCCTTCTCCACAAACACCATAATCAGCTTCCGCAGCTTTGAAAGCCATGGACACGGTGAGCGAGACATACAACACATCGCATGAATAGACTGGATATGTGGTCTTCCGACTGAGTCTAAATCACATGATCTGTGTTAGGCAGCAGCTTTGATGGCTTGGCTAAGGAACCCACGAGCGACGTCAGACGATGAGACCATTGGTTACAAATGTCATTGGTGCATCGCAGAACGGCACTCCGCTCACCGTGTGTGAGATGAAGTCGTATTCCGGCATGTCAGCAAGAAGCCGGGAATTTAACGTTGCTGAAACGTATATGGACTGCGAACTCCAAACTATTGACTTTCATCTTCTCATCACCGCATACTGATTTAGAAAAACCAAACTCGTGCTAACGAAAGACAATACATCATATTCTCGGCACAATGTTCAAACTCTTCGGAGATCGCGCTCCTTCATCGCCTCCGAACCCTGCGAAGCTCCAACTCCGACCTAACGAATGCCAAGTGCTCAGCCTGCCTGACGGGCGCACGCTTGGCTTCGCATCCTATGGCTCTACGGACCCTTCTCATCCTGTCGTCTTCCTCTTCCATGGTCTTCCAGGCTGTCGACTGGTCGGAAGAAGTTGGGACAAGCTCTGCAGGGACATCGGCGCGCGTCTCATCGCCATCGATCGGCCGGGCTGTGGAAACTCGACTCTCGCTGATCGTGGCCTCGTTGACTGGCCTGGTGATGTCGTGAGCCTCGCAGACCATCTCAACGTTGAGCGTTTCAGCGTATTAGGTGCCAGCGGAGGCGGACCGTACGCTTTGGCTTGCGCACGCTTCATTCCCAAGGAAAGGCTTCGAGCCACAACTGTTGTGTGCGGTATTGGGCCTATCGAGGCTCTCCTAGATACAGTGCCCTATCTCTCATGGCGTCTCATGGGTATAACACCATGGCTCTTGCGACAAGGAGCCCTCCATCTCTTTCTGCCCCACATCCTGATCCGTCCCTATCTCACTAGAGACCCTTCTCGCCTCAAGCGCGTCCTCGAAGACCAAGCCAGAACCCCAGAGGAGAAAGAACAATTCCGCGATGAAAGCGGAGATACCAACCTTGACGACGTTGTCGCATCACTGCTTGAAGCTTTCAAGCAGGGCCCGGGCGGTTGTATGCAGGATGGCGCTGTGCTTACGAGAGATTGGGGATTTGAATTGAAAGACGTAGAGCACGAGCGAGTGTGGCTAGTGCATGGCGATCAAGATGCGCAGGCACCATTGAAAGTTGCCCAGTGGATTGACGAGCGGTTAGGGGGCGGGAGACTCAAGATTCTGGAAGGCAAGACACATTTTACGATCTGGAAAGAACACTCAGAGGAGATATTTCGGCAAAGCGCTGAGGCGTAGACAAGCCGTAAAGAAAGATCGGGATACGAGTTGCGCCGTAGATGTTCGTTTTTCAAGGCTTGGTAATGCAGGGCGTAATGCGCAGACAGTCGACGTTGGTGTTTCACCGCATGTCCGATTTTGTCGCCCGGATTTGCGGACCTAAAGGTCGGCTCTGAGTTCAGCATCAAAGATCTCTCCAATTCTCAACATAGCCATGTAAATCTGCCATCAGACGTGAAGGTGTGGAATTAGTATATATACTGGGTGTCCATCGCTCTCCAGCAATCACAAAGTGTGACAGCTTCCATAGCATACCGTCCGAGGATTTTCATAATCACGATGTATCTATCCATCCTTAACCCTACCTTGTTGGTTGCAGCCTTTCTCATTACCTTCGCATCATCTGCACCCTCTTCCGGTCAGTTACCTTCATGGAGACAACTTGCTCCTATTCCTCTTTTCCCACGCCAGGAACAGACTACGGTATTCCTCCCACCCTCTACTGTGGCGATTCTCGGCGGCGTTATACCCTCCAATATGTCTTTTCCACCCGTGGACACTACTCCATTGATGCAATTCTACTCGATCAAGGACAACACATGGACCACTAGAGCCAGCATGCCTCGAGGACTGAACCACGCCAACGCGGCCGTTGTGGATGGAAAAATATATGTCCTAGGCGGTCTTGCGGAGACAGGCGAACCAGGTGAAGGAAAGAGGGTGTGGGACGCAGTGCCAGGCTCTTGGGTGTACGATCCTATCACTGATTTATGGGAGACAGTACCGGGCATACCCGCCGGGGAAGAAAGAGGTAGTGCCAGTGTAGGTACTTACCAGTCACAGATTTATCTCGCTGGTGGTATGTCGGAACTTGAGCTGTTCGAGAATGGCACTCAGAACAGCGTTTCGGTTGTTTCTGTATTTGATACCGACACAAGGACGTGGCTCTCTGTCCCTGAGGCTGCGAAGTATATACCGGAAGCCCGGGATCACGCTGGTGCTGCAGTAATAGGCTCGAAGATGTACGTCCTTGGTGGACGAGACAGCGGGCAAGAGAACATTCGCGACACCGTCTTTTTCCTCGATCTCTGTGATCTCGAAGCGGGTTGGAAGACTAGCGAGGCGCGCATGCCTACGCCTAGGGGGGGTGTGGCGACTGGTGTTATCGGAAAGAAGGTATACGTCTTCGGTGGAGAGGGCAATGCGCAGTCGGAAACCGGAGTGTTCGATCAGGTTGAGGTCTACGATACTATGCGGGACCGATGGGCGAAGGCTGGGAAAATGAGGCTACCTAGGCATGGAACATACGCTGTGGGTGTGAACGGGAAGGTTTACGTTCCCGGAGGTGGCGTAAGTCAAAGCGGTGCGCCAGTGTCTGACTTTGACGTCTTTGTACCGTAGGCCTGGACCATGGCATGATAAGGACCCGACAGACAGTTAGAATTGCGGTGAGGTGACTCGAACTAGGAGCGTCTTTGGCACAGTATTTGAGATGGGTCGGGCGGAGAGCCAATTCATGAGACGATAGGCAGGTACCCGGACGAGGGCGGCCTTGTTTCAATCACTTACAAGGGTCTATATGGGGTCAGCCACTCGCTTTGTACAGAATAACCTTGTGCGAAATATCCAGTCAATTTGCTACTGCTTTTACTCAAGTGCATTGCGAAGATGCCCCTTTTTTTACGCGTTCTACTCTAGCCATACCGCACCCTAAAGGTATACGCTGTATTCTACACTAACATGGCAGAAGATACAACATATTGTATACCTTTAGGCTAGACTTTGACTGTTGAACACAACTCATTAATAACGAGCTCATTCGTACCATGCATGCATCATGAGTCGAGGGGTACAGTGAACTTCGAGCGGTGTCAGCTTTTGGGCGAGTGTGAAACAGAATATCCCGGTTATAAGGCACACGGAGGCCCAGGGAGAGGCATCCAGAAGCATGCCAGCCTACAGAAAGTGGGGTTTCGCGTAAGATTCGCTCCCGCGGATAACGTTTGCGGGATAAGCTGCTACATCCAGTGCCCATTGTGTTCCCTTACTCGTGGGCAACATGCCCGCAACTGCCGGATTGCCGCCGACGCCACAAATATAGTAGTGAGATGGGTGGGAAGAATGCTCGGTCTTCGGTGTTGGAGTCAAGATAACGGCTAACCGGATAACAGCGAAGCAAATGCTTATTGAAATTAAGCTGAGACATATGACACTAGTTTCGCCGTCTGAAATTCCAAGCGCTAGTGATGCCCCGGTGGTAAGCAGGAGGTCGTGGTTCGGTAGATCTCAGTCCGTCCGAATGGCGATAGGAAATCTGCAAACACCATCATCCATCATCGCAATAGAGTTCGACGATGGAATATAGATCCACGACGAATGCGTACGCGACGATGATCTTTGCGGAGGGTGGTAACCGCAACAAGCAGGAGACAGATCGACCAGAGGTAAAGTTTGAGGTTAGCGGTGGCTGATTTCACGCTAAGAAAGAAGCCTCGGAGCATTTTCACCACCATCAATGCCACCATTACGATGATGATACCATTAACCTTTGCGACTTCCACCGCATCCATGGAATGTCCAATTTGTCTCATTGCTCTTCACTGAGTCTCTTTGGGGTTGTAAGAGCAAGAACGTCAGTGGCGTAAGTGCTTGATATTGTGCCACGCCACAAACACAGGCCTTTGGCTAGGCATGTTTCACGTCCCGTGCCGTAACCTTCGTATAGCCACATGTATAATCGCATCAGGGACGAATGTGGCGCGTGTCAGCACTTCCACAATTTCCAAGCCGGTCGCCATCCGACGCACTTGCAGGCCTAGACATGTTCTGAGCAAATTCTCCGTACCGGTTTCTTCATGCACATACCGAGATTCAGGTTTCCACCATTGAGAAAGCAGACCACAGCGGGACTGTCAATCTCGTCTCTTCACGTCCATTCAATGCCAAAGGTTTCGGGATGGTCCGCCTTGGAATGCTTGATGGGCTTGGTATATTCCACCGGCAATATATAGGTTGTTTATCGCCGCAGTTGTTTCGTTTCAATCATCACTCACTTCTTCCATCCTCTTTCATTCGCTGTCAACCGCCAGGATGCGTTACTCTATTGTTGCTTCGTTGCTTTCGGCTGTTACCGCAGTCTACGGCTATGCCGACCCCATGGCTTGCTCTGGTATCTGCAACAACGCTCACGACCCGGCCCTGATTCGTCATTCCGATGGCACTTACTACCGTTTCTCGACCGGTGGCAAGATCGCTATCCACAGTGCGCCTTCGCTCACTGGACCCTGGTCCTACAAGGGTGCCGCGATTCCTTCCGGTTCCAAGATCAACTTGGCTGGCAAGGACGATCTCTGGGTATGCACTGCTATGTATCTGCTTATTTGAAAACAATCTAACGAGACCTTCAGGCTCCTGACGTTACCCTAGTCGGCGACACATACTACCTCTACTACACCGTCTCCTCCTTCGGTGTCCAGAACTCCGCCATTGGTGTTGCTACCAGCAAGGACCTCAAGTCCTGGACCGACCACGGCGCCACCGGCATCCAATCGAGCGCTGGCAAGAACTACAACGCCATTGACAGTGCGCTTTACTGGGATGGATCGAAGTTCGTCATGTCCTTCGGTTCCTTCTGGAACGACCTCTTCAGCCAAAACATGGCCAACCCACCCCTCAAGACCAGCTCTTCCACTGTCACCAACATTGCCTTCAAGCCCGATGGTGAGCACGCCCAGGAAGCTCCATTCATTGCTAAGAACGGCAACTACCACTACCTCTTCTTCTCCGTTGGCAAGTGCTGCGGTTTCGACACCAACAGACCCGCCAAGGGTCAGGAGTACAAGATCCAGGTCTGCAGATCTACCAGCGCCACTGGTGGCTTCAAGGACAAGAACGGTGTGGACTGCACTCAGGGCGGAGGTACCACTGTCTTGGAGTCTCACGGCTGGGTTTACGGACCTGGTGGTCAGGGTGTCTACTACGATCCCAAGGAGGGCCCTGTCCTATACTACCACTACGTCGACACCCGCATTGGTTACGGCGATGGTCAGAAGAAGTTCGGCATCAACAAGATCGACTTCTCCAGTGGATGGCCTGTCGTATAAGCGCTTGTGGCACGTTCGAGTACACACTATTGGCCCAACGTCACCTGCGTCTTCGTCCACTTTGGGCACCTTCTTGTCTATATATTCTTACACATATTCCCACTGTACATACTTACAGAATACACATGTATATGCCAATACTTCTGCAGTCATCGCAACACCATTCTCGTAGTTCGTAATGTAGAACGCTATTGAGCAACCTTACCCTGTACATTTAGCGAGAAGCTTCTCAGTGCCGTAAAGCACTACTCTTCATGTTACTCATTAAACTTACGTAGATTTATGTTAGCGATGGCGGACGTGCTTGATATTTTGCGAAGATATGGTCTGCGAAGAGTCACCCAATAGATGTTCAAGATAAGGGGTTTGCGCTTCGGTTCGTCTACGTCGAGCGCATAAGGTTTGCGTCACCAGCCCAGCCACAGCCGAGCAGCCACAGCCACGCGTCCACGACAGCCGCAGGAACCTCTCAGTGCACCACAACGAGCTGCGTCATGCTACAAGATATCCACTGTTCGCTCTCCACAAACCTTAGGTATTTTTAGATTTCACGATATATATCTTGTGCACCAAAGTTCATCTGCTCGGCCTCGGCAAAACCTATCGCGATGCGTTCGATTACCACAACTCGGCGTATTATGAACCGGATCTGCAGGATCTACCTCCGCGTACGCATTGACTGAATTTCTCTTCAGTCATACCAAGAACTCGCACGCGCTGTCCGAAGAGCGCGTCGAGATGCCAGACACTAAACCCACGCATTTCCTACCACCTCGAATTTCCAACAGCTTCCGATATCGGCCGCTGGACCCCTCCGTGGGTGAAGATATTCGCCTACTGTGTCTCTACCCTGGCGAATTCCACGAACCGATTCAATGCGATCTCCTCCACACGAATCTGGAAGATGACATCGAATACGAGGCGCTTTCGTATACCTGGGCTTCCGAAGATGGAGACGCTAGCTTATCACAAAGTATCAGCTGTGCCTACATTGGAGACACACAAACCTCGGATCTTCCAGTAACGTTAAGCTGTGCATCTGCATTGCGCAGACTAAGGTTCACTTCACAAGAGAGAATGCTATGGGTTGATGCACTCGCTATCGATCAAAGCAACCTGCAAGAGCGGAACCAGCAGGTTGCGCAGATGGCAAGGATTTACTCAGGCGCTTCGCAGGTTCTGGTCTACCTAGGTGAAGAAGATCTAGGGTTCGCTTCTCGCAGTCTATGGTTAGATACCGAGAGACGCCAGGTTGCGCTGAAGAAGTTGTTTGCTAAGAGATGGGCTTCACGAGTATGGGTGATTCAAGAGGTAGCATTGGCACAAAAATTGGTCATGGTCATGGGGAATTCATCCTGTCCTATGGACGCTAATTTGATGTGCCGTATCCGAGGAAGAGCAAAAATATCGGGATTGCAAATACCTGGTCCATTGGCTTGGGATCCGCTAGTCAGTGCCCCAACACGAGATCTACTCACGATGTTGCATATGACACGCAACTGTTCATCCACGGATCCTAGGGACAAGATATACGGTCTTTTAGGCTTGGTAGGCGGACGCTTGCAGAGTTTAATACAAATCGATTATTCACGTACCTTGGAGGAGGTTATGACACGCACGGCGGCCGCTATCATCATCTGTAGGGAAGATTTCGACATCTTAGCATATGCAGCGCTCAGAGTTAGACCTACGCAAAAGAGCTTGCCGACCTGGGTACCAGATTGGGTGGAGCACAGAGGCGATATCACGATGCGTCCTCAGTTCCAAACGTCGAAGATAGGTCCCTGGAGATCTTTAGAGAAATTGATGGGAAGTTCATCCTTGGCTGCCCAGCTCAGCAAGATAGATTGGGGAGCAGTGGTTGACATACCCGCAAGTTGGCCAGCTAATCTCTCTTCGAAGCCGTCTATTGGAGTTCGAGCACACTGCCTTGCTACTATCGACAACACGACCGAGCGGGGAGACGGTGGAAGCTTTCGGTGGGAAGGCGCTCAGGATTATGGTCTCGATTTGAAGGCTCTAATCGATGGTGCCGCTTGTCCGAGAGATTTTAACATGCGGTTATGGCCCAGGCGATTCAAGTGGCTCTTCGATCCCTCCTACACTCGCCTCAACCACGCATCTCTTCAACTGGATAATAGATTCTCCGCTACCGGGTCTCCTGAAAATGCCCACTGGGTCAGTCTGCGGCAGTTCTGCAGCGAGCTTCAAACGCTTGGGGAAAACAAAACCATCTTTCGCGCTGGGTATCTTCCTGCCACAACAAGCCACGATTTCGATATAGGCGATAGTGTATGGGCAATTGATGGCTGTACAGTTCCGCTGATTCTCAGACCTGATAAGGATGGGAGACGTGGAAGCTACACGATCGTTGGTTACTGCTATCTGTTTGCATTGTCGCACATGGACTGTTGGACGACATCAGGAACAGGGCTCGACCAACGATGGGATTTTGACCCTTTTCGCCATATGGATGCATTAGGAACGCAAATGATTAACCTATATTGATGCGCTCAGCACTATGTTCACCAAGGAGCTTAGTTCCAGCCTAACGGGTCTGTGGAACCCACCACCGATTGGTCAAGCCCAGCCCGCACTATGCATGTATCATGCCACCACCAAGAGGTCAGACTTAGCCTGCTGCCTACCGTATGGATTCACAGTCGCTTTAACGACGTTCTATTAGGATCACTCACCATTTCGAATGGACGCGCAACCCTCGTACGACCACGGAATATTAGGATGAGCGAATCAGCATGCAAACATGCGGATGTGCGCAAGTTCGACGGAATAAGTTGCTGCCTCAGCTGTGGCGAGGCTGTGTTCGAAGCCATTTCTTCAACGACCCCCGTCCACACGATTGAGCCGATAACCTCTTATGAATACACAAAGCTGGACTATAGCATCGGCCGCGAAATTCGACTCGTTCTCCTTCTTCCAGGAAACTCTGAGGATGTCCTCCGGTGCGAAATTACACATGTCAATCTGAATGATGGCCCTGTATACGACGCTATATCCTATACCTGGGCCACTGAATATGGAGATGCGGAACTTTCCAAGGCTATTCTGTGTGTTCCAGGTGGAACGATTCCGATCACTGCAAATTGCGATGCTGTTCTTCGCCATACTAAGCGGCTTGGGACGCAAAGGCTTTGGATTGACGCAATATGTGAGTGTTAGTTGTTTAGCACATCGCACTGTAGATTGCAAAATCCTTACTGATTGATCAGGCATCGATCAAACGAACCTCAACGAGCGCAACCATCAGGTCGGACTCATGGATCTAATCTACACTCGTGCCGGAAGTGTCTATAGCTGCATTGACCACACTTCGAATTACGGGGATCTCTTTCGCCGATTGCAGGGTGAAAGCTCGAAGTCCTACACAGAGGATTTTGCCTCGACTGATTTGAGCAATCTCTTCTCGCTGCGGTATTTCAACCGAGTGTGGGTCATCCAAGAAGTGGCTTTGGCACGAGCTGCTTATTTACTCGTGAATGATGATGTACTCCCGTTGACAGCTGCTGTCATTGATCAGATGAAACGCATCTATGCGCATAAGGAACTGCCTAGCGTTCTGAGATGGTCTCTGGGTCAGAAGACGAAGCTCGGTGTCATCGCTTGTCTACGTACAAGCAGCAGCAACCAGGCCACCGATCCTCGCGATCGAGTTTTTGCTGTCATGGGGCTTATGGAGGCTCATGCCAAGTCGCTCATACCGGTCGACTATTCCCTGGATCTTCAGCTTATCTACAGAATCGTAATCGCGGCGATCATTGCGACTCGACAAAAGCTTGATATCTTGCTGTTCACAAGACACGACCCAATCACACCCGATGCACGTTGGTGGACGCTACCGTTTTTGAATATAGAAGCCTTCCAACATTACTTGGATTCAATGGACGGGAGTTCCAAGTCCGAAGTCCACCGACTTTTCACCAAGCCGAGTCCTTGGTGTGCGACTATTACGGTTACTTTAGTACCGCCTTCGGACTTCTGCAATGCCTCTGTGCAGCGGAACACGTCATGCTTCGTCGAAATACCCCAAGATGCCCCATTTGGATTATTACCGCGGTTACGTGTACGGGCACATTACATCGATAGCATACGCGTAGCGGATCTGAACATCGTACATGAGATTGATCAGACTGATGCCTTTGTCAGCAGCTTCGCACGGACAAGCGACGTACAGTATCAGCATTTACGTAATTCGCTCGCCAATGATGCAAGGGTAACAGATTGCTTCAAAAGAGACATTACGGTGGAGGCTAAGATGGACTCTCGTTACGACAAGTCAATACAGCCGGATACCGATTGCGAAGATTTGGAACGCTTCGTTAAAGATAGCTGGCGGCTGAATTATCGTCATCGAATGTTTTCAGGCCACTTTAGCGTAGGCTTTAGACCTCTTGACGCACAACCGACAGTGACTGACGAGGTCTTCGCTATTGATGGCGTGAAGACACTCTTCATTCTGCGCAGAACAGCGAGTCAACAATACAGAGTCGTAGGCGAGTGTTATCTGTGGGCTGCATGGGAACTGGACTGCTGGAATCCAGGGACAAGAAAGGGGCGATGGGGCCCGTCTGTCTCGAGGCCTACTGTCGAGCAGACACGCATGATTGAGATATACTAATTCGGCTTTATGTACTGATGATCGGGTTCAGTACCATATACACCGTCCTCCGATACTCTTTCGCTACGAACGATGGGCAACACAACTTCATAGGCATTTGAAATGTTTTTGTTACTACACCGATCGTGATGTTCAACGCAATAATTACATCCTGGCAAGGTCGATGATGATGAAGGGACGGAAACTGGATAAAATTTTGTGAAGGGAAGGCATTGTGATGTTCCCTGTGTAGTCAATGCCAGGGATTTGTAATGGGAAAAGCGCCTCCACGTAGCCCGATGTGGTTGAAGCAACGATTCACCCTACTCATGTGCGCTAGCCGGCGCTGTAGCGACATCTTCAACCCTAGACCATCGATGTTTGAAACCGAGCCCACGCGATGTATGGTTCCTGCCCGGGCAGATGCGACGAATCATAGATTTCCAGGCTTGTGCGTAGAGATGACGTATGCATGATGCTGGATCACGGCGTATGCCCTGCACTCTCAGACTCCCACCTCTTCCTCCGAAGATTATATCCTTGCCAAGAGAGTTTTATACATATTTCCTAAGATCCGCAATCATGTCGCATCAAGAGAACACCAAGAATGTACCCGAAGAACACCGCGTTCACAGGACCGGCTCCTGGCTACCGGCAGACCACCGCGTGCACAAGAAATGGCTATCGGGTATTATAGAGCGAGTTGAAAACAACCCTCAAGAACTGCACCCTGTCTTGCGAGAATTTAAGGACTTAATCGAGAACAACACGCGTATTTACATCCTGGTGAACTCCATGTTTGAGGAAATACCTACGAAAAAACCGTACAAGAACGATCCCGTTGGCCATAAGCAGGTCCGCGATTACCATCACATGCTGGAACTGTTCAACCACATCCTTACATCAGCACCTGAGTGGAACGATCACGAGTACTCTGTTGGAATGGTGGGGACGCCATTCAATGCGATCTTGGACTGGCCGATGGTGAGTATCTCTAGTTGAGCAACATGCGAGATACATCCTGATCTCATCGTATAGGGCACACCATCCGGCTTTGCGTTCTTCCTAGACCCTGAAGTCAACAAAATGATTAAGAAGGTTCTCAACGCATGGGCAGAATTCCTTTCGTCGCCAGCATCAGCATATGTACTTGGTACCGACAAGATCGGCTGGCTCAGCGATCACGGCACTCACGATCTCGCGTTGACAGCTAATGTCGGCCAAACGTCTTACGCTTTTGAAGAGATGTTCCACTGTGACCCTTCCAAGAAGTATCATGGGTACAAGTCATGGGATGAGTTCTTCACTCGCCACTTTCACGAAGACAAGCGGCCTGTTGCCAGTCCTGACGACGATAGTGTTATCGCTAATGCGTGCGAGTCGAAGCCATACAAGGTAGGACGCAACATTTCCAAGCGCGACCGCTTCTGGCTGAAGGGCCAACCTTACTCACTTATGGATATGCTCGCGATGGACCCACTGCACGAGCAGTTCATTGGTGGTACCATTTATCAAGCTTTCCTCTCCGCATTGAGCTACCACCGGTGGCATGCACCCGTTAGCGGCAAAGTCGTAAAGTCTTACCTTGTCCAAGGCACTTACTTCTCCGAGCCACTCTTCGAAGGCCTTGGTGATCCCTCAGCTAAAGGCAGTATCGACGAGGGAGGTGAAAAGACGGGCCAGGGTTATCTTACCGCAACGGCTACACGTGCTATCATCTTCTTTGAAGCTGATAACAAGGATCTTGGTCTGGTATGCTTCATGGGTATCGGAATGACCGAGGTCTCGACATGCGATACCACTGTGAAGGAAGGGCAGTATGTCAAGAAGGGTGATGAGATTGGCATGTTCCACTATGGTGGAAGTACACATTGCATTTTGTTCAGGAAGGGTGTGGGGTTGGAGGGCTTTCCGGATACGCAGAATGCTGAGCACAATGTGCCTGTGAGGTCGAAGCTGGCGACTGTGAAGAAAACTACTTGAGGATGTTGGTTGCACTCGCCATTGGTAATGACCCAATGCCGTTCTCATGCTATCTTTACTATTTATGTATCGCAGATATACTGCATGTACCTTTTCGTATTTCAGACCGTGCAGAGGTGTCCACAGACTTGATTAGCATACGTAGAGTAGTTTCGGAAGTGCCACTACTGTATCATCCGATAGTGCTGTTGACGAACATTATTATATTCGCCATCCTGTAATTCATCTACCGGTCGAAACCCCCAAACGATATGTGTTCGTTCACCAAATGATTATGCATCGCCGACCAGAAGTTGCGTTGAACACTGCGTAGCCTCGCCGGCATCCAATAGGTGCTGTTGTCTAACTCACACCAATATAGTTTCCTGTGGGAGTTCGGGCCCTGCAAGTACCATAGATCATCAGTCATGTGAGAGTAAATTAGAAGCACCATCATGTTCTACGTGCGGCCATAGAAACACCTTTGCGGCCTCTCTGTTCTCCGCGATCCACAGTGATGGTAAATATTGTCGAATCACCAGATGCATCAAGTGCGTAACGTGAAGTAAGAAACAAGCAGTTGGAGATAGCGATGATAGTGTAAAACGAAGAGCTAAGCATTCAGGTTCAGGTATGTATGGTGTACGAGACATGCCTGCACCAGGATGAGGCTGAGGCTCTTCGGCGGATGTTTGGACCTAGCGCAAGCAAGGCGGTGGCCAAAGCGCTTCAGCTCGGAGCGTGGATCTCTACATCACTGACGAGCCGCAACACCACCAAACCACGTCGCCGCCCCATCCTACACCTTGCTCTTCCCCATTCGATACTTCTACCTGCTGCTTCCGTTTCATCTGAGAGCGAGTAAATACTACGATACCCGACAGATAGACATCACGACCCCGCCACCATGTCTAGCGGAGAAGTGCTCAAGGCCGACAAGGACTTTACCAAGGAGGTCGATGCGGCTATCCCAGAGGCAGAGAAGCTCGCATCAGTATGTTAGATGGCTGCCGAAGCTGAACAAAGGCTAACCTGGTTGATTAGAGCAACCCGCAAGCTGGAATCGACAAGCTACTCACGCTCGAGAAGCAGACCCGCCAGGTACGCAACCACCTAGCTTATGCGCATGCGCACAACTGACACCTCCCAGGCTTCAGATCTCGCTTCTACCTCTCGAATCATAATCGCCATCGTCACAATAGCCAAAAATGCAAAGGACTGGAACTTGATGAACGAGCAGGTCCTGCTCCTCTCCAAGAAGCATGGACAGCTCAAACAAGCGACTACCAAGATGGTGCAGACAGTCATGGGCTTCCTCGATGAGACACCAAATCTGGAGACAAAGCTATCCGTCATCGAGACGCTGCGGACAGTCACGGAGGGCAAGGTAGGCGGCATTAATGGCCAGGACACGTGCCCTTGCTGACATGGTGGTAGATCTTCGTCGAAGTCGAGCGTGCCCGAGTAACCCGCATCCTGTCCAACATCAAGAAGGAGCAAGGCGACATTGATTCAGCGACAGACATTCTTTGCGAGCTGCAAGTCGAGACATTCGGCTCCATGACCCGCCGCGAGAAGACCGAGTTCATCCTACAACAAGTGGCGCTATGTATACAGAAGGGCGACTGGACACAAGCTGGAATTCTGAGCAGGAAGATTAGCACGAGGTATTTTGCCCGGAGACCGAAGAAGACTCCTGAGCAGCTGGAGAAGGATCAGAAGGAGCGGGAAGAGAAGGAGAAGAACCGAAGCCCCGAGGACCCGCCCATTGAGCCAGAGGATGATGTAACAGATCTAAAGCTCCAATATTACGAGCAGCAGATCACTTTAGCCAAGCACGACAACAAGTACCTGGACGTTTGCAAGCACTACCGACAAGTACTGGATACCGAGGCTGTGGAAGAGGACCCTAACAAGCTTCGAGCGGTATGTTTGAGAGCCCGGATACTTTCATGGGCTCCTACTAACAGACTTCTAGATCCTCCAACGCGTCATCTATTTCATCATCCTCGCACCGTACGATAACGAGCAGTCCGACCTTATCCATCGTATTCAGCGCGACTCTCGCAACTCTCAGATTCCCCAAGACGCACAATTAGTTAAGCTCTTTACTGTGCCCGAGCTTATGAGGTGGCCAATGGTAGCTAAGCAATTCGGACCTCACCTTACTGAGACGGACGTATTCGACGCGGAGAAGGACGACTCGGATGACCCCAAAGCGTTCCAGAGATGGCAAGACCTCCGAAAGCGTGTGATTGAGCACAACGTTCGCGTCGTCGCCAAGTACTACACACGCATCCAGATCCCCCGTTTGACAGAGCTGTTGGATCTCACCGAGGATGAGACAGAGAAGAACATCAGCGAGCTGGTGTCTGCGAAGACCATCTACGCCAAGATCGACCGACCCGCGCGCATTGTTACATTCTCGAAGCCCAGGGATGCCGACGATGTGCTGAACGAGTGGAGTGGAAACATGAAGAGCTTGCTGGGTCTGCTGGAGCGCGTTGATCATCTCATCACCAAAGAGGAGATGATGGCGCGCATCCAACCTACCAAAGTCGATAAGAGCAAGGCGGCCAAGGGTAAAGCGAAATAGGGTTCGCGAAGATTCTCAGATCTTGGTAACAGATGCGTGCGGGCTACAGTCGATAGTGTAATGGCCTTGCAAATCACGACGCCAATGATGATGATGATGCACAGGAAGTGGGTATGATAGTCTACGAATGAGCGTGTTTGCAAGTTGACCAAGAAGGTCGAGCTTCTACCGACATGTCGCATGGCTGACTTGGTCGCGGAAACAAGAGATAGAGAACCTGTGCAATTGCCATAGGATAACAAAACAAATCAAAGCAATAGCTGTAACCAAGACACTTCGACAGAAAATCTGTATTACTAAAACTGATATGGTGGCTTTCCTCAATTGTAGATGTTGCAGCTAAATGAACGCACCTAGGTGTTGCATCATCTGCCAAGCCACTTAAGCGCGGATGCGGACTAGCGCAACGCGTCCGACGCGTCCCTTCCTCCCCCAGGATACAGCCGTTGGTAGTCCCAAACTCTCGTTACTTTCACCTCCTACACTTTAACACTACAATCAATCATGGCACGCGGCGTCGAAGGAAACGAGATGTCAACGCCTCGCGCTTCACAAAAGAAGCAGCCCGCCTCCGCGTCGCAATCGGCAAAAGGCCAAAAGTCCATCTTGGGCTTCTTCCAAAAGAAGTCTACCAATTCACCAAGCCCCGCGCCGTCCGATGCCACACCAGTCAATAAGACGCCGACATCAAGACTAGCGAAGAGAGCGTTCAACAATCCGCCTGCAGACATCACACCAGTGCCGAGCAGCGACGCCCCCGATTTCTCAAGTCCTATCAAACATGAACGGGAATTGACAGTGGGGCGGAACAAGGAGAATCGTCTGCCATTACCCGTCACAAAATCGGTCTCCGGAACTGACAGTGTACTGCCAGAGCCTGCAGATGTCACTCCCAGTAGCCCAACACGTAAGGTACGTGAGATGTGCCACCATACATTTTGACTGCACTTGTTAACATTCTCACCTAGGCACGGAAGCCCGTCAATTACGCCGAATCAGATGACGAAGACGACGACGACATACTGGGTCCAATTGCGAACAATGCTAGAGGCAGAGCGACGAAGCGCCAGCGGGTCGTCATCGACGATGATTCAGATGACGAGTTCGGATTAGACGCGGCCACACAGAAGGCGATGCTTGAGGAAGAAGATGAAGATGATGTGGAAGACTTCGTTGTCCCAGACGATTCCGAGGAGGAAGTGGTATCGAAGAAGCGCAAACGTCCAGCAGCGTCCAAGGCTCGTGCGAAAACTTCCCCAGCATCATCACCACCTATAATCGAGGCGAAGGATGAAGAAGACGATGGCGACATCGTAATGTCTAGCACATCCACAGCACAGCAATGGATATATGATCCCGAGAACCCCATGGTCTTCAAGCCCCGCCCGTCCGTACAGGCGACTAAGAAGGACCCCAGCAAGAAGATCAAGGAACGACCGAGCGCTTCTGAACCCGAGACGAGATATCCATGGCTTGCGCACCAGATGGACGCTGACCGGCATCCCGTTGATCATCCTGACTACGACCCTCGCACACTTTATATCCCTCCGGGTGCTTGGGACAAGTTCTCTGCTTTCGAGAAGCAGTATTGGGAGATCAAGAGCAAGTGGTGGGACACTGTTGTGTTCTTCAAGAAAGGCAAGTTCTACGAGCTTTATGAAAAGGACGCTTCGATTGGCCATCAGCTCTTCGACCTCAAGTTGACTGATCGAGTCAACATGAGGATGGTGGGTGTACCGGAAGCTTCGCTGGACATGTGGGCGGCACAATTTGTAGCGGCAGGACACAAAGTCGCCAGGGTTGACCAGATGGAGTCAGCCTTAGGTAAGGAGATGCGCGAACGTGACGACAAGAGCAAGACTCCGAAGAAGGCTGGCAAGGAAAACAAAGTGATTCGAAGAGAACTTGCTACGGTACTCACGTCCGGTACGCTTGTGGACACGGGCATGCTCCAGAGTGAGATGTCGACATACTGCATGGCTATCAAGGAGATCGATCACGATAATCTGCCAGCCTTTGGAATAGCGTTCGTGGATACTGCTACCGCACAGTTCCAGCTCTGCGAGTTCACAGACGATGTCGACATGACCAAGTTTGAAACCCTCATTGCCCAGATGAGACCCGGTGAGCTACTCCTGGAGAAATCTTGTATCTCTGCGAAGGTTCTACGAATACTCAAGAACAATACGCCACCCACGACAATCTGGAACTACCTGAAGCCCAACAAGGAGTTCTGGCCAGCTGACATCACCATCCGAGAGCTTGAAGCGAACAACTACTTCGAGTCACCTACGGAAGACAACATTGAGGCTTGGCCACCTGTGCTCCGCGAAGCTCGGGAACAAGAACTCGTCATGTCATCATTCGGTGCTCTCCTGCAATACCTGCGGACACTGATGATTGAGCGCGACCTTGTTACACTTGGAAATTTCCAGTGGTATGATCCCATTCGGAAAGCCACAAGTCTGGTTCTTGATGGCCAAAGCTTGATCAATCTGGAGATCTTCGCTAACACTTTCGACGGATCAACCGAGGGTACTTTGTTTGCCATGCTAAATCGCTGTATCACCCCGTTCGGTAAGCGACTACTCCGGCAGTGGGTATGCCATCCTCTCGCAGACGCAACCAAGATCAACGCTCGCTTGGACGCTGTGGATGCACTGAATGCCGACTCTACAATCATGGACAATTTCAATGCGTCTCTCAGCAAATTGCCGGATCTCGAGCGTCTCATTTCCCGCGTACATGCGGGTAGATGCAGGGCTCAAGACTTCCTCAAAGTGCTGGAGGGTTTCGAGCAGATTGAGTACACTGTTAGCTTGTTGAAGCAATTCGGCGAAGGTGAGGGTGTCATTGGACAACTCATCTCCTCTATGCCTGATCTAGCTGCATCATTAGCGAAGTGGAATTCGGCCTTCGATCGGGACATTGCACGGAAAGAGGGACTCCTCATTCCTGAGCCTGGCATCGAAGAGGATTTTGATAACAGCCAGGAAGAGATCGACACATGCAAAGCCAACTTGGACGTACTGTTGAAGAAAGTTCGTAAGGAGCTCGGCTCAAATGCTGTTCAATACAACGACATCGGCAAGGAGATATACCAACTGGAGGTACCCAAGAAAGTCAAAGTTCCGAACAATTGGGACCAAATGTCGGCTACTGCCAAGGTCTCTCGATACTACACTCCCGAGCTTCGGAAGCTAGTCCGAGCACTACAAGAAGCGCAAGAGACGCATGGTCAAATCACCCGGGAAGTCGCTACTCGCTTCTGTCAGCGCTTTGATGAGGACTACAAGGTCTGGCTTGCGGCTGTCAAGATCATCGCTCAGCTGGATTGCCTGATTAGTCTTGCAAAGGCGTCTGCTTCGCTTGGAGAGCCGAGTTGCCGACCAACTTTCGAGGAAGGTAATCGTACTGTTGTCGAATTCGAAGAGCTCCGCCACCCGTGCATGCTCAACACGGTCGACGACTTTATCCCCAACGACATTAGGCTAGGCGGCGACTCGGCCAATATCAGTCTATTGACTGGTGCAAACGCAGCAGGTAAATCCACCATCCTCCGTATGACCTGCATAGCGGTCATCCTCGCACAAGTCGGCTGCTACCTTCCTTGCACATCAGCCAGACTCACACCTGTCGACCGCATCATGTCCCGTCTTGGCGCCAACGACAATATTTTCGCTGCCCAATCTACATTCTTCGTTGAACTCTCAGAAACACAGAAGATTCTTTCGGAAGCCACACCTCGGTCACTCGTTATCCTCGACGAGCTCGGTCGTGGTACGTCCTCTTATGACGGTGTTGCCGTGGCACAGGCTGTTTTGCACGACATCAGTACACGTGTAGGCTGTGTCGGCTTCTTCGCCACACACTACCGCTCTTTGGCCAAAGAGTTTGAATTCCACCCCGAAGTCGAGAACAAGCGCATGCGTATTCATGTCGACGATGCCTCCAAATCCATCACCTTCCTCTACAAGCTAGAACAGGGTGTGGCTGAAGGCAGTTTCGGTATGCACTGTGCAGCTATGTGCGGTATCCCGAGCAAAGTCATTGAAAACGCGGAGAAGGCGGCTAGGGAGTGGGAACACACGAGTAGGCTGGGGGAGAGGATGGAGGTGAACAAGGATGAGGGTGGTGTGTATGTTCCGCTGGGCCTGCAGAGTGATGTTGCTTGGACGTTGAGGGAGGGTTTGGAGGGAGTTGGTGAGCGGGCGCTGGATGTGCTGCTCGAAGCTATCTCCGCGCTCTGAGTGCCTGATAGTGTTGTTGAGGAAACTATGTAAGATGGATGTATTAAAGGCGTAAAACGGTGGAGCAGGTGGGACTTGTGGATGTATTTATATGGGAAGGGGGCACCGGATCTGGGTCGAGCTAGCATTCGCGCTGTAATTATGTTTTGTTAGTTAGCGTATCGCATGTCAATCGATGGACATCTTTACAATAGCCTAAAGGTTTTGGTTGTAGTTTACATTGTCACTCGCTCATCAGAAACTTTGATCGTTGCTCCAGGCTTATGTATACTATGATGAAATTGAATTGGATTATCCGTAATGAAGTTCCTCTAAAGACGTACGGACGCCATATTCGAGCGTGTCATAAAGCTCTTGATCGATACTAGGTGCCATACCTATACTCAAACGCCCTTGTGCACCCCTAGAGTCACCCAAAAAAAAAAAACTTTTTCCCCCTTCCCCCTTGTCCTCCATTCACCCGTAGTCTCTAATCCCCCCTTTCCTACTCAGCGTCCTTGGCAAACAGCTTCCTATATCCAGTACTAGCGTTTCTGCCACTACCAATATCACCACCTACAACACCACCAAACGTCTCGACACCATCCAATAAACCATAAGTCGCACCATCACCGAACATCTCACGTTGCTCAAGCGCCTCATCGTAGAACCCGGAAGCTTGATCGAAACCCGGTTCCTCCTTCTTGACCTTGACCTTGGTATCGCCCAGACCACCAAACTCCTCATCGTTGTCGTCATCATCATCGTTGGCGGCGGAAACGTCCTCGGAAGGTGATGAGGTGAGCTGGCGGCCACCCTTTCGAGGTCGCTTGACTGGGGTGGTGGATGCAGTCGTGGCGGCGCGCTTCCTAGGCGTAGACGAGGGAGTCGAAGCAGTCTTGCTGCGACCGGAACTACCGGCTCTCTTGGGGGTAGAGGGGCCATTGGCGTTGAGGGATTCGCCGAGGAGCTTGATCTTGGTTTTGATCTTGCCGAAGGTGACGCCTGCGGAGCCGATTGTGTAGCCGGTTAGGCTGGCGAGCTTCTCCATATTGATCTGGGGGGAATGGCGTTAGTATGAGAGATGGAAGTGGCATTGGGTTTGGAGTGGTGTTGGGGATAGCGATGATGAGGAAATGGGGTATGGAGGAGGGGAGGATGTACCTTTGGCTGCTGATCCATGCACTGCCAGGCGAGGGCCAGGACCTCCATCTCACGAGCGGAGAAGCTGACGTCTTTGTTGCCAGCCATGTTGATGCTATAGTGTTGAAGTAAAGAAGAGGTATGTTGAATGCTTGGGAGTGTGTTGGCGGCAAAAGCTGTCGTGAAAGAGTGGTAGAAGAACGAAGGTAGAAAAGACTGGAGGGGACACATTGTTTATATGCTATCCCACAAACGCAGAAAGACTCTTAAAATTGGCGGTGAAGTTAGAAGTTTGGGAGATTTGGGTGCGTGGTGAGAGTGGCTAGGCAACCTAAAAGAGGAGAGGAAAGTCGCCTTCACCCGGCCTTTAGAGATTCAGTGAAAGACTGTATTGTAGCAAAGCGCGCAAGTGATTCTGGCTGGAAGACATGTGCAGAGCATATGATATACTCTTGAGCCGACTAGAGATGCCAGCATGTAGGTCAATATACAGTGGTGCTATATCCTGCGCACTTCTTTACCCTGTAATTCGGGTCTTTCCACGTCAAGTTCGTCCCTCAGTGCCGCATATAGCGAGTCTCCCAGGATGATGGACAATCCCAAACTCCAGACCAGTGTGATGGCATAAAAGAAATTAGCATTACCCGATCCAGCATAAATCCACAAATGGTAGAAGGCAGGGCCCAGGAATGATGTATACAGGATGCTCGCTGATGCCAAGAAAGTATAACGCATGACTGAGGTACGGTTAGTTTGGTCGTAATATGTAGAGAAGCAAAACACTCACGAGGAAACAGATGGCGAAACATGGGCACCAAGGAAAGGTAGAGCGCAGCATCCGCTATGCTCGGGTAGGGTGTAAAGATGGCAAACACGCCGGTCAAGCAGCATGCGACGAACAATGGCTGCTTGTGAAGGCGAATGGTAAGGCCAGGCATATACGACGCCGCGTGTAGCCAGAATACGCCAAGAAAGAACTCGCGGAAAGAGTCGAACATCTCAATGAAGAAGTACCACCAGAGTCCCACATTGGGCGTGAGGTCAGGCAAAAGAAGACGCACACCATACGTCGCCGACAGGAAGTTCCATGAATCCATTAACAATGCAGAGCCAGTCAGCAGAGCACCTATTGCGACTGCGAAGCCAACAGTGTGGGTTGTGATGAAGGACGTGACGTTTGGCGCGGTCTTTGTCTTTAGTGTCTTTGCATCGTAGAGGAGGACCATCAGCGGAGGGAAGAGGAGTATTGGGTGCATGGCAAAGTACGAAGCGAAGGCCGTGGCTAGAATGAAGGTGAAGCTGGCGCCTTGAGAGGCCTTGGCCATGGCTGTGAGGATGAAGAGGTTGGTGAGGGCCGAAGTGGAGCGTGCGATGCATGTGGCAACTGTGAAGGGGTTGAACAGGAAACTTCAGGGTGTTAGCAGCTGTTCTTTACAGAGGTATACAAGTCGTACCCTGCTGCGATAGCGGTACTGCTCCATCGCAAGTCCCTCCGCGGTGAAGCGAACAGTCGCGTTACTGACGCGAAGCCGCTCTCTGCCACTTGAGCCAGCGCATTGGCGCTCAGCAGGTCCACGATGGTATAGAAGACGTTGGTCGCCAGCGGGGCATAGGCCGGGTTGGGGAAGAGGGAGAAGAGAGGCAGCAGGAGGGGTGCCTGGTGGTAAACGCCGCCGTCGTAGGGAGAGACATTGTGGGTGTAGAGGAAGACACCTTCTTGTACTGGGACGTGTTAGTAATACTATACACAGATGATGCTGGGTACATACGTCTCTTGAAACTCGTCACTGGTGTTGACACCTCGACACGCCCGGCGAGGAGGTGTGGTAGTGCAGGAAAGACAGTGAAAGCGAGCAACCGCACTGCTGCGGCAGCTCCAAAGAGCAGCAACTTGTGCTGCTTGTCAATGGCCATGGTAACTCTCTGCTATGCACTCATTGGCTCCATGGCGGTTCTTGACCACCTCGGCGCTGGTGTTCTGGCAAGATGCATGTTGGTGGACCCTTGTCACGCTAATGCCGGATCCATGTCCGCTAGTTGGCCGCATCTCGAACTTTTTTGCGCCCGCCAAAAGTTCGACCATCTGCACCGACAGAATCGCGATTCAATACAGACTCTACAATGGCCGGTCGCTCGAAAAAGAAGGGTATGCATGCACCAGAGCCAGCTGGAAACGCTTTTCGCTAATCACTATACAGGCACCTCTGGTGCTGCCAAAAACTACATCACTCGGACGCGCGCCGTGAAGAAGCTTCAGATCTCTCTCCCCGACTTCAGACGACTATGTATCTTCAAGGGAATCTACCCCCGTGAGCCGCGCAACAAGAAGAAGGTCTCGAGGGGCTCCACCGCTGCGACTACCTTCTACTACACCAAGGATATCCAGTACCTCCTCCATGAGCCGCTGCTGGCAAAGTTCCGTGAGCACAAGGCTGTCGCAAAGAAGATTGGTCGCGCCCTCGGTCGCGGCGAGTCTGGAGATGCATCGCGTCTCGAGAAGAACCTCATGCCCAAGGTCAAGCTCGACCACATCATCAAGGAGCGCTACCCTACCTTTGTCGACGCCCTGCGTGACCTCGACGATGCCCTGTCTATGCTCTTCCTCTTCGCCAACCTTCCCTCGAGCGACCACGTCCCTGCAAAGACCATTGCCCTCTGCCAGCGATTGACCCGCGAGTTCGAACACTACGTAATCACCTCCCACGCCCTCCGCAAGTCCTTCCTCTCTATCAAGGGTATCTACTACCAGGCCACAATCCAGGGTCAGGATATCCTTTGGCTGGTACCATACAGGTTCGTGCAGCGAACAGGCGGCGACATTGATTTCAGGATCATGGGTACTTTCGTCGAGTTCTACACAACTCTTCTCGGCTTTGTCAACTACCGCCTCTACACCTCAGTCGGCCTGGTATACCCACCCAAGTTCAACGCAAAGAGCGACGAGCAAGGTGGTGAGCTTGCTGCATTCCAGCTTGAGGGCAAGGCCACTGCAATCAACGGCGCAACCAACGGACGTGATGAGGATGCCGAGATCAACCCCGAGGCACAGGCGATAGCAGACAGGATTGGAGCTATGCCTGATGTTGACGAGGAGGAGAGCACCACGGCTGTGGCCAAGGTTGCCACTGAAGACGATGAGGAGGAGGCCAATGACGAGATTGACAAGTTCGAGCCGACTGCCCCCGATGCCGATGTCCTACTCCAGCCGCAAGCAAGCAGCGCCGAGGTTGCCTCCCTATTCGCTCCATTCACCTTCTACTTATCACGAGAGACACCCAGAGCATCGCTCGAGTTCATATTGAAGGCGTTTGGCTGCAAGAGAGTCGGTTGGGACGGAACTCTCGGTGATGGTGCTTTCACAACCAACGAGTCGGACCCAAACATCACACACCAGATCGTTGACCGACCCGCTCTCTCCAACGGCGCGTCCAACGGGGATGCCGAGGATGCTGCTGCTCCCAAGGTTCAATGGCCCTACTCCATGATGCCTGGACGTACTTACGTCCAGCCACAGTGGGTCTGGGACAGTATCAACCAAGGCAAGCTGTTGCGACCAGACCACTACTCCCCTGGCGCAGATCTGCCACCGCATCTGAGCCCTTGGGTCAAGCCCAAGAAGGGCGAGTACGACCCTAACCTTCCTCTCGCCGCGCAACAGCCAGAGGGCGAGGCTGAGGCGTTTGAAGATGAGGGTGATGAAGACGAGGCAACCTTCGACGTTGACGGAGATGAGGACATGGATGCCATTGTTGACCGCGAAGGCTCGGTCGAAGTCGGCGAGGGCATGGATGTCGCTGACGACTCTGAAGACGACAGTGACGATGATGAATCAGATGAAGCTGGCGCAGGCGAGGAGTTTGACGGCTTCGACTCTGATGCTGAATCGGACATCTCAGAAGGAGAGGCAGCTCGTCTTCAACACCAGCGTGAACTGGAAGCTGAAGCCACTGGCAAGAAGCTCGAGGTCAAGAAGCCGACAAGGAAAGAGGAGAACGCTGCCATCCGCAAGAAGGCCGAGAAGAAGAAGCGCGCAGAAGAGGAGGAGCGCGAGAGGCAAAAGATGATGTTGTCTAACAAGAAGCGCAAGCTGCTCAAGCGTATCGAATATGGCGAGGACAAGCGCAATAATGAGTCTGAGAGCCTGCGCAGAAAGCGTGCAAAGGTCGAGAAGGCAAAGGCTGCTGCTGAGGCTCTATAGGCCTGAGTTGAGTACATGTATATGATGCATCAAAAGCTTGGGCTGGCGTTCATTTGGGCAGGAGTTTGGGGCGCTTAACGATAACTCTATATGCTGCATGTAGTAAATTCAATACCTATACTGGCTCTAAGTCATGGCCGTAGCTATCTTTACGTCTACCTTGAACGGATTGGTGATTGGTGATTGGGTACACACACAGACTGGGGCTGTCAGACGGGTGGCGCAGCCATCTTTGCCCATGAGACTCATTAACACCCGATGACTCAAGCAGAGGTATAACAACGATGCGTCTGCACCTACTGTGTCTGGTTCTCATCTTTCACTGCAAAAAAAAAACATACATGCAACCCACACCTCAACGAACAATATGTAATCTGGGTCTGCTTGCAAACTTTGCACCATGGTTGACCAGCGCCATCGCCCAAACTCAACCACACTTGACTGTGGAACATCCGAGATATTTAACATAGACGCGATGACATAGCTTCCTCTTCTTCCCTGCGCGTCAGGTAAAACCTTTTGAATGTAAGTCAGTTCTACGATAGTCTTCTTGTTCTACTCTCCTCGAAAGATCGCCGTCAAAGGGTCCAACAACATCCGCGGACTACACCAGAATACACAGAACTAAACCGAAAAGATGCATCCATAATAAGACCCGCCATCGTTCTCGATCGCATACATATATTAGCACTCGATCCACCATCGTCGCCGCTACCTAAAAGCGCAAAGTGCCGAGCCGCTGCCGAAGCACCACTTCGGACGGAAAAATTGTGCATGTTCAGTTTTTGCTTTCCTAGAATTACCAGCAGCATAGCGATTTTCGAAGGTACAAAGCTCTTCCAAAGCAAAGATGGAAGCGATGCTGACATTATACGAGCGTTCCTGGTCCTTGCTTTCACCTGGGGCAACAGGCTGCTCTGTCACGTGATCTTGCCTTCACTCGGACCATTGCTATCGTATCGTCAAGACAACAGGCTCGGCTGTGGTCACCCACCGGTTTCCTGAAGTTGACATCGCTTGTTATATCACGACCTTGTTGGTGTCTCGCACTCATATCTCACTCTGCCGGACTCAATAACAGCGATTTGAAGTCAGCAACACGTCCATCGAACTATCCTATCAAACCACCAAAGACCCACATATCCGGCTACAGCCTCCCAAACTTCACATACAACTACCGGATATGGCCTCTGGGATGCATTCAACTACTCCCCTCTTCCCGGACTTACCACCCGAACTCCGCAACGAAATCTACGCCTACCTCTGCTCCCCGTTCACCTCCAACCCAACGCCCCAAAACACCCACCTCCCTCTTGGCCTAAAAGTATTCACCTGCAAACATACCACCATCCAACTTATCCCAACGCACTACGGCTCAACTTCGCTCCTCTCCCTCCCCAAGGACACTTTTCCAGAAGCGGCCGAATACTCCTCCCACCTCCTCAGCAACGCAATCCAGCTTCAGATTGGGGTACATTTCCACGGCCGAGTAAACACCTTCATCCAAGCCGACTGGAACAAGAAGCTCACCACCCATCTTCACAAACTCGCCAAATCCTTCCCCTGGCTGAGAAAAGTGGCGCGGTACGACATACAAATCCTATGGGAGCCAACAGATGGGATACTCCAAAGTAAAAATGGAAAGAGAGTGGCGGGCCGGATACCTCTTGATATGGTGGTATGTCTAACGCAGCTTATGGACCAAGAAGTGAAGAGGAAGAAGGGAGATGTGAAGGTGGGGTTGTGTTTGGAACATCGGTTTGCAGTCCAAAATGCGCTTTCTGAGAGGAAGTTTGGATTGAATGCATTTCTCTTCAGGGACGGTGGTGGCAACGAGGATCTTGGGTTCAAGAGGTTGGTGAGGGAGGTAAGGAAGACGGCGCATGAGTATCATCTGCCAAGGCATCCTCATCCAAGGTTTCTTGTTGTTCCTTCTTCTGTGGTGCCAGAGGAGAAGGGTTTGATCAAAGTGCAAGATGGGGTGGTTAGTTGGTCGGATTGGACACGGGGGCCGCTGATTATGGCGAGGATGCTGGAGACGGAGACGGAGACGGAACAGAGGAGTGTGCTAAATCGGGGTAAGGAGGAACAGGTGGAGTTCCCAATGTGTCATCTCATGGCGGAATGTGTGATGAGGTAGTGGAGACAACGCTGCGTCGTCGATGTCTTTCCGAAAGGCTATGGTTCAACATGTTGGTTATCAGTGGTTTTGCGCTGTAGCGCCCAAATAGCGACCGATACTGTTTTTATATGGAAAACAAGGACTTTACAATTCACATAATTCCTAACATCCGCAACTTCTTCTAGGTCTATTAACAATTTAGTCGCTTCCCATCCCCACTTCAATCTTGCAAGCTGCCCATACTCTCACATTCTCCCCTCTGCTTTTCGCCATATTCCAATTTCACTTCCATCCTCCTCTCCGCTATCCCTGTCCCCACTTCACTTTCACCCCTACGTCCACCTCTTTACGCCCAAGCCCCCACCAAACTCATCAAGAAAGCCCCCAGGAACACAAGCAAACAAGCATACACCCTGCGCTTTCCCTTAAGCACCTTCCAACTCTCATCGCTCAAGAAATCCTCCGACATAAGTTCCACAAGCGAAGCGAAGACGAGGAAACCCGCGGAGATAGCATTCATGATGCCGACGACGAGGAGGCCGATTTCAGAGTCGGGCGAGTACAAGGTGTGGGTTGCTATACCGATTGCCATACCGCCAGGTGTGGTGCAACCATATGCGAGAGCCATGAGCCAAGGCTGTGCAGCGCGTGGTTTCCAGTTTATATCGGCGATACGTACACCGAGCGCAAGGCCTTCGAAAGTTTGATGAAAGACAATGGCAATCAGCAGCACAGTAAAGTCGTTACCCACGGAAACGGCGAGCGACATTCCAATGAAGATGCTGTGAAACAGGATACCCATCTCCAGGAGGAAAACTTGCATGATAGCTTTCTTGTGGATTTGCTCTGGTGTCAGCACATGATTGTGCTCTCCAGTTTCCTGATCCTGTTCGATAGCATACTCGTCACTTTCTTCTTTACCATGGGCGCCAGGAGTTTCCACTTCAGACCCGCCCACGGATTCAATCGCATCAAGTCTCTGGCCATCTTCGCGGTATCGGGAGAGTGTTCTACTGATACTTCCGACCCTTCCACGCAAGACACCTAGATCGCGGACTCGCATGCTAGATTCCGAGTACGTTCTCTGCATTGCTGGTTGCGGTGGAGCTGGCGATTCAGTAGTCTCGGTCTTTGGCTCTTCCTTGCGGCGAGAAACAGCATCTGCACCCTCGTTACCGCCGCAGACATGTTGGGCTGGAGAGAAGATCATTTCGATTAATGTGACGAAGAAAACGCTAGCTAGCATGATGGCGCCTGGCATGGCCTGATAGTCGGTCGTCCAAAAACTTGACAGACATGGGTCGTTCAGTGAACCAAAAGCGGTAGGGAGTAAATGGACGAATGCGGTCGCGACTAGAACACCGGTGCCGAAATGCTTTGCGCCGAAAAGGAATGCAGGTGGAATGCGCAGCCGTGGGAATTTGAGTACGAGCATTGGGAAGGCACATCCGGTGCCGGAAACGAAAAGAATGATAAAAAGGCCAGCGACATGTAGGCCCAGATCGTAGTTGGGTTGCGCTTTGCCATCTTCGCAGGTACTTCGTCTGGGTAGACGCTGGAACGATGGATCTGGAATACAATGTTAGCGGTGACGCATAGACATTAATCGACTGTACAATCTCACCTTTTGGCAAGAAAAACTTAGGCGCAGACAAGTTGCCGCTAGCCCAGGAAATCAAAAACGAAGTACAGAGTACTGATACTAGCCACTTGGACCAGCTGATAATAGTGGCGGTGAGGCCACCTTGGTACTCGCTCACATTTGCGGTTGTTCGGGTGCAAGGTCCTTTAGACGAGTCAGCATCACAGCCTTCATCTCCGAGTCATCACGAAGCTGAAACATACCTTTTGGGGACCCTTTGACACCCTCGCCCATGTTGGGTGGCTTTCTCTTCTCCATCTCTTGAGCATTGGATTCATCGATTCCACAGCGCCGGAGACTCTGCGTACCGCTGCGCAGTCGATCTGCTTCTCCTAATTCTCTTGCATTTGCGATGCCGTTCAGATCCTCGCAAGTCGTCAAATCAGCAGCGAAGCGTGGCGGACTCTGATTCCATCCTGGATGCCAAAGGACGTCATCATCGGTTCTAGAAGGGCAGTTCATCTTGGGGCCTCGGTAGCCAAGCCCTCCTTTTTAAATGGGGAGATGATCAAAGGTGCGTTTCGTGGTAGCGACAGCGGTTTAGATAGGACGAGCGCGAAAGACGGGTTATTATGTTTGAAGGATGACGTGGAAATCAGTGATGATGGGAATAGTCGGGACATATGACATCTAGAAGGACTAGCAGTAGTCACTATGGTCGGTTAGCGGCTCTTCCGCAGTGTCATTGCCCAAACAGATGCCAACGCCGAGTGCCAAGAAGACTATCCCCAGGTCCGCCACACGAAAACGGCCGAACGGGTGCTCATCTTTTGATGGGTCAGATACATATCCACCCTCACTTCTGTCAAACTTCGTTCTCTGGAACTGCTATAAACCTTCACTCACTCTCATAATACCATGAACTGCTGCGATCGGATGTACGGCTTGCACTCGACACGTAATGATGCGCGGCCGGTGGAGAACCTCAAGAAGGTCGGACCCGATGTCTCCCGTAAAACCAAGAGCACACAGCCGTGCAAACTTTACCGATGCGGTAATTTCTGGGGTAATGGCTAGTCTGGACCATGTGATACTCCAACTGCTGACTACGACATGCAAATCTGGGCGTTGATCAACTCATACCTACTGATGAGCGCTGCGAGTCAGCCGCATCTCAAAATAGACGCTATTATGTGATAAGTAGTCTGAATTTTAACAGAGTCTTCAACTGGCATGTGAGCACGCGACGTGCGAAACAGCCACGATTGTTTAACGTTGCATTAGTCGCTCCAATAGACATGTGACGGGTAGCCCACACGGTTGCTTCCGAACACCTCTTAGCGCATGTTGAAGCGCGTTTTCGTATGATTGGTGTCTATGGGTATCACTCTTCACTGCGCCTTGACTGTTTCCAATACTTCCAGCGCACCGCCAACCAGGTGCAAGCTTCCAGTTACCAACACCATGACTTCCGCATCAGCCCCAGCTCCCTTAGCGTAATCTTGCGCCACCTTTCGTGCGGTTCCGACTGCCTCTTCGATTGTACGTAGCACATGCACTTCTGCAGTGCTGTCAATGTCAGACCACGTGTTCGCCAGCGCCTTCTGAACTGCCAATGTGTCTACGTCCTGCTGGTTGGTGTTTATGGAAACAAGATCAGGCTTGTATCCTTCGCTGAAGGTTTGGTTGGTGGTGAAGATGACGTGTGTGAAAGGAGACTGCGATCCAGAGGTGATGCCACTCTGCAGCGCTGTGTACAGGGCTTTGGCGAGTGCATTCGCGTCTCGAGTCTGTTGGTTGAAGATCAAGATTCGGGGGACTTTGGACTGGGTGGTAGCGGTGGAAGTGGCCATTGTTATCTGCTCCGCGAACCACTTTCCAGTAACCTCGATGCTTTCCATAGTATGCCCTCCGTCGATATGCCAGGCGACATTGGTCTCACGTCTTATTTCACATCTGCCGGCCCATCGCACTTGCTCTAGTCCGCGAATGAACTCGGAAGGGAGCTCAATATGGGGAACGACAGTCGGGTCTGGTACTGACGTGTGGCCGAGTGCTCGCAGATGCGCAGCTGCGGCAGCGATCGCTACAGACGCATTGATTTTCTGGAAGGCAGCACCTAACCCAAGTTTGATGTCGTTGTTCGCTAGTGCCGGATGCACGTCGATGGTGTGTAGCTTCGTGCCCTTCTCCGCCGCCCGTTCTTCTAACACTGTCATAGCTTCGTCCTTTTGACGCGCTGTGAATGCGACACTGCCTTTTTTGAAGATTCCTGCCTTGTGCCAGGCTATCTCCGGAAGCGTAGAACCAAGCATCGCTGTATGATCTATCCCTAGACTCGTGACGGCTGTGACAGTGGGTTTCGCCAGAATGTTGGTGCTGTCGAACTCGCCGCCAATGCCACACTCAATGACAGCCGAATCTACACCCTCCTTTAAATATGCATGTAGCGCCATAAGTGTCAGATAGCGGAAGTATACTGGCTTTGTGGGGACGTCTGCAGGCGCGTTCTCTGTCTTCGCTGCTGCCTCCAGCTTGTCCCATACCTCGAAGAAGTATTGGGCAAACTTTTCCTCTGATATTGGCTCGTTGTCGATCTGTATGCGCTCACGTACGAATCGTAGATGTGGGGAGGTGTAGAGGCCGATCTTCGAAGGTGAAGTATGCGCATCACTGGAGGTCGTATATTGCGATAGGATAGACGATATGAAAGCACTAGTCGAGCCTTTTCCTTTTGTTCCAGCGATGTGTATAGGCTTCAGCCTATCGAATTCTGAGGGCTGCACATCTCGTCAGTCACCGTCTTCAGGTGGGGTTATTGGGAGCCGCACACCTCATATCCAGCTTTGCGACACCATTCGATCATCTCCGGTATCGCCTGCTTGTTCATGCCGCGACCAGACTTGCGAATCGCATCGACTATGGAAAAGTTGGACTGAAGTGTGTTCAACGCTGCAACCGCAGCCTGCGATAATCAGCCCAATCCCTACGCATATTGCTGTAAACATACCGCATAATCGCGCGTCCCCATTTTGGCGGCGGTATGATGAAGACGGGTAATTGGTATAGCGCGCAAGCAGCACGTGCGTGTCCGGGCTATGAACATGAGGGCATCGTGATTGATGCTTGAGAGACTGCTTGAGACTTTTGTTAGTGAAAGAAAGCCCGCCGCCGATAGCCGATGACGCATCAGCTAGCTCGGACCCTCGTTCTCGCATACCTCAAATGGACCTGCGATCCACCTCACATCTCACTACAACCCCCCTGGAAAGATGCATCATGTTTCGCTTTTCGCAAGCAACCTTTTAGCTTACTAAAAAAAAACGTAGTGTCTATCTGCCTTTTATATACAGCTGATCTTACACGTACTTGTTTGCGCAGACAGCAATTATAGGCTCATCGTGTTGTACGCAGCACCCTCATCCCAGAGCGGGTAGTACGAACCAAACAAGTCAAACGTTTCACCGTCGAGCGTTGTTCCACCATCATTCCGAAGATTCCATCCCAGAGGAAATGGCTGCAAATCCGCATAGGAAGGGAAAGCTGATGGCGCCTCAGCAACTGTTGCTTCCTGCAGTCGGTTAGTCGAGGTTGCGCCTTCGGCATATATGTTAGACGATTTCGGGCGACTATTCGTCTCTGAATCGTTTTGCTCCCGCACATAAGCTCGCGCTATCTGCGTTAACTCTGATGCGATGGATCCTGGGAGTATTCCCTGCGAAGCGTATTCCAAGCCGCTGAAATGACCACTGCCTACATCTAGCAGGGCCAGGTTGGCCGCGGTTTCTGGATGTGTCGGATCATCGATGAGAAGATCGAAAAGAACGAGATAAGCTGCCAACGGAACGCTCGCAAGGATCCTGCAGATTATCAATATCCGTGACGAGAGGAAGCACATTCAAACTTACCAGATGGGCGTATAAGGCTGGATTTCGATAAATCTTGTGAGCTCCAGGACCGTCCGCGCGGTGCGCATAATGCCGTTCACCAGGTCGGACCGGGCGCTAGGCTCATCCTCCAATTGAAGAGCAGTACGATCAAGATGCATCATCGTGCCGTGATACAGATAATGAAGCCGTATACTAATATCGATCATCGGTGTGGTTTGTGTATACCGCCGTATTGGCTGTCCAGGCCGAAGCTCCGCGGGTATCGCTTTTGCCCATACTCCCAGCTCGGATTTTAAGTTGTGGATGGTCGTATTGTAATAAGATTTTGGTCTGCCTCGTACGCTGACAGAGAACAAAGATGCATATATGCGACTTAGGAGTCGTGATATTCGGATTGACGCACGGGTCCAGTCAAAAGATACGCCGCTGCACGACAGCGGCTGAGTCGGAATGGCACTGCTAATATCCGAATCCATAATGGTAGAGCATCTACCGATATTGAATGACATGTTCTTTTCAAGGAAATAAAGAACGTAGAATGTGCGGTTCCGTTCGTCATCACCAGGCGCCGTCGATCGGTTGTATCCTAGTGTTTGTGCTTTCTTGGCCCCTTCGGACACCATGGCGTATTCAATTTGCAGACATGAAAGGTTAGAGGCAAATATTGCCATGGCTGTTAGCGCTTGAACGGTGTTCAATGTGGTTCTGCTAATTAACAGATCAGGAAAAATGGCTAGAGCCGTGCCAAAGAATCGCCAGCTTCCACTCTTTGTGGGTTTATAACTGCCGCCATCGTGATACTGCGAACCCAATGCGAGAATAGTATAAAACAAGGCGGACCACGATTTATCACTGGCAAGTTTCTCGCTCAGATGCGGGCTGAGAGCAACGCTTTCGAATTGCCGCCTATCGAGGAATGGATGGATTGGATCGACGTGCTCGAAATAAGCTATACAGTCAACCATCGGCATGAATGCTGGATACTCAGGAGCTTACCTTGGACGCAAGTCTTTATGTATCCTTCTTCGATGTCAAAAACGCGGATGCGATCGGAGTCTGGCGCAGGAGCCGGTACTCGCTCGATAGTCCTCATACGCTCTCCTATAATGTTGACCACCTTCGCCCGAGCATGTGACACGCGGTCATGGCCAAGACGGACAGCCAGTTCCTTCAGTCGAGCCTCGGGAAAGAACGTCAGACTGTACTCGCTTCCTATTTGGAACTTGGTAAGCTGATAGCGAACTAGCAAGAACTGTTTCATGGTCTGGACCTACCGAAAACACCGAGATCTTGCAGGCTCGGACTTTGCGCAGTGAGCGCATTTTCTTGGTCAGAGGCAGCCAGAAGCCTGTCTACGTACAACTCTTGGAGTCCATCATACCTCGACATGCCCGCAAACGAGCTAAGATCATCATGGTACAATCCCGACTCGTCCCTGAGCTCGAGGTTCACTTTCTTTGCAGAGCCTATGACGGATTCTTGTCGCGAGCTTGATGCATCTCGTCTCTTCCGTGTGCGGATCGGACTGAAGTTGCAGACCTCGTTTCGTCGCGCGCAGTTGAGACATCTTGTGGCGCCTGGGTGCCCTATTCAACCATCAATTACACACTTCTGAGGATGAACCAGTGGTTGAGTAATCATCTACTCACCGATACCGCCACAGCGAACCTTGCGAGCTTTGCATGGATCGCATGTCTTCATCAGTCTACCACCGACATCCATAATTCTCAGAAAGATACCTTGAATATGCAGGAAGACTTCGGAAGCGTAAAAGAACGGGACATGGCATCTTCAAAAACCTCGGAGCCGAGGAGGTGCATTGATAGCGCTCGGATAGACCCGCTTTAGCCTTACGCGGCTACCGAGACGCGAGCTTCCTTCCAAGACGTGGAAACAAGTTCAGAACTGAAGTTCTTTCGTCGTTACCGATGAACGAGGACAGCATTGTATACCATGAGCAAGAGTTTGTTATATAGATCTGGTCGTTCGACCATATCGACCATTCTGCTATCGTTGTACTATCACCCTGGATCTGACCATGTCACCCAATACCTCCGACGATGCGGATGATGAAACGGTCCTTTCTTCTACCCCTCAGAATGAGGTATCTCTTTCGCCTGCCGCAGTTGCGCGGTTTGTTTGACGTGTCTCGGCTGCACACGACCCAGGCCGGAAGATCGACCCCTTCGATGTTAATGACCCGAACTGGACTCTCGAAAGAACCCTCGCTATTGCTATTGATCGAGGAGCACGGGATGGCGCTGAATATTTATCACCACACGTGACGCTCGTGTGACAGGATTTTTCTGTCTATGGTGACGATGTTGGCAAGGCTACGCAGCAAGATGCGCTGTCTATCTTCACCAACCTTATCACCGTAATTCGCAAATTACTGAAGAAGCCGCTGGAGAAAAGGATTCTCCACGACATTGATGGAATGCTCGCTCCTGGCGAGATGATGTTGATCCTTGGGCCACCGTCCAGTAGTTCTACGTAAAAATCCCTTCACGGACTGCATGTCAGACATATACTGACTCCGTATACCCACATTGGGTACAACGCTGCTGAAGATACTTTCTGGGCAAATCGAAGGCTACCGGAGATGGTCTGGTTCTATCAGGTTCAGCGGTATCAGTCTGGAGACCATGCGAAAACGATTCGCGGGTATGCTGACCTTCAATGACGCTATCGATCACCACTTCCCCTATATTACGGATTCTCAAACCTTGAAGTTTGAAGCAGGCACCAAGGAACCCCGGATGTGTATCGACGGGATCTCACGAAAGCAGTACATCGAAGGAACCAAGAACATTCTCATGGTTATCGTTGGGTTGAGGCATACGGCCCAAACCCGGGTGGGCAATGACTGTGTCCGAGGTGTATCTGGTGGCGAGAGACGCCGAGTCTCGATCGCTGAAATGGTATGTCTTGCCAAACTCAACACCCAAGCACCCACAAAACTGACTACGAGAAAGCTTCTCACTCGAGCTTGCGTGACCTGCCGGGACAACCCAACGAAGGGTCTTGACAGTTCAACCTCCCTGGACATCGCCAGAGCACTGCGCGTGGCCGCCGATCTGACTAACAACGTTTCGATCTCTGCCCTGTATCAGCCGGGTGATTCTTTGGCTGGTACCTACAATAAAGTCCTGCTCCTTCACAAAAGCTCCCAAATCTATTTGGGGGATTCGTTGAGCCAGGTACACTGACGGCATTTATGGGTGCCTCTAGAGCAGGCAAGACCACTTTACTCAATGTACTTGCACAACGCGTGGATGATGTGGGTATCGTGACCGGCGGTCCAACAATCAACGGCGTTGCCTTGGACGAGTCATTTCAACGACGCACCGGCTACGTGCAGCAACAAGGCATCCACATGGCTGAGATAATTGTTCGCGAGGCGTTTCGCTTCTCTGCGTCCCTTCGCCAACCACAAGTTTCCCTAGACGATAAGTATGCCTACGGCGAGAAGATCATCACAATCCTCGGACTGGGAGACTTCGCTGAAGCCGTCATTGGCATTCCAGGGAAGGGCCTCAGTGCAGAGAAGCGGAAACATACTACGATCAGGCTTGAGCTTGTCGCACGGCCGTCGTTGCTCCTCTTTGTCGACGAGCCAACATTTGACATTGACTCACAATTCGCATAGGCCATCGTCCAGCTACTCAAAGATCTTGCCAATGCAGGTCAGGTAATTCTGTGTACTATTCACCAGCCTTCCGCTACTCTGATTGAATAGTTCGACCGATCACTATTGCTAGCACGTGGTGGATGTCAGGCCTGGCTGACGATATATACTATCTTGCACCTTGATCAGTACTTTACTGATCATACGTACCTTTTGGTTGCAAGGCGTAGTGGTGCAGGGCTGCGTTCTTGACAGTGGAAAGACTGTCTACTTTGGAGACCTAGGTGGGGACTCACAAACGGTCCTGGACTACTTCGCCAGCTACGGTGCATACCGGTGCTCAGAAGGCATGAACCCGGCTGAGTACATTCTCGAACAGAGTGGAGCAGGCGCCACGGGACAGGCAACCCTCGATTGGCCTTCAGTATGGCAATTGTCTTCAGAGTGCAGGGCTGTCACGGAACGCATTGAGCACTTCGAGTCATTAGGCTGCTCTAACTCTGATCAAAAGTCGAGCGTTCCTATGCGCAGGTTTGCAATGACCTGGTTCCAGCAATACCTCCTCGTTCAGAAGCGACTTTTCGTGCAGCAATGGCGCCCGCCAGGGCACATGAACAGCAAGCTTGCTATCAACGTCATCAGCGAATTATTTATGGGTTTCACCTCCTACAAAGAAAAAAGCCCCGTGCAGGGCTTGCAGAACAAGGTCTTCTCTGTTCTCACCATCTTGCTTCTCTGCCTCATCCTGGTGGTGCTTGTCCAACCTCGTCTCATCGAACTCCGGAAACTATACGATGTTCGCGAAAAGCACTCCAACATGTACCATTGGAGCGTCTTCGTGGTCGCAAACGTACTCGTGGAGATACCCTTCAACCTCATCATCTCCAGCATGTGCTTCCTCTGCTGGTACTTCCCCGTAGGGTGGTGGCGCGACATATCCCACGGCCGAGGCGCATTCATGTACCTCGTGTTCAGCGTCTACCAGATCTACCACGCAACCTTTTCGCAGGCGCTTGCTGTCGTCGCACCCAATGCCGAAACAGCGGCCATGTTAATCATTCTCTTCTACACATTCATCCTTGCTTTTACTGGGGTGCTCCAACCGCTCCAACAACTTGTTGGCTTCTGGCATTTCGTCTACTACGTCAGTCCCTTCACCTGGCTCGTCTCAACTATGATGTCTACTGGTGTCCATGACGTGCCGGTTCGATGCACCGTAGCAGAGACCAACATCTTCCAGCCACCCCAAGGGCAGACTTGCGGTGAGTACGCGGGCGTGTTTGCGAATGCAAGTATGGTCGCGTTGTACGATCCGAAGGTTCGCCAATTTTGCCAATTTTGCCAATACGCCGTCACGGACGTGTATCTTGGTGCTTTGAATACGTCGTACGACGGCCGCTGGAGGAGCTTTTGCCTCTTAATCGTTTATACTGTGTTCAATATTGCTATTTTCACTCTCGACTTTTACCTTTACTCTGGTCCAAGGTTGGTGAATACGCTGAAACGCTCCTTCAAGGGTAAGAAAGCCTAATTGTGGTGTTGACATTAATTGTAAGTGGTGGGTGCACGTAGCTTATAGATTCCAGCCAATTGTATCATAACAACATGCACTTGTTTTCTTTTGAAAGTTTACCTTGGACGCGTTCCACTACAGTAGTTTGGTTTGAAACACAATAACAGGGTTCAATAGGCGATTTGCGTGGTGCCGAAAGTAGTTTAGCGTGGTTGGTCGTAGCTCTCTCACTCAATGGATCCTCGATGGACAATCCGACCGCAGCCATTGTTTCGACCGCAGCCAGCGCCTTTGTCAACCACCGCAACCCCCTTTTCTTCTTCTCTTCCCCCATTATCGCACGACGTACGGAGATACGTTGATAAATATCGCAACTCTCGTCGCGCAACCGGACACATTACAGCTTCCTCGACTACGCGCCCCTGTTCGTGTCGCGTCAAGCTCACCACAGCCACTCACCTTTTCTATCACAACGACACGCGCAGCCATGTCGGACTACTCAAAGATGAAGAACGACGAGCTGTCGGCGCTCCTCAAAGAGCGCAAGCTACCTCACACTGGCAAAAAGGCAGAGATGGTTGAGCGCCTACAGAAGGACGACACCGAGAAGGCTGGCGCGAAGCCTGCTGCTGGTGCCGAAGACGAGATTGACTGGGATGACGATGCTGATGATGCTGCCGCTGCTCCACCAGCTGCTGCGACCACGGCACAAGAAGAGACCGTCATTCCTAACGCAGAGACTGTCGCGAACGCCGGAGGTGAAGGCCAACCACTGAACCCGCAAGCCGTACCTAACCAAGTCGCCGATATTGACCCTGCGCAAACCGACGACCTGACCACCGAGCCGCCCGCGGAAGGCGCCGCAGGAGCCAGCGCTGAGCCTAAGCCAGAAGAGAAGAAGGAGCCCACTCCCGATTACTCAAGAGGCCTCGCTGCCACTAACCTCGATGACGAGATTGAAAAGCGCAAGAAGCGCGCGCTGAAGTTCGGTACAAAGTTTGAGGACGACGAGGGTCTCAAGAAGCTGGAGCGCGCCAAGAAGTTTGGAGAGGCTGGGCCTCCCAAGGGTCTCGACGAGGCTCTCCCAGAACGCCGCGAGAAGCGCCGACGAGAGGGTGCCGGTGAGGATGCTGGTAGCAACAAGCGCCGCGAAGGAGGACGCGAAGGAGGACGCCAGGGCGGACGCGAGGGTGGACGTGAAGGAGGCCGTTCTGGAGGTCGTGGAGGACGTCGGGATGACAACAGGAACCGCAGCAGGGACAACCGCCCTCGCGAGAACAAGACTAGCGGTGGTGGTGGTGGCGCCGGCGGCAGCTGGATGAGCGAAAAGGACAGGGCAGCCGCTGAGGCTAGGAAGGCCAAGTTTGCGAAGCCTACGGCTTGAGCATTAAGACACAGTTTCGATGGTTTCCTCGATTTGACGTATGAGCGGCCGACGAGCGATTTCGAAGACGGAACTTCGAACCGCGCCCGGACTCGGACTCGGTTGAAGAGCTTGGACAGCAACGGCGCACTCCTTGTATAACATATTTTGCGGACTACATTTTACCAATTTGCCGGACCATCTGCGATTGTCGCTTCTTCAGACAAATCACGGATATATCAATTCAAAGCTCATTAATCTACACGGACTCGTCTCTTCGCAATCCACTGTTTGCATATTACCGCTTCTTGGGCTCACATGGAGAGGTTTTCGCATGGGTGTTCGTTGCGAGAGCCCTGAAGTCGCCAGCAGAACGCATTCATCCGTCCCGGCATCCGCGCCTTCTAATAGCCCAGTCGCCTCTACGGTCGACGCGATATGGAAGCTACGCATAACTTACCATTCTTGACAAGGATGCCATGAGATAATCCGACCAACACTGATTGTGAAATCAACCTTTGCAGGCTCTTAGTTGGCTTTCGTCGAAAGCCAGCCACGCCTCCTGTACGATTTGAGTACAGCAAACATCACTCATGTAACGAATATTCATTACCGCAATGTACAGGCGATACCTATAGATTAACCAACTCTTAAGCAATTGCCCATTGCGTACAATTCTCTCTTCCAAGCACACCTTCTTGTGTTCCTCTTTCGTCATGCTAGTGCCTCTCCAACGCCACAAATCTCGCTGCCTATTCCCGACCTCGGCAGCCAAATGGTATCCCCGCACATAAACTAACACAGCTAAAGGGGGAAAGAACGCTTAGCAATCGTCACCGTTAAATAGTACAGCCACTAATGAGTTTGTGGGGATATTTAGACGGTGGCATTCCCCGCGCGTAAATTCCGCGTTCCTGGTCGGTATATGTTGTGTTACTTTTTCGCGTGTTGCGGACTGTGACTCTTCTTTTTTGTCTTCGAAGACACCGAATTCGATCATCTGGCCGCAAACTATTCTACTTGCCTGTTCTGGGACTTGGAAATATCACATGACTCGGTATTCAGAAGTCGGAATCGGACAAGAGTCGGGATAGTCGTACAGCCGGCATCATTCTAATACACATGGGAAAGGAAATACTCATACCAAGTATTGCATATCGGGATAGTCAGTGACAACGACAAAAAGGTCGCGCGGCCGGACTGGAAAGGAAAATTGGAGCGGCAACCTCTTTACACCATGTCTCAATCAGATGTGGAGGAGAGACATGTCATTAAAGACAAAGCGGTCTCGCAAGAAGATATCAGTCGCCCCTCATCTTCGATCCACGATGATGTTCACCAACAAGACAAGCCAGTGCAAACCGACGAGCCAACAGGGGACAAAGAAGCGCAAATAGATGCTCGATCAACAATGACCACGGAGTCCGCCATCCCCCCACCTCCAGATGGCGGGCTCCACGCTTGGCTAAAAGTATTTGGAGGGTTCATGATATATATAAACATCTGGTAGGTCAACGACTCCATCAAGCCTCCCCTCCTCAATCATAAGCAGCGCGAGCAGTTTGCTAACACGACCGACCATACCAGGGGATTCACCCTAACTTACGGCGCCTTCCAAACCTACTACCGTACCACTCTCCTTCCCTCCTCCTCTCCCTCAGCGATATCCTGGATTGGCACCGTACAAGCCTGGCTCCTAATCGTCATCGGCGTCTTATCGGGCCCCCTCTTCGATCTTGGTTATTTCCGCAGTATGCTGCTCGTTGGCAACTTTTTGGTTGTGCTGGGTATCATGATGCTTAGTTTGAGTACGAAGTATTGGCAAGTTTTCCTGAGCCAGGGCCTTTGTATGGGACTAGGGGCTGGATTGTTATATATACCTAGTTTGGCGATGGTGGGGGTTTGGTTTAGTAAGAAGAGGGCGGTTGCGTTGGGCATCGTTATGAGTGGGATTGCTGTTGGTATGTCCTTCTCCCCTTCCTTAGTTTGAGCGGAGCTTTTCCTTGTGAGGAAAGAACGATCTTGAGGATAGCAAAAGCAAACTGAGACCGAACGACGAGCTAACAGACCAACCCAGGAGGTGTAATCTACATAATCATGTTCGACCACCTTATCAGAACTGCCGGTTTCCCCTGGGCTATCCGTGCCATAGGTTTCGTCGCCCTAGCCGCCGCTCTCCTTTCCATCCCTGCTCTTCTCTCTGGCTCCGCGTGGCTAAAACACAAACGTAAGCGTCGCGCTCTGTTCGACAAATCCGCACTCCACGACCGTCTTTTTCTCATCTTCACGGCTTGCTCCTTCAGCACTTTTCTCGGATACATTGTACCTTACTTCTACATCCCGACGTATGCACGCGAACGGTTGGGCAGTTCAGAGAGTACGGCATTGTACATGCTGGTGTTAAGTATAGCAGGGAGTTTCTTTGGAAGATTGGTGAGTGGTGTCGCGGCGCATTTCTTAGGCGCGATTGTTACGTGGGGGCTGTGTGCGTTCGCGAGTGGGATTTTGGCGCTGTGTTGGATTAGCATTGAGACTGAGAAGACATTTATTGCTTTTAGTATACTCTGGGGTACGTATCGCTATTATTTAGAAACTAGAGGATGACTGGGCTGACATGAACTCATAGGCTTCTTCTCAGCGGCTCTGGTAACAGTGCCATCTGCTGCTTTTGCCAATATCACACCGGATCTTTCGCGGTTAGGGACGAGGCTTGGCATGAGCTGGAGTGTATCTAGTATTGCTTCGCTTATCGGTGCGCCGATTGCTGGGGCTTTACTCAAGAAGACAGATGGGAGGACCAATTTCATTGGCGTGCAAGTGTGGAGTGGAGTGTGTTTGATGATTGGGACGTGTTGGTTGGTGGTGCTTTGGATTGTCACTGTGAGAACGCAGAAGAAAGGGTGGAAAGTTTAGTTTCAGTGCACGAAAGAAGCCAGATGAGCTGGTTCATGGCTTCAAAATCAACCTTTGAGGTCAGATTAAGTCTTGTGTTACATCGCGTTGGTTTGCTGAACGGGCCGTAGCGGAAGGATACGGTGGCTTGCTTTCTAGCTACTGTACAGGTACACGTGTATTCTGATACCATACCGATGGCGGCCCGCAATCGGTCCTATATCCTGGCTCGAATCAAGGTTGAAGTGGACGTCAGCGACGTGAGTGTTGTTGAAGACGAAGGAACCCCAGGACTAAAACTACAACATGGCGTCGAAGTTGGAGAACTTAATCTAAGAAAGGTTAGATGAGTTACCTTACCTCGCCGACCAAATAAGTCTACCTAGATACCCATTGTTTCCCTGAAACGACTCGATCGCTTTAACCTACCCAGAAGATTTTTGTGCTCGGGAGTCCTTACAAAAGCAAAGAGTGTATGCGAATGCGAGACTAAGGTCGTAGGCATCTAGCTGGAAACTGCACATTTCCACAAAAGTCCCTCAATCACGGCTTCACCTATAGCCTAGCTGTTTCGGAGGTATAGCAAGCGGTGGTAAAAAGTCGGTATGCTTCACTCACTTGACGCACCCTACCGATGAGCAATCTAGAGCAGCCCTTCCGTCTTTTACCATTGCTCACACGCCACAGAGCATTACTTAGCGATACCAGTGCTTGTGCTCTGGTATACACAAGATGCATGGGTAGCGTGACGCTGTGAAACCTCAGATTCTGCATCGAATCCTTGCTACTTAGTAACCGTAATATCATACCGCTATAGAGTCTGTGCGTAACAGGTCACCGAAAACGAACTAGCGGTACGTTTTGCGTTGATGTTACTCCCGAGATCTGTTCCTCCACCTTTCATCGAGTTCGATCTGAGCTAGTGATATCCCTGTTTCGCGTGGGGTTGCTGACTCCCCAACATCCTGCCCACTGCTGTACGTCGGACATGGCACAAGGAAGTCGATATGTATATCACAAAGATCATGAAGTGAACGCACGCATTGGTTTTGGCTATCGTACGACGTTACAAGGTTTCTCCAAGCCATGCCGTGCCGTCGGCCTCGCGCCTACCTGTCCGACTCGCGTGTCGCCACGATTATCGGCACCACGAAAAAGGTGCTAGTCTTTCCACGAGGTCAACTTAGAAGATACGTAAAATTAGATATGCCGTGTGTGCAAATTCGTTTTTCATCTTCTCAGTAGCATAATAGCGCAATTTGCACTTTGGGGGCCGAAGAAGTCCGCCTCATCATAGCGTACGGTGATGCCGATCTAACGTGCAGACTGCTTAGTGACAGATCTGATTAGCCCACCCGGAGACCCGCAGACCTGGTCACCCGACCCACCTGCATGGCAGCGTGGATGCTGTCTCAGGTCTGACAACGAGCCACTTGATAGGCGAGATCGCAAGGTGCGCTTGCGCTAAGAAGCCACCACATGTGTCATTTGGACTACAACTAGTCCTGTAGTCAGATAGAGCCGTATACATATGTCTATTCAGCCAGCGGACAGCCAGATAGTATATTTTTGCTTGTTTGCGATCTGTACAACCCTGGTCAACGTCGAAGCTTGGTTCAGTTGCCATACGATGAAATGTCTACGACGACCTGAAACCCAGTGGTTCAGTGCCCCTGCAGCCCACCATCGTAGGATCTAAGGCCATCTTGGTATGCAGAACACGAGGTAAGATTGCCGAGATAGGATAGTGCTCCGTTGCCATGCCCACTTATACTGCCCATTGCATATAGCCAAACTGGGCAGTGGGATATATGCTTCACAACAATTTCCTCGCATCCCGCAGTCCTGTAACGGCGACAGATCGACTACGCCTCACAATTTTCTTCGCTACCGGAAGTGTCTTTAGAAGTAGGAAAACTTTCCAAAGAGATTACTAGTCGCAAAAATGAGCTCATATTCGATTCCGTGACTTGTTATTAGCGCTGTACTATGTCAGAAATTGATCTTTCATATGGGGGCTTCATCAAGCTTACTCTGTACGACCCATTCACGACCATGGGTTCGGCTCGTCCAACAACGGTGGTATCAGTGTCCATGCGCACATGCAGTGTCATCCCCATGTGCACTTGTCCGTTCAGCGTGTTTGCCGCGTGTTGCGCCAGCTCCTTCGACGCAAACTTGGCGGTTGCCACACCCTTGAAGACACCGGTCCTGCCGTCTTTCATAAGTTGGATATCGATAGCGTACCCGACAGTCTGCAACAAAAGCGCGTTGAGATCATCTGGTGTGCATTTATAACTCAGATTACGAATGAAAACACCGCGGGCTTCTGTTAAGACTGCTCCGCCCCGAACATTCACTGGCATTCCATTCATGCTAGTCGAGTAGACTGGTGGTGTCGGTAACGCATAAGCTGGATGAATTGTGGCAGGGGCGTATGCTAGCTGCTGTGGCGGACAGATATGCATCTGCGGGTACATCACGTACGGGTACCTGGACTGTTCTGCCATGTATGGCGTCGACGCCGCAGTGGCACTCGCTCGGCCACCACCCAGCTGATTCACTCTTCCGATATCGATGCCACAACGCCCAGTGGAATGGCCTCCTTCGGGTACTTCCGGAAATGACGTGGAGCAGTTGCAGCGCATCAATCGGTAACCGTCGCCCTTACGGCTGGTCTCCCATACATGCACCAGCATGCCCTTGGATCGGTAGTAAACTTCTACAGATACGATTAGTTCTGTGGCACTCAAGTTACTTTCCTTCAAGTACCTACTGTATACTGCATCAGCATCTTCTCTATCCTTGAGTCGGCACCAGCCCTGCATCTCTCCTCGTCGTTGACCCTGGCTAGAGTATACATCAGCCCATCCTGGCTGCTCCTTGACCACCTTGCGAAGATGATCCTTGAATTCCTGCCACCCGGTCAAGTAGGGAGCATAACGTGTAGTACCAGATACAACAAGCAAGAAGTCTTCATCGCTCCTGTTCCGGGATGCTGGGTAAGACATTTGTCGGGTATGGGAGCCGGAAGTTACAGCTGGGGTGTCTCCACTGCCAACGAACAATCTGTGTACGATGTTATGAAGATACGGCTGGCTATAACTGCTGGTACAGCGAAGTGAAGCCGAGAACTTTAAGAATGTCCGAAATTGGTGGTGTATACTAGAAAGTGGTATGAAAAAATCCGGTGGATCAAGATTGAAATAGCGTAGGACGAGATCTATACTTCTACTTTAAACCAGAAGTCTCCCAAGATTTCATACTATTCTGCCATCGTAAGGGTAGGGCTCAAGGTATCCTTGTGATGGTTGGCTAACTACCACATTGCGCCCATGAAACAGGAGATCCTGCATGAAGCATCCCGCTTCCCCGTCTGCGCCTCCCCCGTCTGGTAAGATGCCTGCTCAGATCGATCTGTAGTATTGGGGCCTGAACTCCTGCGTGGCGGCTGTTAGCGGCACCTAATGCCGCTAACGGGCTTGCCCAACGCACTATCATCCATCCATCCCTGGTCATAGCGTCATCAATCTTTCCTTTAGAATATATGGCCGCACGTATCACATGTCTCGCCTTTCTTCTGAGGCTGTTGCTGAGATGTCGCATTCGGCGTGGGATCGCACTTATTTACTTAGCCGATCAAAAACAATTAGCATTATCCTATTTTGGGTATATGGGACGCATGATTGGCATATCACTCAACTAGCATTTCTGCTATTAGTCACGATATGTCTTGATGTGCATGTACGGATAGAGATGTTACGGCGTGCACCGGGCGCTGCCGTGGCTACAGCTCCTTTCCCTGTGCACATCTGTTGCTGCATAATCTATAGCTCATCATCTGCACATGGAGATGCAAACGATAATACCCGAGACGGAACCATGGTGGTACATGCTGAGGTTTTCTGTGTGGTAGAATACGGCTCTGACTGGGGGGGCCATATCCGGTCGAGTCAGCGATATCTCATCCCATGAAGCATTGGCATGGGATAAGAGCCACACGCTGTCATCCTTACTCTGGGAGTCATGAAATAGGCATCTCGGTGTTCTTAACTACGTTACACAATCTTGGTTGAGACAATATTGCGTATAGCAAGATTAAGATGAAGCCCAGACGATAAGCTTCTGATCAAATCCGCCGCTTATGAGATACTCGGCCTTCCCATTGCCGTCTGAGCCATGAGCATCAGGTCCCACCATTTGACCTGCCCAAAGGCATCGTAACTTTGATCCAGGCTCGTGCGCCTTCAACGACGAGATCAACTTACCACTCTTGGCTTCAATGCCGCGGACCACTCCATCGTCAGAGCTCACATATACGCCTGAGCCATCAGGACGCCATACCAGGCGTGGCGTGGAGTAAGACGTTTGAGGCGCTAGAGTGGAAACGTTGACTAATGTAGCCGCTTCCTCTTTGTCTGCAACGAGCAGCTCAGCCCGGGCTTGCGACGCTTGTGTTACGGGTCCATCTGGTTCTAGACTTGTCTGAGTATCCGATACTGAAGAGCGAGTAGGGGGAAGCAAAAGCTTCACTATCAGCAATTTCATATGCGGTGTGCTAGAAGTTGCGATCGCGACAAGGTATGGATTCGTGGGGCAGACCTGGATATCGGATGGTGTGAAAGCTACCCATGCATTGGAATGTGGAGCAAGATTTTGCTTGCCGATCAGAGTGAACGCTGGTGACTCTGGACTGGGCACAGCGTAATAGTGTAGGAATGTGGAATCTCTTCGAGCAACAACCAGAACTGGCGTTTGGTCCCCAGGTAAGGTGACGAACAATGTCGATTCAGGAATGCTCGGTAACGATAAAGTCGCTACTGGATCTCCAAGCCGCGGCTGTCCAACGCTATTATCAAGCTGATATAGAACCACTCTAGCATCCCACCCTGCACTCGCGACTAGTATAGGCTTGCCTTCCGAAGACCATGTGGAGATTTTGACAAGATACTTAGAGTGATCTTTGCGTTCTTCCAATACTGAGTTGGTGGCCGTATCAAACAGTGTCAGCTTGCCAGACATTGAGGCAATAAGCAGACGTCTGGAGTCTATAGGAACAACATCAAGAGTTGGTGAATCTTGGAAGTTGGAAATTGTATGGACACAATCGAACGCATGCGAGCTCGGATCCATCAGGTGTAGTTGACGGTCAGCCGTGGTGACAGCAACATACTGTCGGATCTCTGGCGCCGACGGTAGAAGAAGATCGAGAACCGATACGCTTAGTATGTTGGATCGGTTTGGCAATGACTCTACCACTTTCGGATCAAGGGGCGCCTGAACGGTCCATCCTCGCTCTTTATCGTCGACACCAAGTTTCTCGAAATTGAGGCTGAGATCGAATGTCTTCTTTTCCTGCAGGATAGACTCTATTGTAGTGGGACTATCGGAGGCTGAACCCGTATCAGGAGGTAGGTCAGCTTCTTGAACAAAACTGTTCAAGGTCTAGATGAATATTAGTGCCTTCGAACAATCTAGGAAAGCATGACGTAACCTGAGTGTACCCGTTGGCTCTTAGGTACCGCGCAACAAGCTCTGCCGCCGATGGTAGCATATCGCGTTCTATTCTTTTTATTTGTTATTTTGTTTCAACTGATTGTAACTGATAGCAAGACTGACATGTTGTGCATAGTTGTTGAGGGTTATTGGTGAGCGAAGTGGCAATGGCCAAGCTAGCCCAGTCTTATCGATAGCGCCACCGCTAACATACCAGCCCCCACACGATCTTGCAGAAGTTTCTGTAAATCACGAAGCATAGTAATCAGACATCAATCAGTTTCAAATCAACTTGAATTTCGCAATGGAGGCAAGTGTTACAGGATGTATCCTGACGATAGATCTGACCTTCACAGAAAAAAGCTGCCATGCGCGAAAAGCTAACGGAGGATTTGGTGGCGCTCCAGGAGACTACAGTTGAAGAACCGTATAGCATATCATGCCGTCTGCGGCTCGCAAAAGCGTATCAGGTACTTGGATATCCAGATCTCGCCGCCGGCGATGCCTATAAAGCCTTGATGTTGGTGGACGAAGTAGTCCAAGAAGGCGAATACCACGACGAAGCCTTGCAGGCAGCTTGGGCGGATGTCATCTCCGAACGCATGGCAGACTTGAACATAAGCGATGAAACAAGAACCTCTCCTTTGAAAGAGGAAGACATATTGACATGGGCGCAAACGCGATGGTCTAAGAGCGCGTATGTAAGCAGTTGAGGGGTTGATGTACTTTTGATTGAGATGCTAACTTGCTCAGTCATGAAATACTCATCGGATGCCTATTGAACTGTGGATGCCTTCGGAGTGCATCTGACTATATCGCTCGTGCGAGAAAGGCTTTTCCACAAGAACTAATGTTCGAAGACTACGAGAAAACGCTATGGAAATATTTGCGATCTCACTTTGAGCGTGAAGGAGAGTCTGCCGAGGATGTAGATGTAGAAGACTATCCGGATAGAGGCTTTGTTCGCCGCGAACAGTACCCTTGGAACCACCATGAGCCGAATCGTTTCTCGACCGAGTGTCTCGACTTTCTTAACGAGGAGCTCGCGGATATAGCACCGAGACTAGAGGTTAGGGTCTCTGAGTTGCCTATACTCAGTACCGCCTTGATCGCTGATGCAACAACACCGGAAACGAAATACACGAAGCAACTAGGATTATTTGCAAAAGACAAAATATCCCCCGGCGAGACTGTCCTAGAGGAGAAGTCGTTACTTACCGCTATATCAAGACTTTATGAGTCATATTGCGATGCTTGTGTTATGCCACTTTCGAACGGAGATGATACAGTAATATCTTGCGAAGAATGTGACGAAGTCTTCTTCTGCAGTGAAGAATGTCATGACCTAGCCCAGGACCACTACCATCCCGCGCTATGTGGTGTCAGCGTAGATCAGGGGAAGGTGCCTGCACGTGAAGCGGCAGACTATCTCTATTACCTTCTACTTGTCCGCGCACTAGCATTAGCCGAAACTCAGGATCTTCATCCCCTGGAGTTGAAAGAATTGCGGTATATTTGGGGCGACTACCATGGTAAAGACCTCGACGTTGTATGGCAGGCGGACTCTTCAGGTCGCCTAAGCGACGCATTCGCAGGGGTACCGCAAACACTTCCCTTTTCATTCAAGAGCAACATACTCATGCCGTTGCACATTCTAGAGAAGATGGACATCAACATCTTCACGCAGAGTCACCGCTACGATACCTGGATTTTCAACACGCTATATGCGAAATTCCGTGGAACAGCCTCCGCTCGACAGGGCCTCGACGGCAGGCCTGAGATCAGCGCTGTTCACCCAATGTGGTGCCTCGCGAATCATAGCTGTGATCCGAACGTCGCCTGGGAATGGCGTGGCTCAATGCGTTTTTGGGCCCGTGAGGAGTTGGTTGATTGGAAGGGTAGAGACCCGAGCGTAAGGCCTGGCCTCAAGAAGGATGAAGAGGTGTTTGGCCACTACTGCGACATACGTCTGTCAGTCAAGGATAGGCGAGAGTGGGCCTCGGGAGCACTCGGTGGAGACTGCATGTGTGCTAGATGCGTCTGGGAAGAGGCGGAGGAACGGAAGAACGGTGCTTTGCAATAAGGGGGTTTGCCGTCACCTGCAGTATCGGATCTATTCTGAGGAAACGCGGTTAACATGTAGGATTGGTTGAGTATTATTAGTGATTTCCGGCAGATGGGCACAGGGTCGATGCAAAAGAGATGTGTAAGAAGTGGAGATCTTGTACGACACTAGTATACTGAGGTGGCTTTGACTGAAGATATCAGTGATCGCGCCATGTAGGAAGAGTCCGCCGGACCAATCCTGGTATCCGTGGGGGCGGCGCTACCACGCACTTACGACAGTGCGCATAGTACAGCGGCAAAGGTTAGGACATAATCTAGCACCGCGGAAAACGCCATCAGATCTTCGCAATGGTACAGATCGAGGGTCCTGCACGAAGGCGCACCTCGTGGGAAGGTGCATTTACCGTTTGGGAGTAACCGCAGTTCCCATGCACTTGTCTCAGCCCTCGATCCCCATCATCTCCACTAACGACAAGACGGTATATGTCGACAGGCGCCAAAAGCAGCCGAGATGTTTGTGTACCATGCTTTTACAACCCTTTCTCATCCCCACTCAGCTTCATGTATGTAAATAGGATTCGATCGGTATGCACCCTGCACTTGCCTCACTTTCCCAGCGCTCCTCGGACTCTAGCGTGTGGTTGTGCGTCAAACACACCAGGGTCCTACAGGATCCTACATGAGAATCAAACCAAATCCCCGAGAATCTGAGCCTAGCCATGCCATCGGAAACTATTGCTTGACAAGTAATACGATCCGCGTGTTCGTTCTACGATCCGTCGCATCGAGATGTGGAGAAACAGTGCTAATATGCCGCTCACGTTATACCAAACGCATTTACTTGGGACTCGCTTTTCCGGATAGATTGCCGCGGCCCGCTGGCATCATCATCTGCCGCTGACCCCTGATAAGCCAGTCCCAGTGATTCACTGGACGGGCAGATCCGCATCACGTGTCGCAGGCTTAAGCCAAGGAACTGTGGCTACTATGGCGGCGCAACAATTCCAAATAATTAGACTTGCTGGGTGAATATGGGATTCAATCTCGCTTCAACAGGCAAGACCACGAATGCCTGTTGCCGAAACGCCCAGGATAAGCTGCGGCCGCAGGCAGCTGTACAAGCATTATCGATGACTAATGTCAGTGGTAGCACAGCATCTGCTGGAACGATGATTACTGAGATCCCATGTTTCACCGCCTCGATATTGATCTCAATGACGTTCTGTGGCGAACGGTACAATGTTCAATGCAGATGATTTCGGCTAGATATCTGCACGAAGCCTTGGAAGAAGTTGCAGGATTTGTATTCTTCGTCATAGGACCTAAGCTATGTGTTTACCTGCAATAGAAAGGCAATTGCGAGAAAAGAACAGTTGATCACATTTTATCAATTTCATCATTACCTAAAAACTTATACTGCTCTCCGGTGTAATAAAATTGATACAATTGCAGTAGGTTTTCAGGAGCACCTCTCGCGTGCGGGAGAATGCGTATGTCCACATCATAGCTCAGAAGGTATGGCCACTATGTTGAGAGCAATTTGATGATCTTCTTCGCACGATGGTGATCCACAGGTGCTTTAACACACTTGGAAAGGACTTTAACTAAAGACCACGCTTAGCCGAGGATAACACTTTCAAGCATACATGTCAGGCACTCACTCATAATATTTTGGCTTTAATAACCCTTAAATTAATGATGACTGCAAAATGTGTCTTGCAGGCTTTAGAGTTTACATTGAAGAAGGTCAGTTGTTTTCGTCGAAATGACAAGACAGCCAACATTGTTACGTGACATTGGGAGTGTGCGCACTTCTACAGGCCAATTTTCATTCATCAGTTTCTATATCTATCTCTCTAGGGTAACCAAATACCTTGTTGTCGACGGTGTTCCAACTGAGCCAACAGTCCGCCAATATTGCTACATACCCGTAGGCAATAACAACCAGTGACTGCGCATGCCAGTGAGTACATGCTACGACAAACAACTTTCATGTGGGAGTTGAAGTCTGAATGAATTCCACCTTAGACTTGAGCACTACTACTGCTACGAAGCGCCATGCATACGCTCGATACTTCATACCAACCAGATAGCTTGTCACGATCTTTCGTGGAAATTCAGACCGATCTTCACGAGCTATCCCCAGCAGTGATGAATATCCAGCCAAGAAATGACCGCACCACTGAGCGATAAGAACCAGCATATGTACAGGGTTCGATACACCCTCCCCAGAATCTGGATGCGGTGAGAGCCAAAGATGCTCATCTCTGCTCCCACCCACCGCCCCCAATGTTGATCATTACCCTCGAAAGAAATAAGAATGAAGGCATACACAGTGATAGGCTCTCAATACTATTTCCGGAAGCCCAGGCTGTATTCATGGTCTAGATCAGTGCTCTGTCCCGCACTTCGTCTACACCCTGGCATCCCGCGGATAATCTGCGTTGTTGGAAACCAGTCACGATCCACTATAGGTAGAGCTTGCCAGGAAAACTCTCTGTCATCCGCGGAAAGGCAATCGTGACTAGCTATTGGATCTTGCATTTGAACTCAGAAGTCGCAGCCGATGGAAAAGAGCGGTCTGACTAAATCCCAGCTACATGTGCATGCTTACCTTTGTAAGAAAGCAAGCAGTCAGTCAGCTAACGCCGCAATCGCCTTCGCGTCCTCCAGTACCAAAGTCACAATTCACACTCGCGTCTTTCCTCTCTGATGATTGAACACTCATTTCCACAGGAACTCAGGAACGGAACATGTCAACTCCATGGCTAGCGAATGGCACCCACTGAAAACATCTTTCCCATGCAACAAGAACACTAACTCCCGGTCTCCGAACGTCTGCTTCCAAGTCATGCATCACTTGCTTAATGGCTACCCTCACCTCCGTCGAAACATTCATGAAGCGTGAAGAATAAATCAGGTTGTCACCCATCAACAATACATCACTACAATAGTCGTGTAGTACTTCCTATTTGAGTAGTGTTCCATTCACATGAGTAGGGAAAGCCACGTCTAGATACAATATAAAAGGTATCTAGAAGGTATCAGCGTATACATAGTTCAAAGCCTGCTCAGGGATGCCAGTGTATCGAGCATCACCATTTCAACGTATGTCCTTCGCAAGTCATGTATCCACAAGCGCTGTAGTGACGAGCTACTCAGCACTAGTGATCCATCCCCACCATCCACCTTGTGGTAATCCAGTCTCAATGCCACAAGCTCTGCAAACCGCCACAGCAACAGCGCCCAACACACTCAGACCGCCCAGAACCTTGACGAGCACAAAGCTCTGTCTCCTCAGCTCATCACCAAAGTTGCACAGGCCAAGCGGATCCCTTGAGTCCAGTCCAACAGCTTTTGCATATCGATGACTGACCTTGCCGTTCTTCTTTTCATCACCGTGGCGAACAATCGCCCACTCGGCTCTGGGTGAACCGCCTGGTGACGCGACAATCGTGCCCTTGGACACCTCCTCGCTAACGCGCTCAAGAAGCCATTTCGCTCTGTCGTTGTTTTGGAGTTCCTCGAACCGTTCTCTTTCGTTGCGACGACTGCGCTGCAGGTCTGTTGCCCATCTTGCTATTCTTACGTCGCTGAGGCGTTGATCACTTTGTGTAGTGTTGTTGTATTTTGCCAATGAGAAGTTGCCTAGTGGCTCGAGGGTATCGGAATTGGCAAGTGAGGGGGAGGATGCGAGGAGCGGAGATTGTAGGTTCGAAGGGTAAAATGGAGATCCTGATCCTGGTACCAAGACACCCGATGGTGACGTGGCAGAGAATACTGAGGATGCTATAGAAGCTACGGAACAGGTTAGCCTGTGCAAGGTCATTTGAACGTTTACTTACAATTCATGTTGGCTCCATTGAGTCCCACTGAAGCCGTTATCGGACTACATGGTTGAGCCATACCTTGCATCATCACAGAATCTCCCGGTAGCGTTGTCCTGCGCCGCCATGCTAAGAACTTTTTTGCTGCCGAATGCCGAAGCCAGGCAATAGACTCAGGATCGAATACTTGGCTCACTAATGTAGCAAGTTCGGAAGGAAGGAGGGGTTGCACATAGTCGGGCGACATGAGCAATGATGCATCCATGTTATCATGGTCCGGCCCAGACGTCGAAGAGACTGCATAGGGAAAGGTCGGCGTAGTGAAGGGATATTCAGCTGCCTCACTTGGTGCCCCCAAAGCTGAAGTCCTAGCAACTGGAAGGCCTTGTACGGCAAGCAGTGCGTCGTCCATGGCCTTCCCAAAGAAGAATGGTCTGACAGCAGAGGTCTGCAGCCGTGCGAGGATAGAAGTTTTCAGGGCCACGACTTCCTGCGCCGAAAGAGTATCAGATTTTGCGACTACAGGTACGACGTTCGTGAACTGCGACAGTCGTTGCATGTAATCGATGTCTTTCGTTATGTCCCTGTCTATACTAGAGTCAGTAACGATTACGATACGAGCGATACTTTGGCTTACTCGGTGGTAGTAAGTATATCACAAGGTCAACTAGGAGACCCCCACTACCACTGACGACTCCAAGCACGTCATTGTCTTCTAGTGTTGTTATGGATGATGTTTGGTATAGCAGCGATTCAACGTAGTCTACCACCATGCTCATGTCTTTCTCTGCAGAGCCTTGCGAGTAGCCGGGCGTGTCTACGAAGCAGATGTTCCTCTCCAAGACCGTGTCAATACTGCTCTTTCTTCTCCGAAATACACCACTCTCTTCGGCATCCGTCCACCAATGAGGATAGGGCTTCGTACTCGCATGGATCTCAGTCACCCGTGTTGTGACTGCGTGCTCTGCTTTCCTTGTACGGGATTTAGATTTTGGTGGGCGTGGCTGCGCATACGACTGGGAAGGCGATAAGGGATCTACGTGTACGATGTCTTCGCAGACTTGAACAATGGATCGAACAAGGGAAGACTTGCCGACACCTGCGTCGCGCTATCAGTATAGTCTCTAGTACATAGAGCCATTAGCGCATATCGTAACAATCACATACCTGTTTCGCCCGCCACCATGACTCTCAGCTTGCCCATAGCTTTGCCTCTAGTTGTGAAAGGTCTCCTAGTTGGCATCTGCATCTCAGGCATGACTAGCTGTGGAAAGCTCATATTATCTTGCTGCGTCTCCACCTGGTCTTCGTCCTCTCCACTCGAGACCACGGCTTGGCTCGCGGCATCGTCCATGGTAGACTCCTCGTCGGATAGCTTGAGCGAAATTATCGATGCTGATCTGGGTGTGCTCCCCATAGCGGATGTGGGGAGCGGGGAAGGAACGTCGGCGCTCGTGGCGGGCAGTTTGAAGTGAGTGATTGTGTCATGGCTGGTAAAGTTCCTCCTAAGTTTCCGGACCGAAGTTATCCTGGATTTGTCTGGTTGCGTGGCTGAATCTGTCGAAGAACTGTGTGACTCGGATCTTGAACTCTTTGCACCCTGATGCCGTGTCTTACTAGCCTTTTCTGTCTCTGCGCCAGCTGCTGTAGTTTCTGGGCCAAAAGCAGCCTCTAGGGTATCTGCGAGACTCTGTACGCCGAAATTACTGTCTTGCTGTTTCGCTGTAGCAGTCGCACCCTGAAGAGGAGCCATGGTGTGCTCCAAATCCTCGACGCGTTTCATGACGAAGGTAGTGGGGACATTGCTCGAAGGGGCGATAGGATGATCGACGCTTGACTTGCGAGACCGCGGCTTTACAGGAGGAGGTAGGGCGTCACCGCCCAGTTGCGGTCGCATGTTTGCAGTACTCTTGGAGCATACGTCGCGGGGTGAGCAAGTACAGAAGCCCAACGGCGAGAGACCTGATCAGCCTCAATAGGGATTCCGAGTGGTGATGTGATGCACGCGACGTACGGCCCCGCTTAGCCCCGCGCGACCTACTGCAACCTTAGTCTTGCGATAGCGCGCCGGTGTCTTTTTAAGTGGAGTGGGAGGAAGAGCAAACGGTCCAAGATACCATGGTACAAAGTCGTCCTGTATGCATAAAACACAGGTTGCCGCGCCTTGGAGCTTATGGGCCGATGCTGATGCAGGCGGGCTTGCGCGTCCTCGAATCAGCTCCCAGCGTAGCGCTAGGCTAATCCTATGTCGCACTATCAGGTGACGTTATCAGCAATCACAAGACGACCTCACATTGGTTGCGGTGTGCAGTATTCGAGCATATATCATTTATTGTGTTCGTACTAGATCATCTCACGATTTGACAGCCGTTCTCCGTCTGTTCCTCTTGTCGTCAAAGCCATGCTGTACACCCGTTACACCAGCTGCCATGACATCCCTAGCCCGTAACCCAGGAACCACCAGATAGCCTTCCCTAAACATTAGGTGACCAAGAATGCGAGTGCAAAGAAGAGAATATGTTCGAAAACGGCGGAACAGATACACGCGGATACAGGAACGAAAGATGCAGAAACGAAACCACTCGCTATGCAAGGGCTCAGAACCCTAAGACGAACGCGTACGCCCAGACTTTTCCTCGAAATGAAATGACTTTTATACAAGCGCTGAAAGGGGTCGAGTACAGTACATGGCTAAAGCCGTCAGTCGTTAGGCCGTTGAGTCAAAAGAACTCAACGATGGTTAGATGAAGAATATCAAAGGAAACGAGGTATCAAGTCATCTGAATGTCCCTATGCTTCCTGAGGGGCAGCGCCACCACGAGCGCCACGCATGGGACCACCTCGACCGCGGGGTTGGAAGTTACCGCGGGGAGCTTGGCCGCCCATACCGCCACGGCCGCGAGGAGCACCACCGCGAGGGAATCCTCCTCCCCTGTTAAATTGGCCAGGGTTCTGACGGCGTTCCTCGACCTTGATCTCGATGCCGTTGATCGTGTGCGGGTTGGCAGCGACGGCAGCCTGGAATCCAGCGGGTGTCTTGAAGTCGACAAAAGCGCAGTTCTATAAAAAGTTAGTTGGGTCATGATATGGCTGGATACGTTCACTCACCTTGCCACGGCTGATGTCAAGGTACTCAATCTCGCCGTACTTAGTAAGAGCAGTCTTCAGGGCAGCGTCGTCAACCTGACTGTAGACGTTCTTGATGTAAGCGCGCTTCTGGTCGGGGTCAGTGGCAGGTCCGGCATTCTGTGCACGGGACTGCTCCTTCTTGTGTCCAGTGGCTGTTTGCCAGCCAGCGGCCTCGCCCTGGCTTGTCGCGGGGGACTGATCACGGGCAGGAGCTGAAGTCTGGCTGGAGGCAGCAGCAGCAGCGGGTTGAGTGGGAGCGGCGGTGGTGGCCTTGGGCTCCTTGGGGGCTTGTTGGGCGGCGGGGGCATTTACGACGGGAGTAGCGACCTTGTGCGCGGAGGCTGCGAGGCTGGCCCAAGTGCGAGGAGCAGCAGGCTTAGGGGGGCCAGACGGCATCGCAACGGGAGCGGCCTTTTGTGCCTTTTGTGCCTTTTGTGCGGGCGCTGGGGCAGCGGCGGCAGGCTTCTCAGACTCGGTGGTCTTCTCGGCAGCAGCTGGCTCCTCGGCAGTCTTCTCCTCGACAGCAGCAGGGGCCTCTTCCGCCGCAGGCTGCTCGATTTCCTCTGGAACCTGTTGAGCTGGTGCAGCGGGTGCAACCTCCTCAACAGACGGCTCCTCTTGCGCAGCCTGATGCAGCTTGTCGTCGACCTTGTTGAGGTCCTCCTCGCTGGTCGCGATCTCGTCGCTCTTGTTCAGGTCGGCATTCTCCGGAACGGCAGCAGTAGGGGCTGGCTCAGTGACACCGTTAGCGGGCGCGGCCTGCTCTTGCTGGTCGTCATCCTCCTCCACGGGCTCGTCGGCAAGGTAACGGAAGATATCGTTAAGGACAAAGTAGCCGTTGGTCTGCTCGGCGAGGACGAAGGTCTGGACGAAGCGCTTGTGGGGCTGGCCTTGGTTGGAGATTTCACCAATGACCTGGATGACGATGTTGGCGTCGGAGCCCTGGGAGTCGACGTTGGTGACGCGGACCTTGGTGTCCTTGAAGTCGAGCTCCTTGATGCGCTCGTTGATGGCCTATACATGCGTCAGCTTGTGTTGACTGCAAATTGGGCGTGTCTCACATACTTTCTGGCCTAGGCAGACGTTGACCTTGTCCTCCTCGACACCGGAAACATACTGGGAGCGCTTGTTGTAGAAAAGCTGCGGTTGAAGTCAGTCGCTTGTCCTAAGAGAGAAGGCTAATAGGTAGCGTGCGACTTACGTAGAGTCGGTCGGGGCTCTTGCTGAGGGTAGTGTAGTACTGTTCGACGAAGTACCAGCCAACCTCATCCTTGGGGATCTCTGAGGCAGTTGCTTGTTGTGCGGGCTGGCTGGCAGTGGGCTGCTGCGAGGGTGTGAAGTTGGAGGCGCCGGTGGAGTAGCTGTTCTCGTACTGCTGCGGCGCGTAGTTGCCGTTGACAGGGCCGGATGACTCGGTGGATGCCATATCGAATGTGAAGGTGATGGCAAGAATATGCGGCGGGAAGTAGGGCGAGATGCAATTCGTTTGCGCGAAATGCAGTGGGGTGGGAGGTACGCGAGGTAGAAGATAGGCGCCTAGATGCTAAGACGGCAAGTCAATGTTAGTAGTGTAAAAAGCTGCCATCGGGCTATTTGCGCATACCGGGCCGTTGTCACAGAGATGGAAGGGAATCCGTCCGAGATTGGGGAATACGTGGGCGTGGAGATGACGGTCGGCGGATTAGATGGCGGAATATACGAAGCTCCCTAGAGGCTATGAGAGAGATGGAATCAGGGTAGTAGGAGACTGGGAGCAGGTTGGCCGGTTGTGCGCGTGCAAGCAGAGTGCTAGTGAGGACCACACTGATTCGGAAGGCAAAATCAATTGGAAGGGCCGCGAACCAAGTCTGTGCGTTTGCCCGATCAAGCGAACCTGTCCTGCACCTCACTATGTCATCTCTCTACCATCTGTCTCGACGCCTCAACGTCTAGACGACTTTTGATCAAACCAACTCTTGCAAAAAGGGTATTTGGTAGCTTGCTGTGTACTTTCAGCCATCGAACAGAAATCGCAGCCACTGTTAGGCTGCGCATGATCAATGCCCGTATGGATTCCAGTATGTCGCGGTCTCATTGAAACATGTGCTGATCTGAGCGTAGATTTTTATTTCGCAGTTATACCTAGTACTGACTCACCTTTACATCGCTGTATGTATATATGGGGCGCACGTTCAGTATAATGGTACTGTGTCGGACGTGACCTCGGAGATGATGGCATCTCCGACATGTGCGCAGTATCGATGTCCGCTACACGCATTAGGCTCCGAATCCTTCACATTCTAACACCGAGCTCGCAAACAAAACGCCTTGAAAATCCGAGGAGGTTGCCTGAAGTATGAGTCACTAAGTCCGTAGTGGTTGCTGCTTTTGTTGTTGCGATATTGCGCACGTTGTAGGTGTACCACGTTACTGGCTCGGCGTGTCGGTCTGATACCAAGGCGAGTGCCGAGACCGAGCAGCCCTACATGTGAGCCTACCCAGATTGGGACTCTCTCTATGATTTACAACCATCCACAGTAAGGAGCAAGCGCTGCTACGCCTCTTGCCGGCAACCTCACAGACCAATACTTAATCATGTCCCGACCCAACTTTCCAAGGTTTGTGTCACCAGCGCCCTCACTCTTACTCTCCAATTTCACAATTACCTGGTCTCACAATGTCACAAACGACAAGCTCAGTGGCCTCTTTCCACGAGGAAAAGGCACGACTGCCCCGTACCGATATCGAACAACCGCCAGCACCCGTGAATGAAAAGCAACCCGACACGACCGAGCCTACAGCGGCTGTAAGCCCATTTCATCCAAGTCAATTTCCTGACGGCGGCAGGGATGCTTATCTGTGTCTGCTCGGAGGCTTTTGCTGTCTCTTTTGCTCATTCGGTTGGCTGAACTGTGTTGGAGTGTTCCAGAGCTATTACGAGCGGAACCAACTCAGTGATTATTCGCCTTCTACCATCGCATGGATAGCCTCTCTCGAGATCTTCGTCATGTTTGCGCCTGGGCCTATCGTCGGTTTCATCTATGATAACTACGGTCCCAAATACATACTGCTATTTGGTACCTTCTTCCATGTCCTTGGTCTCATGATGACGAGCCTCTGCACCGAGTATTGGCACTTCGTTCTCGCTCAAGGAATCTGCAGCCCCCTGGGCCTGAACTGCATCTTCCAGGCGGGAACGAGCACCATTCCTACATGGTTTTTCAAGAAGAGAGGGCTTGCATACGGAGTCATGGCCGCTGGCAGTGGGCTAGGTGGCATCATATTCCCAATCATGGCAACGCATCTCATCCCCGAAATTGGCTATGCTTGGACGATGAGGACAATAGCCTTCCTCATCCTCGGCATGATGGGTATCGCTTTCCTCACTGTCAAGTCTCGTCTACCACCAAGGCCTAGGAAATTCGAAGTCAAGGTGTTTCTGGAGCCCTTCAAGGACACTCGCTTCATCCTACTGACGATTGCGTCATTCTTGTTCTTCATGGGAATGTGTAAGCGAACTCATTTACAAACCGCACGCAAGAAATCTACTAACTCAACGTCTAGTTATACCCATCAATTTCATCGAGGTTGAAGCCATGTCGGATGGAATGTCGACTCGCTTGGCTGGATATCTTCTAGCTGTCCTCAACGCCGCCAGTATCTTTGGCCGTATCATTCCCGGTGCCCTCGCAGATAAGGTCGGCAAATTCAACATGCAATCACTCTGGTGCCTGGTAGCTGGCATTCTCGTCCTCGCACTGGCTCTCCCCGCATCAAGCAATGCAGCATACATCACCTTCGCCGCTCTCTACGGATTCTCTTCCGGTGCTTTCGTATCGCTATTGCCAGCTCAGATAGCACATATCTCGAAGGTTGAACAGATTGGAATCCGTGTTGGTGTTATATTTGCTTGCATCTCGTTTGCGGGCTTGGTCGGTAGCCCAATTGCAGGAGCTATTGTCGATAAGAACAGTGGACATTACTGGGGACTAAATGTCTTCTCGGGTGTCATGCTGATGGCAGGATCGAGTATGTATATAGTGACGAGGATGTACATTGCGGATTGGAGGGTGTTGGCACTAGTTTAGTGGCTGGTTGAGTTACAAACTTCCTCTGTAATTCTATGTGTACAGTATGCATTAGACTATCAGAACACGCTAGTCATAGACCAAGATCCCATCTGCTTCCAAAGGTGCATTGCTTACAACAAGATGTAAGGTTTTCAGGGTCTACTTCGGTGTTGTGCATGAGTTCGAAGATGCGACTGGCTTCTTAGTGCGAGTCCGGATGTTTAACTCCGTAGAGGGAACGCACAGACCATGGACTCCGCGGTTGTCACCCGCTCGACAGCACCAGCACCGTCCCGTTCCGCACTTCACCACGACACAAGACAAATCATGTCCACTCGTCTGGATACGAGTTATCCTCGTGCAATTCATCAGCGTAAGCTCGCTGAGTCATGGGCAGGGCGACCGGTCTGACAAAGCAGGGGTCCCAAGGTTGTCCGTTGTACGAAGGGTTGTACGCTTCGCACATCGTTTTGTACATCAACTTTCATGACCTTCCATGGTTGTACGCACTACACACTGTTCACTTTCTACTTGACTTCGCTTAAACTTCTTTTATCGTTCTACCGCACTCCATCGTACCTAGATTGTCGTACAAACAGGTAAAATCAAGCAGAACTGGAAGACTTGGTGAAGGGTGTTGTGCGACCGCCCATCATACGCAGGACACTAGGGAGAAGGCCATGCCTAAACAGCGCCAGACCTGTACGCGATGCTCTCAAAGACGGCAGAAGTGCGATCGAAAATCGCCATGTACGAGATGTGTGCAGAATAACGAAGGTCATCTATGCACTACCAAGTGGGTCAACGGGTACAACCCGAACGTTCATCGCAAATACCCCAGGAAGCTCTCGGCAGCTAGTGGAAGCGAAACTTCTTCATCTGTTCCCTCCCCTAATGCGGGTACCCAGGCGACGCTGCTACCCTCAATACCTTTACCCACACCAGAGGCTCATTCGATTGGGCTACAGCCCCCTGCAGCTGCAGCATGGCGAAACAGCTTACCTGATATCACAATCGGGGCAATATTGAAGGAGAAAGACGCAGATGCGAATCAGACTCTTTTCGAGAAGAGTTTCCACTACGCCAGATCGAAAGGAGCGCTACGAGATGGAACGATCGGACCCCACTCCCTTGCAAGCTCTTACTCGAATGCAGCGAGAGTAGTGGAGACGCAATATCTACAGTCCATTCTGCCATCGAAAGATAGGCTAATGCTCATCGTGGACTATTATGCGGAATACATGATGTACTGGAATGGTGGCATTTACCATGCGCCAAGTTTTCGAAGAAAGTTGCTCGATGCCTATGGTCAGTCGTCTGAGCTCAATATGCAGAGTCTTGACTGGAGATGGACAGCGCTTTTGTGTAAGTCGTTTCACTTCCGAACGATGCAGGAATACTCCATATAGCATGCTCTCGCTGTGAGGGGTTCCGATATGATACTTGACGTCGTCTTCGCCATCGGAAGCTGCTAATCTCAAGTGTGATAGTCGCTATACTCTCGTCCAGTATCATCGGCTCTTCAGAAGGAGCTTCCGTTTCCTGGGGCTTCTCAGTCGACGACAAGGTCCAGCTGGCACGCTTATGGGGCGCAGCATCGGTCTCATGCTTGAATCTCGGTAATTACACATCGCAATACAGCATTTACTCGGTACAGACGATCTATATCATGCACGCGTATGAACATCTGGTCGGCTCGACAAACCAATGGGTCGCTTTGCGTAGCGTTGGAGTTATAATTGCGAAAGGACTGGGTTTGCATAAGTAGGTGGTACAGATCCCCAAAAGAGAACCCCGATAACCGATTAGCTAGACTTGGGCCCCATCCCGACGATGAGAGGATAACTGAACTGGACCCGGTTCAGAAGGAAGCCTTCATCGAGCGCGAAATTGGCCGAAGAGTCTGGTACGGAGTCGTCTGCCAGGAGTGGTATGTCTACAGCCCAGTCGAGATGATTTATCAAAAGTGAACTGACCAGCGCTGTAGGTTGTGTTGTACTTCACAGTCCGCTTACATACTGACTCTCCAATGGCGTCATTTTACGAGCGCAAGACCACGCGAATTAGACGAAGAAACTATGACGCCTATCACCGATACAACGACCCCAACAATTACAAGCGTCATGACCTACTTCTTTGACTATGCCGCGGTGCTTCTCGATGTTCACAACGCTATGGTGGAGCTTCTGGATAAGGATGATGCTACCAAATATGCCGCGACACTCAAATATGACGGCGAGATGCGCGCCGCGTGTACGGAAAAGGTGCCGAAATGTCTCTCGCCTCGGACGCCACACAATCCCAACTGGCCTCGATGGGTCACGTGGGCCAAAAGATTGCACCAGGCGTCCGTCAATCATAAGATCATCATGAGTGAGTGACCAATACATACAACACGCCTGTGAAACTTATACTGACTCTATCAACCTATATTCAGTCCACCAGAATTTCTTGAGCAAAAGCTTCAAGGATGTACGCTACACATACAGCAGGTGGGCCTGTATGAGCGCTGCACAGAAAATCATCGACTTTTACAATACCCGGGACGCCCAAGAGCCGCAGTGGTGGGTTGAGCAAGCTTTTGTCGTCACCGCTGGTATCTGCATGGTATTGGAGCTCTTCCATCGCGTTGAGTCAGATGGCGAAGCGCAGGAATACCATTTATACGTAAAGAGAGCCGTCAGGTTCTTGCAGCTGTTCTGCACATCGAGTGTTGCAGTGCATGGCGTCCGTCTCCTCATGTCACTCTTACAGGAGTACGAGAAGCTCAAGGAAGGGTCGAGCGCGAAGACTACACCATCAATGGACACGACAGCCTCACAACCCTGTTCCTGTGTCTCTGACAGCATGACCGACATCTCCATACCTGACGCTTCCTGCGTGACCCATCAGCCACCTCTGGATCCCGAAATACCGTTTTCTTTCGATGACCCGACAATGTTCAATTTCGATATCGACGGGCTGGGCTTCGAAGACTTGATGGACTATCTTCCTTTTGAAGGTTCATTGAACAGTAACGTCTTCCATGCCAGCATGTTGTCAGCGAACGGATGGCCGACGTGGTAGCTTTTTCTTCGTGAACAATCGCACTTGCATATGTTCGCGCTGGTTCCTTCCCGGTGGCACGCAAGTGGTCTGACACCGGAATAGCTCCTTCCCTATCGACCACGTCACCTAGTTCAGGGTGCAAACGGACGCTATTCCACTGGTTTACGAAATCAACTTGAGACCACAACTAGCCCTGCACGCGATACCTCTGTATACTCCCGACTGCACTGCGCAAAATTACTCAACAATGTAAGGCACAGCGTAGCCCATTGCAAACATGCGCTAACACGGAAAGTCCGTCAACGACGCCATCATGTCTCAAGATCCCGATCTCGACAAGATATTCGTGCTCGATGCATTGAGCAGCGGCCTCAACATATCCATGGCAGAACTCCTCAGTATTCTCGGCCGACAAGCCCCAATTTCGAATCTTCTGCTTCAGCCCGTCATCAGACCGCAGCAGCTTCCCATGACCACGACCCTGCTTTCCGTACCGAGCATTCATTCACAACAGAAAGCAGCAGTGCATCAGACGATGGCACAAGTAGGGGAGCCACAGATAATGAGGAAGGAGTTCCTGATCACGTACTGGATCGCCTTGAGTCTTGTTAGCGCACTCGCTATATCGGCAGTCTGGACAAAGGTACACATGGCGGCACAGAAGGGCCACAAGAAATTCGAACCCAGAAAGCCTATGTCGGACGTTGAGAGGTGGCACGAGCAGCGTCAAAAGGCACGCGATGCATCCGTGCAGATGGGACAGGTTGATGACCAGGCCCCCGCCACATAACAGTGCGGTCAGACATTGAGCGGCGGATATGGTTTCCCGATGCATGAGGCCTTCACTGGCAACGTCTCTGCGTGTCTTGTTCTTCCGCATGGTCAATGGAAATTCAGCGGATGGCTTACAGTGATACATGACACCACATACAAAACATGAATATTGTCCAGACTTTATCTATCGCTTCTCATCTTTTAGTCGCCTATTTCTTGCTATTCCAGATGCACGAAGCTTGTTTTTAACAAGCCAAACCTTTTACTAACGATATGTCCCAAAGATTTTCGCTAGGCTTTTGTCCATAGAGATTTAAGATTAAAGACAACGTATTCTTCAAAATACACTATAGTTTTGCGTACAACTCATAAGAAACGAGCGTCTGCGTAGTGAAATCGCATAAACCAGTCAAACCTCGGCAACTCTTCATACCCCACACGCGTCGATCTCCCGCCATGCATGCTACTATCATTACAATCTACCATATCTCAAGATCTGATCTCGCAACCGGTCTCGAGCTAGCAATAGAATATTGTTTTATTTACACATAGGGTGGAAAAGATGAAGGCAATCCACATAGACCAATTCGTCTCGGTAAGCACACCCACCTACCTACAACATCCCTCCCCAATTAATACCACCTACCCAGAGCGTCGCAGATCTTGCGTCATCTACCATCCCATCCCCAACTCCCAAATCACCCCAAGATCTCCACATCAAAATCACCCACGCAGCCATCACACACGTCGACCTCCTCTACGCTCAAGGCCTGCATCAAAACAATCGTAGACACGTTCAACCCCCCTTCACCCTCGGCACAGAGTTTTCGGGAATCGTGACCCGTAGCCCAGAAACCTCTTCTTTCAAACCCGGTACCCGTGTTTTCGGCGGTGGTCTAGGTACTTACGCAGAGGAGATATGCGTTCCTGAACATGCCATTCGCCGTGTACCATGTCAATGGACGAACGCTGAAGCGTGTGCGGTAGGTGCCAGCGGCGCGGTTAGCTACGGTGCTCTACTCTCTGTTGCGCAACTCGAAGCCGGAGAGACGGTACTTGTGCTCGGTGCTAGTGGTGGGTTAGGTGTCATGGCTGTACAGATTGCGAAAGCGGTTGGCTGTAAGGTTATCGCAGTTGTTGGTGGGAAAGAGAAAGCTGAGGTTGTTAGAGGAATTGGCGCGGACGTTATCGTGGATTATCGGGATGAAGGGTGGGAAAATACGGTTAAAAAGGCGAGTGAGGGTGGAGAGGGGTGGATGTTGTGTATGATGGCATTGGGGCTGTGGAGAGTGGAATTAGGTGTCTGAAGTATCGGGGCAGGTTGGTTGTTGTTGGGTTTGCGGCTAGGGGTGGGAGGGTGGAGAGTGTGAGGATGAATCGGGTTCTGCTTAAAGGTGTTGCGGTATTTGGTTATGTAAGTTTTGAGCTTTTGTTGACCTTCTCTGGTCGTGAGAGTGGCTTGCTAATAGAGGGTAGCGGTTTGGAGAAGACGGACGAAGAGATCCACAAAGAACACGGGATGTTTGGGATGGCTTCATGAAGCTGGTTGAGGATGGCATGATACAGCCTGTCATCTACAAGGAGGACTACTGGGGGCTAGAGGCGGTTAGTAGGGCGTTGGAGGATGTGAAGGCGCGGAAGGCCTGGGGGAGGTCGGTAGTAAGGATATGTGAGGGAGAAGAAAAAGACAATAGTGGACGGAAAGCGAGGTTGTAATATAACGAGGCATTCCATTACTATTCAAGATATTCATTCCAGGCTTCGTTTCACGATCAGAGGGTCGCGACTGCCTGTTGTGGAAAGTTCCGGTGGCACATAATAAACATGCCAATCTACAGTTGTTATCCTGCTGTAATGTGAACATGTCGGATCTCCACCTTGTTGAATATATAAAGCTCACGCGTCCCACTCGCCCCTTCTGGAGGCGTCGTGGCGTCGAGGTAACGACGGCGCACGGACCCTTGCGGCGCGCCGGATTAGCGCGGTTTCTTTGGATGGACCTGGTCCGACGTTCCCAAGTTTAAAACAAACCCGTCTCCATCGACGCTTGACGTCTGCTCTCCTTCTCCTTGTTATTCCTCTCCAACTGCGCGCTGACCTCTCAAATCGATCAGCGGTCAGCCTCAACCTCACGCTAGTCTGATCGCCGCGGTCACACCCCCGAGCTTCGCGACAGCTTTAAGAAGGAGACGTCCATTTATCACGACACCTACTCGCAACTATGGCGTCTTACGGCAGCGACCCCGAGGAGGAGGAAGATGATTTCAACCCGGCACCTGAAATTGACGAAGATGACGTCGCGCCAACCAACAAGGCCTCGCGCAGGCCTGCAGACGAAGACGAAGAGGATGAAGTCGATGCGCCGAACCGGATGGGCAATGACGACGAAGATGAAGAGGGTGGCGGCATAGATGTCGACGATGACGACGACGATGAAGAGGATGACGAAGAAGATGAAGACGACGAGGATGTTGTCGTATGTCTCCATAGGAGTACTTCATTCACGCTATTTAGTTGCTGACTATTATAGGCCCGACCTGCGAAGCGGAGAAAGAAGGCGAAGCGCAATATGTTCATTGATGTCGAAGCCGAAGTCGATGAAGACGAAGAAGAAGAGGAAGAGGGCGACGATGAAGGTGTTGATGAAGTCCACCCCGACGACCTCCTCGAGCCCACGGGCGCCGATCTCGACGACCGCCACCACCGCGAACTTGACATGCGCCGTGAAGTCAACGCACAAAAGGACGTTGAAGAACTCGCCAAGGAATTCGACGAGAAGTATAGGCGGCGTGAAATGCAGAGCGCTCGTCGTGGTGGTGCTGGTGCCGTTCCTCTGGCCCTACCCACAGTCGACGACCCGTCTATCTGGGGTTGCAAGTGCCGTCCTGGAAAGGAGCGCGAGATCGTTATGGCCATTCAAAAGCGCCTTGACGAGAAGATGCGCGCAGGCCAGCCAATTCAGGTCTACTCCGCCTTTGAGCGAGGTCCTACTGGACCCCAGTCTGGTTTCCTCTACGTGGAAGCCGACTCGAAGCAGGCTGTTGTTGAGCTGATTGAGGGTATCCAGAATGTCTTCATGGGCTCTGGTCAATTCTCGATTCCTCCAAAAGAGCGTCCAGATCTGCTCCGCAAGAAGAAGCGCGCGCCATTGGAAGTCGGCAAGTTTGTGCGCATGTTGCGTCCCCCTACATACAAGGGCGATCTCGCAAAAGTCGTGGAGGTCTCAACTAACGGTCTTGACTGTGTCGTACAACTCGTACCACGTCTGGATTACGGCCTGAACGATGATGCTAACGCCGCCGTCGACAACAAGCGCAAGCGCGGTTTCTTTGGTCGGCAGACCGAGCGTCCACCTGCGAAGCTCTTCAACGAAGCCGAAGCGAAGAAGCGACACATGAAGCATCTCAGCATGACCGGATCTGGCAATCAAAGAGCATACACATACAAGGGCGAGGACTACCAGAATGGTTTCCTGATCAAGGAAGTCAAGGTCAACTGGGTCAGCACTGAAAAGGTTAACCCTAAAATGGAGGAGTTGCAGTTCTTCGCAATCCAAAATGCGGATGGCACAGAGACAATGGATCTTTTGGCCGTACAGGCCGCGCAAAAGGCCGCAGACTCTGGCTCTGCTTTCGCTGCAGGAGATAACGTCGAGATCTACACCGGTGAACAGAAGGGCATCCGCGGTACTACTGTCACAGTAATAGGTGACATTCTTACACTCCGAGTCAGCGAAGGCGATCTTAGGGGCAGGAGGATTGACGCTCCTGTCAAGACTCTACGGAAGCTCTTCCGAGATGGTGACCACGTCAAGGTCATCGGTGGCAGCAAGTACGTCGACGAAGTTGGTCTAGTCACCAGAATCAAGGATGATAAGATCACCTTGCTTTGTGACTCTACTCAGCAGGAAATCACGGTCTTTAGTAAGGACCTGAAGCGCGCTGCTGATTCGGCAAACGTCGGCGCCGATTCGAACTTTGATCTCTACGACTTCGTACAAATTGAGTAAGTCCTTTCTCCTGCCACTCCAAGATGATCTACTAACAGTCCATAGTGCCTCAACCATCGGTTGCGTTGTCCGTGTGGACCGAGAAGTCCTAAGAATCGTCGATCAACAGGGCGATGTTCGCACGCTCCTCCATACACAGGTTTCACAAATTGTCGGCAGGAACAAGCATGCTGTAGCAACCGACCGCGACGGTTCCGAGATCCGACACGAGGACGATGTCAAGGAATACGGAGGCGAAGGCCGTCAAGGCAAGGTTCTCTACATTCACCGTGGTACACTCTTCGTCCGCAATCGCGAGCTAGTCGAGAACCAGGGCATCTTCGTGGTTCGGAGCAACAACGTTGTCACCATGGCAGCAAAGAGTGGTCGCGCTCAAGCACAAGGCCCAGATCTTAGTGGCATCAACCCTGCCCTAAACGCAGGAGCGAACGGCAACGCGAGCGCTATGCCTCCCCCTCGCGCTTCGTTCGGCCGTGACAAGCTCATTGGCAAGACCGTCGTTATTCGAAAGGGTGCCTATAAGGGTTTGTTGGGTATCGTTAAAGATACCATGAACGACGAAGCCCGTATTGAGCTGCACACAAAGAACAAGCAGGTCTCAGTAAAGAAGGAGCTCCTCACTATCAAGGACCCTATTACTGGCCAAAGTGTGGAGATTGGAGGCAAGTTCCCCAACCGCTCGCGTGGAGGCTACTCAGGCGGTCAAACAAGCTACGGTGGTGCAGCTGGTGGACGAACACCTGGCTGGGGCAGTTCTGGTGGTGGTGGCCGTACACCTGGATGGGGCGGCGGTGGTGGTGGTCGCACACCTGGCTGGGGAGGTGGTGCCGCCGCCGGAGGCCGCACGCCTGGTTGGGGTGGTGATGGTGGACGCACTGCTTATGGCGGAGGAGACGGATCACGGACTGCTTATGGCGGTGGTGATGGCTCTCGAACAGCTTACGGCGGCGCAACTGCTTATGGAGGCGCCACATCTTACGGTGGAGCGACAGCATACGGCGGCAATGACGGAAACCGTACTGCTTATGGTGGCTTCAACTCAGGTAGTCGTACACCTGGTTGGGGTGGCTCGGGAGGAAACACTACCTCGAAATCTGGTGGTCTCTCTGCTCCTACGCCAGGCGCATACAACGCCCCAACGCCTGGTGCTTACGCCGCACCTACTCCTGGTGGTTATGGTGCATACTCTGCGCCTACGCCAGGAGGACCACCTATGGATGCTCCTACACCTGGCAACTATGCTGCGCCCACACCTGGTGATACATCGGGTGGTCGATATGGTCTTGCGGCGCCTACACCAGGTGCGTGGGATGCCGCAACGCCAGCACCTAGTGGTGATCCTGGGTACGACTAGAGACCTGGTCTCCTGTGTAAGATAAATAGGCAGTCGCTGCGAGAGTCAGTTTGTGCCAGACCGCTAAGTCAGAGGGTCCTGCGCAAGGCAGATGGTATAGGATTCTTTTAATCTGTTTATTGCATTGCTGGAGTTGGCAAAACTGGATATTTTAAAGTCAGATTACAATTCCAACTATTTCTTCCATCAGCATATGGCTACTGTCTTTCGTCATGAAACCCAGTTACAGTAGCTCAAACTGGTTCTCCCTGATTTTGTCCTTTGAATGTTGACTTCAGTGGACCGGCTTATTGTTGACCGGTCCATAGTGAAATCGCTGCTCTCAGGGTTTTTCATTAGCTGTAAATGTCCCACTCAAATCTTGAGATTCTCCTCCACCCTGCTTATTTCTTATGTATCTATATTTTGGTTTATCATTATTGTTTTTAATTGTTCTCCGGATCGAAAATATTCTACAGCATCAATCTCAGATCAGTACAACATTTACACGACAAGTGGCTGTGAGCATTTCACATGGAGGCACAAGGAGAATGCTCAGGAGAAAGTTTGGAGCATCGAGCTTAGATCGCTATAAACATAGTCATCTAAACCACCTTCTACATATATCAAGAATAAAAGCTGGTATCACGCGACCAATACTCTTATGTAAATGCAAAAAAAAGAAACCCCTGAACCTAGAAGATTCTCTAAGAGCACAAATTGCAGCGAAATCTCTCCACAACTCGACCAACTACAACACCACCAATTCCTCAACTATACGATGGAATACCTGGAGAAAAGTGAATCTAGTACTTGCGCACGCGCCTCTGGACAGGAGCGGGAGCCTCAGCACTGATGCCAACCTTTGCGTTAACAAGGGGCAAATCAGCGGAAATCTCAATGTTGGATCTCGACATGGGAGCAGCAGCAGGAGTAGTCGAGGCGTTACCAGAAGCAGAACCGATCTCGATGATGTTGGGACCGCCAAGCGTGTTCTGGATGAAGCGAGAATTGAACTTGACGATCTTCTTGATGGCGTTGAAGTCGTCGACGTTGACGGCGAGGGGCTCCTTGACAATGAGGAAGGTTACGCCCTCGGCGCAAGGAGGTGTGGTGAGCGAACCGCTGTATTGCTGGATGTCCGAGGTCTTGAGCGTGGAGATTACGTCGGTGAAATCGATACCGTCCGCAATGGTAGTGCTGGTTCCGGGTGTGGCGATAGCGGGCAGGGAGGATGACAGCGATTGGATGAGAGAAGCAGAGTCGCCGGCAGAGACTTCGAACATGAGTGCGATAACGGCGAGTTGGCTTTCATCGTCGATGCCTTGGTGGACCATGTGGATCTCCAGGGGGAAGTATTCATCATTGACGTGGTGCTCGGAGGGGGTGTGCATGTGGAACTGGACGAGACGGTAGTTGGTACCGGCGAAGCTGGTCGTGCCGTTGACAACGACTTCGATCGTCGTTCCGAGGTTCTCGAAGATTACTTCAGCAGAGGGGATGTCAAGAGTGGGCTTAGAGGAAGCCGCGGTGATGGAGGCATCTGGTGGAAAGTGTTAGTAGGGAGCGTTTTTTGTCATGCGGGACCGAGGACAGACATACCAACGTTAATGGGAGACTGGTTTTTCCCGGCCTTGCATGCTTCATTTTCAGGAGCAAGAGAAGCCCAGTTGAAGGGTCCATTCATAGGGCCATAACCGAAGGTGTTAACCTCGACGGTTTCTGCGCGCTTGAACTTGGAGAGACCGTGAAGGCATGTCGCAGATGCGGTCGACGCAAGAAGGATTGCGGAGAAAAGCATGGTGAATGATAGACTGAGCTGGAAAGAGCGAAGTAATGCTGTAGAAGACACTGAAAGAATGTGGAATGTTGCTGATGATATTTCCAAACTTTATTGAGGGACGAGCCGTTCTTAAGCAAAAGACAAGATGGTATATGCTCGAGTAACAAGACTGATAAGAGCGAGTACGCGTGCGAGGCCTTGGTATTGCTGCTGATGATCAACGTGCAACACGAACGAAGATGGAGTATAAAAGTAAGACGGGATCAACCTGGACGATTATAGGATAGGTATGAGGAGGACAAGAGAAAAATAAGCCCGAAGACGCTGAGGCTGAGCGAAGGACGGTAGATACTACGGGAAGGTGAATGGGTAAGAACGGACCGTTTAGAATCGAAGAGAATGGAAGATCGCAAGAGCCGGCTTGAACGAGGGGAAAATGCTTGAGGTGGATCATCAAGCTCAAGTTATAAGTAACAATCACACGATCAATGCATCTCAACGTATTCCTTCCCGATACCGTTCCGGTTCTCTCCTTGCCGTACAACCATAATTCTCCGTGAACTAGGCGCAGGCCAAGAAGACCAAGTCATACATCAAGATGCCTGAGAAACGCCATTACTTGGCCAGTGTATACAGAATACAAGATGAAGGAGCGGCAACCTTCCAATACAGGTAGGTGCCAAGGTGAATATGTGGTTAAGAAGGCGCCCAGATGCATATAGAGGGGTTCTACAGGGGTCAAGAACTTGTGACACTTGCTTGGTATGCTGAGACGTGGAGAGATCCTTCATGTCGGAAGCGAGACAGAATCATGGTGTTCCCATACGCTGACAGGTCTGACGTGCTCTACCAACAACGGCGCCGCCACAAGTGCCCGTGAGGAACGTCGGTCGTCATTGCGTGCTGATTGTCTTGTACAGATTTACAGATTTTGCATGATGCCTGGATCGCCAGTAATGATTACATATTGTACCTCCTCCCAAGACTACATACGTACCCATAATCTCGCAGTGCCAAGTCTGGGGAATCATTCGATTTTTACGAAATAACGACGTCGCTTAGCCAGACTTCGCCACATAGTAGAATTGCACCCTGGTCCTGAAACTCCACATAGAGCGCGATCCTGTGAAAACCGTCTTGGCAAATCCAGGCCATGTGAACGAGGCTGCCGTTTTGCGACGTGCAACAGGGATGCGCGTCCTATTGTATTTACCTCTTGGCTCCAAGTCCGAACCAGGAGCAACTTCTTGTCACTGCTATAGGGCTCGGTATAGGACTATACCACTGCAATCGTATCTTCAAACCGGTTACCGATGAAGCGTTCGCCCACATGCTCGCCCCTCTCCCAAGATCAGTCCACTTGTGAAACTGGGGAAGTCGATGAGAGCGAAGGGTAAGCGGCTAACTCGGACTCAGGCAATGAATCAAAGGGGCGAGGCTCCCATGCGTTTCTCTTTACGCCCGTAGCTGAACATAGACATCCAGACTCTGTTGTGAGGGATATCTTGAGGGGCTTGGTATTGGAGGTACAGCATAGGCCGATGCCAAGCTGAGACGATGGCGCGTGTTGTGATGATATCAGCCGATGGTGTGTGTTGCGAGACCAGGGACCGGCGGATAATACTGGCTATACGCAGGGCAACCGCGGTAAGCACTTGTGGCGCAAGCTTGTAACAAGCCACACCCGCCCAAGATTACTCATCATACTTCCCATCACAATCCAACTATCTGTCAGAGTTTCCTGGCTACCATGCTCATGGATATGTGGCAGGTGATATTCGGCAAAGATCGCCGCAGTTCACCGTTAAGACGTCAAAAACAAAGCGGATTGACTCGCAATCTCCGCATTCCAAGCTCCTTCCTTGTCGCTACCTGTAACGGCAAAGCCACAGGAGTCCTATGACACAGCTAACACTTAGCTTTCAACACCACGCCCAGCATCACGAAGCCAACCTTGGCACTTTACGCGTCTCATTCCAAGGTACAACATAACCTGACCATCGGTCTTGTCGTCGGAGTTGGCTTTCTCGACTTCATCTTTCGCAAACACTCTGCCAAGTACATCCGCGTGTTTCTCTCCATCTCAATCCTTTGGCATTCGGCCTTATGCTTGTGAGGTATTTTTCTCTTACGCGCCGTCTTGTTCGGCCTTGTGTACATAGGCAAATGGTGTCACCGTCTTGTATACTTGGGGTACCCAGAGGTGTTGTGCGGAGGCGGAATGTACTGTGACTTAGTCGCCAATGTTCCTGGGCTCATTCCCCATGTCCCGGAATAACTTTCCGCTCTTGGCGATCGGCCTTACGTACGACATGACGGGCTGAGGCACTCACATCGAGATCTCAAGCTGACGAATCCTCTGTTTGAAGAGCATTTGTCATAATGTGCCAATGACATGTTAAGCATTACTACTACCGGTGGTAGTATTACCGGTTGCGGAAGGTAGATTCTCTAGGTCTTTCGTCGGTCTTACGGTCCACGTGGGTAGGATGGCGACAAGTGAGTGGTGACATTCTGTCGGATCCAGAATCCGTGCTTAGCATACGGTGAGCGGATCGGACTTCTGTTTCATGGTTGTTACCGACATCGAGCAGCTCGTAGAACTTGCTTCTTTCAGCCGAGTTCAACATCACACGACAGTATACCCTGTAGGTGTTCGAACATTTATGCAAATATTATCATTATGTCTTGCTTTTTGTCTACTGTGCATGGTATCATCGAGCCTGTTTAAAGCGCTCATAGCTTGTGTCCTCGTCTTGAGACCGACTGGTACGACCGAAGTATTCTACGCCACCATCCCTTTCGTCCGCACTGACAAGCGGCTGGCGGCTACTCATACCGTGTAGTACTGCGTCAGCATCAAACGGCGTGGCCGGGATATCGACATCGATGCCAACATCTTCGAACCCTTCATCAGGCCGCGCCGCCTTCTGGTAGCCCTTAGCGTACGATGTTCCCTGCTCCAGTTCTTCCTTATCTCCTAGTCGTGTACGACTCGAGGCCCTCGACCCTGACGGTGAGTCCCGACGTGCATACGGACCCATTTCGGTGAGTGTAGTGAAGGTAGAAGGAGTGCCAGGCCTTGACATGTCATCGGATCGGCCGTATAGCTCCCCATCGCCACCAAACTGCTCCCGGAATTCTGCACGTTTCTTGAAGTTCTCGAAATCGAGCTCTGACTCAGTGACGACTTCCATGTGAGGGATTTCTGTTCCACCAGTCACATGCTTGCCGGGCTGATGAGAATCCATTTCTGTCATGAAATAATCACCAAAACGGTCGTAGCCTGGTGTAGATGGCATGGCGCGGTCGGTCGAACGGCGGTGGGGTGCGTCGAAGATGTCTCGATCAGCGTTCGATCGGTGACCATACACCTCCTTCAGGAGATGCTGAGACTTTGCATGTACCATTGGCGTCAGTAGCTTCTTGTAGAGCGCAGGATGACCATAGCGAGACGAGACCTTGGTACTCTTCTTCGATTTCGGGTGATCCACGGAATGAGAGCCCTCCACGTCGGAATAGGGGAGTGTGGAGTAGTACAGCAGCTTATCGTCGAAAGCTCGTCTGCAGTACCACTTGAAGCCAAATAGCAGAAATGGCAGCGGAACCATCGCATAGAGCATGTTGCCAGTTCCTACTTGGATATTGTCAAAATCGATCGATCCGACACCGTTTGCGCCAACGACCAGCGCAATGACCGCGTCTGCAAAGGCAACTGCAAAGAGCATGCGGTTGACTAGGAGCTTCCAGAATCTGCCGCCTGATTCGGTCTTCGTGATGAAAACGTACTGGAGCAGATATTTCTTGAAGACAGAGTCCATCGCGATGTAAAAGGCCGTCACCGGAAAGATGATCGGTTGTAGAGTTCCCATACAGAGACCCACCGTCGATACAAAGAGGTAGTTGTTGTAGTAGTCGGCATATGGAAATGGCTGCGGCGCGCTAAGTTCGATCAGCTCCCTCGGAGTTGGCGAAAAGAAAGTACGCTGGAACCAGGACCACAAGAATATCCAGGCCTGCGATAGATCGATAGCAGCACCGAGGTTGCGTTGCATTTGCCAGGTAAGCCAGAAAGTAGACACATTGCATAGGCCAGTCATAACCTTGGTGAACAGATGGCCATCCTGGATGGCTTCCCAGACGCCTTGATCCTGCGCTGCGACGACGGCAGCAACGAACCGCCACGCCGAACCAAACACGGAGAATACGAGGAGGTTGTTGAATACAAAGAAAGAGTATAGACGAGCAGTGACATGGCGTTCCCTGGAAGTTTTCGAGACGTCTCCGGAATGTGTGAAAAGTCGACGGAACTGAAATGAGAGATGACATGTCAGCTTATATCTCAGAAATTGCTCGTGGGGGGTATACTGACCACTACAGGAACTCCCATATACATTAGAGTTTGCACCAAGGGAGCCAAGATACCCTGTGCAATAGCCCAACCGGTCGGGTGGGCTTGAAGGTTCGTCATGAAAGCTGGCCATACAAGCCCCAAGTGGGAGAAGTCTGACAGGAAGACCGAAGTCAAGATGTTAGGAACAACGAAAGCGATGGTGAACAATACGACCCATAGACCGTCCCAGAAAGCACGTATTCTGCGAGTTCTCCGTGTCATAGGAAGGTTCTGCCAGAGTAGGTCATGGGGTTTGGGGGCAAGGTAAACATCGCAACCAGCAGGGCCCTTCTTCCTTGTCGCATACGCAACCGCATGGGCATCTTCGATGTGCGCGTATGATGCGAACCCATACGGCATCGGGTTCCGCATGTCGACACCCTCTCGTACTTCCTTGATCGTTGTCTCCAACCTTGCGATTCGGTCCGTTAGGTAATCAATCGCATCGAGTTTTCCTTTGCCATGCACTGCCTGGTCGTCTTTCATGGCTTTACAGGTAGGACGCTTGGCGGGTAGCTTGTTTGGATTGCTCAGGTATTCCGCCAAGTGCTTTTCGAGTTGGCGGACAGCGTCATCACGCGCTTCAATAAGCTTTGGCAAATCCTTGACGTTGCGACCGATCACAGTCCGGGGAATGGTGTCGATGGACTTGGCTTGTTCTACAAGCTCGACAAGCCCAGCATCCGTCCGCGATGGTTCGGGAACGTGTGTAAGCTTTTGAATGTTAGCTAAATTTCTTGACCGCAGTGACATGACTTACCAGCAACGTCCGCGAGTGCAAGCTGGACTTGTATTCCTGGGTGTTGAAATACGCACGCCTAAGCTTCAGAATAGCTCTGTAGTTCCACCAGAGGAAAAAACACACAACGCCCTGGATTATATACGCCACAACAACGTATGCCCAGAATTTCCTTCCAAAGATATACTGAGGGGTGAATTTCATCAACGTCGGTACGTCTTTCCACTGCTTGTACAGTGGCGAGCCTCCCACGACATTGACCGGTATCAGAATGCCCAAACCAACAATTGTCAACACAGTGAAGATGTCCCGAATCATTCGAAGGAACCGTAGGAATACCACTGCATCCAGACCGATAGTATCCACAAGCTCCTGCTCCTTCACATTTTTGACCGCATCCAACCAACTAAATGGCTTTTTGTCCAAGGGTTTCGGTCGGTGTTTCTCATCGGCGTGTTTCGCCCGTGGCGCGTAGACTCGCGAGTTGCGGGGTCGGAGGAAGCAGAATACAATTACCAATAGACCGGATATAACGAATGAATATACAATAGCGGCGTAAATCGAATTCTCTTGGATCTGCAATATCGGTCAGTATGATATCCACAAGGGTTGAACATGGTATTCGCTTGTACTTACTTCACCTTGGAATGGATCTGCAATCAGATCAAGAAACTTATCAGTGCCGCTTTCGCCATTTTGTCGCCTCCAAACATTCATACTGGAATCCTTCCTCTTCAAACGAATGTACTCAGTAGTTTGATGTCTGACAGCCGGAAATGGCAGCGAATAAGAGAAATGACGTTGTGTGGTTGGATGACAGAGTCAAAAAGAAAACCCAAGAAACAAAGTGATTATGAGAGAAGCCTAGATTTACGCCGATCAACGACGTACGCGTAACGATGCCCCAGATCCTCTTTGTTGGGACGATGTCACAGTACTAGAATGATCTTTCCGCGCATCGCCGCCGAGCGACGTCATTCCCGCCGCTAAGTGTGGGCCTCAAACGCGCTCGTGAAAGAAGTCTGCGTCGAAGCTTTGAGCAAACTGGCACCAACGTGTGAAGTGAAATACGATCTGGAACATCATTTCAGACCTAAAAATAGTGTATCATGGGGTCAGGTTGCATGTGTCTAGGCCCTGGGACCGAAAATTCTGGTGCACTATGCCGTGAACTGTCTTAAGGACTTGGCAGGGTCCCTACACCGATGTAAAGTAGCAATAATTTCATGTGGCTGCATCGCCAATCATCAGCTGCATCAATGTAAACTGTTTGGCGATCAGCTCGTGGACACCACGATAGTGCCGCTTAGCAAAGGACGACACAGTTCGACAGAACGAGAAATACTGTGACGTCATGGTCACCCGACCATCTGCGAAGAGCCAAAGTACGAGGGACTGCGTTCATAATGAGTACTGCACCTTAGTCCAGATATGGTGTAGCATTGGTATCTTGTAAAACGAGCTTCTCGTAGCAGCACAGCACCGTGGAGGGTGAGGCGAAGACGTATGGACATCTCTAAGTCCACGGGTGATTAGGACATTTTCAGTTAGAAGCAGATGCAGGACGTTATCTGTGTTATCACTATTCAAGATGAACGATCTCAAGGGATGTGAACGAAATGCCATCGTATACTTTCAACTGTGACCTATAACACTCACCACATGCTCAGCCCAAACCAACTCTTAATACCAGTCCACCCACGCTTATAGTAACCATCGCCAACATGCTATATCATCGTCATCATCAAAATCGCCGCATCGCGAACTTCAGTAGTGCGCTATCAGATGAGCCTCTACCGAGCCCCGTTTTCCACCTTGAAAAGAAAAGAATCTATGGATATCACGAAACAAGTAAAAGAGGAGGGGGTATGCAAAGATGAGAAAAGTTGCAGAGACGTGATTATCACCCTCATGCCTTTTCCTTCTTCTTCTCCTTTTCCTTCTTGTCGTGATGGTGGTGATGCTTCTCTGACTTGGTGTCCTTCTTGGCTGCGGCTTCAGCCATGAGCTGTTCGAATGCCATGAAGTCGCCTTCTTCTTCGGGATCACGCTCAGCCTGCAGTTGGTTAGTACCCATTTGTTAGATACGACAGATGATGAACATACCTTCTGAAACATCTCGCCAATAATCATCATCGCATGTGCCCGTTCCACTCGCTTATCCAGCTTGATCTTCTTGTCGTTGAGAACGGAATCGCATACGTCCCTAAGTACGCTCTGGATCTCGAACTTGCTGCCTCTCCAGGCCGCGGCGAGGATCTTGCCAGTAACACGCTTCTCGTATTCAGCCTTCTTCTCGTCTGTCCATGCTTCACCACCCTGCTCCTCCAGCTTCGCCATCTCCTCCATTGTAAGTTGTGCGTCTATCGCAGCAGACATGGTAGACCAGGTGTCCTTGACGAGCGTGCCCTTGTCCTTGATACGGGAGAAGAAACCTGAGATACCGAGGAACTTCTGCGACTTGAGGAATGAGGAGGCTTTCATAATGTATGTGGCACCAATGGCGTGAAGAATCTCAAGACCAAAGGATTCCATTTTGAGATTCTCGATTTCCAGGTGAATCTTCTCCTTGAAGGCAGCGGTAACATCGGTTGCCTTGTCAGTTTCAGTCCACACTGAGATGCGGTCGACGAGCTTCTTGGCAAGATTGGCGACACGTTCATCACGGATCTTCTTACGCTCCATCTCGTACGCCGCGAGCTCTTCTCGCTGCTCCTTGGTAAGACCGGCCTTCTTCTTCTGCTTCTCTCGTAGCTCCTTCTCCGCATCAGTCATGCCCTCTGCCTGCATACGTGCCTCTTCCTCCGACTTGTCCATGATGGCTGCGCGGATTGGTATGCCTCGTGATTGTGGCGTGCTCGTTCGAGATGGGGGCGACGCTGCCCTGGGCGCGGTAGAAGATTCGGCAGTAGATCCAGCATACGCTGGGGGTGCTTCGGCGTACACAGGTGGCGCATCTGCTGCATGTGCTCCTGCGCGCTCCGCTGCTGCTTCGGCTTCCTTAGCCTGGGCGGCAGCACTCGGGGCCGTGGTCTCTGTAGTGCCAGTAGCCGGGGTAGTACCAGCTGTGGCAGTTGCAGGAGTCTTTTCTGCCTCGACCTTTTCGGCTTCTGCCTGAGCGGCGGCTTCTTCCTCCATCTCACGCTGGGAGATCTCCATAGTCTTGGTCAAGTCCTTCATCAACGAGATCTCGCCGATCCTATGCGTGTCAGCTTCTCTCTTCCCAATACAGAAAAAGCTGCAATGAACTATGGAGTTTCCCTACCAGTCCGCGAAGGCCTCTCCACCAAAGATCATGGTGAAGAATTCGGATGGATCCTCTGTGACTCTGTCAGCGTTCTGCAACCATTACTACTCCATGTGTATATCCATACCAAATCCGCTGCTAGGCATCGCACCCTCTTTGCCATATTTATCGTACGCTGCTCGCAGTTGGTCGTCGCTGAGTATTTGGTACGCCTCGCCAATCTGTCACCTCGTCAGCCCCGCAGTCCTGGTGGAGTATCGAGCAGGATCGCCAGACCCTCTACTCGTGGGTAACAAACGTACTTCTTGGAACTTCGCATGTGCTGTTTCATCGCCGGGGTTCTTGTCTACGTCAGGATTAGTCCCTGGTTCTTTGAAGAAAGTCGTTGCGCAATGTACCGGGGTGCAGTTTAATGGCGAGCTTGCGGTACGCCTTCTTGATTTCGAGTTCTGTCGCGGTAGGCGGTAGGCCAAGGGCGTCGTAGTATGCAGTTTCCACGACCATGGTTGCGAATATGTGAGATTTAGAGTGAGTGGTGGGATCGGTCAAGAGTATATGCGTTGGGCGCGCGTCGGCAGGCTACACATGCCCGTGAAAATGCTGCACCGCCACAGCCGACGTCACCACGCTAAAAACATCCGAGTACCCTTGACAGTCAATTACACATGGGTGAACAAAACTGGGGTAAGTGAATGTTACAAGTGCCCTACGAAATGCGAAAGAGAATTACTTGGGTTGTCAAATGCATATACTCTCATTCATACATGTGTTAGATAAGAGAGCTGGTCTATACAAGCTCAGAACCCCACCCGCTCGAGGTATACCCGCCATGGTCATATGATTCATTTGAAGAACCCAATATCACCCTTCGCCGCCCCATGCAGACGCCATGCTAGAATTTCAGTCCGTGTATCATGAACCGTTAAGTGAGATACTTTTAGACCAAACTGGGAATAAATCGAGGAAATGCAGTGAATGGTGGAGTGCGCCGTGTGTCCTAGGACGACGGAGGATGTTGCAAAAAGCAAGCATGGTGTTGCAGACTTGGAAGTGTGCCGGAGCTTTTTAGACGCTGAACTTGGCCTTCGCACGGGTGCTACCGGCATTAGCAGCATCAGTGTGGCCTGAGAACTCGACAACATCGTTGTCCTTGAGTTGAAGCGCCTGCTTGAACCGCTTGCCAATCTTCAACAAAACCTCCTTGCCCTTCTCCTGGGTCCTGCCCTTTCCAGCGTCGCCGGGGATGGCGCGGCCGACTGTGCGGGTCCACAGACCGATGCGGTAGAAGCCTCGCCTAACATTAACGACGACACCCATGACCTCGTTGTCGTCCTCATCCTCAAGGTTCTCGCCGATGGCAGCGAGCATGACGTGAAGCCAGAGCGCATCGATGTTGATGAGCTTCTTGTCCTTGAACTGGAAGGCCCATTTGCCGCCGTGCTTGTTCTGCGCGTCTTCCCACTCGGGTCGCACGCCCTTCTTGAAGAGGTGGTAGTCAGACTTGAGCGCGAGGTCGGATGTGGGAGTGATGTTGTTCTGTGCGATGTCAGCTTTGCCCGTTGCGGCTGCTGTTGAACACGACTTACGTAAATACCCCAGAACTCCTCAACTGAGTCAAATGAAATGACCTCTTTCAACAGCTCGGCCCAGTTGTCGCCCTGCAGTTGTTAGCATGGAGCGAGCGTCGGTCAAGATGAGACAATATCGTACCTTGCCGCTCGGGGGCTTGGTGAACCACAGTGTCCATGTGTTCATAAGCGGGTGCTTGACGTTGAAGTTCTCGGGGTCGTGAAAGACGGTGCGGATCTCGCCCTCTCCTCCAGAATTGTTGGTGGAAGATTGTTCCTGACCCTCGGCGGAGTTCTCAGTAGGCGAGATGGGGATCGTGTCCAACGGAACCTGCTCGTTGGGTTGCGGTGCTGATGCAACTTCGGCCATTGTGGATGTGTTTTGGGGGTGTTGCAGGGTGGATATGGGGTGTGAGGTGGTGAAGAGGTACTACAAGCGATGGTTGCAGTCGTGTGGTAATTTAGCGGTTGGTGGTGGGCGGGATGGGGTGAAGGCGGGGCTGTCGCAATCGCACCGGGCGATTATACGGGAGGAGTCGCGGGTTTATGCTACCTTTCTTACGTCGGGTAAGAGAAAGGTCGACTGAGAGATGGCTGTTTGCTGCAGGCGTGTCTGTTGGGGAAGAATATGCGTGCAGTCGCAATTCGTGGGAACCCTTCAGGCTTGGCACGCGCATCACGCTAGTGTCCCGTTTCAAAGGTGACACAAGGAGAGCATAAAGAAGCAACCGGTCGATGCCATGGCAAAACTAACTTCATAACTAGCTACTTTTTCACCATGTCCACGTTACTGCTCTAGAGAAAGTTCACGATAGACTTCCTCACAAGCAGCCTCGTCGCCGAGCAAAACGCGTTTCTATATAAGCACATCTACGGCCCAACTTCCGCTATAGAAGAGCAGAGCTGGAATTTGACATCCGTGCTATGACATCACCCTCACATCGCAATCGTGCCTTAACATGGTGCGTAAAGTATACATTAGTAATTGTTATATGCCCGATGTCCCTAAATGGCTGTAATTGTCGCCTGCATAATACACATAGACGTTGAGATGCTCATAGTTCGCTCTTGTTCAGAGTCTCGTGGACTTCTGTGACCACCTCGGGCGTCTTGTCGAGTCCCATGACTCCCATTAGCTTGCCAAACTCCAACTTGAATTGGGTGTAGGCGATGTCGAAACGAGCGCCTGCGAGCCATGCGACAAAGAGCTGTAAATCATTAGCGATCTGTTCGAGGCAGCGTGGTTGCGATACGTACCATGAAGAATGTGATGACCAGAACTGTTCCAACGACAGCGGCGACAATGTAAACCAAGTCCCAGTTGGCCTCGGAGTCCTCTTTCCGTTTCCGCTCCGCCTCCTCGATGGTGGCAGGTGCCTTCTTGTCCACTGGTGGTTGTTGCGACGGGAATATCGACTCAATGAATTGCTCAATCTAGGACAGGTTAGCAACTGTGATTTCAACAAGACCTGTTGTGACTTACTCTTCCAAGGGTAATGCTGATCTTCAGGAAGTTGGGGTCGTGGGGGTTGTTCTTCTTTGCAATCTTACGAGCGTACCGCCTGAAGACTTCGCAGACAAGCTGGAGATTCTGTGTCGACTCAACCATCAGCTGGCAAGCTTCACCCTTGGTGATCTTGACGTTCTTCTGGAACAGAGCGTAGTTCTGGAAGCAAGTCTCGAGGGTCGCGATGGCCATGGTCTGCGGGATAGCACAGAAGTTGAACACACTCTGCTCCCGAAGACCTGCGAGATAGTACAAGCAGTCATCTGCCCGAGTCAATGCAGTCAGAATCATCTCTGAACTACAGTTCAGAGCCTTCTGCTTGTTTTCGGGCTTGAATAGGTCCTCAAACTCGTCGACGTGCTTCGACCAGATCTCCCTAGGCCAGAATCGTCGCCCGTCATCAATATCCTCCTTGATATCACGAGTGATATTGACTTGCTGGAGGAACTGACCCATGGACTCCATCAGCTCCGGCCTCTTCAACAGCGCAGCGTTCGCCAAGCCAGCCTCAACGAACAAACGTGTGCAACCCTCGCCAACCAGACCTGCGACGTAATGGCAGTACAGCTCGTAGTCCTTGATGGTGTTGACGCCAGCGTTGAACTCAGCGTTGTTCGCGTAATCTGCCATACCGTTACCCATGCGCTTGGTAATGTCCTTGATGATATCCTTGTAGACTGGCTTGATTTTCTTGAACTCCTCAATGACCACGTTGAACTCGACCAAAAGTTGCCTGTCCTTCTCGTTTGGGCCGTTCTCGGTGAAGTTCCATCCATCTTGTTCTAGAATGTCTTGGAAGTTGCGCAAGATTGGCTCCTTCTTCTCCAGAGGTATCGTCATGTCATCCTCGATTGTATCCAAACCGCGCAGGACTAGGTAGAACAGCGTGACAGGCACCAGAAGGTCGGGGTGTAGCTCGAGGATGACGGCCGCAAAACTTCGGCTGGTCTTGTTGAGGAAGTGAAAGCATCGTTTGAGCGACTCGCATTCTTGGGCTTCGTTGCGCTCGTGTACTGCGTTATGCCACACTTTCCTAGCCAAGTATTAGCCGTATCCCGGTTTGCGCAAACTTTGGATACGCGCAGAGAAGTTGCAATAGTATCGTCGCTTACCATTGAATAATAGATCGCAGTTCGTTGGGGTGAACCACGTAGTAGAGCATGCTCAGAGGGCTAGGCATGATGGGCGAAGGTAAAGGAGTCTTGGATTGAGGGGGTATTAACAGGTCGTTCGACACCGGTGTTATTGTCGCAGGACGCGGACCAATTCGGCGACAGAAGACAGGATTGAGAAAGAAGTGAATATCACAACTTTTCTGGCAGGTTGAACTGTCCTTTGGGCGCGAGAAGTGTGAAGTCTAGGAGTGTCTCCGCAAATTACAACAATTGGACCCTGTAGCGCACGGCCTTCGCAACCCGCGTTTCTGCACCTCCCCTCGGATCAGGGATGAGAAACACCGAAAACACCGAAGAACGCTTTCCATTCTGAGCACTCAACATCTTACCTGCGGTTGATGCGATACGAGGATATTGGGAGATCGTGCGATTTTTTTTTCCGTCCGGTTGTTTAGTAGCCGTACGTCAAGCTGGTCGCGGCTCAACGGCCAAGAAAGTGCGTATCGAGATTTCTAGCTACAGCGCCTTCCATAAGAAAGAGTACATTCTTTTTACAAACTTCTTGCTCTTGGCGATTGACGTCGTATATGTTTGTAGTACAATGTGCGGGTCGGATATCAATCTGAACAAGTGTTTTGTTATTGACACCTCGATCTCAGACACCATACGTACAATTCCTATCCTCTCTGCTCTCAATGCATCAGCCAAATCTCCCCAAGCCTACCAATATCCCTTTTCAGTTTCCGTAATATTGCATGGTCTCATTTCAAGACCGAGCATAGCTTGCTGATCATCATGCATGTTCGGCTCTGGACTTGATTCGTCAGCATCAACTACACCAAACACCAGTCATTGTTACCGTGTTTTCCCAATTAGTCAGTATAGAGAAACAGGATCTCCGTGGACTAACAGGTGAACCCAAACCCCGAAGAACTCGTTCGGGGAAGCGGTCGATATCAGATGCCGGCCGATGACGCCACATCCAGATTATCGATAAGCGACCCTTCATACGTTCCTCCTGCTCACCCCGAAACGGTAAGAACGATACAGCGTAGACACACCAAGATCAAATCATGGCATCAACACAGGCCGCTCCAATCGCTCTACCGCGCGTCGCAATAACATATTGCACGCAATGTCGGTGGATGCTGCGGGCAGCTTATGTACCTTCCTTCCATATCCTCCGCTAGCACGACGTTCACTAACAAGCGGCCAGTTCGGCCAAGAACTCTTATCAACATTCGGATTGCAAATCGGCGAGATAGCGCTTATACCTGCGACGGGTGGACTTTTCACTGTCGAGTTGGTATGTTTGAACGAAAATCTGGATCGGTCTATACTGACTTTGGGAGACGTATATTCCGTCCTCGGACGAAGGTCAAAGTGTAGAGGCAAGGAAAGTGTTACTTTGGGATAGAAAGACTGAAGGAGGGTTTCCAGGTTTGGGTTTCCCAACAAATACTTGGAAGGAATAATGAGTGGCTTACATGTCGCAGAGACGAAAGTATTGAAGCAGTTGGTGCGAGATCATATCGATCCTAACCGAGACTTGGGGCATTCGGACAAACATGGCAAGAAGAAAGAAGAGAAGACTGAGGAGAAGAAGCTAGAGTCAGAGGTGAAGCAAGAGCAGATTCAGGCAATTGAGGGTGTAGAGGTCAAGAGGAATCCAGATGGGACTGTTTGCGAGGATTGCAGATAAGCTAAAGCGGAGGGCTGTTATTTGCTATGTGGTATATTAAACGCCACGGAACCTTCTATTTGTTCATGTCCATTCCGCTGAGATGTGAGAGAACCTCGCGACGTCGAGAACCGTGAGACCCTCGGTTGCGCCGAGATCATGCGCCCTTAAATTGCTTCCATGCGTTCACAAGCCATATCGGTCGACCTTATCGAGACGCTTCATGAGGCGAATGTCCATCCGATGAATGTTTTTTCGCATAGTCTCCAACTCACGGCGCAGTCGTTCAATTTGGCGGTCAGCATCTGCGGAGATCCACGGGATGTCGCTAGGGGCTTGGCAGTCAGGTTTTGGCATTGATGAGTAGTAGGTGCCGTCTGCGTTGGGAACACCCAGTGCCTCAACCAGGTTGTCGATTCGGAGACCGTGAGACTCAGAGGCCCCCTCGAGCTCCTTATAGCGCCGATCTAGATCCTCAAGTTTAATGGAGTAGATCTCTCCTGTGAGGTTGGTTACCGCTTGCGCACGCTGGACGAAAGAAACAACCTGAGAGTGCATGCTGTTGGTATTGGCCTGTTGTGCCAGGTCGAAGCCGCTGGTACTGTAAAAGTGCGCCGCCGCGATAGTTATAGTGGCACTTGTCACTGCGCCAAGCACGACTTTAATAACATTCCACGGCCAGCTCTTGCGTCGGTTACTCAACCGGGCCTCGCTCTCCGCGATCAGCTCTTTGATGGCAGAGATATCAGCGTTCTGATTAGACTCATTGATGTGAAGTGAGTTTCGAAGCATATCCAGAGCTGTATAGATGCGATCTGTTGCCTTTGCACAGTGCTTGAGGAGTTTCTTAAGCTCTTCGGTGATGACACTCTGGGCTTGGATCTTGCCCTCAGCGCTGAGAGTAGATTCCTCGATCTCGTCGATACAGCTGGCAACCTTTTCACCCACCACCCCCATGCTGAACATGGCGATCTGACTGACAGTGAGGGATATATGGGTGGCCCTGCTGAGATAGGACTTTAGAACCCCCATAGGTAAACAAACCTCTTCAAGTTTAGCGACCATTCCGTCAAGGTCGGCAAGCGCGCGATTAATGACACGATAGCCATGAAATCTGCTCCACTGGTAAAGCAGCTTCTTTTCTTGGTTCTGAGCCTTGACATATTCATGAAGCTGAACCATGGCCCCTTCGACTTCTTTCATAGAGCCAAGGATGCTGTCCGCGATGTCGCAAATTCCATGAGCCTAATATTAGGTTAGTTCGATGCTACAACATGCAGAGCAGTCCTTACTTACCCTGATTGAAAAGCTGGGCTCCTTCGCTTTCCCATTGGTAAGGTCGACCCTCTTGTTGTGTTCCGCAACCGCACCATTGATCATGTCGCTTTTTTCTCGTTCCTTTTCAGACGCGTCGCTCTCGACATCGACACCGTCACTTCCGGATGCATGTTTCTTCGCTTGCTCGCTGGTATTTGGTGTTTGTGTGTTGGGATGCTGCCACGAACTGTCGCTTGTGTTGTCCTTGTTGGTGCTTTGGGCCATGCTTGCCTCACTACTAATGCTCATGTTTGTAATGACGGATCCAATGTCAATAACATGAGTTGAGTTGCTGGGGCCAATGTGGAGCAGCGATTGTTGCAGTCTGGGCTATTACAATAGTGATAAGCTTAGGGGTGAGTATGGACTGATTATCGTGAAGTGGAGTCGAGGTGAGCGTGATTTGCGCTCGGCGGTGATTGGCCAGTTTCACTAGCGCACTATCCTGTTTGAGTAGTATAAAGGGAAAGCACAACCTTTGGAAAGCAGCACCTAGGCAGACACTCAACGAAGGTGATATGACGACATGACATAAAGTTAAGGTAAAGCGTTGGAAAGAAGGAGCGAAAGAACATCACAAGAAAATTGGCTTGCCCAAAGCAGACAGAGAGACTGATGTGGATAGCATTGACGTGAAAGCAGACCTTGAGGAAATACAAAAAGCGGCTCATTACTACTGTGCCAGATGTTGGCGAATGATTGATTGCCTATCTTGAGGAAGTGAACGAAGAGATGACTTCCAAGCTGAGGTGATTACCTCAAAGCGCTCACACACAGAGGTGATGGTCCACCATCTACGTCAGGTCGGCATGGTGCGGTGTGTTTTGTCGAGAAGGCTTCGCGTCCTCGGACGCGGCATGCTTGCATGTGGAGCCCCAGAGGACGCGTAGATGGATCGTATATATGCAGTCCAAGGTCGCTTGCATATTCCGCCTGGTGTGACAGTCATCGATTATTTGGTTGTCAACTCGTAGCTAAAAGCCGGAGAATTGGCTGGTTGCATATGCAATGCAAGTTGCTTATTTGCAATACGCGAATCCTGCATAACAAGATCAACATATTCTCTAGCTACAGCAAGGCTGCAACATATTATCTGTGAGCAGAGTGTTTGTGAATCTTGAGATACTTTTCGGGGAAATTCAAGTGGTAATGTGCCTTGTACAGCATTGTATAACGGGGAAGACTGTATCAGAGGCCCGAGTGTCGTTGCCGCATGCTGTGCGTTCGGGACGCCGTGAAGGCGTCAACCAACGCGTACTTGCAGTAGTTGAAAGCTTGAGTTTGAGATTTCGTACCTGATGTGGCACCATAACCAGCGTGATGGGCCGACATGACCAGGACCTCAACGAAAGCTAATGCTGTGCTCAGGTTCTCTGTTTCATGATAGCGACAGATGATGTAGAGCTTAATAATCTGCTGTGAAAACGCAGCATATTTGGCACATACACAAAAGAACATCCGAGCCGTTAACGGGTGGTAGAAATGGTGTCTGCAGTTTAAGGGTTTCTGTATAGCAAGCATACGTCGCTATCGAGCTACTCGAACACCTGTCAAAGGACGGGAACGGAATCTTCGCGGCAGATCGATAGGCAAGCTGCTGCTGGGATCGAGGGCTTGTGGTAGTGGGTCGAGTCTTGGTGATGTATGGATGTACAGTATGGTGCCAGCGCAATGAGGAGAGCCGAGCACCCTTGGACGGCGATCATGGCGGACGCCACGGGCTTCCCCGCCCAGCCTCTAGAGGGAGTCGTGCCATTCGTCGCTCTTTGCACACTGGCTTGAACGACACCCTCGTACATGTCGAACGCGGAACCTGATCCCCACGCCATCCGACATTACGCATCCATGTTGGGAAATCGCTGTGACGAGTCGGTCGGCGATAGGTGAGCTGTCTTTGCGATGCTCCGGAGCAACGCCACCTCAGCTGGCGAGATCGCCAAAAATGCCCAGAAACGCCAGACACCGTGCCAAATACCTCGCAATCTTCTCAAATCCCCAGAATTGCCCTTTCCCCGCATGCACTCTGCCGTACGGAGGCTTTTGAGCTTTAGCTTAGAACCAGTCTCAGCTTTGAGCGTTGGCATATTGCGGCTGAGCACTGAATACAAATTTCTCGGTCTCGAACGCAACTCATCACCATGACTGCACGATCTGGATCGAAGAACGAATCCCTGACAGCTAGATATCTGGCGCTATCAAAGTAGCCCGCGCAAGCCACGGACAGTCGATCCCTCATCTGGGCAAGATCGTCTCACCACTTCGCTCCACCGGGCTTGCTAGACGCAGCCTGGGCCGAACAGCGTCGCGTCTTAGCCGTCACGATAGCTGAAGTTGCGACAAGGGTCTGTCGACGTACATACAATAGTTGCTTTGTCCCACGTCCGGTTGCGACAAGACTTCTGCTTAGTTCCGACTCCAATACGGCAGACCAGGCATCCCTGCCCGTGCGCCATGAGCATTTCGTTCTGTGGTACTTATGCACACTCTTATTTAGGTCAACATGGCTTCGGAAAACAACCCGTCTTGTGAAACTAGCCTTGAAGAGGGGCCTCATCAACAACTGATTCCCACACGCACTTCGTTCACCTCTCGTAACATCTGTCTGGGTGACCCTAGGACCTTGAATCAAGTAGTCTCCGCGGCACCGACAAGCGGATCTACACTACCTCACCATACCAGCCTACCTACAGCAAAACGTCATAGCTTTGCGATAGGCGATCGCGTTGCCTCTACATTACTAGAGAACAATATTGACAAGAGACGTCTCAAGTCCACCGACACGCGACCAAGGTCCGCCAGTTGCCTTGTCACAACCCCGAAACCGATGCATCCAACCAAGGTACAACGATGGGCAGGTTTGACCCGTACTGTGAGTGACTGGGATCATGGACTACGGAGGGTATGTTTGAGTACTTCATCGTCAAAACTAAGCTGACAGCGCGAAAGGATCCAGAGTTGTGGTATGAGGGAGGAGACTGCTTCATCCATCTACATGCAAAAGGGGCCTCGCGTCGTGGTCCATCCTTTTGCGTCCCCTTCAGGATTTTACGGCAGAAGAAGTGTGACGCCATGTTGAACTTATGCGACACTCAAATCGCGTCAGCTCCAGGTTCCGCCTCCCAACGTCTAAAGCGAATGCCCAGCTCTCTCAACAATGCCAATCGGGAATCAAGCGTCGTCGAACTCTTTATCCCTGCTTCAGAAGAATTATCTCAGGACTCTTTCAGACAGCACATTACAACTCGCAACTTCTTTGCTTTCCTCCTAGGCAAACCTTTGGTCGGCGACCATATGGGCCAAGCATTTGTAGATCTCCAGGAACGATTGCATCTCTTTCGACCAAGCCACGCGAACAACCATCAAGACTTCCTCGACTACGCAGAAAACCAAGGGTACCGAGACCTCGTCGAATGCACAGACTACGCACTTGCGAGTCTCTTCTACGCAGAACATTATAAGCTTAGAGACATCTGGGTCGACGCTTTCGCCCACTGTGTCGGCATGAGTGAAAGCCTAGTCCTCAGCCCAGAATATGTGGTATGAACCCTATCATTTGATCAAGGCGAAAGTGCTAATATATCCTCGTAGCTGACTTCGAAGCTTACTAAAGCATTGATCGCCCGAGCTCATCTGGAAGTTGACGGTCACCTCGGCCGCGTATCTATCGCACTGAGCAGATTCCTACAGGAAGATCTCTCGCCGACTTATCTTGGACTTACTGATGGCGCCAGAAGCCACCTCGATCGCTTTCGCCGATTCTTGCATACTTTCTACGTAGGAAAGTTTGGTTATTGGCCACCACCACGGGGCGCTACCTTCCCTAAAGCTCTCTACAAGTCGATGTATTACGACTTCCAAAACCTTTACGACTACCTTGTAGATACCGAGTCGACTGTCGATTTTTCATCCCAAAGACCTGCCAGTGGCGGCATCTGCGTCTTGCAGAATGTTATGACCTTCGACCAGCGACATGGCTTCAAGTCTCAGCCGCATCCGTTACCTCTCCTACCTATATACACGTCGTCACCGAAGAGAACGAACTCCCAGAAAACGAACTCCCAGAAAGCTTTGAGACAGCTGATCCTGGCATCACAACATAACAAGTCACATCTACAAGACACCATGCATGGTGCCCTCGCGGCGGCAACAAATACTTTAGATCCGAATGCGCTGGAATCGAGCATTGTACAGGCCTATATCCACTTCGAGAAGGCACACGCTATCAATTCTAGTCAACGCGAGGGGAAGATATCAGCGACAGACGCGCGTAAAGTAAGATGGCTTTTGATTTACGGGACATTGCAATACCTTGTCTCCGCTCTCCGGGCACCGAAGGAGGTTCGCGACTCCGAGAGCCCAGAGTACGCTTTGTGTTACGTTGCGGAACCCATTGCTTCGACTACTAATAGTGGTGCTACAACTCCTTTGGCCACACCCTCCGTTAATGTACCGTTGGTCATCGACGAATACCTCGCGGAATCGCAAAGCAGTCCGTACTCGATCGAGCCAGATTGCCAGAGGGAGGATTACTTTACACCACGAAACATCAGTCGACGTGCGTCCATGGAGGTTGCGCCCCTCAAGATATCTCAACCGCTTCGCTCATCCTCCGTGCGTTCTTTTGCGCGGCGATCACTATCCGTTCGGAGCTCGCGAAGGAACAGTCTCTCAAGCAAACCTACACAAAAACCTGCTACTATCCTTCAGGGTTGCGGTGACGGATCGAAAGACCCAGTGTCGATCTCTCATTGTCCAGCTACTGTCCCGGCATCCTCCAATTGTTCCGAGCAGTCAACTACACCCGTTGCTGATAATGCAGCTGGACATGAGACCTCATGGCTCAGATCACGGACTCCCTCTGTTTCCCGTAGTAGACAGACCTCTACAAGTAGCACAGCCGCACGTCCCCGGACACCTCTACTTGACTCCGTACAGCTCGAGCGTGCTACGTTCCCAACTTTCTTAGCAGGAGGTAGTGGGGAGCCACCTAGCCGATCAGACAGCACAAGCTCTACAGCAAGCTCGCTTTGGAGCGAAGGTGCCGCAAGTGCGGCCTCATCTAAGTCGAGTGCATGTGGAGAAACTTCTATTCACAAGGCTAGCACCGCAGAAGAGAGCGGGCTTCTGGGCGGGCTTGTCTCTTTCGCGACACCGAAGACCACAGCACCAACGCTACCACAAAGCCAAATACACCCCCTACTGCGACAACAGTCTCCACAAAACGAGTTCGAGTTCGGTTTCGAGAAAGGAGAGCCGGAAGTTACTCACGATGTCTACGAGCACTCCGATATCGATAGGACGATTGGCATGGCTGTTTCCACACCGCCAGTGCCGGCCAGAAGATCTAGCTTAAAGCTTTTCCCAGATACACAACCCACTTTCACTGCCGAAGAGGCACGTTCTCTCATTGCCGAGAAGAGGCCTTATCTTCCTCCTCGATGCATTTCCACTTCGTCAGCTCCCGACAGTGTCACTTCGTCCAAGAAAGGCGCGAGAACCCCAACACCTATGACTGCGACTCCCAGCGGCTACTGGGAGCAGTACAAAGCTACTCTCACACAACAGAGAGCACGATCAAACACGGTGTCCTCCAGCGGATCCACTCCGTCATCAATTGTCAAGATGCCAACCGTCCTCAAGGCATCCTTTTCGCGCATCGGTCCACGTAACGAGGAGAATCGCGGCGTCAAGAGAGAGCGCAGGATTTCTACTTTATGGCGACACTAATCTTTGCACAACAACCACGCTCTCCACCATTCTCAGGCTTTTCTTATATTTCCTGCTACATCGATTCCATGCATGGTGTTCTGGCGTACAAAACAAGCATGTTATATACCCTCTCAAGCGTTCAGATAGTCGTCTCCCATTTGAGGAGAATATTATTTATGCCGTAAATGAACAATACAACCATCTTCCACTTGATCTTCTACATATACACGTCTTCGCCACTGCGACTTCCTCACCAGGTCCTGCCTCCGCTTTCTGATCGTACAACCGTTTTTTCACAACAGCTAGCGCTGTCACAGAAGCAGATTCGAACTAACCACTCTACGTCATCAGTCTCGACAATGATGTCCCCTATACTGACACGAACAAGCTCAACGTTGCCCAAAGTAACACTTGAGTCAAATGGGCTAGCGCGAGGAAATTCCTCGTCTTCACCGAGAAAGTCTTCCGTAAAGCTGTTGAAAGTCAATGGCTCTTGCGAGGAGAGAGCGTTACCATCGTATTCAAAATTACGATCACCGCTGGTTGTCTCGGTGTTACTTCTCGAAGATTACTCTACCGCAGACTTATCAGGTAAGGCATTTGTGCTGGCGTCCATATTTCCTAGTGACCTCTCTTTCAACTTCGCAATAGCGGTGCAACTTGTGCGGTAGCGACTGCGAACGGCGGTATTAGGCTGCATCTCTACGAAGCGCCTTCGTTCTGGGGTGGCGCTTGTTCGACATCTTCACAGCTGCCACAAATCTCTTCTTCGACACGATTACCTCAATGGAAGTGCCATGCGAGACACATTGTTCTAAAGTAACGGCAGGAGCTACCGACATGAGAAACGAATGTTCCACGCGCATGTTTCCATGCTCGGTGTTTCCATGTTCGGTGTTTCCCATAGCCATTGACACCGAAGATTCGAGTCTTGCACGGCAGACCCAATGACATCATGCCGATTTTCCATCATGGGCCCGCAAGCTTGTCGCACTATCGAAAGCCTCAACAAACATGCGCTCCACAAACACCACCTAATGCGAAACGCATGAGGTGTTTCTTTCCCAAGCATGCATATCGTCGCTAGATGCAACGCATGTGCTGCTATTTTTGGCCGGGCATAACCGTTATTGGCTCGGGCCTTCACGGCCATGGCTTACCGCTTGCACTCGCACTTGCACTTGCGAACCAAATTTGTTCTGACATGCCGTCAATGCAGTGACGATTTCTGTGTTACATCAGGTGCCACACGAATCATTACTTGTGGCATCAGCGGATGTGGCGTGCGGCTCCGGCACCCTGCATGTCAAGATCTAAGGCTGCGCAGCCTTGCAGTCCCAAAAATGGCACCGCTCGCAGAGGTTCCCGGAACCACCAGTGCCAAGGCGACGACGTCAACGTGGTGGTTGTTCACAGGAGCAGGTGAATGCATTTGCCGTATTCCTGTCATATTATCATGGTTATCACGGCCAAAGCACCATCTGGTGTGCCGAGATGCGAAAATGCGAAGCAAAGCATCAAGCTGCAATATCCATCACAACATGTGCAACCACAATATACGAGGTGCCTACCTTGTTGTTCGACGATCAATGCCACTTGCATGATAGGAGCATGTTAGCGGTCAAGGGTCCCAATGCTAGACTCGGAGATTTGTACCCACGCTGACCCACGTCCGGCCGGGGAGGCAACATCATTGCCTGCGTGCAACCCAGCGGAGTGTAGAATACGAGATATGACCGAATACATGAGCTTGGATGGACATCCGTCCAGCGTTTGGGCCAAGTGACGTTGAAATGGTCATAACGATCTTCAGAGAGATATAAGTACGGCCTCATCCTTCCTGGCTTGCTTCCATTATCCAAACACAATCCAACCACACTCAAATAACCTCATCCAACAAACTCCAAAACCGACATCATGCAGTTCTTCACTCTCGCCGCCCTCTTCGGTGCCGCCGCCATGGCAGCACCCGCTCCTCAGACCCCCGAGTGCCCTAACCCAGCTCACTGCGGTGGCCCGCCAGACCCAAACACCTACGAAAACATCGACTTCAGTGACTACTTCCTCCGCAAGAACAACGGCACCATCCAGTCCGTCTCATTCAAGCTCACTGGCAAGGACGCCACCGACCTCGAGTGCTCTGGTGGTCCTTACCCTACCCTCCCCACTGAGGTCGAGACTTGTGGAGACAGCAAGTACCGCTTCGGCATGTACCAGCCCGAGAACAGCACCGACAGCTTCGGTATTCGCGTTTACCATGAGCTGGGCACTGCGTACGTATCTCGGATATCTGAATTCTGGAACAGCAAGCTAACGGATTTGAACAGTGTCGGCTTCTGGGGTGAAGGTGAAGTTCCAACCTACTGCCACGCTGGTGGCAATGGTCCTCAGGACTTCGTCTGCCAGCAGACCAATGCCTACACTCTGGTTATCACTGGCTCTGGTTAAATTTCCAATCAAAGGGTAACTGGGCATCCTTTTGTACATACTGTTATATATCCAACTTCACAAGTAATGTAATTATCAACTTGGACTCATCAAATGAGTATTGTCATCACTCTTGTGTAGCACTCCAGCGAGCAAATACCCGCTCCCTGGAAGACATAATGCATGTGAATGGACAAGGCGTAAAGAAACCGACACGGTCAGCGTAGGCCGCACTTCAGATAATGGCGATATATTCACATTGCCTTGTGAACTAGAACCACGATTCCCCATGCTGAGGCTAACCTTGTTCTGTGAGTCAAAATCTCGGTAGGAGCTACGCATGGAAAATTATCTGTAACAGTTGTAAGCCGCATTGACGAGCTGAATGCCTCGAAGGAATGAAAGATGTCGAACTTGTCACACTATGATACTTCACTAGACTAGTTTATCCTCAAAACCCATGTTCCACACCCACTCTCCTCAGATCGCTACTACACGAACAACAATAGTAATCACTGCATCCTCACATCTACTAAATGAACAACGGTACTTTTATTATCATACTAACAGCCGTATTCCCGACTCTTGCTATACTATCCTTCCTCTTCTCGCTAGCAACATACTTCCAACCTCTCAGGGCTCGCCCAGAGACCAGAGCTCGTGGAGAGAGCCTCGAAGAGCTTTGTGATATCACACTAGCGCTTGTTGGACATATCCGTGATTTAGGAAGAATGGTGGGTTATGACGGGCAGAGGACGAGGTGTTCAGAAAATACAGTAAGGAACATGGCGAGTCGGGAACGAAGGAGTGCCGAGGCGGCGGACGATGCTGATGATGAGGCTGAGATGAACTCTAGTAATTATGAGGAGGGAGGTCGCATTGAGAGTAAAAGACCTCCGCGAATAAGTCGCTATACAGGCGTAATTTCAGAAGAAAAGCCTATTCGAGAACGAGCGCATCGAACAATTGTTGGTTTGAGAATGAGAAGAGCCCATCAGTTCACCCAACCCGTCATCAATGGCGTGCCAATGATGAGAACACGAGGCGGAACCAAATCCACACGGAACGATGACGACGCACTGGAGGCAGCATCTGCTACGGAGATACCGCCCAGCCCTGAACATCACTCCACGCGTTTGAACGATACACCAAGTATCCTTACGCAGTTAGTAGATCATGATGGAAATGAGGAGACTCGCCCTAGGATCCTGGTTGACGAAGATACTCTCGCTCCCTTAACCACCTGGGGCAGTTACGCCTCCACACCGAATGGCATCTCTCAACCTCCTCCTCCTCCTTCTCCAGCTATCAGTCATGACCACATACATACGTCCTCCCCTTTTCGGCATCAGCCAATACTCATTCTCAACCCTCCGCCTACGATCTCTCCCTCTCCTTCCCCAACGCTTTCTCGCAACCAGCGTCCGACAAGGATCGTCATCCCAAATGACACAGAAGAACTGCGACGCACGTACATACTAATGCAAATCTTGGAAAACACGCGACCGAGAATTAGACCAGACAACATCACAACTATTATTGAGGCATATACCAGATCGCTCGCTGGTGATGATCGAGGGCGCGCTGCGTTATTGAATGGACATGTACGGGAAGCTTCACTCACAAATGAAAACGTTGCATATACTCCCCCGATGAATGTTCTTCCTACTAGGGAAAGGCATACTCCCTCAGCCGATGACCACACCATCTCAACGGATGAACATGTCCCGCATCGTCCAGCCACCGACGGCTATCACAGAAACCACACTCTTCGTCCTACACTCACCTTCCTAGATTACGCCCCTGAAACTTTGGACCCCACGTCAGAATCCTCTACACGGTCATTGTGTAGGGCGTCACTGAGTGGGACTACGCTCGTTAACTCTGTTGCTAGCCTCGATGGCGATGCTGTGCTCATCCCTAACACGAACATCAACGGACAACTAGAGGAGGCCGTAGAAATCTATCGCAATAACACCTACGAAACACCTACTGCAAGTCTAAGACGGCGTCGCGCTAATCGCGACATGAGGAGGGCGGCGAGAGAGGATTAACGGGCGGAAGAGGAGGGCGAAATTATGAATGCGGAAATAGCGGAGGCGGAGGTGGAGGACGTGTGGTGGAGTCTTCGAGGTCGGAGGAGGAATAGCATGGAGGCTGAAATGATACAGCATGTGCTAGGACGAGAGCGCGCGGTGCAGACTCACCATCGAGAAACTAACGGGATGGAGAGAGAAGGGAGCGAAGAGTCATCTGATAGCTCTGTAGCGGAGGCGAGAGAAAGAGTACCTGCTATTGGGTAGGTATTTAAGAGACCTTGTAGCGAATGAGGGGAGTATGCAGTACTATGTTGATTCTGTTGTGTTAGCAAACCTAGGAGTTCTATCTATCTGTGCTAACCATTCGGAAAGCTCTTCTTGTGGTGAGATATGCAATAATGCAATCCACAACATCTTTCATGCAGCTTAAGAAATGATCTCTGTATAACCCTTTGTCAAATCCTTCCGATGAAACATGTTGGGCACTATGACTCCGCTTTCCGCTTAATTTGAATGATTGCCGAAAATACGTTACGTCCGAGAGAAGTCTATCTAGGGTTGATATTGGGCAATCGCGCAAGTCGCTAGCATATCTTCAGCTGGCGCGAGGGTGATAGGCGGCGGTGCGACGGCGAGAATAGTAGGCGATAGTTTCCGTACCATGTTGTATTCCATTCTGGAAAGCATTCATCACGTCCCGGACATGATGAGCTCGTGAAGCGAGTGTCGTAGCGAACGCCGCAGCGACTCTGCCTTTTGCGTCGATACTGTTCATAGGGTCTTCACTAACTTTCCAGCCATCGACGAAGCGAGCAACGAAGTCTTGGATGTGGACCAAGCTGACACCTATGTCATCCATATGGAATGTCCGCGCGATAGCAGCTATCCTGCGTGCTATTTTGCGCTTCAAAACGAAGTTGTTGTTCTGCAGTCTAGTAGAGACATGTCTTGTCGTACGGCCTTTTTGAAACTCTTGAAGAGCTAAGAGACTTGCGCAGGCCTCATCGCTATTCGCGAGATGCTGGAGATCGGACAAAGGAAGGTGCGAAATAATGGCAGATTTAGGTATTGAACCATATATTATGCGCTCTAAGGGTAGTTTAGTTTGTGGTAGAGGTAGCTAGACATAGCCAATCACCTGCATGTCCTTTATACCGTGCCCACTTAGCAAGACCCTCAGGCTTGAGCATGAGTAACACCTCAGCCGCATGCAGAACTTTGTACGGCTCTTGGAACACTTGATGGTCTAATGCCACTGCGATACGTGTTAGTGAATGCACAGGACATATAGCGATTAAAAGAGGTCTGCATACCAACGGCGATTCTCGGGTTTTCCATATTCGAAGCCTTCACCATAGTCTGCAATAGACTAGTGCACACCGTGATATACGGCGAAGTACCGCCAGTCATCGATAGGTGGTTGTTGGTATCTGCCATGAAGTATGGTCTCATCTCCCCATTCGGGTTGAGAGGCGGCGGTAAAGGCTTGTCCCGGGGCCAACAGTGGTGGTACTTAGAGCTCACGAAGCCCTTCTCTTCTGAGTAAGCTGTGAAGGAGCTACCGTCATAGGCTCTGAAGGCGATACTATATGCGAGTATTGATGCCTCTCGTGGCTCAGCTAGGCTGGCCTGGGAGCGGCTTTGACCTTCTGTATCCGACCAGCCCTCTTCGTCTTCTCGCGTGGGATCCATTGAGAGCGTTAACCCTCCGAGTGAGTGAAACCGCACTGGCAGCTCATTCGAAGTTGACACTCGGAGGGGACATGATTTCCTCGTTCGTCTTTCTTTAGCACTCCTAAGCAGGCGCTTGTGATGTTCCCTCGTTTTCCGACATTTTGCACGTTTAGCCGATCCAGGCCTATGGTCTTCTTCTACTGTTCGCCGTGGTAGCTTAACACCGATCTTCGAAGCCGTTACTTCGATGATCTCATGTATCCTATCATAAAGACCCTCTGGGTCATGGAATGGGACAGCCATAACTTGACCATATTCTGGAATAGCCTGTCCGCCATGAGAGACGATGTAACTGTGAAATCGATTATGCACTTTCTTTTGTCCAAGACTTAAACCAGTGATTGCATTGAACAAGTATGGAATGGCTGAGGGGTCTGAACTTTCGTACCACCGATAAAGGATGGTCATCAGCCTCTGTTCGTCCTCATGCCAGGGATGGTTTGGCTTTCGCTCCATTATGTGACCTGCCGGGAAGCTATGATCTTTGTTTTGTGGTAGAAGATCTTGTTTTTCTCGAGTGGTCGCCCTGGAAGGTGGATGCATAGTAGGAACGGCTCGGTTTGGTTGAAGCGGGAACTGGGTATATGGTGGCTGTGTGCTTGCGGACTCGTAATCTGATGTAGCTAAGAGAGTCTCCGAATCGCTGTCTTCTCTAGGCTCGCTCTTGATATATGGCCCGAAGAACCCCTCAATCGAAGGAAGCACCCGCCCTTGCGTGTCTCTGTCGTCGTCATCGTGACTGCTAGCTAAGTTTGCTTGCGAGCCGTTAGCACTTGCTCTGGGATAGCAAAGGGAAGAATGACTGGTGACCGCTTACCTTGGGTATCGGTTTCTGTCACGGTATGTGATTGCTTCTGTTCATGCGGCTTCTGCGGTGCGATAGTAGTCGTGGCTGCTACTGCCGGCTCCCAGAGCATGATGCCGGTGTCTGCTGCTCTCCAGATGTGCCTCGTCATTGCGATGTTGTGAAGGTGTGATGCTTCAAGAACGATCGAGCGATTTTGATAAGAAGGTCAGTGTGGCAGGCTGCATTATGCGAAGCTTGGAATCAGCTGAGGTTGCAAGAGAGAGCTTAAAGGGTTTTTATCCACCAGACAGCCAGCTCAAGACACGTTGGACTGTCATTGTCGTGTGTACGCGTCGAGGCAGCTTGCAAAAGCACGTTCAACGTGTGGTGAGGTGAGAGAAGTGGTTTCATATGAGGTATTGTCCCGACAGTGGGCCAGCACGTTTACCCGCATGAAGGCAGGGATTAGGTAGTTGAGTAAAGCTGATCTCGAGTACTAAGAGCATTGTCATATTGCCTCGGGGGGCACAAGTAGGATAGAGTGAGTTCTGAGCTGGATGTGAAGTTTAATAGCTCTGCCAAAGTCGTTAGAAATGAGGTTTGCCAGCATGTCGTTTCTGAAGCTCTGACTTGTGAACACAACAGTTGGCAGTAGTTCCATAAAGACATTCATTTCAAGTGTGGAAGAAGGAAGAGGGAGAATCGATGATGGGGTATGATGGAATAGCTCTATTGATAACTGTATCTCACCGCTTATGCCATCACGTATTGCCTTTGCCAGGATGTATGAAGGGGTAGTAATCAATAGGAACGAATGAAACAGCAAAACTTAGTAGGCCCACAACACACGTGGAAGTCAGAGTAGTAATTGCAAACAGCCTCTTATCGAGCCCCACTTTGTGCTTTGTGAAGAAGTTGTCACAACAGAAGGTAATAGATCAAAAGAGGACAGCTGATACGTCTAGAACGAATTGATCAGATGAAAAGCAGATACCTTCCCACGCTACGTTACATTCGTTACTTGAAGTCGAGAAGTTGGAAAAGCGGAACAGAACGCGAAAGGCATAACTTTTGGCGTCAGACAGGAGGGAAGTAAAGCGTTGTTCGAGAACATACGGTATGCAAAGAGCCTGGAGCGCCCGCACAATGCTTTGACAGATACGGATGAAGTAGGAACAGCCGAGTAGAGGAATAATTGACGATGTTGTTGATGATTCGTCCGTACGTTAGAAGGAAGCGGATGCGTGGGGTCGGCTAGTAAGGTCCACATGAGAAGTGCGACTCTGCGGCGCATTTTGCGTTTGTACCGAATTGTTGATGCGACCTGGTGACGGGTTGTTGGGTTTGCATAAGCGCGCTGTGACTGCTGCGAACATGCATATGCGAGGTTCGTGAACCGCATACGGGACCCGAAGCGTGATCGCACCTGCAGGCGGCCTACAACAGGTTTGATGGTAAATTGCTTTCTTACGCCCAGTTTACCACCAACAACGCTATGCATTCTTACGCATAGCTTTCCATATCTGACGGACTGATTGCTCATTTGTGACCGTGCTGCTCGGTGCAGATCTTCCTCACGACCCACTTCTCCCAGAATTTGCGTTGCTGATTGGTAACCATGACTCCATCATCCCCAAGAGCGTCCACGCTATCCATGTGGCCATTGCAGTTGCACCATGTAATCGAGGCCGGGGTATCTGGCATTGGTGGGAAGTGCAAAGTTCCACCTTGTTCAGGCTCGTCCGTCTCTGCGTCGGATTCGGTACCAGCTATCGAGCTGCCATCAGCATCGTTCCCACTGCCACTGTGGTCATCGGATGGATCCTCGTGTTCGCCGTATTCAAAGTCGCTTTCGTCGCTCTCTTCGCTACTATCACTCCCTAGAGGGTCATCTGGGACCTCGACTCCCATGACAAATTGCTCGTCAAAGTGTTTCTCATATCCAATTCGCCTGAGACTGACCCAGTCAAGTCTTGTGAGATCATCTCGTAAACAGGGGAGCACGTCCCTCCACATACTACCTTCCTTCAGGAGTACATCTCGAAGCCGCAAGCCACGTAGTGTATCCTTGTGTCGACGAGCAATACTTAGAATTTCGTCTGCGTTGAGACGCCACGCTTGAATCCCAAAAGCTGCAAGGGTGAAGATGCAAAGTCAGTGTATGTCGCATGTGCATTCTGTAAACCCAAAACGTACCCTGCAACTTTTCCCACTTGACGTTGTGGAAAAGCTCTTCAAGTCGTAGCGTGAGTGGTCGATATGAAGGGAAACCAATATGAACTGCTTCGATGTTCTTAGCCGCGGTAAACAGCGCTTTGGACAAGGAGGACAGATGTCGCATCCGTACATCCAGGTCCGTGCTGTCGTCGAAATGTAGCTCTAGACAAGTAAGGCGTTCAGCGAGAATTCCCAGCGTTGATGGCGGGTTGTTTGCGGCACCTAGAACACTCTGGGGGCTTAGCATGGGTGATGAGAAGCGTGAGCATGGTGACTCGGACTCTAGGAGAGCTTGACCGATCGTTTTCGCGCTATGCAGGCATGCTGGTGGCCATGTCGGCACTAGACTGTTCAGTTCGTTATGACCCCGCATGTACTGAACCAACACCGCATCTTCTTGATCCTGCAGTCGCAGGATCTGAATGTGCTGGAGTGAAGTGAACCTCTGGAGCGCGAAGTGAAGAATACGGGCGTCTTTTCTTGTCCGTAGGATGTCTCTTTGCTCATTCACCTTTTCTTGAAAGTGTCCGACATCAAGGAAGCCAAAACTCTCGGGCCGTGTGTGAAGAAGCTCCTGAATGCGCTCTCGTCCTGTGGCCTGGTTAGTTTTGATGCCATGAGTTGAGCAGGACATGTGATATACCTTGATCATAGAAGAACGGTACCATGTAACTAAACTTCTTCACGCGGCCCGCAATGTGCGGCTGGTTTGCAATCTTCTCAAGGCGGTCAAGTCCTTTCCGCGAGAAGCGTGTAGTGATCCGCGAGAACTGATGGATCACACCAAGATCCGAGAATTTTCTGCAGGTCAAGCGGAATTTGGCGATGGTATCGGCGTCGTCCGGCTCCAGTGGTAGGGGCAGCTTGAAGCTTTCTTGTGAGAGGTAGGCACGGCGCTCCAGGCTGATTGGTTTTTCTGGTTCAGAGGCAACATATTCGAGGATGATGCGAAGAAGCTCATCGGCAAGATCGAGGATACCCATTTTAAGTGGGACCATTCATGACGACCGTGGAGAAGGAGCTCAACCGCGAAGCTTAAGCTCCCAAGCGATCTAGGAGCGCACCGTACAGCGGATATACTCTGAATGCAGGGCAGCAGAGTTCGGGCCGGGTCGGGCTACAGCTCTGACGGGTACTAGTAGTTGGATAGCGACGGCGGGAAAGGTTCGTCAACTGACAACGTGGTGTTATCCGACGGCGCCGTTCTGTGGGATAGCAAGCGAAGGACAGCCAGAGGGGCGCGGTCGGGGAAAGAAATGCATGACCTCTTTGCCAGCAGTCAGCTAAGCGTCGCTGGAGTTGCGAAGACGACTGGACACGCAGCCTGGTCTTGCAGCGACAATCCCGGTACGCCCGCTTCAAAATCTCCAATGGCACGCGGTGCGTTAGACTGCAATCGGCTAGTCCCTCACATGATCTGAACTCGACGCGGCCGCCCGGCATAAGCAAGACGGGAACATGGCTCCTCCCGAGGGAAAAGAGTCGATTCGTCGCGTTGGACTACTGCACAACCTCAGTGGGGTGGGGCTGCTGAGGGTGCTGTGATTCGAGGCCTTCTCGCAGCTCCCCACCGGCCTTGACATGTCTCGATGCAAATTTCCATGGTCTCGATGCGTTGCCAACAAAGCATGCATCAGAAGCGCTTGTGACGCCAATCAGCCGACCCACAGAGCGTCATCCGAGCAATACCACTGCCGTGTACTTGGGATGGCGTTGCGCCATGCAAAACAATGGAGTGTCTTATGACGACACAGAGCTTACGAGCCTCACAGTGGGCCGGGAACGGGTTGTCAACTGTGCAATATATGTATGCTGTAGAAGCGCGTCATCATCTCCTGTTTCGCTCGCATCCAAGACATTCGTCACAAAGAGTGTACGTCCGCAAGTCGGCTCGTACATGATGACGCTTGGATGCGTTCAGTCTGCCGACAATATCGACGTGTTGCTTCACCAACCCTATACTTGCCCTGGCAATGTCATGCGGATCTGCGCGGTCGTGTGGCTTTGGCGCATGCAGCTGTCGTGGAATGTTGCACAGAAAGTGACACTAGACAACCTCCTGCCTCGTCGACTTGTCGACTTGCCTTGCCAACGACAACTCTACTCACATATCGCCTGCCAGCAAACCCTCCAAGACGTGTCTCATACATGACCCTGCCCAGGCCCTTGGCCAACGTGGTTCACGCTTTCGCCCTGGATTGAACACGTTCGCTCCGTTTACGACGAATCTCGGTGCTGCTTAGCTTGCTCTGGAACGTCTCATCTACGCTACCTTCTTCACTGGCATCGAGAACGGCAACCTCAAAAACCTCGAGGGGATCCCATCCCTGCTCAATGCGCTTGTTGTTCACTGCAGCACCTCCGCCCCTTGTTTCAAGAGAAAGCACCAGAGCAGAGATTTCTTTGTCAGTGATGGTTGGGCCGAAAGGATCCCAGATCTCGACATATTTGATAGTGAGCCCAGAAGGATAGCTGACGTGGACGGCATGTCCGTTCGGTCCGGGTTCTTTGATCTCTTCAACGTGGATACGCTCGTCATCCGGTGCGCCGAAGTAAACCAGAGATGAAAGGAAGTTGTGCGTGGACTCCTGACGCTCTTTCCAGCTCTCAAGGTGCTCTGCAAACTTCTTGTTCACTAGTAGGGCGTCGCCGGTGATTCCGACCGTAAGTACGCTGGGAGTTGCGTCAGAGGTGGATGGCTGTCGTCTCCCGAGCGTGAAAGCAAACATGGTAAGCAGTAGTTTGTGACCGATATGAAGATGATCGAAAGTCCCTCCGACTGCAACGGAGATGTGATTGATTGCATTGTCTGGTTTTTCGGTAGATGATGCTGGTTCTGGGTTCTCTACACTGACAATACCACCACGGACTTTGGATACGGGGGGTTGGGTTTTGGACAAAGAAAGGAAGCTTTTTAGTACACGCTCGCCTTCCTCGCTCTCGACTGAGTAGACAGCGTCCCATGATCGAGGACCTCGGGCTAGCGTGTGAATGTCAATTGCTGGCCCTTGGAGTTCCTGCTCAGGAGTCGCATCAGGCAGCGGCGTCGTCAGTTGGCCGTCTCTGGGATATGCGACTAGTATGATGCGAGCGTCAACACCTTCTGAGTCTTCGGTGTCGATAGCTTCTCTACTAGCAGTGATGCAGACGAGCTTGTAGAGGTCGGCGACGAGCTGTTGGGTGGTCGCATAGTGTACACCCCGAGGCGTGTCTAGACGTCCGTACAAATGTGGGCATGGCAATGCAATTTCTAGAATTATAGACTCCCTGGACCTGCGAGGAGATCTAGCCAGCTCTTTCAAGACAGTAAACAGGGGTGAGTTGTAGGCGGCTTTGAGTGCTGCATACGACGGTGGTGATGGCGCGGGTGGCAGCAACAGCAGTGCACGATGGACTGGCTTGTGTGATGGAGGCATAGTTGCAGTACGCGGTTAATGAATTAGGGGTTGATGAAGACGAGGAAGCATAGCCTGGAAGCGAACTTGGAATCACATGTACCTACCTTAACCCCAACTGGGCGTGAAGGGAGAGCTCGGAGGGGTGGTGGGGAACTTTTACCGAGATACAGCCGCCGGCGCCCAGTAACTCGACGCCAACCGCACTTCCTGCTCTTGGACGATTGATTACGCGCCGCGACAGTCCCAAGGCCCTCTTTCCTTTGCCTGAGCCAGCGCAGTAGGAATTGCCGGCCATGCCCTTCGGAAACCACCACCACAATGCGCAGAACGACCCGGCGCAGGGCATCTTTGCTGCAGCTTCGGCGCTAGGGAGTACGTAGGCTCACTTATTGGGCACTCGCCGTGAACTTGGACTGATGTGTATCCCGCGATATTAGGCATAGGAGCGCCTGGAGGCAATTTGCGAGGAGCAACCCAGGGCACTACGCGAGCCGGCACCGATGCCTTTATGCCGCAGAGCAGCGGGAATGCCCAAGGACAGAGCGAAGGCTATCTGCCCTCGACTGCACCGCCAGCAGCCAACTCGAGCTTCGACGCCCCGCGACACAGGGCCCCAACAGCAGGAGGACGCACCAACGAGGAGCTGCATGTACCGGCAGCGGCAGGCCAACATGCCTCGGTACCCTCAACTGTTCCGGCGCAGCAGCAGCAGCAGCAGCAGATGTACAACTCGCCCGACAATTATCGGTCGGCGCCCAACATCAACATCGATCATGGAACCCCTCAGAACAGCCAGTATGGCTCCCCAGCCGTCCCCGGTAGCCTCCAACCCGCCGGCGGTTCAGGACAACAACAACAACAACAACAACAACAACAACAACAGCAGCAGCAGCAGCAGCAACAGCGACCCGCACCCAACGCCGCATACACCGCGCCCGTCGTGCCTACCCAGACCCAGATAGCGAGCAACGCCCAGCAATACACGCTGCCCACGCGCTCCAACACCATCAGCCAGTCACAGCACTCTCCTGCATCGTCGCATTCCTACTCCCGCTCGAGCCCAGCTGGCCTGGGTCCTGACCAGAAATACATACCCTTCTCCAACACGCCCGAGCAGTCCAAGTACGCCGCCGGCACTCCTGCGCAAAAGTACTACCCCACGACTCCCTCCGGCGCTGCATCGCAATCGCCTCTGGGCCTGGCTGACATCAGGCCGCGCGCAAACTCGAACATGGACCATGAGGGCATGGGACACGGCAGCACCATGGTCACCGACGGAAACAAGGTTCCCTCCAACAGCAACTACCTTGCGCCCTGGAGTATATACGCGTACGACTGGTGCAAATGGAACGTCCCGGGTGGCAACAGCGCCGGAAAGATGGCTGTGGGAAGCTATCTAGAAGACAACCACAACTTCGTGAGTACCATACTAACTCTCACATGCGCTATGCTGACGCGACATCTAGATTCGCATTCTCGACACGCAAATAGCGCCCCAAGACACGTCCGTTCCTGGCGCGACACCCTACGGTCTCGAATACAATGCCATCGCTGAAGCCACATGTTCTTTCCCCGTCACGCGAATACTATGGGAGCCGCCGTCTTCGCAGAAGCAGTCGACCGACCTCCTCGCAACGTCTGGCGATCATCTGCGGTTATGGTCGCTGCCTCAAGCCTCTGGCAACAACATGAGCAACACAATTACACGCTCATCCTCCGTAAACACTCGAGAGCCGCAGCTCCCAAAGCTCACACCGCTCGCGCTTCTCTCCAACTCCAAGACTCCTGAACACACCGCGCCACTCACCTCCCTCGATTGGAACACCATGTCGCCAAAGCTCATCATCACCTCCAGCATAGACACGACCTGTACCATTTGGGACATACCCTCCCTTACCGCCAAGACACAATTGATTGCCCACGACAAGGAGGTCTTCGACGTACGCTTCTGCGCAGGAAGTGTCGATGTCTTTGTCAGTTGCGGAGCAGACGGTAGTGTCCGCATGTTCGATCTGCGTAGTCTCGAGCACAGCACCATCATCTATGAGCCCTCAGACAAGGGCGGCGACAAAGACAAGGGTCAGTCACAGTGCATTTACTTTCCAAGTCAATTGCTAACACGATACAGGCTCGCCAACAGGCCGCATGTCGCCGACCAAAGCCCAACAAACTATGTCGTATGCGCCCCCGCTCCTCCGACTGGCTGCGTCACCCCACGACTCCCATCTCCTCGCTACCTTCGCCGCCGACTCAAACCTCATCCGCATCCTCGACGTCCGGCAACCAGGCCAAGCCCTACTCGAACTGCGTGGCCACTCCGCCTCTGTCAACAGTATAGAGTGGAACCCGTCGCGAAGAGGCATGCTCGCATCTGGCGGTGACGACTCACTCGTCCTCATATGGGATCTGCTACATGCGAACAATGGTGCGACAATCAGCGGAGAACATGCTTCAACACAGCCTCCTGTCGTGCAGCCAGCGACTACACACCCCGCCAACGGAGCTGCAGGCGCGCAGAACGTGCCAGTTGGTCAGAAGGGACCATATGCTAGCTGGAGGTGCGACTACGAAGTCGGCAATATTAGCTGGGCGCCTCAGAGCGCGTTGACGGGGCAAGGCGGCGAGTGGGTTGGTGTCGCTGGCGGACGTGGAGTTTGGGGCGTCAAGTTATGATGAGTCGAATTCCGCGTCTACAACCTGATTCAAGAATTCGTCGAGGATCTCTCTCTCTCTCTCTCTCTCTCTCGGCAATGTCATGAAATGCAAGTGTATGATTGACGCAGTGCTTCCAAGTCGGCAAAGGAAGGAGGAAAAGTGCAAAACTATTTTTGGTACCACTACTTTCTAAGCACAATAGTTTGGGGGCGTTCGTGGTGTGTTCGCATGCATATTCAAGATACCTGAACGACTATTTTACGTGTCCCTCGTCCTTTGCTCTTGGGACTCATATCCTCAGGTAACATGCGCTCATCGGATCACAACCTCAACCACAACCTCGTTACTCCACCCAGCCTTTGAATCAGTTTCTTTCCACGCCCGCACCGTATCAATTTCGAGGACATTGTCGCATTCCTTGCTAACACTGACGCAATGAGCTGGAACAGGGCGGCCGAAGAGCACAGCGAAGAAGTCATTTTCGATGGAGCGTTCGGGTAGATCGGAGACGTAGAGTGCTGTGTAGACGTTAGCCATGTATCAAAAATGGACAAGTACAAGAGCGAGAAGGGAGGGGGGGAAAAAGAAGTAGGAGAAACTCACCAAACGTTCCCAGAACCTTACAACTCGTCCAAACTCTGAGTCTCCCATTTCCCCTATCAATATAAGCATCCGCGCTAATAATCGCCGCCGCCCCCGTCATCTTCCCCACGATGCCCAAATTCGCCACACTAATCTTACTTGGCCCTTTTGCTTCACTGCCCTCGGCTCTCTTGAGTTCAAAGTCCAGCAATGGGTACGCAGAGAGAATCTCCCAGCCGCGTACCGCAAGATCAAGATGCACAAATGCCTTGTTCGTCGCCACACTCGTAGGTTCCGTAACCTGGCCATCTGTGTGCGAACGAATGACATACGTGCCTTTTTCCGCACCGGGGAAAGCGTCAAGGGCGATGAGTTCGGAGACTGGTTTGGGTGTGCAGTTGAAAATACCGAGGATGGAGACGCCCGTGTGTGCCATGCCGACATAAGTCGTGACTTTGAGGAGGACGGTGTCGTCGTAGGCGTTGTAAGCTTGTGTTGTTTTGCCTACCGTGTGTGGACGCAAGATCACCGTATCGCCTCGTGGTGTCTTTCCCGTCATCTGGTTGATGAGATTGATGTCGTGTTGGCCGGGCACATCGGTGATGTAGATTGGTCCGCCGGATACGCAACGGGCGGCGGCATGGAAAGCGGCGTAGTCGTGGCTTGTTTGAAACATGTCCCAGTCTGGGAGGATGTTGAGATATTGCGTGATGATGGAGTTGTGCGCGTTGCAAAATATGTGCCAGGGGTGGCTGGCAGGGACTTCAGGGAAGAAGTCGTCCGAGTTACGGAGCAGCATGCGTGGTTTGTTGGAGGGGAGTTGCGAGTGGAAGATTAGAGGGGGAGCTTGTGACATGCAGGATATTGCGCGTGCGGAAAAGGAACGGAGTTGAGCGATGGACCAGGCGTCTTGGTAGGACTTTATCAGTTTGCGGCGATCATCTGCGTCGTGCAGTTCGTCGAGGAAGAATTGCGCGTCTGTTTTTACAGAATCGACACCGCACGACGAGAGGAACTCGTAGAAGTCCTTGTAGAAGCGGCTTACATCTTCTTCAGCTACTACAGTGATCTTGCCGCCAGAAACTCCGTCCTTGAGCTGTACGCGAGTAGTCTTGTAGTCTTTTGCTATACGTCCTTCCGGAGCTATACCGCCCCAGTAGCCAAAGATTGCGTGCCAGACGGCGATGTGACGGATATGGCTGTACTTCTCTCGAATATCGCTTACTGTTGCTTTGAGACCGCGCGGAAAACCAGTCTTAGTTGCTTCAAACTCCATCCAAGCGTTGTCGAACTGGTCGCCGCCTTCGGTGTTGAGCGACTGCCAATTGTCGTCGATGATTAAGTTGCTGATATTAATCTCGTTCTTGCGCAGCGACTCCAAGGCCTCGAAAATCTTGTCTTCGGTGAGCTTCTGTCCCAGTCCATTCCAGGTGCAGTACGTCAAGCCGTCGTACCAATTCTCCAGCCACTGCGGTTTAAAGTCGTCAACCAAAGCCCTCTCCTCTTCGTTGATCTGTCCCGTCGATGCTTCGTATGCCATTACGAGTTTGCGAGCATAGTACATGGAGGCTGCCACTGCGTCATCCAGCTTCCTTCCTACTGCAGCAACGACACGTACAGTGCCATCTTTCCCACTGTCATTCTTGGCGTTCATGACGACTCTGCCGTCGCCATCGTGATTGAGAGTTGTTAGTACCTCATCCAGTCCGCTCACTGCGAGCAGAACTAGGTGAGAGCCGTCGTGGCGCTCGAATGCTGCCAACATGGCATCCTTGTCAGGCTGGAAGCGGTCCTTGCCCTGTCTTGGAGCGAGCCATGGGGCCCACAAGCGTACTTCAGCGAACCAGCGGGAAAGGTTTGTCGGCTTACCAAGCTTTTCACTTGAGTGACCGGGTGTCTTGCCTGACGCTGCGTTGATGGGGTAGGTGAGGTCCCAGAGTACTGTATTGGGTGTATCGCTTTGTTCTTTAGATATGTTGAGAAATGGCGGAAGGCCCTCGAGGTAGTATGTCAAATCTTCCTTCAATGCATCTGGCGACTGGTAGATGAGATGGCCATCTGAAGTTGAAAATTGTTCGTTGGCCCATTTCCAAGGTTCGTTCTGAGCATGTCAGCGGTGATGTTCGAGCCACCATTTGCCATCGTCGTTTCAATCGCAATGGAATTGAACATTGGAATAAAACGACGCTTGTTGCAAGTCTAATGTTCAGAACTTACCTCAGATGCTCTGAATGTGATGGTATACGACAATGAAGATCCGTGTTTCGGACGTCCGGTCAGGTCAATTGTATAGTATTGACGTTGTACATGTGATTCGTTGGACGTGACTACTGCCTTGATACAATCAGCTTTTGACGGGCTTGTGGTATATGGCCAGGTGCTCACCATGGATGTCTCATTGATTGACTTTAGACTAGTGCTTGTCCATTTGTCCAGAGTATCAAAGTTGTGCCATAGCGCAACTTCCCATGTCTTTTCCGGGCCGGCTGAGCTCTCAATGACTACTGTAAATCTGACTGATTCTCGATCGGAAGGAATAGTAGTTATCTGACCCAACGGAGGATGGCAGCTTAGTGCGGCGTACATGTCAGCGGTTAACGTGGGATGTCAGGTCGAACTGGATGGTCAGGACAGTGGATTGGAAGTAGCACAAGCAAGGACACGGTGAACGAGACGAATAGTGAGTAGAATGTACTGATTTTGCATTGACTGAACAGCTAAAGCACGAAGAAGCACAGTGAAGCATATGCAGGCACTAGGAAGTCCGAGGGAGGTGCAGGTGACGTGTGCGGATGCGAAGGCGGAAGTCGGGGTAGCTGCGAGGTGAGCTCAAAACCAGCCAATCGGCGTCATCGGGGTCCCATCTTGGCATCTGGGACATTTTGACATGCGCCCAAGTTTCCATGCCGCTCAATTGGCAGCCATGTCAGCCTTGAGACACCTGTCAAGGCCCCGGCAATTTGTTTGTCGGCAATGTATACGACAACAACATACCCTCGCGCGCGGTGAGCGGCCGGCAGCGAGATGGGCCGACGAGGAATCCGATCCAGCAGCAAGACAGGCGCAATGGGAAGACCAGGCAGGGAAGGTGCGATCGGGGATGCAGCAGAGTATGCTGAGTCTACTTGAAGAGCGGGGATTTGTAAAGGATGTTGCTGGGTGAGTGTGGCACCAGAGACTCATTCTCAATCATGCTCAACGTTCGTAGTGGACGCCAAACGCTCGACTGGCTACTCACCGAGAAGCGCATAGGTGCATATGTCGGCGTGGACCCAACAGCCCCCTCGTTACATGTCGGCCACCTTCTTCCGCTCATGGCGCTGTACTGGATGTACCTCCACGGCTACTACACCGTCAGCTTGGTGAGCCACCCACGACTCGATACACAAAGCGGGAGTTAATCATGGGTAGTTAGGTGGAGGCACAGTGCAGATTGGCGATCCATCTGGCAGGACAACGGCTCGCTCGCGACAGGGTGAGGATGTGCAGTCTATGAATGTGAGGAGCATACAACATCAGCTGGAGAAGCTGTGGACGAACGTGAAGTGCTTGGGCATTAAGCACCAGTACTCGCAAATGATCAGCCGGAAACAGGACATCCTCAACAACAAGAAGTGGTTGGAGAACCTGAGTGCGATAGAATTGATGAGGGATCTGGGGTCTGGCATGCGCCTAGGTGCTATGCTTAGTCGCGACTCGTAAGTTCTCGCTGCCTTTTCCAAGACTCTTTCTCACACATGTGCAGAGTTAAGCTACGAATGGAGAGTGGCGAAGGCATGGCGATCTCCGAGTTCAGTTATCCTCTCTTCCAGGCCTACGACTGGTGGAGTATGTATAGGAACCAGGGTGTCCAACTTCAAATCGGCGGATCTGACCAGTACGGAAATATCATTGCGGGCATGGGCGCCGTCAGCCATATGCGGAAAATACATCGCATGGATGATGGAGCAGAGGGCGAAGAAGACCCACGGGTAGCAACCTATGGTCTCACTACACCATTGCTTACAACAGCTTCTGGCGAGAAATTCGGCAAGAGCGCAGGCAATGCGGTCTGGCTTGACGGTCAGATGCTGAACTCGTTTGACCTGTACCAAGTACGCTTTTCGCACCCTGCTATAGGTTCACTTTTAACAGTTTGTAACAGTACTTCCTCCGCACCGCCGACGCCGACGTAGAACGCTACCTCAAACTCTTCACGTTCCTCCCCCTCGACTCCATCGCCCTCCTAATGTCGCGACAAGGCCAAGACCCCTCACAACGCCTTGCTCAGCACATCCTCGCCCGCGAAATCGTAGAGCTGGCACACGGAGCCGCAGAGGCGAAGAAAGCCGAACTCGCACACAAGGACGCCTTCGGTCAGGGAGCCCACACTTTCTCGCTGCTTTCGCTGAGAAACGCAATTGCTGGCGATAAGGGTGTCGTCGATGCAGCAAAGGGAGGCATGAAGAAGAAGGATATAGAGCTTTTGGAGTACAAGAAAGCCTATGCTGCTTCCCCAACAGCACAATCGCCGTCCGGCACTACATCCGAACGACCCAAGGATGACAATGGAAATGTTGTCACGTTGCCCCTTTCAATGCTTCAACCAGGTTCCTTCCCACACGTCCTCCACGCCGCCGGTCTCGCAAGCTCGAGATCCGAAGCCAATCGCTTGATTGCAAAGAATGGCGCATATGTTATAGTACCAAACTCTGGTTCGGCTGAGAACCCCACTGCTCTGAAATGGGCAACTATCAAGCCAGGCAAGGATGTAGATCCGAACCACTATCTCGTAGATTGGGAGGCACTGGTATTGAGATCCGGAAAGACCAAGATACAGATATGCAGGGTAGTTAGGGATGAGCTGCTTGAGAAGAAGACCGAGGAGACAAAGCAACAAGAGTCATAAAAGGTCACCGGTGGACCTACTGCTGGTGAAGTGGCAGTACGAATGCAATGCCATATGCTCCGCTCTATACTATTCTGCTATCCAACTCATGCGCAGCATTGATGATGTCCCACGTCGAGATGTACAAGCAATACGCGCACCTGCACTTAATTCCACATCACCTCCCACACCCAGAACCACCATCTAGCAGCCCTTACAATTCTAGACACCGACCAAACCTCCCTAAACCACGCGTACCATGTTTCGCATGCTGAAACCTGGTTCCAGCACCGATCTTACATGGAGCAAGCGGACTGCCATATATCTTAGCCTCTGAATCTTCCTCTCTCTTGCCTTTTCCTAGACGAATACTACAATCTCCATCATTGTCCTCGCTGTACCGCATTGCCCGTTGTTCTTTGGTCGGTGATGTGCGTGCCGAGTGGTGGCGAGTTGGACCACGTTCGATGCAAACGTTGGGGCTTAGAGGGCTGAGTTGGATGCCGCCGTCCTCTAGGGTAGGTCTTTTTGTTGGGGAGTAGTGACGGCGAATTGTCACGGTGGTTGTGGGGGTATGTGACGGAATGGGGGGTTGGCGTGAAGGGAGAGCTTTGAAGAGTGAGGTCGTGTGGGGAGTGGAGTCGAAGTCAAGGAATGGGTCCTGAACAGTTGCATCACAAGCAGGAGTTGGAGACAGTTCGGGACTGTTGCTGAAGGGGTCGTTGTCAGTGAGTCTCAAAGGCGAAGATCGTGGTGATGGATGATTGCTGGGCTGGCTCTCGATCTTGTTTTCGGTAGCAGGTGTTTTCCACTCGCATTCAGATACGTTCGTCAACCAATCGTTGATCCGGTCCCTAGGCGGGACAGTGAGGCTAGAAGTACGGTTTCGAGAGCCCGCGATGAAGTAACCCGAGTCATCGGACCACGACTCTGAACTCCGCTCGGATATGTGAGGACTGTTCAGTTGTGGCCTATGTTGCACCATCCGAAACGAGCTTGTTGACACGCACAAGGATTCTGGACGACGTATAGGAGAGGATATGGAGGTACAATGTTCATCTTCCCTGTTGCACTCCCTTGTTGGCGAGGCCTTCCTGGAGACGTTTGGTAGTTGAGGGTACAATACAGTCTGCTCAGGCTGAGGCGATATGTGGTCACGACCGGCGTCTTCGAATATCTGTCTCATTCGTGCAGCATGTCCTGCGCGAGCTGGTGATTGTAGCAGCGCCGAGCCATTATTCGCACGCCGGACCCGAATGTTCGCCAATCTGGAAGGTGGGATTATGAGTTCGTTTGGTTCCGGCAGCCTAGAAGCAGTCACTGTCGGTTGTGCATAGCCATGGTCTATGAGGATGTTGTTTGTAGTCGAGTTGGCGTATGCGCCGTCTGGTGGCCCAATAGCTATGCCGCCGTCAGGAGAGGCGTTTACACCTTCGGTAGACACGGGTAGACGCTTGGGTGTCGCCGGTTTGCAGGTCGTGCGACTGCATCTTATGGCGATGCCCTAAATAGAGTTAAGTAACACGGAGATGCAGTTCAACTCGTATGACCTCTACGAACTTGCTGAGGAGTTGCCATATTGATCGGCCGCGTGGTTTCCTCTTCGTCTTCGCTCAAAGCCAACCGAGGCGTCTCGGACAAGATCGAATTCGGATGTCCGCGTGGGTCCGCGAGGTTGCACAAGCGATGACTCGAGGATGGCTTCGACGGTCGTACATGACATTGTGGCTGGCGGATTTAAGGAGACTTGCAGGAGCTACACCAACGCCCCTACATGCTACAGTTACCCGTCTTGCCTGTCAACTGAGCACAAGGGGTTACTGCCCCGCCATTCATTGTAGCACAAGCGCATACAAAGATTGCAAAAACGTTTTTTTAGTCATTGATTCACACTGTTGTGGGATGCAAGCAATTTTTGCGGAGCATCCAATAGTCAAAACATGGCGATTGATGGTGGAATCTGAGTCGCGAGAGATGACGTGTGCAAGATAAGGTACCTCGGGGGGATGCAAGTGAGAGTGGAGGAAACAGAGGGTCTTCGCGGAACTTGGTAGCGACGACAATAGATTTCGTGTGCACAGAGCACCTGGCTCGCTTCGAGTTGATAGAGGCGTTCACGGGGTGTTTCTTTTTTTGCTCATAATCTCCGCCAGGCTGGCATCACGTGCTGAGATGAGCCGCATTCTTGGATGCCTGCCCAACGGCCAGTCACCAAAATCTGTGTGAACTTTACCGGTAATTGCTGGATCTGGTCAGCCTTACAAACTCCACGAATCTCTTCAAGGTTCAGGTTCAGGTTCAGGTTCAGGTTCAGTGTCACGATACGCGGGACGGTGTAATCGACGCATCAAGGCCGATGGATCTTGCTTGTCGATCGCTATCTAGGGGCGCCTCGCATTGATTGCAGCCAGCGGGCACCGTTTAGTCCTCTCACGATCCCGCCATCACGGGCACTGCGGTTCGGTGTCTTGATTAATCTCCATCCTGCGATCATTCGCTGAGCCTCACCAAATGGATATCGATCCCGGCCCTTGATCCAGTCTACAGGCTCGGCCCTTTCGCCGCTCACATGGATTCTCGCTGCGTCGTCTGGACAGACCGCGCGCGCTGCAAAGGCTCACTTCAGACACAACGGTTCGCGCTCCTGCAGCTACCCTTCGTGAGGATCGCTATGGGCGTATTGCCTGAACCAAAAGAGGCGTTATGCATGCAGAAACAGCACGCGAATTCTAAATTGGGCCTTCTTGGCCGGCACGACACTCGAGACCGACTCGTGGGCCCGCCTCGTCTACGCAGGGTGATGCTATGTAAAACACACCATGGCCGCATGCATCTGAAGCATCCTCCAACATTGCCGGACCACCTCAAATTGCTGACAACCACGATTAGCTCACCAGGCACGACCTTGATAAGATAATTGGTCTCGTTACCATCATGGCAGCGGACGTTTTCGAAAAAGCGCACGCTCTCGCACCGTCGCACGTTGGGCGCATCCTCGGGACCCTCTCCTCACCTCGTGCTGGGGCGGGAGTGTGTGCGTTGCCCGCGACTGTCGCACCATCCTGCTTTCAATAGACGGTGACCAGTACGAGGCCCCTGAGTCAACCGCGCATGTCGTGGCGTCTTCGCTTCCTGCACTACACCTTCTAGCCTGTGCTTCTAAACTCTGAACCATGCCAACCCTGCGTGTTCCACAATCTGCCCTGCCTGCCACTCCAAAGTTACTGTATTTGCGAGACATGTTGTCGCTGCCTCTCGTGTCTTTTGCTCGTCCTCACTCTTTCCAATACATCTCGACCCGAGTCCATTGCGCGAGCTCGAAGCTCCTTCGGTAACACCAATTTGCCGCATTCTAACTATTATACTTTCTTTTACTACTTTCGATACCTCCGCGTAGCTTAGTCCCCGCATTTATCCTCTGTAAACATTCCATATACTTGGCCAACGGCTGTCAATCAATTCAACCGCCTCCATTCATTGCGCCCTATCGATAGGCCGTTCTTCCGACAACGCTCGTCTGACTTGGCTGAGAACCTCTTACTGTACGTACATGGATTTTCTTTGAAACCCCATTGGGATCACCGTCACGGTGCTGCAACAGACAACGTCACACCTTCCCTTCTACCTCGCTTCTGCGTCTGTTCTTGTCGTGTTTGGCTTGTCGTTGCTAGGTTGCATAGGCTCTTGGGCTATAGCAGCTCGGTTATACTCTGCAGTACTGTGTACTCTTTGTCGGTAGGGGCCTCGTTGTCCCACTTGAGCACCACCGATCATGCGAGGGACTTGTTCTGATCTGCGAAATTGTAGTCTACTCAATATCTGATACAGTGTATCGTTCATCTCCTGGCTCCTGCCTCCCTGAAACTTCAGGCAACGGGTGTCTCTCACGCAAGGAATCACTGCTTTCCGCCGTTTGCCGACACTTACCAAATCACTCTGTCCTGTTCCTGGCGTCTACCCTCCACTCACTCCTCTGCCTGTAATTTGCTTCAGGTACCTGGGCCAGCTTTCCGGGATTTGAGCACTCCAAGGCCTGCGTATCATACATGTTCGCATTGGCCATCACCTGTCTTGCAACAAGTGCATATGCGTCAGTAGTTGCACAGTCGTACCCACAGTCAACACTCTTACCACCCGCAGGCTGCCTGGAGCATACTTGTCAACTTCACCAGTTTCGCGTACTGAGGGCGTGAACCTCGCGTCGCACGATACCCTTCTATCATCAGACCCTGTGTCGAGTGGCACATGTACCGTCAACATTCCGACATCTAATTCATGAGTTACGACCAGAGGTTGGGCGCCGGAGTATACGGTGCGACTGACGCGAGCAACGATGGAGATGCGAGAAAAGGCTCGGTACGGGCGGCTCGTGAGCGGATGCAGGCTGCGCAAAAGAGGACCCAGCTCCCAGACACATCAAAGATAATCGGTCTTCCTCGACGACCGAATCAACTCATTCCGCAACGCTCTCAAGAACAAGTCGAACAGTCACAAAGACTGACACCCTCGGGAAGCAGAGGCGACATTGAATCAAATTCGCCGTCACCACAATGGCCACTGCCGAACATCACCACGGACCTGGTAGACTCTACTCCCGATCTTCCTCCTCGCTCCCCCAAAAGACTACAACCACCTACACAGTTCGCACGGCCTGTATCCGACGAATTTCCTATCCAACAACTGTCTCCTGAGCTTCCTTCACCAATCTCCCCAGGATATCTACACCCGAATGGCGACGCCTTCTCTCCTGGCTCTTTTCGATCTTCACGCCCAATTACTACCTCTTCCATAGCCTCGGACTCATCAATAGGATCTATACCCGACTTCCCTGTGCCTCAACCACCTATGCCAAGCATCCAACAAGCTCGACGCTTTCCAAGTCTAGGCCCCCCGCCCTCTTCACGAAAAGGCCCTTCGTCGTACTACACGCAGATGTCGTATGTATCACCCATTGTCGAGGAGTCGGAGAACAACTCTTCAAGGTTACAGTCACAACGTGGATCTTTTGCTTCTAGCAATGTGTTCCCAACCGACGATAAGGCCTTCTACGCAGATGACGACTTGTACTCGGATGACGGTGAGACTATTACTAGCGATCGCGATACCATCTCACCAACCCCGACCGATCACGACGACCGAAGTGGCCTCGTTCAGCAATCACCAGCCCTTGTGCGACAAGCGAGTTTGGGTAGGCGGACCAAACCATCGCTGATGACCATCAGGTCAATTGACAGCTTTGGAAACAAGAAGAGTGGAGCGGAGACAAAGAAACCAGATGGCGTTGGCATTGGTTTAGGGGCCATGGGCCTAGGGGCTGCAACTCTTGCAAGAGATGGCAGTCCGTCAGGCATGGCAAGGTCACCTCTCAGCAGGGGAGTTTCTGCGGACTCTCTAGATACAGTGGAGAACTTCAGAGGCAAGGGATACACAGGAACAGCATCACCACTCCAACAAGAATTGCGTCCTACCGGACTAGCTGAACGTGCCGGTATGCGACGGCCTGCAAGGCTCGACATGGACGCGGTTCGAGACGCTGAGGCGCGCGGTAGCTTGACGAGTCTGCCAGATCTCATTCGAAGAGCCACACGACTAGCAGCAAATCTTGACCGCGGACGCACAGCAAGTCGACTTGGTTTAGACTTTTGGGAAACCGGTGCTCCCGAAAAGAATCAAGTCCGACAGTCTGGATTGTCTGAGATGCTTGCCGCATTTCCACCACCCGGTCAAGAAACGCCCAATCGCTCTGGCCGTGGTACTCCAAACTTTGGGAACGGCAGCTTATCAAAATGGCCATCCGGCGCTAATTCGCGCAACGGTGTCACAGACTCCGGACTGAGTAACGAGAAACAAAAGCCGCGTCGAAGATGCTGTGGTATGCCTTTGTGGACGTTCATCACGCTCCTCATAGTCTTGCTGGTCATCATCGCTGCTGCGGTGGTCATTCCCGTGGTCCTAGTTGTCATACCAAACCAGAATAAAGGGGTCAATACTCCTGCTGCTCAGGAGACCCAAGGCGGCAATAATGCGGGTAACAACAATATGAGCAACACTAACGTGCCTGCTCAACCACTCCCCACGTCTGGTCCAGGTGAAGGCAATGGTCAATGCGACGGTATCATCACTTGCCAAAATGGTGGTATCGCAATCCTGAACTCGGATCGATCATGCAACTGTGTATGCATCAACGGCTTCACTGGAAGTACATGTACCAACGACGATGCCACCGGGTGCACTACGACCAACGTTGCCGGCACTGCTAATAACGCAACAATGGGCTCCGGCATTCCCCGCCTGCTCGAGACCACGGCTCCCAAGTTCAACGTTCCTTTGGACGCCACCCGTGTGTTGTCGTTGTTCTCTCAGTTGTCCCTCAGTTGCGCAGCCGAGAATGCTCTCATCACATTCAATGGTCTCGCCTCTCGTTCTGTTCCCCACCGTCTCCACTCCATGGATTTGAGAGCCACACTCCACCCGTCACGTACACTTCCAGTACTTCACCATCCCCATCCCGCGCAGGTCCCTGGTCAACAAGCCAAGCGCCAGACAGTGGGTCAGGTCAACGAAGCTGAGGCTTCGGGTGATCAGGGCACGTCCAAAGCTGAAACCATTATAACACAACCCATCTCAAGCAACATTAGTGCTCTCGACTTTGCTCGTGTAGCTGTACTCCTTGCGCTTCAGGAAAGCAGAGACTTGGACGTTGCCGCGAGTGCACAGGAGTCGATCCAGACCCTGCTCACAAGCGATCGCAACGGAAATGCAGACGGTGGTAGCGTTGATGTTGGTCCCTTTGATTTGGACCTCGTCAATTTCACGATCAAGTTCCAGAACGGCACAACGATACGTGCGCCACCGTCATCCTCATCCTAGGCAACATCTACTGTTTAGCGTCATCTGTTTGACTTGAGATTTTGTTTTTCCCAGCATAGCGATACCCTTTTTGCATTTTCAACAAAACAGACGGCATCTCCGTTCTCCTTACATTCCTATCTTGTCAAAATCCTTGTACGATATCAAAAGGGCTGACGTGTGGCCGTGGATTGGCACAGCGTTCGTGTGTCTTTTTCTTTCGTTTACTATCTTTAACACCATATTTTGCTCTTATACCCGTCCTGTGGACGCATTCTCATGACCGATGGACTGGATCTAATGTTTGCTTTGTTATAGTTGGTGGGAATACCCTATGGTGGAGTTTGACATAAACGGCAGTCTTGATCTAGTAGCGAAAGAAGCGGATAGTGAGTAGTACACCGCACAGACTACAGTAGTTAGATAGATGTAGTGGAAACTATACAGCTAGTGAAAGTCCCCTGAACGTCTTACCGTATGTGAGCAGTGAAGATGTTGGGTGGCTGATGGATACAGGTAACGACTGCAGACCTAGAAAATGTTCCAACAACGTACCAGGCTTACATGTTCATCTCTCATATACAGTTAGATCGCAGATACAGTTTCAATGCTCTTCCCGCTTTCTCGTTATTCCTGTTGCTGCCGTATCCAAACGGTCTCCCTTGACCGCCCTCCCCAACTTTCCCCCCTTTCACCTCTACACAACCCTCCCACCCAACCTGAAGTCTGCCACCACTCAACCCGCCAAAACCTTGCATTCCCCGCTTGTGGTCACCCACACTCCACATTTCAAAAAGGGTCCAAAGCAACTATCGTCGCTGACCTAATCGCGTCAAGTCAACGCGCCTGCCTGATATAAGCCCGCCCCCGCAACACTGCGAGTTTCCTCCACAAGCAGCGACCAACGAGACAATTTACCTTGACAACAAATTCATCACGCGCATCTACTTGCCGGCGACTCTTGATACCCAGTAACCGGTTGGTTCGCAACCGCGACAACCACGACAGCCCCGCCACCTCAACCCGCGATACTTCAGCCATTCCGATAGTGAATCGCAACAACCGCTAACACGATGTGGGCGTTCAAGGCCTTAACCACCTTGTTCGGCCTGGGACTATGGTTCAAATCTCCGTTACCAACGTCCAATGTTGAGGTCGTCGTTGTTACTTATCTAGCGTTCGAAGCACCTTTGGTCTTGCCTACTGTCACTGTCACCGAAACGATCGGAGTTCCCGCTACTGCCATCACTCACGCCATACCTACTACCTTCTCTACCCCCATGTCTGTGTCTAGCCGTCCCAGGCTCAACCCCTACAAGTACACCTCGCCTGACCACACCGAGTTTCGCTACAGGGCCAATGTCGGTCTGTGTCTCCAAGATCGCGTGTCCACTGCGCACGCGATGACGGTGCCTCAGTACTCCAAGTTCGATTTCGCTGTATTCGTCGCCACGATCTTCACCGTCGTCATCACAGCCTGGTGGGTCACTATCCTTTCCATGGGCACGGATCGCGCCATGCGAAACCTCGAGCAGGTCCCTGCATACATCGATGCTTCCTTTCGACACACTGGATGTTGCATTGGATACGTATGTGTGCTTCTAGCTTGGGCAGGCTTGCTCAGCGACTACTGGATCGGATGGTCAGACGGATACGTGATATGGCCAAAGATATTCAGTTCCCTCCTGTCGTACCCACTTGTCCTCATCGTTCACTTCCGACTGCCGCCCATCAAGTGCATTCCTCTCCTATGTAAGAGGTTTGCAAAGACAGTCGCAAACGGTATAGTGCAGTGGATTGCCAGACAAGCAAACGATTGGTACGAAGGCCGAACAAGCAAACGTCGCATTGACAAGATATTCGAGCGGCCAACAACCGCCATCGCCATCGGAGAATGTCTTTTCCCGGCTACTTGCGTCGCCTTCCCGAACGACCCGACTTTTCCCCAGATAGTCATGGTCTTTACGACAGATCTCCTTTTCTTCGGCTGGAACTTCATCCTTGTCGTGGTCAAGCTCCGGATTCGATCTTGGAAGCAGATTCCAACCCACACGATGGACATTATTAGAATCACGGTGCAAATAACTTTCGGCCTCGGCCAAGAGGACCTCTCTTGGAAGATTTGGATAGGATCCTACGAGGCCTTCCTGAAGGGCGTTTGCACCGTCTTCTCTGTGACCTGGGGGCTCATCAAGACGTTTCTCGGTGCGATCTGGATTGCACTGAAAATGGGCAAAGCCATTTATGCTCGTACTTGCGTCCGTATCATGGCCATTCGACTACATGACGGTTTGACGAAACGCGAAGTCAAGACTTACGAGGACAAAGTCCACAACGCTTACTGCGAAACATCCACCTACAACTGGAGCGAGACCACGCAGCTATTTCTTCGGTATCAAGCAGCCCTGGAAGATAACGCTGCGTTGTGGGCAAGAATAGAGGACGTGATCCGATTCTACAACCCCGTCAACAGCTGCGAGATTGGAGAGAAATGTGTTGGCTATCGTGGAACGATCATCGAACTCATTCACGATGTCAATTTCCTCCGCCTTCTGTGCTGCGCCATGCTGAACGCTCACCACAACTTGTTGTACGGCCGGATGCCCAATGACATCAACGCCGAACACCGTTACCAGCCAAGTCAACTTGAGTTCCGCACTGTGGCTGATCCGCGAACCGGCCTGTACTTTGGCTACAAGGAACACACGATTTCAAGCGTCAACAAACACGACCTTGGCCGCGACTACGAGATGCAAGTCAAGCGATACGCCATGGACATCGAGAAGGAGCCTCTCCGCATGTCTGGTATCTTGGCTTGCAAGAATCGCCGCCCTGGTAATGTTCCTGATAACTTCGATCCGTTCGTCAACGACCACTGGGTTTTCTCTGGTGCCATTCCCGGTCTTAACATTCCTCCCTACAAGTCTGAGCATAACCCCTTCAATATCCTCGACAAGCGCGCTCATGTCATTGTCAACCCTGAGAGCTTTTTCGGACCTCAGATCGAGGACTTTGCTGTCCAGGGCCGACTTGCGCGGTGGGGTGACTCCAGGGCTATGAAGACCAAGGTTGCTCCTTTCGACCGTGACGAGATCAACAAGTTTGTCTCTGGAATGCAGTTCGGTGCTGTGCCGCTTCGTCAACACAAGTTGTCTTCTCTGCCAAAGTTAGGTGCCTATTCGAGTGATCCTTGCCCGACTGGTGAGCCCCGCAAGATCGACTTCCCACTCTACAAGAACTTCGCTTAGACGCGGGTTGAGTTATGAAAGCTCTGATCGAAGATACAGATGAGGATGAGAGAAACTACATTGACAGCACGGATTCTTCCGTCCACACCAACGCCATTTGAACACTCCGGACGACACTTACCGACACCTTCCTCCGTTATCGATTCTCGCCAAATATCTCACCACTACTACCACCACTTCGCCTTCTCCTTAACGCACGACTGAACATTGACAAGGTAGCGGCCCTGTGCCACCTATAGGGTGAGTAGTGCATTCGTGCGCCTCACCGGGTGCCCCACCGCTGTCGCTACCAACGAGCCTACCCCAACCCTCTATGGAGTCGAGACAATGTAGCTCAAGCACACACATGTGCGTTTGGAACGCTCAAATGTCTTATTATACCAGCTCCTCACCAATCCGATGCAGCAGGTATAGTCCGTTCGCGGTGCCTGAGTGACTGAAGCAGGGTTTGCCCTGTGAAAGTCCCGTTCTGAAGGATGGTGGGGTTGGGGCGGCTTGTTTGTGTTTAATCTGTGTTAAATGGTCGGCGGAGTGTGTGGTATTGAGTGAGATGGATTGTGAGAAGGAAGTGACGGAGGCTGGTGAGTGATTGCAAGAAGGGGTGTTGGAGTGGAACAACGTAAGAGGAGGGAGATGTGGAGTTGATGATGAGGACTTTGCAAGCGACGGTATCTTTGGGAATGTGTTACACGTGGAGTTTGGAGTGCATGTCTTTTTCTGTTCTACATAATACCCTCTGCTTTTGTTGCTTGTTTAACAGTTATTGCTTTGTAGATGTCTGAGTGCTTTATGGGTGTTTCGGAGCCCGACTGGAAAGATACCCATTTGTTTGTTTCCTAGAATCGAAAACTATATTGCAAATCTTCCCAAGTACAAAGTGATGATCGGTGCCGTTTAGCATGATGAAAGTGAGGTTATGGGTATCATCAGGGCGCAGGGCAAGTGCAGCCGTGATGCGAGTGCCCCTCCATGCCCCACCCAAGCAGCTCTCAGTGCTCAATTACCTGTTCCTGAGCTGGCAGTCAACACTGCAACAGCCACCTCCCCACAAATCCGCCAACACCACCTACGCCTTTCCAATATGCCTCAGGAGAACTCCAAGGTGTCCGATCCCGACGCGACTTCGCAAGCGGCCGCCGAAGTTATCGCCGAATCGAGCAAGCAACCAGAAGCTGAATCCGCAGACGAGAGCGGCGATGAGGCGACCGAGACGGTAGAAGGTGCAGAGGGCGCGGCAGAAAAGAAAAAGAAGAGCAGGAAGCGCAAGATCAAGGATGCCCTCAGCGGCAAAGGCAAGGCCGGCGAGGTCGCAGACTTGAATGCGCCCGCAGGAAACGTCTTACCAAAAGAAGCGATGAACATGCTGCTCGCGAACAACCCCGGGCTGGCAAATGAACTGCAGGGCAAGGCGAACAACAAGGAGGAATTGGCTCAATTGATCAAGAAACTCAACATCAACGAGATGCTGACAGGTCTGGCGCCACAAGGCAGCCAAAAGGACATGGCCAGCCACGCCTTCTGGAAGACGCAGCCTGTACCCAGCTTCGAGGAGATGGCCAACAAGGAAAAGATCAAGGACGGCCCGATCAAGGAGATCAAGATTGAGGACGTGGACAAGAATCCAAGTCCCATGTACCCTGGTTTCGAATGGGTAACGATGGACCTGGAGGATGAGAAGCAGCTAGAGGAGGTGTATGAGCTGCTCACAAACCACTACGTTGAAGACAAGGATGCGACCTTCCGCTTCAAGTACTCGCCATCATTTTTGAACTGGTAGGCAGTCATATACCGATACTAAAGGCTCAAGCTAATGCGAAACAGGGCCCTGAAAGCACCTGGCTGGAAGAAAGAATGGCACGTCGGCGTCCGCGCAACCGCCTCAGGCAAGCTCGTCGCATTCATCTCCGGCATCCCAATACAAATGCGAGTACGCGACAAGGTTCTCAACTGCTCCGAAGTCAACTTCCTCTGCGTCCACAAGAAGCTCCGGTCCAAGCGATTGGCACCCGTCCTCATCAAGGAGATCACCCGCCGCTGCTACGTTGAAGGCACATTTCAAGCGGTATACACCGTCGGCTCCCTACTACCTACTCCTGTCTCGACAGCCCGCTACTTCCACCGCGCTATCGACTGGGAGAAGCTGTACGATGTCGGTTTCTCCCCACTTCCCCACGGCAGCACCAAGACACGTCAAATCGTACGGTACAAGCTTCCAGACACCACATCTACCCCCGGACTCCGCGAGATGGAGGCCAAGGACGTGGACGCAGCTGTCGACCTCCTAAAGCGTTACCTGGAACGCATGGACATGGCGCAAGTCTTCAACAAGACTGAGTTTGAACACTGGATGGCGCCAAAGGAGAAGCCTAAGGAACAGGTTGTGTGGAGCTACGTAGTTGAGGACCCCAACACGCACAAGATTACCGACTACTTCTCTTTCTACAACCTCGAGAGCACGGTTATCGGTAACAAGAAGCATAACACAATCAAGGCGGCGTACCTCTTCTACTATGGTACTGAGGTCGCGTTCGAAGAGGACAAGGACAAGACGAAGCTTAAGCAGCGACTAAACTTGTTAATGAAGGACGCGTTGATCTTGGCTAAGAAGGTAAACAACCCAAACCCACCATCCAGATTTTTACTAACGAGGCTAGGCCGACTTCGACGTCTTCAACGCTCTCACACTACTTGACAACCCGCTGTTCTTGGAGGAGCAACGCTTCGGCGCTGGAGACGGCTCGCTCCATTACTACCTGTACAACTACCGCGCTGCACCGATACCGGGTGGCATTGATGGGCGGAACCAGTCGAGCAAGGACCACATGGGCGGTATTGGCTTGGTCATGTTGTAATCGTTCGTCTTTCAGCTTGCATTTGCAGCGGTGTTTGGATAGCGGTTTCGCTGCGGAATCGATGCACGTTTCTAGGAACATTGTGACAGGAAATAGGGTCACTCAAAAACAAAAGCCTGCGCCGGTTGACACCCTGATGCGATTGGTAGGGCGGTCTAGATCTTTTTAGATCCACGAATACCTATAATTCACAGTGCATTCTATTTCTTCATTGATGACCAAGTGTGAGAGATGATATTTTGCAGATTTCTCTACTGTCTTCCGTTGTACGAAGAAGCTCGTTTATTAGAAGTTATATCTTACTAGAAAGAAATATGCCCTAAAGATATACATGATACCCTACGTTACAACTCGAACAGAAAAGTCATAGTGTATGCCTTTAGGGTGGATTTTGATGTTTAGGGGAACATCTTATAAGAGACAGGCTTGCTTGTATGTCGCAGCGCATTCCGTGTTGCTAGTGATTCCCCCTACAAGATGTGAAGAATACTAACACTACAAACGCCACGTCTCATTTAGCAGCCAAACATTCCCCAAGCTGGCCCTCTCTAGGGACCGCTGTCTCCACGATCGCCACGACCTCTACCCCGTCCGCCTCGACCACCTCGTTCACCCCGTCCACCACGGCCATTGGCAAAGCCTCCTCCATGAGTCCAAGGCGGCGCATCTCCCAAAGTGAAGTTATCACCCGGAGGAGGTGCACCTCGCCCACGGCCGAAGCTAGCGGGAGTGGGAGGGAAAAAAGGAGCAAATGTAGTTGCCAGACCACCCTGGGCGTCTCCGTCACCCCGGCCACGACCACGACCAAAGCCTCCGCGACCCAGTGTCGTATCACCTCGACCGCGGCCCATGTTGACGCCGGCGCCAGACGTAAGTGGTGATACACTGTAAGGAAAATTACCCCGACCACCTCGAGCGCTTGCATTGCTACCGTCGCCCCCGCGACCACCACGTGTAGCTGATCTTAGGCCATACCTTGGAGCTTCGGAAGAGCCTCCTATGCCGGATTCACCCTGTATGTTCGAGGTCGCCGGACTTCCATCAGAGCTGTACGAAGTGTTGCCGACCACGTTGTGCCCACCCGAGAATGCTCCGCGACCTTGACCCATGGTGTAGCCTCCGCGCCCAACAGTAGCAGCAGCAGCAGCAGCAGCAGCTTGTTGCTGAAACACCGCAATCGTATCAGTCATACCAATTAACGCGTTGTAATCGTATGATGGTGGTGGTGGCGGTGGCGGTACAAACCCTGGCTGTGGCGCTCCCGATGAACTTGCCCCAGAAACGAGTGGTGGAAGTTGGTACGGCGACCACGAGTGTTTCCTTGGAGCTTTCGGGGCCGGAGATGTGATCTTCTCTGTAGGTGCAACGTAGGTGACTTCGAATGTGACTCCATACTCCTTCAATGCAGGCTGTAACTTAAACAGCATAGTACCCATATCGTCTGAACTGAGCGTCCGACCATTCGCGGTGAGGGCAGCAGCAAATGCCTCGTCGTAGTCGTAGAACTCATCTGTATAAGAGACTTCAGAGCGTGACTTGTTGGCATCAGTCGCCTTCTCCTTGGTCCAATCCTCTACTGTCTTGAGAATGGCGTTGCCATGCTCCCTGAAGTGGTGATCGACTACATCTTTCCATAGCAGTGGCGGTTTATCTAGCCAAGCTAGAATCGCAGTGCGTACAGTGTGTTCGCGAATCTTCTTGTTGTACTTCGCCGAGGGGCTGCTGGGGCTGCGGGTGTAGCCGGCCTCCCTTCCTGGCTCATTGTACCACGGCTCCTCACACAATATCATTGCCTGTATTGATACCAAGACTTGCAGTAATGTCGACTCGTCAGCTTTCCACGGTTCGCCAGACCATGTTCCAAGTAGAGATAAGCAGACCTTGCCGTCGGCGTAAAGATTTGGATTAATAGATATACAACCGCCTGCTGTTCCCTTGAAGTTGACCTGTGGAGGGTTCTTGGGATACTCCGCGCTGCAGAAGAAGTCGAACTCGAAAAGGCCATTCTCGTACGGAGTTCCGACAGGTCCAACTATGACACATTTGAGGATGTCTGGCCTATTCTCGCAGTAGCGTACAAAGATACCTGGTGGAAGGCCTGTTTGTAGCGTCGTAATCTCTGTGACCAACCGCTTGAACCTCCCTGGACGGGAAGATTCAAGTTCCTTCGCTTGTTTGTAATAGCGGTGGTTTTGTTTCATCAACTTTTCTTCTACCTCTCCCACAGCAAGGTCCTCAAGAACCACTGCAGTCTCCTTGCCCTTGTCGCCGTCAGTTATCGTGGCCGAGTTGTCTGTAATGTATTGCGAAAGGTTTGAAATCTTATGACAGATCCATAGCATATCCTGGCCTTCTTGATTCTTGAAGTCCTCTTCATTATTCTTTGCGCTCTGAAGCACCATGGAACTCTGCGTAGTGAGATTACGTAAACATCCAGCAAGAATAGAAACGTTTTCTCTCAAATCAGGCACGGCGGCGCAGAATGAGAGTGTGAGGAGGTCTACCATCTCGGGACGCACGAATCGAGGGCCAAAAAGAGCTGCACTTGTTTCGCTATGCGAGCCCATAGTCATCAGGAAGATGAACAGAGTCTGATAAAGATCTTTACGCTTTGTAACATCAATCAACGAGTCGTTACGAAGTAGTTCTGCGCAGTACTGGAGAATCTTGCTGTTGGTGAGCATTTCCAGAACGGCTTTAGGAGGGTCGAAATCGAAGCAGGTTTCCCGCTCAAGGGATGGAAGCAGATCGGTCAAGAAGCCTAGGACCATGCCGCTAAACGCATCTTCGCTTATCTGTGCATTCTGCGCCTTTGATACCTTGTCTTCCTTCTTGGGTCTCGAAGTCGCAGATCTCTTCAAGTTCAAGTTGTGTCCAGGACCTTTTGCTTTATCCAGCGTATATTGCATATCAGCAACATCGCCGCCGTCCTCGTCGCCGTCCTCGTTGTCGTCAATGTCGTCTTCAAAATCGGTATCTTCGTACATATGGTAACCATGCCCGCCATATCCCATACCACTAGGCATGTGGCCCGTCGAAGGCCTATGGCCACCACCCAAACCTACACCACCACCGCGGGTGGCCTTGTTGGCATTCTTGCGCGACTTTGGCTCCGCCTCGGATTGCTTGGAAATCTTTCCAACATTCCTAGACTCCCAGATATGCCGATCAAATCCACAAAGGAGTGCCCATATAAGGAACAACCGACCGCCGACGCAGCACCAGGAGACGTATCGTTTGCTAGACTGAGAGATTATCCTAGAAGATCTTGCGAAGGGTTCTGGCTCGCATGCGATGCATGAGCGCGTATTACAGCTACTGCACCTAACATTGCAGGACAACTGATCAACCACGCCATCTGCCCAATCTTGAAATAGACGGCGGATATCGAGCTCCGAGGAAAAGAAAGGTTCCTGACACACGCGACATATCCTTGCTTTGAGGTGAGCCGTGAGTTCCTCGAAGGTGTTCAGGGTGACGTAGTTCGTTGGCGTTTCTTCTTGGTAGTCTGCGGTTTTCACATCGTCCTTGCCAGGTATCCAGACTGGCTGGCTGGCTGATAGAGCTGAGCCATCATGCGAAGACTCAGAGGCAGAGTCAGAGGCAGAGGACTGCTCTTTCGCTTGTCCTTCTGCTGGTCCGTCGTCCAAGCCCCGCCGTGTTTCCATAGCTGACGTAGTTTGTAACTTAATAATGGAACAGTAACTCGTAGATATTCGCAGCAACAGAACAATAGTGTAACGCGCTAGGATACGTTGACGCGTTAGTAGTGATCGTTACACGTGAGTATGGTCCAGCGATGTGGTTGAGCGTTGGCGACGGGTATGATCAAAGGGTGTGGTGCGAGCTCATATAATTCCAGTTGTAGTGTACGAGAGAGGAAGCCTGGTGAGGCTGAGGCGCAGTCACTTCAAGCACGTGCTGCGGTTACTGAAGACTGATAGCCTCGTGCGTAGTGAATGCCGTGATGAAAGAAGAACAGAATGGTAATTTTCGATTTGTGTTGGAAGAAGGTTTCCAAGAAGTGAGAGCAACGAGTAATACCTAACCACGGGTAGGCACAGGGTCGTCGCACCCTACCAATGGGATCTCAGGGTCACATAGGCGACAGCGCGGCTGAGACCTGACCGATCGGGCTGAACATGTAACGAGACCACTGCCAGCCTTCATATTATGAAGAACCAACATTTCTAAGTACGAAACCGACGGGAAGAGATTGGCAAGGCCATACTGTATGCACTAAGCATGTCTCGATGGGAATGTGAAGTATACATTTGAAGCACGGCGCCCAACCACAAGTCTTTCGGGGTTATCGGAGATAGCCCGCATTCCGTCATCGTTCATCGAACCACTAACATCGCGACGCGAATACTCCTCCATCCATGTCTTACCGTGTTGAAGCCGCCTAGTTACTACGACAATGGGTCAAGGAGCATCGCACGATACCCCGCAATTGACACTGGGTATGTGTACGCAATCTACCACCCAGTCCTTGATCGTCGCTCCGACGTTACTGCCTAGATATCGCGACTAACAAACCCCCAGACCAACTCTCGCAGACCATAGCCCAACGATTCGCGCAGAAATGCTTCTCCCCTCTCGAACTCTACTGCTTTAATTCTGTCTTCCGTTCCCTCGCTGATGCCGAATCCGGTGTAAAATACTGGAGCGAGAGCACACTATGTCGTTTCCTCGAGCTGCCAGATGCGCTGGGCGTGGGCTCTGTCGTGTTTCAGATGGCTAGCTATCTTGGCGCATTCCCACTTCCTAGTCAAGCCCCAGCTATACTTACACAGGAGGCGCTACTCAAGGTTGTCACTATACTCACGGAGAGATATGGAGCGGTGCTTAAGAAGAGAGGAAAGGAGATCTGGCTAAGAGAGATCTACAGGAGTCTGGCCATATATGACAAGGGCATACGCTCGAGTTTGGAAGATAAAGAGAAGGAAGAGGTGGAACACACGCCGAAGCGAGGGGAAGAGGGAAGTAGCAATTTGGGTTTTGCCATTGATGCGCCTGATGAGGGAGACGAAGGAGAGGACGAGGATGACGATGAGTTGGTGCTGGCTGCGTTGGACTCTATGGATGCTATTGATGCGTTCAAGCATGGAGAACAAACGAACGTACATCATTCCATCATACCGACTGACAACTTCCTCAAGTTGATCGAACTGCTGCTGCTCATCGCGCCGATCGATGCGCAGCAAAGCCTTTCATCGCTCGCACCAGACCTCTCAGACAGAAGGGTGGCGGAGCTACGGCAGGCTGCGAATGTTATATTGTCGTCTTTTGGTGTGGAGAACCATCCAGGTGTCACGTATCGCACATTCAATACTGTCGTCTCAACGTCCTTGCCGTACCTGTTTAATGGTCTCAACCCACTCTTCGAGCACTTCCTCTTCGCGAGAGACTTTGACCTCTCTAAACGAAAGTCAGGTCCCGGTTCTCCCACTCAAGAGAGCAAACCTGTAATACCTCCGCCGAAAGCAGAACTGGAACCGGTTCTGCGAGACCCGGGAGAGATCTTGAACCTGACTACCCTGAGCCAACTGTCGTTCTTCATCAAAGGCAGCAACCTCTTCCGGCGGCTGCGGCCACTATACAGCGGCAATACACACGGCTTCAGTATGGGATCCTTCGAAAAGCAAGTCTTCAACTGGCGCGCGCCGACCATCCTCCTTGTAAAAGGCCGCCTTCTTCCCTCAATACCCTCCAGCACCCGCGAACGCGCATTGCAAGATATGCTACCACCTAAACGCCTACCAGACAGCATAACCTCAACCTCTCCCAGTCAAACGCTCATCTACGGCGCCTACATCTCATCGCAATGGAAACACACAGGCAAGACATGTTTCGGCGACTCCTCAACCCAGCTTTTCCAGCTTTCGCCCACACACGACATCTTCACAGCCTCGACATTCAGTAAAGACTATACCTACTTCTCTAAATCACCGACATATCCCGCTGGTGTCGGTCTAGGCACACCTATCCCAACACAGTCAGCTTCCACATCGCAGTTCTCTCACTCACCGTTCCGTCCTGGCCCTGTATCCCTGCATCTTGACGATGCGCTTGAATTCGGTATTTTCACACACCTTTCAGAAGGTGGCGGCTCGTTCCTTCCAAGTAAGTTACCTGGAAGGAAGAAGAAAAACTGGCAAGATCGCTTTGAGATTGAAAGTCTGGAGGTTTGGGGATGTGGTGGGGACGATGTTGCGGAACAACAGAGGAAAGAGTGGGCGTGGCAGGAACGCGAGGCTGAAGCTAGGCGGAGGATTAATCTGGGGACGGGAGATGCAGAGATGGATCGGGAATTGCTGAAGATGGCGGGGATTATTTCGGGCGATAGGAGTGGAGGGAGTATGGGGTGAGCCCGGGACTACACCTTGGTGTTGTCCCTCATTAGTAGTTTGATTTGTCCTTGCGCAAGGAAATAAGAATTACGCAAAAAGACACGGGTGAGTAAGCCGAGGAGACAGGTATTTGTAGGGGTATGTTACGACGTAACGATATGCACGGTTTACATGACTGCAGTTTTGTGAGTAGATTCCATTCGCTGTAGTAGCTGAGTGTCCTTGCAAATTGCTGATTCCCTCTAAACGCCTGTAATGCCTTTGTATGCATACATATGATACAGCTCCTCCTCTTTTCCCAAGTCTTCATTGCCCTCCACCGACTTATCTCTCAGAGATCCTCTCTTGTCGCCCGAGTATCCACAAATCCATCTATCCTTGCCTACACACAATTAGCATACTCCTCATCCTCAATCTGCACCGTGCTCATATCCCAGCCACACTCACCTCTGCTTATGCTTAGGATTCTTCGAACAGATTATATACACATATCGTCCCTTCTTTCTCCTCACGCTCTTGCACCCATCACACAGCTTCTTCACCGAACTCCGCACCTTCATGCCGCGCGTTTGTATCCGACCTCCCATGCTCAGGCCATTGAAACCGGAAACTAGGTCTCGAATACCGGTGTTGCTCGATTGTGAGGTTTGAGCGCGGAGAGCGGAGAGGGTGGGCCGTACGCAGGAGCATGTTGGTGTGTGGATGTGTTGGGTGCGGGTGCGGAGGATGGTGCGGAGGGTTTGGAGGGAGGATGGGCGCCGGAAGGGCAGGGTCAGGGCGCGGGATAGCATGCTGGTAGGTTGACGCCGCGAGCGACTTGGTGCGTTTGCGATAGAGGTGGTTGTAGTCCTGGGCGTGTGGATATGATGCTGGTGATGCGCTTGATTGGTGTTGCGGCGGAAAATGTATGCCAAGACGCTAGTGCACTCCGTCATAGTCGATGTCTTCCTAAACTTTACAGTCTTGCATGATTGTTCTCTACATTTGCATGTGCTAGGAATTATCACTACTTGTGCCTACGAAGATCGCACATCGCCAAAGCCTAACTGCAGTGTTTGCCCACCAGCTACACATTAGAATCCGCGTCCGAATCCAAATCCATGACCCCCATAATCTCCCATACCACCAGCTCCATGAAACCGGTTTCCACGACCATAAGGCGGCACTTGGGTTCCATATCCAGCTTCGCCGCTACCTACCTGCTCTCGACGAATTATGTCTTCCATGTCTTGGATAACATGAGTGGCACCATAATTCTTCAGTGCCTTCTGTAGCTGAGGCAGGCGCTGTGTGGTATCGACACCTGTAGCACCATAAGTCCCACGCATATCTCTCATGACCAAGAGCGATGCGTCATGTGGCCTTCTGCTTGATTGATGGCTCTCCCTGGCCCATTGCTCTGCCGTGCTCAGAATCTTGTCTCCTGTCTTGCGCAAATGGTTTTCTACAATTTCTTTCCAGAGAGTGGGGGGATTTTCTGCCCATTGCGTGATGCCGTATCCAATGGTAAGGCTACGCACAGCCTGTGTAAATTTAGAAGGGCCACTGGCGTTGCCTTGTCCATAATACATCTCGAATTCCGGCTCGTTGTATTCAGGGTTATCGCAGAGGACCATGGCTTGGATACTGATGAGTACTTGCAAGATGGTAGACACACCAGGTTGCCATTCCTCGCCCTTGACACCGCTTTTCCACGTTCCGAGGAGCGGCAGACACACTGCATTAAAGTCAGGGGCTTGCTGTCTTCAGCATCAACTTTTGCTTACCTTTTCCATCCAAGTGTAAATTCGGATTGAAGCTTTGAAAACAGCCTCTAGGCTGTCTGAACGCTACTTTAGGAGGTACACGAGGATACTCACGCGGGCAGAAGAGGTCAAACTCGAAAAGACCGTTTTCGTACGGCGTACCCTCCGGCCCAATTATGAGGCATCTTCTTTTTGTCAGGACTTTTTCAGCACATTTCTCTGCTCTGAGACTTACTTCATCATGTCTGGTCGGGACATGGCATGCTTCACGTAGATGCCGGAAGACAGACACGTCTTAAGCGAAGTGATCTCTGTTATTAGGTGCATGATACGTCCCGGTGGTGACTGGGTCAATGCCTGCGCGGGACCCATCAACATGTATGTTGCCCCAATAACTTTATCCGGCACTTCGACGATGCCATGGTCTGGGACTTGGGTGGTACTTGCAATATTGTTCTGAGTCCACCACTGCTCGATCCTCAAGTAGGATGACAAGTCAGAGATTTCTCGACATAACCACAACATGTCCTGGCCACGCTGATCCTTAAACTCATGCTTAAGTCGTTGCGCGTTCTGCATCATCATGTCACTTTGGATGTTCAGTTTTCCGAGACACTCCGCGAGCGGAGACGCAGTGTTTTCCGCTTCAGTGGCGGAAAGTGAACCCCCGAAAGAAAGAGATAACAAATTAACAGTATTCGGTCGACTGACGCGCTCCTCATACATCACCTCCTTTTTCGATACTTCGTGGACCCCGACTCTTTTCAAGAAGCTGATCAACGCCATGTAGAGATATTTTCTTTGCGTCGCATTTTCCAGACTATCGTTCCTCAACAACTCCGCTGCCTTGGCTAGAATCTTACTGTTGACTAGCATCGATGCGACTGCCCTCGGAGGCTGGACACCGAAAGAGCTGAGCGGCGCGGTATCGTTCTGATTGTTTCCTGGTTACGGACACAAGACCGCCAGGAAAGACAATATCATCTGGTCGAATCGATCTGAGCTCTTCTCAGCGGTCTCGGCAGTCGTCTTCTTGGGATCTCTTGCCTGAGCCCGGTCGAACATGACATGACGCATTGGTACTGCGCTTGTGTAACCGACACCGCTTCCGGTAGTGACAGATCGACGCTGGTTCCCAACAGAGACCTCATTACGCTTGTCTTCACAATACTTCTCGTCAAAGCCGCAAAGCATAACAAAGATGGTGAAGAGTCGTCCGCGGCTACAACACCAGCTCACTTTGTTCTGGCCACCGTTGAGCAACGTCTCTCTCGGCGGACCACCCTTGTCGAAGCATGCTATGAACGTAGATTTCGAGCATTTGCTACACTTGACTAGGGAGCCGATTGCTGAACAACCGCGTTAGTATAAAGTTAACTAGGAAGGTAATGAACTGACCTGCTCCGCCCAGCCAATTCTTGAACAATGTTTCCGAGTCTTTACTGCTCTGGATGAAGCTAATGTTGCATATTGGGCATTTTCTTCCCTGAAGATAACTGACGAAGTCGCTGTAGGTGTCGAACACGACCGTATTTGCTGTAGAACTCATTGTGTTTTAGGGTAAGTTGCGGGTATGTACGATTATGATGACCAGTGGTGCAAATACAACAAGAGCTTTTTGTAGTCGAGGAAATAAATGTTACGGAATTCGACTTGCTAGTTCGTCAAAGATGCCCACGCTTCACTTTACAAATGTTTCGATACATGACTGTGAACAATATGTGTGATGACGCTACCTACGAACACGTACGTATAAATAGCTTGCCCATTCAAATCTTCAGTATCCAACGTTCACGGCAGTCAACGAGAGCTGTTCTAGTGACAATGTCTCTTGACATGGTCTTCTTCCTCACTCTCTTCAAATTCGATGAAGTCGTCATGACTCCTGCGGCGAGGTGACGCTTGGATTTGCGGCTCGACCAGCGATACCATATTCACATCCTCGGCTCCTTCGCCGGTAGCCATATTCATATCAGTGCTTATTGTTGGGGCGGTACAAGCTCCTAGCGCGTCAGAGGCCATGTCCCGCATCGCCTGCTCCGCCTCTTCGTCGTCGAATTCATCCGCAACGGCGTCGTGATCCGTCTCAACTTTTGTTTCCGCTTCTGGATGCTGCCGCCAGCTGAACGAGAATACTGGTCGCCGGATGCTTGATCCCATGACTTGATCCGGCAACCTCTTTTGGTTCACAGTATTCCTGCCTGTATGTACTATGAGATCGTCGTCATCATCGTCGTCATTATCGTTGTGGCTCCAGTCACTCCAGTCATCCTCTTGTTCCTGTCCTGCTTCCTCATCTTTCAAACCCAAACCAACATCCGCGAAGGCCACTAGACCCTGGTGTCCAATCTCTTTAGCATCTTCGAAGCTTTCATCCCGCTCTCCCGTTAGCCTATGTAGCTCCTCATCTTCATCTTCTTCGATGCCAGATGAGCCATATTTGGAATCGCTCATGAAGCTTGTGTCGACCCATGTGCGACCGAACGGGCTTGCGTGTCGGCCTCTTTCGTAGAATGGAGAGGCTCGTTGATAGTAAATTGATCGTCGCGACGAAGGTGAGGGGAGATCTTCCGGAAAGGATACTCCGAATATTGAAGGAGAGGGCAGATGATCTCGAGGTGACTTTTGAGGTGGTGGCGGAGAGGGCCTGTAGATGCTCGAATCTGAAGAGGTAGATGGAGAGCGTGGTGGCATGTCAGAGTTGTTGGAAGGTGATGAGATCGTATTCGCTCCATTAAGACCGGGTGTAGTCTGGTTGACTTGCTTTACGGTTCGATTGGATGCGCCGGCGAAGTACTGCAGCCTCTCTAGTTCCGTTCCGAGCGGGTCGGGCGAGGAAGAAGGAAGCTTAGTTCTCTTATCCTCTGCACTGCGTTGTTCCAGGCGCCCATTTGGGACAAATATTTCACTCCATCCTTCCACAAGGAACGGAGTGCGCGTAGCTAATCCGAATGCTTTCATACAGCTACTCGCTCCGTTGACCGAATCTAGTATCGCAAAGCCGTCTTGACGAGAGTCTTCTTCCCACCACCTCTCTCCTGTTGCATACTGTTCGTATATGCTCACTAAATTGGCCCACCGGCCTTTCTCAGCGTGCCATATCCGTCTAGTGGTATGGTAGATGGTTAGTTCGTTGGGTTCGATTAGTGATACTCCTGTGTCTTCGGATATACGAGACTTGCAAGGCCCGCCAACGAGGCGCCAGACATTCGCGATGCGCTCAAGGGAGGCAAGACATTGGCACATAAGGCAGACCGGGCATACATCGATCGCTGTGCAAGGATTGCCGGGGTGGATGGAATGCTTGCAGAGGCGTGTGCTAAGTAGACCTAAACTTTCCTCTTCGTCTCTGCTATCTTCTTCGATGGGAGACTCCTCTGAGTCCCGCATATACAACTTCTCCTTAACCTGTCGAGTGTTCATGAAGGCCTTGAAAGTCTGCACACTTGGCAACCCCCCTACATCCTCCTCCCGCGCCGCCCGGATTATCTGTCTCCACGCTAGTCTGGAAGAATAAAACGCTGCTTGCTCGGGGTCCTCGATATTGGTCTGCCAGTGGATATAGATTGGGTACAATTCTGGTCCAAAGATTAGAGCGGCAGCTCTAGTGGAGGTGAGGGGATGGCTCGTTGTGGAGGCGCAGTGAAGAGGGCAAGTGGCGGTCGGAGTGCCGGACATAATGATATTGGGTCTTTGTTCCGGATGTGTGGCATGTGAGTGGGGGAAGTAGTCGTGTGAGGAGGGCTGCTTGGTGAGGCGCAATTGATCGGTGTTTGGTTAGTTGGTTGGTCGGTGGTTCTTTCACTTGGTCGTGAATCGTGCCTGTGAACTCTCACTTCGTATTTTCTAGCAGTCCTATTGCATTAAACAATTCGACTCTTCTTAAGAGAGCTGATCAAAAAAAGAGCTTCCACATGCAACATTGCCATACCTTGGTTTCGCGAAGACATGTTGCGGTGAGCCACTCATGTCTACCACGATCTTAATGATACTCAAAATGAGAGGGTTCTCTCGAATAAGATGTCGCAGCTGTAATGAGGTTCTACGCAACATCTCAGAACCGTTTATGGAAAACAAGGAGAAGCAAGTGGGGTGCAGTTGCTTTCGTCAAACACCATGGCTTTCCATTCTTCTCTGTTCACAACACTGCAACATGGGTTTCATTTCTCGAAGCCGCACTATCGAACGTACCATTCTATGGACCCATAGGCACTTCATAGTTCAGTTTGGAAGAGGGGTAATGTTCTAAACACCTCGGCTTGTCAGATATGGGGAAAGTGTAGACTTATGAAGCTGAGGGTGAACTTCAATCAGGTAGAGCCCATGCATGCATGGTAAAGGGAGAGCGCGCGACTGAGACCTCGCATAGCGGGTATTGTGGGGTCCAGGCTCGCAAAAGAACCAATGTCCAGCCGCCCATGCTCCCAGATCATAGTAGCTCGATCAGGCTTTAGAGTCTACGAATTGCTTTACAAGCGATAGTGTAGATAGAACCAGAGTTATGTTTGTGATGCCAGTGAAACATAACGCCAATTACGAACGGTCTGTATGTCGATGAAGGTAGTCAAGCGGTCGCGCATCTGTAACTGCGCCGCACAAAGCTCAAATCAAGACCTGCATAGTGCAACGTAGCTCGCATGCAAGCTATGTATGCCGACCAGATCTAAAACGGACAATGCACGCTTCCAGCAATCAATGCTTTTGAAGAAATTGCTCGATGCAGTAACGCATGATTAGATGAAGGGGACCCAGAGCCCGACGGCGAGGTTATTGTGGATGTATGTCGTGCGCCGCTTTCGTGCAGTCCGAGGAAGCGTTCCAAGGTTCTTGTGTGCATTGATCTTACCATTGTCTGTTCTGGGACTAGTGGGTGGCTCCAGTGGCTGGGGTGGCGACCAGGGATGGCTTATCGGTGGACGATGGTGTTAATTATGCTGTGAGACGAGTATCCTCTCGTCATGGCGAGCACATGAGAGTTGAGTCTAAGGGGTTTCGAACAGGAAGTTGGTTGTGTAAGGAACAACGTGGAACAGACCGGGCCAGTCAGGATGGTTCGGGAGGAGCCGTCGGGCTTGGTTAACGCGAGACTGCTTTCATCGTAACGACTTCAATCCACCAGTACTCATCAATAGCCAAGGCAAATAAGCTCGCCAGACACTCCGCGAAATATGCCGATCTAGATCAATTGGAAACCAATGCTGCGTCTATTTCAGCCCTATGTCATCACGAATGTAAGCTTGCAGGCGGTGGCTATCTGGTCATTTACAAACCTTTGAACAGTTCCACTGCGAAGTGAAAATCTAGTAAAAAGACAATACACTCGTAGTCTCATATCTCGTCTGCCAACACCACTTTCCTTCCTGATAAATTTGAAGTGTACAATGGACGCAAGGCGACCGGGTGGACAAATGTATGACTAAGCGATGGTACCGAGATGGCCGATGCTCGGACTTGAAGCTGGGGCTGCCCCAACCATCTTGTCATCAGCTATCACATCTCAACTGTCGCATGTCGCTGAACAGCACGAGTTTCTAAATAATTCGACAGCGATCTCGCTGCATTAAAGAATGGGCTAAATGCTATTTCCGAAGCTACAAAGCGACTGTTACGTCCGACTAACTCCGCAACTAGCCTAGGCTGCAACCACGAGTGGACATATAGCAACACGCTTGCTCTCAGTTGCTGGATTTGTTCATGACATCCTCATTTACCTAGCAACCATAGTCTACATACAATCACGTCGATTCCCAACAATGTCTGGACCATATCTCCACGGCCATCACGCATCCGTCCTCCGCTCTCATAGCTGGCGCACTGTTGAGAACTCCTGTCCTCACCTCCTCCCTTACCTCAACAACCCTTCGCTCAAGATACTCGATGTGGGTTGCGGGCCAGGTACCATTAGCGTCGACCTCGCCCTTCGCGTCCCACAAGGCTTCGTCTATGCCATCGATCCGTCCGCCGAAGTCATCGAGAAGGCACGAAAACACGCAGAAGAAAAGGGCGTCACAAACATACGATTTGAGGCCGGAGATATCTTTGAATGGGACAAGCTCGATGGTATAGAAGAGGCTAGCTTCGATATTGTACATGCGCATCAAGTGCTACAGCATCTGCAAGATCCGCTAGGTGCCATGAAGGAGATGAAGCGATTAACCAAGTCAGGCGGCGCCGTTGCAGTTCGAGATTGCAACTACAGTGCCATGGACTGGTACCCAGAGCATCCTGGGATGCAAAAGTGGAAGGATCTGTACATCAAGATCGCGTTTGGGCTAAAAGCACATCCGAACATGGGCAAGTACCTGCATGCGATAGCCATGCAGGCTGGCTTCCCAAGAAGCGATATCGAGGCTAGTGTGGCTGCCTGGACGTTTAGTACACCAGAGGAGAGGGAGTTCTGGTGCGGACTCTGGGCTGACAGGACCGTTAAGAGCGACTACAAACAAAGAGCTCTAGATAGCGGATATGCGACGGAGCAGGATCTGGAAGACATCGCAGCGACGTGGAGAGAGATGGAGAAGAAGGAAGACGGCTGGTTCGCCGTTATCAACGGACAAGTCATCTGCCACGTTAGGTAAGGGTCTATAGGTAATCAGACGCCTGTCCTGTCTTTCTGCTCGGTCGTTCTTTTCGCCTCGTGTCTCTCACCTTCCTATCGGACAAGGTCCTCAATCCTTGGCCCCGCACGTCTACGTTACACTTATCCCACGCTTTCCGCTTGCCTCCAATCGCAGAACCCACCGCACTTACCGCGTGCCAGTCATCTGACTGCTTATGCACTAGCTGCCTAGGCTTGTCGTAGCTGCCTGTAGCTACCTGAGCTTCGTATATCAACCCCACTTAGCCCCTCCAACTTTAACCAGCTATCAGCGCATCCCACGATATCACGAACATTTCATTCTACTCCAAACATCAACAATACCGACAGTCAACAGTCGAAATGCAGTCCACAACCATCCTCGTCAATTTCCACAGCGACTGCCCAAAGTGCGGCGCCGGTATCAGCGGCGATGCCAAGACCTGTGGAGCTTGCGGCAGCGTAAGGCGATTAAAGCAACTTTGAGAGTCAAAGCATAGCTAATTCCTATAACAGTCCTGCCCAGTCTAGACCAGCGATGCTCCTCTCGAACAGAACGTTATAGTTAATGAGGCTGACTGGAGGGAATACCCAGAGGCTGGACGTGCACGACGTTGACGTGGGAATCAGTGCGGCTGTGCATGAGAAGGAGAGTCAAGAAAGTAGTTGATGCGTCTAGTGAGTGATTGAATCGAAGCCTATTTCAAAAAGGACGAAATCATTTTAACGAAGATGGGTATCGTGATACAAGAAAAGGACCGTCGTGAAGTTCTCTAGAGACATGCGCAAAGCAAGCTTGGCTGCGAAATAATCAGATTACAGCGGAGATGCCTTAACATCACTGTGTACAATTAGCCAAATCATCATCTCTACGTTGATTTGGAGATATTTACCCTTGTGCGACTGGGAATTTAGTAGCCCTTTTTCATCCGCAAGAAAGCCAGCATGGCAGACACCGCGAGGACGAGGACGGTAAGAAACATGAAGACGCAGTCGGCTTGGGTAGACCTGCATCTTGATGTCATGGCGTTAGGGTCGGTGAACCAATACCAGCACCCATCTTTAGTGCAGCCGCCGTTGAAGATGTCGTTGTTTATGATCTTGGCCGCACTACGGTAATCTATGTCACCATTGCAGTCCACGCCGGAGATCTTGATAGCGAGTACCTGCATCTTTATTAGCCGAAACATTCAATTACGAGGTCGAAGAAGCCCGTGACGGCCCAAGCTGGCACTTACGATTCCACCCGCCGCGTTGATGAGAGCAACCACGGCATCGATGATCAAGCCTACCATGCCATCAAGAAAGCTCAAGAACAGAGCTGCGACACCAAGAGCCGCTCCCAAGATTGTGACACCGCCCACAACAGCTGAGAAGCCTAGACTGGCCGGGAGACTACCGATGTGATGACCGCGTATCAAAGAGACTGATATTCCGAGTACAACGATGCCGAAAAGAGCTTGGAAGCCGCGAACGACGAAGTTGAGAAGTGGGTTTGCGATCGCCATGTTATTGGTCTGTACAACGAGTCGTGCGCGTATGGGTATGGATGGACGTCGATTCGTCTCGACAACAGTGGTGGTATGAGTGTGATCGTGGGAGATTTTTTTTCCAACACGTATGAATGGAGGTCAAAGGTAAAGATTGAAAAGAGCAAGCGCGACGGGTATCACCTCACTATTTACGGTTGTGCGCGCTCGTTTGCACGTCATTTGCTATTGGCTTTGCTCGTCTGTGCCGCCTTCACGTCTGGCAACAGCAGTTTCATCTTGTCGTGCGGCGTCCAAGGCAGACACATCGTTGGCGCAGCCTTACGATTCTCGCGATATACTACTGATTTGATGGGGGCTAATCCCGCTGTGGTGAAGGGATCTTCGGATACGGTGTGGTTGCCTGGGGATGTCGGAGGGGACCTGCCAAGTTTGGACGTGTAGGTCATGTTGAAGTTAGACTGCCATCGTATCTCTTCTTGCCGGTAAAACTTGGGTACGGGTCTGTGACTCATACTGGTGGTCGTGATTAACGAAACGACATGTCGTTGTACATACTATTGCTACAACACGATATGTTCAGACGTGGATCAAGCTTCGGATCCTATCATCTCTGTCTCTGCCACATCTTGCATAACCAACCAACCTGTCATCATCGGAGAGTATTGCAATGTATGGATGATCATTGCCAGAGGCTGCAAATGTCAATGCGCAAGGCGCCCAGGAATTGGGGGCTAGAAATTCTCACCGGTCAATATCCTGCCTGCCTTGAAGGATATCGTGCAAGGCGGCAGCTCACGCGAGGCTGCGTTCATTCAAAGCCCTGTCTATTATCCGGACCTATGACTTTGTTAGCAAAGTGTTACAGGTATGCGCGAAGATGTGCTCGTCACAGTACCCCTGCTTGTGACTGTATTTAGCTCAACCAATGAGAACGCACCGGCCTCTAGCTTAGCCTCCCAAGTAACAGTTGCTCTATTCCCTTCACCTCCTCAGTTCATCGCATAAAGAAGCTGTCACTTCTTTCTTACTGCAAAGTTCCCATCTTGGCGTTCCTCAGGTTTGCCCTGTCGAAACAGCATCTGATCGGGGTCTTACCGTGTGCAGCCCATGTCTACCTAGGTACCGAGGTACAGTCGTTGTAATCAGGTACATCTAAACATATCCTGGAGATGCCCGAGCATTGACCCTAGAGGGTAGGCTGACTATAGCGCCCTCACGTGTGAGTAACAATTTGATTCACTCAAAGTGGAAGAGTCCCGTTGTGTTCTAGACGATGTAATGCAGACAGTAGTGGTAACTCATAATGTGCCGGTGCACAGGGTTCCCTGGTGCGTTTCTATCCGATGCTCAACCATCAGGACTACAAGAAGGATGGCCTCTCCTCAACATGACGGGATCTATCATCTATCATCCACCATCGATCGATTACCTACTCACTCTTTTGCATGCATTGCTTTGTACTTGTTTCGAGCTCACTTGTTCAGTCTCGCTGCCCTCTCCGGATCTCTCCACCAGGCACACTGCTCCATCCTAATAGCCGTAGCCTCATCCTCCATCATTGTGCCACCCAGGGTCGGGGGGTTGACGACTAGCTGTCTGCTTCCAGTTCCCTCGTACTGCTCCCACGTTGCACTGCCTGCCAAGGCATAGGTGTTCGGATCTCCACTGACAATAAAACTCGCCCAATAAGCGCTGTACATGTCTGCAATCTCGGGGTATTGTGTGTTTGCCTGACCGTTAAAGTAGGAAGAGTCACTGGCGTGTGGCACACCCAAGTACGTTGGCGCCCAGTTTGGTGTATTGAAGCGCGCTTTGTAGACTGGAGCAGAGGTGGAGGAGAGAGCCGACGCAGTGTCTTGCACCGGACATATATAGGAGTAATCTCCATAGGCTTCAGATACTCGCTCGAACTGGTCCGAAACATAACCGAGTGTGCCAGCCTCTGGCTTTACATCTGGGTATAGGGTCTGAAGATCGGAAAGATCGTCAGATGTTAGGCCTGGAACGAGGGTCTTCCAGAAGTTGAGGTAATCGGTGTTGGTACGTAGGTCTTGCGGGGCGAAGGCTTTGCCTTCATCGGTGGTGGAGGAAATCAGCATTGGGATGTTGAAGAAGGTGCCGTCTTCGCCTGAGGTTGAGCCGCGCTTCTCGATCAGGGGGCCAGGAGAGACGGGTTGCCATGGCCAAGTAATGTTGTAGTTGTGAGCATTGTATAGCGAAGAAGACATGAACTGGATGTCATCGGCTTCCGCGGCACGAAGGCACTCCAGGGCGGCAGAGCTGGGCGACGCAGGACAATTCAAGTAGTCCATGATATCTGCGACTTGGCGTTGGTAGATGGGATAGTCAACACCTGGGAAGGCACGCGCGGTTGGTGAGCCGGAGGACATGATGACCTTGCTGAACAAAGGCTTTCCGACATCCTCGGCGTAGTTGTGGAATAGGTGGATGCCGACCGAATGACCGCCAGCACTTTGGCCACCAAGCGTGACCTGGTCTTTGTCGCCTCCAAATTCGCTGATGTACTTCTGCAAGAACTCCAATGCCATCTTCTGGTCGCGGATGCCCAAGTTCAAAAGACCCTCCTCTTCCATAAACTTAGCAGGCAAGCTGCCAAGCGCACCCAATCGATACTGTACAGTAACGACCATGAGGGGTTCCGTGCTCTTTTCCACAAACAGTGCTCCATCGAAACTGCGGTGAGAGCCCGATACAAACGAGCCTCCATGCAAGAAGACCATAGACGGCAGTTTCTGGTCCATAGGAATACCTGAGGGTCGGTATACGTTGATGGTAAGACAAGCTTCCGACTGTCCGAGCGAACTATACATGTTCTGGAAACATGCCGGCCCAGTGGATGTCGCATCCTTCACACCATCAAATGGTTCAGGCCATGTTACCGGCATGAACCTCCCCTGCCCAACTGGCTGGGTGGAATACTCCACATTCATCCATGCATCCACCGGCCGGCTGAAGGTCTCCGTCTTCCTCAAGTTCATGAGCAGCTGGGTGCCCTGGAACGATCCGTAATCCGGCAAGCTGACAAGAAGGGATCCATCTGGCGTCTCATGGTCCGGAGGACTTGGTCGTTGTGGCGTGCCAGGCTGATATGGTCTGGCATAGGTAAAAGCGCCAAAGTACCAAAACAGCAGGACAGTGCTACCGGAGAAAATCATGATGATGGCTAACCTCCTCTTCAGCCATCGTGAGGAGAAATGGGTTGCTTTCATAGTATTTTCTTGCTCCCGGGCTTCTGCCGATGGCGGTGCAGGGAGTCGGTCCGCCATGGGTGCCGGTAGGCGCTAGCGGCAGCGGAGAGCGGAGTGACTGCGGGGATACTGAAGCGATGTAACTATTCCAACGGATAATCTCGTCATGCGCTTACTCTTGTTCGCGCTAGTTCGAGGTCGTGATGGGGACAATGTTGGTGTTGAAGGTAGGATAAGGCACGTGGCTGGCGAATAATGACGTTGCCGAGACACTACCGAGTCAAGATATCGGTCGTGCAAGGATGTTTAAAGCCATTCCGTGAACTTGCACGATGAATTACCTCCGAAGCTTACCCGTATAAAGCTTACCCTTCCTTCTCCAAGCCGCTTCACGACAGGTCCAAAGAAGCAGTTTTTCTTTCATCTCCCGCCTACCGGACGTATCCATGAATCAATAGAACATTACAAGGTACTATGTTAGTTCAGTGCTTGGCTTAAACCAAGTATTGCATCACGAAAAAGCTCATTCCTCATTCCAGCATCGGATGTGATCGCCGGTATTCAACGAGGAGAAAAAGCGATTTAAGTTGATAGCGAAGTTCCAATTTTGGTGAGGGGTGAGAATTGGTGGCGTCCGGAGAAGTAGAAGCCATCTTCTGCACCCCACAAGCTAACGCAGCATGATCCAAGCATAGGCCTGGACCGGTCAATGTTCTGGCACCGAAAAGTAATCAGCGCTAAGTCATGCTGTGCGACTTGGGCCTTGCTTGTTGAGCGCAGAACAAATGTTGGTGTATTGCTAGCGTTTCTCTCGCCCAAGCATTAAGGTACATATCCACACAATATCCCACCCAGGCCTACTTTCCCTGCTCTGCCGCCTCCTTCTCCACGGCATCTGCCATATCCGCCAATGTATCGAACTTCCAGTTGTATACTGGATCATCACGATTCCCCATAACCGCGCCCGGCCTGTAGATCCAAGAACTCTTGATTCCCATATCCTTTGCTGGGTGATGGTCGTGGTATTGAGATTGCGCCGTCTGCAGGACCTCATGCTTCTCGACGCCAAATTGCTCCTTCACTTTTGCCAACATGTATTCAAAGTTTTTCAAGTCAGGCTTGTAAGACCCGATGTCCTGGGCGGTGTAGACCGCATCGAACTTGTATCCCTTGAGCCCATTCGCATTTCCAAGCTTGAACGATTCATGGTCGACGTTCGAAAGAACGACAAGCTTGAAGTACTTGGACAGCCTCTCCAAAGCAGAGGGTATATCAGAAAAGCCAGGCCAGTGCCCAACACTCGCTCCAAACTTCCTACTCTCCTCTTCACTAGGCTTCTCCAAACCCAGTTGCTCACACATCTCAGGGAGTACCATAGTGAGCACTTCGGAGTACTTGAGATGACCGTGTTCTCTTTCGACCCTTGCCTCGATCTTGTGCATGACCTGCATAATGTGCTTGCGATCCATGCTCTCTTGGCCGGATTTCTTGAGATGTGGTCGTAGAGCGGTGAGAGCGCCGGCCTCCCAGTCTATCAGCGTACCGTATACGTCGAAAGACAGGAGCTTGAAATCGGTAAGCTTGGACATGGTGGTGGCCTGTTGTGTGTCGTGATAAAAGTGATAGATATGTATAAAGGTGTAAGAAATCTGATCTGTTTGAGCTTAGTATTGATGAGCGAACTGAGAGCAATACCGGCGATTATTATATGTCCCTTCATGACTGTACGGTTGTCGCTGCCCAGAGGGCTCTTGGGACCCCACTTGGTACTATGACGTTGGCGGGGTACGATAACGCGCCCTACAAAGTACATACTAACATTTACGACAGCCGAGATGGTGATAGCTGGTAGTGAGTCTTGATCTAGACGCTACATACGCTTCTTTGTGCGATCTGATATTGCTCTCTAGGGAAGCCGTACGCTAGATAGGGAATGATGCATGCAGATGGCGCAGAGTCGCGCTTAACTCCGCCCCTTTGCCAGCAAGTAGAGTATGTCGAATCGTTCACGGAAGAGTCACAGGCGAAAGAAACGTGAAGCGCGTCTACGAAAATCTGAATTGTGTTCGATCGGTTTTCATCCGCAATTGGACCGTCATTTACCCGTAGTCTAAGCAGTGTTGACAACCTCAGTTCTCATCTCGTACGGCAAGCTACCAATCTTCGATTCTAGGACTTCCTTGGTCAACCTCCACAAGTTTCTTTGCAACTTCTCATCCCTAGCCTGCTTGGACGCTTCTTGGACCTTCTTATCAGGAACGATATACGAGTTCTGCCGGAAGTCAGCTCGAGATTCTTGACGGGAGGGACGAGGTGTCTCTACTTACTTGGATCTTGTCCTTCACAATATCCGGAGACGCTGTAGCAAACAAGGCCGGGCGACATCCCTCAGCTACAGGGTCCTTCATGAACGGCCGCACAGCCATGACTCCAACCTTTCCCATGGTACCATAAGCCTCGACTGCCTGGTCTTGCTGATCCGTTGACACGCCACCGGGGTGTGTCGCATTGATCCAAGGTAAGCCGTTGCTCTCTGTAACTTGGCCGAACTCGCCGGCCTTGATACGAAAGTACAGTTCGCGAAGGAAGAGGATCTGCGCTAGCTTGGTGCGGTTGTAGAGCTTCGTTGCGCCAATGTCTTGGTTCATCTCCTGGATTGATTCAAACTTCATGCTTGAGTCAGCGCCCCTGTGTAGATCAGACGATTGGTGCACGATGCGAGAATCAGGCGTCTTCTGCAGTATAGGCAAGAGCGTGAGCGTAAGATGAGCCTGTGAGAAGACGTTGACCTGCATGTGGCTGTCCAGACCATCGCGCGTCTCGTTGTATACGCCAACACCTAAACCAGCATTGCAGACCAAAGCATCGAGCCTATCCAGCTCCTTTGCGAGCGACTTGGCTACTTCGTCGACCTGCTTGAGGTCTTCGAGGTTGCACTTGCGCCACTCGACTTTGCTTACGTCCCCCCATTCCTTGAGCGCTTCTTGGGCTTCGTCGGCGTGGTCTTCTTTGTTCGAGAGCAGGTAAATCTTCGCGGGGTTGTGCTGAAGGAGGTGAGCGACGATACCGTATCCGATTCCGGCAGAGCCGCCAGTAACAACATAGACCTATCGTAGTAGTCAGTAAGTTGAGCATGCAGAGGGAAGAAGATCATTTACCTTCCCACTGAGGTCGGGGATGTCTGTGTTGGGGTCGAACGCGCTGCCGATAGCTTTCTTAATTGTGTCCATGATGATGAAGTGTTAGCTGGGCGTTTGTTGTTCTTCTTCTTCTTCTGTGTATTTAATTTCTACAAGGTAAGCTGATGTTTCCACCCAGGCGACAGGTTGGGTCATATCACGTCGTCTTAGAACGCGACGCGCATGGTGTCGTCATAATGAAATGGGTGGAAGCTGCGCCTCTAGCTACGACGTTTCCATGTCGCATGGGAAGACCCAGATGTGACATCAGCGGTCCGTTGAGCTACGCTACGAGTGTTCAAGCAGATTTCTCAAACATGACAAGGTGAATGTAGTATGTGAAGTTATGTTCGTCGGGGCCATCAAGCATAAGATCAGTTCCGCGGCAGGGACCGGCGATACGGACAGGGGTATCACAGCGCACTCTGTCCACATGACATTAACAATGCGTTCAGCATCGCATTATAAGGGTTGTTCATCATGTTGGTGAAAAATTTTGTAGCTTAAGTCCTAGAGAAGACTTCAAGTGAGGAAGTATAGACGGGAGGCGCGCTGCGTGCCTGAGAGCGTGCGCGACCCCGCACAGGTACCCTGGACCATCACGTCCATGTTAGCTCCTTCCTGTTGCTGTGCCACACAACCAAGCTCGTCAATGTACCATCCTCCGCTTGCGTCATGTCACCTACATATATGTCTCATATGAAGCATTACCTGTGGTTTGCAGGAATCTGGCGGCGAGCCGGGAGCCCAACAAACATACCTCAAATCCACTACACCAATCTCTTCTATCGCAGCTCATTCCACGCTCATCACAACAACTTCCAAGATGCTGTGTAATGTCTGTAAGCGCAGTTTGGAGGGGACGAACGATCCCACAATCACGCCTCGCCTTCGAGTTGCGCCGCCACGAGCTCACAGTTCTACTCGCGCCATGCTTGACATTGAAAGATATGTGTTCGGTCATCGCCAAACACATGACTCTCTGGTGCAGTCAATCAAACAGAACTGCGTGCTCTGCAGTGGAGTCAGTAGTTTGATTTTGAACTTGTTACGTTTGGAAGCTACTCCATGGTACGTTAGTGATTTAGAGTGCACAGCCGCAACGCGTTACACGGATGATATAGATACTGGTGAAGTTACTGGTGGACAGATCGAGCTGAGAGGCCACTGGACAGTCGTACGGACTGTTGTTGAAAGAACTATAGGCGAACCGCTCAACGCTCGTCGTTTAGCGCACTTTCGATACCCCGACCTGAGCCCAGCGCTCAAGACATCTCTCGCTGTTATGGCCGGCGCTTCAATCTTTTACGATACCGAGGACGACATGATGGACCAAGTGTTCTGCGTCCCTATTTACGCAAGATGGAAGCACGGGCCTCGGTGGTCCTTTCGTGGTATTGTTCTAGCACCAGTGGAAGGCCAACGCCTGTCGTATCGCCGCATCGTCCTTCTCGAAGGTTTATTTGACACCGAGCAGGTAGCGCAGACCTTCTTTTCAAAATTTGAGAAAAGAAGTGCCACGGTTGTATGATTGCCCTGCAACTACTAGACACTGCGTGATATTACTGACATAATGTCACCGTTATGATGTGCAGATAACACAAGAGGAGTCAATGCTTCACCTCTCATGGCCCATGATTTCCTAAACATGATATCACCATGCACTTTCTGCCTGGCCCGCTAGCGTTTGCACTCAAAGTGCCTCGGAACAAACCTTTGCGCCTACAATATGATGGTCATTTTCTCTTCTTCCTAAGCCACCTTGTGTCAACACACCTACCTTTACCTTGCTGCTCTGGCTCCTCCAATTAACCACCTTCCATCAACGCGCAAAGCCCACACTTCAATATGAAGCTGTTGATCTTTCTATTGCTCGCCTTCGCGGCCCTCATAGCTGCTTGTCCACCGCCCCTCAATGACTTCTATTATCTCAGTAACGAGACACACACTACCGAGGACCTGCTTTTGGATCTCCGACGTGGAAACACGCAAATGGGATGGGATGAGGTCGTCACCAAGGTAATGATATAGATGTGCATCTTGTTCTTGACAACTCACTAACACCAATAATAGTCCGGACGACCGCGCCAGCCCTAGCCCCACGGTCTCATCACTTACTGCTTCGCTACACCCGCAATCAGTGAAAAGTACAAGGACACACTGACTGCTGCCTGGGATCTCTGGAAAACTCAAATTGGCGAACCAAGCAAGGAGAACCAGCATCAGCTCATCATCAAAGAACATGGATGGTGGGACAAGGAGTGGCAATACTGCTACAACAAACAGAAGCATCCCGGGGATTTCCTCGTCTGGAACTCCATCGTTCCAGCCCAGACGGTCGTCATAAATGAGCTGCCCAGGTTTGTACCCGGTATGGGTGCGTCTGCGATTGTTGGATACATTCCAGATGAGTGGCCGATTCATTCTCCTCGAGAAGGTCGCCATAAAGTCTTGTTCAATCCTGAGGCCAAGGACAAATTCCCTGACGAGAAGTCTTGGATTGCTAATATCGCGCACGAGCTTGGTAAGCCATTCCTTAGTAAAGAATCTCAGTGCATCTGCTTACAGAACGTCAGGACATGTTGCGGGTCTTTGGCATGAGCATCAGCGACCCGATCGTGATCACTATGTCCGATTCAACTGTGAAGCTTTACCTGGTTATGACGCAGCCAAGATCTTGGTCGATCAGCGTGGTGAAGACAAGATGGAGGATGTCTGCAACGATGGAACACTGGCGGGCACTTACGGCTTCAGTACGTTACTCGATTCAACTTGCCTATACATCGAATAACTTACCTCACAGGCATCATCGACCAATACGACAAGATCGACCACCTCGATCGCGCCGGCCCGGTTGACGGCCAATGGTGGTATTTGGTCCAATCCTATAAGGACCGCGAATATGACGCCCACTCCCTTATGCATTGGGGTTCTGATGCGCATTACTGGCGCGATGACGACGAGAAGCTGAGGGTGCAGCTCGCCGTATGGAAAAATGGTGGACCGGACTATACGCCACCAGGAAACCCTACTAAGGATGACTTGAAGTACAGCAAATGGGCTGTTGCACCTACTCGGAAGGACGCCGAGGGGATTAGGAAGATCTATCCGTGGAAAGATTAGATATGTACAGCTCTTGTAGCCATACACGCTTGAAAACGTGGTCTGGAGGGGATTTCCGGCATCCAAAGCCGACGACTAAGTCCTTCCTGGGATATGTGCATGGCGGCTAGAACTCAGTAAGTGAGCCTGCTTTGCTCTTCTCACCTGTACCTCACCTAGATGTGTACCTAATCGAGCTACTGCTCTCCCACTGTTGATACATGTCATCTAAATCTGAGACTAGTCATCGCACATGTTTCGAGGGCATGTGGTCTGGACTCGAAAAAAGAGTATGGCAAGACGCTCGGGATTCAATATGTCGCTAGACTAGATCGCTTGAAGAGATACGCGGGTTGAAGTTCCACCATGTCCTACCACGTTTCAATGATTCTCTTTTTGCTCTCATCCACGACCTTTTTTGTTCTACAGTAACCCTTTACTACTGCCTATCTACTCACCCAGGGACACTCTCCTATTACCATAGACAACTCATAGGCTGTCGTTGACCCTTACTTCATGTGATATGCACGAGTCTTACTACCAGGCCGAGCCACCAGCCCACTGCCTGTCCAGGTCCTTATCACTAATCCCCTTTCCCTTTGCGCCTTCGATACCTCTCCCTCTCCTCTCCAAAGCACTCGCTCCAACAAAGCCAATGCACACATCCATGTGGACCCTGAATATTGAACAGTATTCCGACAGTCTAGAGTACCGCAGGTACGTTAGTAAAGAGCGTCATAGAGTTCAGCGAAGCCCAATGTGGAGTATGCAGGGAGGCCAACGACCATCCTCAGGCTGCTCGGAGCTAGTATTGTGACCTTCAGTTACGATATCAGCGTATAGCTTGATACTCTCGGCACCGCTTGCTTACCTTTTCCCACTCGACCATACCGGCAACGAAATCCATCGCCCTGTTGTTGATCCTTCTCCACATTAACAGACTTGCGACATTCAGTTCTAGGATGACTTGCTGTGCTAAATCAACCGTCAGTTGCGACAAGGCCTTGCATTACCCATCTATGCAACCTATCCTATACTTGGCTAGCGGGAAATAATGTGTGAGTCGCGAAAAGATATCGGTGAGGCCTACAACACGCCCCTCGCGTCTTTGTGTTGACGTAGCATCGGGATGGGAGTATCGTCACCATCCTAACGTCAAGGGATGCTCATGCGACCAAGCAAACCAGAGCAAAAAAAATGGATGTACAAGCCCAACGTAGGTGGACTAGAGACTGCTCTGCACAGCACTTTGTTGATGTTGTGGTGGTCGTCGTGGGATATTAGTGCGTCTAAGAACCAAAAAGATATCCTTCACCGCCACCACCACGACCACCCCTACACCACGACCACACCGCGACCACACCGCGACCACACCGCGACAAAAAGAATGAACGTACAAGCCCGACGTGGGGGTCGAACCCACAACCTTGAGATGTACTGAGTAATCGTGTCTGTTAGACCGTGAAAGACTAAGAGTCTCACGCTCTACCGATTGAGCTAGCCGGGCTATTGCTGTTGTTCGATGAAAGACGTCCGAATAATTGATAATATATCCTTTTTAGTTGATCTTACAGCTTGGAAGCTGGAAGACGAGACTCGAAGTAGTTTCGACTTGGACAAATGCTGGTTGGGGTGGGGTGAATCTCCGCCGGACGCTTGAAAAATTTCATTAGTGGAACACCTACCATCCGCCTGCTCGGTAAAGCACACCCGCATCTGAATGCTTGTTAGCCATTACTTTACTGGGCGCATAGTCATGAGATATCCATGGGTGGATGGAATACCTACTGGGGCTACGCTTTGTTGTGACAGTGAGATGAATCGAGATCTTTCATCTTTCGTCCAGTCTCCGTACGACGAATACTACATCAGAGTACACAGTCGGTTAGCTGCATGATCATTGGATCGATGCGCAACGCTTCTTAGATTGGGAACACAAGGTGCTATTTTGGGCGTGATCACCCCGCCTCGAGCGTGGCTTTACGAGGCCACAGCCTCATCGGATTTACAATGCGAATAGGTAGTCATAGCAATCTTCTCAGACGCTATCATGGACAAGTCAGAGACCAGAGGAAATATTTGGACGATGCCGCAGTTTTCAAGCTATCGTCATCGAGCGGTCCGAAATTCACGAGGCTTCCCAAAATCATCCAAATTTCAATCATGTTTTGGTAATCGGGTCATCTTCGATGTGTGCAAGAAGCCGCAGCACGAACCGGGCTGTGGGAAATTGTAGCATGCCCGCCTTAAAAGCCGTATCGCAGGTACTTGGCCCAATCTGAGCAGGCTCAGGGAGCGTTCGGATGCAACACAAGAGCGGCAATGCTGTATGTCAAACAGCACACAGTGTTAAGCTGGCAGGCTGTACTTACCAAGGAAGAGTATACTCGAGAGCAACGGCACGCAGAAGATTAGCATGAGCATGCGGACTTGGCGCAACGTCAGGGTCTCCACCAAATCTCTCCCCACAACGTGGCGCCGCGTAATGGCACTGCAAGTTGCGTAGTTTGCAGCATCGCGCGTCAATGTCAGCTTGGTGCAATTTGAGACAACGGCTAAGGTGAAACAATATCATTCGTCGATACAACGAGGCCCCAGGGGCGCGGTTGCAGCAAAACGCCCAGGGTCGTGGTAGGCACTGCCTCAGCACTTGGGCCCGTGCCTACATCTTTCAACGACAGGCAGTCAGCCAAACCTTGCAAACAGATCCGTGAACATTCCCGGCGCTGATCAAGGTTGACTCTCGCTTTCTTCACGATACAAACGCGATCACGACACATTGCGCGCATCCCGTATAAACTCAAACTCGAAACGCCGGCCAAGCTGTGTTACTATAACCAGGGCGGCTTACGACGAAGCTCCGCAAGACCTCCGTATCCGTCCGCGACGCGACCACGCATTGCAAACAAGGCGAAATATTGGCCACTTTTACATGAAGGAGTAGAGAAACCGCGCTCTCCGGAGACAGACGCCCATCACCACATCCGGCCGCTATGGCCAGCAGGCCGCCAGGTGGACCGTCTCATAGCGAGAACCTGATCGACTTTGACGACCATCAGCCCACATATTACTCGGGCGCACCGCCTCCTGCAAACGACCATGATCTCCTCCAACGGTACGACATAGACAGTTCCGACGCGGCGCCCCAAGGCCGGCCTTCGGTTTCCTACGATGACTTTGTTGGGGGTGGGAGGTCGACGGCAGGCCTGCCGGGCGGGCCTGGCGCACCAACAGGTAACACGCCCTATCTGGGAGGAGCAAACAATAGCAGAGCCTATTCGCAAACATCGGATCTGCACAACTACCAACGATACTCGGATGCAGATATACCAGCAGACGACGATGCTTCAGCACAGGGTTACTACGCTGCCGGAGGGGCGTACGACCAGCCCTCGCCCGGAATACAGCGCGGGGCATCCAAGAAGGCGCATAACAGGAATAGTATCCTGAGTCTCGGAGGTGGCCTGACTGGAAGGGTTAAAAACATGTTTGGGAAGGGGAATGAGTACTCTGAGATGGATCTACCATTGACCGAGAACGCAGCGCATCAACGGCAACCCAGCGCAAATACGACCGCAAGCGCACACGATGATGGCCAGTCCTCAAAAACGAAGAAGGGCATGGGGTCCTTCAAGTTTGGCTTCGGCAGGGGGACACCAGACCCGTCTACGTTGGGACCCAGAATTATCCACCTGAACAATCCGCCTGCGAACGCCTCGAACAAATACGTTGACAACCACATCTCCACCTCGAAATACAACGTCGTCACCTTCCTTCCAAAATTCCTCTACGAACAATTCTCCAAATACGCCAATCTCTTCTTCTTGTTCACAGCCGTCCTGCAACAGATTCCCGGCATCTCCCCCACCTCGCGATACACTACAATTGTTCCGCTTGGCATAGTTCTATTGGTCTCAGCCGTCAAGGAGTATATTGAGGATTACAGGCGGAAACAGTCCGACTCTGACCTTAACAACTCAAAGGCCCAAGTCCTCAAAGGCTCGACATTTACGGATACAAAATGGGTCAATGTGGCGGTTGGCGACATCGTACGCGTCGAATCCGAACAACCCTTCCCAACCGATCTGGTATTACTCGCATCTTCCGAGCCGGAGGGTCTGTGCTATATTGAGACAGCCAACTTGGACGGAGAGACGAATCTCAAGATCAAGCAAGCTATCCCTGAAACAGCTGACTTTGTCAGTCCCGCTGAATTGGCACGACTAGGAGGCCGCATACGATCAGAACAGCCCAACAGCAGTTTGTACACGTACGAAGCAACTTTGACTATGGCAGCAGGTGGCGGAGAAAGGGAACTGCCACTGGCTCCCGATCAGCTGTTATTGCGTGGAGCCACACTGCGAAACACACCTTGGATACACGGTGTTGTCGTCTTTACCGGACACGAAACGAAGCTGATGAGAAACGCCACGGCTACGCCTATCAAGACTACTGCAGTGGAGAGACTGGTCAACAAGCAGATTCTCATGCTTGTAGTCATTCTCATAGTGCTAAGCATCATCAGCTCTATAGGCGATGTCATTATACAATCCAAGGAGAGAGACAGCCTCGAGTATCTTAGGCTCGAGGACTTCAACGGCGCTAAACAATTCTTCCGCGACCTTTTGACATATTGGGTATTGTATTCCAATTTGGTACCCATCTCGCTTTTCGTCACGATCGAAATCGTCAAATACTATACTGGTAGTCTCATCGACTCTGATCTCGATATCTACTACGAACCGACGGACACACCAGCGAAATGCCGAACCTCGTCCTTGGTCGAAGAACTAGGTCAGATTGAATACATCTTCTCAGACAAAACGGGTACTCTGACATGCAACATGATGGAGTTCAAGCAGTCTACGATTGCTGGTATTCAGTATGCTGATGAAGTACCCGAGGATAGACGTGCGACGCTTGAAGACGGCGTCGAAGTCGGAATCCATGACTTCAAGCAGCTCGAGCATAATCGTAAAACGCACCACAACAAGTACATCATTGACCAGTTTCTCACTTTA